TATAGCTTTTTAAAATAGTTAACTTAGTACGTAGATAGATATAAGCAGTAGAGCAAGTAATAAAGCAGAAAAATAAGCAATAATAATTTAAATATACTATAAATAATAGCTTGCGCAGGCAAAAAAAAAGAGTAAAAAAGTAATTAAGTATTTAAGCTAATATTGCAGGAAAAATTATTATTATTATTATTATTATTATTATTATTATTAGCGTTGCTGTTATTGCTTAAAGGCCTAGTATTAGTTAGCTGCTTAGCAGTCTAATATTACGCTAGATATTTAAACATATACTTAAAAGTTATTAAAAAAAACAGCGCTTTAGCAGTTAAAGTTATATTATTAGAAGTTAAAAGTTTATTACTTAGTAATTCTAAAAATAAAAGTATATAATACATAGTAAAAATACTAATAACGTAAGCTATTAATAACACATTAGGTCCCGTCTTCGCGGGGAGGACTTGTTGCATAAAAATACGGATTGTATAAGACCTATCAGTAGTCTTCAGGGGCAGAAATCCAACAGTTGGTACTCATTACGAGAACAGTGATAAATTTCGGTAATAGTAAATGGTGAATGCAGCATATCCTAGAAGATTGAGTATAATCTTGAACATCTCTGCCCTCGAAGCACCTGTATAGAACCAGCGATAGCTGTCCTGTAGAGTAGGCGCTTTTTAAATATTCTTCTTGAGACTAAACTGATGAACATGGGAACTGTTCATTACTTTCGAAAACACCACTGGCAATGACCGAGCACCACACCTTCCATTTCGCTTCTCACTCACATCTGCGCCTACCTTTTGATAGCGATCTCTACCCAGTGGGCTTTCCTGTGACTACTAGCAAACAGAGCGCATTAGCATCATGGGAAGTTACGAGCAGCAGCCACTGCTGTACAAAAGGCGCACCTCGCGCTCTGATGACTCTTCCATCCACATCGCGCGTATTCACCCACTCCACTCAAAGCACCTTCACAGAACCAACGATAGCTCAACTAGGGCATATGTTACTTGTCCACTCTCGTGTTCACCCACGCCATCCAACGAATCACTCGAACCAGAAGATACACGCTTACCATTCCTCAAGGTAGGTGAGAGTTCCTTTCAACTACTCGTACATGAGCTAATATACCTCTAGCCCGCGCTCAATATACCGGACGACGCCGAGTCCATCATATCTAGCTCCAATTTATTGGACTCATCCGGGGAGTTTCGCCGTAGGGAGCCTCCGAGCACAGCGAACTTGACACCTACTCCTCATCAACGTTCTCGTGCTGGACGAAACTCGGACTCGGAGACAATTACGCCAGCGGCGATTCCCGCCAAGTTACGCTGGCCATGACTCCGCAGGCCACCAGTATCTCGGCATTCGCAGCCCTCTTCGCGAAGGCCTAACCAGGGTTCGGCTCTGAGGTCATAAAGGCGGCATACCTTCTCTTTATCTTGGGGGTGTTTTATATTGTCATTAGACTTTTCACCAGATCCTTTCACGCCTCGCCACCCCTCACACATATGTCGTATTGGTGGGATATGAGGGCTATAACGCCAACATGTATTGTTTTCCCGCAGGTTCTAGTAGGTATACTCAAACCATTCCATGTGCTCGTACCTTCATTTCAGTTCCTGTGATGCAACTACTTGACTATATCCGCGGTACATCATACTGTCCTCAGTGAAATTCCTAGAGTATCGTGAATACACCCGCGGTACATTATACTGTGTTTGTAAAATGAATCTGAAACGGTTGAATAGACCTAGGATTGCTCAGCGGCGAGTCTTGCCTTTGTAGTAGAGTATTTAAAAGGATTTTGGAGCACAATACGCAAGGAACATCGTCATAGATTGTAGAGAATAAAGAGCTTCGAGTAAATCCATGGAGCCAGAACATTATAAACATATTATATGCGATCTCATCATATCTCGTTCTCTGCGAGGTTTCAGACTAACTTACAACACTCCCCTCTTGACAAACTGAACTGGAATATCCACCGTCTTTGCCCGCAAGTACTCACACACGTTTTTACCAAGTGTGTCATATGTCGAACAAGCATCATAACCTCGATCAAGATGGTCATGGAGTAGGAAGTGCACTGCCCTAACATTTGGCATCTCGAACCGGTCAACGGGCTTACCCTTGAACTCCTCAGGACCAAGCAGCTCCTTGATCTTCTCGATTGTAAGAAGACTGCGTAGCCACTCCCACTCATCATCATTGCGTACAAACAGGCCAACATTGGCATCTGAGCATTTGTCTCCTGAGCGGCCAAGAACGATCGAGCCGAGGGGTAGACGGACAGTGGGGCCGAAGTAGGATAGGTCGACAGGGTTGGTAGTCTCGTAGGAGGGTTGTTGGCGGTCGTATTCGCGGAACTCGGGAGCGAGCGGCACATCGATTACCTTTTTGCCCTCCTTGAAGCCATCTTTCTCCTCGCCTTCCCAGATGAGATGAGCGCGCTGCTGCACAGCTGCCTGCGGAAGGAGAGATGGGTGGTATTCGTAGTACGGTTTGCCTTCAGCTTGCCGTACATCGTTGCCGAGGGAAGCGCCGGGACAGGACATGAGGAAGTTGACCATGGAGATGCGGAAAAAGCCCTTGGGGTTGCGCATGTTGAGAATCTCGCGATCCTTGGATTGGGCGAAGACGCGGAAGTCGACGGTTGCAACGTCCTGATTCCGTGAGTCGACCACCGACGATCCATTCTGCATAAACTTGAGGACATCAAATTTCTTGATCAGCTCCTCACCAAGCTCGTATCTGATTTGCTCTTCTATCCACCTGCACTTCTCTTCCATGTGTAAGCCGACAAGGTAGATGTGGTATTCCGCTTGCCAACCAGCAAATCCTGTGATGCCGACTTTGGTCGTAGGTGGTGGAGGCAGGCCCTTGACACCGGAAACCTTGACCTGGTCTTCCCCGATTTGTTCAATCTTAATCCCCTCCAAGTTTGCCGTGACGTCGCAGTTGTAGTACAGGGGACCTTGGATCTCATACAGAAGTTGGGAAGTGACCGAGCTGACAGTCATGCAGCCGCCGGTGTTCTTCTCCTTGTACATGACGCCTTCGCCCTTATTGTTGATGGCACAGATTGGGAAACCCATGTTAATGTGTTTGCCCTGGGCGAGCAGAGATCGAAAGTCTGAGCAGTAGCCTCCTGAAACATAGGCGGCGCATTCGAGCAGATGGCCTGGAAATATTAGACCTGTGCCAAAGTGTAGGTTGTGTATACATACCAATGACTAAGGAGCCAGCAAGCTCATCGAACTGATCATTTGTCCAGTCGTGCCACCATGCCGCAGCACCGATTATGGGTGAAGCGTCCGAGACACGTCCAGCGATGACGATATCAGCACCTTCAGTAAGCGCCCTTGCGATACCTAGCCCACCGAGGTAGCACTGAGCGCAGACGGGCTCTAGGCCCCACTCTGCCACTGACCTGTTGTGCATCAGACTCTTGAATCCTTCGCCCTTGTTCAGCATGTTTTTGACAGTCCCTGTGACATCATCACCCTCGATCCAGGCAACCTTCAAAGGGTGTCCAGCATCTCTGCACGTCTTATCAACGAGTTGCGCTAGTAGCTCTGTATCAGATGCGCCTGCATTGACGCAGAGTTTGATGCCGCGGGTGGCTATGTCTTCAATAGCAGGTGTAAAGCAATCCATGAAGTTCTCGGCGAACATGGCGTGGTTGAGCTTGTCCTCAAAAGTCCGCGCTTGCAGCATCTGCTCCTTGTTCTTAATTTTGCCAGTTCCGTGCATTGTCATGGTCATTTCAGAGAGCCAGTCTCCAACAATAACATCGACATCATCTTTGGCCAAGGAAGAAATGGCTCGGACACGGTCTGAGAAGCCGCCTGAGGCGCCTCCAACGCGGACTGGGCGACGAACAGCTGGAGCCATGTTGAGGCTTGTTCAAAGTAACGGGTGACGGGAGGGGTCACAGAAAACAAAGACTATGAGCTACGAGATTGATGAGCAGCGGGTATAGTAAGATATACATCTACCCGGGACTTCTTCCGTCTGACAGATATAAGGAAGGTGTTCTAGACACTGAGCGGTTGTCCATATCCGCAACGCATCGGGGGTTGATTGAAAGCTGGGGATGGTTACTGTACCCCACACTCGTGGGATCGATGATCCTAACCATCCGTAGGTAAGATCAAGCCGGCTCTTGGACAGGCGGAACCAATATCTGCCGAGCATACCCGCGAGCACGAGGGGCACCTCACGTGTGCTCACCTTCCATGGTGGATCCAATGGTCGCGGAGTGTCGGGTCAGGAGCGAGGTTGGAGTAGAGGGAGCCGTTGCTCGGCTTTAAGCATCCGGACTTTGCGGTCATGATTTCAGTGATGCCACGCCTTCCTGAGTCATGCACGCTTTGGAGAAGGAGGGGTTTCTGTGCACGTGAATACGCGTCTGGATCACAGCGAGCACAATGCACCCATTAACAGCCACCCTTCACACCCCGCATATCCATAATGGGACTCACAAAGTCGCCCATGAGCGTTGAAGACCATGGAGACGACACACCGCCGCTTCCGTCATATATCGCTCGACACGTCAACCTAGGCTTCAACTCAGCTGACGTCGCTGCGCTTATCAGCTCCATTGACTCCAGCCAGAAACTGCAGACCTCGTCAGCGCCACACCTTCCCGCCGAGCTTGTGTTACAGGTCCTTGAATATGTACCCATAGACCATGTTCTCGACTGGCGACTTATATGCCGTGGCTTCCGCGACGCAATCGACGGACGCATACTGTTCCATTATCTGCAGAGGACACAGTTGATCGGCTATTTGGGGTCAAGACACTCTCGTCACATGGAAAACTTGATCGAGGAGCATTATGAGCAAATACACCTGTTACGTGCAAGCTTCCAGCGCATTGAAAAGGCCAGCGGGTGCGAGCCAGGTGCACAGCGGCCATTGCCCGTCTGGAGCGGCACACATGCCATCTTTCAGATCGAGGACAAATGGTTCTCGTCGTTCCGGCGACTAGGCGGGGCTGCAGCGAGGGGTGGGGATACAATTGAGGATGCAGATACGCAATGGCTAAGTACGCTGGACAGACTGGGGCTGCGTCGGACAGAGGAAGGGTTTGGTACGTTGAGGTGGTGCATCAAATTGGACCATTCAGTGCTAGACATGGACTTCCCTCTCGAATCGGGTCGAAACACCTTCGATGTCGATGTGCGCCTAAATACAAAGAGTATACGAGTTAGCTGGAAGGATATGCTCTTTCGATTCTTGAAAACGGAAACAACACTCAGACGGATGATGGAGGAGGCAAGTGCCCCCACTTAATCCCTTTGGTTTCAATTGCTAAGCAGCGCTTCAGAAACGCGACTCGCTTTTCACTTTTGGTCACGCTGAAGACTGTCTTCGCGCGGTCCGTCGCCAACGACTGCAATCGACTTTGAATCCTGATAACAACATCGACAGGCACCTCAGATGGTCGCTGCGCCTATTGCATCCTTTGTTTGGAAAACCTCGCCATCAACACCACGTCCCTCTCGAAGACGTCGAAAGTGATGCAATTAATCTCTTACTTCTCCTTCGCCGCGAGGCCGCCATGACCTCTCGTCAGCTTGCCTACCTGCGTCAACTAGCTTTAGATTACGAGGCCATGGACACGGATATCCAAGAGCTCGATCAAGATTTTGATGATTTCAAAAGTCATCTGTCCCTGCCTGGCTTTGAACTTAGCCACTCGTTGCCAGCGCTGAGCCCTCGCACACTACCCCGTAACCCGATATCTTGGCCTGACGATTTGATGGCAATGGTTGAGGAGCAGGTGGGGAAGTGGAAGTTGCAAAAGAATACCATTGAGCAGATGAAGACTCTATTGAGCGCCTCAAATATCAGGCTGACACTGCCTGAGGACAGTTTCGATGATTTGGGTAGTGACTTTTGAGTTCCGTCGAATCATGACCAAGCTATCCCTGAACTTCCGGCATTTTTAGTTCGTCTCGCAATATGAAGAGCGTACAGTAACATGTATCCAGAATATCAGCTTCATATCACTTCAAAGGGAAATAGTTCCAGGTGTGAAAGAACTGGGCCGAAGATCCGAGACGGGGTGCGAGGTGGACCCCGATTGGTCCACTCTCCATGCACCATTCCCCATTGATACCACCGGCTCACGTTCAACATCACGCGATGCCGGCCATAAGGACATTGTAGATGTCTTCTCAAGCGTGGTCCCACATCCGACAGCTCGGCTGACACACTACTCCTAAGCGAGCTACCTGCTCTTAAGAGTGCGTTCAACAGCGTTATCGGTCCAGCAAGAGGCAGCTATAAACTTAAGATTTAGTGTGGGACCCCTGAATACTCCTAGAACATGCGCGCAGCAAGGTTTCATGGCAAGGAGGACATACGAATTGAGAATGTGGCAGAGCAGAAGTGCGGCGCGGGGCAAGTCAGGGTATGTCATTTCCCGTTGTGGTCGCACTGTCATTGATGAACGGCCCCCAAAACTAACAGGATACAGGTTGCCCCAGCCTACGTAGGCATATGTGGAACAGGTGAGCATAAAACACTTGCTCTAAAATCCAGCTCTCATTTCAGTAGATCTCCACGAATATCTTGGTGGACCAACTTTCGCACCAATAAAACCGCATCCTGTGACTCAGGAAACGATCCCGATCACACTAGGACACGAGTTCTCGGGCGTTGTCACTGAACTTGGCTCGGGCGTGTCTTCCTTCTCCATAGGCCAGCATGTCGTCGTTCAGCCCACAATATACTGTGGCACCTGTCAAGCCTGTACCGCTGGTGTCGAGAACGTTTGTTACAATGGTGGGTTTATAGGGCTTTCGGGAGGCGGAGGGGGGCTGAGTGACTCGGTCGTTGTCCCCGAAGGAGCTGTGTTGAGGCTCCCGGATAATGTGCCACTGGATATTGGCGCGCTGGTTGAGCCACTGAGCGTAGCATGGCACGCGATATCTGCGGCTCCTCTGACGAACGATTCTGTTGTTCTAATTCTAGGAGGAGGCCCTATCGGATTGGCGATAGTACAGTGTCTCGTCTCACTGGGCACAGAGATGATCATTGTGAGTGAGGTATCGAAGTCACGACAACAATTTGCTCGCAATTTCGGCGCCCATCACGTCCTCGACCCGCGAACAAACGACGTCGTAGCAATCAGCAAGGAGCTTAGTGGGAGAGATGGACCAGATATTGTGTTTGATTGTGCTGGCGTATCTGCAAGCCTGACAACTGCCTGCACGGCTGTAAGAGCTCGGGGAACTGTTGTCAATGTCGCAATATGGGAGAAGGAGGTGCCCTTCAATCCTAACATGTTAGTCTTCCGAGAAGCGAAGTATACGGCTGTGTTGGGATATCAGAGGAAGGACTTCCAGGCGGTTATTGACCAAATAGCAGCGGGTAAGTTTGACCGGACGGCCATTACAACTTAGACTATATATGCTGACTGCCCGGTAGGGAATTTGAAGCCGAGCAATATGATTACTAGCAAGATCCAGTTGGATGATCTAATCGAGGGCGGAATCAAGGCTTTGATCCATGATAAAGAGAGTCATGTTAAAATATTGGTCGAAGTTGGCGGGATGAATCTTGCTAATCCGGCGGCTGTGCATTGAGAGGACTTGCAAAGCGCCTACGCCCTGGTTGAGCTATCGCTGATTCTGTGAAGGTGCTTGAGTGGCTGTGTATTAACACTGGTTTCTCTAATCAAATATTTTGTGCTCAAACCTACCTGGCATCAATGGTGTAGATGAATACCTTCGAGCAAACTGTGAACATCTATATCATGGTGCGGTGTTGTTGAAGTCTAGGAGTCGCAGGCATAGGGACCAATCCGTTGGGACCCAGGGTCTCACGTTGCCGTCGCTTCCGTGATGCTTTGCTGGGCGAACTAAAGCCACCTTCATTATCATCAACACCTTCCACAAGGCATCTCAATATTCTGATTCATGCATAAGCTATGTATCTCGACAGTTCACACAAAGCCGTCGTAGACGCTAATCTCAACATGGAGCCGCCATGCCAAGCACCATATCCGGTGCGGCTGGGCTGCCTTCAGCCTCGTTCAGAATTCTGGTTACTTCCGGCGGGGCTTTTAGACAGTCAAGTCGTCGACCTCCAGAGACCCGCGATTTGATCAGCCTCTAGACATTATGCCGCAGTATGGTTCAATGCCGCCGCCAGGGCCTTATATTCCACCGAATCAAGGTACTCCTGCGCAAGGTTACCAGTCGCAACAGCAGCCAGGCTTCCAGCAGTCACCGGTACCTTTGCCGTACCAGCCCCAGGGCGCGGCGTCGAAATATGGTGCTCCGGGCTACCCGCAGAAGGCTGGGGGTACGTTTGGGCAGATGATGAACCAGGCGGTTACCACTGGGAAACCAATGTTGAACAAGCTGGGCAAGACGATAAGCTCAAAGCTAGGGAGCAAACCTCCTGCCGGCCCGCCGCAGCATCTGCAGAGCTATCAGAACTACCAAGACCACCATGGCCAGCAGAATCAGTCGCAGGGCTATCAACAACAGCCGAGCCAGTCGTTCAGTCCTCAACCACAGCAGCAGCAGCAGCAGCAGCAGCAGCAACAACAACAACAACAATGGGGGCAACCACAGCAACATCAGCAACAACAGGCGCCGAATGCGTTCACCCCGCCTCAACAGTCTCCCTACCAGCAGTCAAACTTTGTGACTCCCGCGTCGGGTCTCTCGGGACAAAGCAACTACTTCCCCCAGCAGACGAATCAAGTACCGAACTCGCAGCCTCAGACGTCGCAACCATCGCCCAATATGCCCACATACAACGCGACACAAGTTGGACCAAGTGGGCTCACAGTGGAGCCGTATACACAAGGACAACAAGGGCAGTCTGGTCAGGGCCAAACGATGTCGGGCCAGCCGCAACCTCCGTTCCAGCAAGAGCAACCTTTGCAAGGTCAATATACTGGGCAGCAGATGGGTGTGGTAGGAGGCATGCAAAGCCCACAGCCCCAGTACAGCCCGTCCCCACACATGCCGAGCGTCTCTCCAGAGCCTCCTGCCCAGCCAACACAGTCACAATGGGGCTATCCTCAGCCAGGTACTGGACAGCTGCCATCTCCAGGTGCTCAACAACAGGCTGTCAATCCTATAAACTCATTACAGCCCCTCCCTAGTCCGCCAATCAAGCATGATCAACAACAGTGGAATAGCATGCCTCCAGTAAGTCCGGGAGGTCAAGGACAGGGCCAATTGCCTCCTCATTCGATTAGTCCGCCGCCACCACAGCAAATGAACTTGTCACCACAGATTCCACCAAACAAGCCTCATGATTCAAATCCACCGCCAAAACCCGCGTCTCAGCACACCGCTCCGCAGCCCGGGCCGCCAGAATTCATCGCAGAGTTACCGGCTAGTATGGACAATCTGAACATGGTTGAACCGAAGCATCAAAGGTATGAGCAGTCGGCACAAGGCCCACAATTTCAAGCATACAATCCGTCAAGACAGCAAAGTAAATCACCTCCAAGCGGATTTACCATCCCTCGGCGGTCTGTCAGTATCAGCAACGTCCCCTTGGCCGATCCATGGAGAATTGCCGATCCAGTTACAGAAGCGCCGACGCGAGAGTTCTACATTCTCGCTGATCTGCTCTTTGACGCCCTTGATCGAAAGTTTGAGCCGAGAAACACGGGCCTACTAGAAGCCCCTAAAATCCTGGGCAGTTGGGTGAGATTAACCGAAGACGCACATGGTAAGTTGAATTGAATGTGCGCTGCGATTTGGTTGGGAGCTAATTGAGCATCAGAGTTGTTCTCGTACCGATCGTATAGCGCGCTCGCGAAATTGTGGAGCCTCGAGGGCATTCCGCACATGATGGTGCCATGCCAACCAGGGTTAATTCCGATCTGGAATTTCCATCAGCACTCGCATGCGCAAGACCTGAAAGTGATTGCTAAGCCACCGACGCCGATGTCTACATACGCGACCTATATGCCGGCTCTCAACCGGCCAGCATGGTACAAGTTTTTCTTCCTCGAGGTGCTGCATGCGCCTGGGGACATTGACGACGTGATACCAGCACTGTGTGCGGAAACATATAAGCCTGGGATTCTCAATCACCCTGATCTCAATAGGCGTGACAGGTCTGAAATTCCTGCCTTGCAGGCGAGAGCTGCTGCAATACAGACGTATTCGATCGCGCGGGTCTGTGAAGAAACCAAGGCTGCCATGAAGGCTGATGCAGATGCTGGATCCGGACAGAATCATGCGGCTGGACTAGCTGCGGGCTCGGTTCAAGCCAGCGGGAACATGGCGCAAGAAGCATGGCGGTGAAATTAGACAAGATGCAGCTGGCACGTCATTTTCCGACTATTTCCAACTACTTGGCTGTCTGCAGCGCTGGGCAATGCCTCTTGTTAGTCGTGTCTAGAGCCATAATTGGTCAAGTCACTGTCCACCCCCGCGTTTCAGCTCATGATAGCATTCATGCATATAGTGTGTTCGTAGTCTAATGTGTACCACCGAGATCCAACCATATTCCCAGGCTGAGTGTTTGGCCAGATGGCGGGTGCATGTGGCGGGTACAGGTGGCGGGTGCAGCCCTTTCTGTGAAACAGAACACATATTTGCACATGGGCGGACAAAACAAACACATGTTTGGGTTTGGGTTTGTTTTGTTGCCCTATCCCTATATGCTGCATCAAATGTCAACGGCCCGGTAGAGGACGCTCCAATCTAAGCGCAGGGGCAAAACCCACTCACACCAGCGGTCGCCTTGCCCAATGCAGCCTCGTCCTGCAGGTACAACTTGCTTTTCCGTAGCGGCATGGCTGATGGATGCGGCGCTCGGCCGCGCCTTCCTTGCTTGGGCCATGCATGGTGGCACCAACAAACTACTGGCCGCGCATGCCCAACCTCTCTTCTCCTGCTGTTGCTTCCCTCCTTCACCTTCGCTTCTTTCATCTTAATAATATACTTCAACACCAGCAGCCTTCCCCCCGACCATCTTACGCCTTTGCAAGCATCTCTTTCTCGAATACGACATACCGACGCTCATCACTTGAACTTGCTTAACGGTGCACCGTAGCACACGACCTCAAGATGCGCTCTTCAGGCTTTCTCGCTCCGCTTTTCTTAGCCGCCTCGTCCTTGGCCCAGGGCGTCCAAGAGGGCATCGCACCGTCTTCAGGCCCACCTGAAGGTTGTGAAACGACTGCACAGGGAAACTTCACTATTGGCACGCTGAAGATTGGGTCGCACCACGCTAAGCGCGAGACTGCACAGCAGGTACGTTATTCACGTCTGTGAAGAACTATGTACCGAATAAACGCTGATTGGTATACATAGGCAGCAGATGGCGCTCTCTTTTGCACAGTAAAGGACGGTGTCCTACGTGATCAATACGGCCGCACAGGTTCCGTCGTCGCGAACCATCAATTCCAATTCGACGGCCCACCCCAAGCTGGCGCTATATACACAGGTGGCTTTGCAGTCTGCAAGAACGACTCGCTCGCCATTGGAGGCACAACGAGGTGGTGGCAATGCAATAGTGGCCCCTTTTACAACCTCTACGACGAGTGGATTGGCGAACAGTGCGAGGAGATCCGGATCCAGATCGCTTTCCTCGATCAACCTTCCTCTTCCAGCTCTACACCTGCTTCATCCAGCGCTACGTCTGTTGCATCCAGCGCTACCTCGAGCGACTTCTCAGGCACAGTATCCACTCTGTCAGCAACAGAGTCTGGCCTTACTACATCAACAAGCCATAGCGGGAACGCTACCATGACTTCGGGAGCTTCCACAGGCTCGTCGTCCCCTACTGGCTCGTCGTCTGCTACTGCCTCTTCTAAGGGTAGTTCTGCATCTCGAAGTGCCTCATCTTCGAGTGCGACTGGCGCAGTCCCAGCTCCTCCTGCCCAGACTGGTGCCGCCACTTCTCCCTCCATCGCAAGTGGAGTGACTCTTGGAGCCATCATCGCCGTCTTTGGCGCCGCTTTGAGTCTTTAAGTTGTTTCCTACCATGATGGTCAATTTAAGCACCATTGGATGTGCGGATTCGTTCGCGTCTGGCTTCCTTCTAGGCCACTTTCTCGACAGTTATCACTGTCTCGCTATTGTTTGCACAACTACTTACATTGGAGCACACGACTCTACGACGAGCGACTTGGGCGCATTCTTATTCGGCAGCAGGAGGACGAACGATTCTTTGGTGTATACTTTACATTTACGTTCGCATTGCATGATTGAAGGCGCTTCGCTTTGAAATACGGAGAGGTTTATTGTTGTTTTGCATTGCTGTTAAGAGGTCATACGACCAGGATTGGAAAGTCCTAAATAGATGAACAAGTAATGATAATATTTTCAACTCAACGACAGTCTGTTCTGCTGCACCATAGCAAGTGTGAATGCCTCTGCGGAATATGTTCCATCTTGCCTAATTTTATCTGGACTGTAACATCAGCGCTGGCTGAAGAACTATGGCTTATCGATAGCCCGTCCACCCCTGTGTGCCTCCTTCAGACGCGTTCGCTGCCCGCTTCGCGCCCGCCCGCAATGGCGGCCTCAAAACAAAACCAAGCTTTCTTTCAGCCTAGGAGACCGCCAGCATCTCATTCAGCAATTTCCTAATAGCCACCATTAGTGCAATGCAGCACTGTACATACATAATTTCAAAATGCCTATTTCCGAAGCCGACGTTCTAAAGCCCGTGGAGCCTTCCATCACCGATTCCGACGACTGGGAAATCTTTGTACTGAGCGATGCCCATGTCGTCTACGAGAGTAATGGCAAGCCTGCAAGTCTCTTGTCGGCCTATGCGGACACGCCGCTGAAAGTGGTGGGACGATTGGAGGCTCCAGGGCGAGGACAGGTGAAATACCGTGCGTCTTTGAGGCGCGCCCACCTTTGCGCGGGCGCTTTCTTTGAAGAAACTCTCATGGACTAACGCGATGAACAGTTCTCAAGAAACCCTACAAGCCGGTCGAAATCGACATACGAAACGTGGCGCGCTTCTCCTACGGCGAAATGACAGACGGGGCATATGTGATATGGGCACAAGGCAAAGCAGGCTGGTTCGAGATACGACCGGCAGACCACTACAAGCCCATTTTCGATGACATGGTCCAAGCCGTAGAGCTTCTATATTTCGTCTCCGACATCTATAATGAACCGCGGAAGAGGGGCGGTGGACCCAGCGCGCAATTAATATTCAAAGAGGTCAGTTGGCCGTGGCGATGAGGCTGGTGTCCGAGCAGTGCGACGGGGACTGAAATGGAAACCTGGAGACTAGAGTGCTGACTCGAGACAGTATGCAGAAGACGAACGCTTCACTTGCAGTGACCCAGCCGTTGCAGAGCAGATCTTCGACCGGCATCATACGTTTCTCATGATGTGCTTCTTGAATAGAGCGCAAGACATTGGATGGAGCACCACTCCTTTATACCAGCATTTCAGAAAGCGGCACCCAGTAGGTAATCCTAAACCCGAGGAGTAGTCACTATTTTAACAAATGGACAGCAAGACTTCGAGACATGTAAAGCTCGAATCGAAGGTCGCTACTCCCAGATACAACCAACGCGGCAAACACGAACGTCAAGATCTTCACCCGCGCCCGCTCCCGTATCTGCACCTACGCCAAAGCCTGTAGTAACCACTACGAAGTCACGGACTGCTCGGGGCAAAGCCGCGACTCCGAAGCCGGGTGAACCGCCTAAGAAAGATGACAACTGGTGGGAAGCTGCTGCACTGTTCGAGTTTATGCAGAAAGCCGTGAACCAGCGAGTTTTGCGGGTGGCGCGCAACCACATAACATTAGAACGAGTTGCGGAACTAATCGTAAAACGCTACGAGATCGACGAGTTGGAGACTGCTCAAAATGTACTCCTAGTGCATGCGCAGAACCTGTGTTACATGATGGATCACCCGCGGCGGCAGAGCATAAAGTTCTTCGCTAGCGAACCGATATACCAGGAATTAACAGCTGAGCACAATCTATCTGCAGCCGAACAGAGACGAGCAGAGGGTGTAGCGTTGCGGCCGAGAAGAGATCACGCAACGCTCAGAGGCGATAAGAGCGAATCATCAGAGGCATCGGATGAGGAAGTGGATGATGTATCAACGCCGGTTCGCAGACCACAAGGCAGGCGGAAGAAAGGCAGACTCTCTGTACTGCGACCAAGAAGCAGTAAATTCTCAGGCAAGAGCAAAGGCATAACGAGAGAGACTGGCAAGGCTGGCAAGGGAAAAGCGCCAATTCCCGACTCCGAAGCACCTAGTGGGGACTCGGATGCTGAAGGAAGCGGGAGTAGCTCAGATAGCTCAGATGAGTTGGGCATTGATACGCCAACACAAGGCCTCTCCCCAGGGCGCGAGAAGCGCAAGCTTGACGAAATGGATGCAGACAGAGGAGAAGAAAAAGGCAGGCGGAAACGCGCAGCCGAGAGGGCCTCCTTAACCCCCGACTCACCACCCACAGCCGCCGAGTCAGATGACGAAGACGACGTAGCAGCGGCACTAGACGAGCCCCCATTACCTCTCCGTTACCGACCGTCTAACGTAGCTCCGAACTCGAGACCCACGTCAAGTACTAAAGAAGCAGTAGTAGCTTCGATAGTATCAACACCACTACCAACCTACGAACCTAACGGATCGCGCGACTCGTGGATATGTTCTTTCGACGGCTGTTCGCAAAGGATTTACGGGTGCAGCAAAGAAATCGGAAGACGGCTCATCACTGAACATCTCGAGGACCATACGAAAGGCAGGGAAAAGGTAGTGGGCATTTTGTGGCGAGAGCAGGACAAGCTGCATTTGCCTGTTAGGTGAGTACGGTTCGAGTCTCTTGGAGGCAGAACTGGATGCTAATGAAATGAACAGTAACCTCATCAAGAAGATCCGCGAGATGAGCGAGGCTTCAGCGCCGTTGTTTCCTATACCGGGCGCGTCGACGGCGATACAACCTAGGCCCATACAGCGGCCGGTATGATGATTGATTTGCATTCTTTTGCTTTTTCTTAGCATGCCCTGGGCGTTTTGTATATATTTCGAGGAGTAGTCTAGTTGGTATGTTGGCGACCGCCTGCTTGCTCGACCAAAGACTCTTTACTAGGTCTAGCCTAGCGGTCTTCAGGGCCTTGAGGAGTTAGGGGAATAAAGCGTTGCATAGGCCTCAAGGCGTTGTTGATTATAGAACGGGTGTTGTCAGGTTGTTCCAAACTGGGCTCGGCTATTGTGTAGTTCAGGAGCAAATGACTTATGCAGGATGGAACTGGTTTCGCATGAGTACTATGAATAAGAACACCCACCAACAAAAGTGTGAGACTGCAATGAGATCCGAACTTGTCCCCCTTGCGCGGTTACTATCGTATCCGAAGCTTCTTCCGCTCAGCATGCCCTTCCCCGTCAAAATCCCGCTTCCCTTCCCTTGTCAAACACCACCGCTCCGCACTCTCCCTATGCTCGACATAACCTCTCCATAGTCTCCTTTCCTCGTGACCACCACCTCCTCCTCCACCGCCATCACCCTCGATGGACTCCCGCACCTCCCCTACACTATCAATGTAGCCAATCTCAGGATCATACTCTTCCAAGATCGGACTGGTGACCTCGTAAATCTCGCCCGTACTAGGCCGAACGTGCCACTTGGGATGCGGAAACGGCAGCATGGAAACGGGCGTGCGCATAAAAGATTCGGGGTAGGAGATGTCGGCTACGTGGATGCTTCTCGCCGCAGACTGGCTGCGTTGATGATGTGTGGGGAAGAGTGGTGATGCGGCGGGAGATGCGGAGCGGTCGAGTGATTTTTGGGAGAGCGGTGGAGAGGGTTCTTGTTGTGTGGTGGATTGCTGTTGTTGAGGTTGTGGGTGCGAGTGTGTGGCTGCGTTTTCGTCGTGGGACTTGGCCATATTGAAGACTCTCCTGTTCGGCGGGATGGCGCGGATCTTCGCGTCACAGAAAAGGACGAGTGTCAAGGGTGAGGACCGAGGCGTCTGAGTAGTTAGAGACGACTGGAAAACAGCAGTTTAATCATCAGAGTACAGTGGAGTCTCTTGTGCTAGATATGATTGAGCATGCTTCTTTGTTAGCCGGATTGGGATGAAGAAGAGGTAACGTGATCACGCGTAACAAAGAATCGACAAATGGTGGAATGCAAGAACATGAGACAACAGAATGTTTCGGGCCTGCACTGCAGCTGTCGCTTAGACGCTGATCGTCTTGAACACGCCGAATCCGGACCCACCGGTCGCCATGATGGTTCCGGGAATCTGAGGGTGCCAGTGCGCTTCCTTAATCTGCTCCATATAGTGCACGAACAGTAACTGCGGCGGCACATCTTGCACGCCCGCTGTGTCCCTGCTCTCCTCGTCATCCAGTTCGACAGCCAGATCCCACAAAGTGAGGGTATTGTCGCCTGCGCAGACGAGTACAATACTGTCGTCTGTGGGGTGCCACTCGACCGAAGTAATTTGCTCCTTGTGGAAGGTGTAGTTTGCGACTGGTGAGGGCTTCGCATCGCTCGCCATGGAGGTGGAAGGCTTCCATTGCCGCAAGTCCCAGACAGCCCACTCGCCGTCGTCTGCGCCGGTGGCCAGCAAATGTGCGGTTTGATGCGACCAGCTTAGCACGTTTACGTCGGACTTTGATACCTGCACACTGACTGCTGCCTTGCGCGACTTTGACCGTGCATCCCAAATTTTGACTGTGCCGTCGCTGGATGCTGAAGCGAAGACATGCTTCTCTGTCGGTGACCACTGCAGCTCTTCTACCGATCCCTTGTGGCCTGTGAATGGTGTTGTGTCTGTCACGAAGCCTCCGCCTTGTGTCCGTGTTGTTGCGAAGATGTTGCCTGCAACATCGCCCGTCAGAAGCTTGCCCTCGGGTACTAGAGGCGACCAGTCGAGCGCATAGCCCTCATTTGCCTTGTGGGCGCGGATTGTGCAGACGGGCTTGTTTTGCGTGGGGGTGATGGTGGTGCCGGGGGTATCGAAGGCTGTCAGATGTGGTGTCACGTCGTAAATCAGAACCTGGCCCGATTCGGTCATGGCAGCTGTCAGAGTGGTTGGAGGTTTCGCCGATGTGCTTTGTGGGGTTTGATGCGCGCGTATACGGTTGGTGCAGCTCGCCAAGGGTATCGACTTGGTCTCTAATATGGGATCTGAGGCCTCGTCGTCCGAATCATCGTCGTCGTCGCCTTCGTCGTCCTCCTTCTCCATACGAGACAGACTGCTCATCTTCATGACCATGATCTGGTTCTCCTTGTCGCGCCCTCGCGCAGCCTGTGTACCAGCCACTGCGTATATGGTAGCGGGGTATGTCTTGCGGTCGGAGCCAAGATTGTCTGGTATGATGTCGCAGGATAGACAGGGCCATGGCGCCTCCAATGTGTGGAGCAAGTCGTATGTGGAAAGATCGGGATTCAGCGTCTCGCCCGGGGAGAGCTTGTGGCGGCCGGGTATGAAGGTGCCTTGGTCAATGTCCATGCCATCTATGGGGGAATTAGCATGCGCAAGGGTAGAGAAATGTGCGGTTGCATTTGGCACTTACTCTCTCGCTCCTCGGCTTCGCGCTCTTCGTCTGGCCTTCCGTCTACTCCCGCCTCGAAGATCTCGTCCTCGCTCTCGAATTCGTCCTCGAACTCGTCCTCGAATTCTCCCGCCTCGTCCTGGTCAATCTGCATGGGGCGGTCGCCATTTTTTATTGTCTCCTGATCCTCCTCTGCGTCTGCTGGTCGCTTGGCCATGGTGTATGTGTCTGATTTTGGGGCAATTTTGGGGTGTATTGGGGAATGGAAGAAGCCAAAAGTTGTCGAGGCCGAATTCCCCCACCAGAACTTTTTTTGGTGTTGCAGCGTTTGATTAGCGGGCCCTGAGACGCCCGCACAGGCCAGCCCTCATCGTCACTTCCCTCCCAGCCCAGCCAGTCTCGCCTGGGGGGGAAGGAGCAGAGCACCTACCCCGGCCGCTCTTCAATCGATAGTAGCCCAGTAATAAGCAAAACAACAAGATAGTCTCCGCCGCTCCGCAGTGCACCACTCTCCTAAAGGCTGCTACTGCTGTGCGCGCAGGGCTCAACAGCAAAACACAGAGACGTGCGTGATCGGCCCTGCACGTCTTGACGCGTGCGCGACTCCAGCCAGTCCAGCTCGCTGTCGTCGCCAGCGGTTGGCGGGGCCCGTCTCTGAGCGCCCGACCGCATACACCGGCCTTTGCCCCCCTCCTATTCGCTCAGCCCGACATACCCTAGACATCCCAGAAACCTCAAAGGAAAGCGTATACACAAACAGTATCCGCTCTTCGCCATGGAGATAGCTCAGCCAGAGCACGTGGCCCCAGATGGCCAGGAGGCGCAGAAGCACATGGACCAGACCATGGACGTCGACGACAGCATCAACAACACCACCATCACCGCCTCCACCATTGCACCCCTGCCCGACTTCTCGCAACAGATCAACAACAATAACAACAACGACAACAACAACACTACGACCGCCGCTGCCCACACCCCAGAGCCCTTCCGCCCCTCGACCTCCTACTCCGACACCGCCTACCAGTACACGACCCACAACGGCTCGCGCTTCAACACGCCCTCAGATGCGGACACGCCCCCGCGGCCGCCCTACTATGACGGCCCCAAGGAGACACACATGGGCCAGTCGCACTCGCGGCCCTCGTCGCAGATGGGCCGCTACCCTTCTTCCGAGGGCGGCTCCAGGGCAAACTCGTACCAGGATCAGAACCAACGGAGCGCGCAACAACAGCAGCAGCAGCAAGATGCGCCAAACAAGAATGCCAGTGTCGTCATCAAAGTGGGCATGGTCGGAGACGCCCAGATTGGCAAGACAAGCTTGATGGTCAAGTACGTGGAGGGCAGCTGGGACGAAGACTATATCCAGACGCTAGGTAGGGCATGCACCCCAGCTTTGCGTGGCGGGCCTTTATGCTAACCAGTACAGGTGTCAACTTTATGGAAAAGACAATCTCGATCCGGAACACGGAGATTACCTTTTCCATCTGGGACTTGGGAGGCCAGCGCGAATTCGTCAACATGTTACCACTCGTCTGCAACGACGCCGTTGCCATACTCTTCATGTTCGACTTGACGCGCAAGAGTACCTTAAACTCCATCAAGGAATGGTACAGGCAAGGACGCGGCTTCAACAAGACCGCCATCCCATTCCTAGTGGGCACAAAGTACGATCACTTTGTCAATTTTCCACGGGAAGAGCAAGAAGAAATCTCTAATCAGGTGTGTATCTCTGCATAAAGAGGGAAACTCCTATCAGCTAACGTCAGCTAGGCCAAACGATTCGCACGAGCCATGAAAGCTAGTCTCATCTTTAGTAGCACTAGCCATAGCATCAACGTGCAAAAGGTACGCAATCATGAACCATCTCTGTCAGCTGCATGCTCACCCTTGCGCAGATCTTCAAGATCGTTCTGTCCAAAGCATTTGATCTCAAATGCACCATTCCCGAGATAGAAAACATCGGCGAGCCGCTCCTCCTCTACCAGGCCGTCTAGTCGCCGGACCGCAGAGTCAGATCCAAGACAGAGGCGACGCGAATGAACCTTCACCATGGGCAGATAGGACGCGTCTTCTCTCGGAACGTTACCATGAGCGAATGAATTGATGATTTTCTTGCGTGGGAATGCATGACTTGGCGACTGGAGCAATGTACTACATTAGGGCAAGCAACCAAAAGGGCGTTCTTTGCTTTGGAGTCTGTGGAGAGCTGTAACCTTGGGAGCATGGATAGCTCCGCCTTAGGGCTGACCCCGTGCTGGCGCTTGGGATGCCCATGACGAGCAAGATCTCGTAGCGAATACTGTAGTGTCTTATCAAAGTACCGGAATGCCGCAATCGCTCTGCTCTGTGATATGGGCGAGAGTGACAATCATCAGAATAAGAATCCCCACATTCAGAGTACACTGCACGGTTTATTCGCAATACCAGCCTCATAGGCTCGATGCGAACGGCTGTTGAATGGGTTGGAACGATACCATGGCATGGCATGGCAAGTCTAAGCGGATGTAGGAAAAATAGGCGAACTAGCCTCCTCCGAGCCAAAAAGTTCAGAGCAGCTTGATACTGGGACCTCACCACACAGACCCACTCGTTCACACCACGAAACAACGCAAGCAGTCACAGTGAATCGAAATATCTGTCTGGATCCCCGTCGCATAACTCCACGATTGGCCAGCGCAAACTCACCACCACAAATAATCACAACTCCGCCATCGCAATGGCTCTCCCCTCAATAGCCCTCCCAGGGCAGCTCCTCGGCGCAACAGACAAATACCTCCCCGGCCCAGGGACGCACATTCACGAACAACAGATCTACGCCTCAATAGCAGGACCCGTCATCTCCTCGCCATCACCACGTCCATCGCAACCTCCCTCGAGCTCCACCACCCCATCCAAATCGAAACTCGTGCCCCTCCTCTCCATATCCCGGCCCACCTCGACAACCGACCCAGGCATCCTAGGCACCGGCAGTGGCGGCGGCGGCAACATACTCCCAGAAGTCGACGCCATCGTGTTGGCGCGCATAACGCGCCTAGGCCCGCGCTTCGCAACGTGCGAGATCCTCGTCATCAACGACACGGTCTGCCGCGAAGCGTTCCAGGGCCAGATCCGACGGGAAGATATTCGCGCCACGGAGAAGGACAAGATCAAGATGGAGGAGAGTTTCCGGGTCGGCGACTTGGTACGGGGCGTGGTGATTAGCTTGGGGGATAGCGGGAATTACTACGTTGCTACGGAGCGGAATGAGTTGGGGGTTGTCATGGCCAGGAGCGATGAGGGGAGGCTGATGTATCCGGTTAGTTGGAAGGAGTTTCGCGATCCGGTTACGGGCAAGGGGGAGCCGAGGAAGGCTGCTAAGCCATTTTGATGGGTGGGTTGTGTAAGAGAGAGAGAGAGAGAGATGGTGAAGAGTATGGGTTCAAGGGCTTTTGCTTGGGCCTTTACACACTAGCTTCAGTATGACCAGATCGTGGAGGAACATTTGAAGGCATGCTATGGGTTTGGAGGTGAGTGATTCTCCTCCTCGAAACATTCGACTACATTGACTAAGCGCGTCAAAGGCAGTATACCGTCCACAAACTCGAAATCTCTGCGGCACAAACACTTGTAGCCGCACGCCGGTGTTTACAATATCACTTCGTCTAGAGTTTGTTCACGATTGAAGATGAGACGCGCTTTCGTATCTCGCCTACAAAGCAAGGCACCAGTGTTTCGACTATAAACTCAGCCACCTCCACACTCCTCGATGTTGCATGCCAGTGACGGCACGATCCGCCTCCTGCATGTTTGCGCTTCGCACATCGGTCTATATATATACGTAGTGTGAGTCGAGTATGTCACTCTAGCACGTCCTTTGATCGTTTGATCGGCGTCAAGACTTGCTAGCAACTTCATCACAAAATAGCGGCATTGCATGATTCGTGAGACAAGGGTGAAAGGGGTGGTACATGTGTCAAACATTTGATTTGGGCTGTACGTACGTAACACACGAATCCAACAAACATGATCTAAACATGCGCGCTGTGCATCGCCAAACATCCCTCATGGAAAAACTGAACGCTCCAAAGAGATCTCGTATCGCTCATAACAATCCTACATGGCAACCGTATCGTCTCAAAATATTCCCTCCCTAGTCTCTTCTCCTGCACACGTAACAGAGACAGCTAAACATCACCTCCTGATGTTCTCAAGTCCGATCGATGTAGAAGGGCGCGAAAATGACGTGATCGATGCGGTTCCGGTTCAACTTGTGCGCCCTGATATGCATCCCTCAACTCCGGTAAATGATGCTGCATGTAGGCCAAACGCCATCCTCACTAATTGCGCTGAAGCCGTAAGACAATCCGTGTTCGTCCTCAACACTTCCCAGTATCATAAGCGCCGTACCCTGATCTGTTGATGGCAGCTCCGGATCCAACATGTAGCTCTTCCCGTTCAAATCGGCTATCCTGTCCTATAGGCGAGTTGCTTCATTTCAATACTCCCACATACAGCTCGTCAGATTCGAATAATCTTTGTGCGTACTAAAGGATCATCATTCACGTAGAAATGACTTGCCAGCTATCACCTACAGCACTCCTCCTGGCAATGGCGTCCCTCTGTTCTGGTTACCCCAACCAAAATTCTCATTCTGTGGATTTACAGGGCGAACATCGTTGCCGCCGACAGTACTGACATGGCCTTCTGCGGGTGCCGCGTGCTTGCGAAGCATGAACATTGGTTTTCGGCCTTCTTTGTCCAGCTGCTTGAACAATATGAGGGGTCGTTCGTTCAGCCCTAAACACCGCTCTTGGTCGCCGTGGACAATATACAACGCATATTGCCGCCAGTCTGCTGTAATGTTGTATTTCTTGAGTGCTACTGGAAGAACTTTGTGACATGGATCGTCGATGGACACGCGGAAAGACTTGAAGATCTCGACTTGCGGATTGGTGGAAGGAGTCGATGCGGGGGCGGACGAAGATGCATTTAGTGTGCTTGAACCGCCTGATAGCGGTGGATCTCGATCATCGGGGTTTGGTGTAGGTGCGGCGTTGTTTCGCATCAGCCGCGATGACAACGGTGCGGGCGTTGCGCGTGGATCGCGATTGCGGTCGGATACAGCGGTTGTGTCTGAAGCCCAGGTATTTGTTGGTCCCCAGCCAGAGGTATTCTCGTGCTCGTGTCCGGTTCGGGGCAGTTCGCGATTGTACTGTCGACTTTGACCTTGCGTATATGCAGGTGAAGTGGGCGATGGTTGTGCAATCGAGTTGGGCGACGTTTGTGGGCCACCACCAAGTGAGGCTGTGAGGTGTGAAGATGCTGCCATAGCTGCTGCTGAGGGATCCAAAGAAGAATGATCGACAAGAGCACGATGTTCTTGGATTGTTGGAGAAGGATTCTTTGGGGCGGACCCGAGGAAGAGCTTCTTAGTAGAGAACTTACGCGACAGACTGCTTCCGCCAGATCTTTGTTCCGTAGGCGGGGGTGAGGTGACGGTGTGTTCGTGAGGAGTAGGCAGAGGTTTCGGGTTGTCTTTTAGCATGCGCATGAGCGGTAGAATCTCTTCCCGTAACCGCTTGTTCTCGTCCATGACCCTACTGAGGTCTTCCCGTAGATGTCGCAGCTCCGACTCAGCTGTGTGTATGCGCTCGTCTCGTGCTTGAACGACACGGATCACCTTGGCGAAGTCGTCCTGTGTTGGTGGTGCTTCCTGGGCCGAAGTGTCCGCAGCTACAGTTTGAATTAGCACATGGGTTGCACAAGGGCTAGCAGAGACTTACACAGCGGGACATAGTCATCTGGTTCCAAGGGCACGTTCTGGCTGATTTTGATCTCGTAGACGGCCTTGAGGATGGTGAGGCGGTGGCCCACGCTGCCTACGCCCATCTCCTTGAGCTCAGCATGTTGTAGGGCGGCTAGCACATCGCCTGTGATGCCCTCGTCTGCACGCAACTCGTGTTAGCATTCTGACGGCGCAACTATGCCATGGCACCTACCAACAAACGTGTCGGCATACTGCTCCAAGCCTAGGTCTGCTATGAAGTCTGCCGCTTGATCTGCCGACCACTCCATTATGTGTTCGGTGGGGCTGCTCTTGCTGTCCCTCGAGTGGGTAAAGGTCGTGGGCGTGTGTTCTGTGCTCAGCGGACCAGAGCTCGTGGGCGAACTCTCGTACTCGGCGGGGAGGGTTGGGCTGTGGATGCCCTGTCGCTCGAACTCGTCATCTGCGTCCGAGTCGTCGTGGTACTGTGTCGTGTAGGCCATGGTTACGGGCGTGGGAGGCTTCGCAACTTCGGGGAGACTTGGCAGCGGTGCAACGAATGGATGCCGCCCAGGCCACTCTCAGAGGTCGTCGAGGGGGCGTGGCCGCTATCAGACGTGGTGTTGCGCTGGACTTGAGGCTGGTGCCAGGCCCCGGTAGCAGACCGCAGGTGGTGGTGAAGGATACCCTGTCTGAGACGAAGCGAGATTGACGCGGCGGGTTTCGTGCTGGACGGGGAGCAAGCCGGCTTCTACGGCGCTGTCTCAGACACGAGGGGCTAGGAGCTAGCTGGAGCAAGGTGAAGAAGGCGGGGAGGGTAGACAGAGGGTGTGTCGAGGCCTGGGCGGAGGTTTAAGCGCTTTGTTGACGAAGCCTGATGGATGAATGGACGGATACTGGGGGGCGGCGACGCAGGTTGGCGCAAGGCTAGAGGTTGGAGGCGGCTGCAGGTGCACGCAACTGTACAATGAGAATCAAACCCAGCGCAGCGACTTTCAGACGAAAAGGCGAAGACTGCAGTGAATACTACTGACTGAATGCCTGACTGACTGGGCTGCACTCCTCCATGTACGTTCGCCAACCGGGAAAGGCCAGTCCGTGCATTCATGGGGCCCATGGCCCTTGGGACCATCGAGCCAAAGCATTCAGGTACCTCAACTCGACAGTTCAACCAAGATTGCAAACCACCATCATCATCAGCATCATCATCACCACCATTGCACATTTCTGCTCTCGCCCAGCCACAGCAGGAGCATGTCCAGCAACAAGCCCGTTAGCATGACCACCGACCAAGCTCAAAACGGCATCTCCCAAGAGCTCCGCAACAACATCTACTCAGCCCTGCTCTCCGAAGGCGGGATCCGCAACATTGAAAGCACCCTCGATGAGCAGCTTCGAGCCTCGGGATTCAAAGACGAACTCAAACGCTACATCACCGACCTCTTCCGCTCAGGACAGGCCACCACCGCCGAGGAAGCCCGCAATCTCGCCATGGAGAGCATCAAGGCCCAAATGCAAACTGCCCAAACCAACGGCACAACCAACGGCGTCAATGGAACCTCCAACAACAGCAATGACCTGGTTGACGCTAACGACTACAAGCTCAAAGTGCCCGACGAGGCTGTCAGGCAGGGCACCAAAGGCGTCATGAAGGAGCTGGAGAAAGTGTGCGACATCACTTATGCCGACGACAAGTGATATCCCTGCTCTTTCTCTATCCGTTCGCATGCCAATTATTCTATTTGTGTTTCAAACAAGAGACTGTAAGAGGACGCAGGGGCTCTGAAAGCTTCTCCGCGCATCAGAACACACTACAGCATCCAGATCAATTAGCGAAACAGTCCCGCCTCCGGAAATAGAAACCAACACTACAGCTCCGCAAAGCTCCTCGGAGCGTTGTTGTTGTCGTCGACGTCGGAGAGAAGTTGGCCATGGATCTTCGAAGGGATGACAGACTGTGTCCAAGTCCCTTCGAGAGATGCCTCGAGATGGTTCGAGTCTAGGCCTAAAATTGGCCGAAAGTGATAACAGTCTTGAACATTTTAGCGTCGCATTCTATCACAGCATTTCTTGCCAACAGCGGGCCATATTTACAATCAATGACTGGAGTGTGGGTCGCATGGCCGTCACATGATGATACACACTATAGCTAGATTAAACGTGCATTCTCATTCAGGCGCTCATGCCATAAAATAACTACTGCCATCGGCGCCTGCAATTACTCGCCCCTATCTAATCGTAGAGGCGTCAAAGCCTTTCCTGTGATGTAAAAGCTGATCAGCGCCAAACCTATCCTCATGAAGCCATATGAACCCATCATTCGGAAACCCGTGAAATCCGTCTAGTTGTACAGATCCTCATCCTCGCCACCTGCACCAAAGGTATTCTGCTCGCCCGCGGCGGCTTGCTCAGCATCGGGGAAGCGGAAGAAACTCGAGCCGCCAGAGTTCTTCATCGACTGGGCAAAAGCCTCGTAGCGGCGGATCTCGACGTCAGTGACGGATCGGCGGGCAGAGCGCATAGCCTCCTCGAAGTGAGCCTTGGTGAGCACAGGTACAGGGTCTTCCTCCTCTACCTCCATATCGACATCTTCGCCAGCAGCCTCGCGAGCCTTGCGGCGTTCAATGTCAATGGAGATGGACTGCTTGATGGCGAGCTTAACGGCACGCTGCGTGACGAAACCGAGATCGGCACCAGAAAAGCCGTGCGTGTTCGAGGCAATGAAATCGATGTTGACGTCTTCTGCAACAGGAGTCTTGCGGAGCTGGGCCTTCAGGATACTGATACGGGAAGCCTGGTCAGGTAGAGGGACGTAGACAAGGGTGTCGAGACGTCCAGGACGGCACAGAGCGTTGTCGAGCTGTTCAGGACGATTGGTGGCACCAATGACGAAGACGTTCTTCTTAGAAGTCATACCGTCCATCTCAGTGAGGAGCTGGTTGACGACACGGTCGGAAGCGCCACCGGCATCGCCTTGAGATCCACCACGTGATTTGGCAATCGAGTCCAACTCGTCCAAAAAGACAACGCAGGGGGCGGCAGCACGCGCCTTGTCGAAAATGTCTCGGATGTTGCTCTCAGACTCACCGAACCACATGGAGAGCAGCTCGGGGCCCTTGATCGAGATGAAGTTGGCCGCGCACTCGTTGGCAACCGCCTTGGCGAGCAGTGTCTTACCAGTACCGGGAGGACCATAGAACAACACACCTCGGGAAGGAGACATGCCGAACTTGAGGAATTTGTCGGGATGGTCGACAGGGTACTGCACGGACTCGATGAGTTCGCGCTTGACGTCCTCGAGACCACCAATGTCTTCCCACCGAACGTTGGGAACTTCGACAACGGCGACTTCGCGGAGAGCAGATGGGTTGGAGACGCCGAGGGCGAAGCGGAAATTCTCCATGGTAACACCAAGCGAATCGAGAACCTCGGCATCGATAGTGTCCTCGTCCAAGTCAATCAGGTCCATCTTCTCACGAATCTGCTGCATGGCAGCCTCCGAGCAGAGGGATGCCAAATCGGAACCGACGTAACCGTGAGTCTCGGCGGCAATGGTCTGTAGATCGACGTCGTCACCAAGCTTCATGTTCTTGGTGTGGATCTGCATAATCTCAAGGCGGCCAGTAGGGTCGGGAATACCAATGTCAACCTCGCGATCAAAACGACCAAAACGGCGGAGAGCGGGGTCGATGGAGTTCGGTCGGTTGGTGGCAGCCATAACAACGACATTAGAGCGTGCCTTCATGCCGTCCATGAGTGTGAGCAACTGTGAGACGACACGACGCTCGACCTCTCCGTTGGTCTTGTCACGCTTGGGTGCGATGGAATCGATCTCATCAATGAAGATGATGGCCGGCGAGTTCTTCTCGGCCTCCTCGAATGCCTTGCGCAGGTTGGATTCCGACTCACCAGCCATCTTTGACATGATCTCGGGGCCGTTGATGAGGAAGAAGAAGGCACCAGTCTCGTTCGCCACAGCACGAGCCATCAGCGTCTTACCCGTACCGGGCGGGCCGTACATGAGAATACCACGCGGCGGCTTGATACCGATGGACTTGAAGAGTTGTGGATGTCGGAGCGGCAGCTCGACGAGCTCTCGAATCTGTGCCATTTGCTTGCGGCAACCACCAATATCGTCATAACCGACCTCGTTGAGGTTGCCCTCCTCGTCCTCGCGTTGAATCGGCTCGCCCTCGCAGTGGATGACTGTATCCTGTGCAACAATACCGAACTCTGGCGGGTCAACCTCAACCACCTTGAACTCTACTTGCCGCATGCCACCGCGTGCTGTGAAGGTGTCGCCTTGTCGAACGGGTCGGTAGGCTTCTCGGAAGTATGGGGCGAGGAAAACGTCGAATAATGAGCCGGTGATGCCCTCGACGGTATCTGCGATGGGGAGGACAGCGATGCGCTTAGCCTAGGAGAGTAGTCAGTATCAAGTCGATGTTGAAAATTGATGATGACACGTACGTATTTGATATCCGGGCATGGGTGGATAGTGATAACGTCGCCGTGCTTGACCCGCAAGTTGTGGCGGACCACGCGGTTTATCCGCGCTGACCCATCATCGAGGTCGTCGTCTGCGAGCACGATCAAGACCGTGTCCTTTCGCTTCTTGCCCTTGACGAGGACAGTGTCACCGCGGAACAGCTGGAGCGTCTCCATGGTGTTGTTTGAGAGGGCGATGATTGAATTGTCATCATTGACGGCATCGGTTACGCTGTGGGGGCGACAAGTCAGTATGGGCAGTCACGTAGCGAAGATCCAAGTGATACGCACATTAGCGAGTTGGGCTTCTTCTTCTTCTTGAGGATGGCGGTTGCTGTCTCGTCGACCTGTGGTGGCGCGTCAGTGATTGTGGGCTTCGAGGGGCGTTTGGGGATAGCTACATCCTTGTGCTCGGCGCCAGATGGATCTCTGCGACTCTGTTAGCAACCGCATTCCTCAGTTCACAGCTTGTTGCAGGTAATCGTACTTGGAAAGATCCACCTTGGGCTTGGAGTGATCTGGCTCAGCCGACATGGTGCTGGGCTTTGCGTGTGTTGTTGCAGCGAGGTCGACTTTTCGGGGGTAGAGAGCGACTATGCAAGCTGCAGCGCGGTTGACTAAGAGGCGGGTGAGTGGGGGGGCGAGATGGAGGGAGATGGTGTAAAGTCCCCGGGGTGTGGTGGTGGTTTAAGTAAGTTGGAGGTCGATTCACCTCGTCACCGCTGTCCGAGCTTAGCTCCAAAGTTGCCTAGCAAGGGCTAGTCTGTGCTTTCGCCGCAACAACTTCGATGGAACCCGCTGGAAACGCTTAGACATCCGGACATAGCTGTGAAGGAGAGCGCGCCGAGCAACACCTTCAAACTCACCACCGTGTCCCTTTCGCATCCTGCTGCCCTGCCGGAGCACTGCTGCTAGCCAATCACGGTGCCTGTGTACGACGACCTAACGCCTCGGGGTGAAACAGGGCGCCGTTTGCGCGTCTGCTGGAGCCTACAACATCAGCCTCACTTATCCACCCCACCCTACCCCCACTAGTAATAGTCAGCGCCAGACTCGAAATAGCGAGGGGTTCGTCCGTTCAGAAAAGGCGGTACTACTCTACAGGTCCCCAAGGTGTTGCCGTGTCCATTCTCAGTTTCGCCAAATCCCCGGACCTCAGGACATCAAAACAGTGCTTATTAATGCCTCTGTATTAATCACATTGTACTATAGCTTGGAAGAGCTCCCTTGGATGTAATTTACACGGCATATTACTCGCTATCGACTTGATTGAGGACTGGGTTCTCTGGTGGGAAATACAGGGGTCATAAGGCAGAGAAGTGAGTAGTATACTAGGAACGCATCCTTCCTTTTTCATTTCCGTCGACAGCTATACCCCATCGTTCCCACGTTAAAACCTGATATCGGCTTCAATTGCAATTCAGGATTACCTTTACGTGCTTCCTCGGTAGTATCTATATGTTAGATGATTATTTGTGAGATCTGGACGAATGATTCTTCTCGGTCAAACATCGATTCGTAGCATTTCTGCTCTATGTACTGAGAAAATCATAACAATCATATAGGCAAATATACATTTGAATGTCAATCTCCCTCGCAACTTGAACGATGAATAGATCGCCTGTCAAAAATAGATGGTATAAAGCAGCGACTCGTCGACGACCTCCGCTGCCTCATCCAACACAGATTCACCGCCTCTGACTAGCACAGAACTCCATAGTGAGCCCGTCGCTCTGATTGCACGACCAAACAGGATTTTGCTTCTTGCAAAGGTTCTCCTAATAGTAGGTTAGCTCATCACATTCCGAAGCGCCACGTCAAGCATCGGAGTCGACTTACCTGATACAGATACGCCTGATCGTCACACCAAGCCCCAGCAGCGCACTGGAAGCTCTTTGACTTTGAGTTTCCCAGCTGCAAGCCAGCCTCATGTCCCGCACAAGCACTAGTATCCCCATTCTCCACCCCGTTCGTTCTTCCCAGGCAGGTGATCAGACTGAGGTCGTAGTACAGTCTACCGTCGGCAACTGCGTACTCGACGAGCACGTCCTTTGCCATATCCGGCGTCTTGGAGACTTTCAGAACCGAACCGAAGAGAGGTCGATCGATCTTTGCTCCTGCAGCAATGTTGCCGCTCTCCAACATGTTTGCGCCCTGGAAGTGGTTGAAGTATATATTGTAGGAGCAGTAGTTGTGGACTGTCAAGGTGTCTGGCTTTGTGATGGGAAGGGGAAAGATGTTGAGTTGCGCAGCTACCACGTCGAGACAAGGGTTGGGCATACCGGGTAGAGGCCACTGAAGTTGGCCGTTCCAGCAAGTCTTGTAGATCGCTGAAACGTCGCTCGAGGACATGCGTTGTAGCGTGGTATCGCCACTTTTTTTGCTGTATGATTTGTCGCTTTCCGGTAGAATCTTCGCATCATTTTCTATCGATGGTGGGGCTCCAGTGGGCTGCAGTATGTCCGCAGCCCCATAGACTGTGTCTAGAATGGTGGTAGTCGTGGTTGCTGTGTGACTCTTGGCCGAATCACGAAGACGGAGATGACGCGGCGCTGCGGTGACCAAGGAAACAGAGAGAAGTAGCGGAAGCAAAAGCAACATGGTTGCGTAAGAGGAACGTATGCCGCGTTGGAACTGAGAAGATTTCAGAAGCGCCGACGCCCTGGTTGAGCTATCGCTGGTTCTGTAAAAGTACTTTGGGTCGCGTTGGAACAGCACGAAGTCCTTGAAGAATTCCCGAAGCAAAGTAGGGAAAGTCGCCTGCTAGCCAGATATCCGTCGAGGAGACTATATCGGAGCGCCTTACGATAGCGAGAGGCTTTCGAGGAAATGAGTGTGTTGCGTTGGTAGTGCGGTAGCACGTTGTGAGGAGTCTGATGCTCTTCGAGGAACGATAGACAGACAGAAGAAAAAGTAAGGTACTTATGAACTTGAGCTGAAGCGCTGAAGAAGCTATAAGGGTTAGGTATAAAGGAGTGTTGGTAAGGCGTGGTATGAGGTAGGCCTTGCGGAAAGGAATGACTGAGGGAATGACAATAGCTCTGCAACGAAAACAACACGTCGAATTTGGCCCCTCAAGTCGGATACTTATCTTGCGCAGTCCAACAAGAAACCGGTTGATCACCGAGACATCTGCAGCATCGCCACGTCGTAAGAATAACCATCCCACCCGTCGAGCACCCGAAGTCCGAGCGCAGCGCAGCGCCACCGCCGCAGTAAGCTGATGCTGCAGGTTCAGTAAAGATACCATGAATGCGCCCCATTGGCACGTTTCAGATCGCGCCTAGGCTTGTGGAGATTAAACTGCGCTCGTGTCGTGGTGTTGTTGGAGGAGGGAGATGCCGAAGATGGTGGTCGTCAAATGGCGGAGCTGCCCCCTAGTCGTTTGTAGCGTAGGGCGAACGAGGTAGCGGCACGTAGACTTGTGTGTGTTTCGTTCCTGCAGTAGTGTTGTCAACACATCCAATGTGCCTGGAACTTGGTTCTTAGAGTAGATGAACATGGATGCCCACATCTTATGTCCTATCAAGTGACGCGAGAGTCAAAGCGTGCATTTCTACAAACTCGCGATTGGCCAACGACCAATACATTGCATTCGCACTACTTGCGGGCTTCTACTACACCGTCTTTGGTACCCGCGCCAGTTTTGATATTTTTCTTCGCAAATTCAACAATCTTGTTTCGAAATCTATTGTATATGCTCTCGTGGGTGTGCTTTGTCGAAATCGCCACTGTCGATTATTGCTAATAGGAGTTACAGTCACGGGACCAAGTCTTTGGATCAAGGGTACGAGCGCATGGAATGGCTTGATTATACCTACTAGAGCTCGCTGGAAAATAATACATGTTAGGGTGCTACCCTCATATTCCAACAGTACGACATGTCATCGTTACCACTGCACCCTTATGCACTGATGCAGACCTCGAATGTTGCCAACATAGAGAGCGACTCGTTCGTCTGGCTGACCGAGACATTCAAACTTGGTATGTCAGCAGTGATCTGTACGAGGCCTTCAGTGGTGCATAGTTACCCTGTCCAGGCGAGCTTCCAAAGCCTTGATAACCTCGAACAAGTTGACGAGAAGCAGTTCCAAAGCCTTGGTGGACTCGACCATTTTAGTAGCAATCAGTTCCAACTCCTTGGCGGATTCGACCATTTTAGTGACAATCAGTTCCAAAGCCTTGGTGGATTCGACCAATTCAACGGCAAGCGATTCTCCGTGGACATGCTGTGACTGGGGTAGCGGGATTGGCGGGGCTGACGAATGGTTCGAGAGTTTGGCGACAAATCCAGTGATGATGCATAGCAACCCCAAGATAAAGAGGATTTTCAAAGCGCCTACGCCCTAGTTGAGCTATCGCTGGTTCTGTGAAAGTACTTTGAGTGAATCCTAGACCGTGAAACACGAATCACGGCTGACTGTTGCAGCTAGTGCCAGGAGGAACTCAGCGCTCTAAAGTCCTCTGAGGAATCATAGAACTGATAATATCCAAAGCCCTAGTTAAGCTATCGCTGGTTCTGTGAAAGTACCTTAAGTGAATCCTAGACCGTGCAACACGAATCACGGCTGACTGTTGCAACTGGTGCCAGGAGGAACTCAGCGCTCTAAAAGTCCTTTTAGGATTTGCAGAATTGAGGATTTCTAAAACGCCTACGCCCGTTAAGCTATCGCTAGTTCTATAGTTGTACTTTTAGTGCGGAGATATTTATAATTATATTAATTCTTCTCGGATAGCTTAGGACGGTTACTAACTATAGTTCTAAACCTTATTATTGTTCTCCTACAACTAGTACTAAATATTAATTTTCTGCTCTCGACGACTACTGTTAACTAATAAGTCTGATGCAATTTTTAGCTGTAAACAATTCAATTATGACAGTTCAGAGGAGTCACGCGCTCTCAAGGCATGTTTTATGGACTTGATTTGTGATTATGGCTCAGGCTACTTGGAGCCCATATCAGATCTTGTCATTGTTCGCTGAAACCCCTCGCCGGATACATGTCCATGCTTTGAAGAAGCAGAATGACTACATTGGTGTGAGAAGAGAAATAAACCTCCAATTGCGCGCCTAAGACGCCCCGAGTATCCAAGGATCCCACGCCATATGGTGGATCGAATACCCTGAACTCTAATAGAGCCGTGGAAAGTGAGACAGAGAGGCAAGCAATTTCTATTCCAGCCTTGACCGCATAAACAGATAGACGCCCAAGCCTTCACCGCAATGCGCCGTTCTCACTAGGCATGCACCGCGACTACTGGTTGCCGGCGCAAAGCTCAAACGCAATGCCCTTCTCGACTGCACAGGCACCGACAGGAGCACCAGGCTTATAGTCGAACTCAGCGACCACATAGGCCTGCTGATCGCACCACTCGTTCGCCTGCAAAAGTGAAAGCACGAGGTCAATGTATGTTCCACCCGCAGTCCGTACAATGTCAGCTTACCTTGCAGTGGTAGTCGGGACATGAATCGTCGCCAGCACCAGCCTGGATTCCTCCTTCATGACCTGCGCACCCACTGAGATCCTTCTCGCCTTTCTGGTTCTTCATGCAGTTGAGATACGAGATGTCGTACGAGACGAGCTCCTTGTCGGGCCAGACACTGTACTCGAACTGCATAGGCTTGTGCATGGCCTTGGTCTTGGAGATCTTGAGCGAGATACCGCCATCCTTGCAGCTGCGCATCTTCTCAGTGTAGGTCGAGTTAGGTGCGATGAGCTCGCACTCAACACCAGGGTCGCAGCTTTCATGGCCCTCAGACTTGAGGTAGACTGGGTAATCGCATGAGTTCTTGACTGACGCAGAGTTGGCGATGGGCACGAGGGGCTGGTAGGGATTTCCGCTATTGATAGGCGGTGACGTGGGCGGCGCGACAGGCGGAGCCTGCGGAGCCTCTTTCTGGGGCAACTGTGAGATGTTAGTGAGCGAGACAGAGGGTGGAGTTTATAAACGTACCGCAGATGCAGATGACTCTGGAGCGCTTGATGCGACAACAGTCACCGTGTGGTAGATGACCTCGGTGATAGTGACAACTTGAACCTCGAGTGCGCGATGATGAACTCCATGACCGTGGGTCAGACCTTGGCCACCTTGTCCATGACGCGCGTGAGCGGCGAGAAGAGGGAGGGAGAGTAGAGCTGCAATGTTAGTGCGCATGATGTGCTACTTGCTCGTAGCTACGTCAATTGAGTGACTTGAACGCGATCGGTTGTTTAGGTTATCGAGTGAGTTGAGTGGTCGATTGCGCAAGGAAGAAAGAGAGAGGGTGTGGAGGTTCGCTTGTTGTTGATATTGTCGTGTCGTGCACTAAAAAAACTTGCGCCGGGCCAGTGAATGTGAGATATCGCCTTTAGCGGAGGGGACTTGGGCCGCCACCGACCGTACAAACTGGTGGTGAATGTCTACCACCCGGCTACGAGCACGAACGAATGAACAGCCAATTGGTTTCTGCTAATCCTCCACGCGCTCGATGACGGTCCACCAAGCGGCCCCGTCAATTACAGGCGCGACACTCGGACGCCGTGAGCAAGTGGCACGAGACACGGATAGAAACGAGTGGTGAATGACGCGCACGACTGGCCAATGTAAAGACTTTTGAAATTTATACACAAGGTCATATAGTATACAAGTAAACGCCAGATCCATGCATCGATTCGCGGAAATATTCAAAGGTTGTGGCTTTTAGAGCTACCGGGATGGCTTAGCCTACGGGCTCAAGCGGTACTGTAGGCTGCGGATCGCTCCGACTCTGAGTGTAGCAAGAGTACATGGGACTATCTTGTGTTAGAATCTCTTCTATACGATCGCGATCCTTTGTTATACTTACTCATTGTATCCGGTCCATCCCACGCACTTCCAGCAATTGAACAAGTCCGTTGGGTCATACCGTCTCTTCACCTCCAGAAGGCGATCGTAATTCTCACCGAAGAACGTTTGCTGCCAGTTGTCCTCCATCCAATCACCCTCGTTCATGTAGCATCCACCGCCCGGCGTCAGTGCCTTGAATGGCTGCACTGAAGCCGAGATGGCGTTCTGGATTTGCGCTCGCACATGCGGCAGTGTATCGGTCATCCACGCCGCACCCATCACTACATGCCAGAGAGCATCCCTAAATGCAGGATTTACCCCTGTCTTGCTGTTGTCAGGGTGGTTGAGCGGCCCGGTGGCGTAGATCTGCGCGCTGCCACCGCCTTGGTTGGTGTAGGAGAACTGCATTGCCATGACAACGGCATCCACTACTTGCTCGATGTTTTCCGGTGAGGTGAAAAGGTCTTTGGGGATGAAGCGACTCGCCTCCATGATACCAAGCCCAACGGGACCATTGCGAGCTATCGCAGGCATCTCAGTGAACTTGTGCCATTTCGAGAATGTGGTGAAAGTATGGTAAGTGTTCTCCGTGATATTAAGGCCTGGGTAGTCAACGAGGAAGTCATGCCACTGCGAAGTAATAGCTTTGAGAGCCGCGGTGTCGCGGGATGGCATGAACTGCAAAGATACCATATGGTCTTTATGTAAGAAGTTGTAACCCGCAATTCCGTGGTTGCCGAAGACGGTCTGGTTCGCGGCAAGTGCCCTAATGATGTCGCGGTGTACTTTGGACTCGGTGATATCCAGCTTTCCCTCTGGTGGTGGAAAGTAAGCTTGGAAGCAGTGCACGTTGAGTGGAACAGCCGGATGCAACTGGAACTTGTAGGATGTCAGGACGGCGTAGTTGCCACCACCCCCTCCTCGCATAGCCCAGAAAAGGTCTGGATCTGAGCACTCGTTAATAGTCCGCTTTTCGCCATCAGCAGTAACAACCTCGAATTCAACAGCTTGGTCCACCATGAGGCCGTAAGCAGGGCCAAGCGGTCCGTGGCCACCTCCTTGACCAAAGCCTCCTGCAATGCCGACTGAGCCTACAGCACCCACAGTGACAAGCATACCGAGAGGCTCAAAGAACTTCCAGGCTTCCTGCGCCTGGATGCCTGCACCAACCTCTCCGATATTCTCATAGCGAGTCTTGCATCCTTGTGGTTGGAAGGTCTTGTGATACTTTGTATCCTTCATGTTGTGTGTCCAGATCGCCAACGAATTCGCTGCATTTGACCGACCGAAGTAATCATGCCCCGTGTTCTTGATCGAAACGCGGATACCGTGCTCCCGAACAAAATCGAGCGTCTTGCTGATATCATCTGCCGTTCGCGCTTGTACATAGTATGTAGAGAGTCTGCCCAACGAACATGTCTCCGATACAGGCGAGGACGGTTTGTAGGAGTTGAGGAAGCACTGCGATTCTCCGCACGTCTCCCAGTTGAGAAATTCCATTGCACCATATTGTTGCGTACGTGAGATGGCGTTGGTATAATTGAGCGCAACCTCCTGGCATTCTTCGCTCGATGAGTTGGAATAGCATGGCGCAGCCCAAGGTACTGTCAGTCGTAGATTTCCATTGATGGTTTGGTTGAATGTACTCCACTCGCTCGAAGATGGCCAACACGACTGTCCTGGAACGCATGTGTAGTTCGAGATGGCTACAGTTTCCTTGACTGGCGTCTGATCGAAAGTGTCCGAGGGTAGGTGCTGAGAGCGTTGTCGGGTACAATAAACGTAGGCTCCATATAGAGCAGACCCGCAAAGTAAAGAGAGGAGTAACACCCGCACGGAAAAGCTCGGCCTCCCGCACGCTTTTCTTCTCCTGCATGCTGACACTTCTTCATTGCTCTCCAGTCCATCAATGTGCATGGGCTTCTCATCTAACAATGGGCTCCACTCGCTCGAAGCCATCCTGTCAATTCTTGATACCCGCGATTTATAATGGCAGCACGCAATCTAATGATCTCTTTCCAGCTCTTGTTCAATATATCTTTAGGTCTGAGGGTGCTGAAGTGGAGAAGGATCGTAGGTTGGAAAGTGAAGACGACTACGACGTAAGAAGGCCATCTATAAGCCAAAGACTCAGAACCCGCACTGCGAGCTGGACTAGGTCCCTCATTGTCAGTCTCGTCTGCAGCTAGTCCTCGGCATGCCGCAAATGGAAAATGGCTATCATCTTGACTCAGCCCCAACTTCTAAACTTCAGAGAATTGACCAATGGTACGCATAAGCCGACCGAAGAAGCGAATTCCTCATCTCGTCATCGACTCGGCGTGAGAGATGGTATAAGCCACCACAGTGGAGTCACAGCAGGCAGAAGGCCTCCATCTGTAGAGAAGCGGAAGGCTGACCCGAGGACGATGGTGTAACGCTGAAAATAGGCGAGGACCGAATCGTGGATGTTGTGGAAGCCGGTCGCATTGGCCCCCGCGCGTTCGGTTGCTGGCGCTTAGCGGTTAGTATTTTGGGCTTGGCTATGCCTTGCGGCTGACTGATAACGGCGGTGCCTAAGGGCCAAGGTTCACTCTGACCGGAACCCAGCTTCGAAGGAACTGTCGGTTTGGTGGAGTTCGAGGGCTGCGCCTCCACAATGTGGGTGAGGGTGGCCTCGACACTTACTCATGAAAGCCAGCGACGTTGCGAAGCAAGCATCCACCCCGCTTTTTCTGCCCCTAACCATCAACGCGCAAGGCAGAGTTGAACAGCCAATTTCTGTTTTAGAGATGTTTCAATAGATGAGGGAGTTGAACGGTTGGCACGAGTCATTGGAAGCAGATCGCAATGTTCAATCTTCATCTACCCATCTATTAATCTACCCTGCGAACAACGATTGTAGTTGAGATACGACTCGGCAGTAGCATCGACGGGGATTTGGATAGCTAAAGGTAGGAGTAAGGTCGACTCGGAAGGTGTTAGGGGTATTGAGTTTTGGAGACATTGAACAAACGACCCTAGGTAACAACCAAGAACTTTAGTGTCCTCAATTACTCTCAATTGCCATGCAAAACTTCCCAAAAGCCATCAGCCATCAGCCTACCGCCTGCTGAAAGTGCCCGTTGACAGTGAAGGACATATCATAGTAGAAGTTAGGAGGACGTCCGCCAGCGCGTTCGCGACGAGGCATCGAGAGGCCGTCGTTAAGTTTGACTCCACACTCGAGGCTGAGGCGTAGCAGATAGTAGTACATGGCGATGGTGTGGTCGCCGCTCAGGCAAAACGAAGTTTGGATCTAAACCTGGATCTGGGCTCTGACCGTGATGACCGTAGCGCTTATCGATAAGAGAAGCCTGTAGCATAACAGCTGACGTTTGACGCGATTCGTCGGACTTTTGACGCACTTTCGTTCGGTGTCGAGGATGTGTACCTTCTCAAGCTGAAGATATACCCAGATAACAATGGTCTTTACGAGCTTGGGATCTTTTTTGCCATAGCCACGACGTGTCACGAGCTGCACTATGTACACATGATAAAGGCCCTTTTCCACAATTGCTGCCTGAACTGACCGACCACCAGGAACGCCAACAGTAGCCGGCGAAATGGCAAGCCAGCATCATGCGAGCCATGCCGATTGAACAAGACAAAGTGTGATCATGGCCATCCAAAATGCGACCGCTGCCGACAACGAGGCATCGAAGATCGCTGTTTCTACCATCCGGCCCCACTCACCAAACCTCGTAGTGCCGTTGACGACACAGGCACCGGCGAGTCGCGCCCATTGAAGAGAAAGTATGACCTCTTACGCCCCCTTGAAGTGCAGCTTGGATTGACCAAGAGTAGACGACCGTCAAAAGCGAACCAAAACTCAGATCCATTGTATCCCCCGCCATCTCCAGGACAAGGCGACAAGCTCGCCGATGCCGTTGCTGCCGATGTATACCACCCAGGATTCCTTGGACCTGGCTCTTATGGAGTTCTCCTACCGCAAGACGACGAGTCGGACCGACTGCGTGAACGCGAACTGTCAGTCGCATCCGAGAGATCGGATCGAGAGTTGACTCATCAACACGTGCTCACCAAGTCTATGAGGTATCAGATGGCAAGTGACGTGTTGAGCGCCTTCCGTCACTACAACTCCATACGAGAACTCATATTGTGGTATAATGCAGGCAACGAAGCGGGCGTGGTGCCATCACAGCTCCAGATCGATGCCATCCACGCCATGGAATCCGTGGTCGACAAGCACAACCTACGACACGTACCCCCAAGCTCTCAGTTAATCGCTCAGGTCTTGGAAAGCACAAGTCGACCGTTTACGATATCCCAATCTCTAGAAGCTCGTGACTTTCATATTCTCTGTTCAGGAGAGAATCTGCGGTTCGAGACCATCGGTTTCCTCCTCGCAACTGCCGGACGGTCACTGACTTTTGGATTTGCACCTGATCTGTTCAGTGACCCTGCTAACCGGAATTTGAAGTCACGATTTATCGACGAACTCCTTCGTGCAAGCACAACTTGTCTTTTTCTTTGCACCATGCTAGCCACGGTAAACGATGTTAACATTTGGATGTACTACGAGAACTACCTCTTCACTGTCATGATGTGTGGCTATGCTGGTACGTCTGCCCCGAGTAATCACTCCAGCGAGATCGAAGACCATCTAACAATCAAAAGGCCCGCCTTCATGGAGGCGCATTGGCGAGCTAGCAACACAAATGTTCGCGTTGGGAATCCACAAAGAATCCACAAGTGCTGATGTCCCCATGTGGCTCCGCGAGACCCGTCGAAGAGTCTTCTGCTCATCCTATAACCAGGATAAGTCCATTGCCACGTTTCTTGGACGTCCGATACGAATAAGCAAAAGACATACCGACATCAGCCTTCCACTCGACGTTGCCGACGATGAGACCACCGATGACAAGGCAGTCTTGGAGTCAGCCACCCAAACCTTGGATGCTGAAGGGTGGAACACAAAAGGCCGGTGGCTACGAGCCTCGTGGATCCGGCTGCGCCATCTCTCTCTCCAGTTCCGAGAAGAGATTTTAGAGTTCTCGTTTGTAAAACTCGATGAGAACGTTGAACATCAATTACTGTAGGCATGTCCCTTCATAAAACCCATTAGCCCTCTGACGTATCTGCACAGTGACATATCTCAACGCATACGTACATCTTGGGATTCCCTTCCCAAACACATGCGCTATTGGAAGACATGCTGGGTCGAGGACGTACCCTCGACTGTATGCCTCATGCTCATCATCGTTCACTTGACGCACTGTAAGTAATGCGCAGTACACGCTGTGAAGCTGTCCCCAAGAAATCTGCACAGTTCTGCAGCCTCTAACGTAGTCTTTATGATACTCCCCGATGAACCTTTTTCGCTCCATTCTGTTGATCTTTACTGACATATTCGGCACTCTCAGGGTACAACGAATTTATGATTCAAAAACTCCTCGACTATCAACCCTTGACTCTCAACATTGCCTTGCTCCGCGTTTCAGTCGACCTCCTCGCCAATGTACTCACGCTCGGCACAATCCGCGATCGGAGCTACGATATCCACCGGGACCTGCTGCATGCTATTCTGCTATTTGGTGTACCTGCCGCGTCAGTATTAGCCACTGCGCTCCGCGAACAGCAGCAGACGGGCCAGCAGTTCCCTGCCGATGTGTCAAGAGCGGAAATTATACGCATGCTCAGCGTGCTCATCTCGCATCTCGACGCCGCTGCACATGTCGAGAATTCTGGAGCTAGGCAGGGCGAGGCGAATTATAACTTGTGTCGCAAGGCGGGTAAGATTTTCACAAGGGTTATTGATGCGGTGCTGGATGCTCAAGCGCCTGGGGGCAGTGAGGTCACGCCGGGTAGTGAGCAGCTAGGCCTAGACCTGTTCACGGGCCCGGGTCTGGATGGGTTTGAGGGGACGGAATTTGGTGGGTTTGGGATGCAATTTGGTGCAGGTGGAGCAGGGATTGGGAATGATGGAATTGACTGGGGCGCTATTGGGCAGTGGAGTCTTTGAAATAATGCTGAGCGATTTTGTAACAATATTAAATATTACGAGAAGTTCAAAGTACTAACCAGCTCCAAGGCAAAGCCTTTTAGGCAACATGTGAAGTCACAATTGATGAATCGAGACTAATACAAGTTTACTCAGGGCATTGCAGTAGAATCATGATATTTCCAACCTCGCAAGATGCTCAACGCCTTCTGTCTAGATTCCTTTTGCCGTGATAAAAGTACATGATGAGCGTAAGAGGAGAGCGGGCGATATGTCCAACACAAATACTATACACGAAGGTTCATTCCCAGTCCCCTATCCGGCCAAACCCCCTCATTCTTAGATTGGGTGTGCCTAGTACTCCTTCGAAGATGCTTATAGTCCCGCGTGCGTGCATTGCCTACTCCAGGACACGCGTTACGAGGCCAGTAGCGACTGTCCGGCCACCCTCACGCATGTTGAACCGCTGACCCGTCTCCAAAACGTGCGGCTGGTGGAGCTCGCAGACCATCTCAACGTTATCACCAGGCATGACTAGCTTATCATGCGCATCCGCGGTGCCCTCGGGCCAGGTGAGCGCACACGACTCATCAGCGGTTCGGATGAACATCTGCGGCCTATAGTTGTCGCCGAAACCAGTGTGACGGCCACCCTCCTCCTTACTCAGTACATACATGGACACTAGGAACCTCTTGTGCGCCTTGACCTGTCCGGGAACGGAAACGACCATGCCACGCCTGACGTCCTCGCGCTTGACGCCACGCAGAAGGAGACCGGAATTATCGCCTGCGCGCGACTCCTCGCAGGACTTCTTGAAGGTCTCGATGTCGGTGACCTTGGTCTTGATGGGCGCGGTACCCTTGCCGACAAGCTCGACTTCGGCGTCCCTCTTTAGGATGCCGCGTTCGACACGGCCGGAAACGACGGTACCGCGACCGGCAATGGAGAAGACGTCCTCAATGGCCATGAGGAAGGGCTTTTCGGTCTCGCGGACGGGGGTGGGGATCCAAGAATCGACAGCCTCGAGCAGCTCGTCGATCTTCTGCTCGCCAATATCCGGCTGGCGGCCCTCGAGGGCGCACAGCGCAGAGCCCATGATGATGGGTGTCTCGTCACCCTCAAAGCCATAGCTGCTCAGCAACTCGCGCATCTCCATCTCGACAAGCTCCAACATCTCCTTGTCATCGATGGCGTCCACCTTGTTGACAAAGACGACAATCTTCTGCACACCGACCTGACGCGCAAGCAGCAAATGCTCCCTGGTCTGCGGCATCTGGCCATCGGAGGCAGCGACGACGATGATGGCGCCATCCATGTTGGCGGCACCCGTGATCATGTTCTTGATGTAATCGGCGTGGCCAGGGCAGTCGACGTGGGCATAGTGGCGGTTGTCGGTCGAGTACTCAATGTGGGCTGTCGAAATGGTGATACCACGCTTGCGCTCCTCGGGCGCCTTGTCGATGGAGCCGTACTCGAGGAACTTGGCGTAGCCCTTTTCAGCTTGTCGCTTTGTGATGGCGGCGGTGAGGGTCGTCTATGTACATTAGTGTCGAGTGACTTGGTAAGGTTCGGGGCAAGCCCTCGAGGGCATTGTAATGTATACCTTTCCGTGATCGACGTGGCCAATGGTTCCTGATATCCGTTAGTCGGGCAAGCGAGTGGGGGGTAGCCCGAGTAACAGTTGGACATACCAATGTTGACGTGCGGCTTGTCACGCGTGAAAGCCGCATAGTTCCGTACACCGTTCATCCATCTGCTTGTGCCCTGGGTGCCCAGAGCATTCTGCACCGGGTTGACGCTGCGCTGGTACTGGAAGGCGGAGCGCGCCGTGCGCTGGAGAACTCTTGAGAAGGTGGACATGTTGTGGTTCAGGACGGCGGACAGGACCCTGATAATGGGAATGGAGGAAAAGCACAAAGCAATTGCTGGCCAGGATGGAGTGATGGCGTCGCCTTCGTCGTGTGAGGAGGCTCATGTCAAATCATTTTCTTAGCGCCAAGATGGGTTGCTTACGTCGGGGCTCGCCCAATCAGCTAAGAGGCATGTCCGAGCTCCCTCGCAGGCCTGTGTGGGGCGTGGAGCTTTGCGATGATGGTGGGAAAAGGGTTCCCGAGAGCCCTCATATTTTTTTGGTTCTGTTCGAGCTTCATTCACTACTGCAATTTACACATAGCATGGTCGAGATGAATTGATCAGAATAGAGATTTGAACCAAGTATACTGCGGATACCCGAGGCTCCTCCCGGCGCAGCCCTTCGAAAAAGTTGCATCATCTGGCGCACTCTCCAAACACCCACACATGTCTCTTCGCGCAGTATCAAGAGCCCCGCTGAGCTGGGCCTCGCGGACGACGACAATTGGAAGCACTACAGCAAGCAGCAGTATGCCTCTTCGCGCCAAGATCAACCATCCCGCGGGCATGAGCGCGACACGGAACGTACGTCCACCCCCATCCTCATAATGATATGCTCCGTCCCAAAACTCATTTTTGTTGTTAGTATGCCACATCGACCGCAGAAGCCCTGAAAGCACAAGAGAACGACGACCCAGACGATGTCATCTTCACCAACAACTACGGCGTGCGCAGCATCGAGCTCAACCGGCCCAAGAAGCTCAACTCGCTCAATGGCTCCATGGCCCGCAAAATCATCCCCAGACTACAAGAGTGGGCCAAGTCTGATATGGCAGGCGTCGTCGTAATCAAGGGCTCGGGTCGCGCTTTCTGTGCAGGAGGAGATGTCGCAGCCCTCGCCCAATGGAACAAGCAAGGCAGAAAGGGCCAGCAGAGGAGCTCGGATTACTTCGGGCTGGAATACAAGCTCGACCATCTCATTGCCACATACACAAAACCCTACGTGGCTTTCATGGATGGCATCACCATGGGTGGAGGCGTTGGTCTCTCCATCCACGCACCCTTCCGAATCGCAACTGAGAACACGCTCTTCGCCATGCCCGAGACCACCATTGGCTTCTTCCCCGATGTCGGCGCCTCCTTCTTCCTCCCACGCATGGAGGGCTCGCTCGGGACCTACCTCGCTCTCACGTCAGAGCAGCTCAAGGGGGTTGATGCCTTCTACCACGGCATAGCCACCCACTACATCCACTCCTCCACCCTCCAACAGCTCGAATCGCGTCTCGCAGAACTCCAATTTCCCGACTACATGTCGCTAAACGACCGCTTCAAAATTATAAACGCCACCATTGAGGAGTTCAGTACTGGCCTACCAGCAGAGGCACCCCACATCTCAGGCCAACTCCGCAAAACAATCGACCGCGTCTTCCACGTCGACCAGCCAGGTATCAAAGGCATTATACATTCTCTCGGGCAAGTCAAGCACGATTCTAGCGCGCCAGATCTTCAAGAATGGGCTGAGAAGACTATTGAAACTATCAATGAGCGATCCCCCATCTCCGTCGCCGTCACCTTCCAACAAATGCGCGTCGGCCGCCAATGGTCCATTGCGCAAACTTTCCAGCGCGAACACCACATCGCCAGCCAATTCATGGCGCATCCTGATTTCGTTGAAGGCGTCACCGCACGCCTCATCGAGCGCAAGAAAGAACGCCCCAACTGGTCCCCCAACACCTTGAAGGACGTCAAGAAGCGGGATGTCGATGCATTCTTTGCGTCTGGTGCGAAGGTTTCCCTACCTCTTATCAATGATCAAGATTATAAAGAGTATCCGCATGCGTGGATTGGATTGCCGCGCGAGGACGAGATTCTTAGGGAGGCAAGCGGGAAGAAAGGGGAGGATGTTGTGGCAAGTTTGCTAGAGAAGTACGAGGGAAAGCAGGGAGTTAGAGAGAAGATCAAGGAGGTTTTGCAGAGGTACAAGTCATAATTACTAAGAGAGATGGTGCCATAGCAAATCTTGAAAGACTATTCACCTCAATACCTCAGTATGAGAGCCTGCTTGCCGTGCCTAAGTAGATCTATTTCCCCTCAGTTTATGATCTTCGTAGTAAGTGGCCCGGCCGTACCATAGGAGGTCAGTCGATGTGAGGAATTACACTGGGTATGAGCGGTATGATGCGTCATTCAGGTCCCGCGCGGCTGTTGACAGCTTACAGCTTTCTTACGACAGAGTAGTCTGACATCATGACGAAGGACGATCAGACATCCGATGACATTCACGCATACCACCATGTACATGCACTATTCGGTTAAAACTATACCCCTAGCATCCAAGCATGTACCCCACTCCGATCTTCGCTTCGGTTGAATAATTTACAGCGGCTAAATAAAATAGCTGCAACAGTGACATGAGGCTGGAAACACCGTATATACGTCTGGGGGGCTGAAGGTCCATATTAAGCGCACATTCGAATCGAGGACGTGCGGAGTGAAGTGAGGCTGAAGGCTGTGTGTTGTAAGAACGTGGAAATATAACCTAGAACTGTGAACATCATGTAGAAGCTACTCCAACATCCGAGCGATGAATTGAGACAAATCCTTCATCCATATCGTGTACTATTACATTCCAATTATAGCGAGCGTACTGGTGGGTATCAATCAACAATTAAAATGCCAACATAGGCAACATCCTCAAAACTCATTAGATGGTAGCATGTATGTGTCCCTCACCCGGCCGACAATGAATGAAACGTTCGCAAGAAGGTCAATGGAATTGAAGCAATTTCTTTCCGTAGCCACCGCATGGTCCTTCTCACGGAGACATCGGCCGCCTTGGCCCATCATCTACACTTCTTGCCCAGCGCTCTAGCTCATCGGGTGTCGGTTGAGACACAGCCGTGCTGTCACTCTGGACTGTTGTGTCGCTCAAATTTCTGGCGTGCGATGGCCGGCGCTCTAATCTAGGGTCGTGTTCTTGTACGGTATCTTCAAGGTTTGGCCCCGCTCTCGCCCTGTGTATTTCATCAGCAGTTGCAGCCTCTCCTGGCTGTACCACTGGCTGCCTTGCTAGTACTTGGTCGATTTTCGGGGAGAGAGAGGTGTCGCTTGGGCCTCGACTGTGCACAGGTTGAAACGTGCCGTCGCCAGGCAATTCAGCGATCTGCGTGCCTGGTGTATTCTGACCCGAGGAATCTCTCGTTGCGCCGCGCCGACGTGGCTTGCCTGCCGCAAAGTAGTCGGGGCTAGTCCTCTCACTTGCGCTCTCCTGCGGTGGACTGTAGAGCTCGGCAGGTGGGCTCTCTGGCGACATTTCACTGATGGGCGGTATCAACTTGTGGTCGTTACCGTAGTATTCAGTCGTGGATGGCTTCGGGAGCTCAGAGCCAGTGAGCTCTAAAACGCGAGGATACTTGACTTCGTCACCTGCAGAGGCTGTGTCAACCTCGGAGGGGTTTTTGTTGTGTGGTAATGCATTCATTTTGGTGTGTCGTCGTTTCTTCCACCACAAGAAGGCACCAACACCGGCGATGATGAAGGCGAGCACAATTCCGACAACAATTCCCGCAATCGCGCCCGTAGAAAGCCCGGAGTCGGCATCTTTCTGTGGCATTATCCCTGTGTAAGTCTTGTTGAATATCGGGACAAGGCTCTCGTCTGGCATAGGCTCCGAGAAGTAAGCTGGCGCAACTGTGAAATTGGCACGCTCATAGTCGACCACAATGTAGGCTTCCTGGAGGAAGGTGCGGCCTAGGACATAGATGCCATTATCCGATTTCTTGATAGGAAAATACTGTGTGGCCTCAGCGGTAATTGGAAAACTGACTTGTTGATCGAAGGCAGCATATGGGAGGACTATAGTGGTAAATTTATTGCTGTCTTGTCGACCAGCGCCGATCTTGAAAGATACAGTTGCGTTCTGTTGCGTGTTCCACTCATGCGCTGATTTGTTTACAGTGTATAGTTTTATATCCTCGTCAAACTGCAGCTGGAACTTCTGTTGGAATTCATTGCAGATTCTATCTGGCAGTATAAGGTATGGAATGGTCGAGTCAATGTTGGCCTCGAAGCCTTCTTCCGGTCTTGAGATGGAATATGTGGCCGTCTCGACGTCCTGGTCCGGTGCGTATAGGATGGATTGAACACCGACAACCAAAGAGTTGTTTTTCTCATTCGGCATATAGATGGTTGGGCCTTGAGCTGTAAACCGCGATTTATCATAGCCTCCGAGTACAAGGTTTCCCATAACTCCTCTGCCATTGTTTCCTATATTGTATCAGCGACACCTTTCTTGAGTTGCGGACAAAGTCGCGGATGGGAACTCCGTCGATCAACTGTAGGGATCTATGTTGCCAAAAATGGTTACTCACGATAGTAGGCGCCGGCAGTATAACCATACGATGCGCTTGCGATCTGATTCGCAGCCTTGTAAAAGTTATCCAAGAAATTTGGCTTGGTCCCGCCTTGTGGGCCGACCTCTCCCACTGCCAAACCAAGAGAGCCCAGGAAGAAATCCTGGAAGGTGTACTTGACGACATATTGCTCCTGTATCACAGGGCTCTGGGCAGAGCTTTCCCCCATGCCTAGATTCTCTGAGCCCCAAACTCCACTTAGTGTGCTAGTAGAGTTGGCGGTCAAGTTGTTCGACCACCAGTTTGGTAACGGAATGTTGTAGATTCCCGCAGTCTTCCATTGTTGTGACAGCTCAAGTCCAAGAGGTTGTTTTCCATGGAAGATCAGCATCCCGCGACGTTTTGCGCAGTCTTGATTGCACCATCCGGCCTGCTGAGGCACTAATGTCAATGGCGAAGATGTTGATATGAGTACTTTGACGGTCTGGCCCTGGCCAGTGCCATCGTCACCAATGTTGATGAGGAAGGTGGTCCATTTCCCGTCGTTACCATCGAAACTTCCACTGGGGCTCAGGACGTAGGGCTTCGGTGGAAGCGGAATCGGATCTGCGCGCCTTTCAAGATACATCATAACAAACTAAGCATAACGAGAAAAAAAGGGGAGTTGCCAGCCGACTGAGTAGTGATAGAGGTCCAGAGACAAAAAGAGGCGTGCTTCGTAAGATAAGCTATCGCCGTTTAGGCAGTCTCAGCTGATTGGCAACAGCCTTGCCTGTACGTCAGCTAGACGTGATGGAGTGCTAATATGTAGAAGAGCCGCAGAATCGGGGGGGCAAAGGGCGTCAGAATTCAATAGAAAGCAGACATGGTGCTCAACCCAACTATTTGGAACGACTAAAGAAGAGCTCGACTAGCCGTGCGGTCGTGTCAAGCCCAGCTGCCTTTCTTTGAGCAGACTCGGTGCCACAGGCGGGGTAGGTAGGATATTGTGAGTGCATTGCTGTACTGGGTTGCGTACCACCTGCAGAGCTGTCGGTACACGACTGGACGAGGCCTCACGGGTAAAGTGGGCACCACACTGTGGGTAGTACCGGGTTCCGATTGGGGGATAATTGCTGCTCGGGAGGATTGCGCGGGCCATGGCATCCTTTGTCTAGATATAAGTCGCCTATTGAGCAGGGTTGCGACACGGCTGCAGCAATGCTGAGGTGGTTGGAGATGGAAACCTACAGGCTATCACCGCCAAAGGCGTGGAGTGTGGACTAGATCAAGGTCTAGGGCCGCTCTGCCGTCTTACTCAGCACAAGTCAGAACGGCCCAACGGCGCCCGGCCCCGCTTTTTGTAATGCACGGATTTGCTCGTCAGTTCTCACGTGTACACGGCCATTCACCACTTCTGACGATTACGCTTGAGCTGAGCTGAGCTGCAGATCTTACATCCCACGGCCACGTCGCTACAGCCTGTACCACTACACTCAGAAGCAGCCGCTTCCGCGAGTAGCAATTGTGTTTATCACACACACAGCCATTGCGTGCCTGGCGCCCACTATCTCGTCAAGGGCAACCCTTCCTATGGCTTTCGTCTTTGTCTTCTTTGGCCCGCGGCATCTCCATCATGATCCTGGCTGGCGCCAACGTGCATCAAGGTGCTGCAGCTCTAATCCATGCGAGGCAGGTTGCTAGCCAGATGCAGCCTTTATATATCCATGTCAGCAATCGCCGTGGGTGGGGTTACCTCTCGTGCCCAGACCTCTGCATTGGATAACCTTCATCTCGGGCTATGCCCGTTCGACCGTGCCTGATGAGAGGAGCCGAATGCTACGCCGTATCCTGCACTCATTCCGACCCTCTATGTATCTCACGTCGCCACTCGCGCCAGTTTTTATCCGACTGTCGTGCCTGGCCCTAACCATGTGCAAGACGTGTAAGCAGTCTGGACCATACCCAGCTCTGCTATTGCGGCTACGACCGAGTGGCCGTCAAATGGTGGCCAAGTTGCCTTACGCCTCCTGCTTGCATATCCTCCACTCGGTTCACCTTGTCGGCCACCCTGGTCAACAGGATCATCGGAGGACCTTGAGTGTGCCCAGCCCCGCCAGTCCAATGGCTTGTAATATGCAGCTGCTTGCTAGTATCGTCATTGCCTTATAGTCACCTGTTACTGCTAACCTGCCTTTCTCTTCCCCTGAGCTTCAGCCTTCTACCCATCGTTCTTTGTCAGGTATGTTAAAAAATTGCTAACCTACACTTCTTTGTGGTGTGTGTACCCGGGGTTGGGGAATTGAAATTTCATCTTCTAAACTCTTTTCACATCTGTAATTACGCCCTGGTTTTCGTGTCCTTGTCAAACCTCCGATAGCTATAGGTTCCGCATGCAGAAAACTTAACAACAACCATCTCCTTTTCATCATATGCATGTCTGACTCAACCAGCCCCAAGCCGCATGCCACTCGTTCGGTCGGCATAAAAGTCGCTCGCTCTCAATATGCGCGGACATTGGCCTTTCCTTCTGGCCTTCACTGGTGTAGCCCTCGCGCAGAACAACGATACCATTTTAGCCTTGAATTCACGGCCCAAACAAACGCAATCACTCGAGGCACTAGTCATAACCCCAACATCGGCCCCCGAAGAATCTTTTGGTGCCAAGAAGGGAGGGTACGGCACCACAAGCAATGATAAGACGGGAGGATACGGTACTCCAAGCAGTTCTAAGACGGGAGGATACGGCACTCCAAGCAGTTCTAAGACGGGAGGATATGGTACTCCAAGCAGTTCTAAGACGGGAGGATATGGTACTCCAAGCAGTTCTAAGACGGGAGGATATGGTACTACAAGCAGTGGCAAGACATGCACGAAAGAAACTCTCACAGAAACCAAATGGTATCCAGGTTCAACGATTACAGAAACGTGCACAACTACCATTTTTAAGCCAACGACAATTACAGACTGGAAAACGCTCACCTCAACGACAACGTGTACCGAAACCATTACATTACACGATACGACCACCTCATGGAATACCACTACTTTGTTCTCGACAAAGGTACGTCGTTAAAAACCTTTCGAGCTCGTTTGTGATTCTCGTATTATATTGGAAGTGATTTTGAGCTCGAAGGTCTTCAGACTATCATATCAAAGAATTGCCTAACCGCTAACTCTCGTAGACGGAACTAAGCACTACCACTGAGGTTCGAAACTCCACAACCACTGAGAAGACCACGCAGACGAAGGTACTTGTCAGATCCCCAAAACAATAGACACAGTGCTGACGGGGTAGATCGATACCTCAACTATCACCGAAATCCGAAACTCTACTCTCACTGAAAAGACAACAGCAACAACGGCATGTCTCGAAAAACATCTGTTAAATGCCCATGCTTACTGTGCTAGACCGCCACCCAAACCATAACTGAACCCGGAACCAACATCACAACTGTACGTCCCAGCTTTGTGACTCGCTTGTACTCTCCTATACTGATATAGATTGCAGACTTCGACATCGACTACCACGAAGGAGACTCCTGGTCCTACTACTACCGTCAATAACACCATAACAGAACGCACAACTTCTGTAAGCTTTCTGCTTCGTGTACTCGCATCTTGACTAACATACATAGACTTCCACATTGACCGTCATATCAGTATGTGCCTCTACCACAATTGATCCTTTGTTTCCCCGTCCCCATGCCTGGTCTATGTGAAGATATATTATCTTTCTTTGCGAGTCCGGCCCGATTCGTTTACGACACCTCGGAGCACGCGCATGCTCCCTTAACACAGACTGCTGACAAACCTATAGCTTGTGCCCACCACTGCAGTATCTCTTGTACCAACTACGATTGTTTCTACCAGCGTTAGCGTTACAACGTCGACATATACTTCGGTAAGTGAATTCCCGTACAAGCAGGCTTGGAACATATTGTTCCATCGATCAGAATGAAGATTGTCCAACCTGGCAACTTATATGGTGCGATGGGGAGGTTCCATAATACTTTTGCGATGTTACTGCAAACTGAGTGTTCACTATATTTGGGGCAATTACTAACTCAAGACCTCCTATTTAGGTCATCACTTCAACCACAACAGAGTATATCACAAGGACTATATCATGTAAGCTAACTGCACCTAATAAGGCCCATGGATAGCGTTAACCGGAAGTAGTGCCTGGGACGATAATAACGACAACGAGCACGGTCACCAGCGAGGTCTTACGAACGACAACGCTAACGGATACGATCTCTATTACGCAGACAATTCCTCAAACTGTAGTGCAGACTGTAGACCGAACTGTGCCAGTCACGCAGACTCGCGACGTGACGCAAACCCGAGAGGTGTCGATTCCTGGTCCAACACAAACTGTTGCCATCACTGAAACGATTAATCGAACGATTACGCAAATCTCGCTCAGCATCAGCACTCTGTTCAGCACAATCACACTCCCGCCCGAGACAATCATCACAACGACTACGGTCCAAGGCCCGACTTCATTCATCACGACTCAATTGCCTCCAAGTACTATAGTCTCAACCGTAACAACGATTTTGACACTTCCGCAAGTCACGACTACATCCATCAGCGTCTCTCCACCCGAAACGATCACAAGCACTCTCACGCAGCCGGGGCAGACCATTACCACTACATTCCAGCTCCCGGGAACTACATCAGTAATCACTACGCAGCTACCTCCGAGCACGATCCTCTCAACGATTACACTTCCTGCGGTCACGTCGACTCTAGTAACGCAACTGCCAGCAATTACAACTACAACAACGCTGCTATCAACTTTGACACTTCCCGGTTCAACGGAAGTAACCACAATTACTCAACCCGGATCAACATTAGTCTCAACCTTGACTTTAGCGCCCTCCACGACCATTTCGACAATAATCATTACGCAGTCACTCACTATAACTCAGGTGTTACCAACAACTATCATCCAAACCGTTACGCCAAGCTCGACATCAACCCCTCCTGCGTCAGTGTCTTGCGCAAGCAACTGCCAGATTGATGTGACCGCCACGAGATTGCAATATCCTGGCGATGTCACCACCAGAACTACAGTAATTCCAGCTGTAACTTTGGACATCTACACGGATGCTGCTGGGAATGAAGTTAGCTCATCTCTCTATACCGTAATTATACCGTCACCATCACAGCCGACAATTACCTGGGAGTTTGAGGGCGTGACTCTTACTTACCCAACGACCTATGCCGCTTACGCGACCTTTAGTCATACCATTGTGGAGCCAATCGAGACTGCGTGTGTTACCAGGGTACTCACTCTGACCTTGCCATCGCCAACCGACTATACATCACTCATCGTGCCGCTAGCTGAGATCCCCGATACAAAATTTGTAGCACCCACTGTGGTGAAATATCTCAACAGCCTTTCCACAGTAATTTCACAACTTGGGCGGACGATTGGAACAGGCGCTTGTGATCCCCTCGTCGGCTCAACGACTACAGGCTCCACAGCCACTCGGGGAACGTCCACTTTTGTATCAACTGTCGCGGATACTGGCTTAACGACTACCCGCCATGTTGCTGCGGCCGTTATTGCACCATCTAGTCCCACGGAAGTGATCTCTTCACCACCACCACCTACGACGAGCACTGCCCAACCAAGCTCGCCACCGCCGCTTCCTCCACCATCTAGCTCACGTAATGCTCCCTCATCTCCTTCTTCCCTTGCAGCCCCAGAACCGAGCAGCCAACCTCCCACGCCAACAAGTACTCCTGTACCGCTACCAAGTATCGCGCCTCCTTCGAGCAGCCCCGCTGACTCCGCTTCTGAAGCTCCGTCCCCTTCGCCCATTCCGTCGTCTGTTTCTCCACCATCGTCGGCTGTCCCTCCGTCCTCGTCTGCCCTCGAAGTCTCCTCCGCATCACTTCCTCCGCCAGTCATTCCAAGCCGTTCGTCTAGCCGATCGACGAGTACCTCAGATAATACCGTCCCCGCTCCGCGACCAAGTTCGAGCGTTTCTCACTTATCAATAAATGCTGCCGCCCTTCCCACTGGACATATCGCCGGGTTGCTTATCGGTGCCGCGGGTATTGGTCTCGGGCTGTTTTAAACCGTCAGGATGAGATGAAATGAAACATATTACACTGGTGTCGATATTTAATGGATAATGTATGGGTTTAATGCCAATTTTTGCAGAATTTGCTGGTGTTTAATAGTAATCGTGGACACAGTGTTGGACTTAGTGATAAGCCATTCTTTGAAAAGCTATCTTTACCCTCTCGTGACTTGTAATGATCCACATTGAGCAGTATAGACTGTGCGAGCAAAGTAACGCAATTGCCCTGGGTCTTTTGCATGCGTTTCCAACATCAGCCTTGCTGCAAGATGTGTAGACTGGGACCAACACGTCGGATCTACCGAGCTGCCACTAGACCCTTCTTACCAGCTTAGATGATTTCTATAATTGTAATTACGCATAAGGGCCGATTCAAGCTCGAAAGCGAATACGCTTCTTGTTTAACGCAGGGTGCCGCGGAGTCGAGCATGGAGCAGATCAATAGTGTGAGGTGTGAGGTGATGTTTGGGTAGGAAACTGGGGAGTATCAAGACACCTGCCGTGATAGCCTATGTTCAGATAGCGCCTGGTATATAGATGTCGGTGCGGATGAGATGAATTCGCCAAGCCATTATCGTACAATTAATAATGGCGACGGGTTGGTAATAAGCTTTGATGACTGGAAGGAAACATGCACAAGCCAAATGAAGATGATTGACCGGAATACTCGATATAGACGCCATGCTATGCAAACCCGAAGTTATCTACCCTGGTTTTTACCCTGTCGACCTGTGATGCGCTGTTGTATATTTACCTAGGTGACTATCCTGATAGATACGAGTCGTGGTCATATCCACATATATTTCCTGCAATAATACGCCATACCTACGTGAGACCCCAATAAAGCCCAGGCTGTAAACAGCTCAAACCTAGCTCAACAGTTCCTTGATATCCTCAATGCGCTGTACGCGCTTCTCCTCGTCGCTCATCATACCCAAAGAACTTGCACTGTGTACACGTTAGTGCCTTGACTCACGAACGTCAATAGCGGGTACTTACATGAACTTCTTTCTCTCTTGAACCCTAAGCATCTTCTCCTCAATACTGCCTTCAACCACAAATCTCACTACTTTTACCTCCCGTTCCTGCCCCATCCGATGCACGCGATCGATAGCCTGCGCCTCGACAGCAAAGCTCCACCACGGATCCATCATGAACACTTTATTCGCACACGTCAAATTCAGGCCTACGCCTCCCGCCCGTAAGCTTAGAAGCAGGACGTAAGGTTTCGGGGAACTGGCGAACTCGGCCAAAATGATGGCTCGCTGTTTCTGGGAGATGGAGCCGTCGAAGCGGAGAAAAGGAATGTGGTCGCGTGTTAAGGCTGGCTCGATGAGATCCAGAAAAGATGTAAACTGGGAGAACACGACGGATTTGGTGGACTTGTCCTCTCTTCGAATGTTCTTCAAATGGGTGAGGAGGGCTTGAGTTTTCGCTGAGCCGGTAAGGCCGATTCTTCGAAGGCTGATACGTGGACTCTGCGTTGCTGGTGGTGGTCCGTCGCCGCGACGAAAAGCATGGCTGACTGCTTCCATGACGTGATCGTGCCGAACAACTTCAAAAATATCGCGTGCGTTGATGGGTTCGCGGCAGTTGAAGCAACGTGGAATGTTGCCCTTGTCACGCTGGTGATTGATGTAGTTTAATAAGCACTCCTTACATGCGGAATGCCAACATCCAGTCACTGCTTGATCGACCATAGGTTCTTCTGAGCAGATGGGACACTCAGACTCGGCTTCGTCTTGAATCTGCTTCAGAACGTGGACACCAAATCTATTGACGTCCTGATCGCCTTCGCCAGTGAAGCGTTCGATGAGACTTGATAAATCCATGTCATCGGCGAGTCCATTGGCAAGGTCTAATGCCAGTCCTGCATCCTCTTCATCGGCAACTATGTTAGCCTTGCGCGTGAGTATGGGATGGCAGCATGATTGTCGTAGACGTAGAATCTGCGCAAATATGGTGGTGTACGACTTCAAGAGAGTCCCAGCTTCGGCGTTGGCAGTGAATACGCTCTTCGCGCGCATAAATATGTGATCATAAATATCTCGCTCATCTTGCGATAGGACTATCTTCTCTACGTCGATAGTCCTCGTTGGCAGCGGAACCAAAGCTTCGCCATCCGGTGTCTTCATGTCTTTGGTTCGACGCAGCACAAGCGGCTCCAAGACGGTTTGCACAACGTCCAAAGCGCGAATGAAGTCTCCAGACTCGAAGGGAACTGTAATGAACGTCTTCCAGAAAGAAAAATTACTCCATGGCTCGACTTTCAAGAAACGCACAAGACTGAACAGGTCCTCAAGACGGTTAACGATGGGCGTTCCGGTGAGCACCCATCGATGCCTTGCACTAAGTTCATAGCAAGCTTTCGCTGTCTTCGACTGCCTGTTCTTGACGTAATGTGCCTCGTCAAGAATGATTCTAAAGTAATCTAGCGAGAAGATGCCGCCATGCGATCCGCGGTTGCCGTCTTGCGCAACGATCTGGTTGAACTCCGATAGCACCGTGCCGTAGCTCGTGATGATGAGATTCGGAGCATGGGCCGCATTGGATGCGCAGCACAGCTTCTGTAGATTGACTGCTTTCTCGGAGCCGTAGTACACCATAGCCTTCAGCGTACCGTCCTTTGACGCCTTCTCAGCTTCACTGTGCCACTGCGCCAGCAGCGACATTGGTGCTACTACAAGAGTGGTGTATGGAGCAGACTCAACAGCCGCGCTAGTCTTTTGTAGACGGGGAAGAGTTTTCGTGGTAGCTGATGATTCATCTTTGTCGAGCTCGATCCTGTGAGTATGGATCAAGCTAAGCATCTCAATGGTCTTGCCGAGACCCATCTCATCGGCAAGTATACCACCTAGACAACTCTGCTCCTGCCTTGGGAACTCGAGCGAAAGTTCACCAGAATACGGATTGACATAAAACATAGTCTGATCCTCTATAGCTGGCACAGGCTGGCTGTCAGCATCTTCTACCGGCCATTGATACTCTTCCCACAACGGGTGCATGGAAGTCTCTTTGTGCATGAGTGATTCGTCCTTCTCTTTTCCAACCATCCAGAAAAGGGCCTGCTTCTGGTATTTGCGCAGATCCATACGGAATGTGTCAGCGGGCTCCAGTGTGGGAGTGTTGAAATCGAAGGATTGCGCCTTCTTGTACAATGAGTCTAGCTGGTCCTGCTCGAGCTCTTCGCCTTCTTCCACTTCGTCTGAGGGTGGTGAAGATGCAGGTTCGGCGGGCGTTCCGTTCTTGGAGTTCAATTTCTCGTCTTTCTTCTCGACTTTCTCCGCTGCTTGCAGCAGGCCTTGCCGCTTGTGCTTTGCTGTGTTCTCATTTTCCCGGGTCGGTCGCAAGTTGATCGACTCGAATAACTTTACAAGCCCAACCTGCCGCAGACGAAGATCTCGCTCGTCTGATGTCTCCTTTTCTTCAAAGATGCTGATCTCGCGGTTGTTGTCCGGTTTGGCAAACTTTCGCTTGTCAAATGCGCCCCGTAGGAAGCATCCATGCAGTTGTAAGTATATCGTATCGCCTGTTCGTATCCTGTCCGGTGTGTACACAACGGTCCCCTCGAACGAACAACACTTCTGGTCCATCAGTGTCGAGATCCAGGTTGCAGAGTCGTTTTCCAGTCGGCCGACCTCTGCTCCGCGATCATTGGTGAACCTGACTATGGTATCCTGCTTCTTGAGGTTGACGACCCTCTTCGCTTTGCCTTGCTTGTGTTGGGTCTTGATGCGCTCAATGCCAATCTTCTCGTTGTGTTTGAGCAGGCCTAATCCACTCTTAGTCGCCCAACCAACAGCACCAAAGGATCCGATGTATCGCGTTGCAGGCATTTCCCGCAGGATCGCAGGAGTTGAATTGCCTGAGCCTGGTGTGGACGTGATGGATGCTTCAGAATCGGTTCGCCTGAGCGTGTTCGCTATCGTCATTTGGACAGGCTGGGCCCGAGATTGAAAGATGGGTGCGGGCACGGAGAATGGCGCAGAGTTCCATGAGCCGTCCAAGTAGAGATTGATTGCTACAGTCGGAGTCAAACTTGTATACCTTGGTTGACTGAATTGCTTGCTTACCTCGTTGGACATGACTACCACTCACGTCCTTCAACTTCTGCAATGTGGCGAGTGATAGCTCTCCAACAACCGCCTGGAGCATGCCGACATCAAAGCCATCCCAATTTCCGCCATCTTGCTTGGCCTTGCTGTTGGTTTCGTCCGGTATTTCGACAGCCGTTGTAGCGTCTGGTGGCGTAGAGTGCGGGGGGGAGTTGGGGGCTTCTGCCCGGGCTTGAGGTGGCGACGAGTCTTCTGCGAAGAAACGGCGCTTCTTGGTCGGTCTCTCCTCTGGGTGCGACATCTCCATGGTCTTGTTTGTTGGTGGTGTGCTTTTGCCGCACGCAATGGCTTGTACCGACGCGTCGCAACGCGCTTTCACGGGATCACGCCTAGCGCAGCCGACGATCGACGCGATAGCGTCATACACCAGCCAGTCGCCATGCACTCGTTGCAGCTTACCCAAAGCCCTCTTCGTGCACTATACCCGTGTGTTGTTTGTTTAGTATGGGTCTGTTCGTTTGAACATGCAATGGCCTTTTGTTGTGTAAGATAAAACGATCCGGCGCTTAGAAAAATCCTCAATGCCATCTTCGAAGCTTTGCACGGCTTTCGTTCGGCGCACATATGGCCCCTCAAAAACCCCCAGGAGGCAATTCCATGCTTCGAGATATCTGCTAGATACAGCACGACCATCTGAAGCCGAGGTCGACCGCGCACGAGCATACTGTGCGAATCTCATCCGGTATGTGTCGCATCTACGGGCGCAATGCCACCGCGACTAATCTCTTCACAGAAGCTACGATGCTCCCTCACACATCCTCCAGACCTTCATACCGCAATCCTCGCGCGATGCATACCTCGCAATCCGCGCCTTCAATGTCGACGTCGCCCGTGTCGCCGACACGACCAGCACGCCCACAATCGGCATGATGCGCATGCAATTCTGGCGAGACACGGTCACAAAAGCGCTGGCCGGCACACCTCCCAAGGAGCCAGTCGCCATACTACTTGCGAGAGCCGCCGAAGATTTGCATGAGCGGTCGGGCCAAAAGGCCAGGCTGAGCAAGAACTGGTTTCTTCGCATCATCAATACAAGAGAGCAATATCTAACGAACCCACCGTATCCCACCTTAAGCGCGCTCGAGAGCTATGCGGAGAACACGTATTCGACCATGATGTACCTTACACTTTCGGCACTACCGCAGGCCTCGATAACCACGGATCATATCGCATCACATATCGGTAAGGCCATGGGAATTGCAGCCGTGCTGCGGGGCATTCCGCTCATTGCCTTCCCCCGCCAACAGCCTCTAGGCGGACAATCGGGTCCAACCCAAGGAGCTGTGCTATTACCACTAGACGTCATGGCTGAGGCAAACGTTAGAGAAGAAGATGTCTTCCGTCAAGGTGCCTCCGCGCCCGGCCTGCGCGACGCCGTCTTCACTGTCGCCACACGTGCGAACGATCATCTCATCACAGCCCGAGAGATGCTATCAAAACTACGATCCGAAGGCACTCTTGGCCACGATTTCGAACACCAGAACGAAGAGGAACACCAGTATAGCCCGCAGCAATTGGATGCTGGACAGGATGCGCAGTTGGCTGAAGTCGAGCAAGCTTTCGGTGTCTTCATGTCAAGCATAGCGACACAATCGTGGCTGGACAGACTACAGAAGGTGGACTTTGACGTTTTTGATGCGAGTCTGAGGAAGGTGGACTGGAAATTGCCCATGAAGGCATATTGGGGTTATAGCCGGCGGAAGATATGAGATGAAACGAAATAAAGTAATATACCGCGACAGTATTGGTAGGGAATCATGAACAACCAAAAGCATTGCGCCGGCAGATTGGGCTTTCCATTATAGATCTCACCAATTTTGCTTTCAGCTCAGTCGAAAGAACGAGTCCCACCATACGATTGTGTCATGCCTGATTGCGGAGAATGGTACATCAAAGGGTGCGTGTAGAAGGGCCATATCAGAACTGGAAGGCGCACCCGAGGCCTCCCGCCCCACGCGCTGAGCTTGGTTTAGATTACTCAGACAGCCCGTAATCCTTAGCTGACACCTAGGTAACACGCGCCCTACATGTGATGCTTCATCCTGACTCCACACTTCGTGAGTTATTTTGCAAGGTATATGCCATACGATGATCCCAAAGGTATACCCGCTTTTATGCTGACTTAAACAGTGCGATGGACTGGGTTCAATCTTATAAGGCGTGTCCGCAAAAGGTGGGGTTTCTGGATCTCCCGCGCGAGTTAAGGGACTATGTGTATGGATACGCCTCCCGTGTACAAGGCGCTATTTTGCTATACTCGCCGAATCCATATGCTATGATTCCCTACAGTAAGGCCATGCAGGTTCGACACAAAGGCGAAGGTCCGGTCGAACCACAACCGTTGGGTACCGTGATTCCTATCGCACTCCTTACGGCCTGTCGCCAGCTTCATGTCGAGGGTAGTGCCATATTGTACGGATCCAACGCCTTCCGCCTCTGGTTTCTTAGCGACATAGAAATCCGGCTTAGCTATCGTCAATTAGTGAAGCACATCATCTTCACGACGGAGGTAGACTATCACATCTTCAGTCACAACCTCGATGAAGTCAGCTATTGGTGGAAGCGACGCTTCTGGCCGAATCTCATTAAGAATAGCACCAGCGCGTTCGAGCGCTTCCCTGGCTTGGAGACCCTGACCTTTCCAATAAAACCGCCGCGACACGGGGAGTCGTGGAGACCTGCCTTCTTTGCAGTAGCGAATAAGACCCGGCATCAGCGTGTCACTCTCGCTGCAAATTGGATGAAGTCCAGGTGTCCTCTGGAGAACGAGCGACTGCGCGAGTGCCTGCAGTTAGAGCTTGTGCCATTTACAAGCCGTTCGAAGGATGAGCCTGATGAGGAGGAAGAAGAAGAAGAGGAGGAGGAGGAATGGGATTGCACGGAATTTGTGGAGGCATTCGAGTTGATGAAGACTTTAAGGTGATTCGCCTAAAAGAAGCTGCGAAGACATCTGGCTCAAATATAATAAAGGCAGAACCAGATTGTCAGCAGCTGCGAGCCTCCTGGCAATGCTTGAAGGCGGCTATAGAATTTGGAAGATTAGGTTCATTGATGAGAGAACTTTGCCAAAAGTGACGGATAGATACCTTGACAGAACCAGTGATAGCTCAATTAGGGCATAGGTGCCTTTGAAATCTTCTTCATTGTATTCTCATGTGTTGTCCAGTTGAATTCGAACTCTTGGCGTTCTAGGCCGGATTTGGCTTGGCGTTACCCACGATCGCAAAATTAGGAGAATACACGATTGAGCTCCGACACGACACTCACCCTCAATTCTTCCCACACACGCCCTGCGCAGGATATCCACTTCTTTGCGCTCTCATACACACCATTAAAATGGCTCCCACAACCGTACGTACACCGCTTTGCTGTCCGCTGGGCTGAGCATTGCGCTCCTCCACGCATAGAACAGTAGGCTAAGTACTTTGCACATGTAGAAGAAATCCGCCAAGGGCCAGAAAGTCACCAAGAAGTTCATCATCAACTGCTCGCAGCCCGTCAACGACAAGATCTTCGACATCCAGGCCTTCGAGAAGTTCCTCCACGACCGCATCAAGGTTGAGGGACGTACCGGCAACCTCGGCGAGACCATTCAGATCTCGCAGCAGGGTGATGGCAAGATCGAGGTCATTGCGCACCAGGAGTTCTCTGGTCGCTACTTGAAGTACCTGTACGTTCACAATGCCCCCCGTCTCATTCTAGAAGTGGTATGATGAGAGCGGCGTACTGACGATATCACAGCACCAAGAAGTTCCTCAAGAAGCAGCAGCTCCGTGACTGGCTCCGCGTCGTCTCGACCTCCAAGGGCGTCTACGAGCTCCGCTTCTTCAACGTTGTCAACGACGAGGCCGACGAGGATGACGAGTAGATGTACCCTTATGACGCCGACATGACTTGCATGGAAAAGGTTGGAGAATGGGATACGGGCGGTGTTTAATATGGCATATAGCACAATCTGAATGAATTGATGCATTGCCTTATACATATCGTATCGAAACTGCAACTTGGTGAGACACCGCGTAGGATTTGCCATGTGGTGAATTTTCTACAAGTATGATTTGCAGGCTGAATCGTTCATGATCTACCAAAGTGCAAGACGTGCGAGGCCCATGACGATGTACTTGCGTAGAAGTACTGTAGCTGATTAATGATAAGGGGAACTGGAGAATTCCCGGGTGGGGTGCCGTGAGTTAGAAGAAGTTGACGATGACCTGGACGACACTACTCGGCGTTTTTCGAAAGTTTCGGAGTTGGAGTCGGAGTCGGAGTACATTGCGGCCTTAAAGTCACGGTCTCAAAGCCGAACTTTCGGCATTCAATCGCAACACTAAGGAATCTAGAAGAGACCCTTTGACATTGCAGTTCCGTCTATCGTAGCCCTCGGGACAAAGCAAGCCGCAACGGAGGCGTTACTATTGTGCAGTCACAAGGCGCACATGGTGCCTTCCTCTAGGCAGAAGTGAGAGTCGGCTTTGCGCAGAGTTACAAATTTAGTAAGGGCTCATAAACGGCGCAATGCAGGGTAATGGCGTTATTGAGAAGGTTTCTTAAAGAAACACCAAGTATCCACTCGTCGTGGAAAGTTGCAGAAGCGGTGAGGTGCTGTCCAATGTCGCCAGCATGGTGCCATGGCACGTTCCGGGCACGAGTGGATGGCGCCAGTCGCACGCAAAGTCTCAACATGATGACTCTGACACAACGTGCGATATGCCGGGCAATCCTATAGCGGCACGATGCTATAGCTGAGACCCGACAGGCTTATGGGAACCAGACGGGCTTATGAGAACCAGGCGGGCTTATGAGAACCAGACGGGCTTATGAAGAGAAGCCGAACCAGACGTGCAACGCCAACTGATGCGAATTTTGTAGAATCGACAAGCATCAGCATCACATGCAAGGCTTGCCGATGTTTTACCCGAAGAGGAAGGGCGTGATTAGGCATGCTCACTGATCGCCATGATTGCGGACACGATTAAAGCGTCGCTGGGAATAAGCGAGGCATCGCGAGATTTGAGCTTGGTGTTTTGGAAGGGCTTGTCCAATTGCAGCCCAGGGCGGACTTCAGCTACCCATGGCGGCCATGTCCGTCTACCGGAGCTGTTTGCGTGTTCCGGAGGAAAATCGGCGTGAATAGCCGTTCTCATCGAGTAATGGGTCCAGGGCGACCGCGTTGTAGAAGCGTCTGGTCTCGCGCTGACACGAGCAATGGACTAGGAACAGTAAAAAAAAGCGGGCCGGGGCGCCAAAGTGTGTAAAGAGGCTGCAAAGGATCTTGGGAGCATGTGGAGAAATCAGTCACACCACGGGCGCTAGGCTTCGATGCTCTGCTTGCCGACAAAGGGGTGTAAAATTTTCGTAGCATTACCTAACGACGGCGCCTTGGCATATAAATCGCGATGCTATGCCTGCACCACCGCATGACTGAGCCGCGACGAGGTTGCACAATTAGCAATGCGCAAAGGGTGCAAGGGCGTTCAGGCAATGAAGTCAGGCGGGGATTCAGCGGTCAAGGCGGGCAGTGCAGCTTCAAGTAGGAGGGAAGTGTGCCAATGGTGCGCTACTCCGTGGAGATGCAGAATGCTCATCTCCAGCGTCGGCCTTTTCACGCCCTGTCACGACGCCATGTTGCGGGGAACTGCGCACCAGGGCGAATGGTGTAGACCGGGCGGCCAAGGTGCCGTTGGCTTGCTTGGAGGAGCAAGCAGAACCCCAGAGTTTCCCGATGGGCATGTTAGTAGTATGATGCGGGTGAGTGGCCGTCGGCGAGGGACGCAATGTTGGCCGCCACCATGACGGAGCATTGGCACATTTGCACCAGGGAATAGAAGGGAAAAAAAGAATGGAACACGAGACAAAAGTGGATATAGGCTTGCCGTCTCAACTCAACAAGCCAGCGCAACAAGGTCCTTTCAATTCAAGTTGCCAGCGCAACATTTGTTTTGCCTTCACGTTGGCAGCGTCTGCGCTTCGCCAGTTGATGGTTGGCAAGCGCGACAGAGACAGACCAGACGTCGGCAGGGGCGATCACGGGCGTCGCGGCAGCCCGTGCGCTCCTGCCTTCTGACCCAAAAATTGCAACCGGCTGCAGGGGTGTGCTTGGCCGCGCCCGGCTTAGCGCGACGCCTGAAAAGCTTGGGTTTTGTGATTTTCGATGGCATCATGTGCGAAAGTGCACGGGGCATCCAGTCATCGAGTTTCTCTCATGTAAACGTCAAAAGAGCCTGCAAATAAAGACCACCCTCGCCCCCGGACCAGCTGTTGCTTTGCTTGAACCCGACCCCCAGAACATGTTTCTACCCCAAGAACTCACCCACCACCTCAACTCGCACAAGATCAATTCTTGAACGCCGCCGGCCTTCGCACCTTTGCTGCCCCACGATTGGGCCACCGCACATCTCGCAGCTCCTCGCCGCTCCACCCGTCCACTCACGCCACTGCATCTCAGCCCTACCCCAGAAATTCCTGTCAAAGAATGCCAGGCCGTCTGCTGAGTACCCTCGTCAGGGTGGCGCCCACCCCATCACCCAAGGCGGACGCCGTTAAACCACACACACATCCCCTCTTCCCCCCAGTGTATTCCTACGAGCCCCCCGTCAAAGGGAAGTCAAAATCCCAGGAGTCTCTCGTCATGGATATCTTCAACCGCCACAAGCATGACAAGCACCATCATGACGACCACAAAAAGAGCCCCAAGGTGGAAGCCCCCTCACCCGCCTCGATGAACATGAACGTCGAGTCGCCGCCCGTTGTCTTCTACAACAGCCCACAGTCGTCGACGGGCGCCATTTTCTCTGGCCAGCTCTTGATCAATGTTCACGAGCCCTACGTCACCGTCGAAAAATTTGAAATGCGCCTCCTCGCCATTGTTACCACCAAAAAGCCAGTGGCCCCGCACTGCACCGACTGCAGCACCCAGTCCACCGAAATCCACAAGTGGGAGTTTCTAACCCATCCTGCGTCTCTACGCCATGGCCCGCACAGCTTCCCATTCAGCCACCTGCTGCCGGGTCACTTGCCTGCCACCACCCATGGCACCCTCGCGACGCTCGACTACTACTTGTCAGCTGTCGCTACTACCTCCTCGGGCGAAAAGATCACCTACAAGCGCAGCCTGGACATTAGGCGTGCCATCTTCCCTGGAAATGAGAAGCACTCTATCCGCATCTTCCCGCCTACCAACTTGACCGCTTCTGTCAAGTTGCCACCGGTTATCCATCCCATTGGCGACTTCCCCATCGAGATGCGCCTGTCTGGTATCGTTCAAAACAAGGCCGACTCACAGACGCGCTGGAGGCTACGCAAGCTCAACTGGCGCATTGAGGAGACACAGAAATTTATCTCTCCTGCTTGTTCCAAGCACACCCAAAAGGTTGGCGGTGAAGGCAAGGGCGTTCTCCATGAGGACGTCCGCGCCATCGCCAACGAAGAAGTCAAGACTGGTTGGAAGACCGACTTCGAAAAGGGCGAAATCGACGTAGAGTTCAACGCTGCTTGCAATGTTGGGCTCAAGCCTCTCTGCGATGTCGACAGCCAAAGCGGTATGAGTGTCAAGCACAACCTCATCATCGAAATGGTGGTTGCTGAGGAGTGGGCCCCGCTGAAGAAGCTCAGCCAGGCCACGCCTACTGGCGCTGCTCGCGTACTCCGCACTCAGTTCCATCTGGTCCTCACCGAGCGCTCTGGAATGGGCATCGCCTGGGACGAGGAGCAACCTCCAGTCTACGAGGACGTTCCGGCTAGTCCTCCCACTTATGTCGACGATTGCGAGTTTCCGGATTCTACTAGTAGCTCCCGCTCTGCAAGCTTCTGTCTTTAAAGTCGCTGGCCGACATAATCACCCTTGCCGATCATGAATATCACGGCCGACTTGGTCGACGCTTTACGATTCCCTTTACCGAGCCCTGGATTGATTTCACTTCGAGTTATCGCTGTTCGACTGCGTAGGATATACCCCATTTAGACATTTAGCGTCGATTCATTGTTAATCACTACTCTTTGTGTACTGTGCGTACAATTCCCAGGGCGTTTGCTTCAAAGCTAGAGTACTTGAGTTGAGCCCAAAGTGTGCCCCTCAAAAAAAATTATACGGGCATCCCGTCGGCGTTTTGGACACTTATTGGAAAAGCCTTGTTTATTCTTTTGGAGTCTACCTCTGGGTGAATAGATTAAATAGTAATATCTAGTACATTAGTGTTATCTAAAAGCTCCTCTTCCCTTATTCCGTGACATGTAGTTGAAGTCTCTTTACCATACCATACGTACATCTCGGAACGACCACATCTAAGCACGTCAAGATACAAAACTTGATACCACCAGAATCTATCAAGGTACGTCTGCAGGCATGACAATTACACCCCGCTACCGCTAGTCACTGCAATGAAACCCACCACTCTATCCAATACATTCCCCATCACATGCCACCCCCCGAAAAGCCACATTTTATTCGCCCTTCACCGCCAAGACACGCGAGACCAGGCACAGCAAGCTAGATGCTTCGATCCCGTCACTAAGAAAGATCTCGAACGCAGGGCCCGCTCTATCCTTGCTCTTCAAACATGCGGCTTGCCGCGCTCGAACACATCGGCTGCCCTACCGATAGTCCAACGTGGCCGCCAGTGACACATAGAATCCGTGCGAAAGCGGGTACCTTGCTCAATACGAGTGATGGGCGCAGGGACCAGGGGCAAGAAAAAGGTAACCCGGGACGAGAGACCCGGATAGGATAGCACGGAGCTAATAAACGATGCGCATGGAAAGAGTTGTTGGCTTCTTTCTTTCTTCTCACTTATGAATGCATGGAGTTGCCTAATTGGGGTTTTGGGCGTTTATGCAGGGCTTCGCTTGCGGCTCTGCGGAGAGAGGGATGGGGTTCTAGAAGAGTGCGGCTGCAGCGCGACAGGCGGATACGAGGACACGAGGGTGGTCCGCTGTTACGCTGAGGTTTTGTGACGTGGGAACGTGGTGTGATGTTGAATCGCGAGGGACTTCTTAGGCTGTTCCAGATCTGCTCAGGTAGTACCCATTTTTTGGAGCGATATGTACTCTCAACGATGCAGGGGCGGGCTGTTGATGTGTCAGAATAGAGGTGTGCCCTGTTGCCGCTCGAAATGTGCAAGATCAACTCTTTTGTTTTCCTTGTCGTGGGTGGGTGGTATGATTGACAAGGTTGTGAGGTTGATGTTGGGAATCGGGTAGCTTCGGCGTGGGTCCGAGGAAGGCACGTCGCTTCATTCATGCGATCTGAAAGCTATCAAGTAATATACCTAATATACCCTTGAATGCAGATTGACGGGCCGCTCTTCTGCCGTCGACTAGTATCGGAATGCAACAATGACTAATATGACGACTTGTCGATACCTACATGTGCACAGAATGTGGGATGTTGAGTGTTGGAGAATACTTGATGGTTCCACACGACTCTTCCCTATCTTTCCAAACTCATTGTCTTTCTTGCTTATTTGAGATAATAACACAGCTTCGACCATATCAACATCGCTCCAGACTGGCATGATGCTTCCGTGGTAAAATGCAACGAGCTGGACATTAGGGAAGTTTGTACATGCCTCTCCAAAGAGGGCATAGCACGGGCACACTTCTAAATCTTTTCGCTCGCACGCAAATCAAGAAGCCGTATCGTAGATCGTAGAGAGATCAAGGTTGCCGTTCCGGACTAATTTAGTAAGTAAGCCACGCTGTCACAGGGACAAGATCTTAAAGTGAACATTATATTCAGGAGGGCGCATCCAAAACTGTGTGATTCGCAATGCTAAAGGATATCGTCAAATTGAATATAAGGAGGCCAGAACAAGCCTTCATTATATGCAATATGATTGTTCCAGCTTTCCTAGTCCATGCCAAAGCATATCTCTCAACGTAGGCCTAAAGGTTTGCCAGTCTTAGATTGAGCCATCATCTCTCTGCACTACTGCTGCGGCTTGTAAACCATCCCACTTGTCCTCGTATACACATCTGTGCTAGCCGGCCCTGCCCACCTTCTACTCGCCTCTTCCCTGTCCCTGACCTCTCTCTCATTCTGCACCGCAACACAGCAACAGCAGCAGAGTCCTTTGATGCAGTCACTCCCGAGCCCACCCTCCAACTTATACGCATGCCGAATTCTTGTTCTTTGCAGCATCGGAAACAGCCACCACAAGCCGCATGACAGGCTCATCATCCCGCAGTGGCCGTTTGTGGAGCTGTAGCCTAGCATATCGGTCGGATCTTTCTTCGCGGATTTCTGGGAGAGGCGGTACGATGTCCGGCCATAAACGATACAGGGACAGAAAAGACCAGTGAGGCATGTTGAGACGTCGCCGCTACAAGCACACAAAGAGTGATTCCACTTGTGTGACCGTTCTGAATCCATGTTTGGGTGGGCAATTTGGCCCGGTTGGTGCAGCGCAAAGTCCAAACCGTTCGGCCCAGTTGCTGCGTCCGGCGAGAAAACAGCGTGATGAAAGTTGTTTGTTTGATTTGATGTGAAGCCGTGCGGCGAGTAGGGCTCGTTAGCGTATGATATGCGGTTCGATGGCGACATTGGGCCATCTCGTGTCAGATCCTTCTTCGTAGACCCCGCAGATATGGGTGTTATAGGAGTCTTGTGCGGTAGCGGCGAAGTTTGAGCGCCCGCGGATGGAATTGGAGGTAGCGGAGGCATAGGGTATTGGCCCACCTGTGTGTTGATAGGCGACAGATTGCTCATTTGCCGTGCGTGCCTGCTCTGTTGTGTATTGATCTGCGCCGGCTGGACCGGCTGTTGTGGTGGTGATGGCGATACTGGCGAGAAGGGCAGTGTGCGTGGGTATTCGTGTGCTGTGATGGGCGAGACAGGAGGTTTATCATCCTGCAGGTGAGATGGTGGTACGTAAGCTGTCTGTAATTGGGCGTGGGTGGTCGGAAGTTGCGGATTGAGCAACGACTGAGGACGAGGATCGATGGGTGTGTACGGCGATGTAGGAAGAGATATCGGTACACACTGCGGGAGCGGCGGATCGTTGGGTGAAGATGTATAGACGAAGGCGCGGAGCTCGTTGGGGGTCTGCGCATAGGAGAAGTGTCGCTGCGATGATTCCTCGGGGCTAACCTGTGGTTGGGTTGTCTGATGCTGTGGGGTTCGCTGTTGCGTTTGTTCATAAGCCGGAGCCTCTTCTTGCAAAGGGGCTTGCCATGAAAACCTCTGGTGCTGCCGTTGTGTCATCTGAGCTGAAAGATGTTGACTTTGAACGGGTTGTCTAGGATCCATGGTGTACAGGCTGGGTTTTGAGGCCCGATTTCACGTATTAGTCGCTCCAATGTACGAGAGGAGATTGTAACAAGTCGCAGTGTAATCGTAGCGTTGAGCTTAAGACTCGGACGTCTTGCGGCACAGTCGTATACAAGCTAGCTGTTACGTGAGCTGAGAGATGATCAGGAGGGGGCCAAAGGGTCTGATATGTGGTCAACCGATCTACGCATCAAGGCATGTAAGCACGAGGAGAGGACGTGTAACGAACGTCGACCCTGCATCTGAGTCGCCTCTGAACCAGCTTCAGTTCCGGTTGGCTCTTGGCCGTGATCCATCGCGCAGACAAGTACCATCGCGAAAGCAGATTCGCAGAGCTCCCGCCGGAGGATGACTCTCTTTTTAGATGCGCAGGTGCGGCCAATTGGTGATGGAGTTGAGGTGTGACAATGACGCGGGAGCGAGCCGTCGGCGCTTCGAAGTGGCGCTTGCACGAAAGACGTGGGCCAATAAGCTACCCGTATCGACCAATCCTTCGACGACCACTGCGGGGTGGTCGGATTCGGAAGAGACGAGCCGATGTATCTGGTGAGACATACGTATCAATTAACGAAGTCTCAACTATCATGCACAGTCTCCGTGGCTTGACTGGTAGGAAAAATCAAGCCAAAGTCAGCATGTCGAGCCGGCCTATACTGGGCGACAGTTGGTGCTCAAATGATGAATGGGGGCTGAGTCATGATTCCGTGGGAAGTCAGTGGTCAGTCCTAAACATGACGCAAATCACGTTTGGACAAAATATAGTTTATGTTGTACATGGATGATATAATGTCGACAAAAGCTATACAAGTAACGGCGGGTTGAGCGGTCGCCGTTAGGTTACTATGGAGAATAAGGTGGTTCGGCATGGTGAGATTAGGGTGGGATTTACGCGTCCTTGCTTGACTGAGCCTTGCCTCGCTCCTCCTTGTTCTCGGCGGCAGGACGATCGGTTGACACGGTGCCTTTGAGTTTTGCGGTTTCGGCAACACCTTCGCCCTTCTTGCTCTTGTCATCTTGGTTGGAGACATCCGTGCTGTGGTGTGTGTCGGCGTTTGACAGGCCCTCTTGCTTGCCCGACATCTCGTTCTGGCTCTTGGACTCCTTGGTGGGGTCGGGCTGGTGCGGTCAGTTAAAAAACTTCAGACTGGTGGATGAAAAAACGTACCTTGTCAGACTTGTCTGGAGAAGCCGCTTTAGACTCGTCCTTCTTCTGCTCAGCAGCCTTTCCCTCTTTACCATCGTCCTTCTTGGGCTGGGACTTCTTCTCATCCTTGGACTCATCTTTCTTGTTGTCCTTGGGCTCGTCCTTCTTCTCATCTTTAGATTCGGTCTTAGCCTCGTCCTTGGACTCCTCCTTGGGTTCTTCTTCGTTCGAGTCTTCTGCAGGCGCTTCCTCCTCGTCGTGTTCCTTGGCGTGGTGATCATCGTGCGATTCTCCATGGCCGAAGTCCTGGGTGATGACCAAGTAGAGGCCGACGGCGGTTCCGGCAGCAGCTCCGGCAGCCCTGCGAAAGACGGTTACTGAATGCTCATGACGCCATGTCTACAATAGCCGAGTGCCAAGTTGCAGTCTTTGGATGGTGGTTTGGAATCATTATGGACATACCATGGGACGTCGCTACTCTTAGCTTCGCCGTGGGCACCGTGGGCGCTGGCATACGCTCTGCGCTGGACGGCTCGCTGCCATGGTTGGAGCTCGGCAGTGCGGATGTACCTCGTCGGGCGAGTAGCTCGTGCGAATGAGGATGCGCGAAGCGCTGTGGACCTGATGAAAGACATGGTGAAGCTGTAGCAAAGCCAATTGACTCAGGCGACGAGCAATTGATGGCAGACTTGGACGTGTGATGCGCTTGAGGGAAGGATCAGGTCAGGCCGGCGGCTGGTGGCAACCATGGGCGGGCACGTCACCGGAAGAAATGCGGACCGCTGGGTGGCGCAAGCTCTCATATGTGTCACGTGTCTATGTTAGCATCCGCATTCGGTGGGAGAGGGAGGTAGAATGTGGAAAGCTAGACACGCTACATTAATATCATAGCATCTGTCGTATGCATCTCCAGCTCCCTCTACAGTCGAAAGGCAGCCTGAATAGTTGGCTCGATTGGGCTGTGGCGGTGCATCGCACCTAGGAGAGCTCCCAAGCCAGAGCAACACGCAGGCAACTGCAGTCGCCTAGCTTCCACCGCCGTCTCCTCCAACTTCACTTCTTCCCACTTTGCGGCGGCCTGTGGTGCTTCTGCTTGCCGCCACCTTCCCTTCACTCGACAGCGTCTTCCTCCCTCTCTCCCCACCTGCGCCTTGTTTAACTTTAAATCTGCTGCATCCACCCCCGCCATAGGTACCCCGCCACGCGCTCTCTCCACCCAAACACGAGATACTCATCTTCTACAACAGTGGCCTTCCTTCAACAGCCAACGCTGTTCAGCCTGCTACCATGGCGCCCTCGTCGGTCCCTCCCAACCCGACGGCCCACAATGTCGCCCAGTTGCTGCCAAAGCTCAACGATGACGACCCCGATTTCCGCTTCATGGCCCTGAGTGACCTGCACGACATCCTCGTTGTGGCCCACTCAGGCCTCCTGCTCCACGACGACGTCACAAGTGCAAAGACTGTCGAGGGCCTACTCAGCACACTGGTCGACACCAATGGCGAGGTCCAGAACCAGGCCGTCAAGTGCCTGGGGCCTTTTGTAAACAAAATTCCTGACAAGACGCTCCCGGTCATGATCGAGAAGCTTTCTAATCTGCAGACGGACAAGACAGTGGATCAGTCGATACCATCGCTTGCTCTCCGCGAGGTCGTCGTTTCTCTCCCGCGTCCGGTCACCGGCGTTGCGCGCGGCAAACCTATAACAGATGCATACAGCGCAATCAGCAGGGTCTTGATCCCGCGTCTAGTCGGATACTATGTCATTCCCCCAGTACAGCAGGGTCTTCCCAAGCCACCCAAGGGCATGCTACAGGTGGATTTGGACAAGGGCACAGATAGCAACGCCATCGACGTTTTGACTGAAGTCGCGAGATGCTTCGGCCCTATGCTACAGGATGTGGAGGTCCAGGCGCTGCAGAAGGTTACATTTGAAATTCTCGAGAACGAGCGGGCGAGTTCCATGATGAAGAAGAAGTCGGTCACAGCCAGCTCCACGCTGGCCGTTTACTTCTCCGACCAGCTCCTGAGCAGCTTTCTATCGCGTGTTATTGAGCTCCTCCGAGATCCTCACTTGACTCGCAGCAAGCGCAAACTGTACATCACCATCCTAGGCTCAATGGCGCGGTCAATCCCTCGCAAGTTCGGTCCATACCTCAAGACCTTAGCGCCTTTCGTACTGAGCGCACTCAGCGCACAAGAGCAGGATGAAGAGATGGACGCGTCAGACGACGAGGGCGAGCGGGACCCTGAAATTGACGAGGTTTTGGAGGCGGCACTTATTGCGCTGGACGGCTTCCTGGCCTCCTGCTCACAGGACATGCGCATGTATACCGACGAGACTATCGAGGCCGCAACACGCTTCCTCAAGTACGATCCCAATCTCGCACAAGATGACGACGAGGACGAGGACGAGGACGCCATGGTGAGCGACGAAGAAGATGCGCTCGAGGGCGAAGACTTTGAGGAAGAGGCTGGCTATGACGATGACGAAGATGCAAGCTGGAAGGTTCGCAGGTGTGCGGCTAAAATTCTGTACACAGTGATCTCGACGCGGAGTAACGGCGATCTACTAGATGATGGGACCCTCTACAACCGTGTTGCTCCAGCACTCATCACTCGATTCAAGGAGCGGGAAGACAATGTACGTTTGGAGGTTCTGGCCACGTTATCAAACCTCGTCAAAAAGTCAGGCGATGGACCCTCGCCCGTCAAGTTTGCCGATGAGCACACACAGGGTGGTTCAATGATGCCACCACCAAGCCGAAAGCGTCGTCGGGGCGGTAGTGACGCCAGCATGTTCGATCTCCATGCTAGTTCGTCCTTGTCCATGGGCTATGCCTCACCCGCACCTGCTGGTACACCTCCAGTTGGGCCCCGAGCCAGCCTAGCCAAGCTGAGCCCGGACATTGTCAAAGGAGTGGCGCAACTTCTCAACCAGTCGTCCTGCCCGCCCACCACGAAGCAAGCGTCAATCAGTTTAATAAAGGACATTGTCATCACTCAGCAAGGCGGACTTGAGGGATACCTAAACCAGCTCATTGAGCCGGTCGTGGAGGCCGCTCAAATCACCAGTGGAGCCACAAGCAGCGCATCCGCAACAGCAAACAGCTTGCGCATTCATGCTCTACAATTGATTGGCGCCATCGCTGATACCCACCCCTCGAAAGCTATTCAACCATATTTGGCGTCGGTCGTTGCCGCACTTCTCCGTGGAGTCAAGGACAAGTACAGTAAACTATCAATCGAAGCACTGGCAGCCACAGAACAGGTCATCAAGGCACTCACGCCACCTCGATCAGCCACTTCGGGTCCGCAGAACCAGGAGCACCTGGAACAACTATATGAGGCCCTGGTCAACCGGATAACTGCAAACGATGCCGATGTAGAAGTGCGGCGCAGTGCTATCCATGTATTGGGCCTGTTCCTTGGAAGGAGCTCTGGAACGGAAGGCCTCATTTCCCAGCAGAAGCGGGCGGCCGGAATGGAGCTTTTAGCCGAACGTTTGAAGAATGAACTGACACGCCTTGCTGCCGTTCGTGCTATTGGCTCGATTGCTGCTCACACGAAGGCAGAGAACGAGTTATCAGCCAAGTGGGTTCGAGGCGTCACACTAGAACTAGGTGCTCAACTACGAAAAGCCAGTCGTGCATTACGCGGTGCCAGCTTGAGCGGTCTGCGGACTCTAGCATTGAACCCCCTGTCACGAAGTCAGCTGGATGGTCAGACCAAGGCACAAGTTGTCGATATGCTGGTGCCGCTGCTGAATGCCACCGACCTTCATCTACTTGGCCCCACTCTTATTATACTGGCTACATTCGTCAAGGATGATGCGCAAACTATCATGACGCCGCATCTCAACGTCGCGCTTTGCCAGGTTGTGCAGGGCTCTATCAGTGGTTCGTCATTGGACGCCCTGCTAAAGCTTGTGCACATCATAGGTGAGCAGCGAGCTGGCCAGGCGCTGATGCAGTCTTTGCTACAAGATGTTGGTGTTACTGGACATGCAGATGTTGTGGGGAAGGTTATCGGAAATCTTTTGGTATATGGCGGCAGCAGCGTTGGTGTAAAGCTGGAGCAATTCGTTACTGAGCTGGAGACGGCTCAAGATGACAAGCGTAAATGCCTTGCACTTGTCGTGCTTGGTGAGTCTGCCCTGCGATTGGGATCACAGTCAACCGTTGATCCTAGATTGTTCATCAAACACTTCTCGGCCCAGTCGGACCAGGTACCACTTGCAGCTGCGGTAGCCCTTGGACGAGCGGGTGCCGGAAGTGTTAGCAAGTATCTGCCTGTAATTCTTTCGACTATGGGTTCGCCATCGGCTCCTCAGTATCTTCTCCTACACTCCATTAAGGAGATCCTTCAGCAAGACGATACTGAGTCAGAGATCATCCCATTTGCTTCAACATTATGGCAGAATCTCGTTGCGGCCTCTCAACTCGAAGACAATAAGGCGATCGGTGCGGAGTGTATCGGCAGACTTACAATTATTGACCCAAAGACGTACCTTCCTCAGCTCCAGGTAAGGAATATCAGACACGTACACCGACAATTACTAATTGATTCAGGCATTCTTGAATGACCGCAAAGGAAGCGTTCGCGGCATGGTCATATCTGCGCTACGATACACATTCACTGACACTGACGAAGCTTATGATGAGTACCTTAGGCCAATCGTTGTCCCCATGCTTGTCCAGATGCTTAACGAGCCCGACCTGGAGAATCGTCGCCTGGCCCTGATGACGTTCAACTCGGCTATGCACAACAAGCCTGACATCATTCTACCAGCATTGGATCAGCTTCTACCACTTGCTATGAAGGAAACGATCATCAAGCCAGAACTGATCCGCGAGGTACAGATGGGTCCGTTTAAGCACAAGGTTGATGACGGTCTGGAGATCCGCAAGAGCGCATACGAGACTCTTTACGCCCTCCTCGAGAAGGCCTTCGCTAGGCTGTCACCGATTGAGGTCTCTGACTTCTTCGACCGTATAGTCGCCGGCATCACGGACGAGCACGATATTCGCATTCTCTGTAACCTCATGCTCACCAAGCTCATGGCTATTGCGCCTGGTCAGGTTCATTCGCGCCTCGAGTCCATCGCCGAGAATTTCCGCGCCGTTCTGCTCATCAAGCCGAAAGAGAACGCCGTCAAGCAGGAGATCGAGAAGAACCAAGAAGGAGCTAAGGGCGTGTTGAAGGTCTCGGCTCAGCTGAACAAGCAGATGGGCACCGAAGGTAGTGCAGGCCAAGATGACCCGCAGCTGAGGGCTTGGTCGCAATACTGGGAATGGATTAGCAAGGAATATCAGGCTGGGTTGAAGACGGTCACGGATGAGATGAAGGAGCGTGATCGCTGAGCCTGATTGGGTTGGACGAGGACTACGATTCATGACAACACAGCAAGTTCATGGATGATAAATTTAGCGTATGCATAGCATGGGACCAAGACATTGGTTCGGTCCTAGAATGGACTACAGAACATGACACTATTATGTTCCCAAGGCCGAAACTAACTGACGCAACGACAAAGCCTTCATTAAAAACAAATATCCTCAAGGCGCACTATGTACTTTAGCGATGATAACTCTCCACGGCATTGCACGAAAGTCGGTTTGTGGAAGTCAGAGCTCGATTGGAGGTAGACCCACGTAGTCAGCAACGCCTTTCTTGAGGAACAACAATCTTCGTTCCTATATACATATTTACCATGACAAAGTTGAGAGAGATGGCTACATCAGGGTGATATCAATCTCGGTCTAACTGAACTCGTGTTTCTAAGCCCGGCTAAACCTGCCCAGGCTCACAACCCTCGATTACGTCAGCCACCCAAATCAGCCAACATGGACCAAATCAAATAGATAGTCATGCCTACTTGGAACTGGCGTTGCATCAAGAAACTGGTATATCCCCCACGATTAGAGAATTGGACCACCCACAGCGATGGGCAGAACAGAAAAATCCCAGGGTCTTGCCCCACCCGCCATCAGGAAAGACATGAGAGCAAAACAGGCGCGCCATATTGTTAACAAAGTCGTACCAGCGACGTTAGCATCGAATGCAAGAGCAAGGAGAGGTGCAGAGGATAGCGAGTTGATTGTTGACCCTGGGCCTGCAGTAGCTTTTGTAAAGGGTGAGGTTAAGGATGAAGTTGATGGTGGCGAGGACGCAGGGTATGTTAAGAGAAGGGGCCAGGGGCGCCGGAAAGCTAAGGGCGGCGGTGGTGAAGAGGTTTTTGATTTTAGAGATGGAAATACAAGTAGAGGCAAGGGACGAAGGAAGAGCATGAGGAAGACTGATTCGCTCGACGAGGCGTTGTCAAATCTGAGCGTAACATCTGCACCGCCACCACCATCACCAGACAGAGACCGCAGGATCCGAATAATATCGACTGATACCCTCACAGCTGCACATATGCTCACCTTCTCGTCACAGTATAGTAACACCGAGGCAAACCCGAGCAAGAAGGCCCCTAATGTCTGCATCCTCAACATGGCCTCTCCCCTTCGTCCAGGTGGCGTGTTGGTTTGGATTCCCAACACGTGATTCATTATATGCCCGACACGCTAGTCCGCATACAGACTAGCTTACTCTAGTTTTACTCCCTTTTATATATAAATATAGCTTCTTTTTATATATAAAATATTATTAATATAATTATTTTTTTTTAATTTTATAAGTTATAAGCCTCTTTGCGCACCTACGCGCAGTTTAGCTATAATAAACTATATTTTTTCTGCGCTACTATTGCGCAATTATATTAGTTACTTTTTAATTATAAAATTAACTTTAAAACTATAGTATTTATATTAATTTACTTAAGTTGCCTAACTACTACGTTATTTAAGAACTACTGCGTCTATCTAACTTACTAAAGCATTACTATATTAAGTATAATATAATATTAAATATGTTTTTACTTATAGTTAATACTAAGTAGGCGCTTAGTAAAAATTTTATTAAATTAACTAGTTCTAATAATTTTTACAAATAAGAGCATATTTTTAGAAAAGTTATTACTTAATAAAGCCTATTTAACTACTATAATAGTTTTATAGTTTAGTATTTTAAGCTTATTAAGCTTATTCTCCTACGCACTAAAATTATATTTAAAGCTATAATACTATTTTTTAAAAGTTAATACTTTTTTTTTAGCACTATTACTTCGCTTAGTAATAATAATAATACTGCCTAATTTAAGTATAAGGCTAAGTTTAAAATCTATAAGCCTAAGCTTTAACTTTATAATAAGTATTATAAAAAGTTACTTACTACTTTTTATTTTTTTAAAAATGCTATAAAAAACTATATTTAGGACAAACTTAATAACAAATAGAAAAAAAAGCCTTATACAGCCTAAGCTAATATTACTAAAATTTACTAAATTTTAAATTTAATTATTATTTATTATACTAAAGTAAAGCTAGACGCTTTTATACTTATAAATTCTTCTACTATCTGCCTGCTTTTTGCTAAGTTTAAGCACTATTATAAAAATATTAATATTACTAAAAGCTTTTTTACTTATACTATTTTAATTTATAAAATTAATAAAATTTTTCTCTTATAATAGTACTATACTTTTATTAAAATTTAGAACTTTTTTTACTTTAAAAAGAAAGTTATTACTTAAGAAACTTAAGTAAACTACTAAAATTTTATTACTAAATATGCTAATAATTATAAGGACGCCTAAAATACTACTAAAGACAAATTTAATAATACTAGCAATGCCTATACTAATAGTAATAGTAAGAATAACAGCAAGAGTAATAGTAATAGAAAAAGCAAGAATAATAACAAAAATAGTAACTATAATATAAATAATAGCTTTATATATAGTTACTATAGCTATACTAATTATACTATTAAGACCTATTACTATATTAGTAAGCCTAATACTTTTAAGTGCATTAGCTATAGCAAACTTAGATATATTAAAGCTACTTATTACAAGAAGTAATAAAATACTAAAAATATTAAAAATGCAAATAATAGTTATAATTTTAATTTTACTATTACTAATAATTTCTATTTTAAGCGCATAATTGCAATAGTAATTAATAATTCTAATTTTAATTTTTTTTATATTTTAAACTTTAAATATATATACTTTACCCCTAACTGCTTTTTTATATTTAATATATAATAAAATTATAAATATAGGCTAGAAACAAGTACAAAGGGGGCTATTGCAAATAGTAATAGTTAAAGTATATAAAATTTAAATAAAATTAATAAATTATTTATATAAACTGTATATGCAGTTTTAATACTACTAACTTTTTTTAATTATTAGATTTGTAATAATAGTGCTTTTTATTATATTACTAATAATTTATTTCTTTTTTTTAAGCTTAAGCCTTATAGAAAAACTATTAGAAAATGCAAATAAAAATCTTAATTTAATATTATTAGCGTAAGTAATATTAAATTTATTATTACTAATTTATATAGCAAATCTGCTATTTTTAAACTATATAATATATAATATGCCTTTTAAGCATGCTGCAACTTACTATTTTTATTATTTTTTATATAGTTAAACTTTATTATTATAGTTACAGGCACTGCTATAAAAGTATATAAAAAAAATATTAAAATAGAGTTTATATATACCCTGCTTTACTTTTAAGCAAATATTTATATATTTTAGTTTTAGCGCTTATCTGCGCTTCCTATTGCTGCTACTGCTATTAATTTTAATAACTTAGTTTAGTTAAAATATTATTATTTTAGTTATTTAAGTTTTAATAGTATGCAGATACTGCTTAAAGTAAATAAAAAATTTAAAATTATAGATACGCAAATTAAAGTTAAAATTAAAAATATTTATTTTATTTGCTATATTATTTGCGCACTTTATAAAATTTTTTGCAATTTAGCCTACTATTACTATAAAAAGTTTAAGCAACTTATTACTATAGATATATAAAGACTATATCCTGTACTAAGCCTAAAAGGCAAAAAGTATGCGCTATTCTTTATTAATAATACTATTTAATTTACTTAAATTATTTTATTTATTATTAAAGATAAAATTGCAAAGCTCTTTACTACGCTTATTATATATATATTTATAGAATACAGCAAACTTATTATTTGTATATAATATAATAATAAATTTCTATAATACTTTATTTAGGCCTTTTGCAATAGTAAAAATATTACTATTAAATTTAGCATTTTATACGCTTACTATATAGTTAGCGCAATTAAGCGCTTTTATTAGATTATATATAAATATACTTTAGCTATAATTAAAAATTTTGCACTTTCTTTTAATATAATTAAATTTATTATTAACTATACTAAAGAAATACTGCGCAGTGCTACCCTACTAAAAAGCTTTTAAATATATGCTATATAAAAAGCTATTAATAAAAAAAACTAAGCTCTTATAAAAGCACTATAAGATAAAAAAAATTTTTATAAAGTTTTTTATAGTAAAAAACCTAATTTTAGCAAAGATAATGCGTAAAGAGTATAAATTTATATTACTATGCTTTTTAAATTCTGCGTTACTATTACTACTTAATAAAAACTTTATTTTTTATAAAAATATATTGTATATTTTCTATGCGCAGATAGTAAAAATATTTGCTAAGTCTAGTGCTTTAATATTAAATAAGTTAAGCGCATTTTTATAGCTCGCATTAATAATATAACTAGTATAAATAATACTTATTTTTATAGTTAGCATATTAATAACTGCGTACTATAAGAGCCTGTCTAGGTACTAGATACAGTACCTAAGTTAGACAGTAACAATAATAATAGCAATAATAGCAATAATACTATATCTATTTTTAATAGCTATTTTTTTGCGCTATCTGCTCTTATAAATAAATTTTTTAATAATAAAAACTTTATAAAGCAAATATAAAAAGTAATATATATATATAACTTTATATATATTGCTTAAACTAACTATTACTACTAGCAATGCTAAAGTTGTTTTTTAGAAAGACTAAACTTGTTACTAGTATATATACTAGCACTATTAATATAGTTTTAAAAAATAGCACGTAAATAATATTTAAGCATACTACTTTTTATTCCTACTATTATTTTACTTTACTTTTATATACCTAATTATAAACAGGCAACCTAATTTTAAGTAAAAAAAAAAGTAGCTGCTAAGTATAAGTTTATATTCTAAATTTACTTAAATTATAAAATTTTGTTTTTTAAATAGATAAATAGATTTTTTCTAAATTTTAGGAATACACATTTTTAAAAATTACTCTATAGACTAACTACTTTATAATATTATATCTAACCTGTAATTAACTATATAATATTTTAATAGTACTATATAATTATTAAATGCACCTGTATAAATACGTATAATTATTAACTTTACTAATAAAAATAATAGCACCTGCCTAAATAAAAATATAATTATTAATTTTACTAATAAAAGCAATAGAAATAGCTTATTTAGCCTTTTTAATAATAGTAATAATATTTTACTTAAAAATATTATTTCTAACTTATAGCTTTAGCTTAGTAATAATAATACTACTATAGCTAGCTATAAACTACTTATTAATTTTATATTCTAAAAAATATTTCTAGAACTACAACAATTCTTAGACAAGGATAGTTATAGCTTAGTAAATAGTAGTAATAATAAAAAACTTAATTTATTTAAGCTACTTAGAACTATTAAGCTTATTAATAATATTTATACTTACTATTTTATATAATAAAGGAAATGCTTAACTTTAAGTAATAATATAAAATATAATTAGTATACTAAAAAGAATACTAAGTACATTCTATCTATAATAAAAAAACAGCAGTATATTTAAAACTGCTGCAGATAATATAAAAAAACTGCAAAGGCTTTTATATGCATAAAATTTTTATACAACTACTATACTATAACTAATAAATATTTAAACTATACACTAGTATAAATATATATATAGCAAATACTACTTAAAGAGCAATAATGCGCTATATATTAAAATTATAAAAAATAATTTTATAACCCTTGCTAGATACTTAAGCTATTATAATATAATAGTTAATATTTATATAATATATATATTACAAACAGCAATATATACACAGCTTTTGCTAATAAAAACAATAATTTTTGCAATTACTATATTAGAACAGACTTTAAGTATAACTAAGCTATTCTATACTTACTTTATATAAGTAATAGCTTTTTATATAAATGCTATAGTAATAATAATATTATATAAACAGCTTACTACTCTAATAAAAAACTTAATTATTTTAAATTTAGTATCTGCATAGCCTATAAGTCTACTAGACAAAGCTGCGCAGAAAGTTATCTGTATATATAGTATATAATAATAAAATATTTATATATATATAAACGCAAATAGATGTGTATAATAAAAATAAGAGACAATATTTTTATTACTAAAAAAAAAGCTGTATATATAGTTTATAAAAAGCTTAATAGCTATAAATATATAATATTTATTATTACTTATAATCTAGAATACAAGGGACATAGATTTAGATTATAAGTACCTATAAAAGACAGTTGTTTTACAGGACTTTGCAATAGTAATAATAATAATATATTTAATAAAAATATTTTTAATAAAAACTTTTTTTAGGCTAATTAATTTGCCCTTTCTATATACAATTTTAGGCAGACTTTAGATATAAGCATTACTATTAATAATTACCTAAATAGTAATTTTACAAATTTACTAGTTATAAAAAGTAATATATTGCTTAATAAAAATTTTTAAAATTTATATAACTAGCTTGCCTTTATAGCTATTATAGCATTTTTTGTTTATACACTACGTAACTATAAAAAAGCTATAATAATACTTAAAGTAAAAGTATAGCGCAATGCAATAATAAAAAAATTTAATTTGCTTTTTAAAAAAAGTGTTTATAAAATAGTTTTTTTGCTTAAAAATAAAAAAACTATTTTTATTAAAATAGTTTACAAAGTTAAACTTATACTAATTAGTAAAATTACTAAGTTTAAAGCTCGCCTTATTACTTGCAATTTTTAATAGCACTTTAGTATTAATTATACTAAAAAAATTTTTTTATAGCTTGCTTTATATTTATACGTATACTACTTGCTATCTATACACTACTTAAATAAATAAGTATATAAGTTAATATTACTATTGCTTTTTTTAATGCTATACTTTAAAAAATAGTCTATTATATATTACTACTTCTAATTACGCTACTTTTTAGCTATATATAGCTGTTATTTAAGTTTTTTTATAAGCTTGTGCAAGCACCTTATGCATAGTATAAAATACTTATTATAAAGCTTATATAAATAAGTTTTTATATTTTACTTTATAATAGCTACGTTTATATATATACTACGCAGAAGCTAATTATTTTAGTCTATATTAATAATATTTGTATCTACGCTCTGCACTAAAATAGTATTAATATATTTAAAAATAAACTATTTAATACTTTTACTATTACATTAAAAAACTTTAATGCTCTGTATTTAAGAATGTATATTAAATAAAGCATAAATATAATAAAAATTTACTAAGCTAAATATATTTAGCAACTTTTTAATTACTATAATTTTAGCAATATAGCTATTACTAAAATTCTGTATAATTATCGCGTTAAGTTAAAGTAAGATAATAATAATATTACTACTTTTGCTTTTAAAAAAAAATATTTTTAAAAATTTAGTTTTTTTAACTACTTATTAGTTATAATGCGCGTTAACCTAGCCTATATTGCGTTTTTTTATAGACATTTTAATAGCAATCTAATATAATATTATATAAATGTAATAATTAGAGCGTACGCCTATATAAATAGTATTTATAAAATTAGTATTATATACAAAAAATAGGAACTTTAGCTTTTAGGCTATATTAACGCTAACTAGGCTAAATATCCTAATTTTTAATATTTTACTACTAGCTATATTTTTATGCTAGCAGGAAGTCCTATTTTATAATTATTTATTATATAGAAAGTTATAGCCTAGTCTATATATAAAGCAGAATATATAGCTTTTAGCAAAACTATAAAAAAAAGCTATATAGATTAAGTTATTTATTAACAATTTTAATATAAGTATTTACTTTAACACAGTGCTTATATATGTTAATAATTAATTAGCTATTAAGCTTGCTAAAAACTTAGAATTTTACTAATGTAGTAAGTATATTAATTTTTATTATTATTTTTTCTGCGATTATATTTAACAAAATTCTATTATAATTAAATAAATTAGTAATAAAGAAAATCCTGCTAATATACTTATAAAAGCTTTAGACCTTATTAAGTTTAAAGCAGTCTGCTAGAATATTAGTTTTATTAACTAGGCACTTGCTATAAGTACTTTTTTTAACCTACTTAGTATAAATATAAATAATGTTATTATTTATAACTACAAGCTTTATAAAGCAGAGTAGTATTTTATTATATATATATTATAGCAAGAACAAGCTTAAGAAAACGCTAAGCGTATTTAAATTTTAAAGTTTAAATAGTTTTATACTACTTATAGTATTACAAAAGACTATATAAAAGTATAGTTTAACTATATTAGAATTTATAACTATTATAATTATAAAAAAGAAGCGTATAATTATAACTTTATATAGCTTTGCTATAGCAAACAGCATACAAATTATAATTTTAATATAAAGTACTCTTACTAACGTATTACACAGGCGAGTTAGTTGCCTAGTTAAGTTAGTTATAATACTAAGACCCTACTAAAATTAGTAGTTCTTTACTATTAAACGCGATGCTTTAACACAACAATATATAATTTTTTTAAAAAAAAAACTAAATATAGCTTATAGTTTAGGCTTTAAAATATAATGCAAATTTTTCTTAACAAAAAGCTGCGCGGATTTATAGCATTTTTTAAACAATATTTAGTAATTAATTAAAAGGAAAGCTTCTATAATATAATACTAGGCCTAATAAGATAAGGCTTTTTTTAATAAAAAAAGAAGTAATTGCCTAGTATATACTCTACTTTAAAAACTAAGGATTTCTGCCTTAACTAGCTGCTATAAATAATATAGCTAATACTTTGCTAGCTAAATATAGGCAACTACTTATTAGTAGGAACTAGGCTAGCACGTTTATTAAATAATATTTATAGCTTAGTACTAAAACTTTTTAAAAGTATAACTACTAAAGAGCTTTATATAAAGATCTTAAGCTTATATAAGGCTAGTTCTAACTTATAAAAAATATAAAAGCTAAGCATAGTATTTAAAATAAAAATATATATAACTTTAATAAGACAGGCTTTATAATAGGCTAGATATTATATAAAACTATTGTCTTAAATACTAACTATTAAGGATAGCTAAAAATAGTGCAGCAGGGTAATTAAGAATAGGTAATAGTAATTTAAAGCATTAACGCAATAAAGTAGGCTATTTTACTTTTTATTATTTTTATAGGCAAGAACTACCTCTTAGCCTAGTATAAAAAGAATAGCTTACCCTATAATTAAGTTATTATAGTTTCTAAGAATAGCTAGATAATAAATAAGCTTACTTTTAAGTAATTAAAGCACTTTAATAAGCATACTAAAGAAAAAGTTATTAGTACTTATTATTTATTTATTATTAATAGTTATAAGAGCTACGCATTAGTCTAATTCTAGCAGTACTATAAAAAATAAAAAATTATTACTTTTTATATACTTTTATATTTGTTGCACCTGCTATAGCTACTTAATATAAGTTATTTTATGCCTTTAAAAAAAGTATATAAGTGCTAAGCTAAAAAGCTAATACGCAATAGCATTAACTATATTACTAAAATTAAGTTTTTACTATACTTTAAACTAGCTTTTAATGCTACTATTATAAAGAGTAATATCTTAAATAGCTTTAGAAGCGCTAGTTTAGTTTTTTTTAATTTTAAAGCTATAATATTAAAACTTAATATTTAGTTGCGTACTTTACTACTACTTACTATTAAAAATAGTCCTTAGAAGTTAAAAATACTAAGCAATACTTTAAAATTTAAGTTTTAATTAATGCTAGTTAAGATAAAAATTTAAAGGCACTTAAATAGTTTTTTTACTTTAATAGTTAAAGCTTTTAAAAAAGTTTTAAAAAGTGCAGCTATAGTCGCGCATAAACTTATATTAGTGTAAAAAAAAATTGCTAAGCTTTAAGCAGCTAATAAGGCTGCTATATAATAAAAATTATATAAAAAAAAGCAAGTATAAAAAAAAGAGACCCTTATAGTAAAAAACAGTTTTTAATTAATAATTCTAAAAGAGTTTAAAGCGCGTAGTAATAAGAAAAAGGCAAAAAAGTAAGTGTATACTAAAGTAGGTAAGCCTTTTTAAAGGCGCTATAAATATTATAGTAAAGCTAGGTATAATACGCGAATATATAAGCAAAAAGTAAAAGTAGTTTTTAAATAAATTAGCTTATTATAATTTACTACTATAGTTTTTTATAGTACTATACTATTGTGTATAGTACTAATTTTAGTAAAGTTTTAGCATTATAACTAACTTAACCGGGCGACTAACTCACCTGTGTAATACGTTATAGTATAATACTATAAGGCTGCTATTCTTTCCTTCTTTATATTTTATCCTGTGTTAGGATTTAGGGGGGCTATTAATTTAGATTCCTAATACGTAATTTATTATATGCCTAACACGCTAGTCTGTATATAGACTAGCTTACTCTAGTTTTACTCCCCTCTGTATATAAACATAGCTTCCCCCTACATATAGAATATTATTAATACGATCACCTTTCTTCAGTTCTACATGGCGGCGTACTCACTGGCGCGACATCGCAAGAAGAAACCCTCTGCACACGTACAACGCTACTTCCATCGCTCAAAGAGTCCTTCTACCGTCTCCCTGAGCTCGGCGGCATTTGGACATCGGACGTGCTCGTTCTAGGGTCTCATCTCCCTCTCGACAATAGCAAGGGCGAACTAGGGCCTAGTGAGAAGTATTGGATTGATGTCATATCAGCGGGCATGCTTCGATTCCCGGACTTGGAGGACGACGGAGCTGGGGCGAAGCGGTTGGGGCGTAAGGATGCGGAGATGGTGGAGGCGAAGATGCGTGCGGTGCTTCGCATCGCTGCGAGCAAGGGGGCGAAGAAGCTGGTCCTTGGTGCATGGGGTTGCGGTGCTTATGCCAATCCCGTCCCAGATGTTGCGAGGGCGTGGAGGAAGGTCCTCGACGGTGCAACCAACCCTACTAGTAGCAAAGGCAAAGGCACTCTGGGAAGGGAGACTTGGCCTGAAGTTGAGGCTGTCATCTTCGCCATCAGCAACCGCAAAATGGCGGTAGACTTTGCCCAAGCATTTGGAAACGATATTGAAGTCGAAGCCGGCCCTGGAAACACTACGGAGGAGGAAGATGAGGAGGTGGAGGAGGAAGACAAAGAAGCCGAAGAGTTACGAACTCGGATCCAGGAGATGGAGGGTCAGTTGAGCAAAGTCTGGAATCCAGATCTCAGGTCGAGAATGGGTGTCATTCTCGAAACGCTGAAAGCGCAGCTCCGCGAGCGAGGCGGTGCCACTGGTAACGAAGACGAAATCATGGGGCGTACAGCTCTACCTACAAATGAGGATGCAAGGTCAAGCGCATACGATGAACAGGGAATGACTGCTATTAGCAGTCAGGCAGACGTTGGAAGCGACGATGACGAAGAGGAAGATGACGGAGGCGAAGGGAAAGATCTTAACGGTTGACAATGGGCAATTGGTGAGCTCAATTGTGCAGCGTTGGTTATGGGTTATGCGCAATTACCGGCCTTCCCATTTTATATAGCCTCGAGAAGTGAAAAGGTCTAATTTTATACTTTTTGTAATTCATTTTCACCTTGGCTTTTCTATCTACCTTTTTACAGCCTTTACTATTGCTATGCTCGGTTCTTTACTTAGGACCTTTTCAATATACTAAATCTAGTTTACTCGAATTTGCCGGGTCTTACCTATTATTAACAACTCATGCTGTTCGTTGCAGTAATACATAGAAGACCAAGACAATAATACATGAGCGTTTACAGGTAGCATGTGTAGGGAATTAGTTCTATCTTCCCAGTGCATATAATACTCCTGTGCTGCTCCCGGCGTATATAAAATCGTATTTGTGTAAATTTAGCTCGCGATAATGTACAAGACCCTATAGTCGACGTGAAGAACCGTATACGCTACAAGACACTGTCCAGCCTAGCTCATCAACTCCTGTGCCTCATTACCCACCTTTGCCTTTGGCGCTGACCTCCTTCCCCCAACATTTTTCTTCGACGAAGGCGCACTTCCCGTCCGACCCGTCTGCGCGGGCGCTTTGGCCGCACTTGCGCCCCCCGCGTTCTGACTTTCTACTGCAGCCTCGTGCTCAATCTTGTTGACGGCTCGGGAGATGGCCACGCTGTAGCCGCCGATCCAGTCGCTCCAGCTCTGCTTTCCGGCACTATTGTCGACAGACACTTCCATCGAAGAGCTCATAGATTTGGGTTTCGGTCGCTTGGGTGCGGAGGAAGCTTGCGAATTTGACGCTTTGGAGATAGGGGTTTGTTGTTCCCGCAAAGCCGCCGCTGCTCTTCGTTGGTCAAGGAAACCTCTCGCTACGCTCTGAGCCGCCGAGACGCCGCTTTGGATGGTCTTGACATCGTCCATGCTGACATTCGTGGGGAGTGGGATGCGGTAGCTGCCTGAGAGGGTTACGTGTCTGTTCCCAACGCCTTTGTTTTCCTCCAAGCCTTCGCCACTGCGTGGTATTTCTTCCACATCATCATCCTCTTGCGAGACAGTTCGCTTGTTGCGCGGGCGGAACGACTCCAAGTCCTGACGTGCGACTTCCAGTTCTCCTTCCAGACGGACGAGCTCTTCGTCTGCTTCTTCTTCGTCATCTTCAACCTCCTGTACTTTGGCAGCGTTGTTGATGGTGGGGACCTGAGTAGCAGAGGAACCCTTGCGACCTTTGCCGCGCCGACGTGGTGAGCGTGCTGGTCGTACGTCTCCACCAGTATTATACAACTCCTCTACTTTAGCCTCTAATCCTCTCACACGAGATTTAAGTGCCTCGAGCTCGGATGTCGGTTCCGGTTTTCGCTCAAGTGTAGACGTATTCACAGCTTGCTGAGCTGGAGTAGACGTAGGCTCCTTGTTCAACTTCCTAGGCTTGCGTCGTGGCTTGTTTGCTGTAGTCGTCGCCTCTGATGCCACATCTTTCACGGCCAAGTTAGAAGGAGCTTTCGTTGCTAGCTTCGCCGTGCTCGTACTCTTCACCCCTTGATCTTTCTCCAGTACAATGCCACCCGCTGATCCTGCTCTTCCTGCATTGCCCTCCATAGATTGGCTCGAGCTGGCAGCCTTCCTCGATCTGGCTTGCTTTGCTGACGAGGTCGTTGTCGACGTAGGCCCGGGCGATAACGGCTTGGATGCCATTGAATTTCTGATTCTACAGCAAATTTCAAGAATGGATCAGATAATTTTTGGCAGATTTTCGAGTATCTCCTTCCGCACGCCACGGCTTAATCACCAGTGTTGACTTTGGAAATTCGTTTTGGAAACTGCAGGGTGCTTCCTCAAACAGTATATGCGAAGATTCGAGCAAACAGGGCACGCAAGTAGAGCTTGAAAGATGTGGAGGATGTCTAAAGTCAAATCAAGATATCGAGGTCGGACACGGAGCTGGGCACGTCTGACGTATGAGGGGGCGCATGAGCAAGGATCATAAGAGGCTGAACCTGGTCTAGGAGCGATCTACGTAACGGGCGAACACCAACGTCTTTTAGTGGCTGTCTTGTCTTACAGGGTTTTAATGTCGGCATCGATGTGTTTAAGGTTTATATGAGAGGAGGCGGCTTGGGGTCAATCATATTTCCTGAACAAAGCATGCGAAAAGTCACAACTTGTATAGCAAACAAGAACAAGCAAGCAACTAAAACATCTAGCAGTGGAGTGGATAACCCATTTGATATTCTAACCTGCAAGTAGGTACATGCCTGAGCCCTCTTATCATCTAATTTTGAAACATACATGATCTCGTCGAGGTTCATCACCATAACAGCAAGCATGAGCGGATTCCAGGTTACCTCACCACCCAGAGACGGTATGGTATCCGAGAGGAGATCTTCGCAAGGATGAAATGCCCTACATTTTGCAGAATCCGAACATAAGGAACAAGGCAACGTTGCAAGTCGGAAACCGTAACTTTTGAGAAGCGAGGAGCGCGAAAGACCGAAATATGTTCGGGTATGGCTGACAGACTCTTGAAGGATCTGTAAATGGAAGTCGTAGAGGTGCCGCCGTCAGTCGTGTTGAATGCAATGATGTTGAAAGAAACCCCAAACAAAACACAGCTGTCCATGAACTGAACAGACAGTAAAGCCCTAGAATGAGAGGGACACCACCACGCCGTAAAATATGCGCGACGCTGCGATCATCCCAAATACAAAAACGGGAGTAAAAGGGCAGGAAGGGCCAGTTTCAGCCATTAGATACGTCCACCTAAGACGCAATAGCACGAGCTGGAGCGCCTCCTCCGCGACGGTTGTTCTTCGCGCTCTTCACGGGCTTGGTAACGGTACTCCAACCGTCGTCCTCGACAGCCTCAGTGGTAGTCTCGGCTGGCGCAGCGGGAGTGCTAGACTTCCGCCTCCACGAAGCTTCGGCCTTTGGTGGGTCGCGCACAGCTTCCTGTGGCTTCACACCCTTGTCATCGACAATCTCGCCGTCAGCGTCCTCATCTTGGCCCGCGGAATCACCGCCCTCTTCAACTCGCTGGAGAATCTCGAAATTGGCGCGTGGCTTCTCTTCTCCACCTTCCTCTTTCTTCTTTTCGGTCGGGGTCGCAGGAGCCGAGTCCTTTGATGCTGCTTTCTCCGCAGCTTCCTTTGCCTTCCTCTCCTCGCGAGCCTTGTCATCCGCCTCCTTCTTCTGGCGTATCGCGAGCTGCCTCTTCTCTTCGATTTCCTTCTCGCGCCCAGCGGTATCAATGGGACGAGCGGCGCCGAATGGATTTGGCTTGTCTGAGTGTGTCTCTGGCGCAGGTTGAGCCTCAGAGACAGTTCGCTTGGCCAAGTTCAGTCGGGGACGACCGGCAGGTGCAGCGGGTTGAGGTGCTGGAGAAGAGGGAACACTGGCGTCAGGTGTGGCTGTGGGAGACTGAGCAGGCGCATCAGGGCGCATCTTGGTGCGCCACTGGTTGTCGAGCTCAGGAGCAGTCGGTTGCCTATCTTGTTGCGGCCTTTCGCTAGGCTGGAACTCGCGGCGCGGTCCACGAGAGCCCTCGCCTCCTTGACCCTCACCCCAAGCTGGAGACTGACGACGCCCCTCGCGGGGTGCTCCTTCAAAGGTTCGCGGCCTGCCGCCCTCCCGTGGAGGCCCGGCTGAAGCAGCAGATGGAGAAAGCGGTCCCTTTCGCTCCCAGTTTCCGAAGTCGCGCTCCTTGCCATCACCTGCAAAAGGAGGAGGGCGGCGGCGTTCACCGCCGCGCTCACTACCCGCATCAGATCCTGCATCAAAGCCACGTTCACGGTTAGACCCGAAGCCGCCTCGGTCGGATGTGCGGCGCTGGCCGGGAAGATCTGGAAGGGGTCCCTTTCGTGTCCAATCTGTGATTTCCCTGGTCTCAGGGCGGTCTTTGGCTGCCAAGCTGTCAGTGTCTTACTCGACCGACATGTAAATGCGACACGTACGTGGTTCTGCAACGCTGACCCGGACGTTTCTGCCCTGGAACTGCGTGCCAGACAGGTCAAGAGCCTTTTTCAGCCCTTCGACGGTGCCAAACTCGACGTAGCCGAAGCCCTTGGGCTTTCGGTCTAGCTTGTCCTCGACAATGCGCACGTTGGTGACGTCGCAACCGGTGAAGAAGTCGTTTACGTCACCGTCGGTGGCGTCGAAGGACAGGTTGCCCAGATGGGCGGTATACGGCGGCTTCGAGGGGAGGGGGAGTTGCTCGCGTACTGCGAAGCCACGGTCGGCTGTGAATAGACATTAGCGCACACACATGGGGAACGTCTTGGGCGGCTGCCTACCAAAGCTGCTGGTGCTGCGGTCACCAAAGCCACCACTCGAGGCGTACGAGGGCCTGTCGCCTCCATAGCCGGCGCGGGCACCACCTAACAAAGTGTGAGTATACTGACATGAGTGGGGATTCCGTGCGGGTCGGAATTTTGGCGGGGAAGTCTTTACCAGCTGCTCCTGTCAGAGTTAGTACTTGCAGAGACTCGAGGAGACGGATGTATCCCACTCACCAGGCATTGGCGCATCCTCCATCTCGTCAGCCCATGATCCCAGCGCTGTTGTCTGTCAGTCTTCTGCCCTCGCGGCCGACCCGATGTGGGGGAGGGGGAGGGGGAGGTTGCGGGGCGTACTTTGGTCAACAAGGAAGTCTCCCAGGGACATTTTCTGCTGTTCCTTCTTCTTGGGCGCTGCAAGTAGGGGCATTAGCCTGGGTTCATCAAATTCGTCGCGGTGCAGAGCGGGGCGAGGGACGCCGCCTGCCGTTTCCGCACACACCGGGAAGGCTGCCTACCCATGATTGCGGTTTCTAGGCAACGCGCAGTCGAATTCCGCGCGCAGTGTGGAGAGGTAGTGAAGGCGAAATTGGTTCTTCAGAGAGTCGTGGGCGTGGTAAGGTGCTACTTGGACTCGTTGGGCGTTACAAAGTGGAGCCCACCACGGAAATCTCAAAGGTCGTGGAAAGTGCGAAGCCGCTTAGTCATGGAAAATCAACCACGACCAGCAACATTACGAACGCCGAGCCCCCGACTGCACACGGCACTGCACTGCACTGCACGCACTGCACGCACTGCACTGTACCGCACCGCATCGCACCACAGGACCGGCGAATGGCATCAATGAGAGAGCCATGAACACGCAGCATGACCCGCAGCATGTGACGCAACCCCTAAATGTCGCCCGCAACGCGGCATGGGTTGGTGGAGCCGCTGGTACGTACACTCCATCGACACCAGACACATTGCCTCATCACGTGTTCCCACATACATGCCCCTACATTGAGCTTAGACGCCGGGCCTCAACACATCCTTATGCCTCTTCTCCTCTTCCCTTCTGACCCCCGTCCATGCCTTCCAATCATCAAGTCATCTAACCATTCTCAGCAATTCCCGGCACCGTCATTGGCGCCTTCTATGGCACTCTCCGCACCCAGACTCCCGTCCTCTTCTCAGTCATCTCAGGAGCGCAATGGTTCGCCATCGGCACTACTTTCTGGGCCGCCCGGACTTCGGTCCTCAACCAAGATGGCCTACTGAACTGGTGGAACATCACTCGTGGAGTACCCTCTCATCTTCGCAATGATCTCAACCCCACCCTGAAGGACAAGGTCCGCGCCTCAACCATAGCGGGCGCATGCACTGGCTTCAGTCTAGGCTTTCTCTTTCGAGGACCTCAGAATGTGATCCCAGGCACCATCATGTTCACTCTCTTTGGCTGGGCGGGGCAGCACGGCTACAACTACCTCGATGCCAGGAACTCTAGTGAGCTCCGGGAGCAGGCGCAATTAAGAGAAAAAGGGGGAGACTCGCCAAAAGAAAATTTTATGCAAAGAATCGCCAAGAGCAAATGGAGTCCCATGTCTGTGCTTAGCGATGAGGAGTATGTCAGCTTGATGCAAGAGAAACTTTTGAAGGTCGAGGCAGAGATAGCAATCATTGATGACCGGATCGAGGGGTTCAGGGCAAAGGCAAAGGCAATGGAAGTGCAGGAGAAGACCAAGCAAGCACCGGAGCAAGTACCAGAGAAGGAGTGAGGTCCAGCCACTGCCAGGAGTCATTTTCATAGCTCGGAGTGATGACGTAAGATGTTTCGATGTCTTCTTAGATTTTCTCTGTAAACTTTTGTCTGTCTGTGACAATTTCGGCATGCGACATCTATCAGCATAAGCTTTGACCACATGTTCAGTTTCAGGTCTCACTATCTCCTGTCCGCAGTGTGGCCATCAGTCGCCCTGTCTCGTTTGTCACTTTTCACATCATCATCATTCACTGTCTTGGCATACACTACATCTACGTGGTAGTGACAACCATTTCGAACAGCGATTCCTCGATATGCTAATATCTCGTAGTTACTTCTGCATTCACACTGTACTTTGTTCTTTCGTGGCGGTCTTGGATACAAGAAGCACAGTCACCGCTGGCGCGACAAAATACATGGTAGTGACCTAGAACTCTTCCTCACTTGCTACAGCCTGGGACGCTGCTATAGACTCTGAGTCCTTAAAGCAGAAACACCAAAGGTGTCTAAAGGCCTTCAGACTGCGTCGCTCATCTCGTTCGACGACACGCCCTAGGTCAAACATGCTAGCACACGGCACGTCGATACTCTCACGAATGCAGAGATCACACAATCTCATCATCACTCCCATTACCATCCGTCTCGCTTCACCTTACCTCGTCATCGCCGGCGTCGGAGAAACCACACGGCACGCAAACGCAAACGCACGCGCGCCTTCACCTGAAATGATGGCCGTCGCACCGCCCCGCACCAAAGACCCTCATGTTTACCTATACCGCCTATATACTGAATTTATTCCGGCCTACTCTCATCAAACAAGCAGCCCAGCTGAAGGTCGAGAGGCGGGACCCGTAGTGAGCGTTCCTCACTCCTGGCACCCGGGTTAATCCCGCCAGACCGCCGTCACCTGTGCGCTCGTTCGAATCCCACTCAAACCTGAGTGCGAACGGAAAACTGGGATTCCAAAGTGGCATCGCCCGGTTTACGTCGCACTCCCTTCGGGGAGTGTGCTTTTTTGCTGTTTTCCCGCTTTCTTTTTTTTATTCTATCTATATGTATTATACGGAACTATCATGTGAAGGTATATTAACAAAGGTTTGTCGCGTAAAAGCGCAGAGTATACAATCCTAAAACTATACAAGCTAGCTACTGCAGCAGTCCCTAAGTAGCGCATCTTTAGGAGCCTTATATATAGTAGCTTTATACAATGTTATTAGCTTCTGGCGCGATATCACTTTTAGCATCTTCATTCTGTGCAGCGGGCGCAACGTTACTTGCTGATGGCGAATGCATAGCCCTCGCAGACCCTGAGCTTGAACTTGAGCTTAGGTGACTTGCGGGCGACTTTGAGCTATCCTCCACCGATTCCATGCCGTCAGTACCTTCTTTGACAGACCCCGCCTTTGACTCCCCCGCTGCTGTAACTTGGTCTCCTCCGTCGCCTTCTTTAGCGTAATCCATACCCGCCCTCACCCCATACATCGCCATGCCCAGCAGCCCACCTGCTCGTTTCTTCGGCCTGCCCTTCTTCCACGAGGCAACAGTGTATGGTCTTTTTCCTCTGCCGCCTGCAAGCCAGCAGAGCGTTGGTGGAAGACGATCTGTGTCTAGCAAACACGAGGATGAGCCGGCACCGCCTCGGAGATGAGGGCTCAGGTTGTTGAGAGAAGGGGATTTAGAGATGCCGGGCTTGTTAATTAGTGAGTCTGCGTGTTTGCGAAACAATGGGGGGCGTCGGAGGTAGGACATGTGGGGTAGGGCATGGTTGTGTGAATCAGTCCCAAGGACGGTTGCTAATTGTAAAGATGTCGCTCCGTGGCCACCCCTCGAGATGTGGGCTGGTAGAGGAACCCTTCCACATGCCCTTTTACTGGCTCGGACTACACTCGCTGGGTCAGGAGTGCGTGAAGGTGGGAGATCAGCGTCGCTATCTACGTCGCTACTATGGGAAAGACACGACCCAGTCAAGAGCCACGTCTTCAGTTTGAAGCCGCAGTTTTGCTCTGGTGATCGCTTCCCTGCGCTGCCCCCTCTCAGTCTTGATGCTGTACTTTGGGACCCACCTTTGAGTTCTAGGCGTCTACCGCCTACTTTCGGTGTAGCACTTGTTTCTGGACTGCTGGAAGTAGACTGGCTTTCAGAGGGTTGAGGAATAGATCTCGTTGGTCGATAATATCCGGCTTGGGTTCGTGGTGGTGGTGAACGCCTTCGGTACACTTCGTTATTTTCCAGCTCCATGTTCAAACTTGTAGGTCGCTCACGCCTCGTGTTACCTACAACCACTCTCCCAGTAGCCTCCACTCGCTGAATCGTTAACGTTGTTAACTGTGGTTGTGAAGGGAACAATGATCGTTGAACGTCAGAGTGTCTGGCAGAAGCAGAAGAGATAGGGCGACCGTAGAAAACTGTTTCTGAGTAGTCCGCAACAGCAGGCAAAGTGTTGGCTGAGCTAGGTCGATCTACTCTCAGTCTTAACGGACTCGGTGAACCAGCACGGAGAGCGGCCAAGTGCCCTTCAACTTCGCGTTTATGCACGTACGGATAGTCCTTTGCATTCGGTAAGCCATGTATATGGTGGAGCCTGGGGCTAGCTGATCTCACTTTCAAGTCTCTATCATCCCTTATATTCGACACAATGACAGCTGTGCCTGTGATGACAGGCCCTTGCTCCACAGAATGTGGGCCATGCGAGTTGTAGGTTGGACGGGGGTTTCTCGCCGCAGGTAAACGGGGCACAGGAAGTGGAGCCCTTCTCGGCGGGTTCCCAATTCTTCTCGCAGCAACCGCAGCTGGAACTAGTCGCGGACCTTCTTCAGGAGACAAAGAAGCCTCCCTAAGTTGTGCAGGACTGCTCCAAATCGCAGGGTTGGTCCTGTTTTCATTACGAGATGGTTTACGACCACAGGCAATATGCGCAAATGGACTCTTTGACCGACATTTACTACACGGCCGGCAGGAGGGTGGTATGCCAGAAGTCGGTCTCAAAGGAGGTTTCAGCCCGCAGAAATCGTAGCGGGATTGTTCGATGCTTGGAAAGGAGTGGTAGCTGCTTGGATCATACGGACATGGGCTGTCGGCATCTGCAAGCGTCGGAATATCAATTCCAGGGATGAGCTTGTGCTGACTACCAAGGAGCCCTGAACTGCCAATGGCCCTACCTTGGGTGCCAGGGCGAAATGGATTGGGTGCCGTGGTCGAGCGTTGCGTTGGATCATGTTTTGGGGTCGATTTTCGTCGAGGAAGATTAGTTATCATCGAAGAGAAACCAGATGAGAGACGCTGTGAAAAGGACTGTGGTCGTTGGGAAGTCGGACTCTGCGTTCCTGGAGGAGTAGACTTGCGTTTGCTCTTTTTCAAATGTGACATACTAAAGAGTGAGGGAGATGATCGAAACATATGCGAGTTCAAGAGGCGAATGTCAACTAGAGAGAGCGTTATAATTGTGATTAAGAAGCTGAGATGGTTTCCCTCCAAAGTCCGTGAGCTCTGGAAGTGGTTGGCTGCGTAGATCTAGATTCGAACATCGAAATCGGCCTCTTATGAACTGTAAGTTGGACGTGAAGAGCGGCGATATCGACATGACGTGGTGGTCGCATTGGCGTATTCACATTGACCGGACGACGAACGATTGAAAAACTTCGAACGCAACACGTCGACGTTAAGACAACGCCGGAGGAACAACCGAGCAGCAGTCGCTAGAAGTGAGCGAAGGATTAGAGTCGTGTAATCGTGGTGAAGAGTCTTGGAACAGTCATGTGTAACCTCGATGTGCTGTCTAGCAGTGTATTACCTATTGGAGATTGAGAGTTGAAGAGGATGGCGTTTGGAAGACGTTAAAGTTCGAACTAGACATCATAAAGTCGTATGCGTTTGCAATCTCCAAACCACTCAGTTGTGTAAGACCAGTCATCAGCTTGGCCGAAGTGATGACCTAAGGTGGATCCAGCATAGATGGTAGGTATACAAGTATCTCGCCGCAGCTTAGATGCTCAATTTGGCAATCAGGAAGTCACAATGCGAAGGGGGTGGGATTATCGACCTAAAGTAACGACTCGTACAGGCAAGGCTCACCTTGTTATGCAGTTCGTGGGAACTAACATGTCAAAGTGAGGCTCGGCAGGCAGACGAAATAAGGGTGACAGCAACATTGTGGCACAGTCTCGGTCTTCTCACCGCGCGTAAGGATTGAGTATGTGGGTACAATATCTCTGCATACATAATTAGCGGTGTATCCGTCGTGAGCGAGAAGTGAAGCTAACATAGAACATTTTGAACACTTGCACAGCGCGCACTCAATACACGAGTACTGTCAAGTAAGGCGTGAGTTTTGTACATTTTGTGACGTTACCAATCCATCCGATGCCCAAGAAACACTGCACCGTTTGGTCGTGCAACGTAGCACCCAGAGCCAGAAAGCAGAATGGCTACAAACAATATGCAACTAAGCCTCTTGAGCATGGCCACACGCACGATAAGGCTGAATCCCGCTGACTCATGACCTCTGCATGCACACCGATACCTCAGGTCTTGATCCGCGACTTTGCTTCCGTGTTCCGACAGTTGCCTTTCTAGGATATCCCGCATACTCGGAGTTTGAAAATTCCATTCATGCAGTCGCCGTGTTACTTGAACACTGTCGAACAAGGGCAGATGCTTTCACAGCAGAAAGTCTAGTTGGTGGGTAGAGAGACGGAGTATTGGGCTTTTAGTCCTTTTGCAACTAGTACTGTCGATGCTCGTATAGAACTCTTGCCTCTTGTGGTCGTTCTTAAATTTTTGTGAAAGCTGTATCACAGCGTCTTCTCTTTCTTCAAATCGTTGAGGACCATGTACCGCGACAAAACGATCCAACCCCAACGGAACCAGCGCATCTGACTCTCATGTGCCGTCGTCATGGCCATCTGAGCGGTCCGGTAGCCGGCCGGTGAGCTGGCAAATAGCAACGGTGTCGGAAAGCTGCCAAGCTCCTTCTTCTTGATGATAGCGCCAATTATTGTAGCAGGCGCGTCCAGCAAGCTAAGATATTTGCGGAAGATAGAGGTCGTAGTGAGGGTGTACAACTTGATTGGACATTCCCACCCGCTATGTCGATGCATAAGCGCCTTTAGAAACGTATGTGCGCCGTCGTAGAGGGACTTGTGGTTCGGGTGTGAGGAGACACCGTGGGCGTCGAAGGTGATGATGGCGTCAACAGTGGCCTGCGGTGCTTCTTTGGACGAGATTGTAGCCATTTTCGGGGCGAAGGCGGTGGTAAGGAGATTCGATATCAGGCGAGGGTGCCAAGTTACCGTCATTGAGTCTGGGAAGTTCCTGTACACTAATATTAGTGGGCTGTCGGTAGTGTCTTAAGTCAGGAGCGCCTACTTGTCTTCAATGATGAGAATGTCATCCTTGCTGCCAATTCCAAGCTGAAGCCCGCTCTTGATCAGTTCTTTCTTCCTTACTTGGCCTAAGCCATCTGCATCGCCTATGTCACAGCTTGTGTCAGTTGCCATTGCTGGCGCATATAAGAACTAGCTAGGGCATACCGCTGCTCAGACACAGGATTTTGACGTGATTTCCGTGTTCTGGACGCGTCAAAGCCAGCAAAGTAGGCGCAAAGAACATGGCCTCGTCATCAGGATGAGCGATTAGGAGCAGGATGCGCTTGTTCTGTAATGAGGGGAACGAGGCACCCAGCGTGCTAGTGTACATCCAGAAGCCGAAGAAGATGAGGGGCACAGAGGCCCAGGCTATCCAGTTCATAGCGAGGCACGGCAACAAGAGGACTCAGAAGCTATCAGAAGACAGCGGATGCTGCTATGGTCACAATGGAGGAAAGGCGGTGCTGAAACCTAACGGGCCGTACCGAGGCATGGGCGAGCTTTGACCCACGTCATGTTGGAGTTTGTTCCAACAACAGCACGCGACGTTGCTTTTCCGCACAAACTCACAACACACTCGTTTCAACCAACCTCATCGACAATGTCTACTGGCAACCGGAAAGAGCGGCGAGCAAAAGAGTCGAAAGGCAGCTCAAATAGCACCGGAAGCGCTTTCCAGCCCACCACCGACCTCGACCAAAACGGCGTAGAGATGATCCTCAAGCACCCCGACTATTCCGCACCGAAGGGAAAGACACTGTTTCAGCTTGCAGACGAAAGGCAACGAGAGTTGGATAGGGCCAAGCCGGGAGGAGGGAAGGTGAGCGAATCGAGCGTTGACGGCGACGCTGGGATAGGACCTGCTGGGGATGCCCTCTTATACTCGACTTCGATGGCAGCACTGCACCTCACACTCGATGTCATCGTTTACAGTCAGTACCGCGAAGAGATACTATGGGGCGAGATCTTCAGGCGGGCCGCTACTGCAACGCCTGTATTCATCCTGCTAGTGTACCTCACCCACGTCGACTTCTCGTATCGCTTCCCCATACTTAGAGAACTTGCATTCTTTGCAGGCGCTATCGTTGCGGGGTGCTATTTGGTATTTTCTGGCAACAAGCACGGCTATTTTTACGTCATGAAGGCTGCTCCTCCAGTTGGCACGCTCTGGATCTGGAGCGTCATCGAGATGAGCCTGCCATATGCAGTGATCAGTGCACTCAGCGTGTTTGGTTACACGTGGTGGAATGGGTTCAACTTCTTTTGAAGTCTCGATTTGATGGGCAGGTTATACGTTTTGGAGCTTCGCTATTGCATGCATGTGCTCGCGGGCGGAGAAAAGAAAGTCGTAGATGATGAAAGTGGGACTTGGACAAGATCCTTTGTATGGGAGGGGGGATTGTGTCGTAGTTCGCAACGGACTCGGAATGGCTAACCATAAGCCTCGAGGCACGCTTGGAATGGAACAACAACCTTTAAGTCGGGATGTAGCATCCAACCCTTCGAATTCAACAAAGCTCCATTTCCCCTCAACCTGGCCTCATCAACGTCAACGACCTTCCTTCCTCGATCCCCCGTACTAGACGTGAGAATCAATGAAGAAAGCAAAAATTACGCCAGAGACAGCCCACGCAGAGCTATCAGACGCAGACCAGGCCTGCCATGTGCCATGCAGCCAGTCTACGCCGGTCGCGCGAATCCATGTGCTCGCGAACCCTGATCTTGGTAAGTATGGGAAAGGAGAGCAATGGAAGGGACGAGAGGAGGCAGTCATATAGACGTCGAGACGAGTAGGCGGAAGGACACGTGAATGCACGTGAGTGTTGCAGCCTGTGTTGGGGCGGTTCGCGTGAGACGTGTGGAGAACTGGGGCGTTATAGGCACGTGGTTGTGGAAGCCTGGAGGAAACCCAGCATGTCGAATGAACCCCCAAGCTCAACGATTGAATGTCCCTTGTTTGGCACACCGTTTAGTACGCGATGCATTAGTCGTGAGGATTCAGACTTTCGCATGCAGGATGACACGTACATACAGTACGTACCAGCGTCCCAGCACCATAGTGGACGCACTAGGACTTTTTCCATCTGGCGCTTCTTCCATGTTTAAAGGCTTGCAGATTAATCAATGTACACAATATGGAATCGTCGTGGGCGATGTTGGTTTCGATGTCGAAGGAGGTGGCCCGTACTCACGCTTTGGCGTTTTCATGCGCCTCAGTTGCTGATCATGTCCTAAACGAGACGTACCTCTCAACAAGTCGGACTCGTACCACAGCTAAGTAGAGCCTCGTTCCTAGGCCTTGGGAATTTGGAACGTGGCCTCTTGCCTTGTCACTGTTTATTAGAATGGCTCTGCTCTGGACAATACTTTGCAAGTGCTGAGATAGCTGTTGAATTCGTTGTATATCCAAAGGGGTAAAGTTGCACCTGGCGGGGAAAAAGTTCAATGGTGTGAGCAGTGATCAGGAAAGTGTGCCGATGCCGGAGAAGATGTCAGGTGAGGACTGTTCTTGGATTTTGATGGTTGCGGTAGCGGTCAAGAGATTGTGGAGTTCAGCGGAGGATCTGAAAGAATTGTGGGTAGAGTCATTTGGAAGGGTGTGAAATCTCCAAGCTAGTGAGAGAGGTCTTGTATTGTCTATTCGGAAGCGTTGGGCGTGTGATGTTCGATGGAATGTTCCAGATGGATGCGAGACTGTTGTATTTCCATTCTCCACAGGAACATTGAATGCGGAACATGTATCTGTTCTGCCTCAGTTGGAAGTGAGGTCCTTGTCATGCAGGAACCCAGACCGGTTATAACCCATGAATAACCCATGAAGACGGCTAGGGTGTATACCCAAGAGTTCGTTTGTGTGGTGGTTCCCGGTTTCAGTGTCCTGCTATCAACATCCGCGGACACGGTTGTGCGTGCGTGGCGTCGGAAAGCGCGCCCATGGGAGCGACTCGCCAGCCAGGCCCAGTACGCCAACGAATGAGCAAGCGTGTCAAGCGATGGAGGGATGGGATTAACAGATTCCGTCATGATGATACTGACTTGAATCAATCCATTAGACCACCTGCTTGCTTGCACTAGCCACTGGCTAGTCTCCATGTAGCCAAAGCTTGTGTTCGTCGTGGTGGCGCATGGCGAGAGAAAAGCTGGTGTGCAACGAGCTCCCTTTCAGCCTGTCAGGCACGTGGCACAAGTATGAGGGATGGGAATATTTCGTGACCAGGCACTATAGGACAGCCATGGCGTAGAAGGAGAAGGGGCTCGGGGTAGCCGTCGGTATCAATGGCGTTGGCGTCTTTCTGGCGCGTCGAGATGGCATTCTTCTGCGCCAGTATAGGATTGTGGCTAACGGCACGAATCCGCCCATGACGCACATCCTCGAACCTGGGCGGCGATCGCGTACATGCGAGTCCACATTCACTGTCGACGCTCGTCATGTCGACCAGGGCCCTCCTCCTTCGAGCCTGGCCTGGGCTCCATGTCGGGCAACATGCAGCATAACGCAGCCGTGGCAGCTGGCAGGGCAAAAGGCATCCTCGCATCAATTCAGGAAAATTGAATAGCCAGAAGGGAAACGCGCTCTCTGGCCCGCAGCATCTCGATCCACGGCTGCACATCACTGCTCGTCTCGGTGCACGCCCCCTGCGGTCCTGGCGGGGAGTCCATTAGACAATAGGCTCAGCTGTCTCTTGTTTTGGCCTGCTGGCTGGGAAATTTCGCGTTCCCCTACGTCATACATTCGTCGACAACCCGCTTGCAGCTCCCCCCCCGTGTCACGGCAACCAACGCAACCACGCAACCCGCCCTCACTCACAAATAATAAAGCCGCCCTGCCCTCCTCGTTTATACCTCTTCCTCCACACAAAACCAACCAGATACCCATCCCACTCCCACTCTCCTCACCCTACTATACCCCATTCTCCCTCCCCATTGTTTGATTGCGTCTGTTTATTTGATACCCCACCTCGATACCCCGACAAGCAGTGTCCACAAACACAATCATGTCTTCGAAAGCCGTCAACCGTACGTCCCTTCCAGTGCTCCTGTATTGGCTGGCCCCTTTGCTAACAATTGCCAGGCCCGGTTGACCTAAAGCAAAAGGAAAAGGATGTCAACAACAAGCTCCAGCTGTTTGGTATCTTCCAAGGTATGTGCACGTGCTATTGGCGCGGCAACGCTCGTCTGCGTCGCACACGCTCCGCAACAATGCTGATTCTGTCCTCCCAGCCTTTGCGAACGGAAAGGTGCCGTCCAACAAGCAAATCGACGTGGCCCTCAACTCAGCCCTTGCGTCCCACCCGCTCAGCTCGCCCTCAAAGAAGCTGTCAAGTGAGGGCCAGAAGCTCGTGTCTGACCTAAAATCCGTCATTGAGCAGGCCAAGATCCTGCTCCTCACCAAGAACGAGGGCAATCTGCTACAAGACTTCATCTGGCAGGCCGAGCAGATCACCGGTGCCAACACCAGCTTACCCAACGCGCCTGTCGACAAGGACACCGCCAAGCAACACGGCAACGAGGCCCTGGATGGCCTGCGCACTCTCGGCACCCTTGTCATCTCCAACGGCCAATTCAGGAAGCTACTTTCTGATGCCTCTGTCCTGCTCCGAGACATTGCTGGCGATGCCGCTCAGAACACCGCCAACAAGGTAAAGCCCTCAGAAGATCGTCTCAACCGCCTCGACGAGCCGGCAGACGACAACACCTGGCACGAGACCCCGGATCTATCTAGGGACAAGCTCCGCAACCAGGCCAAGCAAAGCCTGCCATTCGGCAAGAAGGATGCCAAGGAGGCCGTTGGCGACGTCAACCAAGCTGCCAACCCTGAGGGATCCCGTGATCCCCGTGATACAGCTCAACGCGGTGCTCACGAGGGCCAGACTGGCGAGTCTACCGGTCTCGATGCCCGCGCCGCTGCCAACGTGGCCAAGCAAAAGGTTGACGAGAATGTGTCCGAGGAGGACAAGGACGCAGCTCGTGCCCGCCGTGATCAGCTGAACAACTACCTCAAGGGCAAGATGCCCGAAGAGCGTCGCGACCAGACCATTTGGCGCCTTAAGAAGATGGTCGTCGAAATCCAGGGTCATCAAGACTATCAGCGTGCCATCGAGACGCTACTCCGACTCGCAGAGCAGTATGCCGGCCACGGCAAGAACCTGGGCCAGCAGACCACAGGAACCGTCCAAGGTGCGCATCAAGACGATGCTCTTCAAGTCGCAGAAGCTGACCTCAAGGTGTGTAATACAGGATTTCATTCTGAGAACAAGCATTGGCTAACCAACCTAAAGACACTTCTCGAGCGATTTGCCAACAACACCTCGGCTGATGACCTCATCGAATCAATCAATCAGGTCTACAAGGATGCCGACCGCGATCCTGAGCTGAAGAACTGGTTCAAGCGCATTGATGCTTTCATTCGCAAGACGCTGCAGCAGCAGGGCTTCATCCTCGAGGATCGTTGCAACGACGAGTGGAACCGCCTTTACGATGATGGCCACCACTTGTTGCGCGGCCGTTACCGTGGCCACACTGATCGCATCGCCGACGAGTTCAAGTTCATTGGCGAGCAGTTCGATGCGGACCCGCAGAACAAGCAGTTTGCAGAGTCGGTCAACAGGCTGTTCCTCGACCTCGGAAACGATGAGAATGGCAAGACCGTGTTCAAGCCTCATCTTGTCAAGGACTTGACCGATGTCATCCTCCCCGGCATCTTCGAGAATGTTCGCTACATCCCTATTCCCCGCATCGAGTACAGCGACCCTCAGATCGACGCTGTCGTGGAGAATCTTGTCATCGAGGGCGACAACCTCGCCCCCAACTCCCTCGAGTTTGGTTCCGACAACTACTGGCGCTGGGGCCGCAAGACCATTTCGAGCAAGAACAAGAACAAGGTCATGCTATCCGTCTCCGGTGTGCAGATGGATCTTCGCGATGTCTCCTACTACATCAAGCGGAAGCAGGGCTTCCCTTCCATCACTGATAAGGGTGTGATGGATATCTTCATGGGCGGCTCTGGCTTCAGCTTCAAGGTCGAGATGGAGACTGCTGACGCGGCACGTGAGAACAACGCGCAGACTCACTTTTTCAAGGTTACCAAGGTTGAGTCCGATATCAAGAATCTCCAGATCAAGATGAAGAAGAGCAACCACAAGCTTCTCTTCAACATGTTCAAGCCCCTTCTCCTCAAGGTCATGCGCCCTGTTATCCAGAAGGTTTTGGAGAAGCAGATCAAGGACTCCGCCAATCAACTTGACGGCATCCTCTACGACATCAAGACTGAGGCTGACCGCGCCGAGGCTGAGGTCAAGCGCAACCCCGATCCTCAGAACATTCAGAACATCTACCAGCGTTACGCCTCTGCTGCCCAGAGGCGTGTCATGCAAGGCAAGCAGAAGAAGGAGGAGATCAAGGAGAAGACCAAGGATGTCCAGGTCAATGTGGCTGTTACTCAGCACGACTCCATCTTCAAGAACATCTCCCTACCTGGTGGCATTTCGTCCAAGGCTACTGAGTACAAGGAGCTCGCTGCCAAGGGTGACAAGTGGGAGAGTCCAATCTTCTCCATTGGATCTGCCAAGGAGTCTTCCAGCTTACCAAAGATTGGTAGCGTCACCCGCAAGCCTCATGGTCGTGCTGGTGGGTACGGTGGTCCCAACGACCAGGGTGCTGGTCAGGGTCTCGGTGCCTCTTCAGGTCTCAACCCTTCTCAGTATGATGGTACTAGCGGCTACGGCACTTCCAACCAGACTGGTCAGGGCATTTACCCCAACCAGGCAACTGGTGCTGGTCTGACTGGTGGGCTTCCTGGCTCCCAGCAGCACGGCCATGGTCTTGCAGGAGGTCAGGGACTCACTGGTGGCCAGGGACTTACTGGTGGCCAAGGACTTACTGGTAGCCAAGGGCTCACTGGTGGCCAAGGCCTTACTGGTGGCCTTCCTGGTACCCACGAGCATCAGCAGCAGCACGGTGGTCAAGGGTTCGGTACCCAAGTTGATAACGCCTTCAACGCGGCCCCTGGCACCACTGGTGGCACCACTGGCCTCGGCAACACGGCTGGAACACAGGGCAGCAACACGTACAGCACTACCTTTGGTGACCAAAACCCTGTTTTCCAGGGTCGCACCTAGACGAATGGCCAGTTGTGATACCCCGAGATCGGCATGATGCATGACTGCGGATCATGATAACGACTTCTCATTTCTTGATCATGGATGATACCACGATTGCGCTACGGCGCTCAGTACGAGGGTAAAAGAGGGTTTGTCTTTTGGTTTGTTTTGTAGCGGTGGATAGCAATAGGCCCTATTAATGTGGAGGATTTGGGCGGACTAGTCTGTCGCAAAAATGGTATTGCCTGCCGCCTGTAGTAATAGTTAATGCATGGGTCTTTTGAACTGATCACGTCTTTGTGTGTGCGTTGTGACTACTATGTTTGACACGGTCTATGGAGTTTAAGATGATTTCCTTTTGTAAACGGGTGAGGGGGATGAATTTGGACTTGGAGACGTGCTGTATGGTGGTGGGGTCATGCGTGGCACAAGAGGAGTCATAAGGTGGGAGGCAGATGGAGGCAGTTGATATAGAAACCATCAGATCAAAAAGACGGAAGCGGAAGAAACAACTCTGCATTCGATAAGCTTCCACTTAAGCCCTGCTCAAGGGCGGCAATATTACAACGACACTACTATAACATACTAAACTACTTTCCAAGCATGTATCCAAACAAAGGTATCAAAGGGACCCGTCAAAGGGCAGTAAGATGGGAAGTCGTAAATCGTGATGCATCGTTATGGACGAATTGGTGGTGATGGTTAGGAAGGAAAGTCGATGGACGGGCTGGTTGTGATTAGTGGTTGGTAGTGGTGCTCGTCGTCAAGGCGGACGAGAGAGGCGTATGTACAAATGAGTCAAGGTGGACCAAGGGGATGACTGTGGTTATTATTTCGATGGCTAGACCTCAGGTTGCTACGCCGGCGCAGACGTGGTAGTGGAAGAAGGCACCGCAGGTTGCTGCTGCGTTGGTTGCCCATTGCCCGTGTCTGGAGCTGTCTGGAGCACGCGCTTCTGTCCAGCATCCTTTTTCTTGGCCAGCAAGCTCTTGAAAGCTCCGAGGCATTTGGCCAGGGCGTTTTCGTCTGCCGCGCAGAACTTGAAGTTTTTCTCGTCGGATATGACTTGCATGCAGTATTGCTTGCTTCTCGACACCGAGTCGATGTCGACGGCATCGATGATGCTCGAAAAGGGTATGATGAGGCTGGCGGAGTATTCCTGGTCGTTCTTGTAGAAGGCCAGGCACTTGGGTCGTAGGACTAGCCAGACCTTCTTCCACTGGCGCACGCCGCGTTTGGACTTGAGCACGTACAGCCAGCCGTGGTAGACTACGCGCTCGTCGTCGGGCGTCGAGTCAATGTTGCTTTGCTGGCTGACATTGCGCTTCTGCTGCGAGCTCTTGGGGGGTAGGGAATTGGCGGAGCCCTGGAAGCCAGTGTCGGAGAAGTCAAAGTCTGAGATGGAGCCCCGCTCGTTGCCAGAGTAGTTGAGGGCTTGTGAAGGCCGTCGCGCGCTGTGCATGTTTTCTGGCGCCATGGAGCTCGAGGGTCGGGGCTCAGCCTCGGACGAGCTGGAGGCAATATTCTCCATGGCAGACCTGTTCAAGCCGGCGAAGGTCTTGGACTTGGAGCCGGACACAGGGCTCATGAGTTGCGGCTCTCCCTCGTCCTCATCGATGCGCGCCTCTGTGCGTATCAGGTCTACCCAGTCTTGTGCTTCCTTGTCGGAGGAAGCGCCGAGGTGATAGTTGCGCGCGGGCGAGAAGATGGCGAAGACGTGGTCCATTTTTTTCTTCGAGTCTCTCTGGCGGGCGACGGCGGTGATTTCCGAGAGGTTGATCTGGTGCCGCAGCTTCGTCTCGTCCTTGTCCCTGTATATCGAGAGGCAGTTTGGGCGCAGGACCACGTAGATGGGCTTCCACGACTGCGCAGGGGAATTAGCAGGCGCAGGGAGCTCAGGGCCGACGAGTAGCACCCACCTTGGTCTTGCGCGTACGCTTCACCACAGTGCCAGCCTTGATGATGCGGTCGAACTCGAAGCAGCCGTCTTGGTTGACGGGCGACATGACGCCTGTGGTGGTGGTAGCAGTAGTAGTGCTGGCGATGGCCGCCATCTTGTCGAAATGCGGCTGCGCAGGTGTAGCCAGCCTCATACCAGTTGAGCGCATTGCCATGGCTTTGGCTGGCGTTTGCTGTAAGCCGTTTTGGGCGAGAGTCGCCATGGCTGTGGCCGTGACATTGACGGGCAAGGGGGTGTGTATACTCCTAATATACAACATGGGCGACGGCGGCAGGCGAGCGACAGGGGGAATGCATGGAGCCGCAACTGCACCACCGTCGAGGGGCAGGCAGGCAGACAGCAGGAATGTGAAGCAGGAGGGACTAAACAAGGGGCTATAAATAAAAGGAATATAACAACAAAAAGAGCGCCGATTGCAGCCGTTGACGTTGGACTGGTCTTGCAACGTCGACGCGCCCAGAGAGTGACGACGCCGCTGAGCGAATCATGGCGGGGTTCCTTGCAGCCCGCCAGACAAGTTCCACCCATTTTCCATTTCCACCGCACCCAGCCCGCCAGACTCGCCTTTGGCAGCAAACCTCAGTTCAGCCTTTGTTGCAAGGACACGACGTGGTCCATTCTGCCCAATACTAGCCCACACGCTCCTTGTCATTTGATCTGGGTACCGTGTGAAACGCTTCCCACTGCATCGAGGCACCACATAGCGCCGCATTCGCGCCCGCCGCCAGTTTCAGAAACACCAAGGCCACCCCGTCGCCATTATGCCTGTGGTCCCCAGCGACAAGCTGGTCTCGCTCCAGCAGTCGCCCGAAGGCATCAGAAACGCTAGTCTTCACGCCCGCATAGCAGCAGCCCTTCGCCGCTAACCTTGTTGCCCAGATCTGCATCCTCGCGCATGTCGACCATGGCAAAACCTCCCTCACCGACGCCCTCATCGCCACCAACGGCATCATCTCCCCCAAGCTCGCCGGCAAGATTAGGTTTCTAGACTCGAGACCGGACGAGCAGCTGCGCGGCATCACCATGGAGTCGTCGGCCATCTCGCTGTACTTTTCGCTCTTGCGCCGCTCTGCCCCAGACGCGCAGCCCGAACACAAAGAGGTGCTCATCAACTTGATAGACTCGCCAGGCCATGTAGACTTTAGCTACGAGGTCTCTACCGCATCGCGTCTCTGTGATGGCGCCGTCGTGCTCGTAGACGCCGTCGAAGGCGTATGTAGTCAGACAGTGACCGTGCTGCGCCAGACATGGATCGAGAAGCTGAAGCCTTTGCTCGTCATCAACAAAATGGATAGGCTAATCACAGAACTGAAAATGAGTCCAGCAGAAGCATACACACACCTGAGCAAGCTGCTCGAACAGGTAAACGCCGTCATGGGTAGCTTCTACCAAGGCGAGCGCATGGAAGACGATCTTCGCTGGCGCGAGAAGATGGAAGAACGACTAACGGCAGTGGCTGCCGACAAGGCGGACACAAGACCATCCACCATGCTAGAAAACGGTGACAGCATAGATACCACCAGCACCCCGGCTGAGTACGAGGAAAAGGACGACCAAGACATTTACTTTGCACCAGAGAAGAACAACGTCATCTTCGGCAGTGCCATTGATGGCTGGGCCTTCACCGTGAAGCAGTTCGCGGGTCTCTACGAGCGGAAGCTAGGTATCAAGCGCGCCGTGCTTGAAAAGGTACTGTGGGGCGACTTCTACCTAGATCCCAAGACGAAACGAGTGCTCGGATCCAAGCATCTGAAGGGCCGACACCTCAAGCCCATGTTCGTCCAGCTAGTTTTGGACAACATATGGGCTCTATACGAGGCTACCACTGGAGGTAACAACGGGAAGGGGTGCGTGGATTTCCTTTCCTTGTCAACTGCGGTTCCCTGCTTGCACTGTATATACCTTATCAATATACTTATCCCTTTCCCAACAGAGATCCCACAATGGTCGAAAAGATCACCAAGTCGCTCAGCCTCAATCTCCCAGCGCACATCCTTCGATCGCGCGACCCGCGTGCGCTCTTGATGGCGCTCTTTGCGGCTTGGCTTCCCCTTTCGACGGCACTCCTAGTGTCAGTCACCGAGTATTTGCCTCCACCCTCGAAGGCGCAGGCTGAGAGGATGCCCGAGATCATAGACACCTCACCAGGCGCTGATTACGTTGCTCCCGAGGTCCGAGATGCAATGACCAGCTTCAAGACGGCCAAGGATGCCCCTGTTGTTGCCTACGTGAGCAAGATGATTTCCGTACCCGAAAGCGAGCTGCCGCAGAACAAGCGCAGAGGTGGAGCTCTGACAGCCGAAGAGGCAAGAGACTTGGGCCGGAAGAAGCGAGCAGAAATAGCACGACAGCAAGCCGTAGCAAATGGCGAAAGTGCAGATGTCGACAGTGTCACCGAAGCGCTCAGCTCTGCTGCCATCGGCAAAACAGAGACGCCTGAAGAAGTAACACCAGAAGCAGGAGAAGAAGGAACGGAACATTTGATTGGCTTCGCTCGAATCTTTTCGGGAACCCTGAGCGTTGGAGACGAGGTCTATGTTCTTGGTCCCAAGTTCACGCCCGCGAACCCTCACGCTGCCCCAGAGCCGAAGAAGGTCAAAGTCACAGCGCTATACCTAATGATGGGTCGTGGTCTAGAACCCCTAACATCCGTACCCGCCGGGGTTGTCTTTGGGATTGGTGGGCTTGAAGGGCACATACTCAAGTCCGGCACACTCTGCTCACAATTGCCTGGATCTGTAAATCTTGCTGGTGTTCAGATGGGCACACAACCTATCGTCCGCGTTGCGCTGGAGCCTGAGAATCCCTACGATCTAGACAAAATGATCAAGGGACTGAACCTGCTGGTGCAAAGCGACCCGTGTGCCGAGTACGAGCAGCTGCCGAGTGGAGAGCACGTCATTCTCACAGCAGGCGAACTGCATCTCGAGCGCTGTTTGAAGGATCTTCGAGAGCGCTTCGCAAAGTGCGAGATTCAGGCGGGCGAGCCCATCGTACCATACAGAGAATCGATCGTTGCTGCAGCCGAGATGAACCCGCCCAAGGACCCGAACCTACCTCGAGGAACTGTCATTGGCGAAACCGCAAGTAAACATGTCTCCGTACGTCTACGAGTACGCCCGTTACCCTCCAGTGTGACCGACTTCCTCGGCAAAAACGCAGGCGCGATCAAAAGACTATATTCAGAGAGAAGAGACGAGGATGGAGGCCATCCCCCAGGTGCCCATGCACCGCACGAGGCTACTGGAGCCGAAGACGATGGAATCCAAGAGGCTGAGCAACGAGAGATTGGGCAGAGTCTCGACTTTGCTGACTTCAAGAAGCAGCTGAAGGAGGCTTTTGCAGAAGCAAAGGGACAGAAGGAGATATGGACGGACGTGATTGAGCAGATTACAGCGTTTGGACCCAGAAGAATAGGACCGAACATCTTAGTAGATGCAACAAAAGCTGGGATATGTGGCAAAGCGTAAGTCCGCGAGCTGTTCTATCAACTGCATACCATACTAAGTATGCTCCTAGGCTCCGGGAATCTGCATCCCCAGACCCTGACACCGAAACGCACTCGGATCGCGCCATCACTGCACATACATTTGCCTCGACAATAGCCTATGCCTTTCAGCTTGCAACAGCACAAGGTCCTTGCTGCGCAGAGCCCGTTCAGGGTGTGGCCGTCTTTCTCGAAGACGTGATCCTCAATATACCTAACGACGAGTCAGCACAAGACCGTGGTCGGCTTACCGGCGAGGTCATCAAAGCGGTCCGCTCGAGTATCCATCAAGGATTCCTAGACTGGTCTCCAAGAATGCTGCTGGCAATGTACTCGTGTGAAATTCAGGCGTCTACGGATGTTTTGGGTAGGGTCTATGCCGTGCTTACAAGAAGGAGGGGAACCATACTTAGCGAGACGCTATCCTCCACCTCCTCCGCCTCCACCACAGGAAATCAAACATTCACCATCCTCGCCCACCTCCCTGTCGCCGAGTCCTTTGGCTTCTCGGATGAAATCCGTAAACGGTCGTCTGGCTCTGCTTCGCCGCAATTACGCTTCGCGGGCTTTGAGATGCTGGACGAAGATCCATTCTGGGTTCCGTTTACAGAGGATGAGCTGGAGGACCTTGGGGAACTAGCAGACAAAGAGAATGTAGCGAAGAGGTACGTAGACAAAGTCAGACGGAGGAAGGGGTTGCTCGTCAGGGAAGTGCTTGTTAGGGACGCAGAGAAACAGAAGACGCTTAAGCGGTAGGCTAGGGAGAAACTTCAAGTCTGAGAGGTCGTGTGGAGACATGCATGAAGAAGCCTTAAAAAAGTGGTTCGTGTCAATTGAGAATGAGTTGGTGATGACATGGAGGGGCACATGCAACACGGGGCTATGTGCGTATAAAATCTTTACCCAGGCTATAACCTGCTCCTACTTCCTCATATACATTGCTAGTCTTGAATAGGGGAGTGTGAAGGACGAATAGATTAATACGACGCCTCGACTCCTCCTAATACACAACGAGCCTTACTTGTAACGCGTTACTTGTTGCGAAAAAAGCCCGGAGTGTTTCGCGACTAGTCGCAGCGCCCCCACCACGAATGACATCACCAACACCCCTCCGGTTCGGTCCGCCCTTCACCCTCCAGCCGCGTTTCATCAGGACGAAGTCCCCAAACTGGCAGTTGCAAAAGCTGATCGTCTTGGCGCCTAGTGCACATGCAAGGAAGAATCTTATCTGATTGATAAGATAATCTCCTCATCATGCAGGATCCTGATCGATTCCTTCCCGTCGCTCCAATCGCGGGGGTAGACGGTCAGAGACGATCATCCTGTGTGGGCATGTAGCGTGTTTTGGCGTGCTTGCTTGCGCAGATTTTGATGGCCCGATGACGGACGGGGACTTTTAGTTTGCTAGAGAGACATAGCGGGTTGGAAGAGAGAAGAAAAAAAGTATTTGGGCTCCGTCATACCCCCCTCTTGCTGGTGGTGTCTTTTGCTGCTCACGCCTCTGTACACGGCTTTCCCCCCCCTCCCAATACAGATATACCCTTTTCTTCTCCCCTTTTTGCCTTTTGCCGAGTTGGCCGAGACAAGATGGGTTCCGTACAGCAAGACATTGCTACGCTTAACAGCCTCGCGGCTCAGATCAGCGAGCTGGCTGCCAAAATGACCAAGCAGCTCGAAGCAGACAAGGTCCCACCCGTGACGCTTCTAGCAGACAGCCCGATCAAATACGAGCGGCTCCCAGGCGACGTCTTCTTGACTCGCCAGCTCCTTGAAGATGCGCTGAAGGACATGTGGATCTTGAGCCAGGGGCCCAGCGAGAGCGTCTTCAACTACGTGCACATGGCCATCCCGGACACTTCATGCTTGAACATCCTCAACCAATTCGACTTCTGGAACGCGGTGCCCGTGGGCGGGCAAGCGAGCTACGAGGAAATAGCAAAGTACACCAAGCTCCCCCTTGAAGTAGTCAGCCGCGTGCTAGACCACGCAATCACCATGCGCTTCTTCGTCAAGCCCTCTCCAACCGCTACGTCCGTCCTGCACACCTCGCGCTCCGCCGCGCTCGCCAAAGACTCCGGGCTCTCCGCCCTCGTCCAGATGGTCCTGGACGAGACGGGCCCGCCCATGTTCCTGCTTCCAGAAGCGCTCCGCCGCTTCAGCCAGGGCAAGCCCGAGATTACCAAGAACATGAAGGAGACGGCGTTCAAGCTGTGCTATTCGGGCGGTGCGTGGGGCGACTATGAGAATAGCTGGGACTTTATTGAGAATGATGGCGAGGGAGAGAAGAAGGGCTGGCGCCAGAGGAACTTTGTAAAGTTCATGGCGTACATCAAGGATCTGTTCGGCACCGAGGGGATCGTGCTCGATGCTATTGATTGGAAGGCCGCGGGCGATGTCACAGTAGTCGACGTGAGTTTTTCTCCCCTACTCTCGATTTTGAATCAAAGAGCGGTACTTTCGGGGGCTCATAAGGAAATATTGCTAACTGTCCATTCCAGCTCGGCGGCTCAGCAGGCCACGACGACGCCGTCCTGGCGACCAAATTCCCCAATCTGAAGATCATAGTTGAAGACCTGCCCGAAGTCGCCCCCGTCTTCGAAAAAGAATTCCCCTCCGACCTACGATCGCGCGTGTCGTTCCGTACGCACAACCTATTCGACCCGCAGCCGGTCTCAGCAGACATCTACATTATGAAGTGGATCCTGCACGACTGGCCGGACGTCGAGTCAGTCAAGATCCTGCAGGCGCTGCGGCCGGCGCTCAAGCCCGGAGCGCGCATTGTGTTTATTGATTACGTGGGCAAGCAGGAGCCCAGCGAGGAGGAGCTGCCGAGGAGTATCCAGGGCTTTGGTACCGCGACGGACTTGCGCATGATGGCCCTGTTCAATGCGAAGGAGAGGCCGGTGCAGGCGTGGAAGGAGATTTTCAAACAGGCGGATGAGAGGTACGATGTTGTCAGGGTCAAGGCGGATCCGTTGAGCTTCATGTGTGTACTAGAGGCTGTGTGGAGGGGCTAATCGATAGCTCCATGACGTCGTCGAGCGGTTAGCTATACCAGAGTAAAGGTCACACAAATAAATACCTTCTAGTAGTCCATCTCCGCTAGGCGTGTCTCACTCAGCCTATTGATGTTCAACATGATCTGGATGGAGTAACTGCTGCATTAAATCTAATCATTGGCAAATCCTCCCTGTGTGTATCTTCTCCATGCCAACCAACATGCCTCCATATGCTCGTCTATTTCTATGCACGCTGAAATGCGAACACGGCTGTATCGAACGACAACTTCACCCTCCTAAAAAAAAGAACCAAAACGCCGCGGCTCCATGTTACCACCCTTGGATATAGATCTACTACAAGAAGTAACAAAACATACTTTACTTTCTTCGCATCAGCTTACTCAGCCCACTCTTCTTGCCGGTCTCTCTCTCCTCTTTCTCCTTGGCATCCTCGGCAGCGCGCTCATCCTTGGTCGGTATACGAGGTTGATCTGCAAATCGGATGCCCGGTGCTCGAGGCGGTGGCAGAGCCTGCTTCTGCTCGCCTGCTCTCGAATGCGTTCCACGACCCGTCTCGAGCGGGTCGCCGGTTTCCTCGTCTTCAGAATCCGACTCTGGCGAGTCATCTTCACCTACTCCAAGCGCGCCGAGACGACGTTTGCGCTCTGCTGCTGTTTCACCATCGAAACTTTCGTTTTCCTGGGGCCCCTGTTTGCTCTCGGGAGAGAGGGACCGCGGTCTGCGTGTGGTTGGTGGTGGTGGTGAAGAGGACCCTTTCAGGGCGCCAAGGCGACGACGGCGTTCCGCAGGGGTCTCCTCTTCAGAAGCTGCCTCGAAATAGTCGTTGCGAGGTTCTTGCTGAGTGGGTTGTGACTGTTCAGACGCTAGACGGCGGCGGCGCTGTGCAGCGGTTTCATCCTTCTGGGCAAGTGAGTAGCTAGCTAGGTCTTCTCGCACCGAGTGGAACGGTACGTCTTCGTTGTTGCTGTCGACCAGCGTCAAGCCTTCAGGGCCGCGAGCGCGTCCCTCCTTGTCTGCTACAGGCGACTCGATCTTATGAATCTCAGCCTCGCCCTCTTCGCCAACGACCGGAGGAACATTTGCTTCCGTCGCTGCTGCTTGTCGACGCTGAGCGTCCTTGTGATCCCTTGCATCCTGCTCTGCCGCCGTCTTGACAGCGTCAGGGACGTCGCTATTCTGAACAAATTTCGCACGATCCTTCGGATTCATCTGAGCCATTTGCTGGATAAACTCCATTTTGCTCATCCTGCGACCACCGGCATTGACAGTGAAGCGAAGAAGATCATCATCATCATCATCGTCAGTTGGCTTCTTCTTCTTGCCCTCAGTGCCTTCAGTGCCAGATGGCCCGGCTTCTTGGTGAGTTGGTATTCCCATGTGCGTTCCCATCCTCTTTAGGCTCTGGATAGCGCGACTAGAAGACTCCACCATAGTTTGGCCACGCTGTGTTCCAGGACGTTGTTCTTTCTTGGATGCAGAGGGTATGTCGTACTTCTTGATAACCTCTCCATCTTCATCTTCGACAATAATGGTGTTACCAAATTGGTAGGCCAGAGCTGGCCCACGTTGCCGCGTGGGTTTTTGAGCCTTTGAAGAGTCTGCGACATTGTCCTCGTGATGGTGATGATGTTTCCCGGAAAAGCTCTGCATTCGTTTTCGCCAGGTCTTTTGAGGATGCTCAATGGCATCCTCTATCTTTCCAGGAGCTTCTTCAAGCTTGCCACCATGCTCTTTCTGCGCGACACCGTGTTCAACATCCTCTTCCACCAAAAGTTCCTTCGCTCTGTCTGCATCATGCTCCTGCCTCTGTCTCCCGTGCTCACCGTTGCTATCCCGAACTTCGAGAACATTGCCTTCATGGTCTTCGATGATGGTCTTGTCGCCCTCTTGATATATCTCCTCTTCTGGTTCGCGCATCTTCATCTTCTCTTTTCCGCTTGACGAGCTATCGCTGGAAGCAGCCATATTGTCAGCAAATGTGTCCGTATCTTGTTCTGGTGATGTGACCTCTGCCTTCTCCTCATCGCGTCTAGAAGGAGCAATAGCAGACTGAGAAATTGGTCCACCAGGACCTCGACCGGCATCCCATCGTTTCCGCCGGTTGGTGGCACGGACTGAATTGGAGCGACTGGCGTTCTCTTCCTCTTTCTGGCGACGCAGAAAGGTGCCCGCGAAGCCAGTTGAAGGAAGCAGACCTGGCCCAGTCACTTCTGCCTTCTCATCAATCGACGACTCGGATGGACGCCGACCAACAGACATGGACGATCTCGAGCGGGACTGGATACGAGGAAGACGGTCCATCCAGCCAGGTCCATCCTCGTTCGCCTGGGTGTACGAGAGAGAGATTGTGAGCGTGTTGATGCGTTTGCCCAGGGTGAATACAGCAATTGAACTACCGTGAACAACGATACTGACGATTACGAGGAAACATGTGATTGGCCATATCATCTCGATGATGTTCAAGTGCTCGAATCCTTCCTCGGGGAGTACAGCCAAGGGCGTTGTTGACTCGGTCTCTAGCTCGGCTCTTGCAAGGATAGCAACAAATAAGCCACCGACTCCGATAGGCCCGAAATGACCAGCGAAGGAAGCTTCTCGCCAGGTCTTGATGTCGGGTATGACGGGTTTGAGCAATAGCATAATGGGTAAGCGGCGGAAGAAGAGCACCAAGAGGCCTAGAACAACGAGGCGCCATGGTGACAAACCGAGGATCTCTGGGGCGTTGAACTGCCCCCAAGGAATGATTGCGCCAAAGTAAACGAAGAAGGCCAAATTGATGAGCAAATCGATAACGTTGGAAACGTGCGATTCTTCGGTCTTTTCGAGGAACCAACCGTCGTTCGAAAAGCCTACTCCACAAGCAAAGCCTACGAGCAAATCATCTAGACCGAGCAAAGCACCCGAGCCGGCGCACCAAAGGGCGAGGACAAAGTAGAAGACGAGGAAACTCTCGCGGTCGATGAGGTCTTTTTCGTGGGCCCATCGAATGGCGCGACGAGCAGCATATCCGATTACCACTCCATAAATAGCGCCAAACAGACATTCGTAGAGGACGGTGTAGCAAATCCAGTGGTAAGCGACCTTGGTAGCGTCCGGGCGGTAGCGGATGAGATAGATGGCCAGGTAGACAAAGGGGAAAGCCATGCCATCGTTGCAGCCAGATTCAGCCGACAACAAATCTCGCAAATGCTTGGGGACTCGTTTCGCGAACTTGCCCTTTCCGACGACCGAGGAGGCTAGGACAGGATCAGTAGCCGTAACGCAAGCGGCAATGCAAAGGCTGTCGAGCCAATTCAGATGGGTATGGAAGAGCCCCCAGATGAACAGACTGGTAATGAGCCAGCCGAATGTCATGACGGGGATAAGCAACAGCGTAACCGACTTCCAGTGCTTTTCCATGTACGCTCTCGGCAATTCGACTCCTACGGCAAAACATTGTACGACCAGGACAATACGCGAGAACTCTAGGGTGATCAGGTCAACATTGCCCCATGATGCGGGATCTATCAAGTCGGCGGCATGCGGGCCAAAGATGATGCCACAGAGGGTAGCCACCGTGGCTTCACCAATGTAGAGGCGCTCCTTGATTACGGAGGAACATAGCATGAACAGGCTGGTGAAGCCGCCCAGGATGATGTAGACCAAATGCGGCTTCGTAATCGACAGGTGGTCCCACGCCATTGCGGCGCGTGTGAATCCTTTTCTTTGTGTGCGCGTCTATCACGATCTTATACGTCTCGTGTGCGACGAGGGAAGAAGTTTGGTGAAGCCCAAGTTGGGATGCATGTACACGAGGCTGCGTTCAATCGCGGGCCCTAGGAGAGAAGGGGTATGGGAGGATCGAAGGGTCTGGCGGGGTTGTGGGGAAGGCGCGATTCGCCTGTAAGTATGTGGGTGTGGAGAATCTGCAAAGCGACGGACGGGTTAGTAATGAGTTTGGAATTTGAAGAGCCAGAGTCAAGAGGTCCCCCAGGACGAGGCTTCGCAGGGTGGAGTGAGCTTACAGAGAGACGCCCGTTCAGCTCGGCGCAGGCTCTTCAGAGGCTTGATTTGGGAGCGAGAGGCTCAAGACGCGCCAAAAGCAGCTGGTATGCAGCAGCCTCAGGGATTGATTTCTACAGAAAGATGCAGGCGGCGGTTCCTCAGGGCTCAAATGGGGGCGCACCAATTGCGCGTTGCAGGCTTCGACGAGGCAAATGTCTGCTCGACTGCAGAGGGTGGCAGAGGGCAGACAAGACGGCGGACATGTCCCGGGTGTTTAATACTAGCGCAGGATTATCGTGGCTAAGAACTTGGCTGCACCTTGGCCTACGAATCTTCACCAACCCGCGATGCTGCATGTGGACCAATGGCGCGCCACTCGCGGATGATGCAGCTCAACGAATTGAAGGACGGGGGGAATTCTTACCACCAAAGATGGATGGGTTCTGGATGGTGCAAAGAGTGGTTTGAAATGGGAACGACGTCAATGGTCCCTGTTATCTCTTCTTTCTTTCTCCGTGTCTGGTCAAAGAAAACCAAACGACGGCGCTGGGGGCGGAGGCCACTGGTTTCCGATTGGCAGGACAACGACCACCCCAACTTCTTGTGCGCCAACCCACGTGCATGGGGGTACGGTACGGTACTGTATTATAGGCCTGGCTATGCACATGAATGTGTGAGAATACAGGCAGGGCGCTGTCACGGGCATCAAGAGAGTGGGGGAGAACCTGCGGCTTCCCCGCATGTGACCAGCAACCTGCATCTTGCGGGTCACATGATGGCTGCGTATCCTGTACAGAGCGAACATCATCTGCGGGCAGACCATGTCACAGCATACGACCAAGACGCCCGCTTGCGGAGCTTGTCCAGCTGGCTGCTTTGATTGTCGCGAGTATATACATTGTCGTTATCTACAAACTCAAATCGACCAGCTAACTACAAGTTGTGGCCTTCCGTGCCATACAGTACATAGCACGGAGATGTCGCCCAAAAATGACAATAGTGCGCCTTTGACCAAGCGCACGCCAACAAGGGCATTCCCAACCCCCAAACCAAGAGTAAAATGAACGCGAAAAACCCGCAAGCGCTCTATGCCCAAAACAAACAGTGCCAACATTGTGCCTGTTTTCCCGCGTGCTCCTTATTCCCAGATATGCTTCTCAAAATAATCCAAGTTCGCATAATACAAAATACAAAATGTGACGTTGCTTTGCGTGACATGACGTCCCCGTTTCTATACTTCATATCGTCATGCCGCTGGCTCAAGTGTGGCCCAGGCCAAGACACCAGCATAAATGTTGCGTCAGCCCCTCAATGGCCGACCGGCAGCCATATTCTTCTTTCATCCATACTCCTGTTCGTGCGACCACCAGGCGTCAAGGGTATCTCAATCCGCCTGCGGTCATTGCGCTCGGCGTCGCTATCGTCATCATAATGGTCTGATAACCGTGAGAAGTAATCGGCTAAACCGCTCGTGGGGGATGCAATCGTCTCGTAAAGAGGAGGCGGTGTTTCTAGCGGTGGCGGTGGCTCCTCGTCCGAGAAGGCGGGTGGGTTGAAAGATGGTACTCGCATAAGGTGAATAGGTCGTTGCACAGTCGCCTCGTTGGGGCCGCCAATGTGTGCTGCCTGTGGGCGTGCGAGCGCCGGGGGTGCAATGATGGCTTCCGAGTTGCCTCTTGAACGACTCAGAGAACTAAGCGTTGGTACGAAGCCCGTAGGGGAGGTGCGTCGGATGGGTGCGTTTGGGCACCCGCATTCGGGTACCCCGGGCCTGCCAAGCGCGGGTTCAGGCGATGAATACGCTGGTAATGATGTGTTTGCTTGTGTGGCCTGGCATGAAAGGATGTGGAACGGTGAGTCTATCGAAATCTCGAAATGTCGTCTCTTGGTCGGGTCATTTACATCAGGTTTGGAAAGGCGCATAACAAGCTTTATCCAGTGGTGCACTTGGATGTTTTGGTAGGTGGTATCGAAGTGTAGTCTCGCTTGCTTGTCCTTGTCTTTCAGGTTGTGACAGCTGGGCAATTGTACGTTAAACTCCATCTCTGTGGGGCCAATGTTGGCGTCTCCACCCAGAGCACCTAGGAGGTTAGTAGGATCTTGCACCTGTACGTCTTCGCCTCGGGCAGCGGCAGCTCTTTGATCGTACGGAACGCCGCCCCCCGAAACTATCCTCATTGTGCTCCCGGGGAACGTGCTTGTTGGTGGGCCATCTGCTCTCTTCTCGAATAGCTGGACTTTCCGGACGGGCTCCATACGGTGCACCCGCTTGCGGTTGCAGAAATACTCGACGTTTTCTGTTACAAATACTTTGATCCGATGACATTGTACCTTTGCCAACGGCGTGAGCTTAAACGCGATGGGAACCTGGGCTCCAAGAGGGAATGATTTGCCTGAGATGACAATATCGTAATGCAACTGGTCCTCCCAACTCCGACTAATGGCAATTGGCTCAACCTGCTCTAGAGAGCCTTCTGATGGTGCGCGAATGAGTGTGACTTCCTTGGTGCCAATGAGGTTGGTGCGGAAGGCACCAGCGCGTTCGACTGTTGCTTCCAATTCGTACTTTACAGAGCCAAGGTCGACATCAATCGTCTCGGGGAGGTGACTGTCCAGCGGAAGCTCAAAGTTGTACATGTACTCGCCGGCGTTGAAGGTTCTGTATCCCTTTTGTGCCACCGAGGGTCCGCCTGATGGAGATTCGCCCTTGCCAAAACTTCGTGATTGGTTCAGCTGCAGTGACAAGCGTTTTGCCTCTTTTGATGTTAGATTCAATGAAGAGTTATTTGGTGAGCTGCCCAGGTTTGCATTGCCCTTGTAGAGCTCTACGTGATCTGCACCTGTTCCGCTCTCTGCTGTCGGGAATTGTGAGTTAAAGAATGGCCATGTATGGCTCATGAGAGTGTCGACTTCTTCGAATTCAACTTTTTTGGGAGGAATGCCTACTACTGTTTAGCAAAGTACAAGCGGCATGTGAGTGAAAAGCTACCTTCTGGCCACTTTGTGGTTGCTCTGCCCCTGAATTTCAAGGTGATGGCCTTGAGCTTTGCAGGCTTGGCGATCTTCAGGACTAGTGTTCCACGAAGCATGGCAGTGCTTCGTTCAGAATGTTCGGCCTGTTCGAAGCCCCGGAGGAAGAGGACCGGCTCTGTGAGCGAAATGTTCACATTGACACCTCCCCCCGAAGCTACGGGCTTCTCTTCTGGCATAGTCCTCACGCTGCTGACCATGCTCTTGGTGGATGTCCTCCCGTGGGACCGATGTGATTCTACTACTGAGGGGCGGGGTATGCCCGGTGCAGCTATTGTTGCTCCAATTGCGCCCACTGCGCCTGTAGTCCTCGTGCTCGATCTCATATCATCAGTCGCCGGCGACCACCTTTCCGGGAATGAAGCGACCGAGTTGCGATTACTGCTCGTAGACGATCGAGGAGAGGGAATATCAGTGGGTTCTGGGTTCTGGGCGAAGTGAGTGTCGATGAAGGAGCGTAGGAAGCGTTTAGCGTTATCCCGCGGGCCCGCCAGCTTTTCTGTAACGTACGACTTGCTAGTCGTCTGTCGCCTCTGGTTGCGAAATAGCGTGGGGTCGGGAGCTACGTGTGCGATGTGGATGCGGTGCGGTCGTCGGTGGCGCCCTTGGAAGATGCCTCGGTGAGTGTGTGAGGGGCTGTGTTGGTGATCGGGAATGTAGCGGAGTCGACCGCGGTCAGTATATACACTTTGGTATTCTGTCATGGCGAACCGACGGCGTTAGTAGTCGTCCAATGTGTGCGCAGAAAGCATGCGGCGCAAGTCGACTTGTAGGGAAGCGGCAATGTAAATGTAGACGACGCAATGACTTGTGTAACTCTTCAGAGTCATGAGAGGGGTACAAAGGAGTTATTGGCTACGGTAGCATAACCATGTCCCATGCGGATGCTTTGGGAAGGGGTAAATGAGGTTGAGTGGTGCTTGGACAAAGGGACCCAGACACAGCGAAGGGGAGATGAGACAGGCACTCACAGTCAAGAAACAATCAGGTCGCTTCTGTGGGCATAGTAGAGTTCCAATGCAGGCAGCGACACATGCCAGGGTAATGAAATGAAGCGGTCAAGTTGCCAGTTGGTCGGAAGGGTGCGGGAATGCGGTGCTGAGGAAGGTCTGCTGCGCTGGCGTTTGATGAAGGGTGCTCTGTCAGGACAACGACAGACGAGTGACAGGGACCACGGTTGTTTGGAGTTGGGCCCGATCTAGCAGGCATGTAGGTTACAAATTCACACTCAAGTCAGACCAGGGCGGGGCGCGAGCGCAGGTGTGCAGGTGTGCAAGTGCAGGGGAATGGCGGATGGCGGATGGCGGATGGCGGATGACGCGGAGAGGTGCTATAGAGTTGCTCGGCGGGGTCGCAGTAGCGGACGTTGCTTCATGACAAGGAGCCAAAATTATCTAGTAGCACAGCGAGTCGGCGAGTATATATTCCAAATTTATGACAGCGTCAACTTTTCGGCGTACTTGGGCCGTCATGTACAACTGCGGGAAGGGAGCAGGAGCTTTCTCGGCCATAATCCCCACCCACGGCGGAAATAGCAGCCTTCTAAGCGTGATAGAGATCGGGAGGAGTGCATGGACTGGCATTACATCATCCTGAGCAGCCCAGACTCGATCAAAGTCATCAAAGGACTAGGGGTACCTTGGGTAGAGTTTCCCTCTGTCTCCTCCGGGCCCATTGCAGGGTAGTTGTAGGTTTATTAGCAGAGGTGACCAGATCAACATCAACCAACACGCGGCAAAGTCAGTCGCCCTCTCACCGCCACCATGTAATGTACCGTACCCTGGCCGATGTCGAGTGCGAGCTTTCCTGTTTTCTCGGGCTGTCCAAATCGAGCGTCGTGGTGGACTGCTGGCGAGGCCCGCTTGGGACACGAAACATAAAGGCACATGCCCTAATCTTGCATGGATCGCCATCTGGGGGTGCTGAATCTGGAGAGACAGGCAAAACAGGGAAGCGATCGGCACCCTGTCCACTGGGCCCTCGCAGGGAAAAGCCGCTGCCAACTCGCCCCGATTCGAGGGACTGGAGGGATTAGAGAAGGATGGCTTCGTCATGATGAGAATTCTTCCCTGAACGATACGCAATAGCGGTGGGAAGTCGGCAGTGCAGATTTTTCGTGGCAAAGGCTCGGATCTACGAAGAGCAGCAAGATGGCCGCCCGATTGGGACTAGTCACGACGGGCCGGCTGTGGCTTCCAAGGTGGTTCCTTCGTTCCCTCAGCCTGCCCACGTGATGACGTTCCCCGCAACGCGCCGCGAAAAGGCAGGGGCGCGCTTGGCTCGACGCGATTTCGCTGGCCAAGCACACGACCTTGGGTAATAACATCTGTAGCTGGCAGCACCGGCCATGGACGCGACAGAGGGAAGATATGGTGAGCATGGCTCTTTGGACAACGCTACCACCGGCGGCCAGACATGCACTTACAAATAAACACAGCGACAGGCCAGCTTCCCCTCGCTGGGGCCATCCTCTGCACCACTTCCATCGACCCCGAGGAGCGTGTACGTTACATCCTCGATTCGTTATCTATTCGCGTCTGACGCAATGTCTAGGCGCAACTCGCTGCCATCGGCGTGCAAATGGGCGCGGCTTGCAAGCTCGACCTGACCTCGGACGTAACCCACCTCCTGGTTGGCAGCACCGACAGCGCCAAATACCGCTACGTCGCAAAGTCGCGAGAGGATGTCAAGGTGCTTTCGCCAGCATGGCTTGCAGCGCTCAGAGAAGTCTGGATGGAGGGACACGACAACGTGGACGTGGCTAGGCTGGAGAGAGAGTATCGAATGCCTACCTTCTTTGGGCTCAAGATCTGCCTCACTGGCTTTGACGACCGTACGGAATTGCATACGCCTGATAATATCATGCTGACGAGGCGCAGTGGAGCAACGCCGATACATCCAGGAGACGGTCGACAAGAACGGGGCTGAATATCATGGCGATCTGACCAAGTCGGTTACCCACCTCATCGCAGCCACGCCGTCCGGGAAGAAGTACGAGCACGCTCTTAATTGGACCCTGAAGATTGTCTCGTTGGAGTGGTTTGAACAGAGCATCGAGAGGGGTATGATGCTGGATGAGGCCCTGTACCACCCCACCATGCCAATTGAGGAACGAGGAAATGGCGCCTGGGATCGCAGACAGTATCCCTCACCTACCCTCGGCAAACGCACGCGCGACGCCGCACCGAGCCAGCCGCTCAATCCCTTTCGCAGAAAGCTTCGACGCTCGGCGAGCACAAAAATGGGAACGCAGAGCGAAGCTCTATGGGCTGGTATTACTGCAGCAAGCTTAGAAAGACAGCAAGATGATGGCGAGGATTGGACCGAGGACGTTTCTGCTAAGCAAGACTCGACGCGAGCGAGTACGCCGACAACGCATGTACAGGGTCCGAGTGTTCACCAAGACGTTGCCCCTATCGATGCAGACCCTCTGGATGCCCGTAGTCCGACCCTGCCCCAGCCTCCGGATAACGAGAATTCACAGGATGGACTGTTCGAAGGGCGCCTCGTATGCCCGCATGGCTTCGACAACGAAAAGACAGATATCTTGCGCCAGCATTTGGACAGCCAAGGAGCGCGCGTTGTCTGTGCAAGCGATCTCAATAGCTCTTCCTCTGACGACCTAAGACGTGGCTATGTTGTCGTTCCACATGACGCTGAGGTTGACCTTACAACCCTACCGGAACGTGCCGGATCGCTCATGAACTTAGTCACCAATTGGTGGGTCGAGCGTTGTCTGCATGGCAAACGCTTAATCGACCCCGCAGATGATGTTCTCAGTAAACCATTTGACCGGCTTAGCATTAGCGGTGAGTTTTGATAACATGGAGCACATGTTGCTCAGTAGCGCTGACGTGTCTAAGGCTTCTCTGCTCTTACCGTAAACTCGACCGGATTCGTCGGCATCGAGCTCCTACATGTGACAAAATTAGTCACGCTTATGGGTACGGAAACAAGTCCCCTCACCTCACATGGTCTGACATCTTTCGCAGGAGGTACCTATGACGAACATCTATCCGGGAAAACCTCGGTCATGATTTGCAATTCCCCGAGCCCAAATGCGCAAAAACTCAAGTTTACTATGGACAAGCGCATACCCGCTGTTCATGCGACATGGCTCTGGGACTGTTTGCGCAGTGGCAGGTTGCAGTCCTTTGGCGATTACCATATTAGCACATTGGCACCAGTGCAAGCACAGCGGCCGAAGCAGAAGCTTGCTTCTTCGACTGTCGTGCCGACTGCGAAGCTGTCTGAAACAGATAGCTTCAAGCTTAGGCAAAGCAAGGCTCAAGCTGCAAAGATGGTGACAAGGCCACAGCGGACTCGTGCTCTTGATCTTGCCCCTTCGGCGGAAGCTACACCCGCATCTACAACTGACTCATTGACTCATCCCAATACTACTCATCCGGGCCTCGATCACGGTGGGCCTCCTCTAGGTGGTTTCGATGTCCAAGCATCACTTCCTCTGCAAGATACTTCTACCAACTCAGCACGACGGACTTCAACATCATCAACTGGCTCACGCCCTGTCTCTCGACACCGAAGCTCGTCCGCCGAGTCGCTAATCAGAGTAGCACCGGCACCTTCGAGAGGAAACCATGGTAGAGAACCTACGCCTGACTCCGTGATACCAGCTCCTGATTCTGTCATTCCCGTAGACACCGAGGCGCAAGCTCCGTTGCACCGGGAAGTGCCCAAGGAGCCAGGAGGTGAGGAAAAAGACTATTCAGATATTCTCGCCCAACTCCGCGCAAACCGCAAAGCTGCGCCCACACCAGTCGACCAAGCCGACGACAAGCGGCGCAGACGACGACAACTCGGCCGCGCAACATCTACACGCTCGAACCAGTCTACGGGAGAAGGCTCGGGCAAGAATGGTCTTGATGTGGACGAGGGTGAAAACACGGTACTGATCGAAGAGTATCAGCCCAGCCAAGAGCTTGGTTGGGACTCCCCGGGTGTGGCGATTGCGAGGGAGCAGATGATCAAAAGGCTGGGCGGGACGATCAAAGAGACGAGTGTGCCGGTCAAGGGAATTGGTGTTGTGAAGGATGTCGTTGGTGAGACGGGAGGGAGAGCAGCGAGGAAACGACGTGGTTGAGCGTTGGTTCTGCAAGCATGATGGTATGTATGATAGGGGACAACGTGTGGGGATTGTTTTGGATTCGTGGGGCATGGCATGGCATATGAATGCATAGCGTGGTGTTGGAGTACTTGCATTTACAGCGAGTTTAGGCGTGGGAAGACTCTGGCGTTATATCCCATAGGTAACTTTCAGCCTTCGATCCAGATGCTGTTTGGCAGTCAAGACGTCGTTCTCCCCGTCTTCATTGAGACCTAGTCGCTTCCTTTGACTTCTCAATTCATTCACACCTTGGTCTCCAAATTTATCAATAACCTCGCTCGGTACGGCTCCTAGCTTCGCATCGTTCAATGGGTGACAAAAGTACGCCATACTATATCTTTCCTCCCCGGATGAGAAAGTGACGCGGTGAACGGTGCTCTTGAGCATCCCGTTCGTCCAGAAACTCAACAGATCTCCAATATTCACCAATATTGGTGGCTCGATGAGATCCTTGGGATTGGGGTTGACCGGCACAGTGACCCACCCCTTTTCCGTCAAGAGCTCCAACCCCGGCTGGCCAGGAAGGCGAAACAATAGCGTTACACTCCCGTAGTCGGAGTGCGCTCCTGCTCTTATACTATCCTCCCTGTCGCCCTTGGGGGCGGTCTTTGGGTAGTATAGCATCCTGAAAATCGTGCCAGATGGACCCTGGGACTGGTCATGTCGTGAGGCGAAGTAGTCAGGATCTGTGATTTGCAGAGCAGTGCCGAGGAGGGACAGGATGGAGATGCAGAGGTTGTGGCAGGATGTTTGGAACCTTGATATCAGATCCTTTTGGGACAAGAGAGGCTGTGGCAGGGGCTGTAGCTCGGGTTGAGGTGGACCGATATTGAATGCTCTATTGTTGACGTGTTAGTTGGACATGAGGAGTTAGTAATATGGAAGGGGGAAGGTTACTGTTTGGGATCGCCGTGCTGCATATAGTCAGTAGGAACATGGTGTTTTTGCAATATGATGCTTGAATGGCAACGTACCTTTTGTCCCTGGGGGTCGAGTGATTCGCCTTGCATCGACACCCATCCGCGATTGATACCACCCGCTTTTTCCGAGTGGATGGCAAACTCTGCCTTGTGTTGTCTTGGAGTGGCGAAGAACTCTTGGGACTAGCTCCGTCAGTGGTGCATTCCCAGGACCAAACGGAGCTGATCAATGTTACAAGTTTGAACATATCATCAATGTCCTTGGGCGGGATGGTCGCGCCATCGTTCTTGATGAAGAGGAAGCCCTGTGTTGATGCTGCCTCGAGCACCTGGAGAGCGACTGCCTCGGATGGACGAGAGACATCGATGACTGGTATGGCATTCTGGTTTTCCGAATCAGGCATCTTGAGTGAAGATGATACCAAATGCTCCTACTCCTCCAGTACCTGAGCAAGCGCGTCCAGGCTAGTAAAGGTGGATCTCGGGTTACAGGGATTACCTGCCAAGCAAGCGCGTGGAGCTGCCTCTGGGAGCTCCAATTTCACCTCGCCCAGTATCAACTCCCCGCAATCAATAGAGAAACGAGGGCTCTCTCTCTCTCTATTTATTTTTGTCTCTCCGCTTCCCGCCCTCTTTCATTGATCGGCAACGACGTAATCGCTCGCCCATTGGATCCCCAGTTCTATTGTTCTATTCCCGGCGCTTCTTCCTTCAGCCTCGCCCTAGACATTGTTTGAGCCGTGATTCACTCACGCGACGCTCGTCATGATCCGCGACTTCGCGCAGTGGACTGCCACGTTTGGCGAGACGAGTGAGCTGGAGCAGCTCAGCGGCTGCCGCGTAGGAATCGAAGCTGCCGACTATCTCAGCCAACGCATCCTCAACCATACCCGCGCGAAAGAACCGCTTGTCCCCGCGCTCGGTGGCCTCCCGCTAGCCCTCAAGCAACACATCGAGGAAGACCTAAATACGCTCCAAGGCTTCGATATCGAGCCGTGGTTCATTTTCAGCGGGCTGGACATAACCAAGCAGGATGACCCCTTCCGGCAGAAGCAGGACGAGGCGACTGTGAATGCCAATGCATGGAATTTGTACGACAGCCACCAGGCCGAGGCGTCTGTGGCCAAATTCGGCGAGTCAAGTAAGAGTCATGGCATTGTGGGCAGGTGGACATGGAGCTGACACCAGCACAGCATACGTAACGCCAGAAGACCTCTTCCGTGCGCTACAGTCGATTCTTGCCGAGCGAAAGGTCCGCTTCCAGGTCGCGCCATACAGTGCGTGGGCTCAGGTAATAGCAACGACCTCTTATAGGCTTATAATGGCTAACTTTCCTTAGCTAGCATACCTCGAGAAATCAAACTTCGTACACGCCATCTCGGGCGCGTCCGACATCCTACTATTCGACTGCGACAAAGTTATAACGTCTTGGGACCTCGAGGAGAAGCAGTTTCGCTACACGAGGCGAGAAAAATGCTTTGCCGATCTGGAGAAGTTCGCGGGCAATGTGAGGATCACAGAAGACATCTTTGTCGATACTTGCATCCTCGCTGGCACGCCATTCCTCCCAACGCTTCCCAACCTTACATCGGCGAACCGATCAGAGCTCCTGAAGCCGCATGGCGCCATCAAGATGATCATGAGCAACGGTAATACAGGTTACGCAGTAGTCGTCAACAATCACGACGATCCGCGCTTTAAACAGCTAAACTACGTCGATCGGTACCGTAAAGCGCGTTTAGCCGTTAAGAATCACCCCATCTACACGGAAGATGGAAAGATTGAGCCCCTGAATTTGAGTCAATTACCAAACGATGCTGTCCAGTATCTTGGTCAGCGCCTCCCAGACGAGGTCTTCCACTACATGTCGAAAGGTCTCATCAGCCCGCAAATCCTACAATGGCGCACTACGGGCGAGGTTTTTGAAGTCCCCCCAATGGATGGAGGGGAGTCTCTAGAGTATAAAAACCTTGTCAGCTCGAAGCTCGTTCCGCTACGAACATCAGCGATCAACTTACTCTCAAGTATCCTGCACAACTGGTATCGGCATAAGGATCTAGCCCAGAGATGCTGGTTCTTGGACTCGAACGGAAAGCAACAGGAAAGTACCATCCGCGTGGAGCGGCAGTCTGAGACTCCATCGCTTGTCGACACCTGGAATGTGAAAGAGGCTACTTTCAGACCTGTCATAGCGCAACATGAGGTAAGCAATGTCACGATTCAAGAGTGACAAGGAACTAACCGTGATAAGGGGTGTGGGCATTTAGGTGCCGCTGTCTTGTCACTGCAAAACACCGAGTTTGTTCCCAAGACCATCTCAAAGAAGGATCTCAAGAACGTGCTCTCATCCACCGACGAGATCATGTATAACTCGATATGGCGGTTCCTCGCTCTAAGAGAGTATGTGGACTCAAGCCATAACCTGACCCAGTGGGGCAAGGTCCTCGCCAAAGTCATTGCTGGCCTGAACGGCCAAGCAGACCTGGAAGAGGCTGCCGTTCTTGCCGTAGAGCTACTCCGTCTGGGTATTCTCACGACAGACATCAACATGTTTCCTACCTACAATGGCGCCCCTATGCGTGGTAGCCGTAAGTACATGTAATTATATCTGGAGTCAAGCAGCAACTAACTATCCAATAGCGAAAGATCAAAACTCGAATATGTTGGTATCTCGCGTAGCAGGGCTTGGTACGCTACACCATAAGCCTATCGGGTTTACAGGCCCGTTAAGCCAGCACCTTCTCGGATACAACTCGGTCATAAACGTCGTCCGTCAGACGCTACGTGACCTTGTCGAGGTAGCATCCACGCACATGTTCCTAACTGGATGTTGTAATCGACATGCGGATCTACCGCTGATTGCTATGAAGTGCGTAGTCCCTGGCCCTATTTTTGCTTGCATACTAATCTGCGAATAGACTACCGTTCCTCTTACCAAACAACTGCGCACTTAGCATCGCCGTCAAATCATACCTTGACGAGCTGCTTAGCAACGATGCGGACCCAACTTCCTCCCAAACCAAAGCCCGAGTCGTCGAGACAGCATCAAAGCGCTACTTCCCGCAGTCGCTCGACTTCTCCGGCGATCTCAAAACTGCTTTTGCGCTTTGGGATGCTATCTTCGACGGCGTGAAGAATGGAGGCAGCGCAGTGCCCGAGGCGAACAAGCAGCTCTGGACTGAGACAAACGAGTGGCTCGCTGCTCGGCGGTAGAACATGCTGAGCAAATTTTTAGCCGAGACTCAAGAGCCTATTGTCCTCCGAAAGAGATCGCTATCCTTATAAAATGATGTGAGGACCGGGTGGTGGGCATCTGTTAGCTAGGGCTACATGCGCCAGTTTTAGGCTGCTAAGCAATGAGTTAGCGAATTAAAGAAGCTTGCAGTGCAAGCGATGCCTATTAATTTATGCATGGACGCGCAAGTCTTAGTAATGTGTCTACACTTTGCTTTATCGCCCTGTTCTTTGTTATTTTTTTGGTTACACGTATATCGTGTCAAAGTGAAGTCCGTACCTAACTTTAGCCCCTATTAACTTTCGGTATTGAGCAATTATACTCACACGACATGACTTTACTAACCAAACTCGTAGAGAACCTTTGAGTCGACGAAGTTCTGCTGCGCTAAGAGAAGACAATTACGGGAAACATCTGGGCGGTTCTTATAATCAATTTTCTACCTCTTTTAGATGCTAGTCACATAACCCTCGCTGCCTCGGCCTGTCCGGCAAGTCTGGCCATGTTTCGCAGTAATAGCGAAGGACATGAATCCCAACTCGCTCTCATTGTTTCTGATATTCATTCCAGTCTAAACTATAAACTGGCGAGCAAACTGTTCAGTTGTTACTTCTTATTTCCTAGCTTCCATCTCATCCAGCCCAACTGTCGATGTATAAGATAGTCTTTGCTTCGAATCGCGCACCATATCCCAACAACTCCCGCAAAAGGCCACGATGATGCTAGTCTTCGAATCCAAGGTGAATGATAGGCTTGCGTCTGTCGAGTCACGTCGACCTTTAATTTATCATACACAGTTGGTAGCGTCGTGGCGGAGTAACGTCGTCGCAGTGCCTCGTACCATTCCCGATCATACAATTTCCAGAACTCCTCTTCTGAATAGTATGTGTGGGAATAAAGGACCTTGCGACCTCCCAATCTTCTGAGCTCGGCTTCTAATTGTCGGTTTTGACGTTTAAACGATTCTATGTCCTTCGAAGCCGTACCCCAGAGACCAATATTGAGCATTGGCTGGGGTGATCCGTCTTGTTTGAAACTAGTAGTGCAAGGGTGGAAAGTTGGCGGGTCTACAGCACGCAGAGGGCAGAGCCATAGCGGCCAGATGCCGAGCTTCCTGGCCGTATATTCGATGAACTCCTCAGCAGTGTCGTAGGGTAGCGAAAGGTCATGTATCATAGTTCCGAAAGACATGTTGCTTCCATGCAATGCTCGGTACATCATCCGAGTATGCATGAAATCGTTGAGGAACCATCGAGTGAATCGATTGAATGGGATAAAACCAAAGTATTTGAATGCCTGCGTACCGACCCAGAAGCCGCCTCGGTCGTAACGGAACAGATACTCCGCTATTGGAATGTAATCAGTAGATTTTTTCCCAGGAGGTTTTCCCATTGTGTGAAGATAGAACCAGGGATCCCATGGCCCGCTGAAGTTCTGCGGAACTTCAGAAAGTGGAATATCATCAGTCAGTTGACCAGTCATTAGAACTCCGTGAGTGTTAGAGAACATGATACCGTCGACGTAATCGTTGTCTGGGTTCTCTGTTGCCTGTCGGAGAACCGTGATTGTATCATGGATCGTGGAGTATGGTTGGTAGATCAACTTTACAAATCGCTTAGCTTGGATAAGTCTTAGTTCAAGCTTTATTGTGATACCCAAACTCCCAAGAGACCCAGCCGCTCCCTTGAATAGGTCGGCATTTTCGGACTCGGAAGCCGTGATGACCTCTCCGGTCGCGAGAACCATCTCAATTGATCTGACAGTCTGATCAAAGTATCCATACTTGAAGTAACTGCTCTCGCCTGCAGATCCAGCGTAGCCTCCACCCACCGTGATGCCTGGAAACTCCATTACAATTGGAGGAATCATGCCATGACCAAGAGTGGCTTGAACAAGTTTGTCCATGGACACACCTGGTTCCATGGTTGCTGTACTAGATTGCCTATCAACCTCCAGAATGTTGGAAAGCGCACTGATGTCAACAATGCGGCCGTCGTGCGCGGGGCGAGTGCTGTTGGTTGACCCATGGAAGATGCGAAACGATTGCTTCCGATTTAAGAAGGCCTTTACTGCGGCTGAAATGTGCGCAACAACCTCTTCGTGCGGTGGCATATCGAGGATGAATAGCAGCGCATGCTGCACAAGAGGGGGTGCACTGCTGACAGTTGGCGCCAGTTCGAAGCGTGCGAGCGGTAGGCTGAGAGCAGAAGTGTGATGGTCCGGCTAGGTGAGTTACGAAAGAGCACGAAGCGTGTGCAACTGGACTGAGTGGATGGCCAAGTGAGAGAGCGCAACTTTGGAAGCACTGGCGTTGATTAGCTCCAAATTGGGCGGGATAATGCTTGGCTTGAGTCACCTAATGAAATCATATGGCCCCTTGTGTATTGTTACTTTAGAATGATATCCCTAGCTCCTAGGAATTCAATAGTGCAAACTTATACCCAATCCTTTCCCTTCTCACCATCGGGCTGAATAAGGCCGCACTATGGCTTCCGTGCCAGACTAGAACCGTCTGAACTTGAACAGCACAGCCTGAGCGCTTCTGCTGCTGCCGCCTCCATCACAAAACGTTGTCCATGGCTGAATGTCGACACCAAATGTTTCAGGGACTCGGGACACCTGGACTTGTCTTTATCTAAATATACCACCACAGCGTTCCATTTGGGGGCTTGATAGCCAACAACTCGCCTACCTACTGCGAAACAAAGACATGGAACTCCCGGATATCACCGTGGACGACGTTGAGATTGTGGATAAAGCAAATGGGCTGGTACGCTTTGTAAAGTTGATTCAGATAGCCTGGTTTTACGCTTCCTAAAAGGATTTTCAAAGCGCCTGCGCCCTAGTTAAGCTATTGCTAGTTTCTATAAAAGTACTTTAAATGCAGAAATATTTATAATTATATTAATTTTTTTAAAATAAGTTTTATTTTTAAAATAATTGTTAACTATAGTTCTAAACTTTATTATTATTCTCTTATAGTACTAAATATTAATTTTCTGCTTTTTATAACTACTATTAACTAATAAGTCTAATGCAAATTTTAGTTATATTTGTTTAATAGTTTAAATATAAAAAAAATTACTTTTTTAAAGCTTATATAAAGCTACTATTTTATAATTTTTATTTTTTATCTTTTGCATTTTTATATAATAGTATAACAAATTTTTTTTTTTTTATCTATTTTAGTATTAAATTTTTAGACCTGCTTTAGCCAAAACTTTAAAAAAAAAAATTTAATAAATTTATTATAAAAAAAGCCTAGCAGCTTATAAAAATAAAAAAAAAATATAGCATTAATACAGCTTACCCTTTTCTATTAGGACTATATAATAAGTAAAAAACTTTTATTTTTTTATATTTATTTATTAATATTAAAAGCTATACTAAATATTAAGCTTATTAAAATAGCTAAAGTAGCTGCTTTTTACTAGCTATTTTAAAAACTAGTTACTAATACTATAACTATAAAAGACTATAGCTATATAAAGCTTATTAAAAATATTAAAAATATAATAAAAAAATAATTAGTTAGGCTGTACAGAATATAGGCGCTAAAATAATAATATAAGTTTTTAGAAAAATAAAGAAACTTTAAAATCTAGCTTGCAGTATTTAATTAAATATAAAAGCAGAAATTAAGTAATTAAAGCATTATTTATATTAAAATAAACTAATTAAGAAACTATAGTTAAAAGCTACTGCTAGACTACCCTAGGCGGAAGAAATTGAACGCGTACGTTAAGGAGACTTTGAGAACTTTAAGAATTTACGCTTCCTGCATGGCTTGAGGGGCGGGCGGTCTTTTATGGCAGACTAGGCATAACTTTCAATCTCCTACACAGTAGTAACTGGTTATGCAGGCACGGCAGTTCCGTCAATTATGCTCTGAGTGACTCAGTGGAACTCGACAGACTTAGGGTAAACGAGTGATGCGTATAGTCGCGAGAACTTGGAAAAGGATGAAGATGATTCAAGTAATGATGCATAACATTGGGCGATATCAACCCTAGAAAGAGTGACATGCATCTATCTACTTGTTTGGTCCTTTATATCTAATCTTAAGAGAGTGACAAAGGCAGACTAGTTCTGCTCACATAACAATAGGGAAGAGGTTTGAAAGCCGTCCTAGCCTTCCACGTGGGCAAGAGCAGAGCTTATTCGTAATCAGTGGCAGGCGAGGTTTGGTTAAAAGATTCGACTTTGCCAAGGTGGTGTGCCACGAAGACTTTAACAAGAAGCGCCACGAATAATAACGTTCCAATTTCCCAGTCCAAAGTTCTGGCCACAAACCAGGCCTTGACCGCCCACGACGCCAGAGCATCTGGTGACAAGGTCTTTAGCGCTGTTGGAGATGTAGCCCCAATTATCAAGGGTCTTGGGGGTTGTATTCTAGCCAAAGAAAAACATGTTAGCAAATTGGCTTCCAGACTTTCAAACGTATGCATCTTTCGACACTCTATTTACGTTGTTGTACTATTAAATGGCGGAGTTATCAGAACAGCTAACACGACCACAATTACCGGGACCAGGGCCATTAGTCGGCTGACCAGGCAAATTGCGTAGGTAGTCTGCACCGTCGTTGATTGCCCAATACTTGCTTTTGTCGGGAAAGTTGTTACAAATATTGTTGCTTATTTTGGTGACAGAGCGTGCAACTGGGGCAGGTTCCTTGAGCTTAAAGTTCAGATTGATTTGAGAAGCTTGAGCCATGACTTCCTGAACAGTGCCATTCAGAAGCTCGGTCTACCCGGGGGCGACCTCAACCTCCCACTGGAGCGTTTCAACGCCGTATCCAGGTGCAGGCGGCTCAAGACTTGTCATCTACAAGGGGCGCATTTAATTTCATAGGCTCAAATGTACATTTTTAAGGATACTTACTGCACGGGCAAGTAAGGTTGCTAGCACAATTGCAAATTGAATGTACATGATGAGGGTTGTCGGTACTAGCTGAGTAGAAGAAGAGTTGGGTTTTGATAGGAGCCACGGCGCTTGGAGATGTTGTAGTCAACAAGGAGCTGGTGGTTCAACTTTGAGTAAGAAGGGTGCAGATATTTATATCACGAGAACCCCTTTCCATTTTCATTCAAAATCTTATTTCCAAGGTTAGAAGTTCTTTCTCATTGATTTTTGCGGGCTGTCTTACTCCCTCGTACTGTGAGACAGGAAGCAATATATGCAGGGCCTGTGCTACTACTCGAGGTTAGTATACGAGGAGGGCAGGGTGTACAAGCATGGTGGCCTGGCCGTTGAAATGCATGGGTAGAGACGCGAAGTATCAATAAACGTGCTGGGGAATTTTGAAATTGTCGTCGATTTGATCCATGACTTCTTCTTGGTTGCCGAGCCAGAATTTACCGAAGTGCTCAGCAGAATCTCTGAACGCGGTAGTGACAGGAATTCGATGCAATTTAATTGCCCTAGTTCATATTAGTTGGTAGACCAGATATGCATAGAAGATATTGTAAGGTTAATTGGTATTGCTAAGATGTGACCTCCATCCCATCCCTAGTATGGAAGTAGTGGTTATTTATTCTATGCTACTTGCTAAGCGCCATGCCGAGCCAATACATACCTAGGTTCCGTATTCATCGGTCGATTCTTACTGGTTTTCTCTTCAATATACACTCTAGGATCATGTAACTGCAGCTTGCAATAGTACCAGCAGTACCAGCATCAGTGCTGTACGCAGGCAACTCTCGCAGCTTAGCAGCAACGAATCGGCGAGTCTACCACTCGCTGAGCGACTGTATAATGGTTGGATTTCAGCTCGTATTATTACAGTTTCCAATATTCAGAGGTCGTAAATATTCTAAACTTAGAGCTCTCATTGCCCCTTTAAGTACTAAGATGCGAGCTAAAATCTGAAGACCTGTAGAATTTGGCCAGGGTAATAGACACCAGATGATGAGTAAACAGACACTAGCGCGGTAGAGGAAGGCACCTAGGCCTAGCCGACAAAAGATGTAACCTGCGCCTACGCGTCAGTTGAGTTGTCGCTGATTTGCAGAGTTGTACTTTGAGTGTGGAGATGTTTATGATGACGTGGAATCTTCCAAGATAGGCCTGCTGAGCCAATAGTCAACCATGGTATAGCGCGTCAGACTCCAGTATATGGAACTACCTGAACGATCTCTATTCGAATCAGTGTGTGGCCACTCTCCTTTTGCCGAATTGGTGTTCTTTGCTCGTTTAAACTAGGCGTATTCTAGCCAAGCCTACCCCTCCAGCCGGGCTCGGCTGCCCCAGATAGTGCCACGACGTCAGCTATTCTTGCGACACATTACCCCAACCTATCATCAACACTATTACTAAGTAAACATGGCGGATCTAGTTACTGGCATATCAAAACTCAACCCCTTTGCTAAGAAATCCGCTGTTGACGATGAAGACAAAGGCGAGGCGATCGATGCAGGCACGGTTGCGGGCGGTGGCCATGCATCACGTCGATCGCATATCACGAAAGATGAGCTGCGCGTTAGTCAGGTACTACAGAACTATCTTGTGGCAGAGGGAATATTGCAAGAACAGGAAGTGGGACCAAATGCCGAACGACCTACCGCACTGAGAGAACTGCTTGATAAGAGCCACATCAATGTTCCGCCTGCCGTCACGGACAGAAACCATCCGCTCCCGGAGTATTTCATCAGCTCATCACACAACACGTATTTGATGGCTCATCAGCTCTTTGGTGAGTCACATGCATCTGCGTATGAGATTGCGTTGCACACTGGCTCTCGCTGCGTCGAGATCGACGCTTGGGATAATGACGACAACAAGGAGGAGCCGAAGGTTACGCATGGCTACACGCTTGTATCAGACATACCATTCCGCCAAGTATGCGAGACGATCCGGGACGTCGTTGACAAGGAGGCTGCGAATGAACAGAACGCTGCGCCTATCATGATTTCCCTAGAAAATCACTGTGATACACACGGGCAGCTTCGTCTAGCGCAAATCATGCAAGAAGTCTTCGGGCACCGACTTCTCAGTAAGGCTATGCGCGAGAAAGGTACGCGCGAACAGGAAGATATTGGCGAACACATCACGCTTGCTGAACTGGGGAACAAAATCGTTGTCATTGTCGAGTACCACTTGCCCAACGAAGACGAGAGCAGTGACAGCGACTCGAGCTCTGGCGACGAGGAAGAGAGAAAGGTTCGTCAGCAGTATGCTGCGAAGAAAAAAGCGACAAACGCTAGCATCGTCGTTCCTGAGCTGGCCGAGCTCGGGGTGTATGCGCAATCTGTCAAACCAGTCAACAATTCATGGTTTGAAGCTAGCCTCGACAATGCACCGCATCACCAGCTCATCAATGTCTCGGAGTCAGGACTCACAGAGCATCTACCAGCAAACAGCGCAAAAATTGCACGCCACAATGCCCACCATCTGATGCGTGTATATCCCAAGGGCACTCGCATCTCCTCGAAGAACCTCGCACCTGTACCCTTCTGGGGCATCGGCGCTCAAATCTGCGCTTTGAACTGGCAAACCTTCGGCGCAAGCTCGCAACTCAACGAAGCTCTTTTCGCTGGCTCGGGCGGCTTCGTCTTAAAGCCCGCTGCTCTTCGCGCCGGCGGCTCTGGTAACCTCAGCACAGGCAGACGAAGGCGACTGCGCCTACATGTTGCTGGCGCAACAGACGTTCCCATGCCCAAGGACCGCGATGACGGAAACATCAAGCCATATCTCACCTGCACACTCGTGCATCCCAACGACATGAATAATATGCCGCCTAAGCGCAAGACTGCTGCCTATAAACCTCACAAACTTACTAGCTTCCTCCACAAAGACAACTCGCCTCCCACAGATCCGATTTGGAAAGAGATCCTTGAGTGGGAGTACGAGGATAATGAGCTTGTCTTCCTCCGTCTTTTGATTAAGAGTGACGATAGTTTTGCGCGCAACCCTATCTTTGCTGTGGCCGCTGTGAGGTTGATGTATGCTGCGCCTGGGTGGAGCTTCATTCGGATGTTGGACTTGGGCGGTCATGAGACTACATGTACGCTACTTGTCAGATTTGAGTTTCTGGAACTCTAAGTATCTCCATCTGAGCTTGGGAGAAACGCAATGAACTATGGGGTAAGATAGAGGCAACATTGGAAGGCCTCGTAAGTATATGAAAACAACGACGAAGCTCTATGGAAAAAGAAGGTATTGGTGTCTTCTCTTGGTCTGAGTATTAATCGTTGTCAGCTTCGCGCCACTTTTTGTTCTATTATATGGAGTCTTTTTCGGTATATTCCCGAATATAGGTTAGCAATAGTACATTTCCCTACTGCGCGGCCGCAGACGCAGCATACCCAATCGTGATTTTGTCCAACGCCAACAGATATGGTATCTGTCAAATGGCCACGTCGATTTCCCGAGAATCTATCCTCATCGTACTGAACCCACACAGCCATGGTGTAAACAAAAGTAACACGACATATCCACCCAGATTTGTGATGGGACGGGCCGACGGGAGTCATCGGAAGGTTGCACCCTGCATGTTGCGGACAAGGATCGCGGGACAATTGGCATGTACCGAAGCGAGGTGTGGGTAAGCAACCGGGTCAATGACAGGGCCTTGATGTCGGCGATTCATAAGGCGGTGAGCGGTAAAGATGTACGTCGCATTACTCTCCAAGTCGAGTCTCTTGCATGTGTCTAGCACGGGTTGAGGCACTGGACTGACGAGAGATTTGCAAGGAGCAGATTTCATGACAAATAGCGGCAGTTTTCAGACTTTTAATAAGCATGTTCATAATTGCCGTCAAACCTTATCACTATCCACCCTAACCGTTTCATCCACTTTCTCGTCTCCTCGTCCAGCGAGCTGTCTAGCTCTCAGAATCTCCTCCCGCCGCTGCCCAACGGTTAGACCCTCCCCTTCCAGAACATGATTCGGCACAACAGCGCCTTCTTCTGCATGATCATAATTCGTGTCCTTGATGTGATATATGCCCAGATAATAGAACGCTGCAATACCCATCACGTAGAAGAGTAGAATACCCCCTGCTTCGGCGATGAATGGAATCTTGATGCTATCGAGCCCGAAGCAGATTGCTTCACCGGCCCCGAGCACACCCCTGAAGATGCCAACATAGTGTGTGAGTTTCTGCGGCGAGTTGGTGAGAGCGCCGATCCAGTAGTAGACAATGTTGTGCCAGAGTTGCTGGAGCCGTCAGTAGAACCCTTTATTGGAGTGAAAGTTGACTGGACATACAGAGAAAACCCAAGTCAGCATGAAAAGGACGAATATCCACCCAAAGTTGGCTTCGTCCCAGTCAGTGGGGTTAGTTGGCGGGTTGTTACGATCATAGTTGCGGGTGCGGATCTACACCATGTGAGTTTAAAGCCGCGGTATGCTACTATAGGTGACTCACCATCTCCCATACCCATGCGACGACCAGAGGCACGCAAACGCCGGTGAGACCTATCAAACCCCGCTTGCGGCGGCCCCAACCCGGGTAATCCAGAACTGCCTGTAGTGCCCATCCAGCAGGAATTTGTAGAACAACGGCGATGAAGGAAAGTAGGGAACGCGTGCGAAGGTTGTTCTTGTATGCTGGCAGACTGTTAGTTGCATAACTAAAGTGCATTCGAAAGTGTAGGGCTACCGTTGACAGATCCACTGTATACCAAAAAGCCCTCTGCTGGTAAGAATGCGGGCATCATTATGAGTAAGGTAGGATCCGTAAAGGCCTGTAGATTGGATCTGAGCTCCTCCCACACACCTCTTGGAGGATGAACAGCTACTACTGAACCATCGTCTCTTGTAAGCTTGTGGGGCCGGAGCAATAACAGACAGATCAAGCCGCCAATGATCATGATAACGATGAACGATATGTAGACCGACCGAGGCACACCGGCAACCGTATCGGACTTCCTGTTGATGATAACCGGAATAATGCCGCTGATTACCGATCCTAGGGCTTGCATGTTCATCAAGATCGTTGCATACGAGCCCTTCTCCCTCTCTTCGGGATACCCCGTCGCTACGTAACCTGCGGTGATGAATACCATTCCAGCCCCGATCCCAATTATCGGTCCAGACGCGTACGGATACCCTCTTTTGCCTGTCTCATCATAGTACCACAACGACCCAACGTATACGGCATATGTTTGTACACCAATGCACATAGTGAGGCCGGGCCCGAGCTTGTTGAGAATCGAACCACCGAACGAGGAGGAGAAGAACCATACTGCACACAAAGTCGCATTCACGACTTGAACGACTTGAGCCGAGTCTGGTCTACCGCCGCCCGCTCCTAGGAGATTTAGCGCAACGTATATGCCTGCCGACGCTCCGACACCGATGCCAGCGATGAAGTTCTGCACCCATGGGCCGTGGTACCGAAATTGAGGGAGTTTTAGGAAGCCCATATCTTCCTGTTCTTCACAGATAAGAACAAATGCAAATCAACGCCAAGAGACGAGATGAAAATGAGGATGGTGGTGGTAGGAGCATACCGACGGCGGGAGCGGCCTAGGGTACCTTAAAAACAAGCCTCGCTATCTCCAGAACCCCAAAGGTGGGTTGAAATATGTAGCACGAGCCCGCATGCCGACAGTAGGCAAGGTTCGCAAGTCGCGGTGCCTGCGAAACGACTGGGGTTGTTCCGCCATTTGACGGGTGTCATCGTCGGGCGTTTGGTGTGTGCTGATCGCTCAATCCCATCGCGGCAAGATCGTCTTTGTTCCTTGGAACTATAGCGTCCTCGCGTGCTGCCAACGAACCAGAAGTTCGCGTTTACGCAGTCAGATATTAGAGCACAGTACCGTGCATTAGCTAGCTGACTCGCTAGTCGTGTGTCGGTTATAATGCTTGTTGATTAAAAGGTGTGAAACGAGGCAATGGCAAACGGTAATCTAGAGATCTGAATTCGAAGGAATGACGACGGTAATGCTTGTGCTTGGTGGAAAACTTATAATGATTCGGCGTAATGCTTAGATATGAACCCGTTTGAAGTATGTATTCCATTTTGAAGCTCGTGTCGCGTCTGTTTACACACGTGGTACTGAAGAACCATTGAAAATGGACTTGAAAATAGCTCCGGCCGCTAAGCCGTTACGCTACGATCTAAATCGTATAGCTTGTGGTCCCAAAAGCACGGGCAAGGAGTTTTCGCTTCGTGTAAGGAGTCGAGTCCGCCATATTGGAACCCGCAATAGTGGCACGTTACCTTAGCGTCCGTTGATAGTGAAATGACTCTCAATCCCACACCTGACGGCAGCTGACGTTGATCCGCTTCGTTCCCATGTATCCCTTCCACTTCTTATACGCCTTTTCCTCAGCTGTCGTTGCGCCGGGGGTTCCGACAGGCCAGCTCGCAAGGTGCGATGGACAAGTACCTGGAATGGTTCGTGCCATAGCATGCCAGGCCCACCTTGCTTCTCCGGTGAGATGGACACAATCACCACTGTGGACCCTTATAGCAACTGTTCTCGGTGCGTTCTCCCCTTCTCCGTTATCTTCGCCGCGTGCCATGATGAATATACCGTCGCAGCCAACACTGAAACTAGCGAGCGCGCGTTGACATTGCTCGCTCACATCGCGATGGACGGGCATGAAGTCCTTCGTAGAGTACATCAAGACGACACCAGACTGGGGACGAATATGCGGGAAGAGACCCGTGACTAGTGTTGAGAGATCCTCAGGGAATGGTGTCGCATGTTTGGCGTAGCTGCGTGTCGGCCAGTCGTATTGTTCGCCAAGCGTGAGCCACCGAAGTTTGGTGTACAGGAACTGTTCGTTGTTGAGAGGTTTTTGTTTACCGGGCATCTTTGGTACTAAAAAATCTTCTTCCGCTGCCCGCTCGCGAAGAAAGAAATTGCTATCGAAACGACCAGCTTCTGATGTTGGTCTTGGCGGATAGGGAATATCATAATCCGTCTGTAGGTTAATCTTGTGACTGGGATTCGCCAAATCTCGGTGCATAAGACACGAGGTGAACAAGACCTGTGTTTCAGGGGGAAGAAGTCTCGATATGACCTGCAGACCGGGAAAATCCCGATGCTCGAATATCTGCGCATCCTCTACCGACGCAGAAAGTGGCTTCCCGGTGGCATAAGCCTGACATGCGGCTTCGATTCGTGCAGCGGGAATGGCTCCAGCAGGACGCCAAATAGCCTTCTGCTCTTCAGTGAAGTCATTTCGTTTGCTGAGGTCGAACACATGCGGGTCGCTCACGAGCTCTGCTTTTCGCATGCTTTGATATCGCCAATGTTCCTTCTGGATGAACTCCGGCGGCGTCGCGTGAGTGTCATGGTGCACGGAGCCTTCCTAGCAGTTGTGTTAGTCATAGTCGTTCTGCTTGAAACGAGCGACATACGAACGCGCTTGGTTGTCTCTGTGGAGAGGTCCATGGTCACGGGAACGCTGGTGCTGATTGAGTGCCGCACTGGGGGCAAAAACGGTGCTCTGCTGATACTAATCCTCGCTACCGAGCCATGTAGTGCTTTCACGGCTCTCATCAATCAATACTCCGGCGCCAAAGGGTTTTAGAGTCAATTTTTTAGTTTGATACGTTGGCAAAGGTGGGAAGGTGAACAGAAAGGCTCGATCACTCCATGCGTCTGTGCGTTCGCTTATCGATAAGCCGCTCACTGTCTTTCCACCCGATCACTCCTTAACCGTATCACGTTTTTGGCGCTCCTCTATCTATGCTACAGCCACCGGGGTCATAAAGATACGCTATCAGCCCTTCACTATATATCAACTCTTTCCGTCACCTTCAATACCTGCACACAAAGCAAGATTCATGGGCTGAGTTGTGATTCTTCGTAAACCCCTATATGGCTACCTTTGCGCTCTCTATAAACCCCTATATGGCTACCTTTGCGCTCTCTATATACATCTTCAATCGCAGAAAAGTTGAAGCTCCACTAATATCTTCATCTCAAAGTCTGATCACAACTTTGCCCACATGCTTTCCAGAGCTAAGGTACTCGAAAGCTGCTGGCGCGTCGTCAAATGAGAATACGCGATCGATTATGGTGTCAACGTGTATTTTCTTTGCTTCCAGGAACTCGACCAGCATTTCGAAGTCGACCTTTGAGCCGCCGAGAATACCCCTAGTCTAAGTGTCAGTACAAGTTCCACCTAGGATTTATAAGAACGCATAAAGGTGACTTACTGAAGCTTAGCCGCCTTCAACATGAGTGTCATGAGTGTCGATGGGGAAAAGCTGGCATCAAACCCCCCCAAAAACCCAACTAGAACAACGCTTCCGTTCTTTCGCAGCATTTGTAGGTCGGAAGGGATAGAGGCCAAGCCAGCGTTGTTAACAACATAGTCCACACCCTTGCCACCCGTGAGACGGAGTACTTCCGCCGCGACGTCTGGATGTGTCTTGTAGTTGATCCCCTGAACATTTCCGAGTTGCTTCACTTTCTCTAGCTTGGCGTCCGAGGATGAAGTGATGATTGGCTTGATACCGGTTGCAAGGGCTGTGAGACAAAGAAGACCAAAGTCAGTATATAACATCTCAAATTTGGTTCGCCCATTTACGCTTACCTATTAAGAGCGTAAACATGCTGACTCCGCCAGTTCCTGTATACTGTCATCAAGCTGTATCTGCTTATACTCTAGCCGTTGACAACTTACCCTGTAGCAGGATGGTTGTATCCTTCTTCAGATTCTTCAAGGAGTCAAGCGTTACCCAGGAAGTAATCCCAACACTGGGTACTATTGAAGCCTATGCATCGATTAACCGAATCCCCTAGTCCTTACACTGGTGGGGGCTTGTTATTACTTCTTCCCATGACAGGTGCTTAGGCAGCTTCACCAAAACCTTTTCCTCAAAAACAGCATACTCTCTCAAGGTTCCTGGGCCATCGCCACCGAGCGCAATCTGCTCCATAGTCCTCTCGTCACCGGTCAAATTAAGTAGGTCGACGGTTGGCGCCACATGGTCGCCAATAACAAAGCCCCTAACTGCAGACCCGATAGCCACGACTTCGGCCGCACAGTCTGATGCAGATATGCCGCCAGCTTCGACAGGCACAGGATAACCATTCTCTCGCAACATACCCACATCGCGGTAGTTGAGGGATACCGCATGGATGCGGATGAGAACATCGAGCTCACCGAGTTGCTCGGGAAGTGTCTCGTTAGATGACACGATTTGGAGTGGATAGGGCGGTATGGTACGGCGCCAGGCACGGTAAGTATTTGGGTAGGACATTTTCGAGGCGTGAATGTGAGAGTAGGAGATTTCGCTTCTGATAACGGAACACGTTGAAAATGACCGTAATGTAAAAGAGCTAGCCCTACTATATAAAGACGTTCTATTGAGATTACTCAACAGTATCTAGGTGGGTGGCTTGCAAATACACAGCGGAGTTCCACGCGTGATTACGTTTCGCGCTCGCTTACAAAGACAGTAGGCAGGATCCATGTCCCTATCCGCCGCATTTTCCTCGCCCTCTATCTCGAGTTCAAATTCAAGTCGAATATAGCATAATACTCTGCCCAACTGTTCCGCCTTTCAAACATGTTCCTGTTCCGTGATTTTCTTAGCCACTGCGTCACACATCTTTCACTTACTTATAACCCACCAGATTGCACCCTCGTCTAGCTTGATTCAACCCCAATGCACAATAAATGCCCCATCCTCGTCAAAGCCTAGGTTCACTTTGATACCCTTGCTATACTTTATTATACTATATATTGCTTTCAAGAAGAATCTTTAGGGATAGACTTTAACAAAGGAAAACTACCATGTGCGGTAGGGAAAGAGTAAGCACTGGTAGATAGGTTATAGAGCTGTAGCCGTAGTACATGAATATTGTTAAGGGGTGTTCCTAATATGTTAAGGTAGATAGGCATGGAATGCAGCAGATTTATTACTGCGGAAGGACAGTTGGTTAGAATATGAATCCGTTCCAGTAGTTACAGCATTTCTGATGGTGAGTTTATCTCTAGGCATTGTTGCAATCGCACAGTTCTACCATTTAGATTCTTACGTAGGTAGGTGAAACAAGCTTTCTATATTACCAAAATTGTACAACGCCAACCAGCATTCAATCAAGTATATGCTAGGACCTATGACCTTTAGTGCACGAACCTAAAGTCCAGTCTCTTCATTCCTTCGTCTTTGGTGCTGATAACATAGTCTTCCTGCTCCTCCTTGGTCATCGCATTCCATTGCCTATCCCTAACCTTGTTTCGCCAAATGTAGAAGACCTTGACGAAATAAAACAAGAAGACGTTGAATATGCAGATTCCTAGCAAGATCCTGTTACCGCGACGGTATAGCGGCTGATCATCGTTGCGGTAAATATTGGAGGCTATAATATTGCCAGATTGTACGAACATGTTGTAGAAAGCTGCGGAGACAGCGCGTGTGCGGACGCTGTTTGAGTTCTTTGCATTCCAGCCCACAAGGATGGCGTGGCAGTAGGGGTAAGAAAGTAAACCACTGAGGACAGCATAGCGGATCCATGGGCTGGCTGAGGCGGGCAGTGTGACAAGCGCGACAAGCCAAGGGAAAATCCAGACGTTTGATAAGCTGGAGATGATGGATCGCTCTTTGAATTTCGCTGACAACCAAGTCAGGATGAGGAGCTGAACGGCATAGAGAAATTGAGACGGAATCGCGAGGAGGTTGGCCTGGAACACGGAAAACCCAAGTCTGCGGAGAATGTACGACAGATAGTTCGCAGGTGGCGCGGGCGGAATGTATGCGGTCAAACCGATGAGGTAGAGCGGCCATTGTTCCCAGTCCGACGCGGCCTTGAATAATAATCGTAGGCCGACTGCTTGTCTGGAGTTGAGCACAGAGTTAGTGAATGTTGTACTCGGCTTTTGGGCGGAACTCACCTGTTATTCATATCCCCCTTGGAAGGATCGTCACGAAGAATTCGGTTTACAAGAATGTGTTCTTCATGCTCGTTGAACCATCCGTTCTTGCCTCGGAACCAATGCTTGGTTTGACAGGCTCCAGGCGGCATCAGTCCGAAGGAGAAAATACCGATGACCAAAGTGATGAGACCCTCGATCAGGAAGCTATACTCGTTAGCTTGAGTTACAAGCCAGGCGGCTGCACGTACAGATACTGCCATCCTCCCCAACCATTTAGACCACGCATCTGCAGTATGCCGGCAGCCAATAGAGACCCAACGATATTGCATGTACTCAAGGCGGTCCAAAACCACGCTAGGCGAAGGGGCAGCTCGTTCGATTTGAAAAAGTACGTGAGCCAGAGGACAATATCAGGAATAAATCCACCCATCAACAAGCCTAGAACGCAGCGGAGGGCGAAGAATTGAGTCTTGGTTTTGAGGGCACATTGCGACAGGCTGACCACTGACCACGCGCAGATGAGAGTCGGAATCCACCTGTGTAAAAGTCAGAGACGGATCGTATGGCGTTTGTGTAGGTGTGGTTGGTGCTGCGACGGGAAAGACTTACCGATCTGCACCAAGTTTTTTGCTAATGAGGCCACTGGGGAGCTCGGCGAAAAGGAACGAAGCGAGGAAGATCTACTTTGACTTAGCCGTGGGGCTAGACCTTAGACACGGATGAGGCTTACAGTTTGACCGTAGTTGAAGTCGTTTGTGTTCATGCCTGTAATCGAGTCAACAAGGGGCCCGTGAAGGGATGAAGAGAGGCAAACCTAGGTCTTTGAGCATGTTGTCGGAAATCGCACGATTGATATTCTTCCGATTCAGATCCAGTGAGATGAACATGACCCATGCCCAGAGTGTGATTCGCCAGTCCAGCTATGAGTATATTAGTTTGGGCTCGCTTCCATGGCGGTGGTTGTAATAGTTACCTTGCGAACCAGCCTCTTCTCCTCTTCGGCTGTCCATGTGTAGCTCGGATCAAAGCGATGGCGTCCCTCGTATTGGGCTGTCTCGTATTTCTCGCGCCAGTGCTGCGCCGTTGCAGGGTCGCTGAAGGGATGGTTTTCATACGAGCCATGATGTGGTACCTCAGTGGTTGATGCGCGCGAGGACCCTGAATCCGAGTTCTGGGTAACGGGTGGCTGCTTGTCACCAAGAGCAAGCGCAGCCATGGCTGTGATGATTCGAGGGAAAGCTTGTCGTCTCGTAATGGCCTGCTAATATGGAGTAGCTGGGACCAGGTGACTGGAAACTCAATTGAACGTCTCCTAGGAGATCTTATAAGGAGCCGGAGATAGTGTACCCCAAATTCTACGCGTGCAATGATGCAACATTGCTTGTGTTTGACAACATCGCTGGCCACAAGTACCAGTACTAGCTAGACAGAGCTCGAGAAGCCGGGTGTCTTCGCTCTCAAACTCACAGACAAGGGTTGTGCATCCCGCTATTGGACAATGTAGTTCCAAGCGCACCCTTTAATCGGGAAAGATACAGGTGAGAAAGAATCACAAGCCGGGTTGAAGCTTGGGTGGCGTCATGAGCGACTTGGCTGCATGTGTCTGTTGTTTGGGTCTACAGGGTGTTCACACGCCAACCGCATCCCTGTCATGTTCTCTCCAACTAGAGAGTCTGAATAGTTTGATATCGAGGTTCTGATTTGCCCTAACCTTCAAAGATTGGGGATATCCAGTGTCGCTCCCCACGTCAAATCCAGCTCGTTAGGACCCGATTCGGCCGTACACGCGGCGAACGCGATGCGGAAGGGCCGAAGAAGGAATGTAAGATTTCTAACGACCTTGGTTGCATGCAAGATGCGTTCCTAGCAGGCATTTGCGAACAGAGATAGATCAACGGGAGCGCAAGAACATAATGGGATGACTGCAGATGTTACTTGCCTCTGCTTGGTATGTTCATCTTGTGAAGGTCCTTGTTCCATCCTTGAGATATTCGGAATGGCCAATACGTCGACCCGATAACGATAGTACCCATGCTGGCACGTCAACTCTCTAAGAATGGCGTCAGGCACCCTGGCTTGGCTCCGAGGCAAAGAGGCGCACGGCAGGTAATTCTTTGGGGCCCATGTCAACGATCCCAAGACAGAAGCATTTTGGGGCGTTCATGCCCCCGAGGCTCAGAGTCTACGGCACTCGTCGCAGATATGTCGTGAGACTGGACAGGATGTCGTCAGTTTATGCCTGTCACTGCCCATGCTGTCTCCGAATGTTGGGATCTGCCGGCGCTAGATTGAGACTTGGCACCTAGGCAATTCGCACGTTCATAACCACATGTAGACTTCTCGTCCGACGACCACCGCAGCAATGTTTCTTCGTCCCCTCGCCACACAATATTCCATCCTAGGGCTATAGCTAGTAAGCGCAAATTGAACGACGTCGACAAAGCGTCCCAACCAACGTACGCCCACCCCTATCTCTCCGACTTTTCTTCGAAAATAGTGTGGTATGCGTGTCACTACACTAGCTGTGGTGGTGAAATAGACCCTCTATAGTCAGGTCGTAGTGCCTCCTAGAGTACTTCGTGTCCCACTTGACGGGCCTAGAAGCAATTGCAAAGTATCGCAGTACACTGTAGGCCTACTTGAAGAGCTCGACAGCGCATGATCACAAAGTTTCCATTCAACACGGCGAGAGATAGCATTTTGAGAGGAGATGCGAATATCCATGATCGTTCCCGATACCTCATCCGCAATCATTCTACATCGTTTAACCCCAAAGCCTCACGTCGCGAAACACTCTTTGGGTCTAAATACGGCTTCTCCCCTAGACTAACCGCCCGTTGTCCTGTTCTCGGACCTAGACCAACGTAGTCATAAGTAGCAGTATGATACACACTCCTATTGTCCCAAATTGCCAAATCGTTAGGGTTCTGCCAGCGATGCCTGACCTGCAGATCATGGTTCTCCGTGACCAACTGCAAGAACCAGTCTAGTGTGCGCTTGCTCTCTTCCTCGGTCAACCCGTTGATGTGCTGAACGTGGTGGCCGACGCCGAAGACTGACTTCCAGCCCGTCACCGGGTTCGTACGGATCACAGGGTGAACTGCGGTTAGGGAGTCACCGACGTTCTCCGGGGCGCCGCGAGGTTTGGAGTAGAGCTCAAACCCGTTTTCTTTGGCGGCGCGGGTAAATTCCGGTTGCGCGTAGGTGGCTGTGAGGGATTCGAAAAAATGCTGGTACGGCTCAGATAAGCGATCGAACAGCTCGTAGCCGGATGCCCAGAGTGTGTCTACTGCATGATCAGTCATTGCGGCATTGGATCACGATTGTGAATAATTACCTCCCCCAGTCTTGGGCAGTTCAGTCAATCTCAACAGCGCATAATCGCTCGGGACTGGCTCGAAAGTGATATCACTATGCCAGCCACCCTTCGCACTCTGCTTCTTACTCGAGAATCCTAGCCGCTCCTTGTAGATCTCTTTCGCCTGCTCAGAGCTGATGACACTAATCTCATCATCCTTCCCACCAAGGCGACGTCCAGAGTTGCTGACAGGATGGATGTGGAGCTTCGACGTTTCGGGCTTACCTGAAAGCTGCCCAAGACGTTGCGCCAATTCTTTCTGAAGATCATTGTCAAGCTCATCTTGCTTGCGGAAGAAGACTACTCCACGTTGAGAAACTACTCGCCTTATTAGTTTTTCGACGCGAAGAAAGAGTGCGTTGTTTCTCACTTGTAATAGCAAGATCACGAATCAACTCGTCCGAATTGGGCGCTCGAAGCCACTCCTTCAAGTTCACATCCTTGAACTCACGGCCGATGACCGGCGTGACATCAAACGACTCGTACTGATCTAGAGCACCCCTCAGCTGGAGCGGCTCGCGAGGGGTATGAACCTGAGGGGAAGCCTCGGTGCTCTTGATCTGGGTTGTTGTAAGGATCTCGGTGGCCATGATAAAACAAGCTGTTCATTCAGGGAATCAAAGTCTGTTGGGTGATATGTAAGACTGCGTGACTTTATCTATTTATGTTCTTTACTAACACTTACCCGTGTTGCTCCGCGTTATAGTTATTGCAAGAACTCTTTTGCCCATAACTGGTCTACCGTTGCTCAGGCAATAAAGGTCAAGAATCGCATCATCGCATGGTTCTTACTTGCATTGCATACCAATGGTGATGCCATGTCCCATTCCTTTTGGTATTCGCTAGTCGGTTCCGTAGACGACAATGACGTTTAATGGCCTTGTGGTGTTGCGGGGTCGGCTCCGCGACATGTGGGGGTGAGATGACGCGACATTAAGACCAGACGTCGGATTCGCGAGGTGTATGTGCTGTGCTGTGCTGCCTCTGCATTCATCGCGGCAGCCCATTACCAGGTCCACCGCCACCAGCATGCATTTCACTCCCTCCTTGCGCTGGCCGCACACCTGCGCCTCTCGCACCCGGCTGTCTCCTCAACGCCAGTCGCACCGGCTCATCGTGCCTACCTTGGGCTACGCCTCCAGCGCTGACTCCAGCACCACTGCTTGTACCACCGCTGCCACTCTGTGCCAATGCTTCTCTAGGCCCACGTCTCAGCAATTCGTCAAGTCCGAGATCGCGCCATGTAGGCTCCTTCTTAGTCTGCGTCGCGCGTTGGATGCCGAACGCAGCATGTTGGTCGGGGACTACGTCGTCTTCGTCTTCCGGATTGACAGGTTGTAGATGCGGGGGAATGTAGATGTCTTCTGGTGCAAGTTGTGAGGATGTGAGGTTTGTGAACTGCTCGAGAAGGTCGGCGTGGTGAGACTGATGCATGTGCAGGTATGTCGCTGTCGAGTCGCGCGTCTAGCAAATGTTAGTCCTGAGATGCACACGTATTCTTGGGCATGTGCACCATTGTGAACTGTAGAAGGGTATCTGGCGTGAGAAGGTAAGTTTTTCAAGATCGCGCCCGGTGGTTGTGATGGTTGACATGACACTCGATTAATCCAAACACGCGGAATGTTGCCGAGGTGCAGCGCACGGGCCGGGTCTTCTTCACGCGACTTCGACAACCTCACTCTCTTGGCATCAGTGAGAGCCTCTGTTCACATCTATGTGTATATGATATATTTAGTGTAGTATGATTTACGTTAGCGAGCTTAGACCTGCGGATGTCCACATGTTCTACACCTGACTGCCTGACATCGACATCATCGACACTTTTACGGCTTATCCCCCTCGGCTATCTCGACGTCTCACTTTCGACTCTACTCGGGTAGTCTATAGCATATATCTCGCATGTTTTCCCCTTCTAATTATGTTCTTTGACGCTTTCCCATATTTCCTTGAGCACCTATTCTTCACTTCGGAAGAGGTTTTGATCCCTTGCTACTGATTTCGAGTCACGAAATACCAAGACTACTATCATCATGACCCAGGGACGCTGCAATTGCTCAAAGATCAAGGTCTCCATCCCGTCACTGCCCGAGCAGTCAGCAATCTGCTACTGGTAAGAACACAAAACCCAAGCCCCAAACTTAGATGATGACAAAGTTTGGCAGCTCGAACTGTCGCCGGGCTGGGTCCAGCGTGGGCTCCATTGTCTATATTTTCAACAAAACGGACGTCACGATTGATGATCCGAGCAGCTCCCTCAAAAGCTACAAAGATTGCGACACAAAGAGTGGTAATACGATCACGCGACAGTTCTGTGGCAACTGCGGATGGTAAGATACTCCAGTGCGATACATTGGGCGGCACATTAAGTTATGAACAGCCCAATCATGTCCTTATTCGCAGGCGAGACACCACAGGTTATCCTGAAAGGAGGAATTTTTGAACATATACCCGCGCCTGCGTTTAAATCTTTCGATCACGAAGAACCAACGTGGATGAAGGTTGTGAAAGCTGGTGAGGAAAGCTCGTAGTCTGTATATCTGCTTATATCTGTATAAGACGCGCTTCGAATCGTGTGCCAAACCAGCTACCCCTAGATGAGATTTTAAATGAAACACCTCACCCTTCCTAATCGCTAATTGCCAACTCTCAAAAAATCACATCGATTGCATTAGTATTAAACTTGTCTCTCTCTATAGGCAGTGCCATTGTACCAACACCACATGTGGATAAAAAGAATCTAAGACTCGATGATTTACTTCACCGTCATTAGTGAAGCTGACCAGGGTTGGAAGTAGGTAGCGAGACGTGTAACGTTAAACACTAACGGGGGTTATTTACTGAATAAGCCTCATCATTCCATATAAAAGCTAATTCCTTTGTAATATCCTCGATACTAATCATGATCACATTGCTAGTGGTCATGATCATGCTTCTCGCCTTCTTTGTCGTCCCAAGGATGCCCTTCTCCTACACCCTCCCAGGGATCTCCCTCCCAAGTCATCCACGTAGCGTGTGACTTGACATCAGCTTCTAAATCCCCACATCTCTTCTGCTCCCAGCTCTCCTTGCCAGCAATAATCGCCCAGTGCTTCCTCGCTCGTCCAGCCCAGTACTTTGCTCGATCCTCTATGCCGAAACTAGACCAAGTGTACGCAAGTATCTCTTCATACATCGGAAGTTGATTGTGTAGGTCTTCTTTTTCCAGTGTGGAGATGAGAGGGGGGAGGAGAGCAAGGAGCTGGGGACTGTCTTTTTCGTCGGTCGGCAGCACAGACTTAAGTGACTTGATTTCACTTAGACGGTCATTGGACTCTTCGATGATGGCCTCATCAGCGGTGCACAATGGGCAGCCACAGGTGAAGCCAAAATTGGCTTCAATGGACTTGACGCGCCGCCTATGGGAGCGTGTTTCCAGTCCATCTTAGTAATATTAGCAAAATGTTTGAGCGATAGGCTAGAGTGACTTGGCCTACAGCTTAAGGTTATTTCCTCGCCTGCTTTGATGTCCTTAAGAGCGAAGACATCGAAGGCTAGGGTGTAGTCGTTGAACCGCCACAATGCATTCGGACGGCATGCATGATTGATGCGCTGCTTACGTTAGCTTCTCTTGCTCTCTTTCGTCCCCGTATCACGGCCAAGCTGTCACATATCAGGAAAGACTTACAGCGACCTCAGGTGTGATAGCTAACAATTCCGGAACCTCATCAGCCCACGGCCACTTCACCGTAATTCCGTTTGTCAGGATGATATCTTTGACCCCTCCATCTCGAGACACGGCTAGCTCTTTGACCACCTCTCTCGTCTTATCGGGCAACTGCTCGACCGCCTTGTGCAGCACGAGCTGCCTCCGAGACGTCGACGGTGTTTCAAGTAATTGTTTCGAAATGAACAGCACTGGCGTATTGATAATCAAACTCTCGCCCGCGAATATTGCAGCAACATCTCTTCTCGCAAACACCCCTTTGCCCATCTCTTTAGTTTCCTTGACTTCCCACGTGCCAATCTCGCTTCCCACCTGACCTTCCAAGCCGCCGACAGTCATACCAAACGTTTCGCTGGTGATACTCGCTGCGACCTCCGGAGTGACAACAAAACTGATTCCTCGGCCGTTGTTGTAGTTGACGTTTGTGTATGCGCAGAAGGTTTGATGAATGCCGAGCCCTTCTCCATCATCGTTCGGAAGGACCACGTTTACGCACGTTGGATTGTGCGTCCACGGAAAGGTGTTAGATGTATAACCGTCCTGGGCGACTGGACACGTTGTCGGGGCGGTGTTGATGAACCCATCCTGAACTGCTAAACTTGATGCAGTGTGAAAGAGTTCAGCTTGTGTTGCGGATGAGAAGAGCAGCGACGCTAAGATAGCGTCAATGAACAACAGACGCAGCCGCGACCTGACATTCGAGCTCATCTCAACGGTACCAAGACTTGTTTGAAGCAGACGAAACGAAGAATATCAAGCCAGAAATATTTCGACAATTCGCATCGAGAAAAGCGATGGAATCGCACCGAAGCCACGTTTCATCATGCCGAAATTTGGAGAATCCTTGCTGAAACATGCCGGTCGCTTGGCATCTTCCGTGGCAACCAGATTGCTTCGAATCGACAACACCATTTTGCCTAGTGGATGTTGTAGGACATACAGACTATACGCCGGCAAAATGGTTGATATGCGGAGCAGAACCCGGTTGAGCGGCACACGTGAGCACCCAACCCTCTCCGTATATTCACATACTGGTCAGCGGCCGTTTAAGCGAAACATCATAAATCCACTACTCCGAAAGTAGTTGTAACCTCCATCCTAGAGAATGTATGCAATCGCGGGGATCTTGCACCAAAGTCTTCCTCTTTTCCAGTTCATTGACGGTTCTGAGGGCAGCCGGTCATGATTGATGTCGCGATTGTAGTCTACGTCGAGCAAAATCAAAAAGAGTCGCACTTATTCGAAAGTTAAGGTGGACAAATGACGATGGAGTATTGAAATAATTAGGGAGATCTAGGTATTGCAGGAGCGATGATAATATGCGACATTGGCTCGAGGGACAGGATGCTAGATCTGTGTGACGAGAAGTTATGGGGGTGTATGTGGCTTGAAGAAATGGGGTAGCAAATGCCGACATCCCGTATGGTCGTTGAACGAGATTCACCTCCAGACCCTACTCAAAGAAAATTCCCTCTCCATGCACACGTTCCAACTTCCATACATGCACTTCGTTCTGCGTGACACGCTGCTTACCCCCCGTCTCTGCATCTCCCGGATCCTTTGCCAATGCTTCAGCAACACTCTTATCCGGAATCGTTGAGAATTCATGGATAGATAGCCAGGTTGGTGGATCAGGATTCGGTTCGTCGGTTGTTGGAAGACCCTTCAGAGCCCGGGATTGAGCGTTTGTACGTGCGTAAAGGAGCCGGAAGCGTAGAGAACGTATGTATCCCTTGCCTTGCGATACCTGAGCAGTTTGTCGATCGTAGAAGGCGTTGATATCTCTGGTAGGTAGCTCTTTCTCGGGCTTGATTCCTGAAGTCAGTATGTACTGTGTTCGTTCTTCCACCCTTTCTCTAGTCGTGGCCCCGATAAACCCAAGATAGCTGACATCCAAGTCCGCCAGATCATAAATGACACCACTGCCAGGGAGCTTGTCGCTCTTGACCGCAATATTCCTGAACTCGTCGCCTAGCGTAAATGCCAGGTCGGACATTGGATAAAATGCCAGGAATGGCTTTGAATTGGCTGAGTCGCCGCACGGTGATGTTTTGTTCATGTCTACGTAGCGAAAGGCATTCTTAATGCCACTCGTTGAGATAACTTCAGCGATGTGTTCTTCGTCGTACCAGTGAAGGAAATTTGGCTCCGTGAAGCTATCTCTTGCGGACTGAGCAATCCTGGACTGCACCCATAAGATACCTGGCCCTTTGATGGTTTCAGACATGCCTCCAAACTATGACGAGAATTGGAGATGAGTGTAATGTGATCGGAAAGTACAGCTCGCAATGCAGTTTGAAAAGTGATGTGGAGGATGTATTGCGACTTGGGGTTCCTACGATACCCGCTAACAAAGGAGTTGATCCGACGGAGTCGCGGAAGCGAATAAGGATACGGATATGTGTAACCGTCTGTGGAGAAATGCTACCGGAGACGGATCGAGAATTACCCCGCTACTCCTGCTGATAGCGTGCCCAGTTAGTCTTCACATTACAACTTTGGTTTAGGGCATTGTATAATCAGATGTAGCAAGTATACGTGACTAATGCAGCTACCAGCTAACTTCCAGCATTCTAAAGGAGTGCAACACGCTAAAACAATCACGGAAGGTTGTCATACTATATAATCATCTATTCTATATTGTCAAAGTAGTAGTGGGGTTCCCTAGAGGTTAGCTTCATCAAACATTGGTATACGGCACTGACCATGGCCCCTCTCTTCGCGTGGCGCCAGGGTAGTATATCATACCGCCGTTCGCCCATGAAAAATCTAACCTGTATCCTTTAGTCCTTTCTCGGTGTCAACTTCAACTTCAATCCAGGCTTAATCCAATTCGTATACACCTTCATGTTCTCATAATCTCGTTTCGGATCCCACACCTTGTTATCTTCACACTCAAGCATACTGACATCATGATGCCATAACAGCTTCCCGATGATGAGCCGCATCTCCATATAACTAAGATGTTTGCCGATACAGCCTCTCGGACCTAAACTAAACGCATTACTCGCTCCAAGCTTATCTGTCGCGTTTTCGCGATCGAGCCAGCGTTCTGGGCGGAAAACGTAGGGGTCGGCAAAATTACGCTCAGATTTGGTCGCCGCCCACATGCACACACTGACTGTAGTGCCACCGGGTAGATATTCACCAACCACCGTGTCGCCACCTTGGGGGACAGTGCGAGTAAAGCCTATGGGTGCCGAGGGGAACATGCGGAGGCCTTCATCGATGACTGCAGAAAAGTAGGGAAGCGCGGCCAGGTCTTGGAAGTTGAGGCTTGCGTCAGACTTGAAGTTATCGCGTATCTCCTTGGTCAGCCTATCCAGAATGTCTTTGTTCTCTGGGCGAGTAAGTAGGTTGAACAGGCCGGTAAGAAAGCCTGCTGTTGTCTCTGTACCGGCGATGATGAAGAGGGCCCCGTTGACGATTACTTCGTTCTTGTTGAGATCGCCTTTATCTTGTTGCTTCATAACGTAGTACAGGAAATCGCGATGTTCGCTGTTTTTCTGCTCCATGCGTTTGAGGATCTTTTCGCGGCTGTAGTTGAGATGATTAAGGCGTGTTTGGGCGATGTTGCCTGGGATGCACCATTGGAGAAACTGTTGAAGGGGAGCACCTGTAGTGGCCATTCTCCGTGTTGCTTGCTCTAGAGCGCCAGCTTTGATGGATTCACTAATCAAGGGGACCCAGAAGCGGAAGTCATCTACCAATAGTCAGTATTTCATGCCTATATGTGCGGCGAACTGCGCACTGACCGCTTTGCAGGCATCCGAAGGGCTCCCCTAATGCCATGTCGCCAATCACGTCAAATGTCGTATATGCAAACCAGTCTGCTACGTCGACAATCCCATCGCCTCCCGCAAAGCTCTTCATCTTTTCCGAGAAGTGGTTGACATAGTTCAGGACGATGTACTCCTGCTCCAGTAGCGCTTTCGTAGAAAAAGCATGCGAAAGCGCTCTTCGTTGGCGAGCGTGATCGACATCGTTCGCCATGGTGATGGTCGATACTCCGTGGACTGCAGCTATTGATCCAACATGGATAGGATCTTTGTGGAAGTTCTTGTGGCCCGGCCTCGAACCATAGATGTCTTTCCACGCTGCTTCTTCATCAAAGCTCATCTCATTGGGCGCTATGCGCACCATTGGGCCGTACTTATCGTGACATGCTTTCTGCCAGAACGGAAGGCGGCCTTGGAGTAGAGCCCAAACTGCCGGTATCTATATAGTTTGTTAGTGAAGTACTTGTGAAATAACTTCAAGTATTGATTGTTTTTGGGCTTTACCGGACTGATGCGTGCAAAGATTGGACCTGGATATTTCGCCAAAGGATGAAAGTATAATCGATATATCGCAATTGCAAAGAAGTATGCGAATGACTATAGGATATCAGTATTTTAATTCTATCCCATCCGAGCAGATACTCACAACGATCCCAAACACCACTGCTACGGTCGCACTGAACCCCAGGCTAGCAAAAGGTGAGTTGTCCGAATTCAACGGGGCCATGTCGGCCAAACGAAGAGCAAAGGGGAAGACCTAGAAAGCTTTATACTTGAAAGTATTACGGTGCATGTAATATAGCGAAAGTGAATCTTGAGATGTCCTAGCTGCCCGGCATCCCGAGCTGCCGAGCTGCGGTTAACAATTCCCTGGAGATTGTCCTGATCCTTCACAAAGCTCGTACGAGCCTGACATCCAATGAGCGCACGCCTGTTAGACAACCGCTATGATAACCGCGAATTGCGGGGAAGCAAGCGGGGTGTTGGCCCGGGGAAGTGCAAAGCGTACTCCCGTCACAAGGTTTATTCGGCTTCATTTCCACGTGACTGTAGGCTTTTCGATTACGAAAGCATGCTGAATGATGGCGTTCGTCTACGGTACGCTGGCGTTAAAATAAGCTCCTCACGACTTTCATAATAAGCATGGTCCTCCTTACTAACATCGTCGAGCACGACCATCGTCATTGTGAGTAGCGCTATGAACTCCGCATCCCACGATGATCAAGCATGCCTGCCTTGGGTATTAAATAATCATTCCAGCGTCGATGCAAACAACGGCATTTCTCTCGTTTCTTTCTGGACGTTCGTAGCCGTAGGTAGCGCATCAATGATCTCTCCAGACTTGCGTTTCCACTTCCTTGGACGTGCAATTAGCTCTTATTCCACGGGAATATAGACTCCTTTTGGAGGCTTGGTAGTCTTAGTGAAGTACGTTATAGCCCAGGTAGGATGGCAGAGTCGAAAGCCTTGGCAGTACCACGCCTGGTGATGCTTGTGATGGAGAGATTATGCAAATGAGATGCCCAGTCGAGGATCCTACTCAGTATGTACTTGTGTGTCCATGGTGGCTTCTCATGCTATGAAGCACCATGCATGGTAACTGGCGAGTTCCTAATGCTTGTCTGGGTATTGACACATGTCATAACCTCGCCTTGTGCGGCAGAAGCTCTTCTAATCCCCTCTTCAGCTGCTCGCCCATGCCGGCTTCGTGAGGTCGCCGAGTCTCGCGGTCAACAAAGACATGGATGAACTCTCCAACTGCCTTGACATCGTCTTGGCCTCGCTCGAAGACGCCAATCTCGTAGGTGACGGAGCTCTTGCCCAGCTTGTTGACGCGCAGGGCGAGGTCTACAAGTGCCGGGAACTCGATGGGCCCAAGGTAGTCACAGTGCGAGTGTACGACAAGGCCAATTGTCGACGAGGTGGGTGGGTGGAGCGAGCAGTGCTGGATGAGGAACGTGTTGACCACGGAGTCAAAGCTGCCCGAGAATAAGCAGGTGCTCGCGCAACAAGTCAAATGTGAGGGCGTACAGGTAGTAATAGACACTGTTGTTTAGGTGGTGGTACATGTCGTTGTCACTCCTGGTGGTGGCCCGGTCAGTCCTTGGACGCAGCGTGTGGCGGGGGCCAAGCAGACGTACCATCTCGTCCTGTACTCGAGCTGGAACGGGTAGTCGCTGCGACGACGGGCTTTCAATGCCTCCAAAGCCATGATGCTGCAGTATGTATCGCCGGCAAACAATGGCAGCAGTCAATTCTGGGAGCCGTGAGGACGCGTCGGGGGCATCATCGCGGCTAAAGCTCCCCCAAACTCCGACATGCCTCGGCTCGTGGGGTAGTTTCCTGTCCAAGTCTTTTCTTTCCTCACGCACAAACCTCCTCTCCCCGCAGTTCTGGCGCCCTCTCCGCGCATCCTCGCCTACCTCGCCTCCAAAGGGCGCCTACCCATCCCGAAGACGCCGACGGGCTCACCCTCGATGGCCCTAGTGCCTTCCCCCCCGCGCGACAAGTACCCACCTCTGCCAGACGACAAGTTTCCCTGGAAAGATCCCCCACCAGTTGTCATCACGCCCTGCGACCCTTGGCCGCCGCCATACTACCTTGAGGATGGCTTACGCAAGGTGACACCGTACCACTACACCTACAATACCTTTTGCAAGCAAAGATGGCGGGGAAGAGAGATCTTGGACATATTTGCTAGCGAATTTCGCGACCGACCTACAGAGTACTATGAGCAGGCCATAGTCGAGGGACGCGTCGTGGTCAACGGACAGCCAGTGCCGAGCACAAAGACGATTGTCAAGAATGGCGATGTCATCTCACATACGCTCCATCGACACGAGCCCCCATGCACGGCCAAATCGATCGGTATCGTCCACGAAGATGACGACCTCATTGTCATAGACAAGCCCGCTGGCATGCCTGTGCACCCTGCTGGACGCTACAACTTCAACTCCATCATCGAGATCATGAGGGCAGACCGAGGCTATGGCTGGAACCCGCTGCCATGCAATCGGCTGGATAGGCTCACAAGTGGCATCATGTTCATTGGCAAACACAAGCGGGCAGCAGAAGACATGAGCGCCCAAATACGACAAAGGACAGTCAAGAAAGAATATGTCACTCGAGTCGTGGGCGAGTTTCCCGAAGGCGAAGTCGTCTGCGAGAAGCCCATCCTCCAGATCAGTCCCAAGCTGGGCCTCAATCGCGTGCGCGCAAATGGAAAGGAGGCATTGACAGTCTTCAAGCGACTCGCTTATTACCCACCGAAAGATCCTGATAGAGGATCGCAAGGGCCGGACAGTGAGACAGACCCTCAAGGCCAGCCCTGGAAGAAACTTCGCGGTTACTCCATTGTCCGCTGCTTTCCCGTCACAGGCCGCACCCACCAACTTCGCGTTCACCTCCAATTTCTTGGCCACCCAATTGCAAATGATCCCATCTACGCCAACCAACGCGTCTTTGGGCCCTCCCTCGGCCGTGGCCAGTTCGAATCTGAGAATGACGAGGATATCATGTCACGCCTTTCGCGTATGGGTAAGGAAGAAGTCGCTGATGCTGTCGCCTACCACGATGAGATGGTCGATGCCTACGAAAAAAAGAAGGCAGAACGTATGACAGGCGAGAACTGCAAGATATGTGATACACCGCTGTACAGTGACCCCGGAGCACATGAGCTGGGCATCTATTTACATGCGCGGAGGTACCGCTGTGAGGAGGGCAAATGGGACTATGAGACTGGCTTGCCCGACTGGGCCTTACCACCACCAGGATATGAAGGGCCCACCGAGAGTACGAAAGAAAGCGATCCACTAGCAATTGATCTGAAAAAGCTAGGATTGGACGATGAGGACGACGAAAAGGTGGGTACAAAGCCCGCACAAGGGGCCGTAAATGAAGGACCCGATGCTGCACCGGATGCCCAAGCTGCTGCCAGCACTGTACTATAACTTGTCAATCTAATCAATTTCATGATATCGCTGCGCGTCTCGCCGTGCTTGCTTGTATTAACAACCTCCCTGTAGGTACCCGGTATATAGAACTGGCCCAACTTCCTATGCTGAGGTAGCCGTCTAATTGCAATTTCGATATCTTGATAATCTCTGCAGCTGTCCTTCTCTTTACTTCCTAGCTGTCTTCGAGTACGCGCGCATGTCTGCTTTCGTGAACCCAGGAACTACCTGAGAAACATTAGTTATTACGCTCCTAATTATCTAGTCGATAGGCTTGCAAGCCTTCGGTTTGTCTAGGTAGCCTCTAGCTATACTATAATTACAAATGTCTCTGCACTTAAAGCCGCCTCTACAGACTAGCAATAGCAAGTCTAAGTTAGTAGAATTACAATATCTATAACCCCCCTTAGTATCTATATTTCTTAAATCTCTTTATATACATTCTTACTTAGTTGCGAGGCTCTAAGTGCGTATTACTTGCGCATTAATAGAAACGTTAGCTCACCTTAGAGTGCTAAATAAGAGTGCATGTACACACCCCCTACCTTCTATAATAATTATAAGCAAAATAACCTTGCCCTAGCAGTAAGCTCTCACCGTCTGCCCAGCCTAGCACACAGAAAGCAAAAAGAAGGAAACTAGAAAAAAAGCAAAAAAGCACCCTCTACACCACCCTTGTTGGGTGGTATAGAAGGCGACGTGTAAACCGAGCGATGCCGCTCCCGGAATCTCAGTTTTCCGTTACTGCAACTCTGTTCGAGTTGGGTTTCGAACGAGCGAATAGGTCAGCACGGTTTGAAAGCGTTAACTCGGGATCCATTTGGCGGGAACACCGCCAACCGAGCGCTTTCAGCGCCACTGAGCTATTCTGGCTCGTTTGATGGGAGAGCACGAATTGTCAATCTATATATCCTCATTGTTGTCATCGGTGTGGTGGTGGGCGGGTGGCCCGTGGGGCAAGGCAGCCGTTTGCTGGCGTGCGAGGTGAAGGCGAGGTGAAGGCAAGGTGAAGGCGCGCATTTCACGCTCGCAGCTCTGTGCGTAATGCCGCAGCGCTTCTCCGGCGTGGCCAAGGTAGTCTTGCGATGCAGATGTGAGCCATGCGTAGCTGTTGTGTGTGTGGGCATTCCACTTACCATGATAGGTGAACGAGAGCTAATGGATACCTTCCTGTTACTTGGTTGCTTCGTGCTTTATAGATCCAGGTGACTACAGCAGTACACTCTCTAGCCATTGGGTCTTTCCACCGCTCTGTATGAGTCCAAAGGCGCGGGTAGTAGCTACAGGATTCAGCAAGTGCCGGAGCATCGAGGAGTGAATGATGTCCTGGTGTTCCTACGGCTTCTCAAAGAGACTGGATGTAAGAAGAGAACCAAGTAAGAAGATTTGAGTGAGATAGAGCTGCGATTGGAGAATATAGGAGAAAACTTAGAATAGAGAAAAAAAAGAGATAGAAGATGTAAAAGAGAGCACTATACCCACTGCCTAGCACACTCATCTACCTTCACGGTGATGATTCCATATCGTGGTGACTGTCTATCTCTATTCTACGTCTAAGCGTCCAACCCATCCCTTTCCACCAATCGCCTAACAACATCGATGACCTCGCTCTCCCTCTCGCTCACCCCCTTCCCCGGCTCCCTTACCATTCCGTCTAAGACACTATCCAGCATACCCCTCAGCCGGCTTACTAGAACTCCAATCCTCGCCCAGCCCCTCAGCCGTATCCACTCATCGATCACCAAACCCCTTCCTAACGTATCGACTTGTATCTGCCCAGCAAACATGAGCAAACTGTACGCATTAAACGGTGTGATATCTCGTATGAAGATCTTTGACGTGGCCATCTTGTTGAAGTACGCTATGAAAGTGGCATTCGAGGGAAATGTTTGCGAGGAGAAGAGTGTGGATGATGGGTGTACAAAGACACGCCCATTTTCGTGATTGAAATATTTGATCTCTCTGGCTTCGGGATCGAGTTCCACAGCGCCGGCGATACCAGCAGCAAATTTCTTGTCGGGGAGCTGAATGCGTGCAATCTGCGGGTTAAAAGAAGCCGCAATGAGGGCGCGGATCAGGGCGTCATTGGTGTTATGCTTATTGTAAATTCCGTATGACGACGGGTTGGCAGAGGAGTAAGTGGTAGGGATGAACGAGATTTCTTTGAGAGAGGAAAGGTACTGTGCCCGATTCGAGGCGATGTCGAACATGGTTTGGGGCGACAAGCGATTGTCCTGACACCAGAACCGAAGGTCGCGGGTTGACAGTCCCTTGCTACGCAAGGCAGACCATTGCTCGTATGCTCGAAGATCAACGAGTAGGTCTCCTTGATTGTTCGAGAACGATGCGCGAATGCGATTGAACTCATCCCTTGTCCCTGGGTCTCGCTCTCTTGGCGATATGAAAGGGCTACGAGCGGTCAACACCGAAGCGATGGTCAATGCGGCCTCAAGGCATCCGAACGTCGCCCCATAAACAAGCAACTTGCCCAATCGTAGATCAGCAGGAATCATGGACATGTGGCGACCGAGAGCAGTAAGCTCATTGTCGGTAATTGCTCCCATTTGCGATAGCTGCCTGATAGCACCTTCGACAGCTGTGCTTTCTGGAGGTGTAAGTGCCGAAGCAAGAAAGCCGGACACATCTTGCACGCCCATCGCCTTTATGGACAAGCACATCTGCTCCAGTGGAACCCGCCTGATTTCCGGATCGGGTCGTTCCATCATCTTAGCTTCGGCGTTACGCGTGTAAAGCTTATAGCAGTCTCCAGGCCGGACACGACCAGCACGGCCACGCCGCTGCTTGCAAGCCGCTCTTGAAGCCCAAGTTTCGGCTAGACGAACCATGTTATTTTGCGGGTCGTAGCTTGTCTCTTTGACCCGACCCGTATCGATCACTGCCACGATATCCTCGATCGTGATAGATGTTTCCGCGACGTTAGTAGCCGCAATAACTTTGCGTTTGCCGGCGGGTGGCAGGGGAAAGACGCGCTTCTGCTCAGCCGGTAGAAGCGATGCATGAAGCGGCAAAGCATGAAGGTTGGCGAATTGGTTGAGCGCTTGAAGCGTGCGATCGATCTCCATGGTACCAGGGAGGAAGATCAGAATGCCCCCATCCTTGGATCCAAGCTGGCGGTCAATATGACGGACTGTCTCTGCAATAAGATCATAGTTGATACCAAAGCCAATACTTCGGAGGTTTGCGGAAAACGACTTCTCTCCCGCGTCCTCATCATCGCCTATTGCATTACCCTTGAAGTTGGTGAAGTGCACCACGTCGTCAACATAGTAGTCCGTGACGGGATGGGTTCGACCTTCGATTTCGACGCGGCCTACCGGTCCCACATCCCTGAAATATGCCTCGAAGACGTCGGCGTCCAAAGTGGCACTCATCAAGATGACTTTCAGGTCTTTTCGCGTACGGAGAATTTGGCGAAGCAACACAAGTAAGAAGTCAGTGTCCAAACTGCGCTCGTGAACTTCATCGACGACAACGTGGCTGACATCGGCGAGGGCGGCAACAACATCATCTGCGTTACCACCAGATGTCTGCAGCCGTCGAAGAAGAACACCGGTTGTGACAAAAGTGATCTTAGTCACGCCAGGCTTTTGCTTCGACTCGCCTCGGATGGTGTAACCAATCTCTTCGCCAACCCGAGAGCAGCGCTCGTCAGCCACACGATCAGCGAGACCGAGGGCAGAGATCCTACGTGGCTGCGTGCAGATGATGTTCGCGACAGCACCAAGCTGTCGTTGGATGAGATCATCGAGGACAAATTGTACAGACTGGGTAGATTTCCCGGAACCTGTCTCACCCGATATGATAGTCACTTGGCTGTTGTTAACTGTCCAAACTATCTCGTCTCTCAATCGCCATGCTGGAAGTGACTGTCGAACATTCATCATCTTCAGCTGAGCCGGGCTACCCTGCTTAGCTTGCCAGTCAGTTAACACTTTCTGACTCGCTGGAGTTGCTAGCTTCCAGTCTATCGGCTTCCGAAATCTGCCTTTACCCGTCCTCCGCTGACTCTGCTGGCTGATAGAGTGATCTGCTGCAGCAAGACCGGATGATACATCGCTCAATTTTCCTGGGTTCTTGAAGATCTCGCCAGCATTCTGTTGTAACCAGTCTACAATATCGTACACCATTGGCATTCCGATGTAGTTAGCTTCAGCATGTAGCAATGCCTGCCTAATTATGCTGAGTCGGATGTACGCAGGGATTGGCGCCTCGAAGGTGATGATCGGTACGACGGCTGGGTATAGGCCAAAGGGTTTTCTAACCTGCAGAATGAGGCGTTTGCCCTGCTGCTTCACGTCAAGTTCAATGCGACACATGGCTGGCGATGGCCGGGAAAAGAGCTTGTCGTATATTGCTTCCAGCGAAGACATCTCAACCTCCCAAGGATCGTCTTCCGACGGCTCAGCCGGTGCATGAGCAATCGCGAGGTCTGCCAGCTCTTGGGCAATATCTTTCTCATCCTCGTTCGGTCGGAGTAGGCGAGACTGTAGCAGCGCTGCTGCTTTCCTCTCATCACCGCCTTGGCTGTCGTACGCTTCTTCGCAGAGATCTGCAGAATATCCCGCGGTGGCAAGGCGCAATACAGCGCCTTCGCGCTTGAGGTTAGAGCTAGCCATACTGATACCGGCAACGTATCCCTCCGGTAAACTCCATGATGGCAAGTCGTCCTCGGGGACGTGGATGAGGAGCCACTCGATGATTTCCTCACGATCCTTGCATAGGTCGGCAGCTTCCTCAACATGGCTTCTCCGGAAGCCAAGCTCAGCAATCTCATCTGTGAGTTTGGACTTGACGTTTGAATTGACCTGAATGGCGTGTGGATTCCAGATTGCGTCTCGCCGGATGAGGCGTTCAGCCTCTTTTCGCGTTCGTTTTCCTAGTTCAATCTTGGGTACACGTTCCCACCCTTTCAGCAGATTCCTACTAGGAGCTGGACCTTTGGAGCTCGGCATGGCTGCCCCTGGCTGGAGATTGTGCGCTTTCTGTGCCTCTTCGTGCTGTTTTTGCCTCTTTTCGCGTGCCTTAGCCGCTGCCTCCCGGGCCTTTTCGCGCTCTGCGAACCCGAAGAAAGGGTCTGCCTCGTACATCCATCCTTTGCCTTCAGCCTCGTCTCGCTTCTTGAGATCTGTAAACTCTCCTTTCCAGAGATCCTTATATGTTGGAGGCAGCATCATGTGCAGATTCTTTGCGCTAGCGACCCGAAACAGTATGTAGGCGGCTGCGAAATTGCGGGCCTCTACAGCTGTGGGCTGGTGTGCTTTATCTTCGAGCTCCGATGGGATCTTGATCGGTGGTAAGGTTGTCGTTTCTCGCGTCTTCTGGTTCAGCTTGGACAGTACCACAGCGTAAGCAAAGTGCTGGTCGCCATCCTTGCGCTGTAGACGAAGAGTTAGATTGTCTCATAGTAGCGAGAACGGGTGCTTACAATGCGATAATCGGGCTTGCCCCAGTGCTGCTTCTGGAAATGTTCCGAAAGCAAGTTGACGGGCAACTTGCCAGTCCAAGAAGCACCTGCAATCAGGGTCCTAGTGTCTGGCTTTTTTGGCCCCTCTTCAGGCAGTCCTGCTGAGGACTTCCCCTTGCCTTTACTATCATTCTGAGCCGTATCCCCGCCAGTTGAATCTTCTTCTTTCTTCTTCCTTTTGGGCTTGCCATCACCGAAGACTATGAAGCTGGTGTCTTCTTCTGGGGGAACAGGCTTCTTTGCGGCGGATTTACCGCGGGGCGGGTGAGCGTTCTTGGGCATCGTGACTGAAAATCGATGACAGGGTTCCGAGCTCTAGGATCTCCATAAAGAAAGACTGCTGGCTGGGTTCGGGAGTGCTATACAGAGAAAGCGTAATCGATTGTGGGTGCGAAAGGGCGGTCTCGCTAATAGAAGGGCTCAGCCGTCAGGTTTGGTGGTCCACCGGTGCACAGTGTTTCCAGCTGCACGGAGAGAAGGAGTGACATGTGTTGTAGCCATCGCTGGACTCTATTCACTCGAAAGTGGTGCCTGCAAACAGTCCGAAATTCCGAAAAATAGTTGCTTGGCAGCGTCACAGGCGAGACGCGGGAATGCGGAGGACGCGAGCATGGACCATTAGTTCGTGTCCCACCACTCTTGTCTGATCACGACTACACACTCGAGCATGACGCGTCAAACCGCGTCTAGGGCAGAGTTAGCGGGTTTGTCTTCATCTCGAACCACTTTCAAGGCAAAGTAGCAAACGGAAAGCCTGGGATTTCAAAAATGGCTTCCACAAGCAACACAAGCTCTCCCGAGGAGCAAACCCACGATGCAATCACCGCCGAAGAGATAACAGGGGAGGAACCACCTAATAGTCCTCAGACATCCACCGACCCATCGTCCCAGAAGAGGCCCAACGCATGTATGTCCACCATCCACCCTGTACTCCTACACAATCCGAGACCTTAACTTACGGGGCAGTCACAGAACTCATGTCTAGCTCGAAGAAACCGAAGCCTACTGCGGCATTCACTTCACAGTCTCCAGGAGCTCTTCAGAAAGCGAAAGATGCCTCGAAAGGCTGGGATCCGCGCAATGGTCTGGCACTGTATATTGAAAAGCCAGAGACGAACCCTGAGGGCAGGGTAGTTGAGTATGACGACGACTACGTTGTAATCAATGATAAGTATCCGAAGGCAAGGTGTGTATCTTCAAACTGTATGGGAAACGGGGCTAGAGAAGCTAATTATTCCCAGCGTGCACCTTCTGCTCATCCCCCGCAAGCCCGAGTACTACACCCAGCACCCCCTCCAACTCCTCTCAACAGCCACAGCCTTCCGCGCCGAAGTCTGCAATCGCGTGGCCCGTCTTAAAGTCCTCGCAGCCTCCGAACTCCGTCGGCAGTACGGCCACCTCAGCGTCTCAGACACCCCATACCAGGAGGCTCTGGAGGTCTTGATGTCTTCCACCGATGACCCACCGCCACCTAAAGAACGCGCCGCTCTTCTTCCACCCGGTCGCGACTGGCTCTCCGACATCGTAGCAGGCGTCCACACGCACCCGTCCATGAACCACCTGCACATCCACGTCTTCAGCCGGGAGATGCAATCGCCATGGATGAAGCACAAGAAACACTACTTGAGCTTTAATACAACCTTCTTGGTGCGGTTGGAGGAGTTTCCGCTAGATGAGGGGAGCGAACGCTTTCATCCAGGGAAGTGGCCGAATTGGGATATGAAGTGCTGGCGGTGCGGGAAGAACTTCAAGAACAAGTTTGCCGCACTGAAGGTGCATTTAGAAGAGGAGTTTGAGCAGTGGAAGAAGGAGTGAGAGGAATTCACAAGGCATTCACGCATAAGGTGTCTGCAAGACCTGCCTAGCAAATGTAAAGGCGCCTAAAGGCTTCGAGGCTACACTGAGCCCGCCGTGAGATTGAAGAGTCTACCTGGTATCATCCATGTCGCGCCGTTCCTGAACCATAACTCCATGCCATGCGCAGCCGGTACCATCATCACATAGTATCCCAGCTAGCGAATTACCAAAGTCTTTACCACAGTCGTATCAATATCATGCAACTCAGGCGGAAACTTGCAGCTTTCACCGAAAATACAAGACCTGGTACCCTTAACATGATGCGTCTTGTGAGGTGGCGCAGGGCATCGGTGGCCATAAATACACTTGATGTCCTCACAACCGCTACCGTTCTGGCAAGGGGCCATGCGCGCGACGAGGCGGAGAGTCGACACCTCGTCTTTGGTAGGCTTGTACTGGTGGAGATGCGTACAGTTCGTATCGTAGGGGCATTCGTTTCGAAGGAAATGGACATTACACATTTTGATTTTCTTGATGCGGTCGACTTCTGCTTTGTCGTAATCCTTGCTTGGAGGATCAACGCGTTGGCCGGTACGGTTGCGTGCAATGACTTCTTCCCGGTTGGCGGGCTTGTATAGGGGCGAGTCTGGAACCGCGGGAGCTGGAGCTGCTGCCTTGGCTGCCCAGCTGTTTGTCGCAGCGAGGGCTGGCTTGGAAGTTGGAAAGCCATCTGAAGCTAGAGTCGACGATGACGGTGTCCTTGGGAGATTCATCATCAATGCCCTGGCTGGGATGGGGCTGTCCATGAGCGAATTGCCTGGTGATCGCGCAGGTGCGGGAAACCGAGTCGGAAGCCCTGATAGCATGTTGAAGGTCTTCATGCCAGGTGATGCCGAGCCTAGAGGTGTAGTTGGCTGATGAGGTACAGAGGCACTGCCCCAAACAACAATCTTGGAATCCCGGAAGAGGCCCGGGAACCTCTTCGTGCTGTATGGCAAATGCACCAGCTCTTTCTCAAAGGGTACGCCTTCCAGGAGGACTACCTTGTTGAGCAACTCAGTCTTGTCAGAATTCTCTTCTAGAGCTCGAGCGTAACCATTATCATGCGAACAACCGAATAGAAGCCGGCGGCAATGATAGTCCTGGGAAAATAGCTTGAACGACTCTGCAAACACGATTAGCTATATCTGAAGACCTTTGCAGACCAGTTCAGTTGCGTAACAGGAAGAGAAGTCTCCAGCCTGCTCCAGCAGGGTCCCTCTACTTACCAATAATCTTCTCATCCGCACGATCTTTACCTGCACCGACGTCGATAAAGTCAAACAGGGTCTTGCCTCTCGTGAAACCGCGGGCGAAATCTTCAAACTGACCAACGTCCTCGATAGCGCCCGCCCGCACAAGCACGTCGGCTAGTCCATGGACGTTGGCGTAAATGCGACATACTATACGAGCCCCGAGAGGGATGTCGGTTTCAGCTTCGACATAGCTCTGTACAGCAGCAGAAAGTTGGGCTGCAGCATGACGGCCGCCTTGCTCGCCTTCGCGCAGGAACTCGTCCCGAAAAACCATGCCGTCGCCATCAATTAGGACCATGACGAAGGGATTATCAGCCTACAACGGCCAAGTTAGCCGGTGTCCCTCAGTGCCTAAATTCTAACCAGTGGCCAGGAAAAGGTCCAGGGCAGCTTGGCATCACGGTAATCGCATGGGTGGGCGTCAATGGGGCGAAAGTTACCATAGCCAGCTGCATGTTCTTGATCCACTTGTCGTATCGCTGCTTTTCTTCTTGCCATGAAATGACCCATTCGCGCTCACAGTCTCGTTCGGAAGCCATTATCTGGTACTGCTGATGGAGGTACTCATAGCGTGCAACCAGCTCCTAAAGGTGAAGAGTCAGTCGTGTCGTCACTGGCCTGCCCATAATGAACATACACCCATAAACTTGCTCTTCTCTTGATCATAAATGACGAACTGCTCATATCGTTTGTTCAAGGTGGCCAGCTCAGAGTCCTGGGGGGTCGAACGTGGGCTGGCAGGTGGACTTGGCTTCTTGTGACCGAGGCCGTTGAGGAAAGGCGATGGCATCATTCTAGTCGATGATTCGAAAAGATTTATTAAATGGAAAGTCGGCGACAGTGCTTGAGAGGTCAATGATGTGAAGGTTACAGCGACCGAAGCGACAGTCAGTGTGGTGGGTGGCTTTGTCTGAGTAGAGTAAAGCAGGGTAAAGTAGAGTAAAGTACAGTGGAGTAAAGTAGAGTGTGGGGAAAGCAAAATTGAGAAGAGCAGCCGAGAGCGCCTTCCACGGTTGGTGTGTTAGCGACTACGATCCAGAGCCAGGCAACTGCGGGTGAAGGTGAGTTATATATCGATTGTTAGTGGCAGTGAAGAGAAAAATCGGTCAATCTGCCCCAGACTGTGCCACCAAGAACCAGACACAAATGCGCGGTGCCGCCGGGGAAGCGCTTATTGCAGGGCAGTGTACACCGCAACTCAAGCAAACAGAGCTGGCGTGCATGTGCAGAGGCTGCTCCTACTTGCTGCGTTGGCGAGGAAGACTCTCTTTGTCTCGTCCTTGGAGGCGTAAGACATGCGATGTGTAGTCGCGGGCGCGTGCGAATTTGGGCTGATGGCTGCTGATTGGTGAGGCTTGGGGCCAGATCGGGCAATGCGCTCGCTTCGCCTAGCCGCAGCTGCAGCCCCCCTGCTCCTGCTGCCAAGACAGAGATGGGAAGGGAATGGGAAGCTGCGCCCGGACGTCAGTGCGCGCCAGTTCCAGAAGCCACGTTCGAATTACCCCATTTCTCTCCCATCCCTCTCTCCGCTGCTGTATTCATCCCACTCGCCCCCCTGTTGCATTCATCATGGTCTCCTGGAAGCTCTCCTCCCTGCTGCTGCTGTCCCTGCGCGCCCTCGGTGCCTTTGCGAAGATTGAGGTGAGCTATCGAATGCATCATGGCGCATGACATCAACCCGCTAATTGTCTCGTGCTGCAGGTCGAGCAGGTCGCAGTTGATAATGAGGCGCAAACGCCCAACCTCAAGGTTGCCGTCTCCGTCTCATTCCCGCAGTCGGAGATCTTTGGCGTAAAGCTCATCAACGGCCACGCCACCGAAGCCCGTCTCTCCATCACCAATGACGAGCCCACGCCCATTGGCGTAATCATTGTCGGCGGCTCGCTCATCCAGGAAGTCAGCGGCCAGTCCCAGATCGTCCGTAATCTCACCAACCAGCGCTACTCGATCGAGATTCCCGCGGGCCAGGAGGAGACGGTACCTTACACCTTCAGCACCGAGCTGCACCCCCAGAACCTGCGTTTGCAGCTCGTTACCGTCTTGAAGGACGCCAAGGGTGCTTTCTACACCGTCCCCGTCTACAATGAGACTGTCAGCATCGTTGAGGCGCCGACTAGCTTCTTCGACCCGCAAATGTAGGCACCTGCCCGAAACCTCAAACAAACTAGCTCCCCTCACACATGTTCTACATGTACCACCTATGAACCTAGACTGACCTGACTACTCAGCATCTTCCTTTACCTCGTCCTCCTCGGCGCTTTCGGCGGAATCGTCTACTTCATCTACAACACCTGGATCACCACCTTCTTTCCCCAGAAGAAGGGTCGCGGCAAGGGCGGCGAGCGCGCTAAGAAATCCTCTGCTGGCTCCAAGAAGGTCGACCCCGCCGACCAGGTTGCTGTCGTTGGTGCTGATGGCCCCGCTGTGACGTCCGGTGCGAAGGCATACGACGAGAGCTGGATCCCTGCTTCTCATCTTCAGCGTCCCGAGGCCAAGCGCGTTCGCAGCGGCACCCCCAAGGCCAAGCCCAGGGTCTAGACTCAAAGCATTATAATGGATGGGAATATCTTGCAAAACGAGCAGAGGAGCAGGAAGTCTCACCGAGACGTTTTGTATTCTTGGCAAGGGTTGGCCAATCCTGCCATGTCCATGTGGAAGAGATCAGTTGGATAAAATGGCTCTCTTAGGTGCACTTTGAGGAGGAGGTTGCTGATACGGGGCGCTAGCCAATTCGCTTTTTCCATTTGGATATGGGCGAGCGACTTGACGATTAAACATGTACTATATCATGCCCATTCAGGATTTGGTTGATCTTGTATAATCTTGTATACTAGACAGACAATTTCATGAAATTTTAGCATGCGACCAGAGTCACAGATATATTTTGTTTACGAAAATATGTCAAATAGTCAAGTCAAAGTCTTGCGACTCTGCAGCACTGCACCCGAAAACACAATCGCGTTCTAAGCCGCTGTAATCGTTCAGATGAATGGTTTGCAGCATACTGATGCTGCCCAGGGCATGTAAGAAGCGACAATGATCTCATCTTCACGCACATTCTATCTGCAGCGCCACCGACGTCGAGGATCTACACCTATACGTGGTTTAACCATCGTATTCGACTTCCGGCTATAAAACACTATGTAAATGTCCATGGAAGCTCGATCCTTGCCCTGCTTAGCTTCGGACTAGTGCATGACACCCCGCATTGATCCAAACGTCTTCGAACAAGCACCCGTGGACAAGATTAAAAGTCCGCAGACCCGCCGCGACCATGCTTTTACTGATCAAGCAGATCTCGTTAGGTGTCGACGGTTCCTAATGTCTGGTGCAACGGACGACGGAAAAACAACCCGGGGTAACGGACGCTATAAGTTGGGGTACGGCAATCGCCCGCTGAAGTGCATCGTTCCTTGCGTTCGCTCACGCTTACGAAAATTACCCGGGCAAGTAGTCCAGACCAGCAGGCGAACACGAGGAAATCCGATCGACCTCACGAGAGGATAGCCTGATCCCTCAGAGTCACACCCCAGTAGCGCCGCCTAGTGAGTCAACCTGAGCCTGTATAAAACCTCGCCGCCTCCCCGGCTTTACCCCTTCAGTAAACCTGAGAGGCATTGTACAACCGCAAAATTGACCAATTGCTAATTATATACTTGAGATCGTTGAATCTAAATATCCTGACTTGCAATTCGTCAATCACAATGCCTCCAGTCAGTCAATTTCCGCCTGCTCGCGTCTTTCTCAAAGCTCCTACTTCCAAAACACTACCCATCACAGCCACAGCCAAAAGATCAACATTGACGTCGCCGCTGAGTCCTAGATTCACAGCCACGTCGTCAATCACATCGCAATCTCCGTCCCGGACTGTGACAGCGCAGTGGAGTGGTACGCCTACGTCTTTGGGTTCAAGAAGATCAGGTACGCAAAACGCATGTGACAAGCTGAGTGTGGTCTCGCCTGGTGCAGGGTTATTTTTTCTTTCTCGAGAATCAATATACTGATATTTAACGCTCAGAAGCGACAAATTGATCAACCGGAGCGCAAATGCAGACGCGCCCATATTCCGTCTTTACGGCAACACTCTCCAAAAGGTCAAAATTGCCTACCTGTCCACGGGTAACAATGTTGGCTTGGAGATTTTCGAATTTATCGATCCGCCTCACCAGCCTGTCGCATCCTCGTCGCACTTTGAGTATACTAGAGCAGGCGTTTTTCATATATGCTTCACGACGCCGGATGTTGATGAGGCCATGAAACGAGTGCTTGAGAAGGGTGGGACACAAGTGGGCGAGACGGTGGAAGTAGGGAAAGAGGTCGATGGAAGCATTATCAAAGTCGCGTACGTGAAAGATCCATGGGGTACAGTTCTCGAGATGATGAGTTGCAGCTTTGAGAGGCTGATGGCAAATAAGGAGTGAGGCAATACCACTACTGTTATATTAATAGATACCCCCGACTTTGGTTTAATACTTTCACTTGCATGAATCAATATCTGCGTGCTCTCGCTACTAAGCATTACAACACACGCTATCCACCCTCTTCTTTTCTTCATAGTGTAAGTTCCACTGGTTTTCCTGCTTGCTCACCACTCCTCAAGCACGCCTCTAGAACTTCCAGGTCCCGCAACGCTTCCTCCGGGCTCTGCATCTCATTCCTCACTCCTTTCTCTATGCTCTCTGCCCAGGCGCTGACCTCCTGACGCACGCCATTGCCTTCATCCTTGAATTCCCTTACTTCTGCCTCTTTCCCGGCTTTGGTCACAGTGACCTTACCCATGCTCACGTGCACGCTCCCATTCTCACAAGCGATGAGATATTCCGAGCCCTTATCTGTAGTGCCAAAGGATATTGATAGCGTACCCGATGAGCCGTTTGAGAGCTGCAGGGTTGAGTTGAGCGTATCGACCGGTGGGAGGTGCTCTTGCAATTGCGCTGTGAATGCACTAGCAACCTTAATATTCTGCTTGCCACCAGAGAGCAGCAGGCGTATTGCGGCAATGATGTGCACACCGCCGTCTAGCAAGAATCCGCCCTGGTACTCTGGCACCTTACGCCACGCAGTTTCGAAGTACTTGCCACCTGGTTGAACTAAAGTGGCAACACGGGCACGGAAGGTAAGGATGCGGCCCAAGGAAGAAATTTGCTGGGACCCGTAGAGGAAAGAGTCGAGAAAGCGGAAGTTTTCTGCGACGGTGTAGGTGGCGGACGTGCTGGCTTTGGATTGCGTCCACGATAGCAATTCTTGAGCGGTGGCAACGTCCTTGGCAATTGGCTTCTCTGCGAGTACATGCTTGCCGGCAGCTAACGCTTTCTTTATATACTCTGGCTGAGCTAGGATTGGCAAACTACGTAAAGTCAGATTAGCGGTTTCTTCGCGCGCGAAATTTTGGAATTATCACGTACGCGATGATGACCCCCTTGATGTCATCTCTCTTCAGGAGGTCATCAAAGCTCTGGCCTGTCTGATCATCGCTGTAGAGCTCCACGTCGGACAGCTTCTCAGAAAGTGTCTGTGCAGATTTGAGCGAGCGCGAGTAGATTGCTTTCAAGCTCAATTTTGCAGTTGTCTGGATGGCAGGGAGATGCTCTTCCCGGGCGAAGATACCACTACCGACGAGTGCTATTCCGACAGTCATCTTGGTGTTGTCTTGTGTTGGTGTAAGGGTTGGAAGATGGGAGAGGTTGAGGTTTTGATGGGGCGAAATAGCTTGAAAGTTTGAACCCTTGAAGCGCTTTGGTGATATGTACTTGAATACAGCAATTTACCGTGGCTAAAAAGTTTGGTTTGTAGTTGATATTTGGGAGTATCCCCGCCATGCATCTTCTCCAATCATGAGTTCTGCCCCTCTTAGCAGGCTACCGACCTCGGGATGACGTCGGAATCATTCCGTAAGAGGCAAGCGTAGCAGTTCACCACGGACCCGTCATCACCTGCATAGGTAACCATCGTCTTCTTGATCATTATCAAAATATTATTACAGCATTATAGGATTATCAGCCCACCGAGAAAACTATGAAACTACGGACAAAATTATACGCACAAACTGTCGGATTTATCATGTAACTCCAACAGGGCACGCGAGGGTCTCAAACCCTACCGCTGCATTCGCTGTACAAACGGTCGGTATAAGCCCCAGGTTTGAAGACAGTGATGCCTGTACATGCATCAAGGCTTTGTCTATGCTGACACCCTTACGCCTCCATGATCCATTCATGGCCTTGTCACGTGCATTTATAGGACCACTCTGGTCGCAACCACATGGAACCAGAAACGATGTCCTCAGGAGCCTTCTTTTGCAACAATATCTTGTCTATCTTAAGGTCGTGGGTATCGACAGTCAACACCTGCGATAATGGTACGTTGTTCTCTCTGTGGAACACCTGAGACTAGGTATGTCACGCGTTCTGACTGTCCATACCATCGGTTCCTCCCTTCTGCCTCCACTTGCCGGCATGGTAACTCTTCTCCAAGAATTCATCAACACTAGGTACTTCCATTTGTAAAGCACTAATTTTCAATATGTGTAGATGGATCAATCTTCACGAGATCTCGCTTTCGCCTAGCCCCTTGCCCTTGATTCGGAACCTACATCCTTTATGCCTAGTACTTACAAACAAGCCACCCGCTTCTTTCTATATCTGCATCCATACTTTGCTTCTATGCACTCGCCGCGCGGCTTACCGAGATTTTCGGTCTTTCCCTAGGATCTTATGGACATCATGAAACATGCAGTGTGTTAAAGATCGTCAGTTCTTGGCATGCGACTAGGGGAAGTCATGCAACGGCGATCACGGCCCATAGCAAGAGCTACTAACGGCAAGTGACTGGATCGCGGCAATAGAGCTTTGAATAGGACGCTTCATCGCCGTTTCGAACCAGCTTGGCCCAACCTGGATGAATAAGTCGTGCCTCGTTGCCCTACGAGATAAGCTGAGAACGGTCCCAGAACACACCAAGAGCTGGCCTCATTGTCGTTCCTTTTAATTTTTGTAATTGCTGTGCATTCAAAGCCATTCATTTTATTCTTCTCCATTTTTTATCTTCGTAAGGTCTGCTGGCAGTCCATTTATTTTCTCCTATTCGCTTCTTTGTTCGTAGTGGAAGTTCTCCAGAGCCGACAAGATGGGTTTCGGTGTTCTAGAAGACCGCCACATGGCGGCACCTCCAGGGACCGCTACCATGAACACTCTAACAGATATTGGTAAGGCCGAATAAAATAGGAAGCGAACGTAGGTTGCTGACCATCCCATTCTAGATACCAAAGTCGACACAAGCTCGCTGAAGAAGGATGGCGAGACCATTTTGCAGCCTCAGCCCTCGGACAGTCCCAATGATCCCCTTAATTGGCAAGTGTCTACGTGTATATGTATGTTGCACGTGTCATCTGATGTTTGCCAGGTCTCGCGCAAGGAAGGAGACGATCATGTTAATCCTGGCTTTCAGCTCCGGAGTAACGACAGCGTAAGGACACTATCTCCCAATTACAGACCTCCATGCTGACGTTTAGCTAGCCTTGGTCCCATGGTGACACCCGGTCTTCCTCTCGTAGCGATGAAATACGGCGTTAGTATAGACTTAGTGTCAAGCCTCGTCATCGGTTTCCTCGCCTTCTGGATTGGCTTCACGACGTTCTTCACTGCGGCAGGCGCAAACGCTTGGGGCAAACGTCCTTTCTTCGTCATCTCCGCCGTCATACTTCTAGCCACCAATATCTGGGGATATTTCACTACGGTATGCTCACTCGAATGAGTCCACTCGAATCGGGTTAACACCTTATAGTCCTTCGTCTCATTGGCAGTCATGAGAGCCATTCAAGGTATGGCTTCTGCTCCCCTTGAGACACTCGTCACCTCGTCCGTCTCCGACTTGTACTTTGTACATCAGCGAGGTACACGCATCAGTCTATGGGGATGCATGCTCGCCAGTGGCGTTCTTCTCGGGTAACATCCCCCTAATTTTCCTTCCCCTAACCACACCCTTCTCTAATAACATATAGTCAAACCATCGCTGGTGCCATCATCGAGAGAATATCTTTCGAAGCAACATTTGGCATCTCAGCCTTGATTTTCATTCCTATCGTATTCGGCATGTATTTCTTCGTAGCAGAAACGACATACAACGGGCCCCGTCCTACTAGCGAGAAATTCATGCCTGATGAGAAGGACATGTCGTTCCTGGACGATGATGAACCGAGGCACACCTATCGCCAACAACTCGGTCTTTTCCACGGCCGCTTGTCTCAGGAATCCTTCTGGAAGAACGTATGGAAGCCTGTTCCTCTAATCGCCTACCCTGCTGTGCTTTTCTCTACTGTTGTCTACGGCTCGTACTTCGCCTGGCTACTCACTATCTCAGTGCTGTCAGTCAGCATATTCTCGGCGCCACCGTATATGCTCAGCCCGGGACAAGTTGGACTCACGAACCTGCCGCTTCTGGCCGTGGCCCTGATCAGCTCCCCTCTCTCGGGATGGTCGGCCGATGCTGTGGCGAAACTCATGGCGCGCCGGAACAACGGCATCTTTGAACCCGAATTCCGTCTCCTACTCATGATCCCAGCGACAATTTTTGCGGCGGTCGGGTTTCTCGGCTTCGGCATGAGTGTTCAGAGCGGCGCTCCTCTTGTCTGGCCTATTACGTTCATGAGCATACACTCGTTTTCCGTGCCCTTTGCAACAACGGCGTCTCTGACTTATGTCATTGACTGTCATCCGAGGGATGCGAATCAGGCTTTCGTCACTATCAATTTCACCAAGGCCGTGTTTACTTTCGCTGCGACGACGTATGCGAATGGCTGGATGGCACAAGTTGGACCGCGTGGGGTGTTTGATGTGATTGCGGTCATCAACCTTGGTATTTGTGCGCTGACTATTCCGGCCTATGTGTTTGGCAAGAGGTTCAGAAGCTTTGTAAGTTTTTTATCTGGATCACGGCGATCTGCAGTAGACTGACTATAACGAATAGGTTGCACGAAGCTCGTTCGGCAAGAAGTTGACTAGCTAGGATGCTTGACGCATTGAAACGCTAGATCACTTTTAGATATTTGCTTAGAATCTGGGGAATTTATACTTTGGAGTTTTGTTATAACGTTAATGACTTCAAATCATCTCATGGGTTTTTATTAACGTCTGCGCAAGTACATACAATGATCATTGACCCTGACAGCGTAATATAAATCGAACAAGATGAAACCCCTCATGAGAGACCTACACAATCTTACTTGTTATTTGATCTGGGATTGCGTGCGTCACTTAAATCTTGAAGTCGAAAACCGATGAAACAGCGGCCCAAGCAACTGTAGCGCAAGCGGCTAATCGATGCTCTCCGTCATGTCCCAGATGCTCTCCCCCGATAACCTTTGCCACGCATCCTCAATCCGCGCCAGTCTTCTTCGTCCCGTCTAGAACATGCGCCTCTAGCGTACCCTCTGGCCACAACTTCGGGCCCGCAGCCGTGTAGTTGGTAATTCTGCTCCAGAACTCCGGTATCAACACACCAGTCGAGTTCCACTGATATCCCCCGGGAAATCTGATTGTTGGGCCAGGACTACCCTTCGCAGCAGTGCCCGTGACGTTGATCTGTGCGCAAGCAATGTAGAACTGAGCTTTGTCCGGCTTATGGGCGGCATGTAAAGCAAGGCCCTCAGCGCGCAAAAGGTACTCGCCTGGTGGTGTCTCTGCTGGAAGCTTGAAATTGAATGTTCGTGCGCGATGCGTCGCCCATTTCAACAGGCCATCGCTGCCACCACTACTCGCGTTCAATGAGTACGTCAGACTGTATATCTTCGCCCAATCCCCAGATCCGTCGTATTCTGCTGCAGGCCCCGGGGACTTCGAGATGTACACTTGCTGTGGTCCAGGGTGCCCAAATGTATCTTTGACAGCGAAGCCGAGCATGTCGCCGGCGGCTACGGTGTAGGTCTGTGTACCGAGAGCAACGCCCGAGGAGGCTCCTGCATTGCATCGCATGTCTGTGGAGTTGACGTTTTGGAGGGGCTCATTGGAGTTATTAGTCTTGCGAATGTATTGGTATGAGGACCCGATGAGTTCGCCATTGACAATGATTCGATCGTAATTCCAGTGAGCAAGGGCGCTTGAAGCGCCTAGAAGGAGAAAAGCAAACTTCGATGCGAGGCAAATCATCTTGAACTGCTGAAGTTGAGTGGTTGGATTTGGGGTCGTTCGGTGGCTGCCTGCACACTTATAGCTTCCCTTCCCGGTTGGTGGGTACCTGAATTTTAACAATAGTACTCGTGGAAAATGCTACATGCACAACTAGAGTCATGCATATTGATCCAAATTGCAAGCCCAGGACAACAACGTTAATTTGTTCGACCATACCAGGATGACAAGTATTTTGCCGGACACGTGAACGCTGACCTTTTTGATCCACATATTTGTCGAATTAAAAGATTAAACTGTAGGGAATTGATTATCTTGAAGCTCGGTTGAGTACTGATGGTCTAAGCGAGATCAGGGTTGTAGAAGGATCTGCAACGTTAAATTGCTATATGCTCGTGTTCGGGGCAAGCAACCGCGAGAGGTAGCTTGGTCGCATATGGTATTGTCCCCATCGGCATGGCATCGTACTTGTGGCGAATCGTACGTACTGCCCTGCATCGTCGTTGTACTGCTCTCCAAGCACTAGAGACAATTGTGCCGGCGTGAGAACTTGATTCGAGAAAACGTTGCGACGCAGGACAAGTATTGCCAGTTATGAACGCTAAGTATGCCAGTGATAACGTTCAAATGTTTGGTATCAAGGACTATAGTTTGAAACAGCAAAGGAGATGAAGGAATGCGATGATGAATGACAGGTTAGTCGGAAATGCTGAATCTCCGCTTGCGACACAAAACAGGCAAAACAGACCTCTATGATCTTCCTTCCCCCTTCCTTCCCTTCCCTGCTCCACTCTTGACTCTCCTTCTCTGCTTTTCCCTCTCTTTCACGTCGATATTGATGTTGTAATGCCTTCCCCTAATCTCTTCGTAAAATTTCCCCGCTGTAACTCCTTGAATAGGTTCAACCCATTTGCCCGTAACTTCTGTTTCTAATTCGTCCGAATTGATAATGGTGGGTTCATGGGCGCGCAGGACGAAGACAATAGAGAAGCGATACCTCTTTCCCCCACTCGAGTTTCCGGGGGTGTTGTTTTCCAGATTTGGTCCAGGCAGGCCATAAGATACAACCCGATGACCCCCTGCCGGATATCGTCCATTACTTAGTCTCTCAAGCTGTCGCCCAGCAAGCATACTTGCGCCCTTCTTGCCTGACTTCTCGACCTCTCTTTCAACATCAAACCACGTTCGTCCGTCCCAGACCTCTAGGCCAGGTACATTGCCCACCACCATGCTCAGAAGGCCGAGATCGGAATGTGGTTCGGCAACCACCTTTGCGTCCCACCCTTCATACCGAAAGAGTCGTAACATGGTTGCAGTCTTAGTTGCATCTGTAGACTGCATTGTGCCACAAGGCCCGACAAATTGTCTCAATCCCTGTTCTTCACCATCCGGCAAACCGAGAGATGTCGATATCCGGCCCAATGTAGACGAGAGATGCGCGCCCATGAGATTCCAGTAGCGTTCTGCGGGGCCTCGGAGCACTTCAGGGCAATATTCTAGGGTGCGGAGGGTAATGAACTCTTTCTCTCCTTGGATCTTGGACCAGCCTTCTTCGGAGCCGAGTTTATGTTTCCATATCGTCTTCTCTTCGTCTGATTGATCGAAGAATGCCTGGCTGGCGGCGAAGAGAGATTCATAGGCTTGTTGAAGTGGGTGAGAACCTGGCGCGAGATGGTGGTCTTCTAAGCTTGAGGCGGTTGCTTCTGATGCGGGTTGCGGGAAAGTGACAGTTGTCCAGCCGAGGTTTGAGAGAGTTTGTTGATGTTCTGGGAGGACTAGGGATAGTGGCGCGGCAATGAGCGATGGCCGAGTGTCTAGTACTACCTCTTCATGCTGTATTCGCTCTATATGACCCCTCGTTCCTGCTCTTTTCTTTGACCGAAACTTTGAGATTATATTTGAGATGGAAAAGTGGTGGTCGGAGGAGTTCGAGGGGAGTAAGACGGCCATAGTTTCAAGCGTGCTCTCCTAGATAGAAATGATTACTGATTGCGAAGAAACGAAAGATAGCAGCTAGGCTCTGAGAAAAACTGTGATGGGTATTGTTGATTGAAGAGCAATTGAAGATGCGTGGAAATGAGGCTAATGACGTTTGGCCAACCGCTAAGCTAAGCCACGAATGCACAGCCCCGCCGGTCAGCTAATTGGGCGATTAGTAGGCAATCTCACACAAACCATCAGCGTATGAAAGGGTCGGTCATTGGGGCATGTTTGCGTGTGTAGATATCAATCTGCGTTTTTGTGCTATATCTCGACTATATCCTCGTCCTTTTCTTATCCCACAGATCCCGTTCCCTTAGCACGAACCACTCATGCAAGACCGGCTTGACTTTGACAATGCCCCCATCAGTTTGTATTCCGAACTCGATGCCCGGCTTCCAGCTCCCTCCCTCGGCACTGACTTTCATGCTAGTCATATTCTCCAGCCGACAGAGCGCAAGCCCTACGTTGCCAATTCCTGCGATAAACTTACCTGCAGCACGGCCCTTCTTGATGCCCCCATTTTCATCTAACTGCTTTATGTCTGTGCCAGACTCTGGAAGCGTGTCCGAAGCGCCGGTATCATAGAGCTGTATGGGCAAAACGCGTTTCCGCACCACACCCGTGTGTTTCGTTCGTATAGTCAACTCCTGACCAACATAACACCCCTTCTTAAAGTCAATTCCTTGACTCAAATCGATGTTACACTCCATTGGCAACGCGCTTTCCCTGGGTATCTCCTTGGGTCCCTCAGGTATACCGTATTGGTACCGTTGCAAATGATACTCTTTTGCATCCAACGGCACGAACCCTTGTGTCCTTACGTGATCCGTCCCCGCAAGACAGCGGTACATATCCGGTGCGCGAGGATCAGAGAGAGCAGGAACACTATCGTCATTGCGCAGCAGGTCGGCTGTAGAGCCCCAGGCTGCCCAGACCCGCACGCCTCCTTGTCCTTCGCTATCCACATCTTCAATCGTGATCTTACTCCGAAGTTTGTGTCTCTTTAGGTGCTTCTTCAGTGCGTCCACCTCTCCCTCGTCAATTTCGATGTAGCATGCCCAGTGTCCTTTGCCTGCCGTCGCAGAAAGCTCCGGCCATGCCCAGATGAAGACATCCCATAACACTCGGCCGCGCGCGTCGAGGAATGCGGAGTAGAACGGCGCATGCCGGGAAGGGTCGACATTGTTTGTTATCAGGCCTTGGAGGAACTTCGCGGCGTCGGGGCCCGAGAGGCAGATGAGGCGGCGGTGAGGGAGGGATGCGATGCCGGGTTTAGAAATATGTGATGTGGGGGTTGTGATCGAGTATGAGCGTGGCCTTGTGAAGCGCTCGACTGATAAATTATTCGTTTTCGAGGGAGCGATGGCTCGTTTGAGTCGGGTACCAAGTGGTGCAGGTTGCGTTGTGAGATCGCAGTTGAACCATGACGCAGTGCTGAGTGCTCGACCCGTCACGAAGCGCGCATTTTGGAGAGAGCGCAAGCCGTTTCGACACGTATGGCATATGTACAAAGGGCTTCGTAGTGGAGTAGACAACGAAAGTGAAGCCATGGTTTCATGCTGTGTGCGTAGCCTGAAGGGTTGCGCCATGGTAGAAGCTCTTACTACAAGAAGTCCGGTTGCTTCGGCTTTTGCGGAGTTTAATCCTCACCGACCATGCACCACGAAGCATATATGGCATACAACACCAAAAGTGATCAAATGAAGAGTATATGATGACGACAAGTTCGAATAAAACGCCAGTAATGCTTGCTTCATAAGTGATACAGGTACGTCCATACAGTATACGTATCAATACCCTTTCAACGCCAATGCTCAGACCGAGCCGCTTCCTGATACAGTTTCTCCCCTGCTTTTATCGCGATCGACTGCCTTCTAATCATCCTTTCGACTCGCTAACCTTGAATGTTCGTTGTCTCCTTCCCTTGGGCTCGCCGGCTCAAGCTCATCGTCGCTCCATTTATCGTCTTCGCCTACTGCGAAGATGGTGTCACCATCGAGACTTTCCCTAGGAGGCACAATAGGTTTCTGAGCTTGTGGTGCCGGTAGAGGCGATACATCACGCTCGTTGTTGTTGCGCCTACTTGGCACTGGGTCATATGATGGCGGGTGACCTTCTGGCCCGTCCTCTTCATCCAACGAGTCCCGGAGTGAAGCGATCTCAAACCCTTCGTCATCTTGAGCAATCTGCAGATTTGTCAGTAAATGGTGACCGTCGATCATTCTGTTTAGCGATAACATACCTCATCACTCATAGCAAACCTCCTGTTGTTCGCTGTTGGTCGCCACATGTATGCAACGAAGCAAACATCTGCCAGATATACCAAATTCAGCCAGCCATCCAACACAAACCATCTAGTTTGCCAGTGAGTCGGCCCAAAATCTGGTGTTGAAGCTCCAGCAAACGTGAGGCTGTTGAGGAAGAAGAATCCGAAAATGACGATGATGCTTGTCAAGATGCACCACCATAACCTCTTGTACATGGTGGCCTTGACGTGCTGCTTGCGCTCCATAAGATCCTTCATCGTGAGGTTCAGCGAGTTCAGCGTCCATATATAGAAGGCGGTCAAGGTGGCGGAAAGCGGCAGGATAACAAGCAATACAAGAGGGCCGGCATCGTCAGGACGAACAGTGAGCGAGGCGACCGCGTAGATGACACCAAAGATAAAGTGTGCGACCGCCAACCAGCGAACTATGGTCATGGTCTTGCCAAGAGAGGGCTTCACCACGCCGTATCCCATGCACACGATCAGGAGCAGGAAAAACGAGAACGAGTTGCGGAAGGCGTTCAAGACGGCGACAATAATCATGAGCACCTTCGCACCCACGTTATTACCGTGGCGGTTCTGGTAGTCGTAGAATCCCCACGTCATGAGCATTTCTGCCACCAGGAAGACCAGAATTGCTGTTATGTAGTTCTGGACTGCGAGAATGTCGGACCTGTTCTGAAAGTACAGGAAGCCCCAGAAGATCAACACGACGAAGTACACGATGGTGATACCGCCGTAGAAGGGAAGCTTTGGAATCTGGGCAGCCGGGAGCTCCCCGTATGCGTTTCTGAAGGTCACAATGGCTTCCCATTCTAGCTTTTCTTGCATTCCTAACGTAGCCACGCAGTAGTATCCCGTCTTGATGGCCAGTTTCTTCTCTCCGCTCGCAACTGGGTAGTTGATGGGCTTGGGGTCGTTCAGTTGGATGGCGGCGGTGCGGATGTGCATCTTAGAGTCAGCTTCGGCATTGTCGGTCAGAATCCATTCGCCTTTGTGCGTGGCGTTGCATAGCTGCGCATCGATGGATTCATTATCGCACATGAACTGGCGCTGTTGCACTTGTCAGTTTGTTCAGCCTTGGGTGCCTAGGAGCTTCACGAACCTCATTCACGCCCACGTCTTCAGGTTTCCCGAGCAGCAGCGTGTCCCTCCATTCCCAAATGGCCACGCCAACAGTCGGATCATCGACCTCCTTGTTCTTCTCTCCGTTCTTCATAAATTTGACCAGAATAAAAGGCTCGACCTTGCCGCCCCATGACTTCTTGCTGTACATGCCCGAGCACTTCTGCGGATCATTTTGGTTCTGGAGCACGTTTAGCTATATTCTTTGGGATGATATGAGCTCTAGAGTGTACCAAAGTGACGTCTATGGCTGCTACTGCTGTTATAGTCGATAACAGCAGCAGAGCGACTGTGCGCAACCATGGCTTCATGCTTCTGTGAGGCTTGAGGCCAGCTGGCGGAGCTGGCGGCTCGACGTTTGCACGTCTTCAAACGAGGGGGTGCGGCGCGGATATCTTCGGCGATAACACTACTTCTAAGCCCTTTGGTGAGAGATGGGTCATCGGCCTAGGCTGTGGTGGTCGTGTATGAATGTTTGGCTTGCGCGTTCGTCCCTACAGAGAAGCCGCCTTGCCGGATAGCTGCTACTAGCGCGCCTGCTAGGTGTGGCGCATGCAAAAGGCAATCCACCGGGACCAGGGTCATCAGTCAGCCTTACACAGCTCCCAACTCCAACACCAATATCAACCGACCACATAACATGCCAGGCAAACACGTCGCAGGCGCTACGGCTGAGCCTTGCCGCAGGTGCAAGGACAACATCTCAGTTCTTGTAGTGCGGTCGGAGCCACTTTGCCAGTAAGCCCTGCGCCTTGTGGGATGTGATTTGTCATGCTAATTTTTTTTCCTCCAGCGACTGCTTCGCCAGATATGTGCACACAAAATGTATCAAACGTTTAGAGACTTTCCGTGTAAATTTCGCCGCCGAGGACCAACGGCGTAGGATTTTGTTACCTCTCTCTTTTGGAGTTGCCTCAACCACTCTACTTCACATCTTAGACCTGCACCTCAAAACGCAGAGGAGCAAGACTGGCCGTACTGGCTTCGTTATACACGTGATATCGATCCAGGACCCCGAGGAATCCCTCCCCACCGACAGGCTACTCGAAAAAACTCGGGAAAACTATCCGGATCATCAGTATGCGTCGCTGCCGCTGCACGATGTGTTTCGCCTTATTCCAGACGATGCATCTCTTCGAGACTTGGTACCAGAGCCAACAGGAAAGCAAAACCTGGCTCCTGGGGAATATCTCGCACATTTGATCGACTCACTCACTTCAGCCACGGCTCGTGCAGATGTTCTTACCACTCTCCGGACGAGACTGATTGTCGAGCATGCTAGGCTGAATGGATGCGAAAGCATTCTTTGGGGCGACAGTACAACCAGACTGGCCGAGAAGACTCTTGCCGAGACTGCAAAAGGCCGAGGATTCTCCCTCCCATGGCAGACAGCGGACGGCCTGACACCCTTTGGCATGAACTTCCACTATCCACTGCGCGACGTTCTCAAAAAAGAGCTAGTTGCGTACATCAACATGTCAGAGAATAAACTAGCTTCACTTGTACACGAGTCTTCACCGGGCGCCACGCAAGCCTCCATGAGCTCAAAGAACACTACAATCGACGACCTCATGAAGCAGTATTTTGAGTCTGTCGAAGAGAACTTTCCGAGCATAGTTTCAAACGTTGTCCGCACCGCAGGAAAGCTTGAGATAGCAGCAAGCACAACTTCAGATCTACACTGCAGTCTTTGCAGCATGCCTGTACCAGGTGGGCGATTTGGCATTCATGGGTGGGGCGGCGATCAGCAAGATGGAATTGATGTCCAGTCCGCGGAGGGTAGCAGCAGGCTTTGCTACGGGTGCACAAGGTCGATCCCTCAGGCTTCTAGAAAAGCAAATGGCACTTGAGCAGATTTGCTATGTTCCAATTCAGCTGTGATCCTCGAATTATGATCTTCGCAGTATCAATGAGACGCTTCAGCCTCATAGCCAACCGCGTACAGACTACAAAGCAGTAGCTGAGCTTTCAAGTACCAGAGGGGCCCTTTACCGTTCATCGAAAGAAAGAATGCGATGAACAGCGCGAATTATCCCGAGAGATTCGCAACGTATGTTCCGTAAGCGTGGTTCTCCAAGTATGATTCACAGCAACCAAACAGCATTCGAATGTGGATATACCAGCTTAAGCTGGAACATGAGCTCCTCGGACTGTTGAAGCAGAGTCCTATGTGCACCCTTCCCGGTCACCAGCGTGTGCTTTCTGCACGGATGACTGGTTTGTGTATCCAGGTATCGCTCCGTAACGCCGCCCAGACGTAGTGAAAATGAAAATAACGTCGGGCGTCGGATTTATTCTGTATCGCGAGAGTCTGTAGTCTGTAAGATCATATACTAGCATAAATCTCGTTAGCGTCTTCAATTAGAGAAAAGGAGAGCGCAAAAGGCCGACGCACGGCCTCCGAACCACGTGGTTTCGCGTCGAGGTAGAGAAGCCCCGTAATCTCATCCTAGCGTCTCCCCGACCTCTGTCGTCCTCACCAACACCGAAAGGCTACGAACACCATTGTGGTCGCAGTCATCATTGGTTAGACGTCTTATCTTAGCGGCGAAGAGCGACTACTACGAACGCAGCCTTCGTCCCGTCGTTGTCTCCATTTCGGACGCGAATATCGCGCTAAGGTCGCGCTTTTGGTTCGCCTGAGTCGCGCATTCTTCCTAACCCAACTCACACGTCATGGGTCTTCCAGAGTCCGTACCTGAAAATCGCTGAGCTATATATAGTCCCTGACATTGAGATAGCCTCTGGGGCATTATCCATGACCATGAACAGGTTGTTCCAATCGCGCAGCTTGCTGAAGAGCATCATACACGCCATGGCAGGCCCCTCAGAATCGCCGTTGATGAGGCAGACTGGCGCTTCAACAATCTCACCCAAGCCCAGGTATACGCTATCCGTGATGGTAGGTGTGCTCTTCTAAATAGTTTCTTTCGCTAATGCGACTAGCCTCGAATGAGGCCGCGTTCCAGGGTATCGAGAAAGCCATGTTCTACCGCATCTGCCGCCTACTCACCCTTAATATTCAACTCATTTTCGTCTTTGATGGCCCCGGCCGTCCTTGGAAGCGGGGAAAAAGGGGCGGAGGCAAGATCGACTTTGAGAAACGACGCCTGCTCCAGCAAATGCTCACCTGCTTCGGCATACCGTACCACGAAGCGCCGGGAGAGGCTGAGGCTGAGTGCGCTCGCTTGCAAATCCTAGGCATTGTGGATGCTGTCTGGTCCCAGGACTCGGATTGTCTCATGTTTGGCTGCACTCTATGGATACACGATGATCGGGTTGCCAAGGAGAAGGGGAACACCGATCGGTCGAAAGAGAACACGAAGAAGAATAACAAGTTTGTTCGAGTCGTGGAGTCTCGTCAGATGGAAGAGAAATTTGGCCTGGATCGAGAAGGTCTAGTCCTCTTTGCTATGCTATCTGGGGGCGACTATCAGACATCTGGTCTTCCTGGATGTGGTACTGCTACAGCTATGCATGCTGTCAAGATGGGATTAGGACGGGCTCTTTGCTCGTGTCGAAATCAGAGGGACTGTAGCGTCTGGAGCGCACAGCTAGCTGAGTTTCTAAGAACGACCCCGCGCGCGAAGCACATATTTGTCCCTGCGAACTTTCCCGACTTTAAGATCCTACAAAAGTATTACAACCCCAAGGTTTCCAGCGATGAGGTGCTCCGTAGCAGCTCGAGGCTCAACCTAGGCTATGAGCGTCCCATCCAAGAACTCAAACTCTTGGAGGTGACAAGCTCACGCTTTAACATATGGGGAAGGAGATACATGGACTGGGTTGGCCCGGTTCTACTGACGAAGCATATGTCCCAAAGAAACCCAGCATTGCCCCGCGAGGTCATCCACAATATCAAACTTACCAAACGGCGGGTGAAGAAGGACAACGATCAGCCGGCAACGCGCAGTTTCGAGCGCAAGCTCACCTTCTCACCTTTTGGTGTTACTAGCCTGGGACGAGCAGACTTTGAGGGGGATCGATTAGGCTACTGGAATGGGGACAGAGCTTCTTTGTTCGATCCCGAGTATCGAGTCGAATGTGAGATACCAGACTACTGGCTTCAAAAGGCGCTTCCACATGATGTGCTGGACCCTCCTCCGGCAGTGCCAAACCGCCGAACTCCTAAGCGCAGACAACAAACAGATGGCGATGCGCAAGCCAATGAAACACCTATTGCAACAAAGCGAAGACGCAAACATAACGGAGACGATCAAGTTACCAGCCAGGTTCTGCCCAGCGCTTGCTCAAGCAACTCCTTGAAGGATATGCCACATTCCCAGGCTTCGACAACACCCTCTAGACCAGGCAATCAGCAGTCCACCGTAAGAGAGAAGATTCTCATCGAGCTTTCCGATTCAGAGGATGACAACGCACTTCGTCTTCCGAATAGAGTCCGCTCCCAAAACCCAACTTCAATACGATCAGCCATCTCTCAGATTGTTGACCTCGGCTCGCCCGAGCCATCAGAGGATGAAGAGAACTGGTCAATCTATGATCATGGGAACAAAAATACGCCATTTAGCGCACCAATCCTTGTGGAAACTTCACTTGCTGAGACGGTCGAGAAAGAAGACCGGGATCTCCAGTTAGCGCTCAGATTGAGCATGCAAAAGCAACAAATGTCCCCGTTCTCGTCACTTTCACACGATGTGCTTGATGGGACCTATGCGCGGGAAGTTTCAAGGAGCGCAGCGAATAGCCTGATGCATTCAGAGTCGCCTAGTTTAATGTCCTTACCGACCAATTCAGCTTCAATGCCCGCCGGATCTTCTCAGCAAATACGCAAGGTCCTGCCACACGAGCCAGGCAGCTCTGAAAAATCTACTGTCCATAACATCATGGCACTAGCACCTGCAGACTCTTCGCATTGGACATTGAACTCTCCTACAATCCCGACGATGTTGGCATCAACATCAAGTACCCCCGCTAGCATCCGCGCTGCGCGCCTCCGACACTTTGCAGCAAACTCTGACATGACCACTACCACTCAAATGGCCATAGCGAGCCCACCGCCGAAGCCGACACCAAGCAAACTTTCCGAGGCAGCTTTCCACGTTCCAGCTGGGGCTAATTGTATCGATCTAACGGGCGATTGAGTTTCGGTACCCCTGGAGGTCCCTAAGTCTACATGGTATGACCGTCGCTTATTATCCGTTTATTAACATTTCTTTTGGCTTATCTTCGTCCAAAAATTCACGTTATTAAGAGACTTTAAAGATTATTATCATTATTAGATCTAAGCCCGCCTGAACTATGTTCGCTCAAGCGTAGATCTATGATCAAGACATGGAAACTTCTAGCAAGTCAGTGAAAAGCCCCAAAATCCCGCAGCCACAATGGGGAACCAGCTCATCTTCGATGCTTTAGTGCAGCAACTAACCATGGTACCAACCTAGCATTCCTGCCGGCCCCGCAGACCTCTTCTCCGCCGCATTATTGCCCCATTAAATCAACCGAGGATAGACCCAAGGCTGGATCTTTACCAGGATTTCGTGGACGGCATACTTCTTCTAGCCTATTGTTACGGTATTACTTTTAGTTAGTATTAGAGTTAATCCTAAAGGACCGAACAAATATATTACCTGAAGTTTAAAGCGTAGCGCAATTATTTTGGAAAACTTCTTTCCATAGTCAATATTGCATGTGGCTGGATCACAGAGGGCGTGATTCAACAAATAGTTCTGGGTGGCGCCGCTTCGACTAAACTTACCACATGCAGAACCAGAGTACCGGAGTTACAGCTATCACGGGGGAGGTCGAGACCAATAGTAAGGCGAAATGAGGATCATGAATCGATTCTCCTTAAATGAACCTGAGCTGAGCCCAAGTCGTATTCTTGGTACATGCTGTGTGGTCTAAGCCCCACTAAGATGCATGAAGGACCAAACCAATACTTCTTGACAAGGCTTGAAAGCGTTACACTTTGAGCAGACCGTCACAGATCGTATTGGAGGCAGAGGTAGAAACAAAAACTCAACATCTTGCGGACTGTATCTAACGTGCCCGCATCTCTAGCTACTATGACAAGAATCTAGACGCTAGGAAAATGTTGCACTGTCGTAACGCGACGGAAAGGTTTTCGCGAGGCTGAACACACTGTGCCTCCTCGGCTGCGTAGATAGCCAGTAAGCCGTCACAGGATACACGTCTCTCAGATTGTAACCTCGGGCACTAGTCGAATAGAAGCCTGATTGCATGTCCTAGCGCCGATTCCATGTCAGATAGTTACTTTATAGGCAGTGCGTAGCCTGGGAGCGTTCTTTTTTGCAATCTTTTATCGGCTCTCTACTTTCCTTCCCTGTGGTGCAGTGATACCGGCGAGTTGTATTGCCTGCAGCATCTTATTTCAGTCAGAGACCTTCGAATCCACGGGACATATTCACTTCACAGCGATCACAATGAGCTCGTTGTCTCTCAGCCTTGCCATAGTCTTTATTGCTAGAATGACACTCGCACAACGCAGCCCGTGCTACTTTGCAAACGGCACAGTGCTTCCAGATGAAGAATTCTACAATTCGTACCAACCTTGCACCTCTGGTGGTCCACCGACGATCTGTTGCGCCTTTGACCGTCCTAATCCAGCTGGTGGCATCCGCGATACCGTAGACGAATGTCTGCCCAATGGTCTATGTCAGAATCGCGCTGGCGATGCGACAACGTATGTGACGCATTTAATTATTGTGCTCAGTTGAACTTACTAACCTTAACTATCAGATGGTGGGCAAACTTTTGCACTAGCAGTGGTATCGAATTTGGCAAGTGCATTACCGCATGCAGAAGTACAAAAGATAAATATGGGCATACGCAATTAACACCGTGTACGGGGAAAGCAGATAGTGATCGATGGTGTTGTGGTGCGAACAACCCCACCTGCTGTGCAGATGAAAGTAGAGTCGTGAGGTTGGCACAAGTCCTAGGTGGTGCACTTTCGTCGAGTATGGTGAGCTCATCTGTAGTTTCATCCGCCTCAGCGACTGCAAGTTCAGTATCAGGAGCAGCTCCATCTACCACAGCCACTTCAGTGGCTCCCGGGCAAACTGAAAAGAAGACTAAGCTTTCTGGAGGTGCAATTGCTGGAATTGTCCTGGGTGCCATTGCTGGACTCACAATCCTTGCCGGCATCTTTGTCGCTCAGAGGGCCAGGTATAAGAATAAGGCATCAACATCAGGAACATCAAACCACGTAGAAACCCCGACGAACCCGTACATACCTCAAGAATACGTCGGGCCCGGGCCCGAGGGGTACGCTACCCAGTACGCGCCGCCTGCTGAGTTACCTCCTGTATCGCCAAGGGAACTTCATTCGGGCAATCACATGTCGTTAGCCCCGCCTTTTCCATAGAAGCAAGGATCTGCTCGTTTGAGGCTTGTACTGGAATGTTTGAATAGTCAGTGTGTTGCATGGAAATCAAGCTGGGTGACGGCATAAACCCTCGAATCAGCCTGACCTGGAAATCAGTGTTATCTTGTTTGGATGCTTCGGACTAGTCCAGTGGCCTGACGCTACTATACCATTAGATCCTGACACAGACTTCCTGTTACTATAGCCGCTTTTAGTCTAGTAGCGAAGATATAAAAAGTGCCTACGCCTGGGGTTATCGCTGGTTTTGAGAAGGTACCTCGAGGAGTGCGGATTCAGTCTAGTAAAATGAAGGAAACGAGTCTAGTTTCGCAAGACAACACCATGACTACGAAGCCTGTAAATAGAGCAACTAACAAATATAATCATAGCTCTCAAAGATCGCGCCCGACGTGGTGAATGTGAATAAAAATCCTGACTAAGCACTCCACACGTCAATATCCACGTGCACCACGTGTAGAGCCAAAATGCTTCCCCGCACTGCGGTTCCGGCGGCACACCACACCAACAACTCACACTGCTAAGCAGGAGATCCCCGTGCGGGGTATGCTCGTTTGCCGGGATGTATTTTGCTGCAGGGTTGTGAGTAGCATGATGACACTCATGGGCCTTTCTTAGGCCTGAGGAGGCGCCCGAGGTTGTTAATGGGTCTCCAGAGTGGGCCTAGCTACTTGTACCCGAAGGAAGCCCTCTAAATAAAAAGGTAACTTAATTGACCATTACGAGTTTAAGCAACGCATTACTCTCAATTGCACGCACAAGATGCCGCTTTCTGCTGAAGTCATCCAAAGTCTCAAGAAAACCGTCGATGCAGCCTGCGCAGACCCAAAGTCCGACATCCCAGGAACCAGCGTCGTGGTAGTCGGTAAAGATGGCAAGGAACTGTTCGCGCACGCTTCCGGTTATCGCGGTGCTACCAGCTCGGAACCCATGACGATCGACAATGTCTTTTGGATTGCATCATGCACGAAAATGATTGCAGGCATAGCATGCATGCAACTGGTCGAGCAGGGAAAGCTATCTCTAGATGACGGCGATGAGATCGAGAGGTTGGTGCCCGAATTGAAGGATATCAAAGTGTTGCAGAAAGATGGGACGTTGGTCGATAAGAAGAGGAAGATTACGTTGAGGATGCTTTTGACGCATACTGGTATGTCTAGACGCAGTCCACAGTTTTCTACTGGATATCCGTTACTTACCGATTGATAGCTGGCTTTGGCTACACATTCTTCAACAATGAGCTACGCGATTTCTCACATCCGATCGGCTTCGACGAATTCTCCGGGCACATCAAAGACATTCTCCAACCTCTCCTCTTCCAACCAGGCGAGGGCTGGCAATACGGTGTGAACATCGACTTTGCAGGCCTCGCATTAGAGCGCGCTACTGGGCTGTCGCTGAATGATTACTGCCATAAGTATATCTTTGAGCCGCTGGGTTTAAAGAACATCTCCTTCTTTCCGACTGAAGAAATGAAGAAGAGGCTCGCGCTCATGAACCATAGAAAGCACGATGGCTCCTTGATCGGACGAGATCATCTGCTTCGCAAGCCGTTGGTAGTCACGTCATCTGAGAGAAAGGATGTGCTGAACAGTGGAGGGGCGGGAGCATTTGCGACCCCATCGGATTATGCCCGTAAGTTGTCCAAGCCGCGTCGCATCGTGATTTTGACATCGCGCAGAAATCATTGCCACCCTCCTCAACGACGGAACGTCCCCTACGACCAGAGCTACAATTCTCAAAAAGGAAACCGTAGACTTGATGTTCACAAATCAAATCAAACAGTTCCCAGATTTTGGTCGGCAAGGGATACCCGATGCAAAGCCCGAGCTTACAAACCCGCTGCCTGATCTCTACCCAGTTGAAGGTAACCCGCCTCAAGGCTGGGGCTTGACTTTCATGCTATCGAATGGAGGTCCAACGGGCAGATCCAAGAGTACCGGGTTCTGGGCTGGTCTGCCGAATTGCTGGTGGTGGTGCGATCGGGAGAAGGGTGTTGGAGGATTTGTCTGTAGTCAGATCCTGCCATTTGGGGATGCAAAGGTTCTCGGACTGTGGTTTGATATTGAGACTCAGATTTATCAGGCTCTTGGGGCTTGAGGGCTGACCAACCCAAAGAACCTTGACAGAACCGTGGATAGCTCAGCTAGGACGTAGACGCTTTGGAAATCATCTTTTGAGGACGTACTAGACTGCAATTGTACAGACACCTCGCGGCAAAACTGTAAACCTAATTAGATTAGTATGTTAGACAGCTCCTGATAGTCATTCATGATCAGACCATTGTGATGCCCAACGCTCGTTCCGTATGAAGAATGACGTAGCACAACACGCGCGGTTGATAAGCGCCGGTCCCACATTGGTTGAGCCTCATATTAGCACCGACAGGGGTGTGTGGTTCAGCAGCAGATAAGACTGAACAACTTCACAGACAGGATCCATGTCTGTGAAAGTTACTGTGTTCGAGCTAGATAATCCGCGAATCCTCATTCGAACGACGGCATGGGGGTCATCAAGGCGGTGAAAAGGACTGGTGCTCGTTGACCGCTTTGGACCGATCCGTGATCCCGAACGGCCCTTTTTGATAGAGTTTCACGGGGTCTGCGAATACTGAAGCCAATGATGGAGGCGCTCGGGAACGGGAAAGTTGTACCGGACTGGGATGTGCATGCAGTTTCGGGCGAAGTTCTGTCGAGTTAGGTGCGAAGATTGTCCGAGCGAGTTGCGTATCTTGCTGAAGGGAGCACAAAGCAGGAAAATCTGGACGATCAAAGGGCCGTTGTAAGTCGGTCGACTGCGTACTGTCTTTAGGGGGGTATCGAAGTCATATTGTAGTAATAACTGTCGGGTTGGCTGCATGGATGTTGTCACATGTAGCTAGGACGGCTTGGCCTTCCCCGCTTTCGAACCTGGGGTGTGAAACTAATGCCGCCGGCGCGGGGTGTGCATATCAGCACCAACTTTCTCCATGGTCGTTGCAATCTCCTCGTGGTTTATCCTCTTTTCGCCATAGAGTCCGGGTCGCACGCAACTAACCATGAATTTCGTCGACGTTCAACCGAAGTCGTTCCTCGATTATGCATGGACGTCGCCCACGCCGGCGTCGGCCATGGGCGCCACGAAGCCTTCGAAGACGAGCAGGAAGCAGAACCGATGCTGTGATCAATGTCGCAAGGGGAAGAGAGCGTGCGACGCGGCCATCCTGGAGGACACCTTGCTGGATACTAATAAGTCTAGTGGGAACCCAACGGTGTTCCACTATAGTGGTAAGCCACGCTTCGTCAAAGGGACACGATAGGCAGCAATTGACCATCTAGATGTCTACGGGCCTCTGGCTTCATGCGCAAACTGCGAGAAAACGAAGAAAAATTGCACTTTTGAATGGCTTCGGTCGCAACGTGTGTTGCAGGCGGCACAGCCACCACAGAGTGCAGCACCGCCAGCAAAACGTCGTCGAACGCAAAGCAGCTCCTCTGGCGGATTGCAGGTAAAACGAGAGGCTACTCCGCAGGCGCATGTTATGAAATCCGACAGTCAACCGGATACAGGGTATGACGTAGATCCCGTGCCACAGATCAATCCGATAGAGCTGGGGATAACTTTCGGTGACTTTCCAAGCGGGATATCGACTCTCGATTCCAGTTCCCTATCCTGGTTCCAGTCTGCCCCCTCCATTTCCCCCGGCAAAGCTGAACAGGACGAAAGAGATGGTTTCAGCTATTTGAGTGAACCATTTGAGGACAGCCAGGCTACACTCCATTGCGACTCGGGCAAAGGATCATCGATAGACACGTTATCGGAAGGGGCTGACGACGCCATCGCAATTGAGAGTCCCTACGAAGCGTATCCAGAACACGACGATACGAGCACGGTTGCCCCCAAGACGAGCCGCGCTATCATGCGCGTCAATCGAAAACGACGTCGTCGCACACCAGAACCGGTCTCAATTGGTTCGCTCCCTTGTCCACCAATACCGTTTGTAAACGACTTGAATTCGGCAATAAACAAGGCGTGTTTGACTGAAGGCTTGCTGAAGATCTATCATGACAGTTTCGAAAACGCCCTTGCCTGTTGGCTGACCGAGCGAACGTGCCCGAATACTGCAAGGGTTGATATAACGATAGGCAATAAAGCGAATACCTCTCCGGATTGGAATCGCATGTATTATCGAGTATTTCGGCTTGATCGTCTAGCTGCATCAATCAGAGGAAGGCAGCTCACCTTCGCCGAGGACAGAGCGGCAAGCAAGGCCCTTAACATGGCGATTTACGCGTTTGCTAGTCAGTGGGCACAGTCCAGCCAAAGGAGCAGAGCAAAGTATCCATTCCATAGTAATGGTGCAAATGGAGTGTTCGATTCCGGGAACAACGAAAGTGTGCCAGAGGGGATCGAGTTCGATCGAGCACTCCAGATTTCTGCATGGCATGAGGCTCGCGGTGCACTGCAAGCCGCTGGAGAAATCGAATCGTTTCGGGTGGTGCTAGCAGAGATTGTCTTTGCCTTGACGCAAAAGCCTATCGAAGACGACGAAGGCAGACAGGAGCGTGTGAAAGAGCCGGATCAGCATCAGCAAACGGAGGTAGGAGTGCCAGAAAGAGGTGGGCAAGAACCGAAAATGCCACTAGATGCTGAGGATCAAGATATGGACGAATGTGAGGATTTGTTGTCCAAAATGAACCTCGCAATGGATACGGAAGGGCCTCCAGTACATCTAGAGAAGGGCCTCCGTTTGATACACTCACTAAGGTCGAGGATGGCGATACGTGGGGATAAATCGCGGACGGCTCCAAGAGCTTCGCGTTGCGGAAAGAAGTATCGTCCATCAGCTGGCCGCCTTGAAAGTGAGGATCGCGCAACAGTCGATTTGCTCTTCTGGCTGGGAGTCATGTTCGACACCCTATCAGCAGCAATGCATAAGCGACCTTTGGTGGTGTCAGATGAAGACAGCGACATGGTACTCAACGAAAACAGGGAAGTGGCAGACTTGAACAGTAATAGTACTGACCTTGTTCCAATGGAACAGAGTGACGCCCATTGGGACGACTATCTCTTCGCTTGTCAGCACGCACGAATGCAAGATGCTCCCACCAGATGGCCGTGTTCTTTCGACCAAGCCGCCGCTGTATTGTGCGATGCCGCTCCAGTCAAGGTATTGCTGTTCAGGAGAATTACTAGGATCCAAACCCTCCTCGCCCGAAATGCCCGGGGGGAAGAGATCGAAAAAGCTCTGAACGCAGCGCTAGACGTGTGTGACCACTGGAGCCGCCTATACGCGCCCTTCATCCAGGATTGCATCAATGCCCATGACGACCTACCCTTCCGCATACAGTCCTGGTACATCTGCCTGACTAGCCACTGGCATCTCGCAACGCTCCTTCTAGCGGATCTCATCGAGATTGTAGACGAATCTGACCTTGGGATTGAGGAAGCGCAGAATCGACGCATCTCAGCTGGCTATGTAGCGAGCTTCCGCGAGAGGAATTGCTGGACGCTATCAGATATAGCGAGTTGCGCATGCCCACGAGACGATGCTCCGTTCCCGCAATCACGAGATTTCCATTTTGCAATCACGCAGGGGGCCCTTCTAACAGAGCCGTGGACTGCGGTACTGATTCGCGCATTTGCGAAGGCAGGCGTCGTGTTGCTTGAGTCTGAGACGATGTTGCCATCCTGTCTTGATGAGGAGGACACGTTTCGACGAGCTGACAATTGCGTGCGAGCACTGTGGTATCTAGGCAGAAAGTCGGATATGGCTCTTTCAGCAGCAACGATATTGGGAGATGCCTTGAAGCAGAGGCGCCAAAGTGCTCGAGAGAAAGTGGACGCCATGAGTGCCTTCCTAGAAGATGAGCTATGGCATGGCTTTGAGGGACTAAATGGGGCGTTTGGGATAGGCTGCGAGTCCTGAAATTTAGAAGCCCAGTTCTTCAGTACTAGGACACGTCCTGGTACGAGCATTGACATCCTCAAAACAGAGTGCATGATAGGTACGAGACGTGATGAGTAGAGTTGAGCCAGAGGCGCTCAAGTTCCAAGGTTCCGCTAAGCTATGGCATGCACCAGACTTCGCGCTTGGAGAGCACGCGGATTCGACTTAATCCACGACTCAACGCACCAGTACCACATCCCTAGGGGTACTTCTTAATTAAGACTTCTGTCTACATTGCTGTATGGTTGACTGAGTATCGATTGTCATCCGACAGTTCCACGCGGCGTCGAGGAAATACCAGCACGTCTCACTAGTCCCAGGCGCCGATCCATCTCTATGCAACAAACTCGCGTCAGAAAATCGTAGAACGGCCTCCTTGGTGGTCATTCACTGTTGGATTACATTTATCTCAACACGGAAGGCCTATTTTGACCCACTCATCCGCGACACTACTCAAGACACACGAAACGCGCCAAGGCCGCTATGATGCCTCTGCGAAGACCAAAGGGCGCTGAGTGCATTGATCTGACAGAGGGGTGATCTCCGGATACTGTAATGTTCGTCTTTATTGATCTCAACAATCTAATGGACATTGGTAGCTGCGATTTTGGATAACCTTTCAATTGCAAGAAGCCTTCGGTGCTGGATACCTTCTTTCCCCGGCACTTTTGCAGGTATTTGCACACTTCTGACCTATCTCATGTATCTTTAAGCGATGCTGTTCGCTCGCCTAGTCGCTCACCGAGTTCTTTCAATGAGCCATCGAGCATTCAAAGATTCGAATAACGGAGGTCTCATTCAACTGTCTCCTCAGTCTCACGTTACATTGGCAGATACTCGACTCTGGTACAGTCATTTAGTGCTTATCATTCAATCGTATCTCGTTGGTAGAACGATGGATCTAGGATCTAGCTTAGAATCGCATCGATATGTCCCCAACGATCCCTCGTTACGTACAAGCCCTCAGCCCGTTCTCCATCAAGACACCTTCTACCACCCGCTGCATTTCACAAAGTTGTTACCACTTGCGCCAGTGTGGGTGATCTCTCCAGCACGGGCTCCATTGGTGTTGAAGATGACTCTGTCAGCACCGGGAGAACCTACATTAACTGGTCAGTATACAAGCTACTTCAACATGTTTGGGGTGATTTACCTCCTGTATAAACACCGGATGTCTTTACTGGGAACTCCTGCCAGGGCCCGGAAGCAATAAAGGCAAACCCTTCGCGATTGTTGTACTTATGAGGATAGGTAGAGCTGCCGGCTGTGGTTCCTTGTTTGTAGTGATTGAATCCAGCAGCGCGTGCTGCAGATAGCTGTGCGCTGGTGTAGCATGTGGAACCACACCTGACAAAGCACTGCCTTGCCTCGAGTTGGTTCTCAACTGGAGCTTCAGTGATGACGGAGGTAGGGAGAGCAAGAGTGACCGGCGCAATGAAGAGAAGGAGGGTTGAGAGAAACTTCATGATGGCGACTATAGAAGCAGAAATTGCGAGCGAATGGCTTTCTTGTCTGATGTAACGAGGGATCGGATGGGTTATCGAGCACACACTGAGGAAGCGCACACCATCCCCTCTTTATACTCACGATCTACAAACAACATAGCGGTCGACTCCGAACCTCTTCAGCTCTATCCTGGACGATCTCATACCAAATAGATTAATTCAGGGCGCTAAGCTGATCAAGCTTCGCCAGCTATTGCCAGAAGCAACACTTACTCCGTGAGGGCCTACGGTAATGTCTCCGGCAAGGGTATCAGCCTATCACAGTAGTAACTCCATATAAACACTCGTCCTAATTCTGCAGCTGGAAACTCAGCGGGGCGACCGCGCTACTTCACCCCTCGAAGCACCTCCTCACGTTGGGCTTTCTGATTCGCCCAAACACTGCCTCCTTGCGTGCAAACCCAATGCAGGACTTACCGGGAAATCACGATGCTCGTATACCAAGGCCTGAACTTTGCGCCGATCAGGAAGGTACAAAGAATGATTCGCCGGAGACTAAAACGATGCGTTTCATGCTTCTTATCGCCGGGTTTTGTGTCGTCGAGCACATGTGCGCTTTTGATAGGCTGTGTGTGGCTGTTGATCGACAGGGAAGCTCGGGAACTAGCACCCGATCCGGGAGGTGGATCGGTCTTGGTGTAGTTATACATGTATACGAGCAGATTAACCACGGTAACTGCGGATAGTGTTGAGTAGACGGTAAGTACGCGAAGAGGAATGTCGGCCAGCACTGAAGGTAGTTATGCTGAGGAGAAACCTCCACGTCTGTTCCAATTCGACAAGTAGGTCAGATTCTACTAAAGTATGCTGGTACTGGGACTGGATATTGTGGGTGTATTTATGTATTGAGAGTCTGGAATGTCTTCGACTGCAGTTCTCGGAGAGCGTTAGTGTACGAAGCTAGCTATAGTATTACACTGCTACTCGGTGTTGACCTATAAACCCGCACTTGTATATATTAGAGTTCAAACTATGGGGCGAAGTAGAGGTGTCGGAGTATCGAAGAACGCTATTTATTACTACCTTATGGACCAGCCATCATATCATTTAAATTTAACTTCCTACACAATACAAAAAAGCTAAGGACCACTCTTTCTTGGTCAACCAACACCTAAGTACCCGAAACATACCCATCATCATTTCTCAACCCCCTAATACGACAAATCATGCAAATCCCGGGCTGTCTGTCGGCCGCCCACTTGAACTTATATCTCGCACAGTTTCTTGGACTGAAACCAGGGTCGATTCTCGGGCAATTTACGAACCAGTGGTGCGCGACGCAGTTGCATTGAGTCCATTTACGCTTCCATTCTGTGCACATGTTTGAGGTCGTACTACGTATAGATTGGTGGAGTCGGATTGTTTTGAGCGGTTGACTGGTGATATCGAGGTGCGTTGTCGAGTTTGCTTAGTGTAGTTGTTTGGATATTTGAAATACTTGAGAGTTTGGTGGAGTTTATGGAATGGCCGTCTATAATTTTAGGTGTACTTTGTAAGAGTAAGGTAGAATTGCTAGGGAGGGTTTATATTTAAAGTTACAATCACACAATGGCATACCGGAAGTAACATTGACGTGACTTGCAATCACAGTGGTCTACGACATTGAAATTCAGTATGGAAGCAGCAAGCTTATTGCTCTGGTTCTGAAGAAGCGCAACGTGATAGATTTAACGGTCCTCTTGTCACTCTGTAGGCTTGTCACTGAAAGCTAAGCACATGGCCATCTATAAATCTACCAACGCAGTAAACTACCTATACTGCAAATAGCTTGGAAATAAATAGAAAGTGTCCATATCTAACTTTCTTGAAATGAACAAACTAGATGGTATCATTGTTTTAAAAAACCGGCTTCCGCAGATCTGATCCACTTAAAGGCCATTCAAAAGTCTCGGGTAGTCTTTCTTCCCGCCAATGCCCACGATTCCCCACATCCTACACAGTCCTCCTCCAAGCATCAGCCAACTGCGCCCCACCAGCAACCATCCCACAAGCCCCGACCCCCCAATCGCTCAGCAAGCCCTCTTCCACCGACCAATGCAGCGTCATTGGCGCATACGCAAGGTTAGAAACGAGATCCTTGTACCATAGCCATTTCTCCAGCTTCTCCGCGCTGATCCTCTCTTCTATCTTGATCTTATCTTCCTTCTCACCGTCATCACCAGGAGGAGTCTGAGTTAGGTCCTGAGAAGGAGATGGATAGTACCGCGCAACACCCAGCCTGACCAACTCAACCCCCACATACGCAGCCCACAGCTGCGAACTCCACATCCACCACTTATTCTCCCTGGCCTTGCCTACGTCGCCCGTCCACCGCGCGCTCGTCAAAGCCCCCTTGGAGCTCAAATATGCGCCGTTCTCGAATACTTGGCACCCCACGCAAGACGCGATGGCCGTCCACGTTAGGCCGCGTAGGACGTGCTCTTTCCTACTTGCGTCGGCGGGTAGCGGCTCGAGGTAGGTTGCTCGCGCCCACGTGTACAGGCCCAACATACTCCACATGCGCACAAAGACGCGATAATCGGATATGGTATCTGCTATGGCTTTTGAGCTGCCGACTGTCATGGCGAGAAGCTTTGTGCTGGTCGGTGCGGGGAGGGTTGCGATGAGCGTTTCGCCGGGGAGGAGGATGCCGTTTGCTTTCTCGGCTATGTCGACGGCGACGTTTGCTAGTTTCTTCTCAAGCAGGCGGGAGAGGAGGGCGTGGACGAGGGTTAGCGTGTAGGAGGTTGTGCAGAGGAGGACGTCGGTGTCGCCGGGTGTGGATAGGAGCTTTGAAAGGCGCAGGAGGGTGCTGTCTGTTGAGCGGGCGGCTTTTGCGAGGTATCTGAGGAGGAGGAACCGCAGTCTTTGGAGCAGTGTAGGGCATATTGGAGGCTTTGGCGTCTTATCAGGTGGAGGTATTGCGGGCTCGGTGAGGATATCGCGGTCGCTAGGGATTGTCGTTGTCGCAGGATGTGAGTCCTCCATCTTTGTCTAGAATTGAGTTTTCCCTCGCAACACGCAATTAAGTCCCCGAGAACAATTCCTTTGTCGCGTTGTCAAGTCTGTGGAAGGTTGAAGCGAAAATAGATCGACGCGGTTTGGCCGAGGTCGCTCGGAATTGCTGAAGCGCGTCATTGTCATGGGGGCCCCCACGTGTACTCCACGTTCTTGCATGTGATGTTGGACCCTGAAGCATTAAAAGCATCCCTTGAGCTCGAGTTCTAGTCTTCAACGCGTCTTCCAAGCAACAATCAATGAATATGCAATGATCGGTCAGAAAATTATCAAACAGATAACATCAAGTTTCATCTCGTAGCGAGGTTTTGACCTCAAAAACCCTGAAATGTCTGACAGAACATCCCTGTCCATATAACGCGCTTCCCCAGATCACCCCACTCCATGTAACAACAAGGCAGTGGGTCTCAAGAGCAGCATCTCCCCCTCCTCCATGACCTCTCTTCCTCCCAGTAAACGTTCAAACAGAACGACCCTCACCCCAATTCCTCCGCAATGTCTCCACCCGAGCCCGTACGCCGCCCAACCTACCCTCTCGCACATGCCTTCCGCCGCAAACCACGACGCCTGCCGCTGGTCCTGCGCTTCGCAAAAGGCGCAGTTCACGACATCATCCTCGTCCCCGTGCTCCTGCACTCGCTCTTCACCGTGCTGATTGTCTACATCGACACGCGCTATGTGGACAGCATCTCCATTCCCGCCACCATCATCCCCTCGCTCTCCATCGTCGTAGGACTGATGCTTGTATTCCGCAACAGCACAAGCTACGATCGTTTCTGGACGGGGCGAAACTGCCTGACGACCATCGGTACCAGCGTGCGCAACCTGGCGCGAATATCTCTCGTGAACTCGCGGGGGAAAGATGGGGAGACTACCATGGCGGAGAGGAGGGACACAGAGAGGATTGTGCGCGTGCTGATCGCCGTGCTGTACGCGATCAAGCATAATTTGCGTGCAGAGTTCAATATCCCGCCTGCGAGTCTGGCGTCGTTGCCGCCCCAGCCCAATCCGTATGCGAGATCGACGCCTGTGTCCAGGAGACCGAGTTATGTCGACCACACGGTGTCTTCGCCCGCCACGCCTTCGATGAACACACCGCTGCTATCTCGATCCGGGTCCACGCTGCACAATGGCGACGACACAATCCCCACTAAGAAAGACGAGTACGTGTCCCTGCTGCCAGAGGGCTTGATGGGGTATGAAGACCAGGGACTAGGTCTGCCGCTGCAGTTAACGATACTGGTCGAGGGCTACTTGCGACGAGGCTACGACCGCGGCTGGTTCCACGGCCCCCTCGCGTCGCAAATGACTGTGCAGCTCAACTCGCTCGTCGACGCGTACGGCCGCATGGAGACGATTCGCTCCACGCCCCTGCCTATCGCGCACCTCATCCACCAGAAGCAAGTTCTCGCGCTTTTTACGTGCGTGCTGCCGTTTGCGATTGTGGACGATTATCGGTGGTGGAGTGTCCTGGTTGTGGCCATTGTTGCATTTACGCTGTACGGTATAGAAGGTATTGGTGTCCAGCTCGAAGACCCCTTCGGCTACGATAAGAATGACATCAAAATGGACGGCATCATTGAAGACACGCGGCAGGAGGTCATGGTGTTGCTTGAAGAGTGGAAAGCGAATCATGAAGGGAGGGCCATGGGTGGCATGTTCGACTGATGATCATTCACGAGATACAGCTATGCACAGCGAGTTCAGCTAATCGCGTATACCCCTTAGTGATTGAGTTTTTTAATGTGGAGCGAAGCATTATTCTCAGACTGTTCTGGAGCGTATATATGATTGCCGTAGATACGTATATGGCGTTTATTTGTGCCTGCTCAGCAACAAGATAGTAATGATGGATGTAAAAAGCAAAGAGCGCGTGTCAATCCCTTTCCGCCAACCCATGAAGCAGATACTTGATACAATACATTAGGGCCCCTCTTCCGTCCCTCCTTGGCTATATCGCATGCAAATGATATATCTCGACCGTAACTTTCGTAAGCTCCATGGCGCCAATGTACGCCAGGAGATGCAAGATTGGAAAGGAAGCAAAATCAACCGATCAGTCACCGCGCGCGTACACACTTCCTCTTCTCGCCTAATTAAACTGCACCGGTGGTAGACTGGGCGCCCCACTACTTCCCGAATCCGATCCTGGCGAAGCATCCCTGAGGCGATTGCCCGCTGCCCTTCCCGCGCTGCCGTCCAAGACAAACGGTCCGGCGTCGTTGCGTGGTGTCATGGGTCCGTCATGTGCGCGATCCGGCAGTAGTCCGTCGTGGTGCGTTGGGTACAGAGGCGATAGCCCCGAGAACTCATTCGACCCAGAGACGTTTATCGTCACCGGCTGCGTGACAGAAGAAGTTACAGGCGTTAGATGGCGGTCTGGTGTTTCCGGAAGAGGCTGATTTGCGATCCCATTGAGCGATTCCGTGATGCTGATATTCGAGATGGCGTGTTGCAGGTCCGACAGGTCCACTCCACCATCCAGCTCGTTGCCGTTGATGGGTGCTATCGACGCCCGGGGCGTCACGTGGCGATCTCCCTGCTCGTTGTCGACTTTGGCAGTCGCGTCACCGTTCACTGGTTCGCCTTCCTCAGCCCAATCTTCAAAGTCGCCAATGTCCTCGGCGTCTTCTTCGAGATCAGCGACGGCCCTGCAGTTGGGGCATAGGAAGGTTGGCCACGTTGGCCCATTCAAGATGGGACGGATGCACTTGTAGTGCCACACATGCGAGCAGGGTGCCACGAACAAGGATTGGCAAGGCTAAAAGCTATGATCAGTATGGAGCATTATTACATGGTCACACGCGAGTACCTACTGCTATTGACATGAGGCAAATGGCGCACTCGGAAGTATGCGTGGACGCAGTGTCGCCTTCTTTCTTGCTCTTGGCGAGGTTCCGCAGCCGCTGGTGTGTTTGTTTGCTACTATGGTCAGCGGTCGGCTGGTAGCGCGTGCGTTGTGTACTAAACTCACTTGAACGTGTTAAGCCCCTGCTGCCAGCCGCGGTTGCACTCGACACGGATCTTTACACACCGGAAGATCATTTCTTCACCCCCTCGGAAATCGATGCCCAGTTGGACAATGTCGCCATCCTTTATTCTGAACGGCTTGGACTCGACGTTGGGCTGACTTAAACGTATGTGATTCAAGAAGGTACCTGACGAGCTCTTCACGTCCTTTATATACCAGCTGCCGTCTTTGCACCACAGCTCGCAATGTTTCCTGCTGACCACCTTGGACTTGAAGCCGACTGCCGCCGCAGAGGGCGTGTTTGAAGGCACCTCTGGCAAGTTGTCTCGCTCCGAGTATCGTCCTACACGGATCACGGCAGAGTCGTCGGGGAGCGTGCGTGTGATGGTGGGGAACTGCAGCGAAGGTCTGCCAGCTCGGGGATCTTGGTGGGGGATGAAGCGAATGGAGGGGAGGTGCTTGGTAGCTGCCGTGCCGTCTACGCCATTCTCAGCAGGGTCTCCACTGGCGGGGCCTGGTGTTGACGTTGGCGTTGGCCCCGTGTTGTTGCGCACCGTGAGCTGCGGCGAGGCCATCTCTGCGCGGGTTCTCGTCATGTTTGTTGTGGGAGAGGCGGGCGGCGAATGGCTTGGTAGCGGCGGCAGGTGGGCGTCGGACGTCTGTCGTCTCGAGGGGAGAGGCGGACGAGGAGTGAGAGGGAGATTCTGGGACGACGAGGCAAAGGCGGCGGGCGAGACTGGCGGGGTGTGTGTAGCAGCGCGTGGTCGTGTTGTGGTAGGCGTCCTGGGGTCCTCACGTGCGTCGTCTGCTGGGCCGGCCGAGTGCAGGTGCAGGTTTCTGAGAAAGGTGATGCCTCGCTGCAGGCCAGTGGATCGCGACGAGGGCGAGAGAGTTGCTATGGCCGTCGAGGAAACGGTTGGGGCAGATGGGGCCGGCGCAGTGAACATAGTACTAATCTCCCCTGCAGGCGGCGCAGACGAGGACCAGCAGGCCCGAGGCTGCGACTGGCGGCTGTGTGAATGGGAGAGTTTCGGCGGCGTTTGACAGGCAAGACGGCAGGCGGATTCGACGACGGCGAGTGCGAATGTCTAGACTCTAAGAGCAATGCACAGGGCATCGTCGAAGCGATCAGGGCCGACTTGGTGATGCGGGCCAAGCTTAGCTAACAAAAGAGGAGTACGAAGTGTACCAGTAAGCCGCTGCTGCAGCGCCCTCTAGGCCAGTAGAGGCGCCCGGGGGAAGGATAGCAACGTCTTCGGGTGCCATTGGACATGGTCGCAAGCAAGATTTGATATACACAGCTTGCTGACAGCATCACGGAGAAGTACACATGTATGTGGTTATAGTCTTGAATCGTCACTTTGCGGTTATGGTATCGTCTGAGAGGTTTCAAGACGGCCCGCCAACACCTGCCGAACCAGCGCCAGAGACGTTTGAGACGCCGAGAGCGCTTCTTGTTATTGCTGCCAGAGTCGTCCTTGTGTTGCTAGTGTCTAGTTTCCAGCTCTTCCTACCCTCAAGAGGAAAGCCAACGGCGTCGACTTGATGCGCTACTCGGGAGAGCCTTGCGGTGTGGGGCCTTCTGGAGAGAGGGTAGGTCCGCGCCGCTGGGCGGGTCACGTGCACGTGCTATGTCATCCAATGATTCCCGAAATTTCGGAACGCGCGACTTTTTGGGCCCATCTTCCATTCACACCCGTGTTTTCCGGAATATGTTGACGTCTCGCTCTGTTCGACCATGGGCGCGGGGACTCTCACAGGCCTCTTCGTCTCTCACTAGATCAGCGCAATGCACAGGTAGCCGAGGGCTGGCGACGGTGGTTGCTGAGGAGAGGGTGGGCAGAGCAGCTCCCATACCCATGTTTGCATACGGCTAACAGCATCGTCTAGGACCCCGCCGAACTCGACCAGATCACTACGCTTCCAAATGGCATCCGTGTCGCCACCGAAGCGCTCCCCGGCCACTTCTCTGGCATCGGAGTCTACATAGACGCCGGCTCGCGGTACGAGAATGATGCACTGCGAGGTGTCAGCCACATCATCGACCGTTTAGCCTTCAAATCCACACGCTCCACCACGGGCGACCAGATGATGGAGAAGCTAGAAACACTTGGGGGAAACATACAATGCGCGTCCTCGCGAGAGTCCCTCATGTACCAGTCGGCAACCTTCAACTCGGCCGTGCCCACAACCGTCGGTGTCCTTGCCGAGACAATACGAGACCCTTTGGTCACGGAAGAAGAAGTGCAGCAACAGCTGGAAACAGCCGACTATGAGATTGGCGAGATATGGAGCAAGCCAGAGCTGATCCTCCCCGAACTGGTACACATGGCCGCCTACAAGGACAACACGCTCGGGAACCCCCTGCTGTGCCCCAAGGAACGATTGCCCTTCATCAACCGCGACGTCGTCGACGCATACCGAAAGGAATTCTACAAGCCCGACAGGATAGTCGTCGCGTTCGCAGGCGTGAACCACAACGAAGCAGTGCGCTTAACAGAGCAGTACTTTGGCGATATGGAGAAGGGCACTGGTCCATCACTCATCGGCCTCGGAGCAGACAGCACCATATCTGGCTCCACACCTCAGCAGCAGATCTTCACTGCAGACCATCCCACCCCAACCGGCGCGCCACCACAGACGTCGAAACTCCTGTCCAAGCTACCCTTCTTCAAGAACCTCTCCACATCCGCTACATCCAATGCCTCTGTAAACACATCTCTCGACTTGAACTTCCCACCCATCGACACATCAGTACCCTCGCACTACACGGGCGGCTTCCTCACCCTTCCTCCGATACCGCCGCCGCTCAACCCCATGCTCCCCCGCCTTTCGCATATCCACCTCGCCTTCGAGGCCCTGCCCATCTCCTCGCCCGACATCTACGCTCTTGCAACGCTACAAACGCTCCTTGGTGGCGGTGGATCGTTCAGCGCTGGTGGTCCAGGCAAGGGCATGTACTCACGGTTGTACACCAATGTCCTAAACCAGCACGGCTGGGTCGAGTCCTGCCTCGCGTTCAACCACAGCTACACGGACAGCGGCCTATTCGGCATCGCATCATCCTGTGCACCCACGCACGTCGCGCAGATGCTCGAAGTCATGTGCCGCGAACTGAAATCCCTAGGCGACGAGACGGGCTACGCTGCGCTGAAGGAAGGCGAAGTCCAACGCGCCAAGAACCAACTCCGCAGCTCGCTGCTCATGAATCTCGAATCCCGCATGGTGGAGCTCGAAGATCTTGGGCGGCAGGTGCAGGTCCATGGCCGCAAAGTTGGTGTCAAGGAGATGTGCAAGAAGATTGAAGACGTGACGGTCAAGGATCTGCGACGAGTGGCTAGACACGTTTTTGGCGGCGAGGTCCAAAATGTGGGCGGTGGCAGTGGGGCCCCTACGGTTGTGTTGCAGGAAGGGGACCAGGAGGGCTTCAACCGGAAGGACTTCACGTGGGACAATATCCAGACTAGGATCGCGAGGTGGAAGTTGGGACGGAGATGAGATTCCCCACTTTAGAAACATGTTGTGTTGTACTATTAGCACGTGACAAGCGTGTTTGTATTATAGAGAAACTGTAGGATCGCTAGCAGCTGGTACGGTACCAGTGTGGCTATGCAATGGAAATGATATATAAAGTCAATTGCCAGTTTTCTCCAAGTATGAGACTGCTTTTTCAATGGCTGTTCATCAGGTGGGTATCAAGGGAAAAGGCCCACTTCCACTCCTTCCTGTAAAAGAGGCTCGACGCCAATAACGACTACCCATGCCTTCCTTCATACCTGTGCCATGATGCTCTGGAGACCGATATCTGCTCCCATGCCGTCTTCCTCGTCCATCTCGACGCTCTGCATGCTAGCCTCGAGCTTTTGGTCAGGTACGTCGACGGCCAGGATGTCCGGCGTGTGCGTTTCCACCGCCTCCTCGGTGAGTGCGACACCGCCTTCGACTTCCACCTCGCTGCCCTCGGACGCGCACGAGTAGACGGAAAAGTCAGACTCGGAGCTACTCGTCTCGTCCGCACCAGTGCCAGTGTCGTCTCTTGAATGCGACGACGCGAATACTGCGTGCTGGCCCGTTGCGTGTGCCTTCGCTATCACACCCTCAAAGCCCCCCCTGTAGGTCCCGTTTCGGAGCTCGTTCCTCTCCTTTTGTCTGCGCACACGCCGCAGCGCCCCAAGGTCGAACTCGCCGACTGACTCTGACTCATTGAGATTGCGCACCGTGCCTGTTCTTGCCAGTGGGAGCGTGACGTTGGAGCCCGAGGAGCTGGAGTCTCTGCCTGTGCGGAAGATGCCTTGGACGGCGGATTTGAGGCCTTGGCGGGTGAGGAATGCTGGGAGACGGGAGAGATCGTGTGCAATGTCCCCAGAGTTGCGATGGCCCATCTTATAGAACCTGCGTCGCGGACGGCGCTGGGCCGTGATCTCGTCCATGTCGGTTTGTGTCGTCTTGAAGGTGAGTTCACTGGAGTCTGAAGAAGCAGTAGAGGCGGTCTGTGGGGCCTCGGTGGAAGTAGCAAAGGAGGTCGACGTGGGTAGTGTAGACAGCGTCGTAGCATGAACCAGAGAGGAAGAGAACGAGTGGACCGTGTTTCCAATGTTGCGCATGACCTGCGAGGACTTGATAGGCAGTTGCTGGGCGTCGTTGTGCGTTATGGGCGCAAAGTCGGCAGAGAGGACGGCGTGGAAGGAGATGTAGACGCGGTCTCGATAATATGGGCGGCAGTTATGACAGGCTTTGAAGGCGCATCCTGGAGCAGTCTAGAGACATGTTAATTGCTTGATTGTAAAGTGTGCAACCTGGCTAGAGGTAGTTGCAGCCCGTAAGATGTTGTTTGTGACACTTACTTCATCTTTCGCCGGTGTACTATTAAGCGCACCGTCGTTGTGTGTTGAGGCTTTATCAATAGACGTCAATTTGGCCACGGCATCGTTGATCTCGGTCTTTTGCTCCACATCCAAAATGATCTGTCGCAGCTCCGCCTTCTGTCCCTTGAGCTTGGTGAGTTGCGCGTTGGTATAATGGCCGCCCTCTGCCGTAAGAATGATACTCTCACTAAATCCAGTGGCCTCCAACTGCAACCGCAAGTCCGACTTGACTGGCTCAATCCTGTCCTCGTCTTGCGCTAGTTGGTCACGCAGGGTTTTGAAGTCGCAGTCTTGCCTGCACTCATAGAGGAAACCAACGGACGGCGAACGGCCGCAAACGTAGCACTGCAGTTCGCGCGTGTAGACGCGGTCCATGTCAACATGGGTGCAGTTTGGCGTACGGACGCGTTTGGGCATGGTGCGGGCCTTGGTCTGGTTAACAAGGTCGGCGTGGTTGCTATCAGCTGTACCTACTTTCATGATGACAGGCACGCACGCGGCATAGGAGCAGGAGTGGAAGCGTGGAGGGCCAAAAGGTGTGGAGGAAGAGGGAGAGGCGAAGTGACGTTGCGGGTGCCCAAGATTATAGGCCGTAGGCAGGTGCGCAGCCTTTGGTGGGTCAGTTGCAGCTGCGGGTGAAGGCGCGGAGAGACGTACGGGTGACCATGAAAGAGTGACTCGGCAAGCTTGGGGCAGACAGTGAACACAGGAAGCCTGATGATGGCCTTCAGAGTGAGTCTACCTAACAATGCTGTAGAATTGTACTGCCTGACTGTGGGGGGGAGGGGAGGGTTCTGTGGTTGGACTGAGTAGAGTATCCAGAATGCACACGCGTCGTCAAGGACTATCCAATACGGATCTTGCAATATGACAGACTTTTCTGCTTCCTGCTCATGGTTTGGACATAGGTTCCAAGTTCTTTCTAGCTCTTGACTACCGCGATAGTTGAAATGCGCACTCCACATTGGCTACAGGTGCTTGTTGTTACCAAGTCATTCAAACGATGGGCAGAACAAACGCGTCTTCACCCAATTCTCACCAGAAATCGAGGCAGAAAATCGGACATGTGAGATGGGCAGGCAATGAGAAGAAGGGGCTTGAGACATGGAAAAAGAAGGAGATGGCATAGCGAAGGGCATGAGGTTGAGTGAGGGAGTTGGCGTGGCACAAACCAGTAGTATCTGCCCTCCTAACTAACCCAGACACAGGGGCACCTCTCAGCTTGGAAACCGAAGGGAGGGTACTTGTGAAATTACGACGGCCAACGGCGATGATAATAGTGACGACAATAGGGATGGCTTTGGATTGTAAATGGCCGCTACGAGCAGCTGTACCCTCAGCTCGCAGCAAACACGCCCAGCGGCGCTCTCCGATGTCGCCATGCGCAGCATGCCGGGCGGGTGGCCGAAGGATACCCAGGTAGTGCCCTCTCTTATCTCGGCCACGATGCCATCAAAGGGAAGCAAGCTGAGCGGCGAAGAGTTGTATTGTAGACTAAGTCACAAGACCAGGGCCGAGGTCGTCGTGGCTGGTAATGCTTCAGGAACCTGCAACAGTGGACGAGACGGGTGGACGTCGGCGCTAAAGCGAAAAGAGCCGAGGAAGCTGGACGCCGCTGTTTACACCCGCAGACCCACACTGTTGTCCCCCAGCCATCGTCCACCACAAGTCAGCTCGACCACTCCCCACCTCACCGCCTACACGACGCGCGATCGCTGCACCCCCTCACTACACGCGCCCATCTGCTGCTGGCCCCCCGTCGCATCCTGTTGAAGCCGCCATGTCGGTCAAGTTCGAGAAGGAGACGGTCAAGACGACGACAGCCGCCGTCGCCGACGCGGCTACCAAAGGTCACGACGGCCTGCTGCACGGCGTTGGGCAAGCCCTCACCAAGGGTGGCGGGCCCAATGGATACCTCATAGTGAGTGTTGCGCATTGCAATGCCTCTAGCGCATGTGACTGACCATATCGATGCAATCAGGCCTACCTCAAGCAGCTGCAGAGCAACCCCCTGCGCACCAAGATGCTCACCTCGGGCACCCTATCAGGCCTGCAAGAATTCCTGGCCTCGTGGATTGCCCACGATAGGAGCAAGTCGGGCAACTACTTCACCTCGCGCGTGCCCAAGATGGCCATATACGGCGCACTCATCAGCGCGCCTCTTGGCCACGTCCTGATTAGCCTTCTCCAGAAGGTCTTCCAGGGGCGCAAGACGCTGAAGGCCAAGATCCTGCAGATTCTCGTCAGCAACCTACTCGTGAGTGCCAAACTGTGAGAGTCTAGCGTGCGAGCATGTTGGCTAACGTCTGCAGATCTCGCCCATTCAGAACAGCGTTTACCTCATCTCAATGGCCATCATCGCGGGCGCCCGCACATTCCATCAAGTCAAGGCGACGGTCAAGGCCGGCTTCTGGCCTGTTATGAAGGTCAGCTGGGTCGTCTCGCCCATCTCGCTTGCCTTTGCCCAGCAGTTCCTACCCGAGACCACCTGGGTGCCCTTCTTCAACATTATCGGTTTCATCATCGGCACATACATCAATGCGCATACCAAGAAGAAGAGGCTAGCTGCCCTCAGGCGAAAGCACTACGGCGACGGCAGTGGCAGTGGCAGGAGCAGGAGCCAGGGCCCAGTCGGTGGAAGGCCGGGAGACGACTACGGCCGTCTTGATGACCGCCGTCCCGATGACCGCCGTCCTGACGACCGCCCGCGCTACTAAACCTAGGGCCAGCGATGAGAGCATGACTATCTTTCGGGGCTCGTTCGCTGTCCAATGTCGATCCACCGTAGCTAGTATCAAGAGTGAGGCCAACTTACTTGGGGCCACGACAAACTCGGGAAACGGAATCGGCCAGCGTTCCAAGACCAATATATCGAGCCATACATCGTCGCCTGAGAACCACGAATCTGGTGCGCTTAGGTGGCGGTCTTGTATATTTCTATGTTCTTTCTTGTTTGATGATTGGAGGCTCAACCGGTGTTTATTGTGGGCTTTGCTAAATATATATTATACCCTGCACTCCACCTTCTCCTCCGCTTTCTCGCCCTATATCTCACACGTATTAGATGCGGGGTCGTTTCCATGGTGGTACTGACAAGTGTTAGTTTAAGCTTCGAAACTGTAGTCGTGGCAGTTCGTCTAACAGCATTTGTCGATAATTCCGTACCACGCGGCCACTGGCATGTGTTGCGTTGTGAGAGCCCGACTCCCAACAGGACCACAGTATTGGCTTAACAGGTTACGCAATGTTGCATCCTGCAAGGAGATTCGGTTGATAATCCAACGGTTGCAAGAATTTGGCTTCCTGACAATCGCCTCGAACCCAGTATCATGGACGGCGACATGTGGCAAACGATTCCTTGAAGCGCCTGTAATCCTTCCACGCTATGCAACCACCACTCGTTGGACGCTGGGTAGGCACGAGACGCACGCAAACGAATGAGTTACTGCTAGGCCGTCCTGGGCAGAAACAAGTGTCTGTGGCTTCACACCACAGTTGTAATATATATATCGCAGCATCGCTGAGCACCAGCAACCTCGATAGGAACGAACCATCCGCCATAACAGCGCCTTACAATCTCTAGCCTCATGACAAACGGTTCTGCGGACCATCTCGCCCTGTACAGTGACCGCGGGCTCGGGCGTCTGGTGTTGGCCCCATCCCCTTCCTATCCATCCGACTCAGAAACAGATTTCTACGTCCCTCACGAGACCATCGACTTCCGACGCCGCCTGTCTAATATTGCTTTACAACTTCAAGACCAATTCGCACAGTGCGACAGGAATCTAGGATGGAATATTGACTGGGCTGTCGCATTTTTGGTTCATCGCTTACAGACAACGCCGGGCGATGCTGCTGAGTCACTTAGACGCATACGCATCCGAGCAGCGACGCTTGAACGGGAAGGCTTAATCCAGGAAATACCATATCGCATCTTCAACAAGGTTGACGAGGTGCTCTTTGCTGGCCATCTCAAGAATGCGGTCTTCCTTGACATTAGCAGTCTGGGCTCAGATATTTCTGGCGCCACGTACACGCATAGCTGGGGACCTAATACCAATGTCAAGCGTATCTCGATTGTTCTCAATCGCGACGCTCTCGAATACGCTCGAGCAAGGGACGTCGTTGCGATGCTGATTCATCACATGATCCATGCCTATTTTCTTGTCGCTTGTGGACCGCAGAAGGAAGAAGAGGTAGACTATGGACGCCTTGACCACGGCGTACACTTTGGGGCGATCATGCTAGCCATCAAGAAGCTTTCAGCTGTTCATGGGAAGGAGCTCACACCGCTTGGCTTCGGGCACAGCTCAGCCGCTGTTCGCTACTTCGCCGAAGAATACTACTACCCACGAAAAGGCGGCCCTGTAGAACGAGAAGACAAGGAGAAGTGGTATTGCAGTCACTGTCATTGTAACGTCGAGGGGATCTCTGAGTGCGACATCGACAAGTGGTACAGCAAAGTTTGTAAGCCCATGTTTGATCAACCGAAGAGCGTTCGAGTCGCAGAAGGCACTATCTATAATGACCGCCGCCACGAGTTCGAAACGGAACGTCGCGCACGACTCCCGCCGTCTGCCAAATCAGTCGAGTTCATCTTCAAAGGCAACCCTATCCTCGTCGCGAGCAAGAAGATTGATGATTTCCTGGGTGTCCGAAGAGCCTTCGGCAAAGCGGAAAGTCGGTTCCTCGGGGTACACAAGGACGTTTCCGAAAAGACGTTTCTGCGCTTCTTAGAGTTTTTGCACACGGGCTCATACCGTCCTGACCAGCATCCTTTCGCAGCTGCCGCAGCCAGCTTAGGGGTAGAAAGGAACGGTCCTCCGATTGTCAAACCGCAGGGTATGAGCACCGAAGCCTGTCTCCTGGCTGATGTCCAGTTTGCGAAATTGGGTATTTTGATGGGCTTTGATGAGTGCAAGTACTATGCGCTCAGGCGTATGAACGCGTATGGTGTTATATACGAGGACCCTGTCGCTATCCTAAAGGAGATATACCATGGCTACGAACCAGACCCAGATCTCAAGGCATGGGCGCGAAGATTCCTCGTCCAAGCTCCAGCTAAGACATCCCCGGAATATACCTCTACCAGTTTCCCACCCAGCAGCAGCATCGAGCCACCAAACCTCATCAAACTAGAAAGCGAGCATGGAATTCACCGCGCCCGCTTCCTCGACGCTATAGACTCCAGCGGTGCGCTCGAAAACGATGTCAACAAAGCACGGGCGGAATTGAGGTTGGCCGGCTGGTACGGCGTGTCTTCTCTCCTACCACACACATCTTCTAGCTTTCTTACCACAAGTCTGCCTCTAAGGTACTCGTCCAATCCACTACCCTTGAGCCTCACTCGCCCATCTCCCCTTCTCCTCGACGCCGCCGCACCATCGCCATTACACTCATGGCTCGGCACACCAGGCATCGCATCCGCCATCACCCCCCAGATATCCAACCTATCCACCCTTGACCTCGAAAGGCTTCGCGACGCAGAACGAGAATCCCTCCTCGACTACGAGCGGGCACAACTCAAGGATCTAGAGAGGGGAAGACTGCATAACGGTTATGAGCAGCGAGACATACTCCGCATCTTGGGACGTGAACGAAGCTCGCTAAGCGACCTTGAGCGAGAGAGGGAAAACTTGAAGGAGGTGCAGGCACGGGTGCATGCTGCTAAGGTTTTGGAGCGGTTTTACTCGAGCGGGTTGACGGGGCTGGGGCCGGATGATGAGAGGTATTGAGTAATTGATTAACAGACTAAATGACAGACGGGTGGACTGTTTTCAGCATGGTTTGGGCGCTTGTATGGAAGTATAGTGATGCACGGTGTTTAAGAAGAGTAAAGAAAGAGTGTGTAGTAGGAGTGTTATTCCTAAGCGAACTAGCCGAAGGGTGTTTTCTTGTATCCGGCTTTTTTTGGTAATGTGACAAGATGAAGGAAATTGAACCATGTTTCTTTTTAGTTTAGTAAGATACAACTGCTGCATATCCTGTCTCATTATTTTTACGTCTTTTCTTATCACCCTAGTCCTGTCTATTTATAAGGCCGTTGTGTTGATGAAATTTTTGAGTTGGTGTGTCATGTTAGAATTTGGAGACTGGGTCCTTTGCTACATGCTTGTTTTGCCATTGTATACCTCAGTCCTTGGGTATAGGGGATTTTCGTATTTGTATATGTGCATGTATATGTATGTGTTTATTAGTGGAAGACAGGTATGTTCGAGTAGCTAGGTACATGTTGTACAACCCTCTTTGAATAGAGGAGGTCGGTAGTTATATAGCTAAGGAAGCATAAATGTCCTTCTTGCTTTACCCGTAAAAGTCTTCTTATCTAAGGTGGGATGGCGATTATCGAGATCTCTTGATACTTCGTTCAGCTGGCCTTCCTTGTATTGTGTAGACCTTACTGTGCTAATACTGTGAGTCAAAAGGTGCTAGGTCCAACATCTAAACTATAGTTTTGTCCTAGTTCCTTCTATTGCGTTGTATAATCCGTTCTTGGCAGTGCTGACCTTGGTTTTGATAGAAGAATACAGTCAGCGCTGAGAAGGGGAAACGTTTAATTTATGCGCGAAATGCAGGTATAAACGTATGGTGGAACTGGAAAAAAGCATCTTCATTGGATGCTCCTACGGTATGCCGCGTATCAAAAGTATATTTGACTGCATCCTTCTTTATCACACGAGTGCTCTTCTTCCGCTGCGTCCTCTGCTTCCAATTCCTTTCCCACCATGTGCTTAAGCTGACTCTCGTCGAGAAAGCCACGCTGGCAGAGATCAAACAAGGATATCGGGTCACCGCACGTGAGACAGAAGTCACTGGTTATCTCTGCCTCGTTTGTTTCCTCCATAATTCCCGACTGGTCTGATAGAGTGCGGCTGTTGATAACGTCCACATCCTGCCTTTGCTCTGGAGTCGGCACGTGCCATATCGATGGCGAGATTTCGCTCCTTTCTTCATCGGCCCCAGAACTTGATAGATAAGCTACGCCTGTGATTCTCGAACTTTCATAGCTGCTGTCGACTAAGAGTGCAATTCGGGTATGGCTTGCACTCGGAAACACGGCGATTTTGTGTTCCACCTCGGGACGTGCGCCAAATGCTATGCCGCTGACTCCATTCGTGCCAGTAAAAGAATGGTATTCATTTCCTTTCTGCTGTGGCGTGGGTATGCAACGCTCGGCGGCTTGCATGGCACTCCGAAATAGAATGTCGACCAATCTAGCGGTACTCATGGGACAGTGTCCCTGAGAGTTGTCGGCTTTAGAAGGGTCTATGACCTTTATGATGTTTTCGATGAGTGCTTCGGTAGACGGGATAACAAAACTTCTGGGCATCAAGGGCCAGGGGTAGTTATGCTGTGTTACCGCTAGTTCTTCGCACGCAAGCAGTTCGGAGCGACTCAGCTGGCTATTGCACCGAGTCACGGTGCTGATGAACCGCAGAGGTACCTTGAGTCGCATCCTTGAAGTAAGCGCATAGATGTGTGGCTCGGTCACCGGAGCTTTCTCGAGGATGTATTTTGCGAGCTGCATGCGTGGTACCCCCAGCATAACTCGAAGAGACTCGACAAATCTATGGTCGTCGTAATCCCCTTCTTCCCTCCTCCCGTGTTGATTTCGTAGTACATCAACAAGTACTTCAATGGCAGATTTGTCATAGTCGGGACGTATCGGATGAGGCGGTTCCGTTGCATCGCGTGCAAGTCCGAGCAGACCGTAAACTTTGTCATATCTCTCGCTACATGCTGAGGTAGAAAAGACCTTTATAAGATAGCGAAGTCTGAGCTTTGGGGCAGCCTCGTCACTGGAATTACGCTGCGGCCATTCAGTTCTTTCGCTGAAAAGGGCTATCCCTGGACCTTGCCAATATCTGAGCAATGTATCAGCATGATATCCGCTAAATACCTTATAAAGACTACGATCATCCATGCAGTCTTTTCCGCACCATATCTCCAAAGACTGCGCCAGCAAGAATTCTTGGATGATCCATACGCGAGTCCAGTAAGGATTCCTTAAAAGATGTAAAATCGCTGTTCTTTGCTCGCTTTCCTCCCCTTGCTTGTCTTGGTGGTTTAACTCCTCTATCTTAGCTTGGTCGTAATTACGATACTCCACAGCAAGGCGAAAGACTATGTCCTCTCTGCCGGTGACTTCTCCAAGCCATGCGATAGTAGATGCTGCCATAGAATATATAAAGCCCATCTGAGCCACTTGGTGGTTACGCTCTCGACCATCTTTCTGGTTGATGCCTAGATACGAGTTAGCAGTCCGAAACAGCCCATGTCAAGATGTTGCGTACAGATCGCGTCAATCCAGAGTCTGTTGCCGCGTGCAGCATCCCACGCCCGAAATCGACGGAGGAAATTCCAGAGGTTCCTGCCAACCTGGAGAGTCACTCCACCGCATTCGATCATCTCATATCCGCCGCCTTGGTCCCAGATGTACGATAACGCGATGTACGAAGGGTGGTCTTCTAGATCAGCGTGTGAAAGTTCGCATCTGATCAAATCGTCTGCGTGTCCTGGATGCACATCAATGAGTCGGACGGTCTTCCTGTTTGAATCCAAACGCTCGTACTGCATGACTGACATATTTCCTTCCCGGTTTACCGTATACAGCGCCTGTCTCAGGGAGACTCAACGCCGTCAAAGAAAACGGATGCTTCAAAAATTTCGATTTATGGTTCTAGGTTTCGAATCGTCGAGGAGGGGTAGTGAAGACAAAGTGGAAGATGTGGAGTAGCTCCGCCAAGTATCCGCCCCCACATCAAGGGTTACAGCTACATTGTCTAAATAGAATCGTCGTGCTTTAGAGAAGAAAGACGATCTTACGAACACGGTACTGGTCAAGGGTAGTGTTTTTGGAACAAGTGAAGATTTGGGAGCAGAGGGACGGGAGTAACACTCGCCTAGGACTAAGTGAACTAGCTCTATCTGACTTATCTAGACCCTGTGATACTGGCGACTATTTGTTTATTAGGAGTGCTCGATTTGATAATCAGATAGTGTATAAAGTTTACTATTAAAGAAAGAGAACTAGGCTCATGATTTGTACAGCCACGATAGCGCATTTTCTCTCAATGCCCTACTTGCGCCATATTTTGCTAATGAACCAACTAGAGCTAACGGAGATGCCCAAGGAAGACTCTCTCAGTAGCGACGAAAAGATGTCCCAGACTACCGAGGACACTCACGTAATTGATGCCAACCGTAACCATCTTAATGCATACACTTCTGCGGAATGATAGGACGTTGACCATGCCCTGGCTACTCAAAGCGAGTGGAACAACGGGACAGACATCGAAGACGGGATGACGCTGGACCCGAAGACATTTGAAAAAGGCCTCGAGCAAACCTCCAGACACTATGTGACGCGAGACTGCAACCACATATCCAGCATATGGATTGGACAATTCAACCCTAACATCCGGCCAGCATAATCCAGACATAGCCTCAGGACCCCTCAGAGGGACGTTTGGACTCAGCGACAATGATAGATGACGAGAGAAGGCTCAATTCTTGAATGTTCCAAAAGGCCGCTGTAAAAGATTTCATTTGATAGTATTTTGATGGTGCTATCAAAGCGGTTCGCTGATCACTTACACATTGTCGCTGCGATTTGACCAATTGATATACCTGCTGAGTGCACCTTGAATCCAAATTCACACAGTTAGTTCTTACGTGAGAGAGCACGGTGGAGCAGCAGCTCGACACTGCTGGCCAGGGCTTCAGCAGTCGTTGATATTCTCCAATGGAGCCTCGATCGTTGAAACCTGAAGCAGCTGTGCATTTGCTGCTCGCTAAACGGAGTCCGTAAGTTAGCTATCGAGATAAGTGAATCACAGGTCGGTCAGAGGCGCAACCTCTGTGAGGGGGATCACAACACTTGTGAAAGTGTGAGAGTTTGTTCGGCAAGATGACATTCAAGCTAATGCTATGAACGACGTCCGCCCAGCCACTACGCTGATGATAGGGATCTGTGCCCAGGTATGCAAGTATCCATGCCGGATCTGCTACTCTTACGCAACTGCAGCATTCTTGTTGTGCTGTCTTTATGCAACGAGCTGGATAACACCGCCAGCGTCTTTGATCTTCTTCTCAGCTTCAGCGCTCACATAACGAGCTCGGATGACGACTGGAACGTGGATGCGGCCCTTGCCAAGTAGCTTGGCATATCCGTGATCCAGGAGGTTGATGACGGGAGCGGTGTCGGAGGGAGAGGAGGTGCTCAGGTACTTCGCGCGGTGCTCGTCGGGGATAAGGCTCAGAAGCTATTTTCGGGGTAAGTGCATGTTTTTTGACTACTAGATCTTAAGCTCACCTTATCGATGTTCACCACAGGCTTCCAGTCGATATTGCGCATTACATGGAAGTGGCGCATACCGACCTTGCCGAAATAACCGGGGTGGTATTTGTCCAAGTTGGTTCTGTGATGGTGTTGACCACCAGCAAGACCACGCTAAATAATGTCAGTATTAGGAAGCAGATTCAACATGGTCGATCCCACTCACACCACCGGGATGCTTGCGATGCTTGCCTACGCGGCCATGTCTAGATGTAAGGTCAGCACAATTCTTCGACGTGGGAGAGAAACAACAAAATCGGCCTTCTGTAAGTGTAAATCAAACATACCCGGCACTGACATGACCTCTGTGTTTCCTCGTTTTGCTGGTACGAGTCGGCATGTTGAATCAATCGTATGATGATCGTGTTGTCGTGAATTGTAAGTAGAGAAGTCGAAATTCGTGTGCGCGACGCCAAGCAAGTGTAACACCCTAAACCTAATTACGTTTAGCGGCACTGCACGGACGCTGGTACCTCAAGATCATTGACAACATCCTTAGTGCAAGAAACATCTATTTAATCATCGAGGGGGTAGCTCTCATAGCGGGGTGTGAACAATGCCGTTCACCTGGCATATTTTGGGCGGGAGACTGATGCATTCATTGATTACTATAGTATCGTTGAGAATTTGCCATTCTGTGTGGTACTGCGATCATAGAGCATACCCCATCAATCAAGTGAAGAGTTCACAGTAGAGCCCTTCGAAACCTCAATATGCCTCCACAATTCATTTGTTGATCGAGTGATCCTGTTAAGGATACAAAGCAACCTAGTCTAGTAGTCCTAGTACCGACCACCCTGGGGCGGCTGGCCATACTGCTGCTGCCCTGGGTATCCACCTGGGCCACCCTGAGGAGGGCCGCCCTGTGGAGGTCGCTGTTGGCCATACTGGCCTTGCTGCGGGTATTGACCCGGCGGTGGTGCACCGTATTGGCCTTGACCTTGACCCTGAGGAGGATATTGACCACCTTGAGGCGCGCCATACTGACCCTGTCCTTGAGGAGGATATTGGCCCTGGGGGGCACCATACTGGCCCTGGGGAGGAGCACCGCCATACTGGCCTGGAGGCGGCTGCTGTCCGTAGCCCTGCTGACCACCATATTGACCACCTGGAGGAGCGCCATAGCCACCGGGTGCTGGGTTGGTCTTTTCATCCTTGGAGTCGTAGCTGCGATCGATAGCACCGAGAAGGAGCTTAAGGATCCAGAGATCAGGGGTGAGGTCAACGGGCGGGTTAGCGCGCGACATCTCTTCCTGCTCATTCTCGAAGTCTAGCTCATCATTAGCAATTGTTTGGAGGGTGGACTAGGAGACATACTGGAAGTGCAGTCCACCATGGGACCGATCTGCGGATCCTCATCAAGCTTGGCAAGGAACTTCTTCGCCATCTCATCGTTTCCGACCTGGGCGAATTCGAAAGCAATACCACCGCGGCCATACTGAGGGAAGCGTTGCTGAAGGGTATCGAAAGCGTATCGGATAGTATCAAACACTGCGTTCTGCGGTTCACCCGCAGGCTGGCCATCGGTAATGGCGATGACTAGAATTGGCTTCTTCAGTTGCCCAGCAGCAGCCCTTTGGAGTACTATCTCGTCAATGACCTTCTTGCGGAGAGAAGTGCCCATGGGTGTAAGGCCCTTGAACTGAACACCACGCATGATTTCTTCGATCTGACCCTCAGAAGCTACGCCATCCTGGAGGGGTCGGCCTTGCTGGTCACGTGCGCCTGAAAGGTCGGTGTTCATGAAACGAAGGGAGATACCGTCCGCGTCGAAAAGCGTGGCAGCGAAAGAGACTCGGTCCAAAATAAGGCGCAAGTCTTTGATACGGCTACCTTCCTCCTCGAACTGCATGGAGCCACTGTCATCTTTCATGAGTTAGCGCATTGCTGTTCACCGCAGACTGATTGACTTACCGATATACAACACGATGTCGTACAGAGCTAGCTTGACAACGTCATTGGCAATTTCCTTGGCGACACGCCAGCGCGAAATAACCTGGTTGATCTTTCCAGGCGCTTGTTGAGCGATCTGATCGAGAATCGGAGAGTTTGGCGGGTAGAAGTTCTGCAGTCCCTTCTCCTGGACGCAAGCTTGCAATAACTGCTTGTAGGCCGCTACTTCAGCAGGACCAGCCTGGACCTGTTGAGGAGCGGGAGCACCTCCATATCCGCCCTGAGGTGGGGGAGCTCCATACTGTCCTTGCTGGGGTTGTCCTGGTTGTCCACCCTACTCACATGTTAGTCGAAATTCAATATAATCGTAAACCAAATCATTGTGCTGGCTCTGCATCGTCAAACGTATGAATGTGTGAAGGTTCAAACAAAAAGTGTTCATAATGGGTACGGACATAAGAGGGTGCCTGGCCGTAAGGTTGGCCGTATTGCTGTTGCTGTGGTTGGCCATAAGGGGTTTGTGGTTGACCATAGGGCTGTTGCTGTGGTTGGCCCCACTGATTCTGCTGTGCGTAAGGCTGCTGCTGTCCGTATGGCTGAGGAGTAGTTGGTTGGTTGTATTGATTTTGCGGCGCCTGCCCTGGGTACGGGGACTGGGGGTATGGAGACTGAGGTTGTTGGCCTGGTGGCGGTGGGGCAGGCCTGTTGTATCCCGACTGTCCTTGAGGGTATGGCGACGATGTTCCATATGCGCTTGGATTTGGGGTTTGTGCAAATGGGGACTGTGGTGGGGCCTGGGAATTAGGACGAGGTGGCATAGGAGGGCCGCCTGGTTGTTGCGCGTAGGGATTAGGGGCCTGGCCAGGGTAAGAAGGCTGGTAGGCGTTGTAGTTTGACATCTTGCTCGATAGAGGCATCTGTGGCTAGGTAGAGGGACAAAGTGTGGCGGTAGGAGGCCGAAGTGGGCGTGGTTCAAGCAGTGTCGGAATCCAAAGCAAAGTGGAGACAGGTAAAATGCTTGCGTGAACTAGGTGCAGGTGGCGGGTATTCGAGGGCGATGACGATGCAGAGCAAGCGAGAACGGAGATGAAAGGAGAGCTTTTCTGCTTACCCCGGGAGCACCGGCACCCTGCGCACCTGGATAGGGTTGGTATTGCTGCTGGCCGGGCTACGTCGGATTAGTGAATGCTTGCCGGCCCTGGCTTCACAGCTTGAGACTCACATAGCCACCTTGTCCGCCTTGCGGAGGATAGCCAGACCCGGTGTTGGCTGCGGCCATCTTTGATGCGAGCTACACAGGTAAACATGTCAGCCCAACGATGACGCGTACGCGGGGCATGGAGGGGCAGCCAAGGAAGGCTGGTGAACAACGTACACCCATCTTTCGAGTTTGTATGGCGAGGTTCTGGAGTAGTGGAAGGAATGTGCAAGCTGGACAGCGCTGATTCCTGAATTGTAGAAGAAAAGAAGAGGGAGCAGCAAGTCAAATAGCCGATGGACACTTTGCTCGCGGTGAATGAGCAAGCTGAAGATGACAGCACCAAGCTCAGCCCCCGAGTGGAGAGAGAGAGTGGCACCTGCACCGCCTGGTGGACTCCTCATGTCGTTATTGGCTGACGCGTCTCTCTGCCGTTACCTCCAGCTTCGTGTCCTGGTCGCAATTATCGGGAAACGAGGCTCAGCTGTCGCAAACCGGATAATAATGCGCCACGTCCACAACAGGGTCATGGCTCGAACGAGCGGGGTACGTATCAGGCAGCATGATAGAATACAGATATTGAATACAGATACTTGGTGTATGCAATAACGTGTCGTGGAAGTTTGTATATGTGTACTCATTAATATCATACATGGATGGCAGCAGTCGCGATTAGCTGACGCCACCATGGGCAGAGCCACGAATTTGCTCAGCCACCCACCCACGTGCCACCCAACTACGTTGCCCATCCGCTTCATCCGCTCCATCTGCGGCGCCGAATATCCGAGTGCCATATTCGTAGAGTACGAGCAGGCCTTCTACTCGGTGAAGAAACGAAAAGAAAATACCTGGTCTGTTCATGTCGTGTAGATTGTGCCCCGCTCACTGTGCACTGTAGACTTGGCAAGCTGAGCATCTCATTGTGCTGCTTGTGCATAATTCATGTCGACTGAATAGTGTTACACGTAGATCCTAGACCCCAAGAATTCAAATGTCGGAAAAGATCCTGTTACACACTTCACCAGTTACTCGAACTGGTTTTGGCTCGTCGGGTCAGGCGCATTATATCCCCTTCTGAAAAGGAAACCCTGTAACCGATCCTCCATTCTCGCAAACTGCGATATGATTAGCGAGAGCCTAACTTTGACAGTCACGTGAAACCCAGCAAATAATCGTGAACAACTTACGAATCCGCGTCCAATCACCCCATCTCTGACCCAGATTCCATAACTGCCCATCATATTTGCCATCATGATGTCCGTAGACAGTCTATCGCCAACGACAGCGATCTGATCTGGCCTCGATACCCCGGACTCGGGGTGCGCCTTGAAGTAAGCCATGACTTCGGCTTGGCAGCCGGGCTTTTTGGTCGAGTGACGCAATACCTTGATGCCAGTGTTGGCTTCAAGAAGAGCTGCCTCATTCTGGTTTTTGTCCGAGTCCGTACCCGCCGTGTTTGACACTATGAGTAGCTTACTGCCGGGATATGCATGTCGGAGACGCTGAAAGTGATCCTATAACAGTTTTTAGTCTAATTCTACATATTCTGAGAAGTTGAGACCCTACTTGGAGCGATTTGTGTACCTCGTTCGTATGCGGTACAGCAAAACAGTTGTCCTTGTCCAGCACTACCGCCTGGATGTCCACCTCTTTCTCTCCATATTTCCCATCTCGCTTGAACGCTTTTGATAGCGGGATTGGCAGGTGGTTGAAAGTGGACACCGTGTGCTGCGGGAGACAGAGAGTCGGATCTCTCAACAATCGGAACACGTTTAGCGTCCCTGAGATATTCATCGCAAGATAAAGAAGCTTGTGTAAGATTGATGTCGATAGGAAGGGTAGAGCTGACTAAGGAGTGCAGACTAGGAAAGTGGTCAAAGCTCCAAGCCGAAGAACTTCGCCTTTCGTGGAGTTGGACGTCGATATTCGAACAAGCTCCCGCCCCGCACCAAGGACAATCACTACAGGGCGCGCTCCACCTCCATAGATCTCTCGAACCATAATACTACGTGGTCTGCACTAGCTGTTACGCGACGACCTCCTACGACAACCGCGATCAGGTTTATTACCGAACCTCGCAACCTACCGCTAGAACACCACTCCCGCATCTACGACGACGCGCATACCAAGCCGGACCTTGCTTTTCTTCATAGAGCCCTACGAAATACATAGTCAAGATGACGAGCACGATCGGTATCCCCATCAAGCTTCTCAATGAGGCCGCCGTACGTCCCCCGCCTGTGCAGCTCCCCAAACTATCGCTCACATTGCACAGGGCCATATTGTCACGCTCGAGATCACATCTGGCGAGGTGTATCGCGGCAAGCTAATCGAAGGTGCGCCTCCTTGTCCCGAATACCCCCGCCGAACTGTGTACTGACATTTCTTTAGCGGAGGATAACATGAATGTACAGCTGAAGGATATCACCGTAACGGCGCGTGACGGCCGTGTTTCCCATCTTGAACAGGTCTACATCAGGGGAAGCCATGTGCGGTATTTCATCGTTCCAGACATGTTGAGGTACGACCATATTCCGCTAGCAAAACGACAAGCTGCTAACAACACACAGGAACGCACCCATGTTCCGATCGAGAGGTACCCGGGGTCGTGGTGTCGGTCTTGCGCGTGGCAGAGCAACGGTTATTAGGGCAAGGGCTAGTACCAGAGGCGGAGGACGTTGAGATACAATAGAGGCTGCAATGGATGACAAAATGAAGCGTTTTGGGGCTATGTGCACTCGGTCGCTATGCGCCGTGCGCTTGAGCATTGGCAAAGGAGTCACGGACAGGTACGAAGTCTGATCCGCCTAAATGGAAACGCGCTGAAGATTGGATAGCACGACTCCAAATTGATGATACCTGGAATATGACAATGGAGATTTATTTGGCCTAAAACTGTGTAAAGCGCATCATCGAGTAGTTAACCCTCGAAAGGACCAACGTGAACAGCATGGATTTCATTCAACTATTGCGCAGATGTAGAGTCGTAGGGACCGAGTGGGGGTTTCAAATGTTCGAATTCTACCTGGTAGCCATCGCTACCCCACAATGAAAGGCCAAGGCCTCACCTCCGAGAACTCCGCAACTTGACACTCCACACACCACAACACCCCAACCCTCGATGGAGATCAAGAACCCACGGCGCATTCTTGCTGTAGGAGCGCCGGACTCAAGTGTCCTACACTTACTCAAAGGTGTCTATTAAGCACAGTCTTTTCTATTTCCCAGCTAATTGACCCCACTAGAGCTCACGGGTTCCGCTCCAGAACCAACATCAGATACAACCGCCGGCCTCACGCACGACTGGCTCCTCGAAACAAAATACTACACTGCCACGCTCCCAATCTGGGTCGACGAGATCTCCAACATCACCGAATGGCGCACCGAGTTCACCAAACCTGAAGCTCGCGAAGTCGTCACCGTACTCGGGGCCTGGATATACTGTTTCAAGAAGCCTGTTGAACAAAAGGATGTGGATACGATAAAAGAGACCATGCGGGCGGTTGCCGATGCAATAGAACGTGCGTGCGGCTTTGGTGGCGACATGGTGTGCGTTGCGGTTGCAATGCCGCAGTCCATAACACCGTACCTCGAGAAGACAGTGGAAGAGTGGGATGACACATGCATGGATTATGGATTCGAGTACGTCGACTTTGAGGCCAAGGGCAAGAATGAGTTTGGTGAGGCGATCGGAGTACAGAGAGTCAGAGAAGCGCTGGAGGCTTGTGACTGGGAGAGTGGTGCCGACTTGGACTTTGGCGAGGATGATGAGGGGTTTGAGGGGAGCTTTGCAGCAGAAGAGGCGGAAATGAATATGGAGTTGTTTGGGATGAAGGGTGCGTTGCATGGAGAGGACGCTGAGGGGAAAGAGGGCGAGGATTTGGAGGTGGAGGAATTAGAGATCATGATGCGGAAAATGGTTGCTATCAAAGGTACGTCTGCGATAATTGTACAGAGGAAGAGAAACACGGGAAGATACTGATATCCACAGAAATGGGCGAAGGTATGGAAGAAGCAGAGCGGAAACGCTTCGCTGCCAAGGCAGTCAACGACCTGCTGAAGGACCTGTGATCGCGCCACACCTCTGAGGCTACTTAGAGCCCCAGCGTCTAGCTCAACTCTTCACCCCGACACACATTAACATCGGAAACTCCAAATCCTCCGCCACTTTCCCATCCTCCGCCTCTGCCCATTTTGTAATCGCACACAACCTCTCGACCCGTACCTCATTGAACCCCGTTCCCAGCAATAGCTCCTCGATATTCTCTTTCTGGATACCATGTCTTTCCACACCTGGCCTCTTCTTCAGAGGATGGAATCGCTTTGCCTCTGGCCCAAAATCCTCAAAGTCGCTCAATGCGATCGTACCGCCATGCTTCAAACAATCCTGTAATGTTGCGAAGAGTTCTGGTAGTGAGGGGATGTGATGTAATGTCAGATGGGAGACAATGAGGTCGAAACGGTATGGTGGCGATGATGTCTCGCCGCGCTGTGTCGCTAGGGCCGCGGCTGCGCCTTGCAGTGCTGGTGAGTCGGCAGAGGTCAGGAGATGATTGATAGCGCAGAGATTTGGCTTCGAGGGATCGGGAAGAGATGCTAGTTTGGCGTTGAACGCATTGATCATGCCGTCTGCTGTGTCGATGCCTACTATGGAGCGCACGTGTGGTGCCAGTTTGAAAGAGAGGAGGCCTGTTCCGCAGCCGAGCTCTAGGACATCATATTCTATGGCATTTAGCGATTATATCGCTGAAGTCTCTATATAATCAACGTACTTTTACTGGTTCCATCTTTGAGTGCAGGGACATAGCGCTGGAGGGCCTCGAACGCCGTCTCGACAACATCTACATGTTTCTTGTTCGCATCCCATATCAACGCTTCCTCGTTGAAACGTGCGTTGTTGATCTCTTGACTTGAAGACATTTTTTGATTAAGGAATTAGAGGTGGGTCTATGAGTAGGTAAGACTTGATCGACGTAAGCGCAGATATACAATAATCCCATTCATCGGTTTAGCTTTGCGGGGGTGCGGGGTAGATCACAGCCCTGGAGGCTAGGATCGGCTTTTAGACAAGCCTCCTAAGTCACAATCCAGTATAATCTGGTTCTTTTCTGTACTTTATATAACTTACCCGTCGGTTAGGTGCACACACAGTTTCCGGCTTCAGTGAATGTCACAAACGTGTTAAACTACCCAGCCAAGGAGCTATGAGCACGCCCAGTATATAGGAAAACTCTAAGCACTTGATGCGTAAGAGGTGATGTTCTTACTGAGGTCAGACAGGCCATGCATAAAGGCGGAGTAGGGAACCATACTGCTATTCATAGCTCTGACGGTGATGAGTTTCGGGCCGAGATCGGCACATTCTCGGACCCTGCACTCCACATTCAAGGATCAGGTACTCTACCTCGGTGGCTCCACCTCCACAACACTGAACTCTTTCTATGGATGGAGCACAGAAAGTCAAGAGACGCGCTCTCTGTATGCACCTCGATTACCTTCCCTGTGTTGATGTGCGGCTGACTTGTGATAGTGCGATAGATGTCGCCACAAGAAGTTGAAGGTTGGTTCCTTCTCTAGCTGCAGATGTCGCACTCCTTAGGTATCTAATCGCGTACAGTGTTCGAAAGAGAGCCCAATATGCGCTTCATGTGCCAATAGTGGGGCAGCATGCCACTATAGCGGTAAAATAGTCAGATCACCCCTTACCAGAGCGTAAGCGACACTCATAGTATGATTCGACTCCTGTACAACCTGCTAAGCCTTCAGCAGATACCTTACGAGTGTTGAGAAAAGACTACACGGTCTGGAGTCTCTAGTCTCTCAGCTTCTCCCTGGTGTCGATGTGAATGATGTACTACGGTCCCCTGATTTGGCCAGGGCCGCATCATCAACTGTCAACTCTCCAATGCCCGCGGTTTCAAGTCCACAGGAAAGTTCCAGCTCCACCGCAAATGATCCCGTCCTTCCTGAGGCAGTGCCAAACAGTGCCGATGGATTCAACTGGCAAGAGGAGAATGTTGCCGTGGATGTTCTGACCGACGGCATGGCCGCGCTTTCGGTCGAGCCTACAGGGGTAGGGTATCTCGGTAAAACCCTCATTCCCTATGATTAGATACATGGTTGACAAAGTTCAGGCTCAACGTCCGGTGTTGTGTTTCTTCGATGCCTACTCGACTGGGCTGGCTTTCTGCATCAGTCCATGGCTCACGCCCAAGTACGGACTGCGGAGCCTCCCATTTCTTTTGGAGGTGTCTTAGCGTCGTCACAAATATCTCATGCCGCACTCACGAACCAGATCTCGTCAACGCTCATTGATGCCTATTTCCACGACTACCATGTTTGCTACCCATTTGTGCACGAAGCTACTTTCCGTGCTCAGTATCATGAGATTCTTCCACGGCCACCCCAAAGATCATGGGACATGCTCTACCACGCCATTTTAGCACTCGGGGCATGGAGCCTGAATAACGATCAAGTAGGCTTGGAAGACTATCTCTATCGTCGGGCTCTGACATTAGGGCAACATGAGTCAGTCTTTGAGGCAGCGAATCTGACTTCCGTTCAAGCTCTTGTACTGTTGAGCAACCTCAGCCAGAAACGTAATAGCCCAAATACTGGGTGGAACCTCCTAGGCCTGGCAGTCCGTACTGCTCTCAGCCTGGCTCTTCATAGAGAGCTGCCACACTGGAACATTAGCCTGTTGGAACGCGAAATGAGACGACGAGTTTGGTGGGGCCTATACATATTCGACAGTGGGGCTTCAACGACCTTTGGCCGAGCGATCATGTTGCCCGATCAGGACTCCATGAACGTACACTTGGTGCTCAATGTTGACGATGAGGTAAATAGGCTGAATGTGGCCGCATATTTGTACAAGCTAACCCGTGATAGTCACTTACACCCAATACTGTCGAGCTTCCACCTGAATCGGGCGAACCGACCCTCTACTCCTCTCTGAAAGCTCAAAGCCAGTTCCATATGTGTACCAACCATATCTCAAATCGGCTGTTGGCCGAGCCTGGGCTATCTGCAGAAGCGGCACTAGGTCTCAATGCTTCCATGGATGCTTGGACTAACACACTCCCTCTATATTTGCAGCCCCTGCCACAACCCTCCTGCCAGTTGAGGTGGTATCTGTTTGCGCGATCCCGCATATGGTGGAGATTTTGGAACCTAAAGATTATCGTCTTTCGCCACATCCTGCTGCGTCGCGCCATTTCCGAACGGGGACAAATACCAGATCAAGCCACCCAGGCAAGTCAAGAAGATTGCAAAGTTATTTGCCTCGAAGCCGCTCACTCGACTGTCATTTCGATACACCAGTACTCTATGCAAGGTCTCACCAGACTGGAGGGCTGGTACGCCACGTAAGTATCCCAGATGGCTTTGCAGACTTACAGCTAACCTGATTTTCAGATACTTCCTTTTCCACGCAGCATTGGTGATAACACTCTGCATCATTAGTTTTCCACATGCAGATGAAGTCCAGAGTTGGTACGAAGATGTTATATTGGCTAGGAACACGTTCCGCGAGCATCTCGTCGAAGACTCGTTATCAGCACGCTGTGTCGCGATTCTCGACCAAGTCGTGCCAAACGACAATATGGACCCTACTCTGTTTCAGGACCTCAACTTGGACAAAAACGCCTTGAGTACTTTCCCCTGGTCCGTGGAATCAAATGAGCTATTCAACTCGTTTGACTGGGATCTGACTTCTTCCAACTTCTGAACAATAGCCCCCAAAATCTCGCTCTCCCAAGCCGCACCAGCGATAATCAGTTTTCGATGACGACGTCGGGCCTGATGAGCAGCGATCGTATTAGCTCCCCATTTGGAATATCATTTTCTTCTGCTCTTTGAGCAGCGGCTAGCGCTGACGTTTCAATACCAGCTGCAAGATGGCGTTGAGCCAGGCGGTCTTTCACTAATTTCACGGGAGCATCGACGAACCACCTGAACGAATCAGTCCAGTTCTTCACAATTACAGCGATTCCGCGACGTACCTTTCATCGTAGGCGTCGGCAACCTGGTTCCAAGGGCTCTGTCTAAGGAGCGTGTAGTTGCCTTCGACGATGACCAGGCGAGTACGAGAGGAGACAGTGATCGCGTCTTGAACAGGGTCTTTGATTGCGTGGTCGAAACTTGGCGCTAGTATGAAGAGCTCCGGTTCATGGTTCGTCGTCACAGGTGTCGTTTTCAGCGCTCTCACAAGGTCTACGAAAGCATCGGCGTCAAAGGTAAATGGAGCACCACGTCTTCGAAAAGCTAGATCAGGATCCAGGAACTTCGACAAGACTTCTTTGGTGTAATGGAAGCCATCCTGACCTTGTTAGGAGACTAGTGCGCTGGGTATGGTTCAAGACCTACCATAGGTACGACTGCGACATCGCGAACCTCACGCAACGCAAGCTCAGTCAGGAGTGCCTGAGATACCGTTGATTTCCCAGAGCCTGGCACACCCGCAAGTGCGATGAGGATTCGCTGATGCGGGTTGGTCGCTTGGCGGGACAGAAGCTTTTCGACTCGTCTAACCAAATCGAGTATCGTCTCAGGAAGGGTATCCACCTTGAAATCTTTCGCCATGCTCAGAATTAATGTAAAAGTACAAGAAGGAATTGCGAAGATGTGTGACAATCAGCTGGTTCTTAGAAGGCAACGTATTAGCACAGAACGTGCGCCAAACACGAGACGGCCCATCATAGTGAACAGTTTTGTTAGGTTCGGACGACAGCTGTCCGGCTACAAGTCACGTTGATAGCTGATTCCGGGGTGCGAGACGAGGAATGGGGTAACGGTAAAATTGCCCTGCGGGGCAGACTTGCAACGATCCACATCACGACAGAAGCTTGGCTTCATTGTCAACTCGGACGACAGTGCTCCGAACTTTCCTGACTCGCGTCGACTCGTGATAGTCGATGCACATCGTCAGAATGGTACTTAAAGCAAAGACCTCTCCGCCTTTTTATGTACCCCATCTTCTCCTCGATCCAGCTCATTGGGATCAAAGTTGAGTTACGAGCAACTTCCCTTACATTATGTCTATGGACAACACCGAGACCGCTGGCCTTGGGGCTGGTGCGAAGAAGGGTGTATACAAAGAGTTGCGTCAGAACCCATATCTCCTGGGCCTGTCAGCTGTGAGTCCCAAGGTACATGCTATTACATCTACCCCACTGACAGTCATCAGTTCGCCTCCCTTGGTGGCTTCCTCTTCGGTTACGACCAGGGTGTTGTGTCGGGAGTCATCACAATGGAGTCTTTCGCGGCGAAATTTCCGAGGATTTTCCTCGACAGTGGCTTCAAAGGCTGGTTTGTTGCAACTTTGTTGATTGCCGCGTGGGCTGGGTCACTCGTGAACGGCCCTGTAGCCGATCGATTCGGTCGCAAAGGGTCTATCATGATCGCTGTTGTCATCTTCACATTCGGATCTGCGCTTCAGGCTGGTGCAACCAATATCCCCATCGTGTTTGCAGGTATGTTTCCAAGTCTACATATGATGCGGATGATTGACTCTTGACCAGGACGAGGTATTGCAGGCTTTGCTGTCGGTATGCTGACCATGATTGTCCCCATGTACATGAGCGAAGTGTCCACTGCTGGCATTAGAGGGACTCTTGTTGTTCTTCAGCAGCTCTCCATTACTCTTGGTATCCTTGTCAGTTACTGGCTTGAGTTCGGCACTCAGTACATTGGCGGCCCCCGCTGCGCGCCAGAGATCCCGTACACTGGTGGAACCGCTTCCAAGCGAACTTTTGATCCGCGCAATGATGTCGGACCCAACGGCTGTACTGGTCAGAGCGATGCAGCGTGGCGTGTTCCATTCGCCTTGCAGATCGTTCCCGGCCTCGTCCTCGGCATCGGTATGATGTTCTTTCCGGAATCTCCTCGCTATTATTGTATGCGCGACAACGAGGAAGCTGGCATTAACGCGCTTGCCCGTATCCGCCGCGTTGACCCCGCAAACGAGGCTCTACAGAAGGAGTACCTATCTATCAAGGCTGAGGTCATTTTTGAAGAACAATACGCTCGCGAGAAGTTCCCTGGCAAGACTGGTGTCTCGCTCTATCTGGCCGGCTACACGACCCTTTTCTCCACCTGGCCGTCCTTCAGGCGCACGGCCATTGGATGCTCCGTTATGTTCTTTCAGCAGTTCATCGGATGTAATGCAATCATTTACTACGCGCCCACGATCTTCGGACAACTTGGTCTCTCTGGCAAGACGACTGGACTGCTTGCGACCGGTGTATATGGTATTGTCAATACCCTCTCGACGTTACCAGCCCTGTTCTTAATTGACAAGGTTGGACGTCGTCCGCTCCTGTTATGCGGCGCAGCAGGTACCTTCATCTCTCTCGTGATTGTGGGTGGGATCATCGGCAAGTACGGCTCCACACTAAAAGATCACCCATCAGCCGGGTGGGCGGGAATAGCATTCATCTACATCTACGACGTCAACTTCAGCTATTCCTGGGCACCTATCGGATGGGTCCTGCCCTCGGAAATCTACAATCTCGGTAACCGCTCCAAGGCCATGTCGCTCACTACCTCTAGTACATGGATGTGCAACTTCATTATCGGACTAGTAACCCCGGACATGCTAGAGAAAATTGGCTATGGTACCTATCTTTTCTTCGCGGCGTTTGCACTGATCGCGTTTGTCTTCACGTGGTTCTTGATCCCAGAGACCAAGGGGAAGAGCCTTGAGGAGATGGATATGGTGTTTGGCGATACCACGGCTCAAGAAGAGAAGAATAGGCTGTTCAACATTGCACAGAGCCTTGGGTTGGAGGAAGCGGAAGCGGCTGCGTATGATGAGAAGCCGGTGAAGGTCATCCAGACCGAGACTACTGAGACGTAATGCGAGTGTGACATGTAATGAGCTTTCAACGCAACCATCTTTGCGCTTGTACAATACCCTACTGTACCTGTTTCAAGAACGTATACTTCAGATCCAAAACTCCGTCATCCTCTCTGTCTGAGACATCTTAGTGTTTTGGGTATCAGGTACATCAGGTACAGAATTTGGAACAGTCATGTTCATGGTCATATTGATTCACAAATGTGCTACGTATATGGCCTGTGCGTCCGTTCCTACACGTGGCATCTGATTGGGTACGTCAAAAGCCAATGAACAATTGCCATAGTTCGCTTACTCCGAACGGACGATAGGCCAATTGAGAGGGGGACTCACTGCTAAGACTCCAGAACGTGGGCAAGCCACGAGAAGGATGTCTTGTACCCCTTGAAATTCTTTTGTGGTCTCGGCGTGGGGCGAAACAGTCTTTCTTACACTGAAACCCTGTCTTAGTTGTGCTTCATAGTGGTATACTTAAGCTATAATGTGATAGAAGGAGTGATATCCATCAACATCAGTTCACATTCCTATCCCAATAGCAAACATTCAACAGCACTATGAGCCGTCTACGCCGCGTGTCAGACTCTCTCCGTCGCATTGCCTTCCCTCTCATCTTCAGCCACGTGTACGCCAAACTTCAGCATCACTTCCCCATGCTCTCTTCGTGTGAGACTACATTGATCGTTGGTAAGTACTACGGTCACCTCTGATACTAACTATACTTTACGACTTGCTTATTGCTTGGTTTGGTTGACTGATTTGGTATCTAGGCGAACTCGAAGACTGGGTTGACGCTCACGACACCGTCAGTCTGTACAGCTTCAAGATGGAGAATGACGAGGATAAGTGGCGGCTGGACTTTATCCGTTGGGATTCCGATCGTCGGGGGTTCCGCGTGGTGATCCAGGCAGTGGTTAGATCTGCAAACGAAGAGGACGAGAGTGAAGATGAGTCGTCTGAGGTGTGAGAGGTGGAGGAAAGTAGGGGCAGTTTTCAGTGATGGCTTGAGCCGGAGGGAACAGTGGGAAACTTGGGTGAAAATTGAGTAGAATAGATTGCGAACAGTTATGGGTTTCTCGATTGGTGTGGGAGTTATCTTGATTTCTAGACTCTATTAGACTTTATTAGACACGCAAACACCTGTAAATAAAATCTCATTCATTTTTATTCAAGAGCCACCCCAGCTCACAGTCCAAATTTGTGCCTGAGAACTTTGCGAAGAAGCGTCAAATGGGCAGGCATCTGCATGCCTATTTGTCAAGCGTCTAGATCAGATGTCGAAAATGCGGGCTACTCCTTTACTCTATCATTGTTCGAGTTCAGGTTAGACATAGTGATGAAAATGGTTCAGAAGCACAGACTAGGGACTAACTGTGAAGCTATCTTAGTCTATGGAGGTACGTCAAGAGCGGAGCGCCGACGGTCAACCATGGCCATAGAACCCGAGTAAAAATAGTTAGTTCGCTAGAAGAATTAAGACACACACCCCAGGTTTTGGTCTTTGAGGCATTGTCTGGTGAATAAAAACGTACTCTTGGAACAACGCTAAGAACGGAGCAACGTCCGACTGCTAGCGTGCACGGGCGTCAGATTGCATAGCCTCCTCTGTCTCAATGCGGCAGTCGTGTTACGACTCGACGAGCAAAAATGTGGATCACCAAGACCCCAGAATACGGAAGGAGTGCTTGGATCATGCCGTCGAGGTTTGACGTCTGCTGCTCATCTCTCTCGCAATTGCACTGCGCAACACTCGTTTCTCCCACTTCTTATACACCACCATACACATCACCCTCGCCACCGCATTGAAGAGCACCAGTCTCACTCAAAATGTTTGGAAAGACAAGCCTTCTTTTCCTCGCTGCAGCAGCAGGACTGCGCGTCGCACAAGCCGACTTCTTCGTGTATACTGAGCCGCCCATTCCAACGACTGCGATTCCTTCGTTTGCCAACCCGTCAGAAGTATACTTGCTCCTCTCCCTTCTTCTCCATGACACCCACTAACCGCACCACAGGCCTCCAGCTGGACAACGTTTGTCTTCCTCAACGCGCAAATAGCCTACGGCCGCTTCCAAAGCTCGCTGGGCCCGTCCTACAAGTCTTCCCAGTCATCCGCTGCTTCCGAAATCGCCGCCTTCGCCAGCACCGCATCAAACTACAGCATCCCAGCTGTCGTAACCGAGTCCGGCACGACGACCTTCTTCTCGCGACCAGACTGGTATACGGCGCTGCCGAGCGGCGCGCGGTCGTTCAAAGAACAGCAGGTCTCGGATCAGTTCAGTATTGTGCGGAGTATCGTTGACGCTAGCGCTTCGAGGACAGCAAGTTCGACAGCGGGCGCTGCACCGACGGCACGGGCTTGGGTAGATGCCAAGTTTGGGGCTATGGCGGCTGTTGCGGCTGCTGCGTTTCTATAAGGGTGGTCGGATATCGTATACTTTGCATATGACGATCAAAATGGAAGCGCACAAATTGAGGATTTGATGGCTCGCTTTAATGGGCCACTGGCGTTTGTCTTGGCTAGGACTATCTGGGTTTTTCTTGTATGTATAGGGATACCCATTTTCTCAACCGGTTATCCCACCTGGACAGTTTTGAGCGTCGAACAACTCTATTCACAAGCATTTTGTTGCATGTACGGATATCGCCTGTTCTAGCTCACGGTGTTACCTACGATTATTCTACAGATGTAGAGTACGAGAATTGATTGCCGAAATTGACTTCATTTTTAGATTAAGTGGTTAGTTTTCTGCTTTAAAACAGAAAAACTCCCATTTGCATCACTAGCTTCCAATATATACGTGTGAGCTGAATCTCCTGGCATACTCATCATCATCAGATTTTCTCTGGCTTCTTTTCCACCACCTCAATGAAGAGAGGGTTAGGAAATGGTTTGCTGAGAAGACTGCATTTCTTGAAGGTTTTGGGGGGTGAACGCAAATAGTCTATACGCGGAAAAATTACAAGACAGCTTATGACTATGAGTACACCACCGTAAATGGGGTGAGCGGTCCTCATGTATGACGTCAGTGGCTATCCCGCCCGCATCTCCAACCCCATGTCAGATCTCAAACGTGCCTATATATCGTGCGTGATGCACTAGCCATCACCGTTGCCCCGCTTTGAATCTGCATATTCTTACACCTCATTTTTAATGTTTATTAATCCGTTGGCCTCTCAAATACTAAACGCAGTCTCTTGTGTACTCGCTCACCTCATCATCACCGGTCGTTCTGCTCTAGGCGACTAGTCACCCGAGGGGAGTGAGTCAAGATGGGTATTCCCTACTCTCGCCAGATCAATGCCGCGTTCGAACAGGTCACCCCTCTCGTCGCCGCGGGCTTCAAAGTCCTGCGCACAACACGCGATATCTCCATCTTGCTCGCCGTTATACAAGTCCTGACTGTGTTCTTCTTGGGAATGATACTGGCCGTGCTGGTAGTACTGTGTTATTGTGTAAACCCTGACCTGGAGGTACGTTTCTCGGTGCACGGAGATGGTGTAGCCGGATACGTGAATGGGGGCAGAATTTGGAGATTCGGCAGTGAAGATGGGTGTGAGATTGTGCTAACAGGGCATAGGCTGAGAGAAAAGAAATTATTACACCATGGCTGAGGCATTTCGCTAGTATCACAGTCTGGGGTATCATCAAGAGTGTGATTACCAGTATAATCGTCTTCGGTATTGCTGGTGGGCTGCTGTGGAAACTGTTCATCGTTAAGCAGTGGGTTGCGGATGTGGAGTATGAGGGCAATGTCGATGCAGACAAAGCGCTGGAGGACCTCAATGAGGATGAGGATGTGCAAAAGAAGGCTAAAAACGGTGCGGAAGAAGCTAAGAAGGAGCAGGCAAAGGGAAAAAAGAAGTAGGTGGTGACTACGGGACTGCGGAACTGTTGAAGACAATAAAGTGATAGGTTCAAGTTAAGAATATCTACAGCAAAAGGGCTTAATAACAAGAATGGAAGTCATCATAACAGCAGCAGAGCAAACGCAGCAAAGAACGCTGTGGCTGACCATCCGCTCCCCAATCGGGTTCCTGTGCTCTTCTTGTCTCCTCCAGTCCTTCCATGAACATTATCCGTACCATTCTCCTTGTGATACTTTGTCCCATTGTTCCTTCCCAGAAGTAAGCAAAAAGTCATAAAAATATGGGATCCCTGCAAATGTCTAAAACCAAAAAAAACGAAGAGACTTTGAAAAATGCCATCGCCCGAAATAAGATCTTGGAAACTCACAATAACTTTGGTGGCGCAGTATATCCTTCCTGATCCAGAAGTAAAAGCGCGAACATGCCGCCCACAACCGGCCTAGCTTTGAACTCAATGTTAGGCGGAAAAGCACCGTCATCCGTCTTGTACAAATCGGTAAAGGGCTTGCTTGTCGGAGTCTCATTGACCCATTTCGCAAGGCTGGAGATGAACATGTCGCGCGTTTCAATGCTCGCTACTGCAGCAGAGAAGATTTCCCAGTCAGCCTTGGTGTACCCGTTTCGCGTATCGAGCGGGACGCCGTAGTTCTGTTTGATAGTGGGGTAGAAGTTGGACTGAATGTCGTAGACTTCCTGTGAAACGAGCTTTAGGTCAAGAAGCCTGTCGTTGTAAAGGTTGTACAGGAGCCCGTGTGTGCTGTCGTTGTTGTAGGTGAGAACGGAATGTTGCGGATCCGCCCCCTTGTTGATGCCTAGTGCTTCCCACTTAGTGATGTAGTCGTGGGCGATGGTCGTGTAGTTGTCTGCGTCGGCGGTTTCGCCAATGATCTTGGACATTTGCGACATGGCTTCGATACCAATGATGCCCTTCAATGCAAGATTCGTTTGGTTGACGAGATGCCCGGCAAAGTCATCAGTCGACAATTGCTCAGCCGGCAAGAGACTATCCTGCACAAGGTATTCGGCCCATTGCTTGAGGATGGAATAGTGATCCTTGATGTAATCCGTGTTACCGGAGCGCTGGACGTAAGAGAGAACCATGACCATGTGGTTACCACACTCTTCTAGGGGCATCGCCTCATCTTTCCCATCTGTATGGCCAGTCGCGTTGGGATAGTGCGTCCCAAGGTCGTGGCTCGCATATTTGTTTGGATAATGTCCGCTTTCTTGGTTCTCAAAGTGGGGATCCAGGAGCAATTTGATCAACTCGGGGTTGGTGTAAAAGAAGATTGGCGAGGCTGGATAGATGACATCGATGGTTTGAGTGTTACCGTTTGAAGAAATCTCCTTAAAGAAGAGGTAATGCTTGTCTCCAGTACCGACTAGTTGCGTCGCTCCAAAGGCTTGGCGCGCAGCTAGGGTCGTGAGGATGGCGTAGTCATCACCTGCAACCGTCTTGGAATCTTTAGAGATTTTGTCGTCCAGCTCAGTCGAGAGCTTACCATATCCGGAGTAGTCTTTATGGAAGAAGGACAGGGCTGCAACGTCGTCGTTGAAGTAGCTATTCCAAAGTGAAGGTAGTGTCGTCAAGCCATTAGCACCGAGGAACTGAGCTGCATCGTCTTGACACAGACCGATCGTGAACAGATTTGATTTCGCCTTGGTGCCCACAGAGCCGAGATCCATTGCATAGCCAAAGACAGGCCATTTATCGTTGATGGCGCGGAACGAGGCATCTTTGGCGTTGTCAAGCTTCCCGGTTTTGTTGAAAGCCCCACGGACGTCACCGTCCATTCCAGACTTGTATGTAAGGCCATCAACTGCGTCGGTAGCGTAGTACTGACCTGATTAGTAGAGTGCTAGGAGCCAAGTATATGGGATGCACTAACAATGTTGCCCCATTGTGCTCGGTCATTGAATTCGGTGAAGGCTTGTTGTTTCTGCTTCCAGACTTTGTGGTAGTAGATGCCATCAAGACTGGTGCCAAAGGCCCATTCTACCTTGGCTGCGACATCGCCAGACGCCCACTCTATGCTAGTTTTAGCTAAAAAATTCATCTCGACACAAGCGAGCATAGGGACATACCGGCACTAATGTCGGTATAGACTTGAACATCGTGGTCTGAGCCATCCAAAGACGAGACTTCAACATTCATATACGAGAAGATCAACGATTGGCGCTTCAAGTCATTTGGAGTGAGCGGCGACAGGAAGGTAACCTTTACTTGAACCTTGCCGTCCGCTGCGATTGTGAAGATGCTCCTGGTCGAAGTGTATTCAAACGAAGTTTGGTTGGCGGTCGGAAGGCCCTTCGGTGCTCCCATCCAGACGAGTGTCTTGCCATCCACACGAACTAGACCAGTCCATCCTAGCCATTGCCCCCTGTTGATGTCAGCCTAAATCTATCGGCCTCTTCCGTCAGAGGCTTCCTACGTGTAGAAAGACGGCCATTGCCCGGGCAGATATCCTCCATTACCTCCACTGCTACCGGCAGGAAGCCAGATGTTGAGGTAAGGGTTTTTGACAGCAAGGGGCAACGATGGTGGGCGCGCTGGAGTGAATGTAGAGCCCGACTGCGCAGCAGACGTTGCAATAAGGGCGCTCAGCGCAACCAAGAATGGAAAACGCATCGTTGGCGATGGAGATATTGGCGTGAGGGTGGCTGCGAACGGGTGCTGACCCACGACTCTGGGAGACTATATGCAGATCGAGGAGTTGTCATTTTGTAAATGTCAGATCGTGCTCATTATGGCTAGGCCCGGACACTACGCCATGATGGGGGCGGAAAGCCACCACGAGATTGAGGAGCATCTAGCTTCGACTACGGCGTTCCCCTGTAAATCGTGCGCCCAAGATCACAATGTCCAAGCTCTATTAGACTCATCGCGTGCTCGCACTTGTATTGGTCTACGTGTGATGGGTTTGAGGACCTGAAAAAATGAGTTTGTGTGCGTTGTTGCCATGACAGTTTGATCGATGACGGTTCTAAGTGGCAAAGGACAGCATGCGGCCTAGAGGATATACTCCTAAATCCCAGTCAAGCCACAGGCACGGCTCGACGGTAGGCCCGGAGGCATAAGCGCCAAGTTCCCGGGCGCCAAAGCCTTACCTTCACTTGATACCAAGCTAGCATCCGATGTCGAGTGAGCCTGACCGTAGGATTCCAAGACCAAGATATCACGCAGGTCGATGCGTCGTAATTGGGAACCGGAGACAAGACACATCTCCATAGATAATACCTTGAGTTGGCATTGACAGTATAAATCTGAGATTAATGGGGCTCGAGCGCGTGCGCAGCGGCACGCCTAACAAGCGTACTTTATAGCTGCAGGCTGGGCTGTGCATGAGTCGAGCATTCGGAACAAGGCGCTGGCTGGGCTGTCGATCTTTGAAACTTGAATCTCCTTTTGCCCAAAATATCAAAAGTCGCGTCAACAGCTCTCCACGTTGCGCGCTGAAACGTTGCATCGTCTTGTGGACGGGGCGATGTTTGCTGATATCTTTGCACGACGCGCTCATGACCCTCGTGTGCGGTGCTGAAGAAGGACGAAGCACGAGCTGCTATTGTTTGAATCGAGATTCCATAAGCCTTGCACTCACTCATGTTATGACCTTGTACGGAGCGTGCTGGCGGTGAGGAGACCGCATGGAGACAAAAGGGGGCCATCCGACTGGCAGGGTTAGGGATGCACATGGGATATAGAACGGAAGGAGGCACAAGAGACGCATGCGCATATACGAACGTACGTCCGGGATGGCATATGGGGAGGACAAGAAGGGAAGGATTTGTGTGGATGCGGGTAAGATGTTCGATGGATGCGGGGTCTTGGAAGTGTGGGCCAGTCCCAATTTGAAAAGTGACCTGTTCGAGCTACCGACAGTTCGTCACGTGTGAACCGTGAGAGGTTCTAGTTAGAGAAACCTGATAACACGCGCGTCAGGTAGTAGTGATGCTAATACGGCTAGCATTATCGCGCAAAGGCAAGAAAATGCTGATTAACTAATATAGTACGGCGTCTACAGTACAATGCATCATAAGACCGTCCCCACCATCGACATCGACGTCGACCTAGCCTCATGACCTGAACGCCAAACAAAAGCAAGAACCAACGGACTAAGCGGAATGACCAAAGCGGGGTATACAAGAACTAGTAGGAAAGACCAAATCGCAAAATGCTGAACGTCGAAACGTGCCGGGATCGAAAAAAGTAAAGTAATCAACGATGAATGATGCAAACAGGGTATCCAGAAATGGGATGGAGTCCGACCCATCCAAAGCGAAGCACAAACCAAGCGGTATCACCAACTTCGACCTTATTATGAAGCAAGCCAAGCACGAGAGACGTTCTCGTAGTGCTGCTCGCAGTCGCGCAGCCATGCACACTCCAGGATGTCGTGCACGTTCCAACGCTTCGAGACATCCAGCTCGAGACATCCTCTGACCACGGCTAAAACATCATCTACACTGCCCTCCTGGACAGCCTCTGCGCTGCGAACAAGTTCCTCGTTCCACTCCCCTTTTTGTATCTTCTCTGTTGTCTTGATGTCCAGCCCATCATTGAATGGCAAGGTGGCGGTAAGCAGTGCGAAAAGAACTACCCCGAATGACCAGATATCTGCTGCTGGAGAGAAGAGGGGGCTAGCAGCATTGAAAAGCTCGGGGGCCGCATATTGTAAACTGCCTGCGACAGACGTGCTAGTATCTGCAGGTCCGATATTCTGATTCACGCCGATTGAATGTGGCTCCGGGCCATCGCGTTGGTCGCTAATAATGAAGTCTGCCATGCCAAAATCGCAGAGAAGAACGTCGCCACCGTCGCGCTCGGCATTCGGTACAGTCATGTCGAGCAGAACGTTTTCGAGCTTGATGTCACGGTGGACGACCTGCACGTCGTTGTGAAGGTACCGCATCGCTGAAGCTAGTTGGTACGTGTAACGCTTCACGATATGCTCTGGCAATCCGGTCTTCTTCAGACGGCGTGTGTCGCGAACAAGGTCGAACAGCGTTCCGCCTTTGTTTAGCTTGGTGATGCAGAAGGTAGCAAAATCCGTCGTGTACACTCTGAGAAGAGGAAGAATGTACGGATGTCTTAAGAAGCGCCAGATTTCCACCTCATGATCGAATTGCGTCTGAATTTGCTCGTTTTCAAGCTCCGACTTTTCCGTCTGCAATTTGCGTACGATTTTGACGGCGTTGACGACAGGCTTTCCATCCTCCATGCTCGTGACTTCCTTGACAATGCTGAACCCACCGTAGCCGATCTGCTTGCCGATAATGTACTCGCTATCATAGCCGATGCCTTGACCTTCGTCATCTGGCTCACTTGGCTTGATCGGGGCTTCGGAGGCCTTGAAACGCGCGAGGAAAGAAGCAGCGGGGGACATGGACGACAGAGAGCGGCCAGAGCGTCCAGACGACCGACGACTCACCCTGCGTAGACCCCCATCCTCGCCTACCTCAGATCGATAGCTCTTAGTTCTGGGGGGCCCACTGCGCCGCGGTGAAAAGAGTGGAAACTCGATAGGCGAGGTGGCGGGTAGTGGAGAGAGCATGTACTCGGAAGGCGTCTCCAGCGGGGTTTGCGCCTCGTCTAAAGGAGGAGATGCGGTAGTCTCAGACGTCAACGATGCGACCTGATCGCTGTATTCCGGGTCCTTGGCGAGGTCGTCGACAGTTGTCTGCAGAAGCGGATACCTCGATTCGCCAACACGATGCTGAAAATGCCGGCGCGCGCCATAGGTCATCTCCAAGTATTCCTGATCAGAATAGCTACCACTTTCGGAGGGTTGCGAATGCGACTGCCGCGGTGGTTTCGGAATAGGAACTTCGAGACCAAGTCTTTTTCCATCCTCGAGACTAACTTCTTTGTTGAAGCTTATTGACATTGTCCGCCTCTTGAATTGTAATTCGATATCCTCCCCTTCGCTCCGGCTACTTGCGACGGAGCCGTCATACGAGCCGGTGGGCCCATTGCCGCCATTCTGGTTGCACTTTGTGGTTGTACCGTCGGGGATATTCTGCGGCTCTACCCCAGCAAGTTGAGCAGTTAGTTGCGATTGAGCATGGCCATTCTCTAAGGATTCTTTACGTGGTATGGACGCGAAGGACGAGGCGAAGGGCTTATGCGGCGCCGAGGTATCGAGCTTGAGCTTCTGGAAAGTGTGTGAGGATTTCGATGAAGTTGGGGCCATTAAACCGGCTGACGGTGAATGCAGACCTCCAACAGCGACGGCGTCGAGAGTAATAGGCGTCGGCGGTCGTGGGGGTGCGGCGCGCGAAGGTTTGCAAAGCAGGTCGTTTGGTAAATTAGGTAGGTAAGCGAGGCGAGCGAGCGGAGCGAACCACGGGTGTACTACTTCCGGCCACGCCCGAAGCAACGACCTCGGGAAGCGCCTACCGAGAATCTGTATCGATTGGAGCGTGGCAGGGTCTCAGTTGTTGCGTTGGCCGGAGAATAAATAAAAAAGAGATGAAGGACAGCAACGGCGCCTTTGTTTGACAAAAGATGGCTTTGAAGACTTGGGATTTGCAACCGGCAGAACGGTAGCGTGGGGGACCAATACAGCGGGGTGGTGTAGCGTGGCCTTGGGCGCCTATAGGGTAATCAGGCGGCATAATGACTGGACGTGTGCTGGAGAAGAGGTTTGGGAACATGACGTATGGCGCCTTTCTAGTGGCGGGCGTCGGCCTGTTCCTGCAAAACATATTAGTCTGCTTATTCCATGTGACCTTGCTGCGCGACGGATTGGTCGGCGCGTTGGGCATCGTCGCACCGAAAGACAATACCAACGGTCCTGCGCCAACGTGACCCCGAACTCACCCTTGGATCTCTCTCTATTGCCCAAATTTCCTTTAACGTTGCGTAGTGCGTGATGAAGTGGCCACGGTTGAGAAAAAAAGATCCACGTAGGTGAGGTGCCTGCGGACCCGACTGGTGGTAGTCCAATATTCGACTCGCCATTTGGTACTAATGGTCCATTATCTTGTGTTCTACAGACTATTGTTGTGACTGAATGGCAGGGGTAGCCGTGGGCCTCGATGCCTTCGCAGACCCCAGTTTGGAGAGCCTGAAAGGGGAGCCATGGGCCTGAGAGTTTCGTAGGCATTTGAGGTAGTGGACTCGTCCAGAAGAGCGCCACAACGGGTCGGACCGATGTGAGATGGTGAAGAACAGAAACTAGATCGTCGAGCAAACCATTTCTAGGTGACGGAGCTAGCGTATCGCGTCATCCGCTGAGCTCATGCGACCCCAGTAACGTCGAGGCGCTCTAGATGAGTACAACTGCATTGCACAGCACCATACTTTTCAGGAAATGATACGATAGTTGGGAGCCAAAGACAAGTTTGTGGGAACATCACACTGTAAGAAGAGCCCGAGACACATCCCTGTGCCATGCACCCTCAGCCTTCAAGACCCGTTTGTAATGCTGCCTTTGTCCTTTGCCAATCTTTGTACCCTCTGGAGGTTGTTATACGCCTAGCTGCCCATCTGCTTCACGCAATGTCTCAGCATAGCCCTAAAGATCTGTCGACATCCAGGCCAGTGGTAACTTGGCCTACCAGTCGGTCGTCCTTTGTCACATCGCCAATGAGCAAACATCATAGTACCTCAAGCATACATCTAGCGCGTGTCGTACCGAAAGAATGGTATTGGGTTTGTGTTTCCAGCAACTTGGCACCTAGTTTTCATAACGTAGAGGGGTATCATTCTCGGCTATCTAGACCAACAGTCGAACGCGACCAAATGTGTTGTTCTGTCTAATCTTGGAAAGACTGGACTCGAGAGCCATGTTCGATGGAGAGACTGATCGAGGACATTTTGATCTCGCAAGACACGGGCGATCCAAATTACCCTGCTTGATTGATAGCGCTGAGCTCGAGTAAGGACGTGCCGTTTGTGGAGTGAAGCATACGAACCGCGCTAATGCTGGTGATGAAAAGAACGAGCTTTTCGGAAAAGGCTTGAAGTTCAACGCTGTCATGCACGGACCACCTCCAATGCAAGCATCCAAGCTCGAAGCCCATCGTGCCGCGAGACTCTTCATCCGTCACCGCCACGGCTCGCATCCAGCCCTTCACCATATCTACCTCCATCTGTAGCCCTCTCTTGCACAAGCTGCAGACTCGATACCGTCCGTCGGCGCCCAGACGCCATGGGACTCAGCAAGTTCTTCGCAAGCTGCTGCGGGTTAGGTGAATCGCTCCACCACAACATCTCTTGTTCTGCGTGACTAACTTCATCCTCTATAGGACGCTCAAGAGATAGCATCTACGACCCAGTGCTAGCAGATAGCGAGCGGGAAGCCGTCGCCGACCTTTTGAACTTCCTAGAGAATGTACCGCTCCCATTTATCCCCACCATGCATCGACCAACGCTGACCTCCTCTAGCGAGGCGAAACCGACTTCTTCTCCGGCGACCCCTTACGCGCGTTAAGTACCCTCGTATACTCAGACAATATCGATTTGCAGCGGTCAGCGAGCTTGACGTTCGCCGAGATCACAGAGAGAGGTACAAGGTCCCGCTCGTATATGTCTGCACGGAACCTAACAACGCATGGTATAGATGTCAGAGAAGTCGACCGCGACACTCTAGAGCCTATTCTGTTCTTACTCCAAAATCCGGATATTGAGGTGCAGCGTGCGGCGAGTGCGGCGCTGGGCAACTTGGCCGTAAACAGTATGTGCATACTATAACAAATAGAAGCCGCTACTGACAACCCACAGCGGAGAACAAGGTTGCCATTGTCGCGCTGGGAGGGCTTGCGCCATTGATCAAGCAAATGAACTCGCCCAACGTCGAGGTACAATGTAACGCTGTCGGGTGCATCACGAACCTCGCAACCCACGAGGACAACAAGGCCAAGATAGCTCGTTCGGGAGCACTACAGCCCCTCACACGGCTGGCAAAGTCCAAGGACATGCGTGTACAGAGAAATGCAACCGGCGCGCTCCTCAACATGACACACTCAGGTATAGACGGTCCACAACGTTTATGTGAGATATGCTGACATGCCGCCAGATGATAACCGCCAACAACTTGTCAACGCTGGCGCTATTCCCGTCCTCGTCCAACTGCTCTCCTCTTCTGATGTCGACGTTCAATACTACTGCACAACCGCACTCAGTAACATTGCCGTCGATGCAAGCAACCGAGCTAAGCTGGCCCAAACGGAGGGTCGGTTGGTGGGGTCATTGGTGCACCTCATGGAGTCCTCCTCGCCCAAGGTCCAATGTCAGGCAGCACTTGCTCTCCGCAATCTCGCTTCCGACGAACGCTACCAGCTGGAGATTGTGCGCGCTCGCGGGTTGCCATCTCTCCTCCGCCTTCTGCAGTCGTCCTACCTTCCCCTTATCCTCTCCGCCGTCGCATGCATACGAAACATCTCCATCCACCCCGCAAACGAATCCCCAATCATCGAAGCTGGCTTTCTTCGGCCCCTGGTAGACCTGCTTGGCTCTACTGACAATGACGAGATCCAATGTCATGCCATCTCCACTCTTCGCAACCTCGCGGCAAGCTCGGACAAGAACAAGCAACTAGTTTTGGAGGCAGGTGCTGTACAAAAATGCAAGCAACTCGTGCTTAACGTGCGGCTACCCGTGCAGTCGGAAATGACTGCTGCGATCGCTGTCCTTGCCTTGAGCGAGGAGTTGAAGCCTCATCTACTCAATCTTGGAGTTTTCGATGTCCTGATACCCCTCACAGAGTCCGACAGCATTGAAGTGCAAGGGAACAGTGCAGCTGCATTGGGCAACTTGTCATCAAAGGGTAGGTCAGTTCCAAGTATGCAGTGACTCTAGCTAACTCTTGCAGTGGGTGACTATACCATCTTTATCCAGAACTGGACGGAACCCGCAGGTGGCATTCATGGCTACCTCCGCCGCTTTTTGGCCAGCGGGGACCCTACCTTCCAGCACATCGCCATCTGGACCCTCCTACAACTTATCGAGTCTGAAGATTCGCAACTGATTGAGCACATCGGCAAGTCGCACGAAATCGTTCAGATGGTGACCGAGATTGCCGAGCGCAACATCGAATCAGATGACGAGGACAACGAAGAAGGCGAGGGTGAGGTTGTCACGCTTGCCCGCAGGTGCCTCGAACTTTTGGGCAAGAATCCCAAGACCCTTGTTGAAGGGTAAACCGTTGAATCGCTTTTTATACCCAGCTTTATGGACTATTCCTCTCGTTTTTCTCTATTGTTTTCTTGCTTATGCGTCCATGTCACATATTGTTCTGGACAACATGCATTTGCATGTTTTGGGGTCGCTGGCGTTCAGGACTACACTATTTCATTTATCTCCAGCGAGCATTGGCAAAGCGGGCTTCCTTACTATTAGCATATCACTTTTGTTACCCGCCACTCTTACTCGGAGTGCTTTCGATACGGGTGAATTTGTAATTGATCGAGTTGGATGATAGCTTCTCCCATTGGGTTTATTGGGAAGCTCCTAGTTGAAATGAAATGACACCGCATGTATTAGAAACACTTGGACAACCCGCATAGAATTGTTAGTCTGAGAAAGCTAAATCGTTCAGGTAGCGCCCCGCGTGACGTCGCGTTCGTCGCCTGCGTCGCCTGTAGCTCTTATCGATAAGCACCAAATAACTTTTGCAACTACACGACTCAACGTCCCTTGTACTATAACGTATTCAATCCACGTAACTACAAATGCCACCAAAAGCAAGAGGAAGAGGAGGCACACGCGCCCGTGGAGGAGGTAGAGGAGGTGCAGCCGGAAGCAGGTCCACAGCCGCCGCTAGCGAGCCTACAGAGACAGAGGCCCCGCAAAGCACAGCTGCGCCAAATACAGTTGAAGCTCCAACGCAGCCTGTACTACCGAAACAGGAAGACGAGGATGATTCGAAACCGCCAACCACGGGTGAGAATGTCTCAGCGACTATTGAGTCACAGGCATCGCCATCGGTAGCCGCCTCGTACGCTCAATACCTCCTCACTCCCATGTACTGCCTATGCTAACGTCCGCATGACAGTGCGGCTGCGTCCCCTCAGGGTGGCACAGTATCATCAACACGCGCCCCAGTGCAGAGACTTGGCAGTCTCCAAGGCGCAATACCACCTTCGCGTTCCGCTTCACCCTCCGTACGCGGTCGCGGTAGCGCCGTTCGAAGCAAGCGGGGCATGGTCAAACCTACATTCACAGGCCGACGGAGTAAAGAAGAGCGAGAAGCGATCGCAAAGGAACAGAAGGAGCGTGATGCCCTACGAAACGCTGAGCGTGATGCTGCAATAGAGAAGAAGGCAAAGGACGAAGCATCCAAGGCGAGGCGAGAAGCGAAAAGTGCGCTCAGAGCAAGAGGCGGGTTCGGTGGTGCAGTGAGCGGACCTTTTTCGCTGGGCAGTTCTCGAGAAGGTACGTGGAAGACTATTGATTTGGATGGCAGTGCTGATTAGTACAATAGACAGGAAAGGCAACCCAAACCGCGGCCCTTCGGGCTTCGGATCTGGATCAGGCTCGCGAGCAGTGCGCATCAAGAACGACGGTGACGGCCAGGCAGGTCCAAGCCACCGCTCCGGTGGAGGTGGAGGTGGAGGACGTGGTTCCTCGATCAAAAGAGAAGACGGAGGCTATGTCTCCTCCTCCGAAGAAGACGACGCCGAATTCCCACGCAAAGACATCGATCTCATTGAAATCTCCTCCGATGAAGACGACGCTACTCCTGACACGGCCCCTAAGCCGCGCGCGTCAAGGACGGCACTACCTGTTCGCATCGGCAGGAAGGAGCATCAAGAACGCACATTCGGTATCAACACAGAAGCAAGCACAGAGACTTCAGCTAAGATATTGGAACAAGCGGAGGCGACTGGTCAGGCAATGACACCCGCTGCTTCAGAGCAAGTTTCGCGCAAGGGCAAGGCAAAGGCGAAAGACGTCGAGATCACAAGCGTACGGAAGCCGTTTAGGGGAGTATGGCAGGATAACCAGGACTCCGAGGTCTCAGTCAAGGCAGAAGCTATCAGTGACGACGAGAACATGGCAGATGCGGAGCAAGTCGGCATCGCCAAACCTCTAACCCAACCGATAGAGCAGCAAGGACCATCATCGCCGGACGCCGAGAGGAAACCTCCAGTGAAAGTAATATCCGCTACAGAGCCGGTTATGCAGACTGACGAAGATCGTGCCGAGTGGGCGCGTTTTCAATCCAATCTTCGCCACATTCGAGCCGAGCTGGGTCCAGAAGAGGTACCCGCGGTGGATGCATCTGGGGACATGAACATGGCCGACGCAGCGACAAATGATAAGAAGCCGACCGTACGCGATAATAACGTATACCTCTTTCAGATACCGCCGCTCATGCCCGAGTTACAATCTCCATCCATCAAGAAGGAGCCGTCAGACGCACAGAACACTACAGCTTCAGCACTCCCGCAAGCCATAAAACCAGAGCCCAAGGTCAAGCTCGAAGAAGGAGGCTTTTCCGACCCTTCAGCGAAAGCTTCTTCTGGGCCACGCTTTGCTAGCGGCCAAGTCGGCAAGTTACGCGTACGCCAATCTGGCCGGACAACGTTGGATTGGGGGGGCACAAGCTATGAGCTCACACCTGGAAACAAGGCTTCCTTTTTGCAGGAGGTAGTATCCATCAACGTGGTGCCAGAAACGAGTCGTGTGGTCCCTGAGGATGCCGGTGAAGCTGTGTCATTTGGGCGCGTCAAAGGGAAATTCGTCGTTGTGCCGGATTGGGAGAGTATGCTGGGGTAAGACGGGGATGGAGGAAGCGGGGAGCGTTGAAACTGGGGGAGGGAGGAGGGAGGAGTCATGGAGCAGCATGGTAAGGCGTTTGGGACGCATTTACTGGCGTTAACGACGGACGACAATGTCCAAGACGACATGATGAGGGTCTGTAAAGGTCTATGACGCCCTTCCATCTAGGGAAACTCAATCCAAGTCAGATTCACGTGAGGAGTATATGTGTCCTATTTACCTAAACAAGTAGGATCTCTTGAAGGAACAGAGTCTACCAGGGGATGGTGAGAAAGTTCTAGTTATACAACACCTGAGGAACGAATGATCACAGAGCATGTCACTCGAGACGCGTTCCACGAAAGGTGATGACTGCTGATAGTCCCAGGCTAAAGCTTCAGACGCGTCTGGGAACGTGCCTGTCCAAGCTCAACACCTGGTCAACCATGCCGTCTGCTGTGACGAATTCAGTGGGGCAGCATCAGATCCCTATCAAAAAATCTAATCAGATCCGAGGCCGGCCCACCAGCAAGCCAGATTGTAGACCGTGCTATGCGGTGAAACCGGCCGTGAGAGGCCGGACGCTGCATTTCCAAGGATTGATTCAGCCGCCAAACGCAGGCTCTAACTCGTAGTGGAGCAGGTCCTTGCATGTTGTGGTGGGGAGGAGGCCGAATCATAGCGCGTAAAGGCGCGTTCTGCACAGACTGTTTTGTGCCAAAGCCGTGGCTGGGACAACGCGAATGCGTGCGTTGAACAGCAATTGACGACGAACACGAGGAGGAAAATGGACGATATGGGTGTCGTTGAAACGCGCGTCGTCGCTTGTACAATATAGGCGAGTCGAGGGGACATTTTGGCGTTGATGCATGCTGTGATCGGAGCTGCTTGTACGTGAGGTCATAGCGCTTGGTCGTGATGGAAGGCGCGTTCCTAGGGGCGGCAGGAGGCTCACCAAGTCACGTGCTAGCGAGATTCTATGCTCTTAAGAACGCGTCCGCAGCTCTTTGTTCCTCGACATCCACAGCATCACCCACATTTCTTGAGCGCCACGACTTGTGCTTCTGAACATTACACTCGCCTTTCTACGCATCCTACCGCGCAACATCCACATCTTCTTTTTTCACAATGTCTGCTCTTCAGTTGACGCCTTCCAAGCAGGTACGTCGCGACTTTTCTCCAGTGCCACTTCAGAGACGCGTGTATACTAACACAGACACAGGCTGCATCGGCAATCGACACGCTCAAGATGACTGACTTCCCCGCAAAGAAGCTTGACTTCGCGTCGTCGGACAAGGAGAACGTTTTCAAGCCCATCGTCGGCATCCCAGATCTCCCAGAGGACGACGGGTCCGACAAGAAGCCCTCCACTGCGGCTACTATTAGGCCAGAGGAGGCACACGAGCCCCTCCTCCAGGAAAATCCTGGACGCTTTGTCCTTTTCCCCATCAAGTACCATGATGTAAGTTCCCAACGCGTGCCAATACGCGTCGACCCTTTGCCACCATGACCCAGGCTAACGTCGCCCCTTCCGCAGGTCTGGCAAATGTATAAAAAGGCCGAAGCATCTTTTTGGACTGCCGAGGAGATTGATCTCTCCAAGGATCTCCACGACTGGAACAAACGATTGAACGACGACGAGCGCTTCTTCATCTCCCACGTCCTTGCCTTTTTCGCCGCCTCCGATGGCATCGTCAACGAGAACCTCGTCGAGCGTTTCTCCAGCGAAGTACAAATACCTGAGGCGCGATGCTTCTATGGCTTTCAGATCATGATGGAAAACATCCACTCTGAGACATACTCTCTGCTTATCGACACCTACATCAGCGAGCCCAGGCAGCGCACCTATCTGTTCAATGCTATCGACAACAGTGAGTGATCTACAGCGTGATCTCAAAGACAAGTCTAACGCGTCACAGTCCCATGCATCCGCAAAAAGGCCGACTGGGCCCTGCGATGGATCTCCGACAAGAACTCGACCTTTGCGAACCGCCTTGTCGCGTTCGCTGCCGTCGAGGGTATCTTCTTCAGCGGCTCTTTCGCCTCCATTTTCTGGCTCAAGAAGCGCGGTCTCATGCCCGGCCTCACCTTCTCCAACGAGCTCATCTCTCGTGACGAGGGCATGCACACCGACTTTGCTTGCCTCCTCTTCTCCCTCCTCAACACGCGCCCTAGCAAGGAGTCTGTTCAAGCCATCATCACCGAGGCCGTCACAATCGAGCAGGAGTTCCTGAGCGATGCTCTTCCTTGTGCTCTGCTAGGCATGAACGCCGCGCTTATGTGCCAGTATATTGAGTTTGTTGCCGACCGCCTGCTGTTGGCTCTCGGTAACACCAAGATTTACAATGCCACCAACCCCTTCGACTTCATGGAGAACATCTCGCTGGCTGGCAAGACCAACTTCTTCGAGAAGCGCGTTGGCGACTACCAGAAGGCTGGTGTCATGGCCAGCACCAAGAAGCATGAGCAGAAGGAGCCAACGCCTGCAGAGAACGAGGCTAATGGCCACTCCGGCGACTTCTGCTTCGAAGAGGACTTCTAGACGCGTCGTCCTTTTTTCCTTCTTGCTTGTTATCTATCTGCCATCTCGCTGTTGTATACCTCGTTCGGGCTTTGGGCATGGGGTACTGGGTTACCCCTACTTCATTTTTGCATATCTGCTCTTCTCTGCATTGCCGGAGGCAAGCATAGCTGCTATGTCGGCATGCTTTTGATACCTCCTCGTTGTTTTTGGCGTTCATGGGCCTCTTGGATGAGTGATGTGGAATTGGGAAAGCGATTGGATATGGGATCATGATGGGGATGATGGAATCATGGCCCTGATCATTTTAGGTAGTCTCACGAATATAATCATTCAAATATACATCTGTGCCTATCCAAGTGCACGCGCCAAGTGATGACTTGCATATAGCGCTGCATGCCTATACCTAGACATCGGCCCAGTTCGTCTCGATCCCAGCTTTCTGGTCGCCGTCACATCTCCATAGTTTTGTAATTCCCAACATGTATTGCACTCGCCATCTACGCTCTGTTCACGTAGTTGAGGTTGGATGCTCACGCTGGGGTGGCATGACGTAACGCCGATGTTGCAACTTCACGCAAACGGTCGCCATGATGCAATGGGCTGCTTACGGACGGCTTTCCCTTTGCGGCATTTTTCCGGACCTCTAATGACACTCCCCTCCCAATCAACACGAGATGGGGTTCTGGTGGCACCGCATATGCAGCAAAGGTCAGCATCTATCGATAACAAGTTTGAGGGGCGATTCGTGATTGTTTACCTCCGCAGGTCCCGCAACACCCGCAACCACCACCACAATTCCGGACGAGTCTTTCGGCAACCTGTCATGCAAAGCGAAGTCGCGCATTGCTTAACTTCACCCCGCTGTAACCGCTTGGTAAAACGTTGCGTCTGAACCACTGCAACCAGGAACCACCAGCGCCGCACATCCATGTCGCGTACAAGACGTCAAGATGGTGGACACTATACCCAAGATCAAGGTGACAGACCCTCAAGCCCGGGCTACGAGCCCTTTTGAGAGGCAGAATGGAATCACGACAACAATAGAGGGTACGTTGCACGTCAGCACACGGCTGCATGCCCGGCGAATGAGACAATGCTGATCTCGAAGCCTATAGGACCATTGACGAACCTGAAGCTCGCCGCAAAGCTTCGCAATTCCACCTCACCCCCTGCGCAAGCGAACGAGACACACAATGGCAGTAGTAGTGACGGGAGGAGACCCTCCGAGGCTGCAATAGACCCGCTCTCGCAAGTATGTCCACATAAGGAAGCTTGTTATGCAGGAGCAAGAGGCTAACGGAACATCCTCTGTGCAGCAAATACTGCAGAGAACGAACACGGCGACTGGTGTACCCAAGTTACGGCCGCAAAACACTGAGGCTGTGTATACGCAATCACCGACTTTGCCCAATGAAGCGAACGCGGACAAGAAGCAGAGTGGTGAGACGACACGCGAGACAGGTGGCGCATCCAAGGCAGACAAGAAGTGAGTCTCCATACGCACTCCTAAAAGCGCATAGAAGAACGCCGTACGACTATCGGCCGAGGCTTGGCGCATCCTTCATGTCTATGGATTCGCAACCATCACCTACGCATGGTTACGATTAGGTGCCTAAGGCGGAGCAAGTAGCGAGACTGACTATCGTTGCAGAAAGGGCGTTTCGTTTCTAAGTCGCTTCATTGGTAGCAACAAAAAGAAAGGCGCTCTCGATGGCGCGAGCGACAACGGTTCCGAAGCGGACGATCTTCGACGGGAGGGTATGGATGCTCAATTATACGTCGACAACTTCAGTTTCAGTCCAAAGGTCCCGCAGCCGCCGGCATACATCAAGGTACGGACAAAGTTCAAAAAGGAGAAAGAGTTCGATCGCGTCTTTCTAGCGCAACAGCTTCGTTGTGGATCGGATAAGAAGAGTCCACCTGCTGCTGGATCGAATCCAGCGCCTCAGTCCGGGTCAGCCGCTACTCATAACCCTACCTGGGCTGTCGAATTTAGCAAGGATGGAAAGTACCTCGCCGCTGGTGGGCAGGACAGAGTCGTTAGGGTGTGGGCGGTGATAGCGAGCCCCGAAGAACGTCGGTCACATGAGAGGCACGAGAGTGACCCGCACGCGTCCGGTGACGGGGCAAAGCACCTCAGCGCGCCTGTCTTTCAGCAAAAGACCTATCGCGAGTACCATGGCCACACTTCTACTATCTTGGATCTAAGTTGGAGCAAGGTATGTTGTGTTCGCGCGCGGGCTATTCGTGGATGGGACTGACAGATTAGAACAATTTCTTATTATCCTCATCCATGGACAAGACTGTGCGGTTATGGCACGTCAGTCGCGACGAGAACCTCTGCACGTTCAAGCATTCGGACTTCGTCCCTTCAATACAGTTTCATCCTACGGATGACCGGTTTTTCCTCGCTGGGTCGCTCGATGCAAAGCTGCGGCTTTGGAGCATACCAGACAAGAGTGTGGCATTTTCAATCACAGTACCGGACATGATCACTGCCGTTTGCTTTACACCAGACGGAAAGACCTGTATAGCGGGGACACTGGGCGGGCTATGCATGTTTTACGATACCGAAGGGCTTAAATGGCAGTCGCAACTTCACGTAAAGTCGACAAGAGGGCAAAACGCCAAAGGCAGCAAAATTACAGGTATTCAAGCGACGTACTGGCCACCAGGAAGTGCAAATGGAGAAGTAAAGCTTCTAGTCTCGAGCAACGACTCAAGATTACGGGTCTACAACATGAAAGACAAGAGCCTAGAGATGAAGTTTAGAGGCCACGAAAACAACTGCAGCCAGATTCGGGCTGCGCTCGCTGATAGCAGTGGACATATCATTTGTGGTAGCGAGGACCGAAAAGCGTACATTTGGTCAACAACCGCTACCGAGGGCGAAAAGAGGAATGAGAGGCCTGTGGAGATGTTCGAAGCCCACAACTCAATCACCACATGCACGGTCATTGCCCCGGTCCAGACCAAGCGGCTGCTCAGCGCTTCGGAAGATCCCATCTTCGACCTCTGTAACCCTCCACCAGTTACCTTGGTGTCCCGCGCTGAATCGGGAATCTCTTCACGAGCGCCTACTGAAGCAGGCTCAGCGCTTCCGACGCCGGCTGACACGGATGCAACGTTCAAGAGGGCTGCAGAGAGCCCAGCATATATCGCACGTTCCGCTCATTGTGGTGGCAACATTATTGTCACAGCAGACTATACGGGTTCCTTGAAGGTTTTCAGACAGGACTGCGCTTTCGCCAAGCGTTTGCGGATGAGCGAGACGTGGGAGACGTCATCGATGAAAAGATCGGGATCCAGGATCGGGCGACCGAGCAGCATCCTTTCACGTACCAGCCGGACTAGGAGAGATAGCGTATCGACACAACCACCCAATGACCGTATCATGACTTGGCGGCAAGGTATCTCACATGGCAGCTTCGACTCGACGAACAGCTCCGTTGCAAACCGCAGTGCCTCGCCTCGCAAGCCCTTGGTTAGTCTCGGCTTGCAATCACCACGGCCACTAGACGCTCCTGCGCAGGCTCCTACACAACCTGTCGCGGCTGCTAACTCTGGACTCACGGGAACTCCAAAGACATCCATGTCCATAGAGCGCACCACATCCACACAAAGCGTCTCACACTCTGAAAACTCGTCCTCGCCTCATAAGCAGCCCCTGACTCAGGCGGAACCCGAGCTGTATGATAGCTTCGACCGTCGGCCGTCCGCTTCAAATCCCCTCGCTGTGTATAACGGCCAAAGCTGGGCTTTCTGGTCGACTCGCGATAAGAGCGGTCTCACTGCCTCGAATGCCGACGACGACAGACCAAACCTGAACCCAAGACTTAGCAATGCTAGTCAGATTAGCAAGCTGACCAGCGAGATGAGCGATCCAGGTCATAGTGGAGATGAGAGTCGTAAGGATGATATCCAGTGTATCAAGTGTGGAAGTGAAGAGTTCAAGGTCCGGTTTCAAGAGGGGGAGAAAGTGCTAGTCTGTGGGGTCTGCGCGAGGGTCGTTGAATAGTTCTCGTGAGCCTTCGCAGTGTTGCAGAGCTGTAGTACATATGCGCTAGAATAAGATGCTACTAAGCAGGTAAGCTCACACCTCCCTTGTTGAGCTACATTTTTACATGTCCCGAAGCGGCACACTTTTTACAATTGCCATGGTCCTACTACCCGACGCGCTGCTTGCTGTCCGCCAAATGATTCACCCGTCTCAAAACTTCTTCTTTCCTTTCTTACTCTTCCTCGCTTCCTTGATTGTGAACTCTAGCACAGGCGCTCTCGCTCTCTGCTCCGCTTGGAGAGTCTTCAACGTCGCTTTGCGCTGCTCGAGTATCTTATCCAATCTCTTCTCCTCCTGTTCGGCTTCTTGCGTCTGTTGCTTCAGACTCTCCACGTGGTCTTCTTTTTCTTGAAGAACGCGCAGCTCCTCGTCCTTGAGTTGCTCTTCTAGGCCCGGGTGGCCGGTTCGTTGCTCAGCGAGCTTATGGTCGAGTAGGTCTGCGAAGGAGGTGCAGGTTGAGCAGGGTGGTTGTTGTATGTTCTTGCAGCAATCTAGGATGTGGCCGAGCTGTGCGCAAATGGTGCATTTGATATTCACTTCGACGTTCGGGGTCTCCTTGTTTGGCTCTGGAGCCTCCTCTCTCCTGGACAAGATGTCTCTAGACCCCCTGCAGTCTGTAGACATGGCTTCTGAGTTTGCGAGCTGGTCTGAAGGGACCGGATCTGGGGGTGGTTCAATAGGTGGACTGTAAATACAGGGTGGGAAAAGACTGTTCGGCCAGCTGAGCTTCGTGTTATGACGAGTGAAACCTCTTATAAGACAGAGTAGCGGAGGACCAGGTGGCCCCGACAGGCATATGCAGCTTTTCATCATGCGAGCCGCACACCCGCTCCTTTCACACCCGCGCGACCCAAAGCCTTGGCACCACATAAACCCTCACATTTCCTCCGACGCCCTTATTATCCCTAAAGACAACCCCAACTTTCAGAACCTCAGGTCCCCGCTCAACCTAGACCCAACTCTTTCGGTGCTGAGACTGTTCTCGCATTAGCTACAGTCTCAAGTATAGTAGCACGCTATCGCTATTGTCTCTGCGCATCGACCTACCTATATTTCTCTCTTAAAGGAACCACGAACCCCGAGTCGCAAAGGTGTTGTCGACCATATCTACCTTCTTGGGCGTCACTGAGTCGAAAGTAGAGAACATGTCTGGCACTTCTCCACACGAGCGGGATGAAACTCCCCATTCAGGACCCTCCAACGCCATATATACAGATACACCTCGTTTAACGGCTGAGCAACAGATGATCGCCGAGTTGGAGAAGGATCCCAGGACTCTTAGAGGGTTCTATGCCGCCGCTCGCAAAGCAGAACTTGAGGCGAAGGGTAAGCAGGCAGCGAATCCGCCGGTAGACTGCAGCCCGAACCCCCGCCCTATGGAAACCCAGAACGCAATACACAAAGACCTTGGTGGAGGTAAAGACCAGTCTGCTGCCGCCAAACCTAGTGACCTGACTTCCCCCTTTTCGTTCCGATATCCGACGCCCACGGACTGTCCGCCCACTTTGCCGAAGTTGGTTGCTCGGGCATCAGGAGGTCCAACGTTCTCCTTTGCAACTTCAAGCGGCCCTGCTTCAAGCTCTTCTCTGTTTTCTGAAAATAAGACGACGGGGATGTTTGAAAAGAAGAGTGAAGGAATTGTGTTTGGTCAGCCTGGCTGGGTCGCTGGTACGAACGCAAACAAACAGCTGCCTGGCTTGGATAAGCCCAAACCTACCACAGAAACGTTCACAGCTCCACAACTTGTTGCATCTCAAGGAGTTGACAGCGCTCCAGCGACGATGAACTCTTCTAGGCGTCAAGCGCAGCAACCCATCGATGCTAAGACCTTCGATGCATCTTGTCAACCATCTACAAAGCCTCCACCCGAACAGAGTCAGCCTCCCGCTACGACGGCCCCGAGCATAGCAACAACCGATGGCGATATCTTCACATGGATTGGAGAGTTTGTCGACCTGGAAGCGCCAGATATGGCCCCTATGAAATCGGATCTGCAGGTTCTCCACAGCGCAATTGCCACTTTTGAGGGCAATATTAGCCAGGTCGCCATGAACATGTCTCAAATCCTGGCTGCCACCCATGTGAAGAGCAGCGAGTTCAGAAAGTTGAAGACTGAGCTCTCTGGAACGGGTATCGGCACGGGAACTCCGAGTGCTGCTCGCGATGCAAAGATCAAGCATGTCGAGAGCTTGAAAAAACAACTCCTGGGTCTGCACATGGCGTTGAAGGATCACAAGTCTAAAATCGATAGCCTACGCAGCGCTTTCGTGGACACCTTACTCGCACCGCTCCAGACCTTTGCCCGCGTAAACAAATCATCGTGGGAAGCGCAGCTAGAGGAAAAGAACAACTACATCAGCGAGCTACGCGTCAAGCTGCTCAACCTAGAACAAAAGCTGGCAACAGCTATGAGCGACTTGACTAAGATTAGAGCTTGGTCTGAGGAGCTTACTACTAAGCTGGAGTTCGCCGAGAGCCGTTCTGCGATGCAAAACAATGAACATCGCAAGAAGATGGACAACAAGATAGCGGAGAAGGACACCGAGATGTACAACGCACTGTACGCTCAGAAGCTCAAGTACAAAGCTCAGGTGGAACATGCAGAAGCAACGGAGCTGCAAAACCGGAAGGCTATGACTAAGATCGATGAGATGGAGAGCACGATACGGGCTCTAGAACGAGAGAAGATTGGTCTAAACATGGCCAAAGGAGCAGTCGAGAAGGAGTTAGGCGATCTCGAGATACAGGTCGATCAGTGGAAGAGCTACAAGGATGCCTACGATCAGATCAAGCACCAGTTCGACAGCCTCCAGGTCTCCTTTAATGACGCTGTAACGGAGCGCGACGAGCTGGTGGAGAAAGTGCAGGCCCTGGAGACAAAAGAACAGGGCAAGAGCCGCGATGAGCATGGACTTGCCACAACGGAAGTCGCGTCGACCGTTCCACGCCAAATAAATCATGCTCCTACGACAAATGCAGACCGTCTTGACGGCTTGGCGGACCACTGGAAGAACCGACTCAAGCTCACGATGGATTCAGTGGAGAAGAAGCGCACAGATATCGCATGGCATGACTCTGAGATTGCCAAAATACAGCGCCACTTCGAGCCGCCTCCAGTACTCCCTCAGCCTACACAAGACTCTCGCTCAAGACCACCGTCGACCGTTGATACGGCCCAAGTCCAGCCGTTGGATGTAGGGGAAATTCCCATGAATGATGAAGACCACTTCTTGAATCCAGAAGCAAGCGCATTTCAACCAAACTCTGGATACGACGGGTTGGCTGCTGTTTCCGGTCGATCTGGACGCGTGCCAGTACAAACCTGGGCATCTAGGGCTACGGGTCTGGCTCCATCTACACGCCGCCCTTCTCCGCTCCAGGCTCGAAATACTGGACATCAGGCCAGTGATCAGCCTGGCTTGGGGCGCGAGACCGCAACGTATGGCCCGCTGAATCCAGAGTACGAGTGGCAAGAAGTTTCCCGAAATAGGCGGGAGAGAGATGAGAGCCTTCGTAGGAGCTAGAGTGGATTTCGTTCTATATGTAGTCTGATTGTGAATGGTCGAGAATGTTGTTGGGATATTATGGGAGGGTGTATTTGACTGCTTTAAAGAGATACGAACACGTTGATCTTGAGGTTCTGTAGCTGGCTAGTTTGCGGACAGAGCATGCTTACTATCAACGAAGTTATTCGAATCGCTTCTTCCATAAACACTTAAATGCAATCGTGGTATTCTTGATTTTGGAATCTTCGACCGTAATTAGTTAACTTTAGATACTTAGATGTTGCATATTCGGAAACACTTCCTATGTTCCTAACCCCGCATTCATGAGCCAGAATGACTCATGCTTGGCAGGAAGGTCTGTTTCAATTTCCATTCCTCATCATCAACCCCGTGTCAGGCTCCTCACTATTGAGAAATGATTCAATTACTCCGTATTCTTTCTTTCAATCCTAAATTCTGTACTGACACTCCTAGGGCTACGAACGCAAAGTATTCACTCTAGATACCATATTGAGCTTAGCCGACCACGCTGTCCTGCAGCTAGCCATGGAGGCATCACGCGTTCTACCTGGGCACAAATCAAAACCCCTGTCGGAGCCAAAATCTACGGCACACGACACAACTCCGGCCGAATCAGACGAAGAGAAGGACAATAGAGAGGTAGCAGAGAACACAGAGCTAGTGCCACCCTATATAACTATTCAATGGCTTCTCCCCGTCCTAGCAGTCTACGCTTCAGCGTTCCTCTATGGCCTCGACACCACCATCGTCTCCGTAGTCCAAGGCCCCGTCGTCTCAAGCTTTGGAAATGTCGAGAAGCTAGGTTGGCTCGGCATCGGCTTTCCCCTTGGTTCCATCGCAACGATTGCTGCTTGGGCAAAGGCTTATGGCATCTTCGATACAATGTGGATGTACATTGGTAGTCTGGTGCACTTTGTTGCTGGTAGTGCACTTTGTGCTGCCGCGCCGAATATGATGGCGCTCATTGTTGGGAGAGTATGGGCGGGTGCTGGGTGCGCGGGTATGTATCTTGGGTAGGTGACGCCTCTTTTATAGAGTTCATCTTGAGAGCCTCGAACTAATGAAGTAACCGATCAAGCCAACTCAATATATGGTCTCAGAATACTACCCTCGAGAGGAGATTCCTGTACATTAGCGGTGGGGGCATCGTTTGGGGAGTCGGATGCATCCTGGGGCCCATAGTTGGCGGTGCATTCGCTGATAGCACGGCTACTTGGCGTTGGGTAAGAATGTTAGAGCTATTTCAAAACGTTCATACTGATGAACCAGGCATTCTATATTAACCTCGTCCTCTTTGGGATTTTATCCCCAGTTTATCTCTTCGTCATCAACTCTCACATGCCGCGACCACGAGAAGCAACGATCAAAATGTCAAGGGAATTCGACTGGCTAGGAATTACCCTGACTGCTGCTATGTATACAAGCTTCGTCCTCAGTTTCGCCATCGGCGGAACGATCTGGTCTTGGAGCGATAGACGAACTATCGGTAGCATTGTCGCCTTGGCCATACTCGTTGTCCTCTTGGGCCTCCCGCAGAGGTTCTGCATTTTCACGACACGCGCGAACCGCGTTTTCCCTATTCGGTTTCTTCACAGCCGTACGTTTTTGCTGCTCTTCGTCGCGCAGTCTTGCATTCAAACAGCACTCGCGATTCCCATCTATTACATCCCATTAATCTTCCAGTTTACGCGAGCAGACACTGCAATGACTTCTGCTGTCCGGCTTCTTCCTTTCGTTATCGTCAACATCGCAGTCGTCTTCTTAAACGGCGCCCTTCTGCCAAAGTGGAAATACTATCTTCCGTGGTATTTGGTGGCGGGAATCTTTAACACGCTAGGCGGCGCACTGTTTTTGGCGCTGCTGAATCAGTCGACATCAAGTGGAGCGATATACGGCTTCAGCATCTTGTTAGCTATCGGCACAGGTCTAGCCCAACAATGCGCGTACTCCATTGCTACGGCCAAGGTACCTGATCAAGTCGCTGATGCAATCGGGTTCATCAACAATGCACAAGTCGGGTCGGTCGTCATAGCGCTCACTTTCACGTCCCTCATCTTTCAGAATGTGGGGTTCAATCACATAAAGGACGCCTTGGTCGGTCTCGACTTCACAAACGAGGAAGTTAGAGGAGCACTTGGGGGAGCGAAGAGCAGAATGTTTGATAAAGGTGTACTCATTGAAGAGGTGAGGGTGGGCGTTGAGAAAGGGATTGTGGAGGCGATCCGATGGAGCTTCTTTCCTGTGTTGTTGTCGGGGGCGCTTGGACTGGTGGCAAGCTTGTGTATGAGGTGGGAGAACGTGTTTGAGGAGGAGACAGTGGCAAAGAATGAAAAGACTGAACAGAAAGTGCAAGAATAAAGAGCTATGAGTCTAGAACGTATACTAAAAGCCTACTATTATTCACTGCGAAGACAGTCATCATCAATACGCCGTAGAAGGAGCAGATCGAAGCTCGAACAACGTGAGGGAACAAAAGGTGACGCCATAAGTCGACAGGGTTTCCCAGCTAGCTGAATTAGCAATCTAGCGGCCCTGGCACCAACAATCTGGCCGGTCAAGCTTTCTCGGTGGCGCTGGCTTTAGGATCGAGTCTCAGCACCGCATATCTGTGCTCCTGCAATGAAGTTTCTACAATCTCGCTCGTAAGCTTACCCTTCTGGATTTACATACACCAATGCGGCAATCATATGCTCTGGCAGCATTTCTCAATGCCTTATTCCCCAAGTCGCTATTCCAAGCGTTGCGATAAGTACCCGGTCACTAACCCCTTTCAACGTCAAGCACAAATTCTCGTTCTCACAGTAAATTCACAGACTGGTGATAGCTCCACAGGTGCTTTTCAAACTATGTTGTGGACATCGAGCTACATCCGAATCAGTGGAAGGCCTAAGCGAAGAACCCCCGGACACTTAGCCGTGGTCTCGAGACTGCATCACCCCGTCCTCGCTGTGACGCAAGTATCTACCCCACCGCGTTGTCAAATGCATTATAAACCGGGTAGGTAGCGGCAGTTAGCATGGACGATTAATCTATTAGGATACAAGGCGTGTCACGAAGGAGTGTGGGGGTGCAGCGATGGAAATCTAGGAGGCTGGGGATGGAGAACCAAGAGTTTGCAGCACGCTAAGACCAGCAGTCTACTAAAGCAGCGACGCGGACAACTTCAACGCTCACGTGCCTTGAGCAACGAGCGAGAGGAGGAGACTATTCCCAATAATAGTAAAAGAAAGTCCCTTCTCGTAAAAGGATAATAAAAGAGAGTTCCTTCTTGTAAAAAGGAACAACCTACTTCTCGGCCTTTGTCTAACCAATTGATTGTTTCTACAGTTGATTTTTCCCATCGCCGGACCTACACGGGAGACTCATAAGAGGATCAACCACAACAATGATCAACACAATTTTAAACTCTCTTCTATAGCGTATCATAGACCTCATGTGTCCCTTCCGCAACGAAATTCCAGAAAGTAAGGACCCTAAAGCAAACAAAGAAGGTCAGAGTGTGGCTGGTAGTACACCGACTACTAGGTCTTTTCATAGGAAGAACAGAGATGCCTTGCCAAATGGGGCTGCTATTCCGGGATAGAGAACTTAAATTAGAATTCTGGCTATCTTATAAGTTACAGCAAGACTCGTAAGTAGGCCAATAGCTAAGATCTTCTTTAGGACACGCCCTGTGTACCACCCGACCAGTGATACATTGCGCAGGTAATAGGTTGAGAAGAGACGAGAAAGACTGCTTTCAGTCTCGAAGGACTTCAGAGGATGTCTTTGGCGCTAACTCCCTGCTCAAGCCTGCATCGCGTGGCTCTGCCGTTGCCCAGGTCGTGACCAGCTTGCCGCAGCTGCTGAGAGAATATCATGGTGTACGTTCCACTGGCATATGCTGAACACATACATGGAGTTCTGGGCCGTCTGTTAGGGCTCTTTATTGCTTTTGATGTACTCGCCACGCTTCTGCCAGTTTCTACACGCCCTAGAGGTGGCCAATACCCTGGCAGACTGTCACCTGACTTCCCACTAGCTAGCTGCTTGGCACGCCCACGTAAATATCGCAACCCGAGCGCTTCTGTTTTCTTTTTACTAATCGTACAAATAGAAAGTCGCACCTCACGTTTGGGAGAAGCGACACCTCTAAGAAGTAGCACAGAAATGGATAACGGTCAGACAAACCCTCTCTCTCTCCTCACCGCAGCTTTGCGCTAACTCTCACTAGATGCCGTCGCTCCCTTGGGACAGAATCAGACAGTCCAGCAGAGCCTCCAACCTCAAGTACATGGTAAGCTCCTTAGACTATACACTGGATTGTTCGCGGCTGACGCGCTTAGCGAACGCTTCAACGATGCAGCTGCTGCAGCAGCAAAACCAGGCTCTGCTACAAGCGCTCTCGCTCTCACGGTCACAAGTAGCTCTACAGGCTCCAAACCGTAAGTGAGCAATGTATGTTAGTTGAATACCAGCTGACATATCATAGCCCGCTATACCGCAGAAGATATAACTAAGGCGATGACGGTTATCGGTTGCCTTCTGGCAAACCTGGAGGACGCTGAGACCGATGTCAGCCTGGAAATCAAAATCCCTGCCCACGACGTAATCCATTGGTTCACCAAATTCGAGACCATATGGCCACAATGGCAGGCCATGGAGCTTCGCTACTACCAGGCTGTAACGAGGCACCAGCAGTACATGAACAAATAGCCACCACAAGCCATGTGGCCATGCAAACAAGGCCAGAGTACGAGCCACGGCGGTACCAAACGTCAGACCTTGTTATTATTTCAGGGTTATCACATGCAATGGGGGAGCTAGCGCCGCATGGGATACTCGTTGGCCCTCGGAGCCTCATGTATTGGTAGTAATAGTCTCATAATGCCATGCTATTTACTCAACAGAGCCATAATCCTGTTTAGACAAGCTTCATTCCAAACAGCGCGCGTACCTTCCCAGCGCTGACTGACTAAAAAGGCTCATCGAAAACCAAACTACTCGTCGATTGTATGTCGACGAAGCAAAGCTACTAGACACCGATAGAAATATAAACCGGTGCCCATTTCCTGCACACTAAAAGACTAAGATACACATTCTAGCAATTCAGAACAAGAGAGCTTCTTGTTCTCTTCGGCGACGTGGGTCACCCACATGTCTGTCGTATCCTTCATCTCCGAAACCTTTTGCAACGTTTTTTTCATTCTCTCGACTCGGATTCCTAAGACCTGGCGGCAGACGTCAATTCGTACTTGAATCTATTCGCTGGGACTTTCCTTGCGATCCTTTTCGAAATCTGCGCGCGTATTGTCTGGTGCGGCAACACCCAGCTGTGTGTACAGAAAGCCGAGAATACTCACACGAGCTTCTTCGACTTCCAGAGAGTACGTTTCATAATACTAGAGATTTTGGACCCTTGAAGTAGCCTCTTGTAGCTGCTGCTGAATCCCGCTTTTTTCCGTTTTGTTAACTTCGTGGGCCTTCCTGACAACTTCCTGCTGACTCTTGATCAGTTGGTTGGGGCTTTTAATGTTGCTCTTCAACAGGTGACTGTTCTTCTCGAGTCTGAAACATTTTGTTCTCTGTGTACCGAGTTCGCTGTTCTTCTCTTGCAGTGCAATGGATATGGTGTTGAAACGATTTTGAAGCGTGCGGAGTTCGCCCGGGGCTGTCTGTAAGTCCTCCTCTAGTCGACCTTTGGCCGTGTAGATCTCCCGCTGGGCTTCTTGTACTTGATTCTTGTCTTCTTGAAGGGTGGCCTGAGACTCCTGAAGGTCATCGGCAGATGTTCGTAAGTGTTGATTAGCCTTCTTGAGCTCCTCGGCAGTCGTCTGCAGGTCTTTGTAGTTGCGCTGAAGCCTGCCGCTGCTTCTTTAGATCCTCAAGGTCTTCAAGAAGGCCTTGTTGGGTGTGATGGCTCTTCTGCCTCTCGTGATCAAACTTTGAAGCTTGTGTGTCGACCTGATATAGTTCCTTCCAGGTTCCGCATTCTTGTTTCGATACCGAGAGAGAATTCCGCAGCGCCTGTTCTTGAGCATCGAGATCTTCCCTGTTAGGCTGCTTCTCCAAATCTCTAATCTGATCCTCGCGTGCAGCGAGCTGTAGTTCAAGCGGTTCTTTCGCGAGGGCAATGGCGTTGTTCCAGACCTACATCGTGGGCCGCGTCTCGAGCTCTCTCACTCTATCCTTGTAAATCTGCCGCCTTTTCTCGATGGGTTGTGCGGCCGCCACTACTGCATCCGACAAGGCCTGGTGGGTAGGTCGCTGTTCCGAATTGGCCATCTCATTTCTCATTGTATCCAACTCTTGTTGGAGGGGTTGTTGGGCAGAACGTACTGCTTCGTCGAAAGTCCCCTGGGTCGGTCGCGCCTGAAGTCTAGCTGCGAGCCGTTCTTGCGAGGTAATCCGAGACTGCAGCGGTTGAATGGCGGAAGCGACCGCTCCATCCATTTCATGCTGAGTTGGCCGTTGCTGGAGGGCTTCGTTCTCGTCTTCAAGCTGTAATATCTTTGCATTCTGCGCCTGGTTCCTAATGACCTGTGACGACGTAATATTATCGCTCAGCTGCTTTAGAAGCCGACGCTTCTTTCTGTTGGTCTGGTCCAGCTCCGTTCGTTCCGCTTCGAGATCGTGTATACTGATTAACAAATCGTCTTTGGTCTCCTCTTCGGAAGCTTGCTGGGCGTCTTGGGATTCTGGTGCGTTTTCGAACGGATTCGGTAGGATGTTGGGATCAACAGCTGCTAAAAGACCGAGAAGACATTGAGTTGATACTGGGGGTTTGCCCCAGTTGCACCCCTTCCTGCCATGGTGAATGCAGAGATGTGGGTGCAGTTAAAAGGTCCACCGACACAATCAAGCTTCATCATGCGGGCTTGCGAGCCAAGGCACCCACGCCCGTGTTTGGCAGGCGCGTCTGAGCTTGCCCAACATCGATCGCTAACACCGCGACAGTACCTGGGCACACAAATGACAATTCGTTCGTGTGATATCTAGATCACTACCAGTGTTTCATATATGAACTATGCTGCGCTGAATGAACATCTTGAAAACTCATACATAACAGACAACTGTCCCCAATCTTCAACACTCCATAACACTTCAGAATAAGCTAATCTCGTTGCATCGACTCAGCATAACCTTCTACTAGATTAGCACAATTACAATACAATTACTGATATCCATCCTCCTCAGCCTGATGAGATTTTAGGCGAGAAACGTGGTTTCTCCCCTTCACGTTCCTCAGTGAATGCACCCAGTGTGCCAAGACCTCTCACGCGCTAGCGCGCCAGCGAAAGCGCAATATATTCGTCCGCCGAGAACTCTTATTTTGCCCTCTACCTTGACCACTCACCACAATGGACGAGGGCACCGGGAATTTCAATCATCCTGGTTTTCATCAAAATCCCACCCTCCAGTACAATCCAGTATTCAACAACAACAGTCATATGAATCGGCCCAAGATAATCCCCGCGCACGACGCGTGGCCAAACAGACGACTCTCCGACGAGCAAGCTCCGCAGTTCTACCCAGTTACTCTACCAGATCAAGCCAAGGATGAGCCGATGTTGCACCCAGGGACCTATCTCCCTCCTATGGGGACTTTCTTCAACTGGAATGATCGCGCCTGCGTAACACCAGAGGGCGTTGGCAGTTTCAGTTGCAGAGTCTGCTTCAGGCTCCTACGAGACCATACCCCACCTGTTGCAAAACAGGTCGGCTTCCAGTGTCCAAGGCCTTGTGCTTTTACATCAGTATTAGATCACACACCGCATCCAGGCACGGTAAGTAGTGGCCCCACAAATGTACGATACCTCACTAACGTTCAATCAGCCCTGCCCTCAAGTGTGGATAACTTCACGATCAGCCCAGCGCAAGTGGAATTATAACCCTCGCAGCGGTTGGTACCCGGGACTGCAAGTGTACCCATCAGAGAAAGAGTGGAAAATTCTCAAAGCCAACGGTTACATTGGAGAGAATGGTCGCTATGACCCTACAATGATCCCAGCATTCACGGACAAGATCTGGCAGTTTCGCACCGCGGGAGCGCAATCATCGACGCCCGGTACCTACACGTATCAACCTTTGCCAGCAGAAGCAGTTCGAAAAGAGCAGGTGCAGCAATCGCGGCGTCAAAAGAAGGAACAGGTACGATTGCAGGGCCAAATTGCGCACGCGCGTGCGATCCAGCCGCAGAACTGGCATCCTCTCAACCCCAGTCAGAGCTACAACCAATATCACAGTCAATACCCGGCATCACCGTATCTTAGCTTGACTTCTCACGTGTCCTCACCGGTACCCAGCGCGTACCCGCAGGCGCAACACAGCCAGCCAGCACACCACCAAGATCTCCAGCCTCAACATGCGCCACAGGCACCTAGCCAGCAAGGGCCACAGATCAACTTCACTGATCTAATCAGTTTAGCAAAAGCCTTAATGCCTCCCGCATATGGTTACACACAGCAGCCCCAGAACATACCCACCCACGGCTACATACAACAGCCCCAGATATTGCCCTCATATGGCTACATACAGCAGCCAGAGAATGTGCCCACCCAAGGTGACATGTACAAGTATGGAGACCCGAGCAATCCCCAGATGCCATTTACTCTGCATTCAAGGCCAGGAAATGGCGATGCACTGCCACAGAAGACGTTTGAAACCCTCCCAGAGTATATTGAGCATTACCTCGAAGACCCTGGCTCTTTTTATCAGAACTCAACTAAGATACAACTACCTGGTGACGCCGGAAAAGGGGATATTTATTCGAATAGCAGGAACGCTGTGGATCTTTCTCAGCAGCTTTTAGTTCGCCTTGCACAAGAAGAACATTTGAAGACAGAGCTTGCAAACGCGCTTCGCCAGAACTACAATTTACCAACAGTTAAGCAGGCGAGATCATACATTCTCGATGTAGCCTCTCCCGCTCCCAAGAAGGCCCCTCACAAGGACTTACACCAAGATACCTACCAGGATCAAATACCTACCGAAACACACGGATATATAGAAATGAACAAGCAGCACTCGGAAGAATCAGTCAGACACACCCATGTTCCCGCAAATGTACAACATACCATGAGACAAACACCTGGACACAGCCATTCTCCCGCAACTGTGGATCGAATCACAAGCGGAGCACAGGGCTTTTCACCCCTGCCGAACACCTCTTCTCCTCCCACGAATACCCATGAAATGCCAAGAATGGGAACATCAGGACAACCCATTCAGTTATCAAGATCGAGCGGACCTGAAAGCGCACCTGTCACGAATCAGAAGTCGAATCTGCGGCAGGTCTTCTCAAAAAGTGCCGATGTGACGGCTGATAGTGAAGCATACGCGCAGAAACTGCTAGCAATTCGGGGTCCAGCAAAAGATGAAGTCCTCTTCCGATAGTAGTTGAGATCTTCCCCTTTTGTCGCGTTTATTGGGATTGCACAAAACGATTGGCCTTCGAGACAATCGGTTCTGTTTTCTCTTCACATCGGGCATGGAGTTTCTGAACAGCCGGGATCTCTGATACAGCTGGTTCCTTCTTCTCTCAACGATTGGCGTCATCTAAGAGGATTTTCAAAGTGCCTACGCCCTAGCGGAGCTCTCGCTGTTTGCGTGAAGGTAATTTGAGTGCAGACAATCGGTCATTTGTTGTCCTGGACAGCTGGCATCTCTGATACAGCCGTCCCGTTCTTCTCTCAACGTTTGGCATTATTTGCAATCGGTCATTTGCTTTGACGAACAGCTGGCATCTCTGATACAGCTGGCCCCTTTCTTATTCTGGACGATCGGCATGCTACATACGATCGGCATGCTACATACGATCGGACCAATTCGCGTTGCTACCAGTGTGTATACTAGCAGTAGTTAGCGATGAATCAACCAGGTTCATCATCCCACTATGGCCCCCTACTGAACTTAGTAGACAGCTTCGTCTTGACTTCTTGTGCACATTCCAATCTAAGGGTGACATTTTGAAGGCAGTTTTCTCACTCGCAGACGCCAAGAACCTCCGATAGTAATAAAACGGACAAGAACAAAAGACAAAGTCTGTGGGTTTCGCGTTCACATGGCGCGCAACGCCCAACGCCCATTAGGCTGCTTGAAGATACGACAATCCACACCCCATGCCTGAAGACATCCAATGGCCGCTACAGTCTTTGAAAACAGCCAACACCTAGCAAATATCTCGCCACAATCCTCACAGCCAACTTCTATCCCTCGCACAACCACAGTTCAACCATCAATCCGCCCTCAGATACCCGGGAAGAACTCCACGAGACTCAGATCCACGAGCTGCGTGAACTTGTCCACTAGGCTCTCCCCCCTCTGAACGCTCGTGCGCAAAACAGTATGTGTGAACCCATTGCCATTGACGAAGATGCCTACCCCCGCTATGCCTATGCCATTCATCATGCCGTCCCAGTTGCGCGATGCGATGGAAGTGTCGTCAGGTCCGATCTTCTTGGCGTGCCTTGAATGGTTATGTCGGATGAGGAAGGCGATGTTCTCTACAGACGGACGTTAGTACTGGATAGCGCAAGGAACGAAATGGACTACATACCGCATAGAATCAGCACTTTGCGCTCTTCGTCGGCGGATGGGCCATTTCTGCTGGTCAAAGGCTCATCGCGGTAGGGGTATAGTAGGTCAAGGATACGCTGCTCCAGCGGGTCCGCGGGCGTTTGCGAAGGCTGGTTCGGCATTGTGTGCTGGTTTGCTGGAGGAAAGTGCCTCGCTAGGATGTATTGGCAGGAGAGCTTGACTTTGTAGGAACTGACTCGTCAATGAGTGTTTGCGTGCCAAGCCATTGACAATCATTGACTGGCGAGCAGAAGTTGCTAGAAGCTTTCACCAAGGCTATGAAGATCTCTGAATTTATTCTTGGACATGTGTAATTGGTACTATTGCTTCAATCAAGCGAATCTGGGATATGCTGCCTTCTCGATATGTAACGACAGATGAGCTTGTCTACTTTACAAGAGCAGAGTACTACAGTCCTTTGCTTCATACAATAGTATGCGGTGCCCTAAGGTCATGCTAAGAAAAGCTTTTCGCTCGCCGCTTGCCTCCGAACAGCCGAAGACGAGCGCACCCAGACCGTTTTGAATATGATCGCACGACTCTTGGTTAAAACGATATTCAGAAGCCATGTAATCAGAGGAAGAGCAACCATAAGTACGCCCATAGAGATGAAGAATGTCTTGGTGTTACGATCGAAAGAGAATATGTTTCGGTCTGAGCCAAAGTACAGCAGGGTTATGATGATGGGAGTAATTATCTGTTTGCACATTAGAGCTTCCTTTGTGCCGAACAGGGGTGGTGAAACCTACCCAAATTAATGAGACATTCCAACGAGAAATTTTGGATGTTGTTTCTGCAGCCTGAGTGCCACGCCTGTGGAGCTTTTGTGACTCGAAGGCTAGGGCGTTGGTCAGAAGGCACAGTGAATGAATGCGTCGAGCTATTTCATTGGTTTCATAATTCGGGCGGCTGGATTCTACCTCCATGCGAATTTGAAGCTATACTGCGTAAGCCAGGTGTGTCAACGTGATCAATCGATTTATAGCATCTTACCAGTTTCCTCTCGCAGTATTTGCCCATGGAATCAAGCTTTCGTTCAAGCTGCTTGAGATTTTCGAAGGTTTCATGGATGCTATTTAGCGTCGCATGAATGTAACACTCATCGAGGTCCTCGAAGTAAGCAATATCTCCACTAGGGCTGGAGAATTCTTCCCAAGCGCGAATGACAGTCAATATACGTTCCTGCAGTGTTTGGACAAGCAGCATGAGTTTTAAACTTCGGTTGAGTTCACTTGTTGTCGGATTTGCGTTTGCTGCAGAGACGGGACTTTTGTGCTGTTGACCATTAGTCGACGATATTGGAGAACGAGCCACCGTCTAATTATACTTACCAAAGCCTTCGCTGCATGATCAACGCGGTGTACTAGATATTCCCATTCTTGGTGCACAATACGGAGTCTTCTAGCGACGATGCATAGCCAGTACGCTCTAGGGTCCCAGACAAAGTCATGTCTTTCAGATGGTACCCCGTCATGAAGGGAAAAAGGGTTATTCTCAAGTTCATCCTCTAGAAGATGCCCGTCTTCTTTGCTGAGTTCGTCGCTGTAGCTTCCATCTTCGTGTTCTGCATTTTCGTTTGTGTCTGTGCAGCATCGCCGTGCAAACGCGTAACCAGTCCATTGATTGTGATCAATACCGAACAGGACAATTGACACCTGGCTCTCATGTATGGTGTGATGTGAATTCGTATCTGCGCTGGACGAAATGTTGAGGAAGGATAGATCCGTCCAACACTGTTGCTTGTTTCTCGCGCCCCTTCCGTGTTTCTCCGATGTTGGGACAGCTCTGAGCACCAAGTACGGCAAGGAGAACTCTAACTGAAAAGTCTGAAATCCTTGAAGCTTTGAAACTGTAAGCATAATGTGGGTAGAGTCCGAATGATCACAAACTCACGGGAATAGATACTCTGAGAGAGGTGTTAGATCGCAAATAATTCATAACGATAGCTTGCACTGCTTCAACCTGGTGGTATGATGCGCTCTCCATGCAAGCCAGGATATCGTCTGCATCGGGGTCCGCGACATAACTACAGCTGCCGTTAGTGTGAGGTGTCCCGGGCTCGTAACATAACAGTTGCCTACATGAGTCGTCGTTCAGAGTGTACTGCCTTGTCAGTGGTGAATGCCTTGCAACTGTTAGACTCGATCAGCATTGTAAAAATGGAGCATTATCTTGTCAGAGACGTACCGGAATAGCTCGCGCGCATTTGAATAGAGATGCTGTTCTCGAGTTATTGGTTCTAAGCAAGTTCTTTCTCTCACTTCAACCATCCATGCCCTTTTCGATAAAGACGTTGAGTTAGTAACATGTTTGCAAGCTTGAGGTAAGCCATGCCGGCAAAAGTCCTTCACCGTCTGAAGCGCGAAATCTTGCATCCTCTCTGTCCCCTGCATCAAAGAACCAGTGAGGAATGCTTTTGGGACATCATGGATATCGACTCCAACTTCGGCCAGCGTCTGTAGATAGTTCTGCTCATGTGAGTGCCTTTGTTCCTTGAAAATCGGGTTCCACCGTTTCGGACGATTGCGCAAAAACTTGGCACTATCTGGCATAGATGGAGATTCGAAATTCGAGGATTCCGACGCTATTGTTGATGACTGTCCATCTGGGCTTAATTTGACCGACAGAGGAGTGCCTGGGCGTGAGTTTGAATTCTTGTAGCTAGTCGCAATCTCCGTTGGAATTGTCACACCTTCAAGATCGTGGGCATCTGGAAGGGTAACCGAGATTGCCCCTAAGCACTCTCTCATGTTTTCAAATGTGTCCAGAGCAGGCATCACATAGGCGTCGCCGAACACATTAGTGGCAACGACATGTCCGTACATTTCGGGCGCTGCAGAATGTACAATCCATGCACCCGAGTCGCCTTCGCATACTGACATGGACCATTAGTGTATGAACTGGAAAGGGTGATTTGTCCTTACCAGTGCCGTCTTCTAGCTGCAGGAGGTATGCATCAACAAAGCCTTCGCTTTCAGTAAGCCAAATTCTGCTTGGCACGCTTGAAAGCTCTCCGCGGCGGACGCCTCCGACAGCACCTAAGAGTAGGACTGGGTCAGAGACCTCGTCTTGGAATAGAGGTCTTTCGGCCTTCAGTATCGAGTGCACTTCCACATCATTCGCAGCATCGTTCTCAACGCAAGACCCACGTTTTATTACTTGGTTAGGGCGTGCAGCGTTCACGCTGAAAAGCGTCCAGTCGTAGGATGGCGCAGTACGTCCAGCTGATACTCCACGGAACGATTCAGGAAGGAGTATACCGCCTATCGCGCATTCGGCTGGTATCCAGTCCAACAAATCAAACGTCTGCTGACTTGATTGGTCACCAGCTTTCCCGTCCGTATCGACCGACAAGTGTTCGGTTCGAACACGCCCAACGGCATGACCAGCTGAAGTTCCAAGAAGTTGTGTTTCTCCATTTCCGAAGGTAGCTTTCACGATACCGCCGAATGTTGCTAGGCTTGGCATGCTACGCTTTCGCTTTCGATCATGAGATGCAAAAGTGATCGGAGCACCACAATACGTACTGCGATCGGTGTTATGTGTATTCTGAGCAAAAACGCGGATGTTTTCTATTGCAGAGGCGAAGTTTGGCGCCTGTGGCACAATGATGTGTTTCAGTGGAGCGTTGTCGGGGTCTCCAAGACTGAGAAGTGTTTGAACGTAGACGAGTTGGAAGAAAGAGCGAACAGCATCTTCTGCTGCTGGTGCACAAAGTACGACAAGCTTGGGTGTGGCTTCTGAGTAGTTGCGCCCCACCATTTCAAGATGGGTACTTAGATTGCTCATGTTCTGCCGCGCCGTCGTCAAAACATCTTTCAATCTCTTTTCGAGTGCTCGCTGAATGTTACGGTATTCCTCGGTGATGATTTTGTCTCCTGCTTTCCGGAACATGAGTAGGTCTGAGCCAGGTATTGGCCGAATCAAAATCCTCGTTTGATTGCTGCCGTATGTGGAGCCCGAAGCCGTCGCAACCGACGCGATATCTGTCGACATTGATTGATAGGCCGAATCCGTAAGAGATATCGTATCTGTTTGCTTCACCGTGACGCTCTCGTGGACTTGCTTGGAGCCTTCCGCATGCTGAGTGACTGCTGAGAGAAACTTAGCCTGAGCAATAGAAGTATGGCGAGAAAGCCGGAATTGCGAGAGATTACCTTCCATGTCTTATTCAACAGCGCACCAACATGCTCGAGATGTGGCATAAATAGCAGCTGATGCTGCTGGTACCGTTGGTCGATGAGTGCCCGTCTTGTCGCGATGGTGAACTTCAAGATGTGCCTTCTAGTTTTGTGCGGGAAGTCACGAGCGTGAGAGGCAGATTTCCGGTGAGAGTTTTAGCGCCTTCTTCATGCGCATATACCTGAGCAGGTGTGTTGGCTCCAATGGCAAGCTGCTCCGTGAGTTCGACAAGGCTGAGGGCGAAGTTCATTCGCTGGTGAACGCCCCGACCTTTACTGTACGTAGTCTCGACGTGGCGAGGCAGATTCACGTGATTTGATTGAGTGTCCGGAATTTATTGAGCTATATTCGAGGAATTATTCTCAAGTTATCGAGCGGCTACTGCTCTGCAACTTATGGCGACATTTGAAGAAGGCCTGGTGTTAGGGCCTTTGTCGCTCGACAGTCCAACTCTCAGCGAACAGGACAAGGTATGCCAATACCTGTGGGATTGGCCGGATTGTACAAGCTGCCGTAAAGCAGGGCACTGTCCCATCAGTGCCTGTCCATGGAGCAGGAAAGCTGGGGTCCAACAGTACTTGCAGTTTTATAAGGACGTCGCGTGCGGAAGTCGTCCGGCGGATACTTTCGAGGTTCGACAAGCGCTTCGCGACCACAATGAATTGTTGACAATCATTCGCCTCATCAAGAGCCGCCCGAGTTCTGCTCGACGCACACTCATGCAGGAACACTTCGCTGCCTACGATGAGCGGCCTTCCCTGGCCGAACAGAACCGAGCCTTCGATGTCGCAATACGGTTACTCACCATGGTCGAGTGTTCCACGGGAGGCCACCAAAGGCTCGACATAAGTCCACTCTCGCCCTCCATTGTTTGGAAAGGGGACGACTCGGCTATCGGCTTCGCGGAATCAGCAGTTCGGTTAGGTGCCCCATTGACTTATGACGAGATTGTGGTGCTGCTTCCCGACTTGACGGCGCAGAATTTAGAGAGCCATGGAATGGTACTTGTGCAAACCAATAATATTCGAGAGCACTTGCTGTATAACCCACGAGCCAGGATCGTGCACGTTTATCATTATGCCGGGTTCCTGAAAGAGTGCCTCTGGCCGAAACAGCATGAGAATCCTGTTGATGCGTTAGTTACTGCCAGAATAAAATTGAGAAAGTTTCTAACATTTCATTAGAGCAATCTTTCCCCGCCAGCTTGCATTCGAGACACTTTATTCGCTTCAATCGGTTTTGTTCCCATGGCATGATCAACTGAGCCGTGCTATAGTCGAGAGAGAAGGGTTTGACCGGACATGCCTGGAAGTTGATAATGTGCATTACAGTGTCCAATTTGAGCATTGGGGTGCGCGAATGCGTGTTCTGGCCAGGGTGCTTGAGACAGGGAGACCAACGAACGCGTTATGGGCTTGGCTGAAGAGAAGAAGTAGGATGAAATTGGTGATGTTGCTGATTGCTGCATTTGCAGCGATCGTGACGGTCGCGACCTTCATCCTCGAGGCCTGGAAGAGACGGGAGAAAGAGGCTTGAGTAATTTATATCGAACTGAAAATGTAGTCAGCCAAGAAGAAAAGAAGAAGAATAAATGACAATGGCCTTGTAGTTAGATGATGCTCTAGGGTGACCTATATAGATGCTAAGCGCCTGTGTGGTCCCAAAAGAACCGGTCAGGCAGTGATAACCGACCTAGGCCTGATGCTGAGAAAAAATGATACCAGATACTCTCTTGTATAGATAGACATGTAGCCCAATGAAGCCCCCAGATTAGCCCGTCGAAAGCACAGAAATATATTCGCAATACCAGATAGACTCCATTCCACGCACTTCACCCGAGCGCCGATCGCCGGGTTCATTCTACAAAGATGTCATCTCACTCCCTTTATTTTTATGCAGTCGGAAAATTCCGGAAATGTGCCTCTGAAGCTCGGTCCAAGAGACCAGTTGTTCAAATCCCGCAGGTGACTTTCAAAGGCTGGGTTAATGAACCATTGGTCATCTTCGTTGGGCAGGGTGCCAATCGATCCGACTGCACCAGGTGTGCTAGCGGTTGGCTGGGGTGTCGGCGGTCCATGCGGAGAGCCAGCATTTACGTGTGTTGAGAAAGGTGACGAAGGGTGAACAGATGAGGTTGAAGATAGGGTGGAGGAGCGAATTTTGGAGGCCGGGAGGAGGCAATCGCGTGGCTCGTAGGGCCAGTTTAATGAGATGGTTGTGGTGAATGGGATGAAGAAATTTTCGAAAGACACGAATGGCTTGGCTGCGATCTTGTCGCGAAGTAATGGCCTAAGAGTTGATTAGTAGGAGAATCAAGAGGGAAGAGGTAGCGTGATTTACCAAGGAACATGATCGCACCAGGCCGGATGAGCTGAAAACAGCTGCGCGGGCCGTGGTGTGATCCAGTGTGGCATTCGTTCGTAGTTCTCCTGAGTAGGTTCGATTTGCCAGCGCATGACCAGGAACATGATGAAGATGATGGCAACCTGCTCGGGCATGCCACAGATGTCGGGAAAGGTGCGCAGAATGTCAGTGAAGAGCTTTGAGAGCGGGTGGGACTCGACATTGCGTTCCGGGTAGGCCAGCGAGGTGAAGTTGGGGTACAGAGGGCCAACGAGCGTCTTGAGGGGTACACCTTCGGCAGCGCGTGTTTGGCGATCTTGCAGAAAGTCCAGCAAGATGACGTCTAGTGGGCAGGTGGCGGCAACGTTGCGTGGGAGGGTGAGGTGGGCGACGAGGGCTGGGGCATACTGTGCGTACTGGCTGCTACTGACGTTGCTAGGCGGCGGCTGAACGGGGGGAGGCAGGTTGGGGTCGACGGGTCTCCGCTGGTTGTTGTTGTCGAGAAGGAAGTCGACGCCTAGGCGCTCATCGAAGGGCATTTCCGTCTGGATATGCGGGGTTCTTGCATTCTCGAACTGGGGGCTGTCGTTGGAATAGCGACGCAGGTGGCTCGTTGGGGCATTGTCGGGATACAGCCATTGTCGGCCGCCTTCTGTGCCGCTTGGTGATTGTATGCCGTTGGAGGGCGATGCTGCTGCGAGGTCGTGGAGGGTGGTGGTACGGAACTGTCGTGGGTCGGACGGTTGCACAGGCGCGTCGCGGTGTTGGAGATGGAGATGGTGTGAGGAGACTGGAAGAGGCGAGCGCTCAGCAGCGGCTGCCAGTTCTGTATCGTGTGTGAGACGTGTGGTTCCATGCTCTGGATGACTATAGAACATACCATTGAGGCCGCCCGAGGCCCTGACGATGGGCTGGATGATGCTCAGGACGCTCTCCAGCCGCTTTTTGATGTCGGCGTTCTCGGCCACGACGGCGTCCTTGTCGCGGAGCACGAGTTGCAGGTCATGGTAGGGCTGCTGGCTCTCGAGGTCGCGTATGCGCTCATTGAGGCGGTCGATCTGGTTCTTGGTGCGCTCGCGGATGGCGCGCTGGGCCTCGCGGTCGTTTGCGCGCTTCCTGGCCAGCTGCTCGGGGGTGAGGTTGGCGACGCCGCGCGAATTGGGAGCGGTGCGACGCCTCTTGGGGACATGGCCATCAGACTGGCCGTCGTCCCTGGGGGCCTCTGAGGGGGTGTCTGGCTCGCCCGGGGACGCCATGCTGGCTGGCTGGCTGTCGCTGTGGGGTTGGCTGTTGTTGCTGCGACTCAGGGCAGCTGGAGAGAAATCACTGCCCGAGTCATGAAGCTGGACACTGCAGATGAACTGCGACGCTGCAGGACGGCGGCCGCCTTGGCGAGTGGGTGGAGTGGGTGGAGTGGGCGATTGCGGGGGGACGCCGGGGGCTACCTCGGACCGCTCCCCTCGGATAACGCTGCCCGCGCTGAGCATGCTTTGCTCGAGTCGACACCACTACCAAGCTATGGGATAGGCTGATTAGACTAGAATCATGCTCACAATGAGCCTTCCACCTCTTCTCCATGCTCGTCCGCCAACACCATGGCAGACCAGAATGTAAGCAAGCTACGCATCACCTCGGCCACGCTGAAAGCGAGTATGTACCCCACATCGTTCCTGCATCCACCTTCTTCTCCACACTACCCCAGGCGCATCATCGGGGCATGCTGACATGTTGTAGTCTTTTCCGCGTTGCAGCGCTCACTCTCTTCTCCGTTCAAGGGCGCCAATGGCTCCAACACCTACTTCAAGGATGTCATGTTTGCCATGCTCCGCACCCAGCTGGGCAACCTCGACCTCGCAGCCGACCGCTACATGAACGGCACCACGACGCCAATCTACCTCAAGTATGCCCAAGACAACCAGTTCGCGCCAGAGAGCATCACCTTGCCAAGTGGCACCCAGGCCTACCTGTTTGGCAGCAGGAGTGCTAAGAAGACGCTGATCTACCTCCACGGTATGTCAAACTGTCATGTCAGACTGTCATGTTGCTAGCGCTGGAGCTGACTATAGTAAACAGGCGGCGGATACGTAATGCCCTGCGGACCAGGACATATGCTCTGGCTGGACGACCTGCAAAAGTCGCTCGGCCCCGACGTGTCTGCCCTCCTCCTCGCATACGACCTTGCTCCCGAGCACAAGTATCCCACCCAACTTAGGCAGGCGGTCGAGCTCCTCCGCTACCTTGTCGAGACAGAGGGACGCAGCCCGTCAGACATCATCCTTGGAGGAGACTCTGCCGGCGCCAACCTGATTCTCGGCCTGCTATCGCATCTCGCCCATCCACACCCAGATATACCACCTCTCTCACTTCCCTCCAAGCTTCACGCTGCTCTGCTCATCTCGCCATGGGCTGCGTTGACCAACACAAACACACCCGCATTCGTTACAAATGCCCAGCGCGACATGTTCGATTCACGAACGCTGAACCGTTGGTCTACTGCCTTCCTCGGCTCCGACTCTCCTTTCGCCGGTGACTTTTACAACGAACCCATCCTCGCCGCACCAGAGTGGTGGGAGCCTGTTGCTGATGTTGTCGAAGAGGTGTTGATATGGGCTGGCGACAATGAAGTCTTAAAAGATGGCATCGAGGCATTCGCCAGCAAGTTTACAAAAGGCTTCGGTGGCAAGGGAGGAAGAGTGCACACGATAGTCACACCAAAAGCATGTCACGAAGAGATGATTGTGGAGAGAATCTTAGGGTACAAAGGTGATTCGGGCACGGGCAGCCAGCAGGTGGTGCATGAATGGGTGAGGGCCAAGCTTTGATCAGGGTTGTGCGGTCGAGCGTGTACGTATATCTCGCATGTAGACAAGAGACTATATCGCTAGGCTATCCTAGTGATATTCACATTCTACTAAACTTCATGTTACTTCGTCAACTTCACATCTCGTATGAAATCGCACAGGCGCAAAATGAGAATATCTATATTTATATTTATTACACAGTAATAGAAGCTACCAAACCACGTGTTCAGACAATGCTTCTATGACGACTAATTTATTTGTCACCAGTGTCGTGGATAGCGTTGGGTACAGCCCTTTCGACCGACTCGGGCAGCTTCTCCTGGATCTTCTTGGGGACAATCGATGCGTCGCCGCCATCCTTTGCGTGAGACTTGTTGGTGGACTGGTTGTTGGGGTTGCTACCAGTGGGATGGACCTAAGACAGGCTTATCAGTACACGGCTCGTCGTACACATAGCTCACAACATGGGTAGATAGACATCACTTACACCTTCGGGCAGAGCCTCTTCGAGGCCCTTGGGCGCAGCGTCCTGGACCTTGTTGGGGACCGCAGACTCCCCCGTGGCATGGGACTTGCCCTGTCCGTACTCGTTGGATGAGGCCATTCTGATGGATGTAGTAGTCGACTGGAAGATTCGCGTCTGTTGGATGAGGGGGCGTGTGATGGTTCGTAGTTTGAGAGCAACAGGCATGTTGAGTTTAGTTATAGACTTTTGTCAGTAGGCTGAGAGAGGTGAATTTATGTACGCGTCTGTGACTCGTAGATAGTTTGCTGACGCCTTCGATACTACCATGTATCAGAGCGCGTCATTGCCACGTCGTTGACGGCTGCCTTGTGAGAGCATGTACTCCGGATTGCGCGGTATGGTAATGCGCGTGAAATGGGGTCTGTCTCTACTCGTCGTCTTGTGAGTGGTCAGACTACTATCGTGTCGTCACGTTCGTTGCCAAGCATGACCACTCGATATCCCCGCGGCGATCATCAAGCCACCTTACACAAACATAGCGTGGATGGCGAAACTAGCTGGCCTGGCGTTAGGCCTCCAGACGAGCGGGATGCGGGTTGGTTGCGTAGTCGTTGGCGGAAAGTTCATCCGAGTCGGTCTTCGATGACACCGAATGTCCGCCATGTCCGTTTGCATTAGAGTTGAAGTCTGGCATCTGGTCTCAGTTGGACTTCATCCACCAAGAAGCTTGCTGCAGTTTGGATGGTACGACTATCAGCAGTGTTTCAATCACGGCATATCGAACATGCGTACAGGATCAACCGTCTGTCACAAACCGGAACGCTCACACGATGACTTTCCCCGTCTCATAATAGTTGCTCAAGCAACATAAAATATAGGATCAAGATCTGTCGGCGTATCGAGTAGCGACTAGAAAAGGATGTCATGCCGACGTGATTCCCTGACGAGTTGAAGATGTCAACAACGCGAGCGAGACAGGGCCTTGCGATTAGAACACGGGGATTTCCAAGGTTCTTTGTTTGAAAGTAGATTCAACGCTAGAGCGGATCCTGCTGTTCTATAATCTGCTGGTGAAGGAGCGAAGGTATTGAGAGAAACTGTGGAAAATGGCATTCGGGAGAGATGAAGTTGGTGGCACGTGTTCGTACCTGACGCTAGTGAAGTTCCTCGGCGTGACGCCATGCCCCGCGAACAACCCACCAAAGCCCTCCAGAACTTGCACCAAACTAGTGTACACTATACATAACATGGCTTCAGCAACGGCAACCGACCTTCAAGCGCCGCCTGGTCCTTCGCCTCAAGCCGCAAATACCTCGACGAGCACGCAATTTCCTCCTGTCAACATCGGCACTCGCAACTCGGTACTCGCTCAGATCCAAGCTCGGGCAGTCGAGAAAGCTTTGAAGGATGCATACCCAGACCGAACGTACAACATATGTCCCGTCGTAGTGCAGGGGGATAGGGACAAGATCACGCCATTGCAGCAATTGAGCCAGGGCGAGAATGCGAAGAGCTTGTGGACGGGTGAATTGGAGAGCATGCTCGAGGCCGGAGACTTGGACATTATTGTACACTGTCTGAAAGGTACTTGTCCCTCATATGCCTATTATTTGGCAATCCTCATCAGCAGCGGTTAATCAATGGTATAGACATGCCCACCCAACTCCCAGAACATCTCGAACTCGGCGCCATCCTCGAACGCGAAGACCCCCGCGACGCCCTGCTTATTTCGCCCCGTCTCCCAAAAGACACGACACTAGCGTCACTACCGCAAGGTGCTACGATAGGTACCTCGTCGGTTCGTCGCGCCGCTACCTTGCGGAAGTTTTTCCCCCACCTGAAATTTGCCGACCTGAGGGGCAATGTTGGCACAAGGCTAGCAAAGCTCGATGCTGAAGACTCACAATACTCCGCAATTATACTGGCGGCTGCTGGTCTGAAGAGGATGGGTCTCGAAAGCAGAATCAGTCAGTATTTGAGCAGCACAAATGGTGGCATGCTGCACGCAGTCGGCCAGGGCGCCCTTGCAATTGAGATTAGGAAGAATGACCCAGTCATGAAGGAGATTCTTGAAAAGGTCCGGTGCGAGCGAACAACAAGAGCATGCTCAGCCGAGCGAGCGCTGCTACGCACACTCGAGGGTGGCTGCAGTGTACCCATCGGTGTCGAGACATCGTGGCGAGGTGGCAAGGGCCTAGCAATCGGCGCACAGCCAGCAAGAGACTACGACAAGCATGGCAACGCCATCGAAGAATCAGAACCTGACATCGACGATCAAGAGCTAGTGCTAAGGGCTCTAGTTGTGAGTGTTGATGGCACAGAATCAGTCGAGTACGAGGCTGCACGCAAGGTTCGATCAGCAGAAGAGGCAGAAACCATGGGCCGAGAAATAGCCAAGATTCTGATCGAGAAAGGTGCGGACAAAATATTGGAGAAGATCACCGTGGAGAAGCAGTGGGCTGCGAAGAAGCAATTGGAAGCGATTCAAGCCGCTGCAAGTGCCTCATAGCGCTTGAGGTTGGATAGCACCTCTTAGTTGTATAGGGATCGTGTTTTCCCACGCTACCCCTGACACATCGCAATGTCATAGCCGCATGCAAGGTTAGGTGACGATGTCTACTCGCTGTATCAGTGCTACGGTGAGTAGGCGTTAGCTGTCAGCTGTGAAGGATGCATACTCATTATACTTTGGAGATAGCAAAATCCAACTTTGACGCTAGAAAAACCTATTTGCCTTTTCAAAACTAAGTCTCAGGAGGTCCCTATACTACAACAAGTCAAGCTTCAAGCCTCCAAAATGTGCCGTATCCGTATCCGCATATACACGCAATGCAGCTGCGTCGCTAGTACGCGAGATTTCCCTTGCAGACACTGGCAGACAGGAACGCCTTTACAGATGTGCCCGCATTTCACATGGACCAGGGCCGAAACAAGAGCACCGGGGATGTGTGGGCTGCATAGGCTGAGCGGGTTGAGTCGCGATGAAGGGTACTGGTCAGGACACTGAAAGCTGCGCTGTCGAGTGGAATTGGAAGATGGGGGCGCTGACTCTAGTATCTGGGGAGGAGATGGGGTGAAAGCGGTGGGAACTGGAATACTCAGTGTGGGGCAATATTGAAGTGTCATGTTGGTGAGTGGTATGTGTGACTGTGTTCGTATCACCACGCTACCTGAGGAAGTGAGGAGATTCACTTGAACGCGCTGTATAGCCTCTATGCTCTACATAACAGCTGTCGGTGTATGCCAACAGTCGATTCCATTTCAGTCTAATTTCGTGAAGGGAGGAATTGAGGCAATACTGAAGAGAAAAGATCTTGATGCTACGTACGAGGTGTACTCCCCGCTATGACTAGTGGTGGTCAACCGCTTCCATGTCACGATGACTGTTGGCAAAGGGTGAATATACTCCAGCTCCCCATGTCACGATGACTGTTGGCAAAAAGTGAATATAAACCAACTCTCCATGTCTTTCACGTTTAGAATGTCCCACATCCTTCCTCTCTTCCTCCTCTTAAACACATATACAAGCTCCATACCAGCAAAGCCTCATACAAAGCATAAAACATTTCCTCTTCCACACCAAGCAACCTCGTACCACCGACAAAAAACCACAATCTCCCGATAACGGCGATTCCTACAATGTGCCTAGTCGTATGGATGCAATACCGTGATTGCAACTGCGAGGTTCCAAGGACGAGGCAAGAGCGTCGCTGCCGCCGTATCGACGCCGATGTTCCCGTGTCACAATGTCCATTTCGCGCCGAACAAAAGCGCCATGTGAGACACCCTGATATATGCGGTACTTGTAGGGAAGCAGGCGGACACGGTGATGAAGGGTATGGGCCAGGACGGAGAGAATGAATAGTGGCAGCGTATGAAGCGAGGAAGGGAAATGATGGGTAAAGGAGGTTGGCGATGATTGAAATTTCGTATGACCAACTCAACGGTTTTTCCATGGTGTGGCAATAAGTACACTTTCACAGGTTAAAATCTTCTAATCGAAGAACTATATCCTATCTACTCTGATGTGACCTACAGCAACTTCCACTCCCGCGACTGAGACACTAGCTTGCGTTCGCCTGTCGAAAGCCAGGCCAGCAACGAGAGCGAGTACAGCTTATGGGCGTCCGCATGTTTGGCTTGTGGTACATCCGCGTGCGAGAAGAAAGTTTAATCCAAATTTTACTAAAATTAACTAACGAGGCGGTTCATGGGGGTGTGTGACTTCAAGAATGACAGATCAGCAGAGACGTAGAATTGAATTGACTAGTAGTGTAATATTCGAGCTACGGCGACCATGATCTTCAATAGGTCGGACAGCATCGCAAGAGGGCGCCATAAAAACGGGATATACGTCTCAATCGTGTTGGGCTGACGAGTTGAAAGCTTCAGGGCGTTGAAATTACACGTGCCGCAAGAGTTGGTCGATATAACTTCAATGCTAACATCATTCAAGTAGTCGTTTGGGTTCTGGTAGATCATCTGAGTTGGAACCTAGATTGGAGTCAAGGTAGTAGCCTCTTCTTGAAGTCACTGCTCCTCATTATGATAGCCCATACCATCCAACACATTCTCTAAATCGCGCTATGCTTTATTCTTCGGCCTTTTAGACTCAACCCCACTACCAAGAAGTTTGAATTGTATCAAAAGTAACACCGCAACAAGAGGGTTAAAGAAGTATATTAGTACTAAAGCAGGACGTCTCAACAACCTTATCTAGAGCCTTTTTTTTATTCTCTTGTACGCAGCTTTCACAACGACTTCAAGCAGTTTCATAATGCCTATCGCAATTCATCCATTACTTCATGCACATATATCAGCCGAAGGACAGATAGAAAACCTCGCCACCAAGCAAGTAGGCAAGAACAATGCCACCAAGGATTTGTGTCCCTATACTAACAACATTCACATAAGAGGCGAGAATATTCCAATAGGCTTCGAAGACTAACCCGAGACTGGAATTCCTCCTTTCTCCTCTTATAAGTGGACACTATCTCGAGCTGAACTCACTCCATGAAGTCGTCGAACTAGATCCGGGGTATATCACTGGTTTCTAGAAACAGGACGTCGCATCTGTTGATACAAAGGCCTGCTACGGAAGGTGAGGTGTATGCTAGACTAAAAGTCTATTGTTCGCAAGAAACCTTCGCGATGAGTAGCTCAGGTAAAACGACTGAGTACTGCCCTGTCCTCATCCTTTATGCATATCGAGGTCACTAGGGGACACTCCACGCTGGAGGTACTCGAAGGTGGTGGGACGACGTCGCTCGAGCAGCTTCGCTACAGCATTACAGCTTGACGTGATAGATTTCAGAAGCCGTAGGCACTACGTTCGTACGAAGGATATTCCGTACCCCTTTCCCAGGATACGACCAAGGCCCTAGCTAAGAGTAGCGATTACGTGGAGTTGTTGTACGACGTACGGCCAGGAGAGGAGTAGTCTCGTCAGCTACATGCTTCGTGAAGTCGGTGACCATTTTATTCTCCTGGTATTGACGAGTTATGACCACCGAGCAGCAACTTTGGGTTGACCAGGTAGAATTGCTTGACTTTCAACTCCGACATCGAGCTGTGGTCATTACAGCACCGTCATCTAGGACTCGCAATATGTGTCCGGTGGCCTATTACGCGTTTCACCGGCCTAGAAGAGCCACAAGATTAGCAAAAGGTGTCTTGGGAATAGTCTATTGTTCTCTTACTCAAGATCGCACATCGTACTGTGTTACTGGTGCTAAACACACCGACGACGTCAACTCGCCACGCGATTTGGTCGCTTTCTCCGCGCCCTACAACTGTTCGATGGGGACGATGGTCGATTATTGGCTTGTTGATGTCTCATGTGCCGTACTGAGACATGAGAGAACGACCATGGCACGGTTAACGCGACGCTTTCCATTTAGAGGCCGACGAGACCGAGCGAGGTGTCAAGAGGGCTCAGGTAGCCCGTTCTTCGTCGACATTCGAGGTGCGCACTCTCAGGGCGTTGTTGCGCAGTGAGCGACTCGTCGGGCTATAATCGTTGGTTAGCATTCCACCTTGAAGCTAGTACCGTGGTACTGGAGTGTTATACCAAGTGCCCAGTGTGTACACGGTCCCTTACAAACACTGGCCTCTTCTCCTCTTGCATATTTGCATGGTGACATCCCTGGTGTGTTCGAAGACACGGCTAGAAGATGTACGTAGTGTCTTGTTATTTGACGAGATGCGATACGAAGATGCCTCGGTCGTAGGGCTCGAAGCGATCGTGTAGTCTTCAACGTCGGCGTGCGCTTGTGCGATGAGGCGAGGCAATGCTCTGGGTCGAGGAGCAGTTCATGGTTGAGATCCAGCAGATGTTCTACGTCAGCCTTTTGTGGCAACTGAATGGGTGTGTTGCAGAGCAGTAGTCTCTAACTATTGCTCTGCGAAGGAGCGGAGGGTGCGTAGCAGCTCCTGACATTTGACGAGCTGTTGTCTGAGGGATAGCAAAGATGAAGTCTCATGACATCGACTGTAGGGAGAGAGAAGACAGCTTTGCCTGTCAGGGCTTCGCTGAGTTGAGTCCTGGGCCAAGGACTCGATTTGCGAGGAATGTAGGAGCGACACGCGTGCCAGATTTGCACAAACATAATTCAGCATGCGCTGAGAATGGTCCTAAGACAGTACAGAGAGAAAAGAGCGCGCAGATTCTCTCAGTGTGAGGAGGCTAAGGGGCTGTTGCCTGGGGGTAGCGCGAGAACTATGTGGCACGGTCGAGTGAAGGGGGCAGTCCTGCCTTTCAGCCTCGTACAAGCACAAACTGAGGGACCAAGCACGCGGTATTAAGCAATTTCCGGGTCATGCAAGGCTAAATTGTAGCACAGCACGCGAAAAAGTCCAATGTAACGTTGATAGCAATAAATTGTTCCTACATATGAAATACAGCCCCCGTCTGCATTCCTCACACTGATAGCGATAAACGCCTTTTCCTACACCTATACCTCAAAAACACACTTGGTTATTATCGAAATCAGTTTTCGACGTTCGCGGCCCCCTCTGTCGTCGCGTTGCTCGCGTTTTCCTGCGCTTCCACGACCGCTTCGCATGTGTACTCAGTGGCAAACAGAGCACGCGCTCCATCGTTCTCGCAAATACAAAGAATGAGTAAGGATAACCTGATAACTATGGTGCTTTCCAAACTATGCGCTTCTTCGGTAGAGGCAGGTGGCGTATTGTTAAGCTCTCGCACGGTGTAGTCGTACGGGTAAGCTGGGGACGATAAAAGTAAACAATCTACACTCAAGGTCAAAAGGCGTAGGAGATAGTCACCTTCTAGGTCGTATTCATCCACATTAAATGTATCGGTTGGTATCCACGCTCCCATCGAAACGACCTCGAGGTCTTGGAGGTCAATTTTCAAGTCGCTACCCTCGGCGTTATCCCCCATGTAGTCAGGTGTCAGACAGGATAGGAAGTGGCCACCATGGCTGACGTGCTCAGCTAATGCTGTGATTACAATCCCCCCCTGTTCGGGTGTAGATGAGGATTTCGAGGCCATGAAGGAACAAGTGATGGAAAATTTGCCCGAAATGTGTGAGACTGAACCAACTACAGAGTACATGGACCTATTCGTTACTTATAATCTTAGACTTTCTGTCGCACAAGAAGCATGCGTCCATCTGCTCATCCCATGGCGACGACAGATCAACGCGAGAGCAACTGTGATGGGAAGCTGGGGTATCGCGCAGCATTCGCAAACGATCGGGCCTTTTGCTTGGACCGTCACAGACAGCTAAGCGACCATGTAGAGCGTGAATTGCAAGCTGTACACAGCCCACACTGGTAAGCCATCGAAAGTGGTGTGGCCTATAACGGCCCGCTTGGATGTGGAACATATCCACGAGCCGTATGCCGAATCGACCATGACTCATCGAAGTTTCAGGGCCGATGATGGGGAAGATCGGCCTACATCGGTAGGGGATGAGTTCCCGGCCTGCCATACGCTCCGTTGGGAGATGCAGATGCACCAACATGACCATGGATGGAATCCAGTGCATCCATGCCCAGGCCCCATGGTCCAGACTCCGATCCCACTTTCACGCACATCTTGTTGACCGGCTTAGGACCCAGCACAGGGTTTGGTAGACCTATCACGCGTATGTGAGACTGCGGCCACGATCCGGTTGGAACCTCACGGACCGGGCTGAGCAAGGCAGCCAGGTCCCCTCCTGATAGGGAAGGAGCTGGGAGTGTGCCCGCATCCCCGGCGGAAGCTTGTGTCCGTCCCAGCTGTCAGGAGATGTAACCGCGAGGTTCGCCACGCTGTATTGTGTCTAGCCCTCGTAACCCCATGTGTCTCTTTTGTGACTATAATGCCGTTTCACAGGCTAGACTACCGGGTACCGCCAAGTATCCCGAACCACATGTCAGGGGCGAAGCCGCGAGACATTTCGGCTGCTCAAGATCCGCACTGCCTGTACTGGAAGCGGTGAAGGTCGTCCTGGCTCGTTACGTCCATCTACAGCCTCCCGCCCCCCCGCTTCTGTGTTCCGATGTCAGTTTAGTTGACAAAGTCACACCGCCCTAATGTAGGCGAGGTTCGATACCACTGGGATATGGGGGTGGGGTCCAAGGCCAGCCAAGACTGACCTAGCAGTATTGACGGTCGTTAGATATTCAATACCAGTTATCGGGCCTTTGGCAAGGGCATGCGGGTAGGACCCGAGGAGCAAGATCGACACGAAGGCGCGGCCCATTAACCAAATCCCATGCACCCGCTTGCCGCGCCATGGTGGTCGCCGCTACCAGATCGTGGTGGCTTCTTTGGCGAGCAGTCAATCCCACAAAAGCGTGTCGGTTCAGGTGCCCTATGCTTTATCGCTCTTTTGGAGCGCTTTGGAGGTGATAGCTAGCACTATGGCTCGACTGCCTCTGCCTGGGATGTCGTATAACCCCTATGCTTGTAGCTTCCTCTCATAGCGAAGTGGTGTCGTGAGAATTTAAGATTGCGCAGCTTGAAGATGGTGCGAAACGGGTCAGCCAGGTGAGGGTGGAATTTCCCCAAGACCAAGAAGAGTGGATTACCCGGACCCCCTGTTGGCGTGGTGGTGGGATCCTGGTGGTAGTCTCCCTGGGAGTGCACTTCGCGTAGAGACCGCTAAATTCGGGAAATGAGTGGCCTTTGGGCTCGGGTTTGCGCGTCGTGTTTGATATCTACTCGGCACGACAGACTAACTTACCCTGGATCTGTTTGACGGGCTTATTTGTAGCGAAGCGCTCCACCTGCGTTGTTGTTGCTGGTTCAGCAGCTTTGTCAGCTCATTGGCTAGCGGTGGGACAGCGAAGAACGATTCAGCCCTATCACTCCGCGAACTATATACATGTCTGAAACGACACATTCGCTCACCCTAGCAAAATCAGCGGCCTCGTTTTCTCGATGTGTTTTCGTCATTGTTTTACTGTGACAGAGATGTTCCGTGCATCATTACTCGAGAATTGTTGACGTGATAGGAGGCGCGCTACCAACGGCGCAGCCCGGAGATTGTGGGTATTCAGATCCTGATCCCTGCAACCACGGAAGACTCCAAGACCGAGCTGTCAGGCAATAGGATGAGCTGAAGCCTGCTCCCCACTTGGGCCCAGGTTTCCCTGTTGAAGGACGAAGTAGCGTCTAGTTACAGTATCGAGTCGTCCCTTGCATCTAATATGTAGCATAGCGGATGTAAACCCGGAGCCGTCACGACCACCAACGCCTCCACATGCAGTTGTAATTAAACAACGCATTTTGGGTCGTGGAGGGTGGTGGTTGAGAGGACGCTCGCAATAGCTTACCCCTGCATATTTCGACGACGCTTCGACGACGCTAAAGCCTGCATACTGGAAGAAACAGTTGTGGGTCGCAGAACAGGCATGGATATTCCCGTGGACCTGGCTCTCATGGGTTCATAGAAACGATCTGCGGTGGGTTCGAACTTCGCCCCCCTTGGTACTCTGCCATTTGCTTGAAGTAGCCAGGTGCAGTTCCACGTAGGCACATCGACGATCCGGCCGTATGGGACGCGGATACGGGAGAATTTCCACTTCTACAACCGTGGTGAGTACATTATTCGCCTACGATTTATCTGCAAGCCATCACTAGAGGAGGCCGCAAGTCGCGCCGAAGCGAGAGCCCAGCAGAGGGGTAAGACGACGGGGAGGGCGCAAAGGAACCACGATGCTGGAACGAAGGAGACGGTCTGGCTCGGAGGAGCAGACAGGAAGGATTGTATTGGTTTCGAGAAGCGAATGGCGAACGATCGTCATTAGAAGTTTGCAAATTAGTAACAAAAGTAACAGTAGGAAGTAATATACAGGTTTAGCGTTGAAATGCACCGTGCCGAGTACCTAACAGGGACATGATTGGAGAGACGAAGAAATTATTGAAATCGACCTGCAAGCGGTGAAGCTATGTAGCGATCTGCACTTGCTTTTCTCGGAGTGAAGGAAATGCTAGGTCAGGACGCCTTACTGCAAGGCCCACACACTTATCGCCGATTCGGGGTTGTCACTGTCGCTTTGTTGGCTGATTGTTCTACAATAGCTTCGAGCTCGCGAGAGATATCCACCATATCGGCCCGTATCATGTGTCCGCAAGTGCAGCCGCCAGAGGCGGATGTACCAACGCGGAAGTCCTGCGAAAAGCCCGCCGGTGGCATACACTCGAGTCGCTGTAAAGGCTTTGAACCTTCAGGTTTGGGGTGGGTTGGGGCCAGTTGGAGGATGGCAGAGTGGTAAGGACAGTTGACATTGAGAGGGGTTGAATGGATCGTGTTTGTTGGTGAAACGACCAGCCCTTGATTGAGGTACTTGATGGAAAGACTGTCGTGCGGATTTTGATGATTCATGGTACCAGATAAAGGGTATAGTGATGCTAAGTGTGAGCACTTCTGTTCCGCTTCTGAAATCTAAGCCTTAGTCCACGAAGTGCCGATCAAAAGAATATGCCCACTTACATCGTAAAATACAACTTATATTGGAAGTATCGGTTTCGGAGAGTTTATGAGCAATACTCTAAGCTAGTGAATGGAAGAAGCAGTGTATAGAGGATGGAATAACATTCAAGTGTCAGCAGAAGGTGTACCTTTATAGAGCTCTCTAAGTTAGAAGACAAGAGTCCTTCCTAGTAAGAACGTCGCTTTTGCTGCAAGCTGGTCGATTTCCAGTCTAGTATTCCCCCAAGGCAGCGCCTGAGGCGGCGGGCCGGACGGAAACGAACGTTTGGCGTAGCTAGCGTGATAATTGAAGCGCCGATTCCACTTTTTGGTGCTGAAATTTGTTCTAAGATGGGATCGGCTCCCAAGTAGAGGCATAGGTGCATAGTGCTCAGCTCCATTGTGTGGATCTGACGTATCGCGGGCTTTGACGGCTTCGCGGGTGTCGGATGCTGCCGTGTACATCAGATGCCATAAGGAGAAATTTCTACAGTACCCTAAGCAATCAAAGTTTAATGATGTGAAAGATTGCCGGCACGGTTCTTGTTGTATGTACTGTCCAAGCCACATGCAGGGCCCTACGTCGACTGATGCCAGTCAGCAGTAGTGTGGAGAATCTGAGAGCGATTCACTGGTTGGAATACCGTTCGCCGATTTTCAGGCTTGTTTATTGTTACACAAGGTCGAAACACAAGTTCGAGACTCTAATACCGATTCGGTACTCGATGTCAGGATTTACTCTAGTTTGAAATGAACCATTATCAGATGAGAAGACGCACGCGCTAGGAAGCATGCTACACAGAAGCGAGGGTGTCAGCTTCCATACTACTGGAAACCTGGAGTAGGTGCCTGCTGGGGTTCGGGCCCACATGTCCTAGTTGATATTCTCATATCTGTACACCGCTTCATCCGACTGTCGATCGGACCCCCTTTTGCAAGCTGATCATGCGAATCGCGCAGGCTCACTGAAGCCCAGTACGTCTTTGAGTATCTCAACGCCTCGACAAGTCGTCAATGTCTGAGCACTGACTTACTCAGAGACTCGTTAGTCTGGGTCCATATTGGCGAAATGGCCGGGCAACAGTGCACTCGGAGTCGTAGAGCTAGCCAATAGAGCTTTGACTTCAATCGTTGAGGCGCGTACATGTAGACCAGCACGAACCAGTACCTGAAACATGATGGCTCAGTCGTAGAGCCATGTTGGAGATGATAAGACCATCAATGATGAGACGGCTACAGAGCGGAGACCAGGGGAACCAGGCCGGGGCACGAGAACTCAGAAACCGGTTTGTGCAAGGCCCGTGTCTTTACGAATTTGGTGATGGAGCGGGGATGGTCGTAGGCGACCACCAACTGTCGCGGCACCACCAACACCGTTGGCGGGATGAAACGGCGCAGAGCTCCCCTTGTCCGTGCAAGGTTAAGCCTGCGTCGCTTGGAAATGTCCTTTAGACCGTGCGAGCGAGATGAATTCGATGGGGGCGGATGAGCGATGGTGATGAAAGGCATGGTCCGCAAGCAGGCAAAAGGCAAAAGGGCAACGGCCGTGCTGGATGCATGTTAGGGGCTCTACAGCCCCTGGCGTCCTTCTATCTGTCAGCCAAGCCGTCTATGTCCCCCCGAGCGCGTTCGTTGAACGGTCGTGGCACTATGGCAAGGCGTCGGAGGCGGTAAAACCCTGTCGCCATGTGGGCAACCTTGCAAGGGCGCCACACCGATCTGTGTCGCAAGCGCAGCAGGGTCCTACGGATTTAGATTACGTTCTTTCCAAGGGTCAAATCATTTGACGTGGAATTCTGAACTCGTCCAAGTTGGTGCTCGTGACTGTATCCTATTCCATCCACCGGTCCCAGTCCCAACGTACCCTGCTACAGCACGGCGAGGAAGCAAAGGGGTTGACGAGATGGAGAAAACGATCGACAATCCTTTACCTAAACAGCTCGGGAAGAGACCTTGACGAGAAGGGTAAAGTCTGTTTCGCTGTAGAAGTTTCATCGTCTCCTCGTTATTGCAGACTGAGTCAGCGTCTGTTGCCGACTATCACGACAAGCGAAGGCTGTCATGGCCGAAGTGTGAACAAGAACAAGTTTGGATACACCTTTCGTCGTTCGAACGATGACTTTCAACGATATGTCGTCGGAGCGGGGACCCGAGCCGTTTTCGAGGGGCGGAAGAGCCCGCGTGGATCGAACCGAGGAAGCGATCATTACAGGGATGCCAAAAAAACAGTTGACGCCTGCGATAGCCGTCGTAACTCAACAACACGACTGTTCCAGCCTGTAGAACCTCATCTGCTCTTTTGCGCATTGTGAATAAACGCGGATTGTTCACGCTAGACGACATGAATGGGATCAATGACGCGTCGACGAGCTCCAAGCTCCTTTGGAGACATTCCTCTCCACAGTCTACGCCGATGTACCAGTTCCTCCAATTGATAAACCAGACTTATGGACAGCAGCTCTCGACCTACCAAGACTTGCACAAATGGAGTATCGATAATATTGACGACTTCTGGCTAAGAACTTGGGACTTTGTCGGCATCAGGCACCAAGGGGTTCCATTGTCGGTCAATAGTACCGCTCCAGGCACTCGATGATGTGTGCTGACGAGGCGTAGGCTGTCGACGCTGATGCGCCCATGTTCCCTCGTCCCGCCTTCTTCCCTGGAGCAACATTGAACTTTGCGGAGAACCTACTCTTCCCTACTCAACAAGTCGATGCCGATTCTCCCGCCGTCATCGCCGTAACCGAAACCACACGCGAAACAGTGACATGGAGAGAGCTGCGGGAAAGAGTCAGGCTGTGCCAGACAGGAATGATAGCGTTGGGGTTCAAAGAGGGCGATCGAGTCGCAGGATATGTCGCCAACCATACAAACGCACTGGTAGCCATGTTGGCGGCTACTTCGTTGGGAGGAATATGGACTGCTGTCAGTCCAGATACTGGTGTACATGCGGTACTGGAACGTCTGCGACAGATTGAGCCCATAATCCTTTTCGCGGACAATGCAGCGTACTACAACGGCCGAAGTCATCCCGTTTTGCCCAAGGTCAATGACATCGCTAGTGAACTCCCATCCCTACAAGCAGTTGTAGTCTTGCCTACTGTAGCTTCAGTAGAGTTTGATGTCAATTCCTTGACAGTACCCTCCGGGAAGGCTTTCCACTATGCTACTTTTACGTCTTTGAGCCCGGGATCCGAGCTTATCTTCAAGCAACTTGAGCCAGATCATCCAGTCTATATCCTCTACTCGAGCGGGACCACTGGCGCACCAAAATGCATCGTCCACGGCGCCATTGGCACCTTGCTTCAGCACAAGAAGGAACATATCATTCACTCCTCAATCACGCCCCGCTCAAGACTTTTCTACTTCACTACGTGCTCCTGGATGATGTGGCATTGGCTCGTATCAGGCCTGGCCTCGGGCGCAACTCTAGTGCTCTACGACGGTTCGCCCTTCCGCTACATCGATAAGACCGATCCCTCAACATCAGTTCCAGACGATCTTGCTATGCATCGTCTAATTGAAGAGTTCGGTGTAACCCATTTCGGCACTTCCGCAAAGTATCTCTCCATACTAGAGCAAAAGTCTGTCGACCCTAAAGCTGCGGGACTGAAACTGGATGGGCTAGAAGCGATTTACTCCACGGGCTCACCGCTCGCTCCGTCAACCTTCTCCTACGTCTACTCCGTCTTTCCATCAAGAATCAACCTCGCCAGCATTACAGGTGGCACCGATATAATTTCTCTTTTCGGTGCCTCAAATCCCCTTCTTCCTGTCTATGAAGGCGAGATTCAGGGACCTGGTCTCGGCATGGCCATCGCAGCTTACGACTACACGGGTACCGACATCTCGTCCACGGGTGAGCCCGGTGATCTGGTGTGTACAAAACCGTTTATATGTCAGCCAGTAGCATTCTGGGGCTTACAGGGCGAGACAAAATACCAAAAGTCTTACTTCGACAAGTTTGTGAATGCAAAGAACCAACCCATATGGCATCATGGCGATTTTGTGCGCTTCAACCCAGAGACTGGTGGGCTGTGGATGCTTGGGCGCAGTGATGGCATCCTCAAGCCTGCTGGTGTTCGCTTTGGGTCTGCGGAGATCTACAATGTGGTCCTCGAGCACTTCCCAGAGGATGTCGCTGACGCGTTGTGTATTGGCCGAAGACAAGAAACGGACACAGATGAAACAGTCATTCTTTTCTTGAAGATGGAAAATGGCCATAAATTCACATCTGAGCTCGTTGATAAGATCAAGGTGACGATCAAGACGGCGCTCAGTGCACGGCATGTACCAAGCGTGATAGATGAGTGCCCTGAGATTCCAGTCACTACGAATGGAAAGAAGTGAGTTGTACTATTTCGGCAAGGTGGCCTTCAAACTAACAGTACACAGGATAGAAGGAGCAGTCAAGCAAATATTATGTGGTATGAATGTCAAAACGAGCGCCAGCGTCGCAAATGCGGAATGTCTGGACTGGTATCGAGCATGGGCGAGGACGCATTGAGCTGTACAATCTAATCACCACCGAGTTGATGGAAGGCCTGTGAGGCTGATCGAAAATCTTAAGCGCCCCTTTCACTTGCACTTGAGTTCAAGTCAAAACTTGACTCACCCGGAGACCTCAAGCAGATGGGTATCCGACGGTCGACTTCTTTCAGTATCACTGAGATGTACCAGAACAACGATATCGCTTGATCTTGAAGACCTCAGAGGCTGGAGATATATCAGATCATAACCAATGTCTGAAGGTATACAAGCAAATCTTCCTCAGTGGGAAATACGAACTCGCGCTACTTCTTCTTCCCCTTCTTCGCCTCCTTGATAGTGAACGCCGGTGCTGGCAGCAACTTTTTCAACTCCGCCTCCAGTTTCTTCAGTTTCTTCTCTCGTTCTTTCATCTCAGACTTCAAGTCTTCGTCTTCCTTCTTCACTTTGTGCACCTCTTCCTTAAGATGTTCGATTTTTGCGTTCTTCTCAGCGCAGAGCCTCTCGTACTTTTCCTCTGGGGTCTCTCCTTCGAGTTGTGTTACCTTCTGACGTAGGGTGTCGATCTCCATTTTGTGTTTCTCGTTCTCCTGAGCAAAAACCCGGCTGATATCCATGCAGTGGGGACAGTTGGACGACGGATTCTGCTCGCAACATCCGAGTGAGCGGCCAAGGGTGGCGCACAATGCGCACTGCCCTTTGGTCTCGCCATCGTGGGCTTCGCTGGGCGGGATGACGAGCGGATTGTGGTCGTCGCTGACCGTGTCTGCTAAAGTATTTTCATTTGACGAATGGGGATGCTCTTGGTTGTTCTCAGAAGATGTGTGGCTCGAGATCACATCTTCTCGAAATGTGTTTGTGAAGACGACCCTCGCGTTCTGCGGCATGAAGGTTGCGGCAGTAGCGCGAAGACGCGAGTCTGCGTCACCGATTGAAGTCTTTGATTTGTGCGACATCTTTTGCAATCGGAAGACTTCGTTGTGATTGGGACTTGAATTTTGCATGATAGAGGCAGAATGATTGAGTGGGTGTCACTTTGCCAAGGTGAAAGCGCTTGTTTGCTTTGGCGGCACCCTGCATGAAGCTCGGCCCATCAAATGGCTCACCGTGTATACACAGCAAATCTCTCACCTCATCATACGAAAACAACGATAACCTAATTTAGCCCCAGGTCTACAGGGCGTTGGAACCCGCGTTATTACAGGCGCTGTAGAGCTTTGGCATGCTCCCATAGCAACGCCCACGTCAGAGCTACACCGGAACATCATATGAACATCAAATACGTTCTCCTCCACTTTCCTACCACCACTACCACCAGGAAAGCGCGCTCAACAATACACGGTTCAGCCTCAACGATCAAGTCGCTATTGTGTATAGGATATCTGTAAGTCCTAACAGTCTATCGACTGTCACACTATGGGTATTGACCTCTCCTCTACTATAGTATCGAGCTCGACACTCCCCGATATACGCGCATATCTGTTCCCCATGAGCGGACACACCAACTCCGCGATGAGTGAAGATAATTCTAACGAGAATCCACCCGGCGCTCTTCAGGATGATCAAGAAAATTCAGATCATGTTGAAAAATACAACACTAGCTCCATTGTACAAGAGTATGATGACTGGGGCGGACCCATCGACAATACAGGCACGGCCTATACGGAAATGGGCGACAGGGAATATATAAACAAAGTTAAGCAGTTGCTGCAGGGCCAAATTGCCCGGGCCACTTCCCAGGGCAAATCCACAGTCCTATCTGAACTGAACGAACTCTCCGACTCCATAAAATTAGATTCGATGGAGAGTGTGATGACTACTTTTCTCATTTACTTCGCGCGAAAGCTTCGAAGCCCAGAGGATGATATTCAAGATCACGACATAGTCATGTTTTTACTTGACCTGTTCGACGATATGCTAGTGAACCTAGGGGTGCTCAAGATGACGAAGGCTTTGTCCGTAATGGAGAACGCACTTTATCACCCAGCCGGGGGTGTAAGGACGAAAGCCGCTGTGGTACTTGAGAAGTGGCGCGACTTGATAAACGGCCAACTTGCGAGCGATGAGGCTACTGAATATTCCAACGGCAACGTTGTCACTGACAATCCAGATGTCTCTCCATACTCAGAAGACTCCAATCTTTCGAAGACCGCGGAATCCCACTCACCAAGGCCAACCAAGATAGTCGATATCAATGATTTCCGAGACCAAATTTGTCGGGCGTTACCTCGATTGGATGTGATTAAAGCAGAACCAATCTTACCCCAACTGATGCTCCTCCTAGAAACCGCCATTTTCAATCCTCCAGAAGCTGTTATGTTTGGATTTCTACATATACTTCGGCGAGCAATCGAGCTTGGCAGGGATATCACTGGAAGTTTGCCTCGAGGTGCTGTATGGATTCTCAATGTGCTCGATCAGATGCCGATAAATGAAGAAGTGCTCAAGGCGACCTGCATCCTGACTGCTCTCGAGAGTGTACAAAATCATTCACACGCCGATGTACAAACAAGCGTAAATCAACTCGTCAACAAATGGCGCATGTTGATGAACTGTCAGGAAGTGGGTCATGAAACTGAGCTATCCCCAGTGCTACGAGCATTCTCACTCAAATTCACGGACAGTATACAGTCACTCACTGTGAAAAAGATAGCTTCGATCAAGACCCACCCGGAACCACCTACATTGCGTCCAAGACTGCTCACAGATCATACTGATTTTGAAGATACAACTGTAGATTTTAGAACAATCCCAGGAGATGCTCACACATTCAGTGCTGCTGGAGCAAGAAAACCAAACAAGCTCAATAAGAAGGCTGCTAAGGGGCGCTCAACTGCAGACACGTCGGCGGAATTACCGCGTGCTTCAGCCCAAAACCGTTACACCGAAGACCCAGTCGCTTCTCGTGGAATTCAGGCGAAGCATACCTCAGCTACCAGATCTTTTACGGCGACTCGTCCTCTTGCCAAACATCCTTCGACTTGTCAAGTGCCGGCTGCGGAACGAAGTCCTCCGTCAGACTCCACAACTTTCACTCTGCCAATATTCGTCCCCGAGTTTCCATGTTGCGCCGAGGCAATAGCAGCAGGCCCCATTGCCAAGTCTACCCGCAACGCTTTGAAGAGTAGTCATGAAACAAGTGGCTTTGATGGTTTTCTTGTTTATGTACAGGATACTATCAACTTAGGCCAGCCAGCCACGCAGAAGCTTGAAGAAGAACTGAAGGCTTTTCATTCCTTGGTCGGTTCTGCGGCTGATGAGCTCATCAGGGTCGCTCAAAGCACGCTGAAGACTAAGACCTTGAAGCTTACCATGGGAAACGAAATCGACCGCCTTGAGCAAGAGGGTGTGAATTTGAGTATTGATATGGAATACGTCAACGAAGCTCAGACAGAGACAAATCGAAAACTTTCCAAACTCCGACGAAAGTTCGCAGGAATAGGCGAACAGTTACAGAAGGAGGAAATTGATCTCCAGCATCGCCGAGGCGCGATTGCTGTTGATTTGTTTCTAGCGTTGAAAACCTTATGGAAGAGCAGCTGTGTCAACCTCGAGGAAACGATGAAATTGAGATCAATGCTGCTTGAGAAGAATGCCCGGATCAGCAACCTGCTTTCTACAGAAATGGCTATGGCTGCAAGTGGTGATGGCTTGAAGAAAGAGATGAAAGCCCTCCAATCCCATGTCCTCGAGATAGAGATCGGGAATAAGAAGGCTTTAGAAAAAATCGAGACCCAGAAACGCGATCTAGACAAAGGATACTATGACAACGTGCAGAAGTTGGTCGATGCTCGAGTGGGCGACGAGAAAACGAGGCTATCGGAGCGGCTCGCTGAGGCACATGTCGCAGTGAAGCAGCGTGATAAGTTGACCCTGAAGATTGAAGAGCTCCAACCAAAGATCGCTGATTTAGAACGGGAGATGGAACGCTCGAGCGTGGCAAAGGCAGGATTGGAAACCAAGTACACGCACCTAAAATTTGAGGCCGACGTAGTCAAAGAGGGCTACGACCAGCTCACAAAACACAACGCAGAACTTCAGATGGAAATATCCGATCTTCGAGGAGACGTTGTACGATTGACAGAAGAGCGGGACAACCTGCTCGCCGAACGCGCATCGGCGCAGAACACACGCAACACCTCACAGGCCATGGTCCATCCGCCAGCTGCACTTGCTATCACTTCTACACCAACGAGTAGGTATCAGAACGAGCACGAACATCTGAGTGGCTTGATCGGAGTCTGGCAGAATACATTAGATACCGTAATCTCCGACTTATCCAAGACGCATGCGGAGAAGGATGCGCTTGATTCCAAGATTCAAGACATTGAGCGCCAGCTCCAGGAGGTCAAGCCTACACGGAAGTCAGCCCCCCCTACCGGTGCAAAGGTCAAGTCCAACTCTCTGGATGTAGGCCTGGGGTCTTCAACTAAGAAAGGCCGCCCTTTAGTCTCCAAGGAGGTTCTGCCATCAACTGCTCAGTCTGGAATATTCGCAGCCCGAATGAGTCGTGTTAGCGCCGGGCCTTTCCCCGCTCTCGGTGCCCCAGCTGCACCTACTTTGAAGAGCTTTGCTGAGGCGGCTGCCGGGAAGGTTCTCCGCGTTGTCGAAGTACCGAAGGCTGACAAGGGAAAACGACCGCGCCCTTCAGCGATCGAGGCTTTGGCCAGCGAAAATTCTGAGCACACTGAGGGTTAAGGAGAGGAATGACAGGTCGTGGGCTGTGGAAATGAGAGAAGGGCAATACAAATAGGAGCTAGGTTGTGTGGGTGTAGTGTGTGCCCCTTATGCGCAAGATACCCCTCAAAATTGTACTGGGTGGTGGCGTTGGATCTCGGATTTTAACCTTGCAATTTTCTACTTCTTCACATTCTAGCCTGTCTCTCGCAGCACCCATGTTAATAGTTAGGTAGTGACCCCAATCCTCTTTATCGTCACCTTCAGCTGACACTAATAAACGGTTAGCCTCCATCTCAGCTTTTCTCTCAGCTCCTGTGGACTCTCATCCCACTACCTCGCTCTTGACACTGGTCATCTTGATCCCCTTGGAAGGTGCCGTCCCTTCATATCTTGCACCTAAAGAAGCTGAACTACGCAACATCTCGGGGTCCTGATTGAGTGTTCGGAGGTACTGATGTTGATAGGGCGTCAGGTGAGAGAAGCGGCCGCCTTAAGTGTTCTCTATGAGCTGCCCAATGGATGTATATCGCTGTAGCGAGGCTGGGATTCATTTGAGTAAGGTATATATGATCAAGCGGTATGAGAGGTCTCGGGTGAGTTCGAATGGTAACCAACGCTTCAATGAGCCCTACAGACTGGGAGATTGGCTGGTTTATTCAAGAGCCATGGTTAGACTTCTTATACGCACCAACGTCTTTGACAGAATTAGACCGATATAAGATGAAAAAGAGAAACAAAATTAAGGAGCGACAACTGTAGGTAACGGAAGCCCGTGCGTCGCGTCATCCGCCAAAAGTGGAAGGAACGCGAAGGTATGATGTTTAGGTCTCGTGCGGCTTCACTTCACCAACGTCCGATGAGTAGCAAACACCTCGTCTGTCCCCGCTTTCACATCTGGATGACGACAATAGCAACAACGACCTCGTCCCTACGGTCAAGGTACACTAAGTTAGGGCTGAAATGGACGAGCTTGTACTGATCAGAAGTAGATGAGTATCGACATTGACGCCGCTTTGGCGCGTCTAAGCGACGAGTTCCAGGACCGGCTGAATGACATTCAGAAGGAGTATCTTACTAAGCTCAATGAAGTTGCCAGCGAAGCTCGGGCAGCACAGTCGAATATTCAAGAAGCCACAACGAGGGACAAGCTAGAAGCGACCATTACGACCTTGACACAAGAGCGAGACGAATGGAAAGCCAATGCTGAGATCCAAGAAGGACACATCATCGAGCTTACATTGCGTCACAACGAGAGTCTTGCAGCCCAGAAGAAACATTTGGAGGGGTATGTACACAGACTGGAGGAACTAGAGCAGAAGAAGGACCGCTTGTTGTCTAGGGTCGTCGAGACGGGCAAAACCGCATACACCACGGAGCAAGCGAGTCTTGCACTTGAAAAGAAGAATGACTGCCTGAATGCGCGTATCGAGAAGGTGGAAGCAGCACTGAGTAGGGAGAGACAGCTGAAAGTAAAGTATTGGGAATCATTGATGAATGCTACACACACGTCAAAATTGACCATTGCATCCCTGGAAGAGGAGGTTAGGCGTTTACTTAAAACTGTGGAGGTTACTGAAGAGACATGCATGAGGACAGTGATGGTTGAGAGGGCAACCAAACAGCCCTGGCTCGAAGCGTGGAAGACAGAGCGAGAGACCTCGGAAAGCCTGCGCTGTTTCCTGCGTACAGAGGTGTCTGGCAAGGCACATATGCGGGACCACGCAACCAACGCAAAGTTCGGCATATTCGTTGTCCCTATCACCCTGCTAATTCGCAAGGAGGATTTCGAACACGTCCACCGCGAGTCAGGGTGGATGGATTGGCAGGATCGTCAGAATGCCGAGTTTCGCGATTGGTATGACGAAGAGAAGGGGGCCGTCATCGAAGAAGAGGAGGACTCTGACTGGGGAGATTGGGACAATGAGCATCGCATGAAGGACTACCGGGCTGAGCCTGGAGAATGTGAAGAGGCAGCTGAAGAAAATGAAAAAGAAGCCGGAGCTTACGAAGACGAATACTGCGGACAATCGGAAGAGGAACAAGACGGGTCTGATTATGAGCGGGGTAATTCAGAATCGAACGACTGGGATGTTACAGAAGCTCGAAGGCCACCCCCAAAGGAGCAACAAAAGGCAACCATTATCGGTCGCAGGTGGGCGGTGGGTGATGCTGTACTCCTTTCGACAGGAGTAGCGAGTACCGGACAGTGCTCTATGGGAGGCTTAAAGAAGTTTGCTCGTGGAGCACAAGAGAGCTACAACGCCTACTGTTGAGAAGATCATACCTCTCCTTCTGCTGTTTCATGGGAAATGACATTGCGGGGAGACCCACCTTCAATAATGACGATATACAATGTACCGCGCATTGAGAGCATCTCAACGGTGGACGAAACGTATCTGAGTTGCTCCTAGATAGATAGTGAAAAAACTCGAACTGAACGGTGCAATGAATTTCCTTCTAATGACGCGTCTTCCTTGGGATGATCTGATATTCAATCAGATCTAGAGTGTCGCATCTTGCGTGATCAAAAGAGCACGCTGGAAGCTTCAGACAGCCCCATACTGGAGCCGCTCAGGTTCAGTGAGTCTGGTGAAATTGTTTAGGTCCGATTGTAACCATATATTCATGGAAATGTCCGAAGAAGTAAGAGAGGCACGCGTCAACAGTCTGTCATTTGGCGGCGTCGTGATGCATGACATGTCGTCCCTTTTCTTGGCGGCCATCAACTCCGACGCACGCACCGAGGACCCACCAGACGAGGCCGTAGAGCCCCAACCATGTCGAACATTCTGCCCCTACACTCCTCTTCCTACTATCCGACGCGCCAGTCATCCCTCTCGTCGTCTGTAAATTCCCAGAACACGACATCTACGGCTTCATCCACGTCTACAATTCGGCCGCAATCGCAAGCGCAACAATCGCAACTCCAGGTAGCACGAGGGCAGCGCATAACGATGAGCGGGAACTCAAGTCAAGGTCCCGGCCTGCGGTATCCATCGAACAAGAAGACCATATACGATAGAAACTTGAACCGGAGTAAGAATGCGGAGCTCAGTAGAGCGGCATTTGCGTACTTGTTCATCGAGATGATTGCGTATGCGCAAAAGGGAGCAAAGGATGTGGGAGATTTGGAGCAGAGGTATGCCATTCTTCGCAGCAATTGGCGCTTAGCTATACAATGCGCAGTTCTGCAAATATGGAGTGGTAAAATAGTGCTAACGAAGCTACACAGACTGAACACCCAAGGCTACCCTATCGGTCTCCGCCTCCTCGACCTTCTCCTCTCGCGCTCCTCCAACCCCCTCGCCAGCATCCGCCCCACGCGCATCCTCCCGCTCCTACAATGGATCGCGCAAACCCTCTACCGGCACCTGTTCGGGCGGCCCGCTGACGCCCTGGAACGCTCGGGCTCCGACCCCGGCCAGTACATGCTGTTCGACAACGAGCCCATGGTCAATCAGTATATAAGCTTACCGAAGGAGCTGAGCAGTTTGAATTGTGCCGCGTTTGTGGCAGGCGTCATTGAAGGCACATGTGATGGTGCAGGGTTTCCGACCGAGGGGGTTACTGCGCATAATGTTGGGGAGCAGGACGAGGGGAAGGATGACAAGGGCATGTGGCCTGGGAAGACGGTGTTCTTGATCAAGTTTAAGCCTGAGGTGCTGGAGAGAGAGGAGCTGCTTTCAAGGGGTGGTGGATCTTAGCGGTCAACAGGCGTTAAGATTTCACAGGAAGGCAGTACGAGTTGACACAATGGGTACATGCATAGCGAGGCGTCTAGGACTCAGTTGCATTTGCAGGTGTTCAGTATGAGAGCATGAATACGAGTTGCTTAATGAATTCCAAATCAAGATCGCCGGCTCCGTCCGAAACTCTCCTCATCTCTTTGTTCCGAACGCTCGACGGACTTTAAGATGTAGAACACATGCGGGCCCCGCGGCTTGCTGAGTACTGAAGCATACCTTTGGCCTCCTATCACCGACCACCGCATGTAGCAAGCGCGCTCCCACGTGACCACGCCACAGATTACAAATGCAGGCTGGCGAGATCATTCCGAGCCTCGCGCTGAGGCATCATGGGTAGATTCCACAATATGGCACCAGATGGAAGCAAGATATAAGATTACGCTCTCGCCATACACATTGGCCGCCATTGGAATTCTGAACGGCATCACCTACTCACCCGAACGCACAGCCTCCCCGCCGTATCACAGCTGCAAACGCTAGCCTTCCAACGCAACCTCAAATTTATACGGAGCATATCCTATCCTAAGATCACTAGAAGACACGCAGTTGTTCCCACGATCGATCGACAAATCAGCTACAATCATGCCGACAGAAATCTCTGCCCCGCTGCACTTTCGCACCCTCCTCAACGCCCACACATATCTCATCGCAGACTTCTACGCGACATGGTGTCCACCATGCAAACAAATCGCGCCAATATACGACCAACTCTCCACCTCGTACTCTGCTGCTGGGAAATTCGCGTTCGTAAAAGTCAACGTGGATGAGCAAAGAGAAATCGCCGCACAGCATGGCGTTACTGCCATGCCAACCTTCCTAGTCTTTAAGGATGGAAAGAAGGTTGAGGAGATTAGAGGCGCAGATCCGAGGAAGCTGAAGGCTGCCGTGGAGAAGGCTTCGGAGGCGCTGAAAAGCGCACAGACTACGCTACCTGCGAAGCCAAAGCAGGCTGATGAGCCCAAGGTAGCGGACGAGAAGAAGCAGGATTGGGATGAGAAGACTGTTAGTGGGGGTTATGGGATGACTGGAGGGAATGAATGGAAGATGTCGCTGCATTAGAGATGTCGGGTTGTGTATTGCTCGTTTATGGCGCGGATTGATGGAGTTAACGGGATTTCGATACCCTGAATTCATGTCTTTTTCAAATACGCGTTCTGCCACATTCATTGATGTTACTCTTACATGTTACTTCGATTTGTGATCAACATTTTCGTCCTTTATTGGTCCTGCAGTAATGCTAATTTTGCGCTGATGGAAGCAACAATCCTGAGCGCTACGTCATTGGTCTGTTGTGGACACGTTCACGACTAGCGCTAAGTCTGTTCGCCGCCGTGTCGAAGCTCATCCTCCAACCCTCTATTTCTCTAAAATTCTTACCAGAGGCTTCATTCGTTTTTGAACGCTCCAAAACATCACCAATATGCTGTTCAGCCGCTTAATACCCGCAGCAGTAGCGCTACTTCCCGCCCTTACGTCCGCTTCCTCCGTCCTCGACCTCGAGCCCGCCAACTTCGACGATGTAGTCCTCAAGTCTGGCAAGCCCGCCCTCGTAGAATTCTTCGCCCCCTGGTGTGGCCACTGCAAGAACCTTGCACCCGTCTGGGAAGAGCTTGCCACCGTCTTCCAACACGCTTCAGACAAGGTCTCAGTCGCGAAGGTCGATGCGGATAACCACAAGTCATTGGGCCAGAGATATGGAGTCTCAGGCTTCCCAACGTTGAAGTGGTTCGATGGCAAGAGTGATAAGCCGGTTGATTATAATGGAGGACGGGACCTAGAGAGCTTGACCAAGTTCATCACTGAGAAGACGAGCTTAAAGCCGAAGGTCAAGGGCAAGTTGCCGAGTCAAGTAGTGTATTTGACCGATTCGAGCTTCAAGGAGAAGGTTGGAAAGGATCAGGATGTACTTGTTGCGTTTACCGCGCCGTGGTGTGGACGTGTGTTCCCCCCGCATCCCAATCGTGGAATAACTTGGATTGCTAATTATACGTAGACTGCAAGACTCTCGCCCCCATCTGGGAAGCCCTCGCCAACGACTTCGCCACCGAGCCCTCAGTCCTCATCGCCAAAGTCGATGCCGAAGCCGAGAACTCCAAAGCCCTAGCTCAAGAGCAAGGCGTTTCATCTTACCCCACCATCAAGTACTTCAAGAAAGGTTCTTCTGAGCCCCTTCCTTACAAGGGCGCCCGCGATGAGAAGGACTTTGTTGAATTTTTGAACACGAATGCTGGTACACACCGCGCCGTTGGCGGCGGTCTCGACGCCACTGGTGGCACCATCGAAGCCTTCAACACCGTCATCGAGAAGTTCCAGGGTGCATATGGAGATGGCGTGGAGGAGGCCCAGAAAATCGCTGCGGGATTGCAGGACAAGTACGCTCAGTACTACGTCAAGGTGTTCCAGAAGATTGGCGCGAACAAGGGATATGCGGAGAAAGAGCTCAAGCGCCTACAGGGACTGATTAGCAAGGGCAACTTGGCACAAGAAAAGCTAGATGATCTGGCCAGCAGGAGTAACATCCTCAGGAAGTTCTTGGGCATCGAGGAGAAGACCGAGTTGTAGGCAACTCGACTTCCCGGGACTGAAACAGCAATTAGAGGAGGATGCCATTACGACTATTACTTGGTATACTATGGCTATTAGGATGAAAAGCATGGCACTTGCGGGTAGCTCATGTAAATTCATGAAAATGACACGGTCGGCGTTAGCGTTATGATCAATTCTAGTCATTCCCCACAGCTTTCAATGCCTTCTATAACAATAACATCATGAACGCCAGTACTGAAAATCGCTGGAAATCGCCTATGACGCGCCGCATTAACTATGTGAGTTTCAGAGGTAGATATAAAACGTAAACGACAAGTCCTCTGCATGATTCCTCAAGTAGGTAGACATCTCGTGACTGCTCTTTACTTCTCTGACCCCGAGCCTTTGGTGCCGTCTCCAGTTTGCATCGCCGCTTCAAGATTATCCAACCGCCGTGACATATCGTCCACTATAATCATTAGCACCCCACTTCCAGGCAGCAAACTTCATACTCACTCTTGGCGAGCAGATCGCCGCTGATAGTTGAGAACTTGGTGTTCAATTGGTTGAGCAAGTCGTCAACAACGGCTGCAAGCTCTCCCGAGCTGTCAGCATTGTTTGAATGCAGAGACTGTTATTGCTTTAGTGGTGCTTGAAGAAAGCATCGAGGAAGCGTACGTTGGTGTCGCTCGATGCGCGATCTGCAGATTGCTGCGGAGTCGCCATGTTTGGCAGGTTGCGAGACGGTCGATGTTCCAAAGTGTCAGAGCTGAGGGGGGCTTGACAGATCTACCGCGTCTCTGTACAGTACCAAGGTACGCGGTGTTCGAAAGTGAATGCTAAGATACCTAGCATGCACGTGTTGGTGGGCCGCGGCTTGTTGCCCATTTCGCGGGCGGTCAGCCACTAGCGTCGACGCTAAATGTTTTCTCGGCCAAGATTTCGACCTTCGCGATAATTTTTGGGTAGCTCCGACGTCCTATCCTTTGCATTACAGCAACACCTTTGCCCTGATTTTTGTTTTCCGAATCAAGCAAATATGGCTAAAACCAAGCTCAAGACTGCGCTGGACAGCGAAAAAGGCCGAAACATCAAGCTTGAGAAGCAGCGCAAGAAGGAGAAAGAGGCCAGGAAACGGAAAGAGAATCGACAGGCAGAGAACTCGCAGACAGCTGGAAGTGACGCTGAAGAGGACGGAGGCGTCCCAGTTCCCTTGGACGAGGTAGAGGTGAAGCTCAACGGCAAGACGAAGAAGTCGAAGAAGAACAGTCCGATCAAACCTGCGCCGGCCGTAGACCCAGAGTGGGAGACGGACGGAAGTGAGGGCGAGGGTGACAGCGATGACGATGACGACGCGCCGGAGAGGCCTGTGCTAAACCTTTCGCACCTCGAGGATAGCGAAAGCGATATCAGTGGTGATGACGACGAAGACGAGGATGCAGAGGACGGCGAGGGAGAAGACGAGGACGACATCCCGCTCTCAGACCTCGAGTCAGTAGCCTCACAAGACAAGGGCGACATAATTCCCCACCAGCGCTTAACCATCAACAACACCGCCGCCCTTACTGCCGCGCTACACCGCATACAACTCCCCTACTCCAAGCTCGCCTTCTCAGAATACCAGTCCGTCACCTCCCATGAGCTCGTTGAAATCGAAGACGTCGAAGACGACCTCAGCCGCGAGCTCGCGTTCTACAAGCAATGTCTATCCGCGGTCAAGGATGCACGAGGCAGGTTAAAGAAGGAGGGCGTGTCGTTCTCGCGACCGGCAGATTATTTCGCGGAGATGGTGAAGAGCGATGAGCACATGGGCAAGATCAAACAGAAGTTGATTGATACGGCGGCAGGAAAGAAGGCCGCCGCAGAGGCGAGGAAGCAGAGAGACTTGAAGAAATTTGGAAAGCAGGTCCAGGTTGCGAAGCTGCAGGAGCGCGCGAAGGAGAAGAAGGACACCATTGAGAAGATCAACACGTTGAAGAGGAGTATGTATCCCGTGTCTCATATTTGGGTAATGCTTGCTAACCGATTTTCAGAGCGACAGGGCGCAGACATCACCGCCACCAACGAGGAAGATATCTTCGACGTCGCCGTCAACAACGATGACTCTAAGCCCTCTGACCGCGGACGTGGCGCTGACGGCAAGGCCTTCAACAACAAGCGCTCGAAGAAGGACGAAAAGTATGGCTTTGGTGGCAAGAAACGGCACGCAAAGAGCAACGATGCGCAGTCTAGCGCTGATGGCAGAGGCTACTCAGCCAAGAGGATGAAGGGCAAGGCTACCGGCGGTGCTAGCAAACGGCCAGGAAAAGCTAGGCGGGCGAAGACGCACTAAACGCGTGATAGTGCACGGTGACTCAGGAACGTGGTGCTTTCGCGTGGTGCTTTGGCGTTCTATAGGAGGATAAAAGCATGAATGTATATCGCAGGAAGTGGGATTTGATGTGGCCTTCAGAGATACCAATGTACATTTGTATAAAAGACGCTGAAGTCCTCCAGTACCCTTCTCCTGACTACGCTTCGCCAATCCTTCGGTCTGCCGGGTCGTGCAACCACTCAGATATAACAGCGTCACATGTTATCGAGCCTTCAGGAGGCCTTTACTCCATGTGCAACGGTAAACTAACGGATGAACTAGTAGCGTGGGGGCATTCGCGTCAACCCGACATTCACTTCGAAGAGAGCGAAATCGAGCCCGACGTCACCGTGCAAACGCTCCTAGGCTGCAGTGCCCTCCGTATACTTAAACTCCCCCTTCCCACGTCTATAACCGCTCCACCAACCGACCTGAGTATCCTCAAGCACATCCAAACCACACGCTATCGACCACCTCTCAACTCACCGACGATCTCCAGCCCCCACAATGGGCGAGCGAATCCACTTCGAAGAGCTCGCGTTGTCGCCCACGGGCAAAGTAAACGCAGGACCTCTCACTACCTATCTCAAGCCCAAAGACGCCTTCACGCCCCCTCCCTGCACTCCAGACACAATCTTCTACCTCGCCACGATCGCGCCACACACAGACTCATACCTCCTGCAAGGCCCGGTGAAGAAATTCGCTCACCTGCTCCCTCAAATACAGGACATAGTCTCCAATTCCCCCTCCGCAATCGACAAGTTGGCCTCGCTCCAGGAAATGGAGGAAGACATCTGGGGGGAAGTGGAGAAAAATGCGCAATTCGAACAAGATGGGTTTGAGCGCTTCGTTGTCGAGGGGCAGAGGGGCGTATATACAGTGCTCGAAGTCTTGAGAGAGAGGAACGAGGAAGTGAAGAATGTGCTCCCTGCCGCTATATACACGGTTATCGCAGCTGGGCCTCTGACCACTCCCTCGTCTTACACTTCCGCAGCAGTGGCTGGGACGCCATCTGGGTATGCGGCTATGACGCGCTTGGTTGGCAGTTTTGTGGACCGTGGGGCGGCACAAACGGCTGCGAGGCACATCATGCTGCAGTTGGTTGATGGCGTGGCGGGTGTGACGCGCACTGAGACGTGGGGGGCAGGCGGTAAGGGCGGGGGACTGTTGATGGCGATGTGTCCGGGAAAGATGTGGGAGGTCAAGGTTGTGTATGAGGATCAGGCGCTGAGGAGGGCGAGGGAGGGCTTGGATATGGAGGGTGAGAAGGTGGGATGGAGGGTCTGAAGGGCGGTTGTGTGCTTGGGGAGGAGGAAGAGATGCAATTGAGACCCTAACCTCCAAGTGTAGGACCATGCAAGATTCATAGAAGGCTTGCAGGAAAGACATTGAGGGGTCATCCCAAAGAATTCTGGTATGTAGAATTGATTGATTGATTGGCATATCAGAATTGTTGACAAATTTTAGAGGACCTCTGGAGTCGGGGCTTTCTCGTATCAAAGTCTATCTATTTACAATTGCTTTCCAGTTTGACATAACTTTTGTTTTGACTCCAAGAAAAGTACTCCCAGATCCTCACAACAAGTGATACCACAAGGTGTTCATCCCGCTCACCAGGGACGTCAGACCAGAGAAGACGATGAGTGCGCCAAACCCGCTTCCATAGCCCCCAATAGCCTCTCCTTTCCATGGCATCCCGTCAATGAGCGCCTCACTTAGAGGACCGGAGATGATGTTCCCAATACCTCTACCAACACAGAGTAGAGAGTAACACATCAAGGTATCGACATAGCCGAATCCTCTTTCTTCACCTCTCCTAGCAGTTTCTCTCATGACTGCTGGCCACACAGCTGGGAAGCAGCCAGAGAACAGACCGAAGAAGATACAAAAGAGGTACAAGACGGAAAGGTGGACTGCCAAGCCCCAAAAGAGGAAGACAGCAATGGTTGCGCCAAAGGCAGAGATGAAGATACAAGTTCGAGAATTCCACCGGTCCGTGAAGTGGCCCATGATGATAAGGCCCATCATCGCGCTGAGATTCAACAGCATAAGCGATAGAGTCGCTAACCAGGTGGATGCGCCAAAGACTTCGCGGGTGAAGGTGGGCAGGTAGATACCAGGGAGATAGTAGCCTGCGCCCTGGAAGAGGTTCGCAATCGAATTGAGGATGAAGAAGCGTGAACGGACAGCTCGCAGGTTCCAGAACGGCTTCTTCTCAGTGGCAGACGGCGGCAGTCTAGGCCTCACAAAGTACGCTAACGGAATGCCGATGACGAAGAGTATGCCCGCCCAGATGCGCATGGTGGTTCGGAATCCAACATTGTAAAGGAGCGCGTTGAAGATGAGAGGAAGAAACAGGCCCCCTAGACCAGCTCCGCTCCCAATGATCCCAAAGGCCAAGCCCTTGCGTTTGTCGAACCACTGGTCAGCAAACACAAGGAGCGGACAGAAGGCAAAGCTCCCACAAACTCCTAGTAGGACACCTTGTGTTCCAATGAGCTGTGTTATGGTCGTGCAGAAGGAGCTCGCGATGTTGGATACAAAAGCACCCAGAAGTCCTCCAGTTGCAAACCATCGAGCCCACTCAGGCTTCCGCCTGGCAAGATGAACGGTGACCGGCAAACAGATGAAGATGAGGCCCTGGTTCAGGACGCCAATGACTGCGATATTTGAGGAACCCGCAAACGGCTCATTGGTGCTGTAGAAGTCTTGAAAACGGCCGAATGAGAAACTGAATCCTGCATGTTTTCATGAGTATGAGAAGCTATTGACTAAGAATGTTCAGGTGGAACTTACCGATGGTTAAGACCTCAACAACGAAGGCGGCGGCTAGATACAGCCATGCAGCCCTTCCTCTATCGACCGGTGGCAGACCAGGATAAAGATCGATAATATTTGGGAGCGGCTTGACCGATTGCTCTTTGGATTCGGATAGAGTAGACACGTCTTGAGGCTGTAATTTTTCGACGTCTGTCGCAGATGTGCTCGCAGTCATCTTGAAGCTCGCTGTAGTAGATACCTAATTCAAGTTGAGCAGATGAAGACTGACCGGTATCTAGTTTTCAGATAGTTCCTTTGTATGGGTGGTACGCCCTACCGAGCTTGGCGGTCATTCGTGCGTGATCTGGTTGTCTTGCACGCCCTGTCGGGCTTGGCAACAATCGCTACGCGGTTTAAGTTGGACCTACACGCCTCACGTCAGACCTATCTGCAAACGACCGAGCTTGGCAATAATTCCGGTCAGAGTTCACGCTAGAAAGGAGCGAAATGGCGTGCCTATGGAATACAGGGTCTTCAAACGCTAAGTCGCTTTGTTGCTGAAGTTGCGCCAATTATTCCTCACGATGCAGTCCTACGGTTGCTTACATGCGACGGGGCGTATGGAGGCTCTGGACAAATGCATCTAGTGCAATGTCTCGAGCATAAAGAACTCGGACCGATTCCAGTGAAGAAGCCTAGAGAACGCCATGTCACGCCCGCATACCGATCTTCAGTCTAAATGCTTACTCTGCGTACAACTCCTTGTTCGACTGCGTAGCACCGCATGAAACGTCGTCATACCTACCATGGTTAGTAATTGCTGCCTTGTCACCGCCTATTGCTCTCTCCGAATGGTGATACGCGTGACGTGCAGATATGTAAGAGGATGACAGGCGCCTGGAGCAACGATGATGGTGCAGAGATATTAGTAGAAGAGAATGTTGATGATACTGATAATAATGATGTCTATCTTGTAGGCGCGCCAAGACGGGAACTGTGGATCGACCCGTAGGCATCGTCTTCGGGGAAGCCAGGAAAAGGCAGGTACTAAGGATGCCGCAGCCAGCGCTACTTAGCTTGATGTGCGGAGCAGACTCCGATAGCGCCAAGACGGGAAGTGTGGATAGACCCGTAGCATCACCGTCGGGGACGCCGGGAAGAGGCAAGTGCGCTGGCTGAAACGGTTGGTCGAGCACAAGGCTGACGCTCCTTCGCTCGATGTTGAAGACAATGCTGATAGCGCCAAGACGGAAACTGTAGATAGACCTATAGCATCGCCCTTATTAACGCCGAGAAGAGGCGGGTGAACGGGCTATAAACCCAGCAGTTGTGCATAAGGCTGCCGCAGCTAACGCAACTAAGTTATAAAGTTAATGAGAAAATAAGAGCGGCTCACGCTACACAGACCACCATTGTATAGAAAACAGTCGAGGGTTCGGCCGCGCACTTTACGCCAGCCCATGGTCCCCCCTTGTACATTGCTACGTCCCAATGTAATGTTATGAACGCCACGGATGATCAAGAGCGGTCAACTTTGCTGTACGGATGAGATGTCACCACTTAGGCAGTGGCGGCTTATGGTCATCTGCCCATTTGTTTCAATGCGTGATAGGGAGTAAGTTTCCCGTGCTCGACACTTCATCAGATTGCAAGGTATCGTAGACTTTCTAGTTGCTATGCTTCTTTTGACTCTGGGAATGTAATTATCTATAAATATAATTGCTGCTATAGAGCCTCCATCACGGAATTGAAAGTAAATACGTAATACGGTTAAACTTTTGTATTGTTAGAGGTTGGAAACTCTAATTTTTAATGTTACATGGGCTGCGCGGAATTATTCGCATCTAAAGCTATACTCTTTTTCTAAGAATTTCTATGACTTGCTTGACTTCCTTACGAAGTTCCTTCGTCTGTAACCCAACTGTCTCATCCAAAACACCGCTTTTTATCATTGGCGAAGATTCTTGCGCAGACAGAGATCTCCCTTCTCCACTGAGCCTGCACAGAGATGAGCTTTGATTTCTCTGCGAGTTTGTTCGCTGAATATTTGTGACCCTCACGTCCGGTGGGAGGTCCAGCAAATCTTCGGCACTTCCCAGTGATTCGAGAAGCATGGAAACAGCGTTCTTTACAAGTTCCCCTTGGGAACACAGGGAAACCTGGTGTAGTTGATTTAGGCGCAGACCACGATACGAGCGAAACTCTGCAGATCCATTCAATGATTTATGCGTAGTAGTGGGACCTCGCGAAAGTGACTCTGCCAGGTGTCTGAAAATAACCGAGTAGATCCGGTTTAGCGTCATGAAGCAAGAGAGGACAAGTAACACCGTTGGCGTCCCTAGCGCGGAGATAGTGCTTCCCTGCCGCGATTTATTGCTGGGTGAGAGGATTGTGCGAAATGAATGGGAGAAGAACAGAGCATCTCCGATTGGATAATCAGAGATCGCTTCATCTGATAGCCTGGACAGTTGCTGCTCGTAGGGAGACATCTCAGCAAGGAGGTTGGTGAGATCTACCAGGGGATCCGAGCGCTCTTTGGCCAGAATATCGTCGAGCCGTACACCGCGATCCCCGGGGAGCATATCCACCGCCCACGTACTTGGAGGTGAAGAAGACGTTTCTCGTGCTTCTGTCCGCGTACTGCCGTCGGGAGTATGAGTGGAATGCGGGTTGATCGTAAGGGTGTGTCTAGGCGCTGGGGGATCGATGCCATCCATGAATAATGACTCATTCCAGGGGTACTGTTGGAAAACCGCTTCTTGAGAACAATCTTCCCAAGTGTCTGGCACGATCCCCGTGGACACTGATTGGCTGCTCTGTGGTCTGCACTCGTCCAGGCTGAAGACATGCGATGCGTCCTGAATCGATGCTGATAGGAAAGATGGATCAGCGTCCGAGGTCTCCGCGCCTGAGCTGGAGGAGAAAGGGGAGCAGAGAGCAAAAAGATTCGTCCCGGGGATCGTCAGCTCCATATTCAGGTCCTTTCCCTGGAGTACTCCGTCAGGCGACGCTTTTGCGGTTGTGGGCCGTTGCGTTCGGGATCGAGTACGGAAGACACAGGATTCTGCGACCTTCGCCTTCACACATCGTTGACAAGGTGCGGTCGGCTCAGGGTCAAATGACGGGAGGCATCGTAGCTTCTGGCCCCTGCAGCGTTCGCACGAGGCACGCAGTCGATTAGTGCTGGACATGCTTACCTTCGGACAAATGTCTTTCAAGACCTGGCTGGGTTCTTTCTATATTATCGCCAGGATTAAGCTAGATCTTGTACGTATTAGCGGAGTTTTACAACTCTGGAAGACCCCTCGTGTTCGCCTAGAGGTTAAAGGTCAATGCGTATGGTGCCAATAGGCGTCCCCTGCATTTTGGACGCCTTACGATGCTTAAACTGGAAACTTACTGTGTAGTACCATTTCCCTTAAATGGAAAGCCGGCGGTTCTTCACTTTCACGCCCAGTTCTTATTAGTGATCTGCTTATAGAGTAATTTTGGGTATCATTTCATTGTCAGTGTTAACAAAGGAAGATGCCTTTTCTAAGTAGTACAGTCTATGCTTATATGTGAAAAATTGCTGTGTGGAACAAATGATGAGTGCAGTCGTTTTAGGAAGCTATACCTACTTCGGTTAGGTAGTTTAGAGACATGCATGTCCATATCCTTGCTATTCTTGGCTCCGCTGCCTCTTACCAGCCCTGCTTCTCATCTAGATACCACGCAGGAGGATTCACTAACTATATCATGCGGCTTACGCACATGTGCATATCTAGGATGCTGCCTTGTAGCCGACTTGGCTGCTGTCTGAGCCCCTCCACTTAGCCCTATAGGATCACGGGTTAATTGTCGATTGTCTTAAAGGCGGCTGGTTCCGAGGTTGTTTCTTGAGAAAATCCTCTCCCGAGGAGAAGTGTCAGACGGCAGAATGTACCCGCAGAGTTGCGTAGTATCCGGCTTACTTTGATAGAGAGGTTTTGCGGGTAGAGTCAAGTCTGATAGGTGCACGAAGTAAGCACGCAAGATCAAGCTTCCAGAGGCAAATACTAACACTTCTCGTAGGTCGAATATATCTACTAAAGTAAATCTACTAGGTTATATCTAGCGGATCCGGCACCGGAATTCCGAACGTCGTACATATCGGAAGTCCACATTGCCTAACCAGTCATCTACCACCGAATTTTCCTTGCTGATGACCTTTGAATCGGGAGGCCGAAGTCTCACTTCAGCATGATTGTACCAATGCAACTAGTTCGGCTTTTTGCTGTTAGCGACGATTCCAATCAGATGCGCTGAGAGTTCAATCCCGGGGGGATTTTTCCAGAGTATCCCGTTTGTGATGATGCGCTCGGATATTCCTATAAAATTCTCCAAGAGTTCAATAGAGCTATTAATACCTTTAGTTATTGCTTTAAAGCTGTACACTCTAGCAGCCGTCTTCGAACTCCAGCTTTTTACTATGTCGCTTGTCAAAACCCTCGACTTCGATCTGTTCACCAACGGCACGGAGACCCAACGGAAACAATTGGGCACCGACCTCGCCGACGGTTTTGTTTCCGCAGGCTTTGTGAAACTCATCAATCACGGTATTCCAGAAGAGGTTGTTGATAATGCCTTCCGATTAGTAAGCACATGAGCCGATGACCACAATGACACGCGTTGACGGAAGAACAAGTCCAAGCAGTTCTTCGAACTCCCAAAGGCTGCAAAGGCCGCAGTTGGGCACGTTCCGGGACCAAAGCCTCAGCGGGGTTGGAGTGCCGTTTACGCTGAGAGAGTAGGAGGCAGCCGTTTGGATAATTTGGAAAGGAGCGGCGGCGAAACCGCTATAGATGAGTTGTTGGACGAGAAGGTATTACGAACACTTTCTTGATTCTTTGATGTAGATACTGAGTTACGCGCAGGAACATTTCGACTGGGGTCCTCGCGAAGACCAAGAGTTTCCAAACCCTTGGCCCGACAAGGACTTCCCCGAGTTTCGCCCTTTCATGGAAGAGTATTTTGAGACCTGCCACGATATAAGCATCAAAATCATGGAAGCCCTCGAGGTTGGTCTGAAGATACCACCGGGTTCTCTTGTCAACCGATGCCTCCCCGCGCATAGTGAAGCTCGTGTACTCCACTACCCACCCGTAGATGTCGAGGTACTCAGGGGTGGCAAGACAAGGCGCATTTGGCCCCACACTGACTTTGGAATCATTACTCTCCTCTTCCAAGATACAGTTGGAGGTCTTGAGCTGGAAGACCGCTCAGTCCCGGGCACTTTCGCACCGGTCGTGGCGCAGCCGAAGGGAATGCCTTCCGAACTGGTCGTCAATACTAGCGAGACCTTGCAGCGTCTGACAAACGATTACATCAGAGCAGGACTGCACCAGGTCAACATTCCAGCTCCTTCGAAAGAGTCCAAAAAGACGACTTTGGATCCTCGCTACTCGATCGCGTTCTTCTTCAAGGCGAGCCGCGAGGTGAACGTTGGCCCATTGAAGCACTTCGTGACAGAGGAGCGCCCTACCACTTACAAGGATATGACTGCTCTCGATTTCAACAGAGAGAGGAACGCGACTGTGTTCAAAAGCGCAAAAGCTGGGAAAGTCTATTGAGTGTGTGAGACCGGCTGAAATCGCCGTGGGGAAATCCTACATAGTAGATAGTGTTATCCACATCTTTCAGGTAGCAAATGAAAGTAGTGCACGGCGTTTGTGCTTTAATTGAAGCACTTGTCACCCTGACACGCTCCATTCCACCATCGCCATTTGATACCTACTTTCATCCAGAGTGATAGCCATGGATTTGATTGTTCTCGACTCCCAGTTCCCTATTACACCGCCTCTCCTTCCTCCGCCGGCAGTGCATGCGCCGCCAGGGTTGAAAACATGACGTTGCAGCACGGCAATATTTGTCTGCTTCAGTTATTAGCAGACCCCTCCACGCTTCTGGGATATTTCAGTCATGGTCCTTAAGCGCGCTTATATAATTTCACCACGATCTGATCACTATCTAGAAGCACACCAAAGCAGGAACATTTAAAGAACTACCCCAGTTCATATAAGATAACCTAGATAAAGTTGCTGAGATCTACTGAAGCCAAGGAAACCAAAAGTAAAACTAAGGAAAACTACCGGATTCCCGTACAGTATTAATGCGGGCCACATACTTCTGTGCTGCCTGCTCGTCAATCACCGGCACAGGGTAATCCTCACCACCAAGAACATCCCTACCAACCATTGGCCCCGTAACGAATGCAGCAGCACTCTTTGCATCGTTGACGCCATCTATCAATGCTATAATGCGCGCCAGTGAGCTTTTCGGATGAGTCGCAACATATACAAATGCGCGTTCACGCCATGTAACAAAATCCACAATCTGCTGCTGAGTACTAGCGGCACCCATCAGCCCCCAGAAGTCGTTGAAACTCAGTGGACGCGAGTTAGCAAAGTCGTAGTCCTTGCCGATGCGGGCCAAGTCGCGTGTCATGAGAGTAACAATCGTGTTAGCGAGATAATCCACTGGCAGGACGGCTGCGAGATCGGCGTCCAGCGAAGGGAAAGAACCCATTTCAAGACACCCGGAGATGAAATTGTGCATGAAGTCGCCGCGTTCAAGCCTGAAACAGCCACTGCTAGTCGAGGCTGTGACAAATGGTAAGCGGTAGACAGATGCCTTCGCGCCGCGCCAACGTGCCGCTGCTACCATGCGTTCCGCCGTGTACTTTGAGGTTGCGTAGCCATACTCGCCATCCCCCTCTATAAGCTCGATACCCATATACTTGGGTAACGTGGACATGGTAGAGATGACATGAATGGTTTTGTCTCGGCCTTGAGAGGCTAAACGCAGAACCTCGTGGGTACTCACGATGTTGGGACCAAGATAATCGTTCAGCGGACGAACCCAGTCGACAAGACCACCCGAGTGACAAATGCTGTCCACGCTGTCTGCCAAGTCCTCGAACTTTTCTTCTGATAAGCCGAGGAGTGGCTGGGTCAAGTCGCCAACGACAGCGTGGAGTAGCGGTTCGTATTCCGGCTTCCAAAGGTGTTGGCCAATAAAGGTATCCAATAGACGTTGTCTGGCCATCTGGGTAGACTCAGCGCGTACTAAACAATGTACAGATACGCCCAATTCTAGTAATCTTCCTGCAATGAATGCACCAACGAAGCCAGTAGCACCTGTGACAAAAGCTGTCCCGGGGGTCTCAGTGTTCTGCGTGGATCGGAAGTGGATGGCGGGATCCAAGTAGCCCTTTTTGATCGCAGCTACGTCAATCATGCTTGCCGCCGATTCGGATTCCACGGAGGTTAGAGACGTTGAGGGTTCACTACCACTTACGTCTTCTGAATCTGCCATGTCCTCTTGGAGGCTGGCCACGAGAAACTGGCTGAGCGCCCTGAGGTTCGGGTACTGGAACGCAAATCTTGCACTCAGCTTCAGATCTGTCAACTTCGCTAGCTGGTTTCGCACCAGGACTGCTGTTAAAGAGTCAATGCCAATGTCTTGTAATGCTTGGTCTGGATCCACATCGTCCGGTTTCGCAAAAGCCAATGCCTTTGCAACTGTTGCCCGTACCATTCGCAGCACTATTACAGGGTGTTCTCGGACTACAGAATGCCTTAGCATTTCACGGAGATCCTGCTCATTGGACTCGGGCTCGCTAAGTTGTACTTTGACGCCGCTCTGGCCTAGGAGCGAGCTACAAAGGGTTGGAACTTGCTGGTCGTTATTGGAGAGGAAAGTGTGTAATCGATTCGGGTCCAGCACAGCAGCCACCGTAAGTGCCCGACCGCTGCGTACAGCATTTTCTGTAAGCTCTAGGCCCTCGTCCGGATCAAGCAAGCCAAAGCCCATTCGTGTCCAACGCGCAAGATTTGCTCCACTCAATCTTCCTGCCATTCCTCCACCGCCCCAGGGACCATAAGCGATTGAGGATGCCGGCAGGCCTTGTGCGTGACGTAAATGTGCAAGTGCGTCGAGAAACGTGTTGGCAGCTGCATAATTTGCTTGGCCTGGTGTGCCAATGATACCTGATACAGATGAGAACATGAGGAATATGTCCAAGTCCATCCCTTGCGTGAGCCGGTGTAGATTCCAAGCACCATGTACCTTGGGTGCAAGAACTCGGGCGAACCGTTCCGTTGTCAAAACTTGGAGAGCTCCATCATCCAGCAAGCCAGCGGTATGAATCACTCCTCGGAGAGGTCGTTCCTTTGAAAACATAGACATGACTTCCTTGAGGCTGCTGAAGTCGGCTATGTCACAAGCAATCACATCGACCCTGAAACCGACTCTAGCAAGCTCTTCCACGAATGTGTCCGCACCTGGCGTATTCATCCCCTGACGAGAAAGTAGTATCAACTCACGCACGTTGTGTGTGATGGCAAGCCACATGGCAACACGCCGTCCTAGATCCCCAAGACCTCCAGTGATTACGACTGCTCCATCTGAACGGAGCAACTGTTCTTTTTCGAACAATTTTGTATGCAGTGCAGGTGCATACTGTAAACGAGGCACTAGGATAATTCCTTGGCGAACCGCGCATTCCGGCTCTTGGTGCAGTGATAAAGCTGAGATGAGGCCGGGCTGGCTCATATCCAGATTGTCCAAGTCAATCAAGCGTAGGTCTAACTCCGGATGCTCGTTCCGAGCGGTTCGTATAAGACCCCATAGAGGAGCTGACTGCAGTCCCACAAGCTGGGCATCGTCAGAGCCTGTACCGATTGCGTTATGTGTGATCCACACTAGAGAGGGGGCAGAGTGTGAATTGGTGGCCAGTTGCAAATGTGAGACAGCTTCCATCGTCAGTTCATGTACTTGGTCGGCTTCACCGTCAGTCTCCCAGAAACACAGGAGACCATCCAAGTCATGACAACTGTCAGGATACTCGGATTTTTCAACCCAACGCACTCGAATACCGGCCTGCAAGAGAATCGTCATTATTTGGTTTGATGATACCGTGCTTTCGGCTTGACGAAGGAGCCCCCATGTGCCGGTCGAGGCAGAAGCCGTAGTACTATTGGTATTGTACTGTTGCCAACATATTTCGAGCTCGGAAGCCTCTGTCGTGGATTTATGACTGGCAGTTGTATCGGCTCTGTCACGCTGCTCGCGATGCTGCTCTCCCTGGTCGAGGTTGTTCTTGCGTAGTGGCGGGAATCGCTCCCTCTGGAAGGCATACGTAGGCAATTCCACACGCTGGCAGCGGCCAAAGGAGTTCAGATAACCAGCCCAATCGACATGTATGTGGCGCACATGCAGATCAGTCAGGCTACGCTGTATCTTTGATACATCATTTTTGCCATGGATGAGCGACGGGATCCAGCTGACGGACGCTTCGCTTTCAAGGCATGCTGCTCCCATGCCAGACAATACGGGCCGGGGACCGAGCTCGAGGAAAACGGATACGCCCTGCTGATGTAGCGTTTGAATACCATCAGTAAAGCGAACTGCTTGGCGTGCTTGATGGATCCAGTACTCTGGTGTTTCTAGCTGGCCTGACTCGGAAAGTTTACCGGTTAGGGTGCTGACTATGGGCAGTAGTGGATTGTTGAATGTCATCGTCTGCGCCACCGATTGAAAAGCAGACAAGATAGTGTCCATATGATGCGAGTGGAACGCATGCGATACGTCGAGCATCTTCGTCTTTCGACCATGGGTGGCGAAATCCGAAGCCAGCTTCATGATAGCATCAGCATCGCCCGATGCTATGGTTTGCATGGGCGTATTTCGACCCGCGATGTCGACCTGGCCTGCTAGGCCTACTGATTCTATTGCCTCTTCCACCTCTTCGGCGCTAGCCTCTAATGAAACCATCCTGCCATGAACCGGCACGGCCTGCATCAACCGGCCACGGGCTGCAACCAAGCGACAGGCATCTGAGAGACTCAAAATGCCAGCAATGTGTGCTACCACCAGCTCACCAACGCTATGACCCAAAAGTATATCCGGATGTACTCCCCAGCTCGTCCATAGCTGGTATAGAGCTACCTCGAGAGAGAACAGAGCTGGCTGCGCATAGTCAGTGCGTTGCAATAGTGCACCAGCATCACTACCAGGTGCAGAATGCATGACATCGATCAGTGGCGTCTCAAGCTCTGAGAAATTTGCAGCAATCTCGTCAAGCGCAGTGCGGAAGACTGGGTACACTTCGTAAAGGTCTTTACCCATGCCGCAGGCTTGGCTACCCTGGCCGGTGAAAAGCATGGCTAGGCGCGGCTTTGGACTACCAAGAGTGCTTGCCGGCAACACTCGCGATGTTGAGTGCAGTTCCTCGATCAGCGCGTCCTCGTTCTTTGCCCATATGACATGACGTTTTGCAAACATGGTCCGAGTTGTAGCCAGCGAGAATGCGATGTCACTTAGACGATTGCCATAAGGCCTTCCCATGCCCTGGATATAGCATTTGAGTCTCTCAGCCTGCTGGATTAAGGCGACATGAGTGCGGCCCGACAAGAGGAAAGGGAGCTCGACGTCAAGAGACGAAAGAGACGACTGCGACGTCGCCGTGGCTTCGATATTGCTTTCGTTGATTTCCGGGATTGGCGTTGGAGGTTCCTCCAGAATGACATGGCTGTTCGTTCCCGAGATCCCAAATGCAGATACGCCTGCTCGCCTCGGTCGGTCGACTCTGGAAGTCCAAGGCTGAGATTTTTGCACAAGCGCCATTTGAGCACCTTTCCAGTTTACAGCTGGAGTTGGCTCTTTGGCATGCAGCGTTCGTGGTAGTTTGTTATTCTCCATGGCCAAGGCGACTTTGATTACTCCAGCAAGACCAGCCGCCGCTTGCGTATGCCCAAGATTCGATTTCGAGGAACCGACCCAGAGTGGATCCGCGTCGTCTGAACGGCTGCCGCCAAAGACACCTGCCAGGGCTACACCTTCGATAGGGTCGCCTAGCCTTGTGCCGGTGCCGTGGGCCTCCACATAGTCGATTTGGTTCGTTGTGAGTTGTGATGCAGCAAGCGCAGTTTGAATAAGCCGCTGTTGGGCCTTTCCACTTGGCACTGTCAGTCCGGCAGCCCTTCGACCTCCATGATTGACGGCTGTTCCGCGTAGAACCGCATGGATTCGATCTTCATCACGGATCGCGTCGCTAAGCCGCTTCAGCACAACCACGGTACATCCTTCGGCCCAACCAGTGCCAGTGTTATCCGCTGCAAATGCCCGACACCTCCCATCCGTAGACATGCCGTTGAGCCGACTGAACTCAACATGCATGGCTGGGCTAAGCAGTAGACTGATACCTCCGCTAACGGCTAGATCACACTCCCCCTGACGCAAAGCATTACATGCCAGATGTGTCGTGACCAGCGACGAGGAGCATGCAGTATCTACTGTCATGTTCGGTCCTTCGAGTCCAAATGCATACGAAACGCGGCCTGACAAGGTGCTTCCAGCGGATCCCGTAATAGCATACCCGTCGAGTTCTCCTAAGCTTGGTGTAGAGGAAGAATGCGCCGAGATGGTGCAGACACCCATGTACACACCTGTGTTACTGCCGAGAAGCTTTTCGGTGGTGTAGCCAGCCCGCTCCAGTCCCTCCCAACAGGTCTCAAGTCCGATGCGCTGCGACGGATCCATGGCTCGTGCCTCCCGTGGCGATATGCCAAAGAACGAGGCGTCGAAGTCGTCCACAGAGTCGAGAAATCCACCTCGTCGACAATATGACTTGCCTTTTGCGTTCGAGTCGGCATCGTATATGGCTTCAGTATCCCACCGATCTTTTGGAACGTTCGTAATAACATCAGCACCACGTTCAAGCAAATCCCAGTATTCGCTCGGATTGGTAACGCCACCCGGCAGGCGGCACGCCATAGACACTATAGCTATGCCCTCATTGTCTGATACACGACCCTTGAAGGGAATGGGCTCTGGACCAATCACCTGGGCGCCATGTAGAAATTTTGTCAGTGCTTTGATGGTGTAGTGCTCAAAAAAGATGGCTGGGGTCAACGGGCGACCAAGAAGTTGCTCCAACTCTGTCTGCACTTTAATCACTCGTATCGAGTCGCCACCAATCTCGAAGAAGTTATCGTCCGTTCCAATGCGATTGTGGCCTAGGATCTTTGACCAAATGAGGCGAATACTGCTTTCTAAAACCGTCTCTGGCTCTGGCTTCGGCTCTGCCGAGGTCGGCTCCATCACTGCTGTTGGATTTGGCAAGGCTTTGCGGTCGATCTTTCTATTTGGTGTCATCGGAAACGCGTCTAGCTCAACGAAGAAAGCGGGCATCATGTAGTGCGGTAGCCGTGACTTTAGCCATGGGCGTAACGCGCCGTCAATCGTCAGTAAACTCGTCGCTTGCCCGTTTGTTGGCACGCTTTGATTTCGCACGCAGAAAGCGACAAGCCTACCGTCTCGGGCGACTACAACGGCCTCTGCGATGTCGTCGTGGTCGGTGATGGCAGCTTCAATGTCGCCCACCTCGATCCTGAATCCTCGAATCTTCACTTGGCCATCTGTGCGGCCTAGCACGCGGAGGCTTTCTGGCGTATCAAAACACGCAAGATCACCTGTGCGATACATCAGGCCCTCGTGGAATAGGTTGTCGATGAAGCGAGACTGGGTGGTATCAGGCTTCTTGTAATAGCCCCTAGCCAGGCTGGCGCCACCTATGTATAATTCGCCCTCTGCTCCGATGGGCACTGGTGATAGACCATCGTCCAGCACATACATCCGATAGTTGTTGATGGGCCTTCCTATCACGATAGCCTGGTCTGGGCACACCTGCCACACAGTCGCCCATACGGTCGCCTCTGTCGGCCCGTAAACATTCCAAACCGAATCTGCGCACGGAAGCAACCGCTCGGCGAGCCGCCGGGGTAGTGCCTCTCCACCACATATAATCTTGGATAAGTGGGCTTCATCCTCCCAACCCACATCAAGCAGCATTTGCCACGTGGCCGGAGTGGCTTGCATGATGGTAATCCTGTAGCGCTGGAGTAGGCGCAGCAACGCGCGTGGATCCCTCGTTTCTTCCACCTGGGCCACAACCGTTGTTGCCCCACATATCAGTGGTAAGAAGAGTTCCAGCATGGCGATATCGAAAGAGACTGTAGTAACCGCTAGTAGTCGATCGGTTTCGCTACATCCCGGCTCGCGCTTCATTCCGAATAGCAAGTTGCACAGCGCTCCGTGGCTGATCTCTACCCCTTTCGGTAGTCCAGTCGAACCGGATGTGTATATTACATAGGCGAGATCTCCTGGCCTTGTATCGACGTTAAGATCGTATGAATCGGCGGGGGAGTCCGAAAAGTTTTGTCCAACAGCCTCGACGTTTAGAGAAAAGCCATTCCAGAATGACATGGCGGCCTGTGTCGTGTTGTCTACAACAATGATCTTTGGCTCCGCGTCCTCCAGCATATGGTGGATACGATCCTGGGGAAATGATGGGTCGATAGGAACATATGCCGCGCCCACTTTCAATACAGCTAGTAGCATGACGACGAGTTGGACAGATCGTTCCAGGACAACCGCAACGAGATCACCATGCTCGATACCACGCTGTCTAAGTACGCAGGCATAACGATTCGCAAGGATGTTAAGCTCTCTATAGGTCAACTCTTGATCGGCGCAGATAACGGCCAGTTTATCCGCATGTGTTGCTGTAGCTTGCTGTATGAGATTATGTAGGCAATGGCCCAGAGTTGTGGTGTCGTCGGTGGCATTGTACGGCCCGGTAACATCCTGCTGAATCGCGGTCTCGAGACTTGTGCTCATTTTGTGATTCGCTGAACTCCTGATTCTTTTTGCCTTTTTCTTTTCTAAGGTATTAGTAGTGACTCGCCTGGATATAACAACACTAGCAACCAGGATGCACTCACAATGTTCACGCTCTAAAAACACGGATCAACGCGCGTTGATCTATCTGAGTGCTTGCTTGAACGCTAGCTATTTCAAAGTAAATGCAAAAGCGTCTTGATCTTTGGTACCTGGGATTTCACAAGGGATGATGACTACTCATCAAGGAGATCCGAATATAGAAACAGACTTTCCTTTCGGAAATACACTGCACAATCAGCAACGTTTCTTCGAAATCTCACAAAGCAATGTCAAATTCCGAGTCGGGCTAAGCTTAGCACAAGAATATGCTCCGATACCTAATGATGATTGGGAACGAAGACTGCTGTTCCGATGGATCACCATGGTGCAATTCTGCTGAACGAAACGCAATTCAGGTGGTCCAGCATTACCTGAAGCTCACAGGTCAGACTCTGTGATCCGAGGACAAAAGTTTAATGATGAATGATACTGTCAGCTTATTTTCAACACAGCTTCCGTGCAAGCTAGTGCTGTCTTACGAATTGCATTTCTGTACGAAGCCGCGTTAGCAAGAGAGTAACGTGCCTGTCTCAGCAACAGGCAGCAGCTTACAGTTCACTCATCCGTCTACCTTGCAGAGATGACTGTAGTCGAATGACAGCAGCCGATGACGTTTGGGCGTCTCGGAAGCCGACTCCCCGTAAAGGAAACGCATTTTCCGATATCCGAGTTTAGAGCTCTAGACTTCTCCGAATAACAGAATTCCAGTCTCTATTCACCGTTAGCTTCATCCCCAAAAGTTGCAGGCGTTTGAACACAGATGATAAATCAATATGATCCCGTGAATGTTGTAAACCTCATCCCAGAATTTTCAACTGGTTTACATCATATCTTTCATCAAGCATCCCATCATGGCGCCAGGAGTCACATATGCCAGTCTTCCGGCTAACGGTTCGTTCGATACGACGGCTGACACTGAGAAACCTCAATTTGTTGCAACTGCAACCCCTGTCGATGCTATTGAGAGCATCAAGCTTGGGCTCCAGATTCAACGTCATGAGCAGAATGGAACAACTGCCAAATCTCTGGATGTTACCAATAGTGCTTGGACACATAGTCGCGAGAGTTCCAACAATTTCATCTCGGATTTCTACACCAAGCCAACACTGCCTATGCTCGAAGCCATTGTCCGGACCACACTCGGCGATGGCGACAACGACGAAGATGCGGCGACCAATGCTCTTCAAGAGTACGTCGCTGATCTCATGGGTCACGAAAGCGCTCTGCTTGTGCCCACCGGTACCATGGGCAACCAAGTCTCTTTGCGCACCGCGTTAGGCAATCCACCGCACTCGATCCTCGTCGACTATCGAGGGCATATCATTCACTTCGAAGGCGGCGGTCCATCCGCCATCTGTGGTACTCTGATCCGCACTGTCGTCCCCGCCAACGGGCACCACCTTACCCTGTCAGATGTCCAAAAGTTCAGCACCGTACGCAATACTATGTACGACTGCCCGACTCGGGTCATTGCCCTGGAGAACCCTATGGAGGGCCGCATCCTGCCATTGGCTGATATCCAGGCGATTTCGACATGGGCGCGAGCGCAGAACCCGCCAATCCACATGCACCTTGATGGTGCGCGACTCTGGGAGGCAGTGGCCGCAGGAGCATGCACACTGCGGGAAATCGGCGCGTGCTTTGACAGCATTCAAATGTGCTTCACCAAGGGCCTCGGGGCACCGCTTGGTAGCATTGTTGTTGGGAGCAGCGTCTTCATCCAGCGGGCGAAATGGAGTCGTAAGATGCTTGGAGGTGGTACGCGCTCTTCGGGAGTGATTGCTGGTCCGGCACGACTAGCGATTGACGACGTGCTTTTTGGTGGGAAGATGAAGAGGGCACAGGAGAAGGCGCGGCGGGCGTCCGAGTTATGGGTCGAGCTGGGCGGTAAGCTGTTGGAGCGTACCGAGACCAACATGGTTTGGGTGGACTTGGAGGGATCAGGTATCGACGCGAAATGGTTCTACCCCATGGCGAAGAATGATTTTGGTCTGAATATAGGAGGCGTCATACCCCAGCGGATAGTCTTTCATTACCAGATCTCGGATGAGGCGTTTGCGAGGCTTTGCGATTTCTTCCGCAAGGCTCTGGGTACAGAAGCTCAGGATACTAATTCTTATTAATAAGAGTTACTATACGTGTTCCACAAGCCGCAACTGGGACAAGTCGTGAACGATAGGGCCTCTTGGTCAAGAACAGCTCGTCAGCGTCCACAGCATAATTATACATACTCTCGCTGATAAGCTTTCTGTCTCCCCTACGAAGGTGCAGCTGCACAACCTAACACGACGCTGAGACACACACATGGAGCAGGATGATGAGTGAAGTTGATGACGTCTGCTGTGCTTACGGCAGTCGAGGTCTCTGCTGGCGAGCCATTGGTTGGATTGCCTCTGCTGGGCCACGCGCTGGGTGCACGAGCTGATGACACGCGCGGGTACATGGCTTTTCCTCGCCTCTCGGGTAATAAGCAGCGAATCGTGTGTGATAGAAGACGTTGGGTGGAGGCAGGTCGGTGGAGTCGGTGTGGTGAACGGGAACCCCCGCAAGCAAGCTCGTGACCCGCGGCTTCGTCGAGCGAGCGAGCCTCATCAGCAGTAGCAGAATCCGCGACTAGCGAATACCACAATCGCCGAGTCATACTCAAACGCAAACTACCTTCCTCTAGCCGTTACTGCGCTCGGCCCCGTTACGTATAGTACATGCAGGTACTCCAAGCGCGCAGAGTCGAGGAACTGTTCCGAATCGTGGTTTAAGAAAGCAGCGTCCCGGCTTGCGACGGCTCTATTCACTCACCATGTCGACGAACGGCAGCAATGCTTCTCCACAACCGCGGTCCCAAGCCGGCCAGCACACGCGCACATACCAGGCGTGCATCCCATGTCGCAGGCGCAAAGTGCGATGCGGTACGTAGCCGCCAATGTCTACAACACGTATAGTGTGCATGGGACACCTTCACTGACTTGATACCTCGCCCTCTAGACCTAGGCCCCGTCGATCATCCACACGAGCCCCCCTGCGTTCGTTGCCGTCGTGAGAGCAAAGAATGCTTCTTCTCAGCCACGCGCCGCAAGAGAAAGGCAGACGGCGAAGACGAGTTTGACGAAGTCGACGAGTTCGAAGTCCGCAATGGCAGGAAGCGACAGCGCTCAGACGACCCTCGTCCAGAACCCCTCAACATCACCACGGCCAACAGCGCAGCAGCAGCACCAGCCTACATATCCCAGCCGTTGACACCAGGCGGCTCCATTGGCCGCTACGAGCCTCTGCGACGACCAAACACGTCGAGTGACCGCCAGCCTCGACCCAACGATGAAGAGGACGAGAAGGTGAACAATGAGACGGTAGCAACGCTGCAGACGGGCGAGGTGTACAGTGGACACGATGCTTTGAACCTGCTATTCGAGGCCGCGGGCATGAATGGCCACGTCAGGACGGGCAGCACCTCGAGCATGCAGCGCCCGACCCTAGGCAGCACACCCGGCTCGCAGACCAACTTCGCCAGTCCCCAGCTGAACGCGACACACGTACGAAGCGCTTCGCGCACTGCAGCTGAGCCGTCGGTCGATCCAGCGATTCAGCAGCCCATGATACCAGACCCGCCAAACGAGGCAGCCTTCGCTGATGCCGTCAGGGCCTGGTCCAAGTTCCGCTTTGTGCGCGCAGGATGGCTGACTGCCAAAGAGGCCATTGCCTATATCGACTATTTCTACGCCTTCCTGTCTCCCCTGACGCCAATCGTTGTGCCAGACTACCGCGACCATGCATTCCACGCGAAGCTATTGAAGGAGGAGCCAATGCTGGTGATAACATTGCTTACCATCTCCGCCAGGTATTCGCAGCCCAGCGGATCAAGTGGCATCGGTGCGACATCCCGTGCCTACCTGATCCACGAGAAGCTATGGAAGTATCTCCAGGGGATGATAGAGCGCATGATATTCGGACAAGAGCAATTTGGCGGAGGCTTCTGTGGTGCGGGGCAGCAGCCAGGATCCGACGTCAATCCACTTTCTCGCAAAGGTTTGCGCACGCTCGGTACCGTCGAGAGTCTCATGTTGCTCACTGAGTGGCATCCACGTGCGCTGCACTTTCCGCCTGGCGACGATGACGACGAACTGGTTCTGCCTGACGACCCATATGAGACCGGACCAAAGGCCGACATGTACAAGGGTGTAGGCGACAAGCGCATCGATAGCTGGCTGGAGCCGTGTTGGCGAAGCGATCGCATGTGCTGGATGCTGCTTGGAAACGCAATGACGCTTGCCTTTGAAATCGGTGTCTTCGATGAGACGAGCGAGACTGAATTTGAAGAAGCCAACCAACACCTTTCCCATGCCACCGTCAAGGCGTACTACCGACGAAAGAACCACCTAAGAGATCTTCTCATCATCTACGTCACGCAAACAAGCGGTAGACTTGGACTGACATCCATGCTGCCCAAGATTGAACGCGACGAGAGCGTTCTTGGAGGGCCCACGCCTCTGGAGCTATACCAAGAGCGAATCAGCCGCATCAAGGCCCCTCCGCCACAGTTTGGCATGCGCTCAGATGGACAGCGCCTACCCCTCGAGTCTATTGCCACGCAAGAGCGGCATGCTGTGCAGGATCTGGTGCTAGACTTTTGGCAACGCATTGCCAAGGTCATGGAGATAGGTAACCTGAAGTTGTTCTCGAATCGGCGGAAGACGAGGGAGTTGCTGAAGAGTGGGACCTATGAGGCCATGTTGAAGTCCTTCCAAGGGCCGTTGACCGAGTGGAAGGCTTGCTTTGAGCGCGCTCCGCAAGGTATGATCACTCTCCCCACCCTGCTACTTGTTTTTTGCGTGTTGTCTCTAACATGTTGACGCGGGACAGTCCCAACACAACTTCGCCACGTGCTTATCATCGAATTCGAATACACACGCGTATACCTCAACAGCCTCGCCCTCCAGGCCGTCGTAGAACGCTGCACACACAACACGCCGCTGCAGACACATGCCCAACCTAACGGCCTCAACGGGCGCGCCGCCAACGGAAACGACGACGGTGGTGCCATTCCCTTTAGCACGCTGGTAAAGTGGTATGCCAACGACAGACACTACATCAACGAGGTCATCGACGCATCGCGCACTGTTCTAAAAGTAGCCGTCGACGGTCTCCACCCTGGCGGGTATCTACGACATGCGCCTGTACGGACCTTCTTCCGAATCGTCTCCGTCGCCATCATTCTCTTGAAAACGTTTGCGCTGGGTGCAACGGAGGAAGATGTAGCCGTCAGCCTAGGTCTGCTGAGCGATTCCGTCGATGCCCTACGAACCAGTATCGTCGACGACGTGCACGTCGGCAACCGGTTCGCAGATCTCGTTGAAACGCTTACACATCGGATTCGCAGCCGCTTCGTGCGTCTCGCCGCCAACGGGTCATCCGGTATCTCACGCGCGGGTAGTAGGAGTCCGATCCCCGCGCCTCATATGCCTCCTCCCGCGCCCCTAGGTCAGGCAAGCGCGCACCTAGCCCCACCGTTCATGGGCGCTGGCGCCCCGTTCCAAGGTACGGGCAACAGTGTGCCTGGGAGCCCTAGTCTAGGCCTCACAACAAGCGGGCGCGCCACTCCGCTTTGGGGCATATCGGCAGAACCATACGATCCGAATTCAAACAGCATCTCCATCATGCCGCCGCCGGGCAATTACGCCAACTTCCCCACTGGTAATAATTCTACTTCGAACAGCAATAACGGTACCAATTGGAGTCAATGGGCAAATAGCGGTGCTACCTGGGGCGCAGGCCAAGATCAAGATTGGCTTGCCTTGCCGTTAGATCCGCTGCTTGATCAGTGGGGTGCGGAAATCAATCAAACGGCCATGGGGCCGGATATTGGCGGGATGGACATGTTGGATATCTTACTGAATATGGGTGGACCGCCGGGAAACACGTCGTAATGAAACGGGGGGAAAAGTTCTTGTTAGTCTGGATGTGAAGTTGAATTTTCGATACCCAGTCACCTTGGCTTCGGCTTGACTTTGTTGATATATGACGCTTGGTTAGTATGCATTGCGAAAGGGAAAAAAGTACGGCGTTGCTTTTGCATTTTTAGTTCGCTCGATGTATTCGACATACGTCTACTATGGAGAATGAACTGTGTTCAGTAAAGGCTATGAGCCAGTGCATGATATCGCGCCGACTCTTAGCTGTGAGATTCACATGGTGAGTAGTTCTGTATCATGTACCATATTGTTCTGCTGACGATCTCCATCTAGCGCATCGCAGTTCCTACTCTTCCGACCATCTAGCATTTGAAGATACAAGTCATATCGGAAAGCTGAATTATTGTTAGTGTCAGAGCTAATAGCGAGCAACAAGGCAGACTTACGCGGTAGTGTACGCCGTGCTCCGGAATGCAGACCAAGTCAGGCTTCGTCCAGGGGTTCCAACTGCACAGACCGAACGCATGACCATCATCCTTGGTGTTTGTGGCCCACCAGCCGCCATTGAAGGCAAAGTAGACCTGCTTGTCGTCATTGCTGTAAGCCAGGCGAAAGTCTCCCATGCCCAATAGCCTGATGGCTCCTTGATCGATACGGCCGACGCCGTTGGGGTACATTACCGCGGTCTTGCGGTCATTGTCTTCAATGCTGTAGAGCATCCCAAGCATCTGGCTGTGCCATCCCTGTTCGGGAGTGTGGATGCATTGATTGCTAAGCTGCATTTTGAAGCTGCAATAGCCATGCGCGTAGGGAACAGCTGAAGTGTCACCGCCGACTGGAGAGACCTGCCCGACTGGGACGAGGTCAAGTGCACTAGAGATTGTGCGGGCTTGGACGTGCTTGCTGTTCTCTGTCGTGTGCGGACCACATTGGAGGGTGCAGTCCATCTCCTGAGACTAGCTTTCGTTAGCTAAGTTGAAAGAGAGCGACATTGATCGATCACTTACCCGAGACTGAGAATGGCCAGGCGAACCACATGCCAACGTATCCGACGACCAGCGACCGGCCGTGCAGGTAAATGCGTTCTTCTTGTCAGGCGACTGCTCACCAGTCCATGTAACATCACCATAGACGTCTGTGTTCTGTCAGTACATCGCACATGAGGTTGTCGAGTTTATCCACGCTCCGGTACCACCACGTTCACTTACAGCTCACAGCACCGTTCTGGAAGCTTGCCCAAAGGTCCTTGCCCAGTCCAGTAATACGCCACCTACCATGGTCCACGGTGACAGGAAGACCGTCTGCAGGTTCGAATATGACCTTGCCAGCATTGTCGAGGAAGGAGGGAATCGAGATTGATGTGGTAGTCTCCGATTCGACACACTGCTGATAGACACGAGCGTGAAACTGGCAACGACCAGTTGCGAAGTCGGCAGTCTTCGTGGTAGAGGTCAAGGACTCAGCTACAAGAGGCGAGATACCTTGAGCGGGTGCTTGGTGGTTGGAAGGAGCGCCTGGGGCGGGAATTGCAAGAGTCGCTGGTAGGAGGCTGGCGGTAGCCAGAGTGACGAGCTTGGTGAGCATCATGCTACTGATGTCAGTGTTGTTCGTGGAATATTTGTGCAGCAATGGTTGACCTACGTCCTACTGCGGTACACGGTTGCACTTCTAGGTCGTTGAGATGGAGTGAGAGTTTGAAGAGAGGAGGCAATGGAGGGGGCAGCTTTAATTTGAGAGGCACAGCGAGGAGAAGAAAAGTGACGGAGTCTCAAGGTGGGAGAAGTAAGAAGTGGGGAAATAACAGCGCTTTGCACTGGTGGAGGAAGTCACGACCAAAAGGGAAGTCGCAGCTCACCCCACATGCTGAAACCCGAAGCGCCACCTTTATGCTCACAGAGCCAAAGTATGTTGCTACTCAACGTCCATCTATCAAGACTAGTTCCGTGGCAGTTCACCTGCTCGAACTGTCTTTCCGAAAGGTCCAAACAACCTGGCCACTTTCATCTGGACTTCCGCATGTAGCTCATCTAGCATACCAGCGCCACGGACATAGGCCGGTGAGATGACCTCCCAATCCAAGCCATCTAGCCGGAGAACTACGATGAAGTTGTACGATGCCAGTTTGTCCTGCTACTCTATCTCCTGCGGTGGATCCACCTGTTCGGGAAAGCCAGTTCCCATGTCGATGGCTTGACCTACATTACCTTGATAACTTTGCCCAGGATTGGGGAAATAAGGCCCTGGCTGAAATAGTGCATTTAACAGGACGGGGTCTGTTTCCAGGCATGCTGTTTGACCTGATCAATTTCATCAGCAGCAAAGGTGATGGCGTGGACAGTGAACAAGTCGAGCGGTCGATCAGAGTTTTGGCTGTGGTGAATGAGGAAAGCAATATTCGCTACAACCCTGTGGTAAATCTCTGCCTATGCGTCAGATATTATAAGGGAGATTCCATTACAGATTGTGCGGTAGAGCCAGGGATCTTGTTGAAGCTCTGGGAATGCTGAAGCTAAGAAGTAACGAATACGCTTGTGGAGGGCTTCTAGGTTGGCCATCGTTGAAAGTAGTGCAATAGTCGTTTGAGACAGAATGGTAGAGGTTTCTTCAAAGTAGCCGTGCACTTTATAAACCCTAACAGAGACCACAGAAACGTCAAGTTCACATGGAAAAAGCCGCTGATACACACGTCTAACGGGAGCAATTGCGATAAAGCGTGTGACAAGCTCATTCCAACGGTGGTGAATATGTTTGTTCTCATCATCATATCTGGATGTTAAAGAAATTAGAGACGTAGAACCACCTCTCTTGTCTAGCCAGCAATTCCTGGTCCCTGCCGTAACGAAGCTCCATGTTTATCGCGATGAACGGAGACACCTTTTCCCCATGATAGTTTGTTTAATGCTGACGACGTGCAGATAGGACGTGTCATCATCACTGTTAGTATTGATACTCATGACTATGACAAGGTAAATTTTCTTTTCAATAGCCTCGTGGTTCTATGGGACTCAGGGCCTGATGCCAAACCCATCAGCTGTTACTGAAACCCCATATTCTGACCAAAGTTCCCTTCTCGCACATAGACAACCACCCACCTCCATTTGTCAATCGACACACCTGCCTCAACGTTTTTGAGCATTCTGGGTCTTGGTCACTTTCCAACGAAACGCCGAGATGTGTTGCTCATTTGAGCCCAGGGACTTTGCCGCGGATCGCGTCTGCTGATGCTTTTAGCAACAAGTCTAGGACATTTTTCCGCTCTCCCTGTAGTCCTTCTACCACAATCCCGTTGGCGTACAGTAGGACTAGCTTCCAGCCACGGTAGTGAACATCGGGAGTTCTGGAAAGAACAAGGTGGAGGTGATTGCTGTTGATCGAGCTGCCGTATTGATGAATGATCAGAAAGGTGAGATTGGCTAAGCGTAGTCAGATAGAAGGGTATGGAATACTGTAACGGTGTCCTACCTGCGAGTTGATTTTGATCGCCATAGAGCTTTCCAAGCAAACTTATCATCAAAGTTCTCAGCGATTCGGCATCCGTGATCACTGTTGATAGTGAGTGTATGTTTTGCTTAAACCATTATGAGACTTACTGAGATCAACCTTCGGTGCCATCTTAGAGACTCTTTGTTGAACGAGTTGGTTGTCAAGTGTTGTGGAAAGATTGTAAGGTGGTTGTTGTTGCGGGGTTAAGTATCGAAAATGGACGAGTGGCTTGGGAAGTGAAGGTGAAGGTGACCTCCCTAAAGCCGACAACCGGAATCACTCGCGCTGTGGGATCTCATTTTCACTCCTTCCTTCGGGTTCCTAACTTGCCCCTCGCGCTCTTAGTGTGAGCGGGAATTTTGCACCTAGAGTGCAGCCAAAAGCAATTCAGTACCGCCTGCTGTAACAACCCACACCAACACACAGATCTTGAGGAGTAGCTGTTGAAGAAAGAAAGGCGGCCCTTGTTGCAGTGTTGCTACTTGTGACACCAGATTCAGTGAACAGGCACAGGTTCCGTATCAACTCACATATGATATGCGATCGTCGAGGTTGTAGGTGACCCTGCGCAGATATACTAACCATTCTTCATGCTTGAAGTCAACGATCCTCGTCTGTGGTGAGCACCTCACCTGCTTCATATAGAAAGCTAAAGCCCAGATGGACACTGCAAGTCAAGTTCGTACAACATATGGTGCAATCAAGTAGTCGTTCCTGGCAGTCATTATATTGGAAGGGAAAGCCGTAGGGCATATCCTAGTAAAGATCGAATCCCTGAAGGCGCAGTTGGACTAATAGGATGTGCTTCTAGCCACTTCACGCGACGAGGGTATCAGGAAATGCCCAATGATAGTTACATCCGATGAGTTCCGTACGTCCACGACGACTATGACCCGATACTGAGCTATCCTGAGTCCTCTCATCATCGATGTAGTCATGTGACATCGCGAGCGGAGTGATTTAGCCTAATTGGATGTGGCAAAGATCGCTAGTTCAATAATACCATGTGGCGTAGCACTAGACGGCGGCTTGGTCGATGTTGGAGTTATCGCTCCAAAGATTCCCCCTAGATAGCGGAGAACATGCTCGGGGTGGCGGCGCGACGGGCCATCGTGTGGGGATATCGCGGGGTGCTACGCATGATGGAAGTTGAAGACCAGAGCCAACACAGGCACACTACTGTGGTCGCCGCTGGCATACGTTTCTGATTCGGGACACTTCTCGCTGGTCAGCCAAAGCGAGTTGTTTATGAATAGTTTGTAAGACTGACGGATTTGCGAGATCATCATGAGAGCGGATCGCGCAATGTATTCAGGCATACTCGATAGGCAGCCCAAAGTATTGAGATCATTACTGGCCACGACAATCTCTATGCGTCCCAATCATTATTGCGCGATGAGTGAGCGTGCCAGGACAAGCGAAAAACCGGGATACCGAAGATACAAGGTATGCGATAGGGCGCTGAGTAGCCGGGGAATAGCCCGAGGCTGCCACCCTTCGTGTTGAACGCTGATGAAGCAATTGCTGCATCAGTCTTCCATCATAGCTCTTCCGTATCCAATCTTGAGAATGATCGTCAAAGGCTCCAGAGCTCGCCCGTGAAGATATTTTGCGAGATAATGCTGATCCAACGCATATGTCCAACAGCTGCAATTATTTAACCGGTCTGAATTGAGACAAGGCTGCAGCATCCATAGTTGCTCGAGTGATCCAGAACTGAGGCGGGATGTTGGAATTGGCACAAAGGAATGGAACAGCCACCCGGCCAAGCGAGGCTGCCAACTCGTAAACTGCCTGGTCAACGCCCCGGTGGCGCTGACAAGAGATGCATCGTGCATAACGCATCATTCTGGAAGATGACAGTGGGCTAGGATGAGTCGGCCAATGGCATTTGCGGAGTCCCCATGGGCAGCCATTGCATCGCGAACGAGTCTGGGGAACAGCGCGTCAACAGCTCGAGGGAATATCGTACTGCCGGCGGTCAACGCAACAAGCGGCATAAGGCATTCAAGTAGGGCGTGGGACAGCAGAGGCAAAGCTGGAGGGCCGTCTGATGGGGTAGCAAGCAAGTGTGAGGGTCGTCTAGGCAGTAATAGGCTAGTGCCGGGGAGTGCTAAGCTTTAGATCCTCCACGTGATGCGGCTAACCGGAAGTCCACCAACCACCTCTTAGGTACACCATGGGGACCATGGAGAAGCGCTTGTCAATTCCGCACCGTCGGTTGCTGGGCATATGAGCTTTAGAGTAAGGGGTTAGACGCTGGTTAATCTATTCAGCCGTAGCTCAACGTCTCTTTTCCCCATGATCAACGCCTTCCAGAACGTCCAACGGAAAGGTCATTTATGCGATTCAGCCGGACGGCCACCAGTTGGATGCTTGCCTGTACGATGCGAAACCCGGGTGACGGGTCTGGTGCGTTATCTGTACGCGCCTATTTCATCAATCCTGAAAGTACAGATTAGCACCAGAAGGACATGTTAAGAGACTCGGTGCTTTGAGCATAGGCTGCCGCTGGCTGCTCCAATTCCACATGCCGAGCCCGACCAACGCGTAGTAAAGCTTTGATATGGCCAGCCAAGAGATCGATCATACAACGGTTTAAGCTATTTTGCCGTACAATATACCCCATACGGCGTTTCATCCGCGCAAAGTGCCTCCGAGGACACGACTTGACGGGCATTTAGCCGGTCCGCTGGACCGCTGATCTGGGACCAAGGATCATTCGCACACAGTAGACGACTCAGGATGCATATATATGAAGCACCAACATGATCAATCTATCCCAGCTCAGCTGCAATTAACGCAACCCAGCACGACTCCAGCTTATATACCCTGCGGCTCCGGACCGTGGTTTGGTTTTACTTTTCGAAACCAATCCACACTCCTTTCTCCCTTCCATCTGACAAGGGTCTACGGCCGTCAACTGTTGGACACCATGGGTCTCTACCAAAAGTTCACGCCCAAGATAGGCGCCGTTGCGAAGAACAAGGCGGATGTGGAGGTCGCTCAGGCTGAGGCTCCTCACCTGCAGTATGTCAATTGGCGATCCGACCCCGGGCTAAGGAAGTTGTACTTCTGGGCCTTCATCATCTGTATCGCCTCTGCCACTACGGGTTACGATGGGTATGTAAAACAATTCTGAAATGCTCGATCGGGCAAACACTAACAAATCATAGTTCCATGCTGAATAATCTCCGTATTCTCGACCGTTGGACGCACTATTTTCACGACCCCAAGGAGTCCACTCTTGGTCTCTTGACTGCCCTTTACTCGATTGGTTCTATTGCTTCGCTTCCTGTCACTCCCTTCATCGCCGATCACTTTGGACGTAAATCCGCCATTGCGCTTGGGTGTGTTATCATGATTGTCGGTGCCGCCATTCAGGGTGCTGCGAAGAATCTCGGCTACTTCATGGGCGGTCGCTTCTTGATGGGTTTCGGAAACTCGCTCGCCCAGCTTTCATCGCCTCTCCTACTTACTGAGCTTTGCCATCCCCAGCATCGTGCTCGTGTTACCGCCGTCTACAACTGTCTTTGGAACGTCGGTGCCATTATCTGTACGTGGTTGACCTTCGGTACCAAGCGCATCGAAAGCGACTGGTGCTGGCGCATTCCCGCCCTCACCCAGGCTGCTCCTTCAATCATCCAGTTGACCTTCATCTGGTTCATCCCTGAGTCGCCTCGTTGGTTGATCTCAAAGGAGCGAAACGAGGAGGCACTCAATATCCTCGGAAAGTATCACGCCAATGGTGACATCAACAACGCCACCGTACAGTTCGAATACGCTGAAATCAAGGAGACTCTCCGTCTCGAGTTTCAGTACCAGAAGAATTCCTCCTACCTCGACTTCTTCAAGACCAAGGGCAACAGGTACAGGCTTATGCTCCTCGCCTCTCTAGGTCTCTTTTCCCAATGGTCTGGCAACGGTCTTGTCTCCTACTATGCTACCGATGTCTACAAGAGCATTGGCATCACCGATGGCGATACCCAGCTCGGTCTCAACGGAGGTCTTACCATTCTCTCGCTCATCGTCTCCGTATCCTGTGCTCTGCTCGTTGATCGTGTCGGTCGTCGCCCACTCTTTATCCTAGCCACAGCCTCCATGTGCGTTACGTTCATCGTCTGGACAATCGCCTCATCGCAGCAAGAGGCGAAGCAGAGCAAATCCGCAGGCCAGGCCGTCATTGCTATGATTTGGATCTTCTCCGTCGCTTACGCGTTGGCTTGGTCTGGTCTGCTTGTCGCCTATACTGTCGAGATCTTACCCTTCAAGATTCGTGCCAAGGGTCTCATGATCATGAACTTCTTCATTCAGGTTGCCTTGACCATCAACCAATACGTCAACCCCTACGGCTTCCAGTACTTGCATCCCGCCTGGAAGTTTTATACCATCTACGCTGTAAGTCACACTGTGCTGTTTTCTTCCGATGGCTATATACTAACGTCAACTAGTGCTGGATCTTCCTCGAACTTATCTTTGTCACCGTATTCTACGTCGAGACTCGCGGCCCCACCCTTGAAGAAGTTGCTAAGATCTTCGATGGCGATGAGGCTGAAGTTGCTCATGTCGACCTCGAAACTGTTGAAGCGTCCGTCATGAGCTCTGGTTACGAAAAGAATGAAAATGTCCGAGTGGAGCAGATCAGCAGGTCTTCTTAGACCTGACTGATTAGTCTTGTATGTATCAGGATTCATCATAGATGGGGGTATACCGATGGTGGATTTTGCATGTCTCGGAGTCGATCAATCGTTTGTTTGCGATTTCAAGCATGCACATGTCAATTCTACGTCCTAGCGAAATAATATTTGATACCCACTTCAACTCTCATGTATGTGTGTCCACCATGGTAATTGATCATGTTCACCAATCCACTTCAAAGATACCCTGGCGTAGATCTCAGTTCAGAAACACAAAAGGACTGAATTGAGACTGCAAGTGGAAAGGGAGATTCGAGCACTCCATATAGTAACTTCGATTGCAGAGTTATCGACGCTGATATTGGATGTATCTATAAAGGGCCTAAACGATTCCTAATCCGGTATGCGCTAAAATAGCGTGTCGTTCATCTCGTAACTGACACCTTCTCTGACCTCAAGCCTTTCTCGATATCTTCAGATTTCCCTCTTCATCGCGATCGAAACGCATAGTCCCATTTGTATACTATAATGCGCATATCTCCCCTTTATGCTTCAACGCGAAAGTGAATGAATTATAGCCATCGTCAGCATGCGATTTCACGAAGCCTCAAAGGCTCACGAACGAATCGATATAATTATTGGATTACCACTATATATCGGCTGAGGATTGAAGTATGTACTGTAATGTATGGAGAACAGCAATGTCGTGTACGCTCTACCATCTATTCTTGATGATGTGAGCGGCCTTCTCACCCACGGCATACATAGTCGACTGAATATGCTGGGCTGGGATGAGGGGCAAGATGGAGGCGTCGACGATAGATAATCGGTTGACACCGTAAAACAAGAGCTCATTAGACACACAGCCGCCTAGGTCTTCCGGCATCATGGCACAGGAGCCACTGGGATGAGCAAGAGTTGGCCAAACGCTTCCTAACTCAACGGACTTCTTGATAATATCCTCGTCGCTCGTGTACTGGGGTCCAGGAGTCCTCTCAACGAGCGAGTACTTCTTGAGCTCTGGACGCGCCCAGACTGTTCGGATGTATCGGACGCATGATGCCAGGACAGATTTGTCAATTGGGTTGCTTAGGGCGTTGTAGAAAATCCTTGGTGGGCCTTGAGGGTTAGTGGGGTTGATCGTGATGCTGCCGCGCGAAAGCGGCTTCTGGTGGGCAACGAGAACAAACGAGCCTGCTGCTGGAACTGGGTATTCGACAACACCAGCTTCGTCATTTTGATATAGATCGGCGAGGACTTTCCGCTGCGCTCGGACACCCTTGAGCAGCGTCTTGCTGTTCTTATAGATGGCTGGCAGATAAGCATCCTTCTTGAGGTCAAGAACTTGTTTGGCAAGGCCGCGGTAATTCTTGGGGTCGACCTGGGGCAGCGGGATGAAGGCTAAGCTATTTCCTCGGGCCTGCGTCAGCGGGCCGGTCTTAGATGTGCGGTGTTGCTCCCAGGCCGATGCATTGAACGTCGCGTTGGAGCTCAGAGTGCCTGGGTTCGGAAAGCTCATGTTAGAGATATTGAACGCAATAGTCGTGTACGGGTGGTCCTGGAAGTTCGCTCCTACACCGTCATTTTCAAGCTTGACCTTGATACCAGCAGCTTGGAGGACAGATTTGGGTCCGATACCGCTGAGTTGAAGGAGCTTGGGTGTGTTCACAGCACCGGCTGCCAGAACTACCTCTTTCCTTGCATACACCGTCGTGGACTTGCCAGTTTTCTTGTCAGTCACCTTGACACCCTTGGCAGTGAGTTCCCGGCCACTTTCGAAGACTAGCTCAGTAGCCACCGTTTCTGTCCAGAGCTTGAGATTCGATCGCGTAGAGACAGGGTCGTAGTAGGAGTTTCGTGCATGGGACCTTTCGCCTGTCTTGGGATTCATCGTATTCGGGAACCACGACGCACCGTAGGCCTCTCCATTGTTACCGTCGCGGGGCATATGCGCACCTGCGCCCTTGAAAGCCTTGAAGTAGTCCTTCACGTCCGGGAACTGGAAGTCTGAGATGCCAACCTTCAATGGACCTTTTCCATAACTAGTGGCGGTGAGTCAGCAACTTGTGTTAGCATACAGGACGATCAACATACGCTTCAGGATCCCAGGTAATACCAAACTCTTCAGCAGTTTCTTTTGGAGGCGGGATAAACTCTGTGCCCTTCTTGAAGAACGGGTACATTCCTTCCCACCCCCATCCGTCGTTACCGAGAGCTTCCCAGGCGTTATAGTCTGCAGCAGAGCCACGATCATACACCATGCCGTTTACGACAGAGCCACCGCCCAGTACCTGAGCTACACGAGTGTTCCATGTTTTATTTCCGAGCTCAGGCTCGGGATCTGAGACATAGTTGGGCCAAAGGAGAGAGGTATTCAGCGGATATGTTGCGCCGAATGGGAGACGAATGTTGGGATTATCATCCGCGCGACCAGCTTCGATGACAAGAACAGTCTCTACAACAACTTTCTTAGTATGTGTAAACGAAAGCAGGGCTCTAGTGTTTGCTTACTGTTCTTGTCCTCTGTCAGTCTGTTTGCGACAATAAGACCCGTGACACCACCTCCAACAATCACGTAGTCATATGTGTCTACCTCACCACTCGACTGGTTGCCATTGGGGAGAGCTGCAGTCAACCCCAACAAAGTAGCAACGGCTAGACTCCTGCATGAATGCATCCTGGCGCCACGACTTCGAAAATAGAACAGTGCAAAGGAGCGACAATGTCAACGAGCGTGATGCCCACCTGTAGAACAGGATTTCACGGACTTTTAAGCAGGTTCAATGAGCGTTCGCCGTTCTCCAAAAGGGATGCCTGAGTCGTGTATACATGCAGAATCGCCTCACCGTTGCTGGCAAGCCTCGGCGATAAAGCCCCGGTGCTTGCAATTCTGGCAACGCCCGCGAGACATAGTAGGGCCGGACCTGCAGTAAGTGGCAAAGCGTTGCGAGCCGTCTGGGTGGAGTTGCGATATTGGACGACATGGGGTGGCTCCACATTACGGCTCGGCGCTCCGTCGATAGCGTGCTGTGCCACCCCGTTGGTCTGTTCTAGTTGCCGTCCCGCATCCTTTCGATACAAACGACATGACGCGTTTGAGGGCACACTTCCTATGCGCGGAATTGCGAGGCCATAGCACATCGACTAGCTGTTGCAGGTAGCGCAAACTTTTCGGATCCTTTGCATCGGCAGCATGTGTCGACAGGTAACCAAGTCACGTTTCACCACTTTCCGGGCTTCCGGGACTTTGCGAGCTCTACCGTAGCGTCTAACCCCGGCTTCTGAAATTGAATCTCAACGGCCGGGAAATTGACACGGTTCCTTCATCCCACTTGCTCATCAAGCGAGATGCATCTACAAAATTGCGCGTGATTAGCTGTCTGCAGAGATATTGCGGCGTAGTCGCTGGATAGGGAATGGTGAGGCATTTTGTACAAAGGACTCATTATTCTCCCTAAAACTTCGAAAAAGACGAATCCCTTGTTAAATCTCTAACAGATGACAAAGTCTTGACAGCAGGCTTTCTTACTACGCCCATCTATGCGGCGAGCCATTTCACCTTCTCCAAAGCTCGCACGGTTGGATCTTCACCGTCAGTGTGGGACGATTCGTCATTCGTCATTCGTTAGTCGTCAGGCTCGCTACCCGGCCCCGCGTGCTATCTGCCCAAGATTCTCGTATCGGCAAGAAAATGCTGGTCGTTCACAATCTCGTTTTAGGTACGGGGGCGCGGGAGAGCTTCCAGACGCCGCTTGGGTATGGGGCAGGTCCCCGAGGCTTGAGTATACAGAAAACTGTCGTCAGTGACTCAAGTCAAACTCGTGGGTATCTCGATGGTGTGCAGTTGCTAAAGCTGCTCCTCAACTAGTGGAAGCATTACTCAATATTTCGACCCGCCTTCCTACCAAAAGTCGAGTTCACGGGCACTCGAGGCAATTAGTTCCGAGTGAAGGACTGGAGCAATGCAATCGATCGATGCTCACATTTTCCCTTGATTGGCTATTATCTAGATATGCAATCCTTCCCCGATTTCGACAGTCTGACGGCATGCCAAACACGTGCATCTAAAGCCCTAGGAACTTGGGAACGTGGTCCTGACAAACGCGCGTTTGTCAAAACTCGCTTGGGAGGATCTTGTGGAATATGTGTTCGAATCGGACCGACAAGGGGCGAAATATCTGCGTTTGGCGCACCGTACAATGTCAACTTACTCAACATGTGATTCATACTTTTGCCAAACAAATCAGCCAAGCATTAAGATAGTTCTTGTACTTCCGCCTCATCTTGAGCATAGGGGGGTGCCAGTGAGACCTATGAGCTTCACACCTTCATTTTTCTAGCTCTCTTTCTAAGCAGTTGAGTCTCAAATTGTCCAGTTTTTCCAAAGTCAGCAGTTGTGGCACAGTAAGGCGTACCTCGTATGATGCAACTATCCGTAAGGGGACGCACTGCCGCGGTAATTTCTACCCTAATGTTACGTACCGCCTGCCAAGTAACTCCCACCCGCCGGCACAACCGTTCTGTACTTGTAATCGGAAGCGGGATATACAAAGCTCCTTGGAATACATAGCACAGCATGCTAAACGTAAAACAACTAGCTACTAACACTAACGCAGGTGTTCGAAACAGAAATCCTCCTCCCCTGCTTGGATGCCGTCTTGGCTCACCAGTCTTCTTTGTCGACCGTGAGAAAGGGCAGGAAAAGTTGGACAATGCTCCGGCCTGACGGGAAGGAGCGTATAGAGGATATGAGTGGGAGAGAGATGTACAATGCGTCCGACTCCGTCTGAACTGTCTTGAATATTGTCGATTTTACATCTACATTTTGTCTGCCATAGTGGGTTCCCATGATGGTGGATACACAGCAGCAAGAATGGCCTAATCGCAGATTGGAGATATTGGTTCCCACGACCATACTTTGCGTACTCAGTACCCTGGTCTTAGTATGGAGAGTAGTGTATGGGTTGAAGAACAAGCGGAAGTTGCTGGTGTGCGATTATCTTTTGATCATCGCAGCTGTAAGTTCTCATCTGGGAAGTTACGAATTTTGGGGGCCAGATACTGACAGTTGACTCCTTGCAGATGATGAACATCACGACCAACGGCCTCCGCTTCAAAACCACACACCACGGTCAAGGCCGTCACATCAAGGATCCATCCATCTCCAAACCTCACGACCTCCTACAGTACAGCTACTATCTCTGGATTGGCCAAGTCATCAATCTGATGGCAGTCGCAGTGCTGAAGTTCTCCGTCTGCGCATACCTTCTTGCCCTAAAATTCTCTCGCCTTTACTTGGGAATAATATGGACATCGATACTCATGGTCACTGTATTCAATCTCACCATACCGATCATGAGCGTGTTTTGCCGCGTCCCATTCGAGGCGAATTGGAACAAGGGCATCAAAGGGAAATGCTTTATGAAAGTGCCAGGGCTCGGTATTGCTTACTCACAGGTTCGTACCAATGCAATCTCTGCCTTTCCACTTCGAAGGTGCATCTTGCTAACACAAATCTGAAACTGCAGGGAATATCCAACATCCTCACAGACGTAGTCTACGTCGTAGCACCCCTCATCTACCTAAACACTATTCGGCTAGCACGACGCACACAATGGGGTCTACGAGTCGTATTCTGCCTGGGTTTAGTGTAAGTTTGAGTGCACGCTTCCCAGATGCTTAACCCCTTACGAAACTCCGGATGTGACGCTAACTATTTTTCACCAGAGTCACAGTATGCTCCATCGTCAAGACGATTGAAACGAGCGCGCTACTGAAAACCCGCGATCCCACCTGGGACGGCAACAAACTCACCATCTGGTCCGCAACCGAACTCTCCGTCGGTGTGCTAATCGCCTCCTTACCCCCTCTGCGCAAGCAATTCGACGACCTCTTCAGAAAGATCCTGCCCTCAACAATCATGGGCTCCAAGTCGAGAACGAAAGGTGGTAGCAGGGGTGGGATACCAATGTACAATATCAGCAAGCAGTTTACGATTGGAACTAAACCGAATGGTGGGCGGACGAGGGATGATGATGAAGATAGCGAGCGACATATTCTCGGAGCCGGAGAGCCGGAGAGGAAGAGCGCACGGTAGTGCATACTGTGAGCAGCGAAGATAGGGATAGTACAGTGCAGATACCGAGTCCAACGTACAGAGCGTATGGAAGTCCCCATTAGCTTTCTAGCTTTGTATATTGACTGTACTTCTGAAAAGATCCTCAAAAAAGTTGAAAGATGAATATAATTCGAATAGATGAAAGATTCAGAAAGAATTTAACTCAATGCCAAGGTGTTAATTAACAGTCATGTCTTGATATTTGATCCATATGTATCAATGACTGCAAGGTGAGATGTTGCTAACTGTTGCAGAGCAGGATTTCCATGTGTACACAAACGCCACTCCGCAAATGCAAGTGGAATGTTTCAGAGCAGCCCCATTCGCCTATAACAATGCTGAAACGCCCAAGTACCGCCAGAGTGCCGAAGAGGAAAAGGTAGGGTATCTCAAGAAGCAATAAAGATGAAAAGAGAGAGAGCGAGAGAGAGAGAGAGAGCTGCGGGGTATTCCAAAGCGGCGTCACACATTTGCCACAGTCATTCACTTCCTCGCGGGCGGTGCCAGCGTGGCAACATTAGAGCTCACGGGGTCGTCCTTGAGCATCGCCTTCACACGGTCAATCCGGCTGACCGCCTTCTCTAACCTGTCCAACCTCCCCATCTTTTCCCTATCCCGTCTCTCCAGCAGTTCTACCCTCTCCTCCAACTTCGCCCTCGCCCTACGCTCGTCCGCCACCATCTCGTTCGCCTGCGAGAAGAGTTGGACGGAGAGCTCTTCAATCTCTGAGTCTACGTTTTGGATGCGAGCTTCGGCTTTGACGCGACGGGCGCGCTCGCGCTCGAGTTCGTTGAGGAGCGCCGTGTCGGCGGGTGCAGGTGGGAGAATGGATGGGTCTTTGGATAGTTGCGGTGGAGGGGGCGGGGAAGAGGTGGAGTTGTTAGGGGAACCACGGCGCGCGGTTAGGAAGGAGAAGCGTGAATGTTTTGCGACTGTAGCGCCTGCGGTTGCTGGGCGAGGTTGCTCGTCGGAGTGTTGTAACGGGTCGAGGGAGTCGGAGGTATTGGAGCGAGGAAGCCGGTCTCTGCTCTGGGCCACCCGTAGACTGCGAAGCTGGTCCTCGTAATCGGCGCATTTGTCCACTACGCTCGGTCAGCATGCTTTGTCTCTTTGAACCGCGTCGAGACATGTGTCGCGTGCATGGCGCCGGGGTCCTTACCAGCAGCGGTCGCCTTCTCCTTTAGCCACTCCATCTGCGCCTCCAACTCTGCTATTCTCCTCCTCGCGCCCTCAATCTGCTCTATATCCACCTGCACGCTGGTACCGCATGAGGGGCAGTTTGTGGTGGTGTTCGCCACATGTTTGGTGGGTATCGAGGGCGCGGGCGGTGGAAGCTCGACGATGGCGGCCATATTCTCGATGTTATCGCGCTTCTCTGGTGTTTTCGCGGTTTACTTGTCGTGTCAGGGCCCTCACCCATACGTTGAAGAATAAGGACAGTTTGTGGGGTCCACGTTCGAGGTCTGGACAGGGAGTTGTCGGGCGCTTGCCAGGGTTTCAGGATGTCGATCAGATCCCTGCGCCAGGGTCCAGGTAGCGCTAACTCTATTTCAGCCGCAAACACGCTCACGTGCCGTAGCCTTCACTCAGAGAGTTTGCCCTACTCAGGAGATATAACATCACGCCGTATGAACTCATGCTCGGGCTGAAATGCCGATGGTATCGTCTGCTTTATCAGATCGAAAGGTCACCTAGCCCTATCATGCTTACGCTTACGCTTACGCTATCGAGAGCACGTTTTCCATACGGCGCCTCCAATCAAGCGCGGCGAATATTATAAGCAAATCATGCGCACCAACCAAGCTGAGCATATACACGGTTAGTAATCATTGAGGACTTGCGCTATAGTCTCTTGCAAAATCCTATGGCTCGTTGGTATGATCACATGCTGAAGACCAAATATCGAATGTGGGAATTTAGATGTATTTTCGAACGAGCGCCCCACTCAACAGCTAGCGATAGTCAGTAATGAAGAGCATCACATAGCACATTCCTACGTCGATGCCACACATGATCGGAAATATCGCGGCCCTTGAACGGCCGGGTACCTGCATTAGTGGCCGGCGCTAACCAAACCCTGGTTGGCATAGGCAATGCTGTCCTTCATCCCAGGCCTAGTGAAGCTGTAGGATCAAATAGGGCATAATTTCTGAGTCAAAGATATACCGAGTGCATAGGATCAAGGCTCTCTACTATGTGCTGAGGTGTACCTCATCGTAGAAAAGTGCGATTTCCAGGGGGGGATTTTTTTTTTTTTGCAGAAGCAGTAGAACACGACGATGAGTATTCTCCCATGTAATTGGGGCAGGATCGTGGTATAGTGGCCGTCTGAAACCCATCTCTGCTGTTGTCGGCGAAGAGACTATTTGTCGTGGTTATTCTTTCCAACCTCGAACCATTTTACACCAATGGGCCTCGCGGGAGCCTTTGCTGAATCCAATGAGGCCAGTGTTTTGACTGTTGTCCCAAGCTTCAAAAACCTGCAATATCGTAATGTGCTCCAAACAAAGTCTTGCTTGCCAGTAATGGTTACTAATACTTGAACATGTGACCCAACTCTGACAGCGAATAGAATGCCATTAGATACATACCTGCCTATGTGATGTTTGTATAAAACTTCCCATCCTACAAGACCAGTACAGCGTACATACCCACCCATACCCTACGTCTACACCTTACACCGCGATGACCCTTTGAGCACCTCCCGCCCTCATCATCAGATGTAAACCTCTTGACAGCTTAACAACACATGTAAATACTCCAAATCCCACCAACATAAAGTAAGCTACCACTGGATAACCACCGCGTTGTAAACCGTTGCTAACGAGTACTAGAATGGTCAATAAATGGTGTAGTCAGAAGGGCTGGGTAGAGTGGCAGGGGAGGCAGTACCAGGAGGAGATGAGAAAAGCTGCAAGTGTCGCAGCCGAGCAAGCAGAGTACCAACGCTTCTGTGATTTCGCCGGTAACAACTGCCCAGCCGGCCAGTACCGGAACCTTTCCGGTAGCCATTTCGAGGTGACATACAACGCCAACTCCGAGGTGAAGTTTGCTTGCCTCACGCGTTCCGAGGCAAGGTCCCCGGGTTGGGAGTGGCTACCAATGTTTCCTGTCGGCAACGATGGGGACTTTTACGCCTGGCAGGGCCGCCCGGAAGAGGAAGCCGATTACGTGTTGGTGGTAAAGGTAGATGTGGGCTACGACGAGGTGCGATACGTGCACAGCGCCAGCCTCGGCCAGTGGATGTGGACGGTCCAGAACAGGCCGGCTTGGCTCGTCAAAATCAATAACACGGTTATGTATGGTGCTCCTATCCCGGGGCCATGCTGGTACGATCGTAGTCGTGCTACCTTCGTGCACCGTAATGGTGCCTGGGAGCACGTGACTCTCAAGCTGGTGGAAGAACTGGGCCTCGATTATCGCCCGTCTTTCGCTCCTGGGCAACCCCCAGTTGTTGCACCTCAGCCCCTGGCGCTAGACTTGGGCGTCCAGGCCCCCGCCCAGAATGAGGATATCGCTCCTCCACCCTCTTTGCCCAGCTCCGTCAACCAAGACGGGGAATTCTTGCAGGATCGACCTCCTGCGGTTGGTGACGAGCAGCAACTCTTTGGAGATTTCTGGCCTGGGTCTAGCACCGCCCAGGAGCCCACCGAGTGGTTGCCGGAATTTGTGCCTGAATCTCCCTCTATGTTTCCAGCGGAGACCGCTGGCCCTCCGCCGCAGGCCAATGCGGAATTACAGCTGCAGCCCAGTGAATATATGCAGCTGAATGCGCAAGAGCAATGGTTTGGCGGCCCCGAGGCCCCTACTACGGGGGACCCAGATATTGGCTCGGAGGAGTGGATAGATGAGATTTTCCGGCAGATGGAAATTGACAATCAGGACCCCAACGAGCGCTCCGCAGACGTGTCTGGGAGCTTGTAGGCCTGTCCTCTAGTTACTGTACATCCAATCGTCTTACATATTTTTGTTGACTTTCTTCCGCTCATGGCTGGTTTTGGGATCGGCGTTCGGCGTTCTGATTTCACGGTTCACGGCATAGCTGCCTATGTTGCGGTGGCTGAGAACTACTCCTGTTTCTAATTCAGGTCTTGCTGATGAGTCGAGGGGGTCTGTGGCATCTTACAGGATCGTAATTTCTCAATAAGATGAAGATCTTCCTGAAACCATGCACATGTATATAGGACAGCGACAAAAATGTTACATGCATCCCGTCAACTCGCTTCCAGGAAAGTGGGGATGCTTCCCTATCTCATGTTAGAAATTATGCGTACCCTTTGACCTTAAGCATCAGCTGTCATAGTAAGGATCGACACGACATTTTGGAAGAAGAATTTGATTGAGGATATGTCTGCCTCCTCGGGATCGATCGTATTACTCAGTATCTCCAAAAACACAGCAATCGATCGTAGAAGCTCGTAGTGAGAAACGTCCGCTGGCCCTTGGCGTTCAGGTCCGGTTGGCAATCGCTGCCATAGTTCATGCTGGTGTGTTCTTCAAACTTTGCCAGCACTTCGATTTTCCAATCTGTCGTGGCGGTTCGGAATAGCCTAACAATGCGAGCCCCAGCATGCATACAGCTGACTAGAACAAGTATGTCCTCTGGTGGTGGCTCAGATCTCCATTTCTCCACGCCGTGGTGAGCTGGTAGCGCCGGTTTCCTCTCTAGCAACTTCAATCGCCACACGCCGCCACCGAGGTTGGTCTCTGCGTGAACTTGCCGACGGCCCGAGGTAGACACATAAATGAGCCGAAGATGATCGTCGTAGCTGCCTGTAAGCATCAAGACGCCTTCGGGACTCAGATGTATCGGTAGGATGGCAGTCACGCCTGCGCCATGAATCTTCGTATCGGCCCAGGACACGCTATTTGCAGACCCTTCAGCCAATTCAGTGAACCGAAGCGCACTGTCATCACCCCCAGACAACAGCCCTGACCCGTCTGGAAGGAACGCGACAGTCCAGGCCTCAAGGTCATGGCGAACAACGTCCATATGGGACGGTGCATCCGTCTTCTCTTCGGAGTCTATTATGCCAAGACATACTTGCCCACTCGAGAGCGACATCGCAACCATGAAGGATTCCGGATGCCATGTAAATGCGGTGATAAGGACGTCCTCTGGAAAATACTGGAGGGTCTTGAGATGACTAATTTTGGGATCGCGCTGCCAAGGTTCGAGTGCATAGATGCCAATCGAACCTGTTGACGTGGCGACGGCGAAGTTGGAGCTCGGGACTTGGGTCAAGAAATGGATGTCTAGAATGGCAGAAGGTGTCGAAAGATTCTGGATGATATCGCTGTGTGGCGTCAGCTTCGCCGACTTGACTTGTGCCAGATTTGTTGCCATTCAATTCCTGGTGTTTGTACCGATAAGCCATCACTAACGACTTACACATTGTCACCAACAATCCTCACCAAGATCAAGCTGCCATTGCGCTGTTGGCTTTGGTTCTGCACAGCATGAGCGCCGTCAGAAGGCTCCTGTTCGTCGCCCTGCTTCTGCAGATTGTAGGTGCCGATGACGGCATACTGCGGGTTGAGAGGGAAAAACTCGATGCAGCTAGGAGGTAGGTCGAGCTTAAAAGACACGAGAGACTGTATCGATGCCATATTGGAGATGGTGCACGGGCATGGGCGTGGTGTTTGGAGAATTGCGTTCGCTTAGTTTGGTTAGTGTTTCCATGACTAAGCTGCTCCCGACCAAGCTGCTCCTTCTCCAACAACACTCTTCACTTCCACACTCCTAACTTGATGAACGCATGCTTTTGACATGCGATCGCTTTGTATGCAATTATCCAATCGTGCCCTGATTGCCTTGGCCTAGTGCTGGCCCGTCGAGTTGATGCCTTACTAACCCCTGCATCGCCACTCTGCTGCCTACGCTAACTCCCAAAACGGTCAACAGCTGACAGCGCGACATTCACGTTCGATTCCTATTAAAGCTGCCCAAGACGCGTTCTTTTCGTGTATCTTCCTCACCAAACGCGTCTAGACCTTTCTGTCATTCACACCAGATTTCTGTTTCGTTCACACAAAACATCACTCGGCTCCAATTGACCACAGACGATCAGACGACAATGTCAGACATGGCAGTCGACCAGGAGACGTTCGCGTCTGGACGCTACTCGAAGCGCAAGAGGACGCAAGTGACGTATTCTCTCGCCGAACTTGACGTCTCAGACTCTGAATCCGACTACGATGCTCCACAGTCCAAGGTTCGATGAATTGTTGTGCTACTAAATGTACGCACGCACTGACCGACTGTAGAAACACAAGGCCCAGATCAATTCCAGGCCTCTCCCGAAGCGCAAGATCTTCCCGTTCATGCAACTCCCCGCCGAAATTCGCAACATGATCTATTCCTACGCCCTCACCGACCCCTCGGGCATCAACTTCGTCGCAACAACCAAGCACAAGCGCCGCACCGTCGAACGTGTCTCTGAAGAAACGCAGTCCGGATTGTCGAGGGGCTGGTACCGCAGGGGCCGTATAAACGACCAAGTGCGAGCCCAGTACAAAGAGCCCGTCTCCCTGGTACCATCGTTGTTGGCGGTGAGCGCGCAAGTCTACTTTGAAGCCCAGGACGTTCTGTATGGAAACGAGTTTGTGTTTGCCGACACAAGCGCGCTGTACTCCTTCCTCATCAACCTTGGCCCCAGTGGCGCAAAGCGCCTCAAGACGCTGCGCTTGCTCGGCTGGTCGTACGGTCGCGCTTCAAAAGCGTACAACAATGCGTGTTTCGCCGTTCTCGTGTGGGCTACAAACATCACTGCTTTTCACGTTGACGCTTTCCATGGATGGTTCCGTAGTATCCAAACCGGCGCCGATCGAATCTACCGTGACGCGTTCCCGTGGTTAGAGGCCATGGGTAGGGAAGCAGGAAAGGCGGATGCTGCTGTCGACGTGTTGAGAATCAACGCCAGGATATTGAGGACGTGGCAGTGCAACGGTACGAGCCAGCTCGTGACGGATGAGCAGAGGTACGCCGAGTTCAAAGCCATGTTGAGTAAGCTGCTAGCTGGGCACCAGAAGAGAGTCATGGCAAAACCGTCTAAGAAGCGGAAGGTGTCGAAGGATGTGGAGGCGAATGAGGAGTGAGTTGGACGACAAACGATTGTGGTAGACGGGGCCTGACGATAATGAGGGATGATGATGACGCTCGTACAACGACTGGGATGACATTTCTGGCACCGCCCGCCATTACGCCTCCATTTCCCTTTTTTGGTGCACTTCGCAACTACATGGACTAGCTTGCGAGGTATATACAATAATCTTCTTTCTTCGACTTGTCCGCGTCCTTTTTCTATAGCATTCGGCGTTGTATTGTCCGCAGAAAGCGAAGGGACATAAATACATGAATTTGGATAACCCAGCTTTGAGCTTCTGGCTTGACTTGAGCGTAGGCTCATTTCCTCGAGGAAGAGAGGTAAAGAAGTGTACAATCAATCAAATCAATCAGATCATAAATCGTCAGCCATCCTGCACATGACATGTAAACAATCCATAACGGGCCCCTGAGAAGAGGCATGCACCGATACACCTAGCAGAAAACCCACGCTATGCGAAGCCCAGCAAATCAATCCTCTAAAATTTGTTGAAAATTCATCCATCCATTCATTCATTCACCCTCCTCCTGTCACCTCAACACCAACCTCCCAAGCATAGCCCTCAACGCCTCAGCCCCCTCGCGCCCATCGTCCCCCAACCCCAGCGCAACACTCTGAATATGCTCGCCCGTCTTGCCCCTCAGCTCCTCAATAACGCGCGCACTATACTCGAAGCTGCCCTTGCTCTCCATGTACCTCAGGGCATACTTTTTCACTTCTTCATCGGTGGTCTTCTGCTTGAGGATGTTGATGAGGATTTGATTCGAGGGGTCGGCGCGGATGGCGTGGATGACGGGGAAGCTGAATTTGCCCTCTGTCAGGTCTTCGCAGAGGCCTTTGAGGGTTTGGAGTTCCGAGGTCGGGGAGAGGTTGAGGTGGTCGTCGAGGATCTGGAAGAGGAGGCCTATTGTGGAGACGAGCGGGGTGCAGTCTCTGTTTGTTCCGTGTTAGAGGGTTGAGGTGGGCATGTGTGGGTTGGAGGAGGGACGTACACATCTACTGCGCTCTCAGCCTGCATGAGTTTGATTGCCAGCCTGAATAAGCCGCCCGTCTTGTTTCCCACCATTTCTAGATAATCCGCCTCACTGGGACACGTCAGGCTATCCCGCCAATATAAATCCATGCCCTGCCCGCGATGCAAGTTGAGCAGCTCCTCGGTAAAGATGGTGATCAACGTAGGATTGTTCATGCGTAGGAGGTCTTGCAGCGCTTTAAAGTATACGTAATTCGCAGAGTTTATCGTTTGTGGAGTGCCGAAGATGGAGTGTGCGACTGGGATGCCGCGCCGGAGTAGGGACGAGTCTTCTACGTCGTCGACACTATCACATGTTAGCACATGCACGTCAGAGATGGAGAGATGGATACGTACAGCAAACTCGCCGTATGCAGCATCCCCACCACGCCTGTAATAACGTCTAACCGTCCCGGTGGTACCTTTAACCACAGATTAAACGCGGCAATACACTGACTGCGTATATCTTTCCCCGGGTGTCCCCACAGATAATCGTAGGGCCCCAGTAATATCCGCTCCTTCTCTTGTGTCCACGCCACGCCATTCCCATAGATAAGATCTTCGCCTACGCCTTTTGTGGGGTCCGAGGGCGGGGAGAGGGGCGTCGGGTAGGACGTCGAGACGTCGAGATTCGCCCGGGCTCCAGGGGATGGAGCAGTGTTCGTTTGCGTGTCCATGGCCCGGGGACTGCTCAGGGGTTGCGCAGTCATGGATTGCGTTCGGTCGAGGCTGTTCTGCGGCGTGTGGTGTGGTTGAATATGCGCATTCAGCGGTTCCGCAGAATGGCTCGTCTTGCTCTTCTTGCTCTGGCCCAGCCAATCGATCTCGCTCAGCGGTCGGAGCACGCTGCTCTGGTGTTTGACGCTATTCCCGTTGAGATTCAGTATGCCGCTCGAGCTGGTGCGGGGTGGTATGGCGTTGGGCGAGGCGAAGGGGTGGTGCGTAGAAGGCATCGAGACAGCTGCACAGCCCTACTCTGCTGCCTGGAGGGCGCAAGACCGAAGCTCGTGACAATAGTGGCGGAGGCTGCGGGGAACTAGGTATGGGACGCGTTTCAGTGCGGGATGCGATGCGAGGATGTGCTCGGCCGTGTGGAGGAGCTTGGTGTTGGGGTCTGGAGGATTGTGGAGCTTCTTCGGGAGGCGCGTATCTTGCCGGCGACAAGGTGGGTAGTTAAGGTAGAGGTCAGGAGAGGAAAAGACACAGGCTAAAACACAAACGGGTCGAGGCAATGCTGGCTACAGTGTTAGAGGTTATGTAGACTGTACGTACACAAGTAGCGCATAGCGACTACGTGCCACTACAGACAGCTCCATCGCCAGAGCTCTGCCCGATAGCATCCGTGTATGACGCCAGGCGTCGCTTAATTTCTAGCATCCACCTGCAAGCTCCATGTCGCTAGCCTCTTCCAACCCACTATTGCACAGGTCACGACGCGACCCAAGGCCAGCCATCTTGTCCAACATTGGGGATAAACGTGGGCTGATGTGCATAACTCGCCCGCTTCGGGACTACCCGACCAGCCTCGTCTTCCCCCTCTTCTCCCAATCCATCCTATACGAAGGACAATTAATGACTCGACCAGGGTGGCATGGACAGGTCGACTATACCAAAGACAGCCGCAACCAACGTCATCATTATCCGCCGTATCATTCGACGACGTGTGCAAGCATGCCATTTCATATTAATAAAATCACAATTCAGGGAATCTCAGACGGGGCTTGGCCATGTGTGCGATCGATTTTCCCTATTGCACTGCACGCCTCTCCAACTGGCACGTCTCCTGCCCAGCATTAGACTAGATTATTATACAGTTTGAATATACCAGAGCCACCAGCTCAGTTTCTTTCCTTCCAAAGGGGGTATGAGAAGTAGCAAACGCCGCCACAAGAAAAGAAGATCAGAAAAAAAAAGAGGGTAAAGTATGCCAAAGAGTGGTAGCAAGCCTGCTCTTCAAAGCCAGTTTGTATCCAACGCAAGGAAAGGTAATGCAGTAGTAGTCGTACATCATCAGAAGGGAAGCTGCCCACGGTTGGGTGTGTGGAAGACGCAATGAAAATGGCTGTTGCGATCGCAAAGTGAAATCAAGTCTTGTACGGGTAGATTACAACGCTTGGTTGTACGCAAGCCAGGCATCGTGAGCTTCTCGGAGAACTGCTTGCCAATTAGTAAGGCAAACGTGTGGGGGGTACGTGAGACTGACTCTGCAGAACCTGAGCTTGCGCTATATACGTCTCACAAGCGCACTGCAATGTGCGTCCATCAATGAAATCGAGCACCACACTGTTGGGTAGTTCCTGGCGATCCTGATCAGGAGGGTACGGTGTCCGGAAGTCGCTGAGATGAAAGCGCTTAACGATGCCCTTCTCGTTGGACTTTGAAGGACTGAGGACGAGGTTGCCCAGCGTGTCGATTTCGACCCATCTGCGTTTCCAGAGCTGCGATATCGTCAGTAAAAACAACGGCACTGTCAGCGACATAGACTCACTAAGGTATCCGGGAACTGGATATTCAAGTCCCCAACATGAACAGGTGAGGGAGGCTCCCTTAGAGATGCGAGCGAGGTAGAGCGGCCATCATGCTCAGGTAGGTTCAGGTTGCTGCTCGAGTTCTTCCACGGCATCGACGACATGGACGAAGACATGCGCTTAAACATCTTGCTCGTTCGGGATTCCTTCTTCTCCTTCTTGTCCTCTCGCTTATCATCACCCTCCTGGCTGTGGATAGACTTTGATTCGCTCATCCGGCGGCTGAAAGCTTTCCAGGTGCTATCAGAAGATGTCCGCGAGTTGCTCTGGTCGCGCGAGTGTGATGAAGAGGGCGCCTTCGGAGAAACTGGCTCCGGCCTGCCACGAGTAGGGCTTTTTGGTGTCCAAGTCGGCTTCTGATGGTCGATGATCAAGGGGCTTGCGTGAAGGTCTAATGGTGTGTTCTCAGTCGGCATGGCTAGCGCAGGCTGCTTTGTACGCTCATCGCGAACAATGCGAGCAGTAACCTGCACAGACTCAGGCTTCTCGGCGTCTCGCTGTACGTTGTACAAGTTCGCCTTGACTGGCTGTGGCTTTGCGTCGGGCGTTGTCACAGGAGATGTATTCAAAAATGAGGGGCTTCCAAGACGACTGATCGGCCGTCCAGTTGGCGACGTCTCTACTGGCGTTGTTGCGAAGAAGGAAGACTTGCGTTGGGCAACGGTAGATCTTGGAGTATCCAGAGTAGCACCAGCAGGACTCCCAGCTGACGCCGACTCCCGATTGGACTTTTCGGCGAGGGCTTTGATCCTCTGTGAAATACCAGACGAGACATTGATCTTCTTAGCCGCGGGGGCTGTATCGTTGGTGGAACGGGGCGGCCACACTCCGGACGCTTTGCGTGGTAACTGTTTAGGCGACAGCCGGTCAACTCCTTCGTACGTCTGCGAAGCTGACCGGGCAGGGGAAGGCATCTCGTTGGTAGACGGCTTCCGTGAGAATAGAGGCGTAATCGGTGATTTGGATACCATCATAGGCTTAGCTTCTTGTACCGTAGCGCTTTGCAACTCTTCCATGAATGAATCATCCGATAGATACTCCGTCTCCGAATTCTCTGCACTGACGTGAAGATGGTCAAGCATCACCCTGCGCTTGTCTTTGGACTCGTACCAGCTCTGTCTTTTGGACTCGGGCATGAGAACTGACTCTCGATTGCGCCGCTTCACTTGCGCCTCCTCTGGCTGAGAAGCGTCGATGGAGGGCATGAAAATCATAGACTCTCGTTTCGAGCGTCGCCGAGAGGGTGCGTGATCCTCTTTAACTGGTATGGCAAGGCTCGTTGGCTCATTCTCTTGAAACGGATCAGCTAGGGATAGTTGGTCTACAGGTCTCGGTTCTTGGCCGGGCACTTCTATTGAAGGAACAGGAGTCCTGCATTCGGGGACAACGGTAGGAGTACTATCGACTGATTGCTCCTCGTCGACAAGGTCTGGGTTTTGGGTGTCCTGGAGCTCTCCAGGTTTCGGTGGGTCTTCGACAACAGAGTTTTCAGCGTCCGACATGGACGATGCTCGAGTGGAAGGCGCACCAGAAGATCCTTGCGTTTGTGCGGATATAGGAGAAGACACCGAGGCAGTCGAGTTAAGATCGTCCGTGTCGGTCTGGCTACCGGCAAACACAAGGCCAGCACTGTTGGGGCCCAACGAAGAAGAAAACGAAGCCTCTTCGTCTGCGTTGAAGTCCTCTTTGTCTTCAGTGGTGGACAGGCCTTCTCCAGACTCTGTGGCCACCTCCGAAGCTGAAGCTTCAGCTGGTGCACTAATGGTCTCTTTAGCATCGGTCTCTGCCAGTGGTGTTTCGGCCAAAACCGCAGCTTCTTCTTCCTTCTTCACCTGTCGATCAATTTGCGCCTTCTGTTGCTTCTTGCGCAATTCCAACGCCTTCATTAGCCTCGTCTTCTCCTGTGGCATGCCCATCGATCTGTAGTGGCTACTAGAAGATACCGGCATCGACCTCACGCTAGCAGGGCTTCTCGAGTGGAATCCGGGTGAAATGGGAGAACGTGGCATTTCGGGCGTTGTTGGAATGGGAGGTGGAGGTGGGATCGCAATGGTGGGGACGGCGCTCGAACTCCTCGCCTTTGGCACTTTCTGCTCCATGGCCTTTCGCGTGGCAGAACGAAGGCCAGCCGGCAAAGATGACTTCGGTCTGGCCACGTCTTGCGAGCTGTTCCCTGAGGTTGAAGGTCTTCGACCATCCAGCGACGGGCGTGGTCTCGGTCCTAGCTTGACTTTTGGTTTTGTAAACTCGGCGTAGTAGTGTTCGTATAGTTCGTCGTAGTTGGGTCGCGCCGTCTGTGACGAGAGTCGCGGTTCTGGGCCACCTTCGAACAGCTTGTCGTAACTCTTCAGGGTTTCCTGGAGCTCCATTAGATCAGGCTCGGGCGATGTTGGCGCCTCAGTCACCGTTTCTACAGTAACATGAGAGATCTCTGGCGCAGTTTTGGATTCGATGACCTTCTCCAGTATGACGGGAACCGATTCCGACGTGTGAGATGCCACCGAGGCTTGTCTCAGCGGCTCCTCCTCATTGCTCGTGGCGGGCTCCTGTATAGTTGGTATGGCGGACGTCTTTTCTTCTCCATTAGGCTGGCTTCCCTCTTCGGCCGCCTCCTGGATCCAACTGAGCTTCTGCTGTCGCGAGGACCCGCTGGAGGAGGAGCTGGAGGGCGCAGCGGTGTGCAGTGTGCAGGCGGAGGTAAGGGCGGGATCGCTAAGCTCCTCGGGCGTGGAGATGGAAAGGACGACGTCGCAGGGCGCGAACTTTTCGGTCACGGTGATGAAGTGGACGGCAACACGGGCTAGAAGATGTGTCAGCAGTGTCGTGTCTTGCAGGTGGCTGTCGAGCATACCTTGGAGGAGCCGCGAGGTTCCCTCTGGAACATATTTGACCAAGACCTTGCGCCGCCTGTACAGCAAGAGCCCGTATAGCGGCGAGGTTTCTTCATACGAGGCCACGGCGGCGCGCGCCTCTCCTGCTCCACCCGTTCCCCGGGTGAGCACCTCGACCGAATCCCTAGACGTGTACCGAAGTAGGAACCTGTAGGCAGTATATGAGCATGGTTGTCCAAAATTGCGGAGAGATTGGAAGCGTACCATCCACCCGCCTCGGCCAGGGCACCCTGGTAGGCCTGTGTTACCTCGACATTATCGAGCCCGTTGAGAGACATTCTCGTACGTCCGGCGTCAGTCGAGGGCAGCCGGATGTGTGCAGACTCTCAGAGCCGTGCGTGTCTGCGGAAGAGACTGGTCGTCGTCGCGGACGGCGGATCGAATAGTAGGAGGTCAATGCTGAGCCAGGGGTTGGCTGAAGGCCAGGGATCCGGGGGATGAATTCGTGGCGGCGCGTCAAACGTGGATAGTGTGGGCCATTGGCTCTGCGCTGGGCAGTGAGGCAGAGGTCGACTTCACCGCGACATGTATCGTACAGGGCAATGCACCAGCACCTAGTATGCGACGGAAGGGAGGGGAGGATTGCACAATGGTGGTGGAGGCGTTGGAGGAGGTGTTTCAGATCACGAAGCGACGACAGGGGAGCCGAGCCCTAGGCGGCTTCTCCACTCTATGCCTGCTGCGACGATGAGCCAGCATGAAGCCCTGGAGGCATCTCGAGGTTATATGTCTATGAAGCTGTGAAGCTGTGAAGCTGGGTTGCACCTAAGCACGCCCGCTACTACTTCAGTACCATGGTCGGGATAGTGACATGGACCTCTCGCACGCTTCGACGACGCGCCCCACAGTAGACGCAGGAACACTGCACGAGGTAGATCCTGCGGCATGCAGAGTAATGGCGAAGCTAGAACATGGGAATGGATGCTCGCGCATGATTATCTGGTGGTCTGCATTCCAGTCTCTTTGTCGCTAACTAGACAAACAAACAAACAAATAATCACATGGAGTGACGAGCCAAGTCGATTGCTTTCCTGGTACACTACCTGCTCGACAACGTCACTCCCGTCAACCATACCAAACCAAACAGCAGCCCTGTTAGCTGATTACACATCCCATCCCACTTCCAAACAGCTCAGCTCAGCCATTACGAAGTAAATAAAATATGACGTCGAAGCGTTGAAGCGTTGAAACCCAAACACCGCCAGAGGTACGGGTAAAGGCCCATCGCAACTCGCATGCATACTGCCCCGCCCTCGTCGAGATAACCCCAGGAAACTTCTCCTCCCCTTGCAGCATGCATTGGACGACCCGCAACGTCTCCCAACACCGAGCCAGACAGACGCTCTCACGGCATGCAAGTCCCAAATCAGCGTAGTCGGTCGGTAGCGGCCGCTCTCACGTCTGTCCAGCACACAGTCTAATGACGTCTCCACTCTCTCACACGAGGGAAACTACTCAGCACTCGACATCCCCACTCCGCACTCAAACTCGCATTGAACAAGACACGAAATTCAATCCAGTCTCGCAATTCAAAAGACATCTCCAGAAGGTCGAAAATTAATAGACAACTTCACAATCATGACATCACTCCCCGCTATCAGCAGTCTACCACACTCTCCAGACTCTGAACTCACACACGCCCTGGACCTTCTCTTCGAGCCATCACCGCAATTAAATGCCCTCACTCTCCCCGTGCTACGTTCAACCACGTTTCCCGACTATGAAACACTCATAGTCGCCATCAATGCTCTGTTGAGTTCCTTGGCCATGTCTGAAGATCCAGATGATGTGGAGAAGCTCTCAGAGATTTTATGCTCTCATCCAAGACTAGGAGAGAAGAAGGTGGAGAGCGAGCAGAGTCGGAAAGAGCAGGCGCAGCTGCAATCTGGTGGCGAGGAGGAGAAGGAGAAGTTGGCGAAGCTGAACAAGGAGTACGAGGAGGCGTTTCCCGGCTTGAGATATGTGTGAGTGCTCTCTTCTGTCTAGCGTGAATAGGATGTCCGATGCCTTTATCTTCATTTGCGTTTAAGGACATTTTTCTTCCGATGGCCAGACCGATTTGGTGATTATACTAACAACTGCAGTGTCTTTGTAAACGGTCGTCCGCGACCCGCCATCATGGAGAACCTACGCGCTCGTATTGACCGCGGCGACATCAAAGCCGAGCGTCAAGAGGCCATCCAGGTACGTTACGCTCAGCAACTTCGTCTCCCATGTAGTGCTCCAAACTTCTCAAGCAAGACTGGTCCGCAGAAGCTACACCACTAACGCTTACAGGCCATGTGCGACATCGCAGTAGACAGAGCATCCAAGCTCCAATCAAGATGATCATATCTTACACCGTTTACGCAATGTTCACTTTATCAGCCCTGTCAAAACGCACATCAAATCACCTCCAAGCTCACCTCTACCGCTGCGAGTCATCAAGTTTAGCGCTCCAAGTCGCCTGGTTGTACATGGAATGGTAATCCCTCACACTCGCTTCGTTCAGCCCCTTCCCACTCTAAAGCATACTCGCCCACCTCAATATATACCATAAATAAAGTAGATAAGGGACAAGAACATGCTTCCGAATACTAAACTTCATCACTACACAGTTTACTACGTCGTAGCCGTCGGAAAAGCAAACCGCAGCAAGTAGTGACTTAGAGTCTGTCTTGATGGAATCGTTCTTGAATGTGGAATTGCTACCTTTCCCTATAAAATTTTGCCCTCGAGTTAGATTTTGGTATTGTACACATCATCTTCAACCAAACACAGGTATATTCCTTATGCGTCGAGCCAGTCAGATGGCCCACATAACAGCTAGCTCCAGTGCCATGCATGCAAGTATTCAGACCACCCCACCCCAATGCCACAAGCTTTTCCCAAGAAGACTTTTCAGAGGGATAAAAGAAGACACCAGCCCACCGCCCCAGATGACAAAAATGCTACTAATTTTACACTACAGCAACGAGATAAAACCTGCCTTTTTTGTTTTTTTCCAACCCTAACACCTGACCAAAGGTACTCAAGTAGTAAAGCATCTACTCTCCAAACCGCACAAATATAATCTCCCTCTATCTACGCTTTTCCCGCTGGGTAGTTGCTTCGTCCTCAAACTCATTTAGACTAGAATTCGAATTGGAATGTTTACGTAGTGTGGGAGCGTCTACCGCTGTGAAGTTCGGCGACGTAGATGGTAATGTTGATGTTGTTGATGAGATAGAGGGCGCAGAAGTGAAGCTTGGTGATGTTTTTGTTGATGCTGATAATGCTGATGCTGATGCTAGGGCCGTAGAAGAAGTAAAGTTCGGCGATAATGACGAGGATGATGTGAAGTTTGGCGATGGTGATGAAGATGTGGCTAAGATAAAGTTCGAATTCGGTGATATAAATTGCGTCGGTATTTGAGGCCGGAAATTGGGCGACGTGGCGAACGAGTCTGTCCGTTTCGATGTGGTGGGAGCTGCGGTTGCTAACAAGGTCGCCAAGTCTGGTGATGCTGATGATGCCGGCTCTTGTGCGAATGTACTGGGCCAAACGGCGTCAACGCCTTCGCTACCTTGGTCGTAGTCGCCAAACACTGCCTCCTCTGGGTCAAGGGCGTTCAGGTCTGAATACGCGCTTTGTGGCGGTGTCTCGACGGCCTGTGTGGTGCCAGTCTGCACTGTCGTCGAAGAGGTGACTGTGACTGTAGAGGGGGAGAAGGGGTTGGCATTTACTTCTTCGTCGAATGGATACGACGGCACTTCATCCTCTTCGTCGTCGTCGAGATGTGCATACGGATCCGGAATCTCGTCGTCGACATCAAAGGCGTCGTAGTTGGATAGACCAAGTGGAGACGGTGGTAAAGGAAGGTAGTCCCTCCTCGGTAGTTGAGCACGCGGCGGTGAGTGTGCGTAGGCTTCGTTTGGCGAGCGATACTCCGAGGCCTCTTCGTCGGCAATACCTCGTGGTGGCGAAGGTGCAGTGGGTGATGGACTCCTAGATGTAGACGGAGAGCTGGTTGGGGATCCAGAGATGACGAAATGACCTCCTGTCCGAATGGCAGCAGCTGGGGGAACGGAATGCGTCTGTGACAAGACAGGTCGCGTGTACGTGTCTACGCTACCATGCTCGAACTCCAACCTCGCCAACTCAAGCTCCTCTTGCTCCCGCTCTTGCTCGACGAGTACCCGTCCATGCCCGTCCTCGACTTCTCTAGCCGAGACGGCTCGTCTCCGTATACGGTTCAAAATGGCAGCTTTCCTTAGGAGGTTACGTCCAAGGGCTTTCTGCTTGGCCCATACTGCAATCTTGGAGCTCCCTCGGTCGACAATGTTGGTAGCTGGGTGGGAGAACTGTGGTGACAAGCGAGAAGTGATGAGGAACAGTCTTAGTCTGCGCTTCTTCTTCTGTAGGCAAGAGTGCTCGCCATCTATGTCTGCTGCTGCCCGACTGCGCTTTTTTGGCCTGGATGGAGGCGGTTGGGGCAGGAAGGTAAGCCCCATTTCGGGCTGTGGTGGTATACTGAATGCCAGGGTAGTCTGTGCCGGGCTTGGAATCGCGAATGGAAAAGTCCAGACTGCTGCTGATGATGCGTGCTCGAGGTCGGCTTGCATCATCCTCCGTTGCCCAGCTTCATGTGTTGCATTCGAGAAATGGAGCTGACACGATTCGGCATTTCTAATCTAACACCTGTTCGCAGTGGTGCTCGACGACGTTGTTCGACTGGTGGATGTTCCAAGAAGCCAGAAATCTCGCGGATTGGGCCAAGTTGTACTACTATACACTACTAGATTCGACCGATTTTAGCTTGGGTGCTTTTCATCCAATGTCGCCGTCCCTGAGGCATCACGAGACCATTTCCGAGGGCCCGAAAGCGGATGCGTGCCGGATTGATTTCTCCCAGTTATCGTGATCGGAACTCCAGCGCTTCACCGATGAAACGACCGTACGCAGTCGAAGAAAACAAGCTGTCAGAGCACAGAATCGAGTGAAGGAGAGGGGCCTAATAATATCGCCAGACTGCACCAGCCGTACAGATGACCCGACGCTTTGGGCACGATGCGGAGAAGAATCCTTGTCGCCCCAGACTGCGCCCACCCACACCGCGCCCAATGCCTCGTTAGTCTAGAAGACCGTCTCGACAACATTACTGGACAACGTGTGAACAGCCCGCAAGCCACCGCGTCCAGACACTCATCGTTGCTGAAGTGAGCACTGAAAACTCTGACATGCTCAAGGGGGTGGGGTGGGTTTGTGAGGCTACAGGACAGCGACATGACGGAGGAGGAGGCAATGCAACGACGTTTTCGTCGATGAGCAGGGGACGAAAAAGGAGCACGAGTCGCAGAAAGTCTCCTGCAAATCATCTTCAATCGTGAGGCTCGAGGCTCCCGCCCGCGAAACCCGGCTTGCGATCAGCCAATATCTTGCCCATCTCGTCCAACGACCGTCCTGGAATTTCATGCCATCTTGTCATTTCAAATACAGACTTTTCAGCCAAAAGGGTCATGGGCTTCAACAGTTTGCCTTGGAATGTCATTACTCGCTCCTCTGCCGCCTGACACGATGGAGACAACGCGCGTGCGAGGTGTATAGCGAACAGGAACAGCAGGAACGAGACCCAGTTTTGATCCTCGAGCACTATCCAGGGCCTAGCCGCCGACGATCCGACAGTCCTGGGTTGGGATGCATGTCGTGATCGGTCTTCCCCTCAGCTCTAGATGCGAAGACTGAAATCGACGCTTCATTTTGCTCTCAAAAGGCCCATTCTAGGCGAATGTATTCAGGGGCACGGAGCTGTGACTAAACCCCTCTTCTAGTTTTGCCACACCATCGATACGAGGCCCTGCCAGCTGTCCCTCACTCAGTAAAGTGATCAAGCTTCATGAAATATGCATCTCAGACGCATTCCATCTAGTCCGTTTCCCAACGTCTCGTCCCGCCACGCCGGCAATTGTCAAAACGCGCCTTGACGAATCAGCCCTGCCTACAAGCGAAGGAATACGATGCTGGGCAGCATTGCCAGACTGACAACTAACTAACCATCAATGTCAAAACTTTCTTTCACAGTGTACGACGACGAGTAGCAATCCTTTACGTTTCTGCGCACCCGAAGGCTGCAAACTCCACCTCACACTGCATGTCCACTGCGTTATGCACTCTGCACTCCGCACTTTGAACCCAACACCACGCTTCGTCACGTCAATGGCTGGCGTAACGCGTATCCTCTCCTCCGCATTCTGCGTTCTGCAACCGGTCACGAGTCAGAGGTAGTCAGTCACAGTCAGCGTCCAGGTCGCATGTCGGCGACCTCCATCGCCTTCCCTGGGCTCACTTATCACAAACGCCCATGTTGATGGGGGGCCAAGTTCAACCCCTAAGCGGCTTCGCAGGACGGCGACAACGCTACATCCATAGCGCCATGCATGCAATCGTGAGGCTCAGTCTCACGCCCCATGAAAATTCCCTCGTCTCCCCTGCCGCGCGAGAAAAAGCAAACTGGCGGAGCAAAACGCCCCCTTCCTGCAGGGAGGAAAAAGTACCGCAGTGAGTCTCCAGTGACGTTGCTGGTAAACGTAATGGGTATTTATACAAGAAAGCTCATTCGATCGAATGGATGGATATGCGTGAAAATGGGCTGCTTTGAGGATGCATGCGATTCTGGCCCCGTTGCGAGAGGTTTATTGTAGTAGCAAGCTTGCGAAATGGCCAAGTCGAAATGCGCGCCAGAAGAGGAAGGTAGATCCAATCCCCGCAGCAGTGGCGGAAAACTTTACAGTATCTCAAAGTGGAAGTCTTGCACAAACGAGATTCTCATGTCACACTTGGCATCACGGAACGGTTACTAGTTGTCTGATTCAAATTGAATTCTCATCTATTTGTGATAAATGTTGAAATGCGCCCATTGGCGTAGGCTGACTTTGCGTCCTGATATGTGAGGCATTTCGCACTAAAACCAACATGTTTCTGCATGCATGCCCCCCCTTATCCTGGCGAGCCAGGTCCCTAGAGTCTACAGTATGGGAGGGCGTCGTTGATCCAGATAGAGATGTTGACAGCCGCTACCTGCTCTTTTCTGGAACGCTTCTGCTACAGAAAAACGTAAAATTTGCTCTCATTCGGTCATCGTTGTCCTTCACGCTTTCTCACATCATCAAGTCCGGATCCGGCTGCCACAGCAAAAGATCCTTATCCGCGGTCGCTATCAGATTCGTCCTAGGATTCACCCCCACAATCGCGCTCTTCCCTTGTCCAGGTAATTTCTCCATGGGCTCGAGAATGTTGTTCGGCGCTGGTGCCTTTGCAATGTGCCACACCAAAAGACCGTCGTCGCCGCTACCGCCGAGGAGGTACTGGCCATCCTGCGTGACGCACACGTCTCCCTGCCCATTTGCGGGTGTATTGCCATTGGCCGTGCCATTGCTGTGATTAGAAGATGCGCCGGGTGCGAGACGACCAGAGGATCCGGCTTTACGGTAGCAGAAATGCTGGATATCGCCCGAGAAGGCGTCGAGCACAAAGTGGCCGGCACCGTTTGTGGCGATGATCAAGTTCTTGCCGTCATTGGTAAACTCAATCTTTGTCCAATCGCCCTTCTGTGACCCGAGGAAGCGTTGCTCCAGCTCGAGCAGGTCGAAGTGGGCAAACGGCGGCTTGTCGTAGTTTCGTATGTCGTAAAGTAAAACGGAGTGTGTTTGTGGTGAAGCGATTGCTATGACGGTCGCCGAAGGATCATAGGCTGCGAGATACGGCGCGTGCAGATTAAGCAGGCCATGGTAACTCGGACTGGACAGATTCCACAGCTTCACGGTGTTGTCTTTGGAGCAGCTCATGAAGGTATCTGAGCTCGGACACAGCTGTATGCTCGTCACGGTATCGGTATGCCCCTTGAAATACCGTATGTAGCTGTTGTCATGCGTACTGAGGAAGCGAATCGTGTCGTCGACCTTGGTGGAGGCGTAGATGATGCTCTGCGCATGGTGGCTAAAGCGGGCGAGATGCACGCCGTACTTTTGCGATTTGAGCTCTTTGGCATGCTTGCCTTCTTTGCAGTTGTAGATTTGGAGAGTGTCGTCGTCGCGGGCTACAATGGCGAGCTCGCCCGTGTCGTCAAAGTCAAGCGAGGTCACCGAGGTGCCTTGGGAGCTGGGCTTGAAGCGCTGTACAATGTGTGAGCCTTGTCTATCGAGGCCAACGGCGCAGGGCGTCTCACTCTTTGAGGCCGGAAGCTGGTGATGACGTCGCTAACTTTCTGCGTCGGAGGCCCTGCGGGCGGAGGAGGAGCCCCAGGCGTCGCTGACCCAGGCGCCATGGCAGATGTGAACTCTACGTCTCTTCGGCAGTGTTCGGCTGCATCTCCACTTCGCTTAGACCGCCTCCAATTGCAGTTGAGGTGATTCCACGCGCAGTTGTCAAAACATATAAGCCGGTGGAATGCGCGAAAAGCTCCTTTGAGACAGCTCGAACCCTGCAGCTTTCGGGCTTGGCGGCCATCTCCGTTCTCGGAACCGACACCGGATAATCAGCTCCAGCATCATCATCACCGACTTTTTTCTAGAAAAGGAGTAGAACGTCAGCATCGCCGCCTCGGTCTCGTCTCCTTTGGGGCAACTTTCTCTTCTTGGTCCATGACAGCGCGGTAGCAACACTACACAGCCAAGAGTGAAGAGCCAGGATTCCCCAGCTTTCTTCCACTCCGGGCGGCTGTCGCAAAAAAAAAAGTGAACATGTCCACAACAATTGGGTAGGTGCTTTTTAGGTCAGTCGAGCGTCTTTGACACGTGTACTAACAGGCGACGCGATTAGATCTTTCATTGCTGGCGGCATAGCAGCATGCGGTGCTGTGACGGTTACCCACGGATTCGAAACGGTCAAGATCCGGTGCGCGAGTCTCCAAGGCATGCGTAAAACAGCTCGTTGACGAATGCTCAGATTACAGTTGCAGGGAGAGCTTCAGTCAAGGAAGGACGCTCCGCGGTTATACAGAGGCGTCTTCCATGGCGTAGGCGTCATCTTGAAGAATGAAGGACCAAAGGGTTTACTGCGTGGTCTGGGATGCGCCGTACGACTTCCAATTCCCCTCTGCCTTGTCACTTGGAATACTAACGCGCCCAGTACATCTACCAAATGACGCTCAACGGTTGCCGTCTCGGCTTCTACGAGCCTCTTCGCAAGACCCTCACCAACGCCATATACAAAGACGCCGCAGTTCAATCCTTTGGCATAAACCTATTCTCCGGCGCAGCATCAGGCATCCTCGGAGCCGCAGCTGGCTCGCCCTTTTTCCTCGTGAAAACGCGCCTACAATCCTTTTCCCCCTTTCTCCCCGTGGGAACCCAACACCACTACAAAAATGCTGTGGACGGCATGCGGCAAATATATACGTCAGAAGGAATCAAAGGCCTATACAGGGGCGTAGGCCCAGCCATGGTACGAACGGGCTTCGGTAGCTCAGTGCAGCTCCCAACGTATTTCTTTGCGAAAAGGCGACTAGTCAAGCACTTTGGTATGGAGGAGGGCATGCCATTACACATTGCCAGTAGTACGGCAAGCGGCTTTGTGGTATGCTGCGTTATGCATCCTCCCGACACGGTCATGTCGCGCATGTACAACCAAACGGGCAATCTCTACACGTCCGCCTTTGACTGCTTATACCGGACGGTCAAGACAGAGGGCATTTTGGCTGTGTACAAGGGTTATTTCGCGCATCTTGCGAGGATCCTGCCGCATACGGTAAGTTCTGCATTCGTCATCAAGAGAGGACGTTTGCTGATTTGACTTAGATTCTCACCCTTACTCTCGCCGAGCAAACGATTAAGATGATGCGCAAAGTAGAAGACCGGATACTGTCCCCAGAGACCAAGGCGAAGATATGACAAGAATGATCTGGTTTGAACGTAACATTTCCACACTGTACAATTTCCTCCATATTGGCTAGCATAGCGCACGACGTTCGGCGAAGACGGCTCGGATTCTTGCTTCCTTTAGGGTCATTGGAGCTTGGGGGCTTAGAAAAGATGGTCTATCTGTGGGTCGGGTGTTTTGGACAAAAAGCTTGGGATCATGGTCCGCTTGGGATTGGTTTACCTACTACGCCTGCTAGAGCTATTTTCCACGGCGTCTGTACGAAGGTCTCATAAGGCTAGTCCGTCAGAACGCTGTACTGTATGATTAGTGTAGGAACTTGGTTCTCGGCTTCAGGACGCTTCACTACCTACAGCACGCAAATGATTTGAATAACATATGTAATCAACTGCGTAGAAGTTTACTCGCGATATGTCTCGTGATAATAAGCTGGAATGACGGGAAAACTTACTACCACCAGTGCAGCGCGCACCTCATGTCCCTCGAGTAGAGATAAGATGATTGGGAGAAACTGCAAACGTGTATAACATGGCATTCACAACAGATGAATCCGTAGCGAAAGGATAAAGCACCGCAATTTAAGTCCCTGATATAATTCTCCTCTAAGCTGAGAGCCATTATTCATCCTCTTCCCACCCCTCCGGCACCCACCCAATCGGTCTCGGCCTCCACATACCCAGCGCTTTCCTCGGTCCCTTGATCTTTTCTCTAGGGGCCGCTCCTACTCCTTCTATCCCCACATTCTTCACCGCCAAGTCCTCTCCACTTACCACCACCTTGCCATCAACATCCATCTCGTCCCCGCCCTCATTCGCAGCAGCGTGCAAGATAGCGCGCCACTGCTGCGCATGCGGGACATGCCCGCTTTCCAGCAATTTCTCCGCAGTCCTGACGTTCCAGTACGTTGGCGCTGAAAAAAGGTGCGTGAGCGTGTCTTCGAGGCCGCTGCCGCTACGGCGAGATGCCCAGTCAGGTGAAGTGAGGATCTGCACGGTCCACGCGGAGAGCCCTTCTCTCACGGGATCGAGGTCCGGATGCACTGTATTGCGTGCGGCGGAGGGGGCGTTCATTGCGCTCATTAGGTGGTCGAGGAGCGTGGGCAGGGGTAGGTTGGCTGAGGCGCAGAACGTGAGGAGGAAGGGCGACCAGATGAGGAATGCGCCGGACATGCTGGACCCGAGCTTCTTGTCTGTAGGGAGCATCATTTTGTCTTCTACTAGCAGGTGCAGTAAGAGGCGTTGTGTCTGAGTCGACGGGGTGGATGTGCTGCTTGGTGCGAAGCGGAGGTTATACGTCGATAAAGCGTTAGATGCTGCGTTTGCATCCTTCTTTCGGGTTTTGATTTCGTTCTTCCGCTCTTTCACATAGGTTTTTAATATGGTGTTGAGTTTTTCCTTGACTAGCTCTTGAGGCTCTGCTTCGTCGGCGTCCGCTTTAGCAAGAGAGAAGGCATGGTCGAGCTGGCTCCAGTACCATTCCCACAGCCACTCTAGGCTGTCTTTGGCTGCGCGTTTTAGCTCGGCGAGCGAGGGCATGTGACGATGGACGATGCGATGCCGTGTTTCCAGAAGGCCGAGGGGGAGTTGGAGGGACTTTCCGGGTGGGAACCACGCGGGGCGGTCGCGGGTCAGTTCGATTTGGGTGTCTGCTAGCCCGGTGACAAATCTGGGAGAGGTTAATTGAGGACTTCTACACGGTTCTGGGGATGAATTGAGAAATCGATTTTGTGGAGGACACAGAGAAGAAGAGAATAACGATGATTAAAACGAAACAAGATGCAGAGAAGAGAAGCAAGATATCAATGTGAAGTTGGAGATGAGACCACGAGAATGGGAAAAGCAGCCTACCTTGAGATGGCAGTAGCATACAGCAACCGCAAAGCATTATGCTTCAACTCTGCCCTCTCATCTTGAAGAAGAACATCGACAATATCGGCCGTGGACTCGAGCAGCAGCGGCAGGCCATCTGGTTTGCGTAGCCGCCATGCAAACACCTAACCTGATATCAGCGTACAGAGCCCATGCGTCATCTACCCCCGAGACACACAACAACTCCCAGACCACCAACACGAAGGGATGTATATCAGCTTACCTTGTTCGCCGCGCTCTCCCGTTTACTTGTCTCGGGACTGTACAAGTCCTGCCGCAACTGCAGCAGCTCTAGCCTGTTGCGCCATGCGGTGACGACGAAGTGAGTATGAGACTCCATACTCAGTACTCCGTTAAGCTATCGATATGTGCACCAATGTACTACTCAATTAAGCTATCGATATGTGTGAACCAATATAATTCAGCCTGCGATTGGCCAAAGGCGCGATGCGTTCCTCCGAAGCGTGAGAGGACCGTAAGCACGTGTCTACGCGCCTCCAAAGAAAATTATTCTCGAATTTCCCGATAAGGTCCTTATCGATAGGTACGCTCGATACGCGCGCGCCCCGAAATTCACTGTCTCCACCTCAGACCTCAGGCGGCCGGCCAGTACTAGTGACGTACACCATCCATACCACACCACGCCTAACCGACCCCGCTTGCTCAGCTAGGTCCTCAATTCACCCGCCGTCTTTCCCGTACCCTTCTCATCTCGCCCTTTTAAAAGCCTTGTTATGCGCTAGGGCTGAGTCCCGTCGTTGTAGCGTGGCAGCCATCCCTAGCCCATCCAGCCCAGCCCAGAGCCCAGCTAGCCAGCTAGCTAGTAGCCCAGCTTATTAGCCAGCCTCGGTAATAAGCAAAGCAAGCCATTCTGCCCGTCGTCTTGCACTAAAAGGACATTGTACCACAATTCATTTCATGGAAGGTGCCGCGAGCTGGGAGGGGGGAGGGGACCTGTGCAGGTGCCGCTGCTTGTTTGCCGGTGCGAGCGTTCGGCCGGACTATCTTTGGACGAGCGAGGCGGCGAGAAGATGGGGCAAGGGGTGGGGTGGGGTGGTAAGGCCGGTGAACGGACTGCTGCTGCCTCGACTTACCTACGTGGACTGCGCTGCGCAATGACGCCGAGGGAATAGAGTTTTGCGGTTAGGTGGTGTTTCGGGTCTTTTGTTGGTACGCTATTTACCTTGCTACGGCGATGCGATGCGCCGAGGCTGGCGAGCATGGTTCATCCCATATTAGTCAGAAAGAGGGTAAGATGGTTGCGGATGCATGTTGGTGAGACGGCTGATTTGTATGGTAGTTGGGATGTGGTGCAGGTGAGACGTGTCACGGCTTTGGGAAGGAGAGAAAGTAAAGATCACATAGTTATGATGTATTATTATCATGTATGACTCATGCCCTGTTGACGCTGTAGCTAGCCAGCATCTGTCCTCTTCTGCCATCGAAGGCTGGGTATACGCAAATCTTTCCGCAATCGAAACGCCACGCTATGCAAAAAATAATGAAAAATCGAACAAGAGAACACATGGCGTTTTCAAAACACATGCTTGAAACGAGCTCCACACTTTCATAGCCACCCGTATCCCAACCCAGTTTCCCGCACTGGCATGGCAGGCTGCTTTAGCTGATGAAACCACCACTCCTTCGACACCGCCTCGTCGTCGTCGAAGAAGAAGCTCTGACCCTCCATACTGCCGGGTGTTTGCGTCTTGACACGAACGGGCATCTGGAGTTGCTGAGCCTGTTGATTGGCTAGCGGAAGAGGCGGTGAGGGTTCCTCGACGCTCGCCTCTGAGCTTGCGTCGTCTGCTTCATCTTCCCCCTCTTCGTCTTCAGGTGGTTGCCAGGTCTCTTCCAGTTTCAGACCCTTGCCCGTAGCTTCACCGAGACCGCCCCAGAACAATGATGGTTCGGGTGTGTCGTAGAGACCTAGTGCTACAAGCTTCTCGCCGTCGTCGTCCTCCATCTCTTCGTCTTGTCCAGTGGGGTGTTGAATAGGCAGGAAATCTGTGGATCCATTTTGTGAGTCCATGTGCGCTTGTGCTTGAATTTTTTGAGCCCATTGTTGTAGATACCAAGGTAGTGGCTCGGTGGTAGGAGTGTTAAGAACTGAGTAGACATCGCCTGGTGTCTGCTGAGAAACGCTCTGCCAGCTGTAGTCGGACTCATCAGAGTCTCTGTGCATTCCATACGCATTTGGGTAGGCTGGTGTCGTCTCGAACATGGAGTTGCGTGTAGAATGCAAGTGGTGTTCAGAGTCATGGACAGAATTCCGTGGAGAGGCTGAGTATTGTTGTGACCAATCGAAGTAACTTGTTGATTGGGGAGCCTGGAACCGTGTTGACGAGGGATGCCAACTCATGGGCCTGCTCGGCTGTGGACGCTCTTCAATCACCTCCTCAGGTGCGACGCCGAACATCATCTTGAAGTGGTCGTCCAAGGTAGCATATAGCTTGGTTTCAGTTGTCGTCTTTCTCCGCTCCATGGTTCGTGGACTGTTTTGATGGCTCCGGGGCTTTTCAACGCGGGATGGACGGCCTGCTGGCTGACTGCCTGAGCTGCGAGAGGTGCGTCGTTGGAGCTGTGAGGGATGCATGAGGCTGGACATGTTGGTGAGATCGTATGGTTGTGAAGTGCGTGTCATGAGCAGTGGAGGTGAGGGACTATATGTCCAAACGGTTTGTGTGAGTAAAGTACCAGGCGGCTATATCGATCACAAACGGCCTTGTCTGACTTGGAGGGGGGGCATGTGCTTAGGTATATGGAGCGCCAAGAAATATAGACATATTAGGAAGGGTGGATGGGGAAATTGAGAAAGACGAGCTCGCGGCAAGAGTCATGGTACAAGGAATGCCAGGGTAGGCTAACGAAACTCGAAAAGAGCTAATTGCGGAATAGAAGCAACAAGGAACGGAAAGGTTCTAATACGGGGCCCACCAAGGGATGGCGCGGTAGGGAGCGCTGTGACTAGGGCGAGTGGCACAGCTGGAACGATCAACGACAGCATGGGATGCAGAATGTGAAAAGGACGCCAGGAATGACCTAATCACAGGACCAGCAGGCAGACAGTCGAGGCGGGTACCGATGTATCATGGCGCAACGGAGCACATCCGTTGCAGGAGACGTCGAGACAGCAGCCAGGCAAGGGAATGTAGCATGCCCGCAGCGATGATGGGAGAATGCGTAGTGCGACTAGGCTCCGGGCACGACTAAACAACTTTGCCAGTGCGACTCAGCTGGGCTCGGTGCCAGGGGTTGGAGCATCGTGTGCATGGGGCGGTGGCCCTCCAGGCGGTCAACTAGCCCTGACGATGGGATGGATGTTGGACGAAGGAAGAAGGACGGTGCATAGCGGACGCCAGCACTTTTGGCGGCGTCATGTTTTAGGGCCTGTTCGGTGCCCTCCATTTTAAATAGTAAGTTCAAGCCTATTTTAAGCATAGTATTAAGCTAAAAGCGGCTAATAGTGCATATAATAGTTTAGCCTAAATAAAATTAAAATTAAAAAGCTTATTTAGCGCTTAAAAATATTAATTTTATTTTATAGTACTTTATACTTTTTTATAGTACGCATTATTAACTTTATTATTATTAATATAAAACTATTAATATTTATTTTAAATTTTATTTTGCAGTATATTGCATTAAAAATATTATTTATATTATTATTACTAAGCCTGCAATTTTCTTATAAGCCTGTTTTTTTTATAATGCTGCAATTGCTACAGTTATTATTATTATTATTATTATTATTATTATTATTATAATATTATAGTCTAGCGACGCTGCAATTATATTAAATAAAAATAATAAAATTAGCTTTTATAAATATTTTAATTAATAAAATTGTATACAGCTATTACGCAGACTTTAAGTATAAAAAAAAAATATAAAAATATACTAAATATAAAGTATTTTATATTATTTTAGCAATTATTATTATTATTGTTTTAAACTATAAATTAAAGCATAATACTATTAAAAAAAATTAAAAAGTCTAGTTTAAACTTACAGATTAATCTAGCTTTAGTATTAATAAAAATAGTATTATTATTAGCAATTTAATTGCTTTAAAAATATATTTTAATACTTATTTAAAAGCGCGTAAATTTAAGCACTAATTTATAAAAAATATTAAATAATTCTGCTAGTTGTTTAATAAAATGCTTGCTACTAAATAAAATATTATAATAATTAAAAAAGCGTTTTAAAATTTAAATAAAAATAAAGCAATATTATTAATTAAGCGCAATTTAATTTTTTAATTAAAATTTTAATTATTAATAATAAATAAAAGTAATAGCTCTATATTTTCGCAAAAAAAACCTGCAATTTAATTAGTATTTAAAATAATTAAAAAAGCAAAAAAATTTATATTAACTAACTATTTTAGTTATTATATTTTTGCAATTATATTTTAACTTAAAGCCTTTATTAATACTATAAAATAAAATTATTAATAAAAAGCAATTTAAATATTTTTATAGTATTTTTTAGTACTTAATATAAAGCTGCAGAACGCCTTAATAAATATATTTTTAAATAAATTTTTTATTAAAACGTTTATAATTTAAATACTAAAAATAAAAAAATAATAAGTATAAAAGCAGCTGCTTAAATAGCTAGGCAAGTTAAATAATATAGTTAATTTTAACGCTATAATAAAGCATTATATATAAAAAGGTAATAGCAATTTAGTTAAAAAAGTTTAAATAGTTAATAATAAAAAAATTAATTAAAATATTAATTTTTTAAAGTATAAAGTATACTAAAATATTTAATAAATAGTAGTACTAAAACTATACTAATTAGCAAATATTAAGCTGTAATTAGCTTTATAATTAGCTATAAATAGCTGTAAAAGGCGTAACTAATATAATAGTACTATTTAGTAATTATTTAAAATAGCTATATTTTAAATATAAAATAGCTTTAATATAAATATAAGCTAAATTTGCAGTTTGCAATAGTTAATTTTATAAAGCAGCTAGTATAGCAGGTAATTATAAGCAATTGCTATATAAAACTATATATTTAAATATAGCGCTAGGCCTAAACAAGTAATATATAATATTTTAATTTTAATATTTTAAATTTTAACTTTTTTAAATACTGCATTTTTTCTACTATAATACTATATTTAATTTTATAAATTGTGCCTTATTGCCTTGCAATATTTTTTTTATAGTAAATTTATAATTTTTTTTTTTTAGCTACTTATACTATTATTAATAATACTTATATTAAAGCAATTTTTTATTTTATACTACTTTAAATTAATATTTTTATGCGTATACTATTTTAGCTACTTAAAATTTTTATTAACTAAATAATACTTATTAATAAAATTATAAATAGTAGTAAAACTGTATACAAATTTAACCTGCGTTTTAATAAAAAATTTATATAAGTAATTAAAAATATACTAGCAATATTTAAAAATACTAAAAAATTTTTTTACTATATTTTAAAAGCTTAAATAACAGTAATTAAATAATTTAAACTTAGTTTTAGGCTAGCAATTAATTTTTTTAATTTTTTATAAATAATAATAAATTTTATAGTATAGCAAAAGCATTAGGTTGCTATTAGCATAGCTTATATTTACTAAAAAATATTATCCTTTTAATACTTTAAATTTTTAAAATTTTATATTTTAAAAAATTCTATTATTATATATAGAGCCTTCCTACTTTACTAATAAGTAAGTAAAATTTATATTAAAGTTAATAATAGCAAGTATATTTTAAATTAAATTACTATAATAATTATAAAAGTGCTGCTGCTTTATTACTAAAATATATAAGTAAAAATAAGTACTATTTAAAGCTTTAATATAATTTTTAAAAGCTAGCTAATATTTTAAATTATTATATATTATAGTTAAAATTTTATTTAACGCTAGTAATATAAGCTTAAAATATAGTTTAAGCAGCACTTAAAAAATTTTATAAAATTTTTTATTTATTATAAGTAAAACTGTACTATATAGCAAAATTAATAAATAATTTATTTTAATATAGTATTAAGCAATTGCTTGCACTTATATTTAGTATTTTACTATTTAATTTTATAGCCGCAAATATAAAAAAAAGTAAAAAATTTTTTTTTAATTAATATATTACTATTGCGTACTAACTATAGTTTACGTAAATTATAAATAAAATTATTAAATATTTATTAATGCAGTTAATTTTTAGTATATAATTATAGTAAATTACTTAAATAATTAGTAACTTATTAATTACTGCAATAGTAATTAAAAAACTAAAAATTAATACTAAATAGTTAATAATAATTTTTGTTGTAAAAAGCAATAACTGCAATAATAATAATAATTATACTAGTAAAAGTAATAATAATAATATTATTAATAATAGTTATTATTGCAATTATATAAAATTTAATAATAATAATTTAAATTTAGTAGTTAAGAGCAAAATATTAAAAAAAAACTTTTAAAAAAGCTTAAAAAAGTAAAAAATAAATTTTATAAATACTAGTAAAAATATAAAATTATATAATATTACTAGCAAATTTCTACTTTTATTTATGCTTATTAAAACTAATAAAATACTAAATAAAACGCTATTTTTAACTCCATTTCACCCCACCTGCCAAATCCGGCCAATCTGGTTAGGTCAGCCCAGGTCACCGAACAGGCCCTTAGCCGCGTCAGCGAGAGGCATAATTAGTGGAAGAAGGCCGGCAAGGCCGTAGGCTGGAGAGTGGGCCAAGCCAGTTGTATGGCACCCAGCGTGATACAGGAGGGGATTGGCCGGTGGGTGGTGGTAGTGGTGCAGGTGCATATCGAGGCAGAGATGCGTGTTCGGCGCCGTCATCCATGGACATGGACAGACGACAGACAGATCAGGGGCGGATGGGGGTCAGGCTTGGGGGTGGTGCAGTAGTTTCGGAAAGACGAGAGTGAAGGAGTGGAGAGACGAGCTAAGGCTGCTGCGCTACGACATTCCCTTCACCACTCTCGACGCCAGCGCCAGCCAACCAGCGGCCCCAACGCGAGTGAATTGCTCCACCGCGCCCACCACCACCACTACCCAGCACCTCCTCCTTGGTTGCGCGTGCCGCCGCCGGCAAACCAAGCTGCTGGCCCATGGGCACCCAAGCGCGATCTGGGGTGGGCGCTGCTCCACAGCCTTCATTGGCCTCTCCTACGCGACCGTCTTCCAGAAACCGACATGCGGCCAGCTGCCCCCTGCCAGCTGCCCGTCTGCAGCGGGGACAGCCCATGACATGGGACTTTGCATCAGACATCTGCATCGCTAGCTGAGGTCACACAGCCAACGGCGGGACAGCTCACGCACCGAGATTGCAGCAGCAAGCAGTCAGCGCATAGCCTTCACCCGGCACACGCATCCCCATCAGCCTCGCACCTCACACACACACACACTCTCTCAAGCCAGCCCAACAAAGCCTGAGAAACTGTCTGAGCCCACCGGACGCGAGCAGCCGCCTGCCTATCGGTCGCCCCCTTGGCGTGGGAGCGTGTGCCATCACTATGGATTGCGCCTAACAAGTGGGTTTATAGGAATCCGGCCAGTCGAGCAGGCATCCTTGTCTTAGTTAGGCACCGCTGAGGGAAAAGCAAGCACACACAGTAGTAGCCTTTAACCACCGCCGCAGTCGACCGAGGCATGCCTTGAAACCGCCTACTATGCAAGCAAGCAAGCAAAGCTGCTAACGTTGAACGTCGGGCTTAGACAACCGAGCCACCGACCTAGGGATACGGGAACGCCTCGGACCAAGTCAGAACTCAAAACAAGCCCCGAATCACCAAGTAATATTGTCAAGCATACGCTGTGGCAGACCTACGCGCGTCCCTTGTGTGGCACGTCATTCCGGCCGTGAGATCGTCCCTCACTCTTGGCCACGCACCCGTGGTTGTAAATGCACACTCTGTGAAAGTGCTGCGCATTGACTGGGTTATACTGATGATAGGATATCATGTCTGTGCACTCTTCAACTTGCTAGGCAGTGGATCCGATCATCACGAAGAAAGTGTTGGATGCAACCAAGGCTATGGGCAGGTCTGGCTGCGCCTTTGACAAAGCGGCTTGCCTGTTGAGGGCCTCATAATCAATCAGGCCTGCCGCTACCATCGCCCGATATTCGCAGGAAGGCTGTCCCAACCGTGATGATGACGGTTGAGAAATAGTCCAGCTACACAAGCCGCCTACCATGGCTTCCCTGTCGTCGACCCCACGGTGACCAGACCCAAGCGGCAATACCGTTCGATAACGAGAAATCCCCGTGGCGTGGCTGATGAGGTGCAGCCGAAGCGCCGAGAACCCTGGCTTCGTCCCGCTTTAAAGATCGACATCAGTCCAACGCGGGCGCAAGGATGCTTTTGGTGCTTCAAACGAGCTGGCCCATGTCAGGGGGCTGGTGTCTTGTCGCCAAAACGGGTGTCTGAAAACTACAATGGTGGCGCCTTACATGGGTAGCCTTCATGAATGCACCCAAAAATGCATCCTTAACGTCCACTTGGCTTGCAGCAGAACGCCATGCACTACTTTTCTTGTGTGCCGGTTTCCCTCTTCCTGCTGCTGCTGACGCATCCCAATCACGGATCAGAATACTGCATCTGGATACGGAGGCGGGACTTGGTTCTCCATCAAACGAGCCTTTGCAATATCGTATATCAGTCACCAACCAAGTGTGGTGTCTATAGGGCGCTCTAGCGGTGGGCGTGGGTGGACTGAAATTGTGACTAGTTCAAGTCGTCTGGGACGAATGAATACTCTGTATCCGTAATTCAGCGCACGGCATGACTGCAGCAGCCACCTCGGTTGCTTCACGGAAAATTGCATCGCAGCCCGTACGACTTTTGTGCATCACGAGACGAAAAATGTACAAAGTAAGCGCCAACCTGTCAACCTTGTCGAAACCATCCTGCACACTTTTCGCTCGATCATCTCCACACATCCTGCGAACGGCATTAGATCGCGGTGATGGATGCTGACCCGCAACTTGTTGCAGGCCGTCAGCTGGGAACAACAAACTCTCATCACCTGGGCACAATAACATTACATACAACCATTGCACCTTTGGAAACCCGTGCCTGCTAGCCGGGTGCTGTGCTTTGGTCATTCGTCTCATCAATCGAGATTGTGAAGCCGTGGTTTCCAGCAGCCTATTTCAGAATTCGTTGATTACGCCGCTCGGACTCGCTCCGTAGGACGAGACGCGGGGCTTGCTTGCACTTTCAAGCGCCTCCATCCTGGCCAAGCGCTGTCCACCTCTAACAGCCTCAACCGGCAATCTGCGACACGGGAAAGAAACCCTTGAATGACGTATGCTTCGACGGCCCACGAGAGGTGTGGGTCTCAAACGTGGCGATGCATCGTGGACAGACTGTTGGCAAAACAAACGTCGGGATAAGCGGCACCGTCCACGCTAGCTAGGAAACGAGAATGGTTCCGGTTCGCTATCCCTTGAGGTTGATTCGGTCATCTCCACACCTGGCCTGGCGAGCAAATATTCTTTCACCAGGAGAGGACGCTGATCATCCAATCCTCGGTCAAATATTTCTATGCCTTCGTCAATCACAGTCTCTGCAAGGGTGGTAAAAGGTCGGAAGCGATGCAAAGCTATTGACTATTGATGCCGCCCACCTCCGTACTTTGCCCGGTAGCACAACCCTGACCAAACACGAAGCGCGAGTGAACAAGTCGCATGAAAGGGATTTGGTGGGCTAGCTGCATTATTTGTGGGTGACGACGATCTCTAGCAAGGAGTTGACGAGCCTGCTCGTGATGCATGTTCTAGACTTTCCTTGGGCGACGTAAAACACACCTAAATTTCTTGCGGGCACCGCGGCATTTACCCTTGATGCGAGTACTAGCCTCGCAGGGACTCACCCGTTCAACGTGAGTCGCCCTTGGCCAATCGCAAGTACCTCCTGAACGCCTCGATCAGCACCTATACTGGACCATCGGTGAGCCTCTTCACCACTACGAGACGACGATTTTGTGCGTATGCAACCATGTATATTTCCCGGTCGCAAGTGCTTTTTTTGTACGCCGAAGACAGGAGTCTTGCCTGTCTGAGACCTCATTTCGGCGCGTGCTAGTAATCTCGACGGAGAAATCATCAACCACATGTCTTTACCCATCCCTGATATAACCCATGGACATGGTGCAGGATAGCAATCCCACAAAACTGATTGCGAACAGTGGAGGCTAGGGTGTGACCATCCGTCCAGTCAAACTACACCTTGCTAACCACAGCGGCATCTCGCTCGCTTCGGCGTGTATCCTGCATCTTGCAGAGCCTTACGCATAGCATGTCTCAATAGTCCTGCTTTCATATTGGACCTCCCGCCACCCGTCTCGATACTGACATGGTAGCCATGGGTACACAGTACACGTAGTGATTTTCGCTTCACGTGGAGTCTCGAGATGGTGGAGCTTTCTCTTCCGTGCTGCAAGGCCAACCTCCCGAGTAGAGCAGCTGAGGCAATTTTGCATCCTTCGCGGCCGCCTCCATTCGACTAGGAGCAGGCCGTGACTCAGTCTCACGCGCAGCGCAGAGCAAGTTGTTTGTTTTCCCTCCTGCCGCTTCGCGGTGATCTGTCTACTTGTCGCACCTGTTTCGATACCTGCCTGCGTCCGCCTTCAACGCCGCCTAAGCTCGCCATCCTGGATGCGACACGAGGTCACCAGGGCGAACGATGGTTTTAGGCAGGTCATCGCGATTCACGGCAGGATGGAGGCGCTTCCTGATGCAAATTTGGTCGGCATCGCAGCTAATATAGGTACAGTAGAGCGGGTTCCTCGATCAGCACCCTGATTATCCGAGGCCCACCACCTCAGCTACATTGTGCTTACCTGTTACAGTTACAGCACCGGTCTGACGCTTGTAATACTAGATGCCAATGCGGAAATCGTACTCCGCTTTGGGCCTTTTAATGTCAAACTTTGCCTTGGCCCTAGTCAAGATCCTATACGGCAGTCACCTTTTGACTGTAAGACAAGCCTTGGTGCCCGCTGGTCATGCAACCTACGCCGTTACATTAGACGATGTGTCATGTCAAAAAGCAATCCTAGGCTCGGTGCTACTAAGCGACGGCGGCTGACATGGGCAGGTCTTTCGTATTGCCGACTACGCCCCTTGACCAACAAATGGGGCGCTTACGGACGGCAACGTCCTTCGGCTCATCAAATGTATGACGGTCGGAGTCTATCCGGCATGCACTTCTAAACCTTCCCGCTCACAGATTACTAAATCGCGAATCGTCTCACTCTCGACAGCCTCTAGGCTAAATCATCACCGACCACGGGCTGACGCGGCGATCCCGTCTCGTCCACCACTCAGCGACAACCCGAAGTACCTTCTTTATTCGCCTGCGTTTATGCGCAGAAGCAGTCACACGTGCATGGTGCTGAAATGCGGGACCCCAGCATATTATTGAACGCCTATTTTTGGCTGAGACAAGATCTGATCTCTGCGTAAAGTGCATGCACGACTCTCCCGTTGTATGTTATTGCCCGGCCAGCCGCTGTTACACCTCTCAGCCTGTCCGATGACCATGGGCAGCTCTCTGTCGTCAACATGCCGAAGCACCACGTCGACGCGGATATATGCTCCGCCAAACGCTTCGCATTGTTACCCCTCCTTTGACCAAGCAGCTCACCGGGATCAACGGCACCCATCAGGACCTGGATCCCGTCTCAAAACAGACCGCCAGCGACGACAGACAGGACATGCACGACACGACAAGGTTGCTGGCTTGCTTCCTTAGAACCGTTTCACTCTGGATCTACCTTTCCTTTTTCTTCCGCTTTTCCCGCTCGCATGCTTGCACTCAACACGCATGCTTGCTGCCCGATCCCCTCGCGCCTAGTCACCGTCTGGCGCGTCGCCTTGTATGCATCCCAAGTGATTAGCGCCAAGTTTAATCACAGTGCATCTGGGTAAGTTCAGATGGTTCTGAGCAAAAGGCTGCAGGCGCCGCCATCATACCAGGAGCCTAGACCATACCGACCATATCCGAACCTCTTTCGCTTTTCGTCGATGGATCAGCAGCGTCTTCGCATCAACACATCCCCGTAAGGTTTTCGGTCGCATTCGCTTCAGTTTCTTCCGAAGGAAAACGCCGTATGACATGGGACTTCCGGGGTACAGCTTACCGTTGATCGTCGCTTTAGCCTGCGTCCACCATACGCGCACTTGCACCAACAAATTCTTTTGATGTAACTTCCTGCTTGTCTCGGAGATGATTTCATTATTCCGTCCCAGTTCTATAACCTCGCTCATCAACTTGATTTACCCGCAGGCCATCGATGCAGGCTAAGACGATCACCGCTCGATCGAAAGGCTGAGGAGACTTGTCCAAGCAAGTCGCTTGCTTGCCCAGCTCCGAACGGTCAACGCCGAGCACACAGCCGCGACAGTAGCCCGTTGGCAAGATCGGATGTAAACCCTCCCAACCACTACACGCGTCTTCTCGTCGGGCTAGATGTATGCGGCTTGGTGATCGAGGTAGTCACATAGATGGCGAACAGATACTGCCTTGTCATTACGATCCGCTGATATAGTCCTAGTGGCGATAGAACACCCGACATGGCATTACAAGATGCAAACGCCTTTAGTCTAGTCGCACATGGACAGATCATCATGTAGACATTTCTCATCCATCCACTCGAAAACACACGTCTACCATTTTGCCTGAAACCAAGCTCGCCGATCATCGTTCTTTCAATCCTAACGGTGGTCGTGGAAAATTACAAAATGTGAGATATACGTAGACATCACACCACGGCAGCAGTTTGTTCCGCTTAGCTACCGCGGACGATACGATACGATGCATGCGATGCAATGCATGAAGATGTCATCGAACGGAATAGGTAAACGCAGGACTGTCGATCATGACGAAAGGCACGCCGCGGGGCGAGCGGGACGTTCTGCGATCTCGGCTCACAAATGACGCTGTTGGGTGGCCTCGTAAATGCTTACTTGGGGGCAAATTTTTGCACGAGTGGGGTGTGTGCTTTCGCTTGCAAGTTCTGTGTTGGGTATGGTTGTGCGTGCATGGATAGTGAGTCGGTTGGTACGGCGAAGCGCGAGGGAAGTTGTCATGTGAAAGATATATTCATAGACTATCTTGCTCGTGGAAAGCCGCGGGTGGATATGCCATGGAACGTGGACGTGTATACATGTATCTAATGGCATGACTGCTTGCGAACCCAATCATGTCGTCTTATATACGTGTTCCCAGTGCAAATATTAGAACAAGGAAAGAAACAATGGCGTAAGCTCTATCAGTTGTCCCTTGCTTTCAATCTTATATGGTCAAATCCACGAATCCCTTGCCCTCTCTCGGTAGTATATGCCACCGAGACCCCGTTTCGCAGATCGGGAATGAAATCATGTAAAAGAAGGCCCCGTAAGATGATGATCGCGGCAGACATACTGGCAACAAAGAGATTTGTATGGTTCGTAAATGCAATCTAGATGTCCGTGTGGGTTCGTTTGATGGCTCGGGAATACTGACATAAGTTTCCAGAACTGTGAATACTACATTTTTCAGGGATACCAGTTTTATGCTTGTCTCTACATCATCCACGGCCGCGGCTAGATTGTCATGGTTCTCTTTCCATTGTGTATGGGCAGCCCAGAAGTCTTTGGTCGCTCCGTTCCTGCTGGCTCCTTTGTAAAGCGTCTCGCATTCCGCCTTGACCTCATCAAAGCTGATGAATAGAGTGCTAAGAGGCTCTTTCATCCCAGAGTAGCCACTGTGTTTCGCAGAAATCAAGTTCAAGTTCAAATCAAGCAGTATATAAGTCCAATCATGGTGATATGCTGGATGAAAGCGATGTGCTTCAACCCAAGGGTCCCAGAGATATGGAGATTGTCTGAGGATTTCCTGTTCGAACCAGAGGAGTCCGCTAATGAGCGGCTGGCCCACACAGCAAATAAGCTGCTTTTCACGAGGCTCGCGAAGAAAAACGCTGCAGTCGGAAAGTCGATCTACAACTTGCTGTGCTGAGGGACGGCGAAGTCGATTCGGATCCAGCATTGATGGGATGTATTCACGCAAGAACATAAGTTTGCTGTGGAATAATTGCAGCAACGGTTTGAGTGGCAACGGCTCGAGCCAAGACGCTGCTGCTTCTGGGTTCCGAGCAAAACTGGACTGACCGGTTCCGGTCTGTCTCCAGTGCTCCTTTACTTCAGAGAGACTGTGACCGTGGATACCAGATAACATTTCATAAAGGACGCATCCAAGGGAGAAGATGTCGCTGGCTCTATTGCGAGGCTCGAATGCCAGCACTTCTGGAGGAGAATAACGAACAGTCCAAGCACTCGGGCGGCCCGTGGTGGTCGAGATCGAGTCATCAGAGAAGTCGAGGCTAAGCCTGTTAGTTATTGTGTGCTTAGTCACCCGTGCATTGTGTTCACCTGAACCCGAAGTCGGTAAGTAGGATATTGTCTCCATGTATGAGGACATTTTGTGGTTTGAGATCTTCGTGTCTGGAGTATGTTAGCACGGAAAAAAAGGTGTTTTTACTCCAATCGTAGGTACGGGTTGATAGTGGCTTTGATGAATGCCGGTTCAATGTAATAATGTGGAGCACTCACCGGATTTTCTTCTGATGCAAATAATTCCTGACAATATGAGTGGTCAGCTGCTGGCACTTGAAGAAGCGATAATAGATTCCCACATGATCCTTGAATCCCCTTGAAGGCGATTGTTACTGTCTATGGGATTACGAGTGTATAAAAGTGCGACATGAGAAAAGCTGTACTCTTTCTCACTTACAAGGCGTTGCACAAACAATGAATCCCTCTGTATAGCATGTTTCTTTGCTCGGCTCCGAGTTCGCTATCCAAGAATGTCGCCAGATCCATATCTGCGACGGGAGTAGAGAGTATGTTTACGGAGTCCAAGTCTGTATAACTCCCAAGTAAACGGACACAATGCCAATGGTCTACTTGGCGCATGACTTTGACCTCACGAGCAAATGCGGCCATTATCTGCTTCTGAACGTGGAGCGGTTTGGGTCTTGCGATCCTCTTCCGCACGCATGTGGTTGGTATTGGCTTGGTTGGTACCGTAACCAATTCCACAAACCCAAAAGCGCCCTCGCCTAGAATACGCCCCCCCGGAATAAGATCATCGCCGTCATCGAGAGCAGCGTGAAATGGGATTGGTGTTGGACTAGGGTCTTCTGTGCCAAATCTCGTTGCAACTGCATCAATGAACTCCTGCTGTAGCCGTAGAAATTCTTTCTCTTCTAGAGGCTTACTGAAAAGCCTGCGAACTGTGTGCTTTGGTAGTGGAAGCCATAGGTCTGTAATTCCATGTCTCTTCATTTCTGCTCGTACGCTTTCTTCTCCATTGCCCATCTTTGCGAAGATGCGGTCCATCTCTTTCTCCAACATTGAGTTCCATCGATCTTCGAAGGATGTTTGCTGATCATGCTCAAGGGATGTGAAAGCTGAAGCCGAAGTTGCAGCTCGGAAACTCTCATCGGCGACACCTGGCACCTCTGGTCGTTGAGGATATCTCGAGTCTTCCTGATTCCCTTCCGGACGTGACATCGTTTGAAGAGCCAGGGGTACCCACGTAGAAGGGTTCTGCAATGGCGAGACGGAGATGCTGGTAGATGAGCTGGAGGCAACAACATCGTGATCAGGCTGAGGCTGAGCATGCGGGCAGGCCAAGCTACGTTCATGGGATTGGTGAAGGTCAATCAATGGTCGCTTGGGCTTACCGCTTTCGGTCACACCTACACCTGCCCCACTTAGTCATCTTATCTTCACCCAGAAAGCCGACCGGCCTCACAAGAGCCATGATCCTCCCCGCGTGCACAATGGCGGAAACTAGATGCTCTCGTGCTTCAATCCTATCCCCACGACCCTCAAGATTCTTCCCGCCGTGAACGTGCATCGAACGGACGAGCATCTTCAAACAACCTACACTCCATCTCAACACTATCACAACGGACTCAACATGGCGATCCAAGTAACCCGCATGGCAGAAGCCGACATTGACGGCGCAATCGACACCATACAACAAGCCTTCGCAAATGACCCATACAACAATTGGGTGTACCCCGACCGGTCAAAAGTAAACTACACTCCACACCCCCATCTCCATCAGATCCTAACACCACCACAGGTCTCTCTGACACGAAACCGGGTGTCTCTCACGCTCCGCTGCCGCTGGGGCATCCAACATGGCCTCTTCCACGTCGCGCGCGACCCCTCCAGCCCCTCCAAGATCCTCGGCTGCGCAATGTGGCTCCCGCCTCACGCTCCCCGCGAGCCCGAATCCTGGTCCCTATACCTCTCCTACTGGTGGCTGTGGGCGAATCAAATTCGCATGAACCTGTGGTACGGGCGCGGCGGACTCAGCACACAGAGATACTGGATATGGAAAGCGCGACAAGCAGAAGCGCAGGAGGAGTTGTGGGTCGAGGAGAAGGGGTATTACTTTTGTAATATTGTTACAGTGTTGCCCGAGGCGCAAGGGGAGGGTGTGGGGAGAGCGCTGATGGAGGAGGTGTTGCGTATGGCGGATAGGGATGGTGTGGCGTGTTATTTGGAGAGCAGCAGGGATGTGCCAAATGTTGCGATATATGAGAAATTTGGGTTTAGGCTGGTGAAGGAGATGGAGTGTCGAGATGGGGAGGGGGAGAAGGATGCTGTGATGCTCTATTGTATGACAAGAGAGCCTGGAAGGACTCAAGATAGTGGGATAGGGAAGGCGGGAGGGAAGACAAGCGCAACGGAAACAGCTGGAACGACGCCCGAGATTGGGCAGTGAGTTGGCACGAAGAGCACTCCGAATGCATACAAATGAGGATGTATAGTGAGGCCAAAGGCCTTGAATTTCAAACTGGTATCATACGCTCAGGTCCAGGAGTTGCTCAAACTCCCACTCCCCAGCTCTCCTCGGCCCATCATCCCAATCCATACCGTCCCAATCCTCAAATACACTTCTCGCCGCCTCTTCCCGCCCCACACTCTCCAACGTCTCAACAATCTTCTCCGCCCCCTTAATCGCCTCCACCGTCTGCGCATCGCCCTTCGACCTTACCACCCGCCCAATAGCCTCTACCACTCTTGTAACACGACTTCCAATCCACCACCCCCTCGGAAACAAGCCCGCAAGCGCAAACCACCACGCCGTTAGCGTCAGCGCTCTCGGCTCCCTTGTCTTCACTAGGTCCAAAAAGTCTGGCATGAGGAAGGATGTCAATACGAAGATGCGGACGCGGAAGTCTTGATTTAGATGGTAATAGTATAAGCTGAGGAAGATTGGGGAGAGGGCTTGGAAAACGGGGACGAGGGCGTTACGGTGCATATCTATGGGTCCTGTGGTAGTGGGGCTGACGAGGCTTTCGAGTACTACCATCAAGCGCGGTGGTAGGAAAAGAGGGGTTGAAGGTGTAGAACGTCGTTGGTATGTTGGAGGTGGGTTTGGATGGTCTGGCGTCGTGCCTATGCGTCCGACGAGCGTGCAAAGGTTTGGATCCTCTACGCTACTATGGACGGTTGGTGGTGGTGGCGGCGGTAGTGTACGCAGCTCGCGGCAGAAGAGCGGGTATACGGAGAGTTTTTCGATGCCCTGTCCCCAGCGGAGAGAAGCGAGGAAGGTCAGGCCTTCGTTAGTCTTCAACACGCTGTACAGCCACTGCAAATGCTCCTCGTCACTGTCCTCGAGCCCAGGTGGCGGAATCAGGGCAGAGAGAAACATGCCAGTCACCAAGATCGACTCATAGTTCTCCGCCGTGATATTTTGTAGTGCTTTAGTGTATCCTTGAAAGGTCTTCTGGCGGTACACTAATGTCTGCCTCTCCATCTGCTTTGATGGGCGAAGCATGTTGCTGTGCGAGGCTGCGATACTTAGGATTGCATGGAGGAGATACGGGTGCGAAAGTGAGGCTTGTGGGACGAAGTCGCGGTGGATTGTATGTACAGCCGCATCTTCGCGGATGGCAAAAATCTCCCACGATGATGATCTGTAATGGTGAAGTAAATCATGGTCCAGGGGGGACAACTGGCCCGATGAAGCAAATGCTGGTGGTACAAGCCAGGTAGGTATTTGCATCAATGCGTCGTTGAAGTTAACTTCCTCAGAGTCCTGGTTGGGCGATGAAGTCGATGAGGGTGACCTTGAAGCTGAAGATGAATTCTGAGGGTATTCGCAGCTCAACTTCCTCGTTGAGCAGTACCCGCAAGTAGGCTGTATCTCATCGCACTGTCATCATGTCACTATAAACCCTCAAGTATTTTTCAGGCGACAGATACCTTGACCTTCTTCGTCTTGCACCTCAGGCAGCCACCCCTCGATTTTCTGTGGGCTTTCTTCGGTACGAAACCAGAGCTGAGGCGCGGCATATCGACTCGTTTATAGCACTTCCTGGAGTCCTTCGCATCAATACCAGGAGAAGGTGGGGAACTGTGGTAAGGCGTCCACGGTTCCAAAAGGAAATGCTTGGCGGGCTGACACTATGGTGACCCTAGATAACAATAGATGATGTCACCATCTAATTGCGCTATCGCGTACTTTTTGTGCCTTTACGAGTGCGCAATGTTGGGTTTAAGAAGCAGATCCTCTTAAATAAATGGTCAACTTTAGTCTCGCAAGGTTTGCCGATTGTGGTATGCTTACGCGTTGGTTTTTACAGAACCGATACGGCCCACGAACGTATCGTTGCAATATTGGTGGTTCTTCCGGACGTAAACCCTTTATATAAGTTGGTAAAATCTAAAGTCGTACATGAAGCCCAGCGCTAACTCCTCCGAGATGCCTAACAATATGCAAGGCGGAATATAGATCCATCATTTGGTCTGTACAAAGCCCGTCTCTCCATCAGACGACGCTTCCTGCGTGCCCTTCCCCTCGACCACGTACTTGCTGGGCTGCAATACCAACAGAAGCACTAGAACCAGGAACATCGGCACTGAATCGAAGACATACAGAGTCCACTCATGGCTTATCAGATAGCTCGCATTACCCATGGCGTACTCGATAAGCCGAAAGGTACAGCGCAATAATATGAGTGCGCTAACGCTATACAGTGTGTAGAGCATCTTCCTCCAGTTGCCAGTAGAAGAGGACTCTGAGCTTGTTGTGTAGGGGGCGTTTCTGGCACTGTGATTCATGCGGATATGGAAGTCGACGGCAGCGATGAGGAAGATGATGAACGTAGCGACTTGTAGTGCTAGACCGGCAATCACGATTTTCTCGCCAGCGAGGGCGAGGGCAAGTTGCATTGTGCCCATGATGCTTGCGCCTATCACGTTATTAGCACATGTCCAAACTTGGGTCGGGTATTCCCGAAGTATTTCGCGTCACTTTCGAACGCCAACTGCACTCCGAAAGCTTCGCGAAGTCCTCCAGAAATAGCCGTTCTCCTGGATTATTGAGCACGTACCTAGGCCTTGGAGGATCAAAGTAGCAACATCCGCAGCCACGAATATCCTTGTATACCACCTCGACGGAATGAGGCTCACACCTTCACCGCCAGAAGCTCTGATAGTTCGACCGAGTATCATGTATATGGTAGCAGCCAAAAATAGTGGGCCAACCAGCAGCTGGACTCCTTGGACGATGAACGGGGCCCATGATTCATTGTTGAAATGCGAACCGATGCGCGCGCCAAAGCCGCCTACTTCGCCTGAGATCGCGTATTAGCTCACTTTCAAAGCTTGCCTTGACGAACAACGTACACAAAGCCCCTATAACTACGAAAATGATGATGCGGTCTTTGAGCCGAAGGAACTGATACAGGTGGAGGTTCGCCATGATGAGGAAGAGGATAAGGGCGATGATGGCACCGACGAGAGAAGGCACGTAGCGGTACATCTTCCAGTCGAACTGCGGAGAGCTGGGTGGATTGGCCATGGTGATGGATGAAAAGTGGTGTGAACTGGTCTATGTTGTTCTCAGGGTATATATGCTGACGGTAGCAAGGACTCTAGTGAAATTCAAATGGACAGAAAAGAAATTTGTGGTTTGATGGGATGACAAGATGGATGGAGGCCATGCTAAATACTTGTATGCTGTGAGACATTCTAGTTTCGCATTCGGTAGAGGCCTTCAACGCTTCAGTGGCTTCAAAGGGCTGTGTATATGCGAGCTTGTTAGCCTAGCCCTACCTAAAGCATCGCATCGTGAATACTGTGGACCCCTGCATCGACGCTAATTATCGCATTCGCGAATATTGTGGGCCTTCGCATTCGTGTAGCTGACCAATGAAACCATCGCACCCCTAGCCACTGGTGTAACAAGTCCATAGATGACGTTCTATACTATATTATAAGACCGCGAGTGAATGAGACGGGTGCTGAGCCATGGGCAAGGCTCTATACTGTATCGAATTGGTGTTGAGGCGGTGCCCGGCGAAGTAAGAGATTGTAAGACGTGTTACTAGACCTCAAGTGAGCTCGACGTATAGGGCTGTGAAGAGGCGGAGAATCATTCAGACTCCCCGGAAGAACAAGTCGCGGACTGCAGCTACTGTATATACCCTTTTACCGAAGAGGTGGGGTGTGTAGCTATACAAAAGGCCGGATATCTTGACATCAGGTTTTGGGGCTGATCGCGCAGTAACCGTATAGTGAAGCTGGAATACTTTCGAGAGTTCATTTGTCATTCTCTGCCGACAGCTGAAAGGCCCATAAACATATCCAGCTATAGCTTTGCAGGCCAACAGTCGCGTCTTCAGTTTTCGAAAGTTGCTGAGTAGCCGTAGCTGTAGACCTCCGCGGGCAACGACGTGGCTCGCGCTCGAGCTTCGGATGATGCAGTGAAGAGTATATGAACGCGTTCAGGAAGGCAGCAGCGAGAGCGAACATATACGTCGTCCCCAAGGCGTCGATTCGGTCAATACAGCGTGGCCACAGTGAGTTTTGGAAGCAGAGAGATAGCTCAGGGATGAAGCTACCGTCGCTTGGCGCGCACGGACAAAATCTGCCTCGTCGACACGTTGCGAGAAAGTGAAAGCTGCCCCCTCTCCATCTCCCATCATCATCAGGTTCGCCAACGACCACTCCTTCTTCACTTCTCTTTGTCCTTTTCTTCTCTGCGGACCATAGATCGCAATCATGAGCGGCCGTAAGTCATCTGTCGCGCGCAATTGCGCCGCAACACCCAGTCGCGAATTATTGAGACACCAGCAGCGCAACACAGCTAACATGAATTGCTGGTAGTACGGTTCCTTGACCTCGTCAAGCCCTTCGTCCCTCTCGTCCCCGAGATCCAGCTCCCAGAAAGCAAGGTCCCCTTCAACAACCGGCTAGTATGGACGGGCCTCACGCTCCTCGTCTTTCTGGTGATGAGCCAGATGCCTCTATACGGCATTGTGTCGTCTGATACTTCGGATCCGCTCTACTGGCTGCGAATGATGATGGCGAGTAACAGGGGAACGCTGATGGAACTGGGTATTACGCCCATCATTTCCTCCGGCATGGTCTTCCAGCTCCTTGCTGGTACCCACCTGATCGACGTCAACTTGGACCTCAAGTCGGATCGCGAGCTCTACCAGACTGCCCAGAAGCTTCTTGCCATTCTCCTGTCCTTCGGCCAGGCTGTCGTCTATGTCATCTCCGGCCTCTACGGACAGCCATCGGACCTAGGCGCCGGTATCTGCGTCCTCCTCGTCATCCAGCTCATCATTGCCGGTTTGATCGTCATTCTCCTCGATGAGCTCCTCCAGAAGGGCTATGGTCTTGGCAGCGGTATCTCTCTCTTCATTGCTACCAACATCTGCGAGTCCATCATGTGGAAGGCTTTCTCTCCTACTACTATCAACACTGGCCGTGGTCCCGAATTCGAGGGTGCCATCATTGCCCTTGTCCACCTCCTCTTCACCTGGGACAACAAGACTGTCGCGCTCAAGGAGGCTTTCTACCGCCAGAACCTCCCCAACGTCATGAACTTGATCTCCACTGTCATCGTCTTCGGCGCTGTCATCTACCTCCAGGGGTTCCGTGTCGAGATCCCGGTCAAGTCCGCCCGCCAGCGTGGTGTCCGCGGCTCGTACCCCGTCCGTCTGTTCTATACGTCTAATATGCCTATCATGCTGCAGTCGGCCCTGTCGTCCAACGTCTTCTTGATCAGCCAGATGCTCTATAGCCGCTTCTCTGACAACCTTCTTGTCAAGCTTCTCGGTGTCTGGGAGCCCAAGGAGGGATCTGCTCAGCTTTTCGCTACTTCCGGTGTTGCTTACTACATGTACGTTTGAACCGTAAATACAACCCTGCAATTACTAACATTCCTAGGTCCCCCCCTCTCAGCATCACTGAGGCCCTCTCCGACCCTCTCAAGACCGCCGTCTTCATCGTATACATGCTCGTCGCTTGCGCCGTTTTCTCCAAGACTTGGATCGAAGTCTCTGGTTCTTCTCCTCGTGACGTTGCCAAGCAGCTCAAGGAACAAGGTCTCGTAATGGCTGGTCACCGTGAGGAGTCCATGTACAAGGAGCTCAAGCGCGTCATCCCCACGGCGGCTGCTTTCGGTGGTGCTTGCATTGGTGCTCTCTCTGTTGGTAGTGATCTCCTCGGCGCTTTGGGCAGTGGAACTGGTATTCTCTTGGCTGTGACGATCATTTACGGTTACTTTGAAATCGCCGCTAAGGAGGGCGATATGGCGGGTCTCAAGGGAATGGTCATGGGAGGATAAATGACTAGAGACTTGGCGGGACCACGTTTAGGTGTGTAGTTGTGTTATTTTTTATCAGTAAGGGTAGTATGATGGTTCTGGCCGTTGGTTCTGGCCAGAGTGCCTCACAGCACTTGTAAAATATGAATCGAGAATGAAAAGTACGCGAATGTGTTCTAACAGTATCTACTGGGTGACCCACATAGGGCTTTGCATTGCCACCACGAATGCTAGGTCGTGATGAGTTTCGTTCTATCGATGCGTGAGTGTGGGTGCCGCCGCCAAGAATAAGGTGCACGGTCTCTAGTAACCGGAGATGCCACCCAACTGATTGTTAGGTAGAACCCGCCCTATGTTCACTGCTGCGCGCACCCGCCTGACCAATCTGCCCCCACAACGCGCCCTGAGCTTCCAGCGGGCGCACAGCTTCGAGGGGGGAAAGCAGGACGAGCTAGTCCCTTTGCCGCAAGGTGCTTTCTGCCGTAAGTATGCCTCGACAACGCAAGATGTGTCCAACAAAGTCACACAGCTCAGGACCAGCCCTCAATGGCCACTTCTCTCCCACCTGGCATCAACTCAACCAATATTGTAGGCTTCGGAACAACCGGTGTCGTTGCCGTCATTCCTTGTACTCGAAGAGTTATCAAGTTTCCACACTGCGAGCCCGATGCCCGCGCCCGATGTGAAGTCGAAGTTAAGGTCTACGAACGACTTGAACAGACGCGTAGGGAATCATGCTCAACAATATTACGATACCACGGCCATTGTGAGCAAGGAATAGTTTTGGAATACGCTGAGAATGGGCCATTGAGAGAGCACCTGCGCACTGCGAATACACCAAGCAAGACACTACTTCTACGCTGGGCTCGGCAAGCAGCAGAAGCATTAGTATTCTGCCATGCTAATGCTATTCTTCATGGGGACATCAACTGCAGCAATTTCTTCCTTGACGGAGAGCAGAACCTCAAGCTGGGGGATTTTGCTGGATCATCGATTGATGACTCTCCTGCAACTATCTGCTACAGCACGACCCATCAGCTTCCTACCTTGGATTTCTCATCTGAATCAGAAGCCGTCATCATTACAAAAGAGACTGAGATATTCGCCTTCGGCTCCGCCCTATATGAAATGATGACAGGCCGCCCACCATATGAAGACAAGTCCGATTCTGAAGTGGAGCGTTTATTCTTTTTAAAGGACTTCCCAAAAATCTGCGATGCTACCATGTTGGGACCTGTAATAACGAGGTGCTGGAATCTGGAATTCAGTTCTATGGACGAGGTATTAGCAAGCATTAAACAACACGAAGGTATGCGAGCCTCATCACTTGCCATGAGTGCAGATTGATTAACAGAACTAGATCAATTGCGCGGACCACACAATAGGCTACAAACTCTCCTTCTTTTTATTCAGAAATGGGGCCATGTCCTACTCTTAATAGTAGTTAAGCGCCTTAAGCAGTTGAAGTATCGGCTGTCTTGAGTTAGGGTACATTTGCTTCTTCTTTGTAAGTTGTGCTTACCGCATCTTGGTCATGCTCCTGGAACCTTTGAAGACCCAAATTGCCATGGGATTCGGTTGACTGGAGCACACATAGGGTCTCCGTCCTGGGCCTTTTTGCATGGTATATCCTTCTCTTTGCGGATGTGGTGCTTTGGATCCTGCTTACATCCTCTGTAAGTGACGGAATATTCGTAGTAATCACACATTGTCTTCTTTAACCGTTTTGTTAGAGAGCATTCTCGGAGAGGAGTTGAGTTAACGCGCCTAGCAATAGATGCAGCACGGACGCGAAGACAGTGAAGGACCAAGATGAGAAGGGATAGGACAAGTGTATCAGCAACTTGAGTGTGGTGTGTAGACGGCGATACGGTCCGTCGATGGGCTGCAGAAGAGGGCAGATAGAGGTGTTAGAGAGGCGTCAGTGAATGTTCGAAATTGGCACGGTCGTATTGTGTTCTCTAGTGCTGAGGGTCACTTCAATTTTATATTTGTTCCCCTCGTATTACAGCCTGTTACGCTGGAAACATGCCGCAGCTGATGCTCAGTATGCAGCAGGGATAGATGCAGCACCGGCCGGTGAACAGGGAGTAGGAGCGGAGTGACGTCTAGGCAACCATCTCCAACATACGCCAGTGTTCAGGCATTCATTGCGGTTGTATTTAGAACACCTAGCTGCATATCACGCGGGCCGGGATCGACGTGATACCATGCGATAGGTTCGGGAGGGACGAATTTGGGGAGGCTGGTTAGTCGGCAAGCCATCTGCAGATTACAACGGAGTTTGACAATGGCATCCACGACTTCCTCACCTACATGGCGCCGTCGACGCTCACCACCCCGGCAAACGCCCTGTCCCTACGACTCTCCGCGTCCACTTCTCGCAGCCGACTACGACGGCAATGACAAGGCTTGGCTGCGGGGCCAGCCAACGACACTGCACGACTCCAATGCAAGCGGCCAGCAACGGAAGCTTTTTAACTTTCTACCTGCCCAACCTCATCTCCTGCAAACAGCCTCTACTCGACAAACGTGTCGAGCCTCGAGGGTTGCGGCGTTTGCATCAGGTCTTCATGCATCCTGGGCTCTGAGGGCCGTATCAGCAAGCCTTAAGAGGACCCAAACCACGAAAACTGTATACAGCTCCACTCTTCTGTAAATGCTAGTCTACTTTGGCTATACACCGACTCTAGCGTAGTAGATGGGGTCAAGATCGCACAAGAAAGAAAGTTGCATCGTACACAGCCCCCGCGTTCCACACCCCACTTCAGGCATCCCAGCAACTGAACAGATTTGCGCGCCTCGGCCTATGGAAGAGCTATCTTCACTGGCAATACTTTCCGATGATGCACGTCTTTTCTCAAATGCAAAACGATATCTACAAAGGGGATTCATCTTCTAAGACCAGAGAAAGGAAGCCCCGCAGAAACCTGTTGCCACATCTTCGACATCTTGGAATCTGACAGTCCAGTTTGTGTCTTTTTACGCCCGGCATGGAACCGTGTAGGCGAACCTCACAGGAACCCGCGATTATCGATCGCGGAAAATCCTAGTGCCGAATCCACACGACGTAGTCTTGCCCTCTATGCAATGCTGTTGATATTCGAGGCATGAGGTAAGCGCTACTGCTGAGTGTAAGCCTGTGGCGTTGAAGTTTATGATATAAAGCGTGAGGCGCGGGATTCAGCCCTGAAAAGCTGCTCACACCCAGAGGTCTTCATTTCCGACTAAATCAATATCTAATAGATAACCACCACGGTCCATTATGGCTTTCAACCCATTGGCGAATGCACCGAAGCAAGCCATAGCCCTTCTTCAAGGACAAGGCAAAGTCTCCATCTACGAAGAAACGGGCGGGAAGGTCACATCTGAGTTTGCAGCACACAATCTCACCCTGCTATCACCAATCCCCTCAGGCTCCATTATCCACGATAATGCCTGTGGCTCCGGGACTGTATCACGGCACATCCTGTCTGCCAGCCCGCCACCAGAAGTAAAAATCCACGCCACGGATATGGACCAAGTATTCATCGACGTGCTCCAATCCGACGTACTCAAAAACGGCTGGCCCATTGAAGTCTTGAACGAGAGATCCGAAAGCCTGTTATCCTTTTACGACGACTACTTCACGCACTCGATAACGAACATCGCCATCTTCTTCACCAGCTCCGGCGGCCTTGACGGCACAAGAGAAATCTACCGCACGCTCCAGCCCGGTGGCACCGCAGTCGTAAATTGCTGGGAAGCCGTCACATGGCTTCTCCCCATTAAACTCGTGCACGACGCTACACGCCCGGGGAAACCGTTTTTCGCACCCCCGTTGCAGTGGAGCGACGGGAAGCAGATCCAAAAGATCATGGCGGATGCTGGATTCAAGAAGGAGAATACGCGGGTAGAGCGGAGTGAGGCGTGGGCCAAAACGACGGATTTGCGGGATTGGGCAGAGAAGACGTGGGCTTTTCTGGCTGGGATGGGGGGCTGGCATGCGGGGGATGAGGACAAGTGGGATGAAGCGGTCGATCTGCTGGTTCAGCATTTGCTGGCCCATCCAGATACTAAGATTGTGGGTGAGGAGGTTTGGATGAGGGCTAGTCAGTGGATAGTAATTGCTACGAAGTAGTGCACAGAGCAGAAAGTGCACTCAGCAGTTATCGACGCCTGTTGTCTTCATTGAAAGCCACTACGTTCTTTCAAGTTCTGTAAAGCTTCCAGGCTCATCAGTAATTAGATTAATCGGATCGTTTCCGCATCTTACAACCATACACACGTTCCATTCCATCTCGCCCTCATTTTCTCAGAATCCCACTTAAGCGCAGGTGACAGCGTGCAGACTCGGCGATGGAGGAGGCGGACTGGGTGAAGGTGTCTGTACAAGAGTTAAGCAGGCGTAGAAGAACATTCAAGTGCATATTAAATAAACTTACAGGCGTACGCGCTCCGTCACCCTCTCCAAATCGAACTAGGAATTCGTTCCACTCATGCTCGAGCGTAGAATGCCTACTTGGCGACGAAGGGGGTGGACTAGGGGGAGGCTGCTACAATATCTCTATTAGCACAATACGAATGGGGTTATGAATACACGTACGGGAGTTCCAGCACCACCTCCCTCGCCCAACCGCACGATATCCTCTAGATCGGGCATAGTAGGCTGTGGAATCTTGACAGGAGGGATTGCAGGCGACGGAATGGGTTCGGATTGCTGCGTCGTTGCGAACCTACGTGGTGATGGAGGCGGTGGTGAAGGCTAGAAGTAATACATCAGCTTTCTGACCCCTGAGTAGGTGTAAGGCTGACATACAGGAGGACTAGGGGTGCCGCCACCACTGATCCGCGTGGCCAGGTTGTTGTACAGATCAGTAGAAATAGCTCTCAGACTCGACTCAGCATTGAACCTCTTTGGGGACGGAGTTGGTGGCGAGGGCTAGAAGGAGTATATCAGCTTTTTGACTCTGTTGGAGAGGGACGTGGAGAGGCGTACAGGAGGGCTGGGAGAACCACCACCACTAATCCGCATGGTCGGGTTGTTCAGTCTCGTGACATTGAATCTGCGTGGGGATGGAGGTGGTGGTGAAGGCTAGAAGCAGCAAATTAACATCTTGAGTATAGAGGATAAACGGAGAGACGTACAGGAGGACTGGGGGAGCCACCGCTAAGCTGCGTAGACAAGTTGTTCAGTCTCGACTCCGTGTTAAACCTACGCGGAGACGGCGGAGGTGGGGACGGCTAGAAATCGCCTATTAGCTCTTCATCCGAAGAGAAAATATAGGCAGACGTACAGGGGGACTGGGACTTCCACCACCACGGATCCGCGTGGTCTCGTTGTTTAGTCTCGACTCCACGTTGCACCTTCTCGGGGATGGAGGAGGCGGTGAGGGCTGGCAGTCGCGTATTAGTATTACAATCTCGCGGGACTTTTAGACAGGCATACAGGAGGACTGGGACTTCCACCACCACTAATCCGTGCAGACGGCTCATCCAGCCTCAACTCCATATCAAACCTTCTAGGCGACGGCGGAGGCGGCGAAGGCTAAAACCACTCCATCAGCTTTGTTAATCCACCGGAACGAAAGAGCTAAGGAGACGTACAGGAGGACTAGGACTCCCACCACCACTGATCCGCGCAGTCAGGTTGTTGTTATAGGTAGTAAGCGTCATGATGTATGTTAAGTTGCAAAAGTTGCGTGGAATAAGTGCGTTTTTGTTGCGTGTGCGTGTGTATTGCGGTCCGTTGAGGTTGTTTCTGAAAGGCAGTGCTTTTGTAGATGGTATTGTTATTGTTACTGTGGTGGATGTTGATGTTGATGTTGGTTGATGGAGAAGTAATGGGGCGCGGAGACGGCGGTTTATATACTCTCCATCGACAGTGAATTTCGAGACGGACTTAGGAGTGAAGATTTAGACTATTTCTTGCATTGAAGGAGAGTTCGGGTCTTTGGTGTGATATTTTGGAGATAGAGCATTAAGAAGTGGGGCTGGTGTGATGTCCAAACGTCTGTCCTTGACGAAAAGCTCCGAGAGCGTGATTAGTGAATGTGTCGGCAACACGCGGTTGGTGTTGTCAACGAGTGTTCTTCACGACAGGCTGAGAATGGCACTGTCCAACGCCCGTTTCTGAATTCAAGATGCCATTTCACATGGCGAGACCAAGAATGAACAATTGAGTAAAAGAGTCAAAGCGTTGGGTTAAACTACTGATCAACTTCGCTCGATACGCACCCACAACCGTGTGGAGTAAACATTAATATATTAGAGAGTAGTGTAGACATCAAGTCGGAACGCGTTATAGACAAACTAGACCACATCTCCCAAGAGACCAAAACTATGGGAACAAAAAAAGGGGTAAGAATGGGTATATCCAACAGAAGCTGCCTGTTCCAGAGGCTAGTTCAACGCGGTTTGCATCGATGTGGAAGGTAAGTACAAGACCATCGCAAATGCGCGATGGACGGGTATATAAAGAAAGTAAAGGAGTTTGAAGGATAAGGCCCGGGCTGGCCGGGTATCAGAACGAACGGTATCGAAGAATGTTCATGCGAATGCAGCAAAACCGACTCGCTAGATGACGACGTAACGAAAGAAAACGTCAGTAAAAAGAAGGAAGAAGAAAAGCGATTAGTGGAAGTGTGACGGAAGTTGCTCACGCCATCATCATGAGTCTCGTTCGGCGCTTTTGCACGTTTCGCGGTCTGTAGCCTCCAGGTCCCAGGGAGCTTTGTTGGGGAGCTGCGGCGCGCTGCCCATGGCGGTCACAGTATTTCCGCCCGCCAACTTCGAAATAGTCGTCGCGCAGGACGATGCGGCACGTCGCGCAGGTCAAGCATCTGGGGTGGAACTTCTGACGCATATCGGTCTCGAGGTATTGGCCTTCGATACCGCGGTCGCATGACATGCACAACGATCCATTGAGCCTGTGATAGTGGTGTTCGCAGTAGGGAGCATTTTCGAAAACATAGAACTCTGCGGTGGGGAAGGAGTCGCCGCAGGTTCGGCAAACAAAGCACTGCTTGTGGTAGCGTCCGGTTAGGCGACCTGATGAGTCCTTGACAGACTTTCCAATGATGGGCTCGGAGCATCCACGGCATTCTCCCTTGCTTGCGGGTTTGGGGCGCCGAGTCTCTGGCTGCTGTTGTAGCTGGGAATCGGGTATGCGCGGTGAGGGGCTCCTCTCAATGTTCGGGGCACGGTCTCGTGACGGGCGCCTGTCGAATGAAGCACCCCTTTGAACCGCAGGGTCCATAGGGGACTCTGGCATGTTGTGGAAATCTGGCGTTAATGCTCGAATCGGCGGAGGCATATTTGGACCTGTATGACTTCCAGGCCCTCTCGTTGGCCGCGAATCTGCGTATGATTCAGGACTAGCGGTCCTTGTGGAGGTCTCTTCAGCAATGTAGTCGGAGCGGCTAATCTTGGACAGTTCCCGAGAGTGTCCCACCACTGATCCTGGTGGACTTGATCGAGAGCTTGCTGCACTGCGGAGACTGGAGCTCGCATATGAGTCATCTGACAGACCCGAGTCTGAAGGTGTATGTAGTGGATGTAGTGTGTTATCGTGCCCGAATATGGGCGCAATCGAAAGTGGTGGTTGAACAGGCCGGAAAGGCGCAGAACTCTGTGGAACATCGACTTCTGAGCCACTGCGACTAGGATTACGCAAAGGAGAATTGTTGCTCGAGCGAGGTGGGTAGGTGGAGGAATTCATGTCCGCTGCGAGGGGCAAGTCTCGTTCCGATGGCCTCCTTGGCCGCGGCGGTGGTTGTCTTTTCTCTCCACTCGCCTGTCGCACTACATTTGCCCTGGGTCCACTGTCTGAGCCAGCCTGTGGAGGCTGCATGGTCTCTTTCTGTAAGCGATCCAGGAAAGCGTCGATGCTTTCGGGCTCTTCGGAGGCGGGTGGGAGTGGTGGAGGAGGGGGCCCACTGATTCCATTTGGGCGAGAAGGAAGACCCCTACTGCGACTCGAGTATGAGGAACTGCGCGACGCGATCGAGGCTGGGGAGGTGTGCTGCTTCTGTATACTCTCGTTACTTCTTGTGCTGTCCTGTGTTTGCGTTCTCCTGTGTCCTTGTGACGATCCACCTCGTGCAGGTGATCTGGATGTACTCGCTGTACCAGGCCTGCTCGCTGTACTAGGCCTACGCTCTGCTCTTCCATCGAATGGCCCAGGCGCAATTGTATCCATCCGTTTTGTGATATTGTGTCCACCATTTGTTCGAGGACTCAGTGGCGCAAACAGAGGGCTTGGTTCGGCGTATCCTTGTTGGTTCGGCAGTTCTAATCGATCTCGCGTTTGTGGTTTTGCACTCCGGGGGGTCGCACTTTTGCTAGGGAAAGGCGGGAAGGCACAGTCCATATTCACAGAGACGTCGGGTGAAGGAGGTGCCTTGGGTCGCGGTAATGGAGTCGTTACGCTTCGGTTCATCTTGAATGGAGACTTTGGTGGTGCTACAGCTGACCGTGGGGTACGGCCCCTTGGATCACTGTGCTTACTCATAGGTGATGGCTCTAACGGACGAAATGGGTGATCTATAGGAATCAGCATTCGATTCTGAGACGGTTGGATACTGTCTCTTACTGGCTGCAATTGAGTCGATTCGAGGAGGAGGAGGCATGCGTCCAGATGGCGCCGGACCGGCCGACCTGTTGCTGAATGACGGCCCTCCAAAAGTCGCAGCGCGCTTGAGCTTCGGCGAAGTTGGCGACGTGGGCTCAGCATCTGCTGTCGCTGGTATCAATGAGCTTGGTACTGGTACTGGCCGTGTCTTGGGGTACTCACCTGAAGGCGACGCTGTGACACAGACATGGTCTGCTAGTTGTAGAATGTCGATATCTACTCCACAAGATGAACATTTGATGGTGGGGAGGGTGCTCATTCGATCCATGTTGCCCAGAGGTGTTCGCGTCCAGCGGTTGATGGTAAGGCGGCCTCGACGTTGGTGACATAGGGTGAGGGTGAGGTTCCCGCGGTTGGCCGTCGAAGACGAATGTGCATGCCGCGGGACAAATGGACGTCCTACAGCGGTTTGATCTTCAGAAAACGCTGGGACCTGCTGGATCAGGGGGGGTGATGCGGCAATAGTGCCCGAATTGGCGTTGGTGGTGAGAATGGGAGCGGGATCAGAGTTAGCGTCTCTGGATCAACTCCACCATCCCGTTTGAGAGGGCTATTTAGCCCCACAAGCGACACTCGCAATGTTGGATATTTTGCTGCTAATGAAGTGTAATGAGGAAATAGATGGTCATAAAGTCGAACTGCCGACCATTCAAAGGGCTGCACACGCGACAGCGCTGCGATGTGCAATCAAATGCAAGGATTCTCGTAGCCAAAGAGAAGCGCGCAATTCGGGTCTTTCGGCTGGCCTGCACGTAACCCGCGCGTCCCTGAATCGTGGCGTTGATGGTGGTGCTGGGCGACCTGGCTGATTCGATGGGCAAATACTTGGGCGCGCACGGAGCGGCAGCTTGCAGGGTCGTCCGCTCTCTGCCGTTCCAGCCAGTCGCAGGCCAAAAGTGCCCTGAAACCGCTATCCGCCGATGGAACTGTCTCGTGGTTGTCGCAAGCGCTAATGACGATGTAGGTGCGAATATAGGAGTGAGTGAGTGAGTGAGGGTGTCGTCTCGTCAGGTGAGGCGGTCGCGGTGAGGTGGTCGCAGAGGCCGGCTGGAGATGACACTGGAACCGTAGGCCAAGGCCTGCAGCAGCCGATTGGGAGGCTTGGAGGCTCTGTTCGCATATTGGCCCTGCGCAGGAGAACCATCAAGCCCGGACATTAATTTGCCGCTTGATTGGCACGGTCGAGTACCGCTGGTGTTGTGCGATCTGGCTGTCAGTTGAACTATCGGTGGTGGCTAAGCGCCCCTTTCGCTACGTGAGTTGTTTCCTCGTCATAGACTCTTCGTCATCTGCGTGGACCTTGAAACGCCATGTTCGACGGATTGTGAGGGCGAATGTGTCTTCTTCGCGTTTTGAACAGTATGATGCGCATCGTTTCGAAGCGCACCCTCCCCTGCATGGGTTAGCATGGTTCCCATGGCGAACTACGAGGCCCATGGAGCATCCCCAGTCTTCATATGCAGGTGTCCGCAAGCTTCGAGCACGCTTGTGAACTACAATGTGCTGTTAGATAAGTCTTACAGGTTAAATTAGCCAAGAAGAGAGATACTGATAAGCAGGCGGCGGTGCGAACTGCATTCGGCCATGCACCTCTCTATGGTTGGCGCTCCTCTCCACTTCTGTAAACGTGTCTGACGCTGGCACAGTCTCAGGAGCTCCACGTGCCGCGATGAAAATGACTGACATGTGTCGAAACTACTTGTCAGTTGAAACGCTTGGCTTGCTCTCTGTCTATTGTTGGTCGGGTGTTCAAAGTGGCATTAGTATGGTCGAGGGCTCGAACCGAAAGGCGCTGTATGGTTATCGGGGCAACTTTCATCAAGTCAAGTATCATAACCTATTAAAACGGGACAAACTTTTAATGATTGTAATGCTAGTTATGTTGAATAACCAACCCTGCCCGTGTAGCGATCTGCAGGTCTACTGGGCCGCAATAGCGTAGAGGCTTACATCCTTGCGGAGAAGAGGCGACTAAAAACCCCTCGTCACTTCCTCCAAATACCGTTAGGAACACTGGGCCGGCTGATCGTTATTCGGTCTGAATTCGCATGCTTTGCCTGCTTGAGAGCACTAAATGTAAACGCTCACGAATTAGAAGACAGCGTTTCAATAGCTACTTGGCTGGTGCAATAACACCAGACTGCGGACTTACAAACGAAGTGTCGCCGCAACAACGAGATGCACTCTCGCCTATACACTCTCCTCTGTCGTTCCCAGCAGGCCCCAAACACACTCCAGTGAAGTTGCAGTTCTAGTACATATGGTCAATAGTAGGTCCTCTCATCCAAGTTGCCTACTTACGCCGCCGGACTGTCGACCAACTAGCACCTTATCGAAGGCTTCAGGGCCGTCGGGGTTATTCGGGAGGGCATAACAACCAGCAAGAAAAGCAGCAAAGTATAAAGTAACTTGCTGAAGACGCATATTGATGTGTTTAAGTGTTTGATTTTGGCAGTGGATTAAACCAGATAATTCGAAGGTTGCATGACTACCTGAAGGGAAACTGCTCGGACATTTATACACAATTTGATCAAGTACATTAGAACCATAAACTGTCAGCAAGAGAATGATTCGTAGGTCCGGGCCAACAGAGTTCAGAGTATAGGTAGGTGCGACAAAAGTGCACGCCTCTTGATAGCTTCAAGAACCCGAGAGAAGATGACCTCGCGGAATGGCTCCATCCTAGGCCATATACCGCCGTACACATTGTGATCTGTTGATCGTCTCTATTGAATGATAGAACGATGATCTGCACATCTTTGCTATGGTAGGCCTAGGTCTGACACGACGCGTTGATTTTAACTTTGCACAAGACAAGACAATCCTATGACGAGAACTAGCGGTTAACAATAAGGTGAAATCTACTCTCACAAAAAGTCTATTTTGTATTTGGCGCATGGAGTTAGCAGATTGCGTTCACTTCAACCCGATGCACCGCTTGCGTGCAGTCTCGGCCTCTGTATCCGCGGCTTCGTGCGTGCCTTTTAGCTTGCGGGCGATTAGCATAACCCGTATCTGCGACATTGTGATTGTGTAGTAGTGGGAAGGGATAGAGAGCAAGGAAAGTCTGCGTGTGACAGTCAATGTTGTTGTTGTAAGGAACACAATCCTCTGAAGACGGCTCTCTTCCTCGGGCGCCCAGACCTTTCGCAATCCGTTCTACGATGCGCTCCCCCAGCCACCTTTTGCACCCCAATCTTACGCCCAACGTCCAAGGCCCTATACTGCATTATAATTCAGTGTCATGACCTGCTGGGTTCCGCTGTTTCTGAACCTTGTCAGATCTAGAAGGCCGTCGTTTTTGCCTCGCCAGATCCCGCAATATTTCTGCCGATACTCGACAACGTCCGATCGCAACCTCATTCACTCCTTTCCGACCAATGGGTTTGGACATGTTTCATTGGAAGACAAATTCGAAGAAGAGAACTTACCCAAATATCATGCCGAGAGATTCTACCCTGTACGAATAGGCGATGTGTACAATGACTGTTACCAAATCCTGGCGAAGCTTGGATTTGGGACCACTTCAACTATCTGGCTTTGCCGAGACGTTAGGTGTGTATTTCATCTCTAGACAACGCTATTTTTTATTGTTTATTATTGAGCTGATGGGCTTATTTCAAAGGCAGGATGCCTTTTTGACTATGAAGGTGTGCGCCACGGAAGTGAATTCGGATTCAAGTGTAGACAATGAACTGTCCGTCTCGCAATATCTTGAGTCCATTGAAGCCGAACATCCAGGAAAGAACTTCCTTCGTTTAATCGTCGACCACTTCTTGCTTCAAGGCGCTGTCGGAAACCATCAATGTCTGCTCTTTACTCCGCTTGGCCTCAATTTTACCCAGTTGCGCAACCGGTTCCCCGAAAAAGCTGTACCTAAACTATTGGTCCAGCACACTATGCAGATTCTGCTCATAGGCTTCGACTTTCTCCATCAAGTCGGTGTCGTACATACAGGTGAACTCTGCAAACAATCTAATCTCGGAATTCGGTTGACTGAAGCCAGACATATCGCCAAACAATCTCCTTCTCGGCCTGACAGATACGGCTGTGCTTTCAGAGATAGAGCAATCAGAACTGGAAAATCCATCCTATCGAAAAACATTACCAGACCGGACGATACACATGTCGCACAAAATGCCAGTCACCGGCGGGATGCCCAAGATCTGCGACTTTGGAGCGGCGAGGATCGGTGCAGAGCACTCTGGTGATGTCATGCCTGGGCAGTATCGGGCCCCCGAAGTTATTCTAGGCATGAAGTGGGACTCGAAGATTGATATCTGGGCAATCGCACTCACAGTAAGTTTACCTAATAACAACATGTGATGATGCTCACATCGTTCAGACCTGGGACCTTCTTCAAGGCAATTATCTATTCAACGCTTCCAAGGATGGGCTGTTGCATGACGAGCGACATCTCGCAGAGATGGTTTCGCTCATGGGTCCGCCCCCAAAAGCATTCCTAGAAAGGAGTGAAGACTGCCGCAAATACTGGGATGACGAAGGTATTGCCTCTACCGCTGCGTATTGACCCAGCCAGGCTAACAAAGCAGGCAACTGGATTGCCGAAACGCCAATTCCCGACCAGTCCCTCGAAACTCGTAACAAGCATTTCAGCGGCGAGGACGGACGACTGTTGCTTGAATTCATGAGAAAAATCGTTCGCTGGCTTCCAGAAGAGAGACCAACGGCCGAGGATCTCTACAAGGACGCATTCATATATCAAACTCCTATTGGTTCCAGCGCGAGAGACGGAAGCGACTCTACCGACCCGATGCGTTATAAATGAATCACAAGCAATCCTTTATACAGACTCACTCAGCGTGTTTGTTCACCGATTCAGGGTCCTCGTACTTGGCTTGGCGCTCTAGCTTCTTATGCTCGTTCCTGAGGTGTTTTCTGGTGCCCCGCGATGTGGACACGGCACGTGATGGCGGGGCGGACGTCGCATTTGGACGACTCCTTCGGACATTGTAGCGAAGAAAAGTCCAAACCCCCATCCCACAGAGTCTCTTATCGTGCCCGTCTTGACAACTGTCCATTTAATGCAATGGCCCTCTTCCTTCGCTCCCTGGGCGTCTTCTCGGCCGTGTGACCTGCGTCTTTACCATGCCAACTGCGGTTGACCCGTCCTGCGTGCTGAAATTGGGCGAGCGATAGCGGGGACGTTAAGAGCCCACGTCCCTCGCCCATTGGCTTCTCCCACAATGTAGACGGGCTGCGGCGACCTGTGTTAGTACAATAAGTGGAGCGCAAAGAGAAAGAAGCGGTGGGCGTCGGAAACGCTGTCCGTCCGGAGCAGGCGGGCAAGCGCGGTTTGTTGTTAGTGCAGTCGTGGATAAGTCAGCCAGTGACCCCCGGGGCATTTATATCGCTCCTGCTCTCTCACCTCTCCACTCCACCCCACCACCAGAAACACCCGATTGTCGTGACTACCAGCCAGCCAGCCAGCTCTGCAATCTCTCCCCGTCTCATCAACCACACCCATCACTCTCGGGCCATTGCCCAGATTCAAGACGTTTTCCAATCTCCTCAGCTCGTATGTACCTTCCACGCACAGCGGTGGCTTCCTTCACTGACACGACGTAGCGTTCACAACCCATTCGCCGGCCGACGTTCTTCTCCTTCTGGGGCAGCGTCGGATTTAGACTTCCGCAACTAAGTTCAATTCGCTGTCAAGCCAATAACAACTCCGCAAGCAACCACCATGGCACCTCACGCAGAAGACAGCGCCGGCCACGCGAATGGGTATGGTGTGACGACGCCCCCCAAGGATCTCTTTATTGTCAACTCCCCCAATGTCGAGTACACCGAAGACACTATCAAGTCAAAGTACACTTACCGCACTACCGACGTTACCCAGAACGCCGACGGCAAGTATGTGGCCATCCCCAAGGAGACTCTCTACGACTTCAAGGTAGACCGCAAGATTCCCAAAGTCGGTGTCATGCTCGTTGGCTGGGGCGGTAACAACGGAACTACCGTCACCGCTGGTATCATCGCCAACAAGCGCAACCTCGTCTGGGAGACCAAGCAGGGCAAGCGCGGCGCCAATTACTATGGCTCTGTCATCATGAGCTCTACCACCAAGCTCGGCGTCGACAGCAAGACCGGCAAGGAGATCTACATTCCTTTCCACGACCTCCTGCCCATGGTCCACCCCAACGATCTCGTGGTTGGCGGTTGGGACATTAGCGGCATGAACCTCGCCGATGCCATGGACCGCGCCAAGGTCCTCTCACCCTCTTTGAAGTCTCTGGTCCGCAAAGAGATGGGCACTATGAAGCCTCTGCCCAGCATCTACTATCCCGACTTCATCGCTGCCAACCAGGAGGAGCGCGCCGACAACATCCTCGAGGGTACCAAGGCTTCCACGGCCCATGTTGAGCAGATTCGCAAAGATATCCGGTAGGTTCACAGTTCCAGTTTGAAATCCATACATGCTGACACGTTGATAGTGACTTCAAGGCCGCCAACAACCTCGACAAGGTCATCGTGCAGTGGACCGCCAACACAGAGCGTTATGCCGACATCCTTGAGGGCGTCAACGACACTGCCGACAACCTGTTGAAGGCTATCGAGAATGGCCATGAAGAAGTCTCCCCCTCGACTGTCTTCGCGGTTGCCTCCATCCTTGAGGGCGTCCCATTCATCAACGGCTCTCCCCAGAACACCTTCGTCCCTGGCGCCATCCAGCTTGCCGAGAAGCACAATGCCTTCATCGGTGGTGATGACTTCAAGTCGGGCCAGACCAAGATGAAGTCTGCTCTCGTTGACTTTATGATCAACGCCGGTATCAAGCTCACCTCCATTGCCAGCTACAACCACCTCGGCAACAACGACGGCATGAACCTCAGCTCTCAGAAGCAGTTCCGCTCCAAGGAGATTTCCAAGTCCAACGTAGTCGACGACATGGTCGCTGCCAACAACGTCTTGTACAAGGAGGGCGAGCACCCTGATCACTGTGTCGTCATCAAGTACATGCCCGCTGTCGGAGACGACAAGCGTGCTCTTGATGAGTACTATGCTGAGATCTTCCTGGACGGTCATCAAACGATCAGCTTGTTCAACGTTTGCGAGGACTCTCTGCTGGCTTCACCTCTGATCATCGACTTGGTCCTTGTCGCCGAGATCATGACACGTGTTCAGTGGAAGGCTAGCAGTGCTGAGGCCAGCGATGCCAAGTACTCTGGCTTCCACAGCGTTCTCAGTGTGCTCAGCTACATGCTCAAGGCACCTCTCACGCCTGCCGGCACCCCTGTTGTGAATGCACTCGCCAAGCAGCGTGCTGCTCTCACCAACATCTTCCGCGCTTGCGTCGGTCTTGAGCCAGAAAACGACATGACGCTGGAGCACAAACTGTTTTAGACTCTTGCCGGTCTGAAAGGGTGGTATCTCTTTGTGAGATGCAAACTGGTAGCGATACACGAAGAGGATAACATCTAGATGGTATTCATGAGGATCGAGCTTTGATTTGGCCAACTCTATACACTCTCTTACAGCAATATAAAACACAGATTGACGACTGTCAAGCTCTAACTCCATCATCAGTGCTATCTCGTGAAGTGTCTGCCCCTCGGCTACATGCTGTTTCCACCTTACCCTCCCATCAACATCGCACTCCAACTTATCCAACTCATGATGGAAACAAATAAGGCTGACGTGCAGTGACAGGTGAGCTAAACGGGCCGATTCCCAGGCTGTATCTTCTGAGCGGTCCAAATCATAACCTTCGGTCGTGTCTATGGGGTAGGTGCAGCTCATGCTACGGGAAGGAGCGTTCCTTCCTCTCGGATCTGACCATACCAATACCTCCATCACTCACCATCCCACACCAGAAAACAGACCAAAAAATGCCATCGTCGTCATCAATTCAGTCTTATTTCTCTCCCTCGCCGACCAAGAACAGCGATGGCTTCACTGCCGAAGAAGTGCAGTCAACACTCTTTCCTGTAAATGCCTCACCGCCGAATGCGTGGACTGTAAGTCAACATCCTCAACCTCTTCTCCAAATCGTGACATTCTCCAGCCTACACTCGACTACGATGAAGCCGACTTGGGTTCCCTTGAGCCTGGGCCCCGCAACCTCACGCTCATGGGCCGAGTAGTAAACTTGTACGACACGGCGAGGCCTAGCAAATCCCACAAAGCAGCCCAAGGATGCCTCAAGATCATGCTCGCCGACGACACGGGCGTGCTCACAGTTCGGCTCTGGTACGCGAATACACAGTATACGGTGAGACTGGGACAGCTGGTGACGCTGTGGACGGTGCACATCTCCAACTCATCGGACCACAATTCGTTGGCGCCTAGCTCTGCATCGCTGTTTACGAGTATCTTCCCAGAGGGAGAAAGGAACTGTCACTTCATGGTGCATGAGCATAGTGATGATGGGACGCAGTTCAAGAGGCCGTTTAACTGTCGGGACTCGAAAACACTGCCTGGATTGATGACGCTGAAGAGTTTCGCCGATGGAGGCTACGATGTCGAAGAGCCAAAGCTGCTCGTCTGTGTGAAGAGCATTGGGGCGAGGAAGAGGTGTGAGTTGCTCCTTTTTTCTTGTCCTACATCCACGGAACCATATGTTGACCTGAGATGTAACGATAGATATAAACCGCAACGACACAACCTCCGAACTCATCTACATTGGCATCTTTGACGACACAGCCGACGCCTCACTGACTCTCTACGGCGGCCTGTGCGACTCGGCATCTTCCTTCCAGCCCTCCAAAACGGTGCTACTCATCTCCAGTCCTGGCTGGCGTATCGAAAAGACAGCGAAACTCACCCTGAATGGCAATTCGCGCGTCGATATCGACCCGGACATGGGCGATGCGCGACGTCTCCGCGCGTTAGCACTGCGTCTCACGAAGAAAGAGCACGTCAACCCCCCGTTCCCGGACGTCGATGTATCTGGATACGAAGAAGCGGCAGTGAGAGCGCTGTATACGCTGGCGGATGTAGATGACTTTGCGCGCTCGAATCCGCAGGAGAAGCTCATCGGCTATCTCTCTGTGATCATGACTGGACTCAACGTCGTCACGCCGTTCAAGCGCAACATGCTCATGAGCAACGAGTGCTGCGGGATTCCCATTTTCGCTAATGCAGTGACGGCACCATGTAAGCAGTGTGGACGGCCTGTGGCGCTGCGTGTTAATCCACGGATTGTAAGTCATCTCAAATATATATCAAGATTTCTTGTCATCACACTCTCACAATAGAACCCATATCTTTTACTGACACCAACGATAAACAGCTCAACTCCATCATCGACGAAACGGGCCAAATCGGCAGCGGCAAACTCATCTTCTCCGATGCCGCCTGGGAGCAACTCCTCGGCCGCTCAGCCGCGCAACTCGTCGTGACTGACGTGGAGAAACTGCGCTATCTAGAGCAGCGCCTCCTTTTCCTGCGCGTGACGCTGGGTTTTGCGCTGAGTCTGGACGATGGGTTGGGGAGGCTGGCGGTGTGGAGTGTTGGGAACTGAAGTGAACTCTAACCTAACGAAGGGGGGTAGAATATGGAATACGAATTCTAAGAGGAAGTTTGTTCGGAGCGATGAGATTATGACGAGAGCGGACAAGGCATCTGAGTGCAAGTCTGTCAGTCCGATGTATGATGTTATGTAGATGGAACGACACTAGTACTATCTATCAAACATGACACAGAAATACGCCACACGTACTCTTCATCTCGCATACAGTTAAATCGGTTTAGTTATTTACATCCCACTGTGAAGATGCACGAGGAACACCACCAAACAGAAAAACAAGTGTGGAAGGAAAAAACCCCTCACAGTCATGAATGTCATTTAGCCTCGTAGAACTCGACTCCCCATTCCATTGCAAGTCACAACGGCAACAAGGGAATGGCAAATTCAAGCGCAAATCTATCCACATGGGGCACATCATTAATAAAAACACCAAGCTACCAGCCTGACAGGTGACCGCATTAATCGCTATTCCTAATGCCCAACCCATCTCACCGATCCGCCAAAACACCCGCTAACCCCCTCAGTACATCGCCCACGCCAATTCCCTCGGCCCCTACTCTCTCCCTCGTCTCCTTCTCCCGCTCGTCCAGCGTGCGCGCCGCAGAACCCAGGATGCGATCTGCGACGCGCTCTGCTGTGCGTTGGTACTGTTCAATCTTGTGCACGCCGTCGGCGAAGAGATCGATGTTGGGCTCGAGCGAGGAGGCGAGGTGGGTAAGGTGCGTTTGGAGGGCGGCGGGCGATGTGAAGGTAAAAGTAAAGGATGTTTGTGGTAGTGGTGGTTGGGGATCTGATGCTGTGTGCGGTTGTGGTTGTTGGGGTGGTGGTGGTAATTGGAGCGAGGAGAGTATGGCGGCTTGTGCAGGGTCGAGGAGGGAGGCGTCGATGTCGGTTAGTGTGGGTGTTTGTGTAGGTATTGAGGGCGCGGGTGGTGGAGCCATGGACGTTGGTGTCGATGCGAGGGCTTCCCAGGCTGCCATCTCGTCTTCGAGGCTGTTTCAATGTTAGTATTACATACCTACGCGGGTCGTTCACGAGCATACCGTTTGACTTCATCCTCCAGTTCCTGTAGCGTAGCTTGATTCTTCTCGTTCTGTGGATTCGGTTTCTTGACCACAGGTGGCCGCACTGTTTCTTCCTGTAGAATTGTTAGATCCAAGCCTGTAATAATTGATCAACGCCTAACGTACCCGACTGAACCAATCCGAAAGCTCTGGTTTGCTTGCAAAATCGTCAATGAGCTCCTGCTGTATTGCTCGCGCCGCCATAATCGCATTCGCGTTCTTAACATCTCCCGATGGTTTTGCTGGTAGCGCTCGTGTTCCGCACCATGTGAGAAGCTGCTTCATCCGCCGCGGTTCGGGGAGACTTTGCTCGATGTATTTGTAAAAATCGCGGGCTTCGATTTCGGTATGTGGTAGGGCTGCAGGACTGTTAGCATGCTCATGTACCACACGCACATTCTCGGCACTTTGAAATACAGCTGAAAGCGCTCTATAACGCCGTTTCCAATTCACTCACCATTCGACATGCCGCTATCAATCAGCGAACTCGCTCTTCTGCCTCGCAAGCCTGTGCTGCTTCTCCGATGCCCATCTTTGCTGCCCTTCCGCATTTCTTTATTCCGCGTAATGACTGGCGTGTCCGCAAAAGGCAGCATGATCCTCTGCGCGTTCGGGTCGCGCGTCTTCACAACCTGCAGCTCATTTTGTGTCGGGGTCTGCACGCCTTTGAAGGTGCCTTTCGCGTCTGACTGCGCTTCCGGAGCTGGGGTGATCTGCTTCTTCCTTTCCTTCTCGGCCGACACGCTTTTCTTCGTGCGCTTCGCTGCGACAGGCTCTGTGGGTTGCGGTCGTGCATCCAATTGCTTCTTGTCGCCGGATAAACGTGTTGACCGCCGCCGCTTCTGCGAGTCTGAGGACTCTTCGTCAATTGTTGCAATGGACGTCTTCTTCCGCCGCGAGGTAGATTTGGCAGGTTGCGCGTCTACAGTCCGCGCGGGTTTCGCTACGTCGTGCTCCGGTATTGGCTCTGATACCGGCGCTTTCGTAACCCTCCGAGATGTGCGACGCGAGAACTGGAAGCCATCGTCGTCCTCGTCATATGCTGCCTTCGCAGCCTTCTTCGCTGGTCTGGTAGCCCCTGCGCCATTCGCCCTTTTGCTCGCCCCGTTTACTTCCGTCTTTGAGCGCTTCGGCGCGGGGGCCTCGTCGTCGTCGAACGCTTGTTTTACACTTCTTCGTCGCGTCGTAGGTCGATTTGTGGCCATGGGGAGCGATTGGAGAGGAGAGCGCGCGAATATGGAGGTCATGAGTCCGGTTGCTTGCGTGGTTCGCGGTTGGGGCGATCGGTCAAAGCGCGTGCATGGGCGCGACAAGCGGGCGACTGCGACAGCCGAGTTGGGGCGGCGGGGGGCGCGCAATCGAAGGGAGGTCTGGCTGGTATTTGTAGGTCGGCTCGTGTTGATTTGGGGGTAATGCGAATATTCTGGGGCGTTGTGGAGGGGAGGCCTTCTTGCACGGGAACAGGGCAGAGCCGGTGCGTTGCTCCTGCTGAACAACAACAAAGCTAAGCCCAAACAGGGTTACATGCCGTTGACTAAGCGACCCACATGACCTCACCTTCTACCAACACACTTGCAAGATACTTTTGAACATGTACTAACGAGAGTGCTCTTCTACGTGTATATGTATATACAGCCGCCCCACGCCCAACTCAGACCAAACCGCTCAAAACGCCTAGAAAAAGGCAGCACCCACGCCGCCATTCCATATGCTCTCATACTATCATCAAGTCGTTATCTCAGCCTCCAAACATATGCCTAGCCTTTTTTGTTATCTACTTTTCCTGCACGTACGCTCTACGATTCAAGCCTAGAACCCGGCTCCGGGCACAGGTCCTACCTCACCCTGTGGCGCAAGACTGCCCTCGATGCGGCGTTTCGCCTCCTGCTTCTCTTCCATGGTAGGATTGTCTTTGGGCAGGTCGGGGGTGTGGGCTGCTCTGTTGGGGCTGTGGCCTATGGACATGCCAACGCGGACCTGTACGGCCATTAGCTTTGGTTATTTGTGAATAGAAAGGACTACACTCACCAGAGTTTCCAAAGCCGACTTGGAGTTGTCAACAAGATCATCATCGTATCTCATTTGGCCGGGCTCAAACAGAACCAGCAGCGTACTGCCACCGAACTTGAAGTAGCCTAATTCTTCAGCACGCTTCACCTGATCGCCCTTCTTGCGTGTAATGACAGTGCTGCCCACCATCATCGCACCAACGCAGATGACCATGACTCGTCCATGGGTGACCGAGTCAATGGGGCACAAAACGCGGATGTTCTCGCCATAGACATCAAGGGATGACCGAATAGCCATTGGGTTGACGGTGTAGTACTCTCCTTCGATCAGCTTGGGCTCGTCCAGAACACCGTCAACCGGGATATGGAAGCGATGGTAGTCCTGCGGTGCGAGTCGGAAGATACCAAGAGAACCGCCATGATAGCGCTTCGCGTCTTCAGGGTACGCATCACCCAACAGACGCTCGACAGTGAACTCGCGGCCCTTGACCCAGATAGTCTGCGCCGAGTCGATCGAATTGAAGACAACAGACCGGCAGTCGGCAGGAGAAACAATAACTCTTGGGTCTTCGGGCGCAGAGCATGGACGAGCGTCTGGTTTCAGAGCACGATAGAAGAACTCGTTGAAGCTCTTGAACTGCTCAGTCGGCAGTAGCACCTCGTTCATGTTAAGCTGATGGAAAGCGATAAAGGGTGCGATTTCCGCAACAGACGCGGGATCATCGTACTTCTTTCCCTGTTTGATACTGAGGGATTTGAGCAGCTTGCGGACTGGTACGCATTAGAATGACAGGGTACAAAATGCTCACTGGAGCCACTTACTTCGCTTCTTCTCCATGTTGTTGGCTTTCAACCCCTTGTACAGCAATCGAATACCCAGACGAACGTACACGCTCATACGCTCCTCGTTGATCTGGCCAGTGAGGCGGTCCTGGACAAGGATATTGGCGGAATTGGCTCCAAGCTTGTACCCGCCATACGAAATCTTGGTGATGACCTTTGAATACCACTTTCGCTGGGCTTGGCTAGAAGTGACGAAACCGGCCATGACAATGTTATTGACTTGCCTCCAATCCTGACTAGCACACGTAGCAATGTGGGTGATGATGTTGGCATCGGATCGCTTGTTCAGCTTGGGCTGGTGGCAAATGGGGCATTCGCGGATCTCGATAACGTGCTCCTCTCCTTTTTCGTCTCCCAGGTCGTCACTCTGTTGAATATGCTCGCCCTCCTCGCCCTCCTTGCCCAAGACATTGGTCTCAAGCGCTGGGATGGAGACGGTAGAGGGATTCTGGTTGATCGGTGTTAGACTCCCAGATGCCAACGAAGGGGTCTCGGTGCCCGGCGTAAAGAAGCCCGAGCCGGACGGTCCGAACCTCTTTGCGTCTCGTTGCTCGGTCGATTGCAACTGGTCTTCGAGGCAAATGACAGTTTCGTCAAAGGTAAGCAGCTCGTCGCCGTTGTGCTGAGCAGAAAATCGTGCAAAGAAACTGTCAATCGTCGACCCGTGCAGTGTAGAACCAAGCGTGTCCAGCATGGTGGTGAGCTCGACCTTGTCGAGTAGGCCGCTGTCGTCGGCATCGTACTGCTTGAGCATAGCCCTCCAGAACTGTTGTCGAAGAGCCTTGTACGGGAGGTATTTGGCCCGAATATGGATTGTTGGGTTGTGCTTGTCCTCCCAACGGTCCTTGTTCTTCATCTCCAAAGGAAGGGTATACATCTTGAGATCTTCGTCGTCAACGGCAGTTGGATTGATGTTGACTGCACCACCAGGCGCGAGGTTGCCCTGGGCGTCTTGCGGCGCGCTCGTCGGCGCGAGAGGTAGCGAACCAGTAGAGTCCTTCACAGACAGCGAGCCGGACGAGTTCTCTTTCTTCAAAGACGGCCGACCGAGACGAGAAAGACTGTGGGCAGAGGAAGAACGAGACATTGGAAGGCGGAAGCGGGATCTCCTCGTCTCAGACGGAAGACCTGGGGAGTCTGAGGGCTCAGGGAGCTTGTACAGACCAGTTTCAGCGTCTGCTTGGGGAGAAACTGAGACGGGCTTGTCAAGCGGGAAGTTGACAGTACCGACGTAGTCATTCCCAGAGAATTTGTCCTTGTCAACGACGGTGAAGCTGACCGAGTAGTTCACCTCGTGGCGCAAGACTTGGAAGACAAGTTTCTCTTCAAAGACGGGATTGAGGTTATGGCTGATTGTTCGCGTGCGGTACGTCTTCTTTCCGAGCGAGGTCACGACGAAGGGGTCCATGTCGAACGAAGTCCTCGTTACTAAAGGAAATGGGTCAGCGCGTGCGTAGAGAGAATGACTGAAAGGAGCTCACCATTGCGCTCTGGGGGCAGATCTGTAATCTTCTGGATCTCCAGGAAGAGGACGCCTGCAATGTCGCCGTTGCTTGAGTACTCGTAGCCGCTCATCTGCTTGGCCTTTTTCTTCAATCTAGCCATCCTGAGCTTCTTGCGCCGCTTCTCCCTCTTTTCAGCCTTCTTCGACTCGTCCTGGGCCTCGTCGGAGCTGTCTTCTTCGTCCTCGTTGTCTGTAACATTGCTGTCGCCACGCAGTAGCAACATCTCCTCTTCCTCATTTGGGCTTGGCGTCTGTCCCGCGATGGCGAGGAGCTTTTGCAGGATCTGATGCGGTTCAGCGGCCGGGTTGCTCGCGTCGAGAAGGGAGAACTGGATCTGGATCTCGCCAGAGACTACCGACTTCTTCTTCCCCGAGCGTCGTGACTGGAGGGGAAACCATTGCGGCTCCTGCAGTGTTTGGCCGTTCAAGAACTGGTCCTCGAGTATGACGTCAAACTCGCCCATGTAGTCCTTGCCAAAACGGTCCTTGTCCCAGCAGCAGACTTCGAGCAAGAGGCTCTGCTCGCCCACAACGGGCAAGTCAAGCGTCGTGTTCCATTCTGGGTTCAGTGTCTTGTTGATAGTGGGGGTGGCTTCCTTTGCATCGCCGAGAGAGAGGACGAGGTACTAGCCGCCACGGTCAGCTTCTTCTATGCAGCCAACACAATATATAGCTCTTAGAAGAGGCCAAATATGGTGGTATTTGGATTTGCAGGGCGCACTCACAGGGTCAGATGTGCCACTACGGTCCTTTGCAGCGAGATTCCTGCCCTGCAGCCCATGGTTAGCTGGAGCTCTCCTCCGCGGGGGAGCTCGGCCAGTCGCACCTTGATTACATTCGCCCTCAGCACCAGGCCTGGCTTTGTTGCTTGTTCTGCTGCCATTGCTCGCTTGGGACTGCCGGTGCGACTTGGGGGGATGTTGGTAGGGGACAGTTTGGCTCCGCTGGTGGTGTTGGAGTTTGAGTACTTGAAGCGGCTGGGGAGGGACAGCTTGCTGGTAAACGTGGGTCGCGGCATGATGGGCTACGCGTCCGACCGCTTCGACCGGAACCTGCTTCTGGGCCGCGGTAGCCAAGATTGCTTGAACGGGCGCCGCGGAGTGCCAGGCCTGCGTGCTCAATGCATGCAGCTGTGAAGCGTGAAGATGCGACGAAACGTCTGGGAAGCGTCGAGATGCGTTGCGAGGGCGAACAAGGTGAATGGAGGAGAGACTTGGGGGCGGGCGTCTCAGCCTAGCCTACGTACCTAGCTGGGGATATATGTATGTGCACGCGCGTAGCTGAAGGAGAAAGGCCCGCAGTCGTCTTTGCGGCGCAGATGGGAGGAGCCCCTGCCGGAACTTGCGGCTGACTTTGTGGTCTGTCTGGCTGTCGTCGTGGTGTGGTGTGGTGTGGGTGTGGGTGCGGGCTTGAGGACATGGACGACCAGTGCGCAATCCAAGCCCAACATGTACAAAAGCAGCCGCCACTCGGTGTCAGAGCTCCTCAGGCAGAAGAAGAAGAAGAGACGCTGCTCCAGGCGCTTATATTTAGAGCTGACCTTTCCAACATGTCGACATGAAACGGGCGAGCCGGCCGTCACTTCTGCTGTGCTCCCGCCATTAAAGCAGCCACAACTTCAAGGCACCAACAGGGCAATCGGAATGTGTATCACCCTCTTCACCAATTCAATTCGATTCCATTCACTCTCTGTACCCTCTTCATGGTGGGTGCAATCAAGCGTGGCCCGCAAATGCCGCAATGCCACAGTGCCGCATTCACCATGTGGATATGCTTATCCCACCAAGGCCTAAGGCTGACATCTGGACTTGTGTGGTTCCAGGGGGCGCCTACTGAACTACCGCAGTGACATGCTGCGTCGTGGAGGGGGGCACTTTGTTTGTTATCTGCGAGTCTAGAGCTCTACACGAGTCCACTCCACGGGTGGTAACAACGACGTCTAGCCGCATGTACCGTACCGTACCGTACTGGCACTCTACTCCTCCAACGTCACCTTCCACCTTTAGTCCGGCGTAGTCTAGAAGCATTCCTCGCCCCGCCTGAGTCTCTCGCATCTCTCAGACGGCTGATTGCCGAGTCTTAGTGTGCAGCGTGTAAACAGCTTGGGCTGCTGGTTACAGCCCATAATGCCTCTGTCCCAATTCGTCGCGTTCCTGAGTGGCACCATGCACCATCCTTGACCCTTTTCTGACAGCCCTTTACATCATCCTGTCCACCCAAATTGAGCCCTGGGGCATCGTCATGGTGGGGGCTAGTCTACCGAGAGGTCCGATAGCAAATCGGAAGCACCATTCATGAGGACCATCACGTCATTGCACCCCCTCTCCACAACACTGGCCCGTCGTCAGTCCGTCTATCAGGCTACTTGTAGCTCGTACGTGACCCAAGACTGACACCGAACCAAAGCGGACGAACCAGATCATCCACTTGTCCATTCTTAGCATGGAACGACGCCACGTGCATTCACTTTGAACCCCAGTCTTGCATCTATACAACTCACTCACCATGCAGCACCGCTCCCGTCGAGGCATTTGTTGACAGTATTCTTCAAGTTTTATATTTTTATAGAGTTTTATATGGACAACAAGATGGGGTATCACAAAATAGACACAAGAAAATACAAACCGGTAAATCCCCTCTATCAGTTAATAGAAAAACGAAAAGCGCGACAAAATATAGGTATGCACAGAAATATGTTGAAAGTATAAGATGATATCCCATACAGTATAGCACGGGATAATGTTAGCATAGGACAATAGATAAGTACTGCATGAGAAGAAACGATATAGTCGAGAGGCCTATTCTACAGATACTAAATGTAGCCTACCCCCCTCTAAACCTTACTTACCTGTACCACAAACCTAGAGTGGTGCCCCCTATCAGCCATACACATGTTGTACCCTTTGCCAACCCCTAGAATAGCCGCATACCCAGATGAATTCTCTACCTAGCATGTAAACGATATTTACTTAGCTTAGCTGAACAACCTCACGCCTTGTCAATCAACACCCAACTAATCAACGGACATGTTGCGAGGCAAGTAACTGCATACGGACTGTGACTGCACACTGCATCCGGCTGCTAACCCCGGAGATGGTGGCTGATATACAAGGCGTGCGGGAAGAGAGTAAGGTGGCAATCACTATTGACGAACAGGGCCAACACTTTTACATGTCAAAATTCTACACGCACAGTGCACAGGAATCATTCAGACTAATCAATCATTTCACTACCTATCGCACAGAAAGCTGCAATTCAGCTCGAGTTTACACACAATGTTCGCAAGATAAAGGGAAATTCGCCACACCCAAGTAGACATGTTCAATAGGTAGATACGAGAAAGGAACGATATTAGGAAAATAAAGCTCTTTTAGCAACGTTGCTCCTCTCAGTTCGCTTTCGCCGTCAAGAAAATCTCTTTGCTGTGAGGAACAGGGATAATAAAAAAAAGGCAAAGAAATAGTATGAGACCACTTCGCAGGTGTCAGGACCACTAAGCCCGCCCGCAGGGTATCAAAGAAGAACGACACGGGCATGGAAGCAGGCCACTTGACAGAAGAAGCGCAATGCCCACAACGCCTGTGGATGACATGGTGTGTTCATGCAACCCGTGACTCAAGATCAAGTTTGAAAGATTTTCGTTTACTCCTCCATGTCTTGATTATATTAGACCGCACAACCGAAGGTTCTCTTGGATAATAATGTCTGTCAAGCGTTAGTGCTGCCCTAGTGATGCTTTGCTTCAAGTGTAACATACCATTTACTGCTGCCATGACGAACCGAATTTGCATCGTGTCGGTTGCGCAGGTAAAGTGAGTGTAAATCTGCTTGGTCTCGTGTTGGTTGAGCGAGACAAATCGGTTGAGGATGTAATCGCATGCCGCAGCGTAGTCTGGGCCACCCTCGTAGTCGGGGAAGTAGTTCTTCATGGGGCTGACGGGCAGCTTCTCCTTGAACCTATCGATCTTGTTCAAGAAGAGAATGATCGATGTCTTGACGAACCACCGCGAGTTGCAAATGGAGTCGAATAGGGTGAGAGCTTCCTGCATACGGTTGACAGTCTCGTCCTCAAAGAGCAGCTGGTCATATTCTGAGATGGCAACCAGGAAAAGGATCGTAGTGACGTTCTCGAAGCAATGTATCCACTTCTTCCTTTCTGATCGCTGACCACCGACATCGAACATACGGTAGGTGAGGTCACCAATGATGAAGGTGGTTTCGGTAATACCCGTCGTCTTTACACGCGACCGTAGTACGTCCTGGTCGTTGGGGATGTAGTCGGGAGCGGCAATACGGTCGATCGAGTCGAAGTAGCTGTGCTCGTTAGTATGACACCCCTTAGTGCCGGGTGCACGACTACTCACTATTTGGCAGAGTCGTTGAGCTGGTACTCGCGCGAGCGTTGGAAGCACTGTTGCACACCGGCATCCTTCCAGAGCACCGAGATGGCGTTTCCAACCTCCGGTGGCAGGCTGTCGCCCTCGATTTGTGCGGGTTGCATGAAGATGGTCTGGACGTGGTACTCGGCACGCTGGTCATCGAGAGGCAGCTCGAGCGACTCCATGGCCTCAAGAATGACGCGCATTGATTGCACTGTGTTGCTAAAGATGATCTCCTTGAACGACTCCCGCTCGTCGCGTGAGTAGCCGCCCTCGTGAATGAGCTTCATCTGCTTGAGAATCGTCGACTTGCCGGATTCACCAGCACCTGTGCGGGGAGTTAGACCCTTGTTTCATCACGACCATGGTACGAGTACTGACCGAGCAGCAGCATCTTGATTTCGTTGCGCTGCATCATCTTGTCGCGCTTGAGCTGGTTCTCAATCTCCTCATTTCTCTGCTTGCCCTCCTTCTCCTCTGTGCTCATTCCGCAACCCATGATGGCGGCTGTGGATAGGATTCGATTCGATTACTAGGGTGGAGGTAGGTAGGGGATGCTTCGTGAAGCGGACCTTGGCACAATGTCAATAACCGACTCAATGGCAAGCGACAAGTCGCGGGAAGTGCAGATGCTCGGTGGTTTTGGCCGGGGGCAAGACGCAAAGGGACGCCGGGTGTTTGTTTGCTTGCGACAGCGTCGCTTGGGCGGCCAGAGCCAAAGCGAGCAAAGTGCGACTGACGGAAAGGCGCTCACCTGTTGGTGCAAAGGCTGCAGAGCACTGTGTCTGCTGCCAGATGTGGAAGGGATGAATGGCGGAGAGAGGATGGAGGTGAAGGGATGGCTGGCTGGCTGGCGAGTGAAGACGAGGCTCGCTTCGCTCCGACGGGTCTCAGGGAAAGCTGCAAGGTCGGTCGGGGGTTTGAGCGGCTGGGGGCTGTCAATTCGCGGCGGCTCAGCGTCACGGGCAGGAAACAGAGACGCAGTGCAATGGGCCGAAGGTTGCACAGCAGGCGATTGACAAAAGATGGGCCGGTAGAGCAGCAGAGGCGGCGAGATGTTGAAGCAAGCAGAGTAAGAGAGACAAGCCGACTTTTGGGGGAGAGGCTGCGAAAGGAGAGTCGCGCTTGCCCTAAAAGTGATGCACGGCATCCATGAAAGGAAGCAACGCCAGAGCTTAGCTCTGCGCTCGGGCCCCCTGCTGTACCACGACCATCACCCATCCGACATCTGTCTGCCTGTCCGCTGCTGCGACCACGGCTGTGGCCTCGGGTGTCTATTATCGACGATACTGCTGCTGCTTGACGAGCTCGAGCATTCCGAACGCATCGTCGCCATCATTTCATCAGTAATTAGGGGTGATCTACACATCTAATAATCATGTCATTGTCACTGTCACTGTCACTGTCCCTGTCACGGTTACGGTTACGGTCCCTGCCCGCCTGTTCGTCCGCTACGCTGGGAGACAGACTTGACTTGATATGACAGTACAGCACAGTTTGCTCACCATAAGTCGCCATTAGCAATCGGCTCTGGCCACCGCAGGACCCGTCGCTGCGAGTCTCCAGCCTCTCTCTGCACGTCGCAAGGTCTTTCCCGTCGCCCCCGAGAGCCTTTGTTGCACCTGTTCGACCTGAGGTGGCCCTGACAGCCCTGTGCTCTACGCACTGCTAGATGGCAGTTCAGCTTCCGCCTGAGGTCGACTAGCAGCTCTTCTAGAAGGCCTGTAGAAATTTAGGGGCCCATTTTTGACCCATCAAAGGAACAGGCCCGACGCTTGGGGCCGCGGCCAACGGACCCCAGGCGAGATTTGAAACGCTATTGCGTTTGGCTGCGTACGCCGTCGATATCATGTCCCTCCGTGTCTTGCATCTGCAGGCAAGAACCTGGCCTCAGACGCACTCGCTGTTGCTGCTGCTGCTGTTGTTCTACCTTCGCCAGCATCTCGTGGCGCTCAATGTCTCAGTCTTGCAAAGCATCACCAATCCGCCAGCCACCCGTTCACCACCATGCCCCAGCCAACCCTGCCCATGACCGGGGTATCTTCTCATCGATACCCTCCTGGGCCTAGCGGGCCCATTGATGAACACTCGCCAAACCTCCGTCGCATCGCTCCTCATCTCCCCGACTCGCGTCCTTCCCGAGCCAATCACAACGCCGTCAGGGGCTACAATTCTCCTTATTATCCTCGCTTTTCCATTTTCCAAATCATGTTAGAGCGTGAGCAGGAACATCTGATGCTGTGTCTGAACATGAATGGACATTTCTTGTACCTAATGTAGCGCTGTCGATCACACCCCCTGGAACCTTCTTCCCGTCCATATGGCACTTCTCATCGGGAAACCTTCCACATCGAATTTGCTGAGAATTCGATTGTGAACCGTTGCGACATCTTTGCAATTTCTCCCAGACCATTAAGGTTCTATACGAGAGATGCGAGTCAGAAGAACGGGAAGATCTACCACAACACGTGGAAGCAATGGCCAGATGTGAATGTGGGTGAAAAGGGGCCCACGTCCATGGGTGACTAGGTGACGCCATGTGTGCCTTGTGCTCTGGTGGATACTTTTGTTGAAGTCGGACTGACCGATATATAACTCCCCTCCACGACGCTTCACATTCGAGGAGCAGATGAGGGATACCAACCAAGAAGCTAGCAAAATGCCAAGCCAGTATTGTAGACCCCGAATACCGCTGTTCTGGGCTTGTGCCTAGTTCTGTCATCCACTGAAAAGCTTCTTTCTCGTCCTCGATCTCGAATTGTCGAAGTGCAGTCTGTTTGCCATCACTGTGTTCAATACAGCACAATTTCTAGAGGATGCTGGCCTGATCCCTGGCCAGATGTGCTAGAGTGAATTCCTGCTGCGTGCTTTGCCTTATTTAGCGCTACGATTTTTGCAATAGTCACCCGAATGCGCAGCGAACACTGCTTCTTGTGCGCGAAAACGAATTTTCTTGCTATCTGTCGAGTGCGTTGGGTATTGTGTCATTTTATTTTTTGCGGCATCTCAACACCACGGGAGTAGCCGCTGCTTGGCCTCGACTGACGTCTACATTCATTCTCAACATCAAGTAAAGCGATACGAATTATTATTATTCGAGCAAATCAAGAAGCCGAATCTGGCAGCGGCTCAGATGCCGTCACCTCGTCGAACGATCCATCGTAGCGTCACCCCATTCACGAACCACTGCGGTGCACCAGTCACCGATCACTGAAAACTACATCATTCGAGCCCGCAGGTTAACTGAAGCGCAGTCTGGAGTGCGTTGCACACGTAGGCCAAGACTCGCTTTTGGTGTTCTGCACGAGAAGTACACAAAGGTCGACCATCTACTGGTCGTTGTGGTAGGCGAGCATTAATCCCAGCGCTTAGCCCACCATGTCAGCGCCTAAGAATAGCGCTTTGCATCACAACAAGATGCAACCGACGACTTTTCGGTCAATCATTCTCTAGGAATGTTCCGAGCGCTAACTATGGGTAGCAACGACGTCGAGAATCCACTAACATGACGCCTCAGCGGCTGTAGGCACATCTCTTACACGGCGGCTGGCAAAGGTGCCGGTACATATTGACAACCTACCATCCCCCCGTCGACCATGCTTCAACAAAACTTCATGAGACGGAGCATGCTTGACGAATTTCCTTGATCTCTCTCCTTCAATTTCTTTGCTCCTTTCGCTGCCGGCTCAGCGCTTCTTTTGCATTTTCCTCATGTCTAGATCTCTTCGTGAGTTCACTTGGCCCATGATTGCCCCACGAAAAATGCAGCTTACACTGGTACAGATATTGTACAACTATGCTTTTGAGCCATTTCAAAAGGCTATGCATTACTTCAGCTTCTCTAATCGCAGCTTCGCCACTCGAGGCAGCTCCTACCGTCGCTTCCATACCAAGTTCGCTTCCAGGCGCGCTTCAAAAAGACGTCCCTCTTTGCGCACAGGCATGTCTACAAGCTTCGCTGGTCGAACGCTTCCCGGTAGCATGCACTGTTCAAGAGAATATCGAATGTCTTTGCTCGCGTTATAGTAATATGGGAGAGTCACTGGGTGAAGTGGCTCTGGGTTGTATATATTCATCCTGCTCTACGGTTGATCGAAGCGCCACGTCCGCGTACAACGTCTGCCTTGGACAAGAGCACGCCGTCATGCCAACCAAGACAGCCCTTACAGTCGTTACTAGCAGTACGCCTCGCGCCATGTCGACATCGTTTTCTAGTTCACTCGCAACAATCACTTCGATAGCTACATCAACTCTGCGAACTCAAGTACGGTCAACGCAATCCATCTTCGTGGACTCTATATCAGTCACTCCATCTGCTACTTCTTCGGCATCTCCGACTGCAGCTGCAGCGGCAATTGCCAAGGAAGCCCCACCGAGGATGACACCAGCTCAAATCGCTGGCTTGTCGGTGGCTGCTGTGGCTACTTTCGTCATGGCTATCGGCCTCATGTGTCTCAGTGTGTGCTTACGGAGACGAAAAGAAAAAAAGTTTGTCATGGACCCAAACGAGAAGGGACAATACCTCCGACAGCAGGTCGGACGATTCTCAGACTACGATTCGGTGGAGGATATTCGAGAACCACCTAGACAGTTCCCAATGGCACCGCCAAAGAGTCATCTGGCCGGCCTGAAACCTGCTCGTCCCGTACAACGTCTTGGTGTCGGAACCTCGAACAAATCGTCAGAGTCAATACTACCACTCGATCAGATTGGCCTGGCTATAAGTGCTGAGTTGGATGGAAAGCCTGCAGGGCCTGATAACGCTGCCCTTGCCGTGGCGAAGCAACAGACAACTGTTGCCAGCCAGCCAGATTCCTATATTCCCTTCCGGCCTGTCAGTACGCTCACGCAAAACACTGTCTTTGAAGAGGATGATGCTCCGGCGCGTCGAAGGTCATCAATGTTGCTGCCAACGCCACCCGTTCCGATCCCGCCAATTCGAAATTTCCGGCCCTCAAGACCGCCGCCTACACTCATTTCAGACAGTCGTCAAACATCACGAAGGTCAGAGCTTTTCCTAGATATCCCCGTTCGTCACGATAGGCCCCAGCCCAAGCGCATCATCACCGCGGAGATGCCTGCGAATCGTACGCCAAAACATCGACCATTGCCGCACACGCATCGTTTAGCACCGCCAATCCAGATGGCTTCGTCCTCATCCTTGGAGTCCACAGCGACTACCGCGAGCTCACGTGATGCTGGAAACACTGGAGACATACTAGATTACTACCTTACGACGCGTGAATCGCCCGCACCGCGAGCTACTCCTGCGCATTCTATCCGTCCTAAAGATGCATCCAAAACCGTCCAAGTCAGGCCGAAGAAGTCTCTGAGCACAGTCTCGCGCACGACATCCCGATCGACAAACATTCGCGATTCGCTATCCTCACAGACCTCTTTCGAAACGACGGACGGAAGCGATCCCACTCCCGAAGATGAGGATGACGACAAACAGCTGTCGGACGACAACAAGCAGTTATCTCCTGTGGCCGAATCACCAATCTCCCACCTTCGATATCCCAAGGTGCCCAGGGCATCGAACCAGCTCGTCCCGCGCAGCCCTCGGAGCCCGCCAAACCACAAAAGCCCGAATCGACCCCAGAAGAGTCCTCGACGAGTGCCAGAGCCCGCAACACGGCATCACGACCTCCCGCCCCTCCTCCTGGAAACGCGTCCCCGCCTCAACAGCCCACATCGAGACCCATTCACCAGCCCGCCGCGAAAAGCCAATCCTCGAAGCCATACGCGGAGTAACAGCACGGAGAGCTGGGAGGCCACTCCCGCCTCCAAGATCGATCGCAAAAGCAAAGTGCAAAGCGGCGTGTGGGCGAAGAGCCCGATGATGTACGAGCCAGCCGCGGTAAAGCCGCTCAAGGTACGGCGACGACGGGACGAGATGATGGAGGTCAATGTAGGGAGAGACGTCGACGTGGATGCCGAGGGGATGAAGAGTCCAGTTTGGGTTCCAAGATTGACGCCTACGCGCAAGGGCGAGGATCTGTTCATCTCGGTTGGATGGGGAGCGAGCGCGCGATGAGACTTCCTTCACCTTCTTTGAACATGTCTTTTTTCATTTGGTACTATTTATTGTAATTACGCGCAACGGGGGCTTGTATAGACGGACGCCCTCAAGACTGGCTGGCGGTCTTTTTTCTTTTTCTTAGCGTTCACCTCCTGTACAGTACGAGATACCCACGAGTAAGCACTCATTTCTTTTCGTTTTGGCTTAGAGTAGCATCAGCATGGTGGTCGGTCGAGGTCGTTCGTCGTCATTGCTAGAATCAGATTGTCGATAGGATGGTGGATCCATAGCTGCAAAATCTTCTACCATATTTTCTCATGTTTGGCCGCTGCCTCAAGGCTCATCGACGTCATCGCATCAGTCTTGGCACGATACGAAGAACGTCCAAGTGTCAGATGTTGAAGAAACACTTTCTCAACGGCGCGCGTTATACATCAAATACACCCAACCAACGACACGTGACCACATCGACTCCGACTTTTCCAAGGGTTTCCCTCGGAGAATAAGGGTAAATGGCCGGCTTTTTGGCATCTGGCGACTAACTCCGAGCCTCATGTAGATTTCTCCGTTTCGGCCGCGGCGCCGATTCCGGTGGAACGCGATCAAGCGCCGCCCCGGAAGAATTTCATCTCGTCTGCCTTTTTGCCAGACACGCGTAGGATAAGTCTTTGTAAGTTTTACAGTATAGTAAAAGTAATTGGGGGTTGGTGGTTGCACAGTAGTGATAGACAGGGCAGGCTATACTTGGTACAAAGGTCAAACGTTGTCGCCGCCGGCAATGGATGGACCCCCCCTCGGGCAGTGGACGGCAAAGGGTAAGAGGTTACTAAGGGACGGTCAGGAATTTATGGACGAGATTAGGCCCCGAGAATGGCTTACTCAGAGACGCGACGAGACACAGGAGGGCGGCGGAGTGGTTGAGAGGGCTGCGGCGATTGGGTGGGTAGTGGACACCCCACCAGCGTTAATCAGTCGTCACTTTTGCGGGCATAGCCAAAACCCACCCCACCCTACCCGTACAAAATCTTAGACCCTCCCCAACCCACCACCGCTCTCTCTCCTCCCTATTCTCCAATCGACATTCTACCTGCCCATCATGCCGTACGGAAAGGTCGACGAGCTCGCCATCAACACCATCCGAACCCTCGCGGTACGTCTTCTCCCCCTCCATCAACACATATAGACACCAAGCTGCTACCCCGCTATCGGACCGTCTGCCCAACAACTGCGCGCCCGCACAACGCAACAGCGTGTATATAAGCATTCAATGGCTGACGAAGAGATGCATTACAGGTCGATGCCACATTCACTGCCAATTCGGGCCATCCTGGCGCCCCTATGGGCATGGCCCCGGTGGCCCACGTCCTGTTCAACAAGTTCATGACGTTCAACCCAAAGAACCCCGACTGGGTCAACCGCGATCGTTTCGTCCTCTCGTACGTAAACTCTGCGCATTTCTGATACATTTCGGGTTTTGGCTGGTGTGGATAGGGCAGCCGTGCAATGCGGAGCGCACCGGAGGTTCCAATGTTTGCGGCCTATCTCGGCCATGAGACGTTTACTGCAAACCATCTGCACGCGAAATACTATGCCATGATACTGACTAAGCGCACAGCAACGGTCACGGATGCATGCTTCAGTATGCTCTGATCCACCTCTTCGGCTACAAGGTCACCATTGATGACTTGAAGAACTTCCGTGTAAGTAACCCCTAGCACTATCGAGCTGTTCCAGTAGAACGACTACTGACCCAGCCTACAGCAAGTCGACAGCATCACCCCCGGCCATCCCGAAGCTCATGACACTCCCGGTATCGAGGTCACAACTGGCCCTCTTGGCCAGGGTTTCGCCAATGCCGTCGGTCTCGCAATGGCGCAGGCGCATACTGCGGCCGTCTTCAACAAGCCTGGCTTCGACCTGATCAACAACCACACCTTCACCTTCTTCGGCGACGGCTGCGCCATGGAGGGTATTGCTAGTGAGGCTGCTTCAATGGCTGGCCACTTGAAGCTCGGAAACCTCATTGCTATCTACGACGACAACCACATCTCCATTGACGGTGACACCAAGTGCGCCTTCACCGAGGACGTCTTGGCGCGATTCGAGGCCTACGGCTGGCACACTCTGCACGTCAAGGACGGCGACTCTGACCTCGAGGGCATTGAGAAGGCCATTGCCGAGGCCAAGAAGGTCACCGACAAGCCCACCGTCATCAAGCTCACCACCACCATTGGTTTCGGCTCCAAGCTCCAGGGCACCGGCGGAGTCCACGGCAACCCCCTGAAGGAGGACGACATCAAGCAGGTCAAGGAGAAGTTTGGCTTCGACCCCGAGAAGATGTTCGCCGTTCCCCAGGAGGTCTACGACCAGTACCACAAGCACGCTGCTGAGGGTGCCGCTGCTGAGGCCGAGTGGAACAAGCTCTTCGAGAAGTACGGCCAGGAGCACAAGGACCTCCACAAGGACCTTGCCCGCCGACTGACCCGCGATCTCCCCGAGGGCTGGGAGAAGTCTCTCCCCACATACAAGCCCACCGACGCCGCCATCGCCTCAAGAAAGCTCTCCGAGAGCGTTCTGGAGGCCATTCACGAAGTCGTCCCCGAGCTTATCTCTGGATCTGCTGATCTGACTGGCTCAAACAACACCCGATGGAAGAAGGCCATTGACTTCCAGCCTCCGGATCTTGGTATCGGTGAGTGGGCTGGCCGCTACATCAGGTACGGTGTCCGCGAGCACGCCATGGCAGCCGTCATGAACGGTCTCTCCGCGTACGGAACCATCATCCCCGCTGGGGGTACTTTCCTCAACTTCGTCTCCTACGCCGCTGGTGCCGTCCGTCTGTCCTCCCTCTCCCACCAGCGCGTCATCTACGTCGCCACCCACGACTCCATCGGTCTTGGTGAGGATGGCCCGACCCATCAGCCTATCGAGACCCTCGCCCATTTCCGCGCCCTACCCAACATGATGGTCTGGCGCCCAGCTGACGGAAATGAGACGTCCGCTGCCTACTACATGGCTCTCACATCCAAGGGCACTCCTTCCATTCTTGCTCTTACCCGTCAGAACCTGCCCCAGCTTGAGGGCTCAACGCTCGAGAGGGGTATCAAGGGTGGATATGTTGCTCTTGAGAACGAAGGTGCTGACATCACCCTCGTTTCCACTGGTTCCGAAGTCTCCCTCTGTCTTGAGACCGTCAAGACGCTCAAGGACCAGGGCATCACTGCCCGTGTCGTCTCGATGCCCTGCATGGAGGTCTTCGATGCGCAAGATAAGAAGTACCAGCTCTCCGTCATCCCTGATGGCATTCCCTCTCTTAGTGTTGAGGTCATGTCGACGCTTGGCTGGGCGAAGTACTCGCACGAGCAGTTTGGTCTTAACCGATTCGGTGCCTCTGGCCCGTACAAGGAGGTCTACAAGGTAAGCTTTAGCCCAAAATGTAGGAAGCGGAGAAGACGCTAACGAGTTGCAGAAATTCGAGTTCACCCCCGAGGGCATCGCCAAGCGTGCTAAGCTTACCATTGACTTCTACAAGGACGTCAAGCCTCTCCGCTCTCCTGTCAACCGTGCGTTCCAGCAGCTTATTTAAATGTTTGCGCAAGCAGATTTGTTTGTTTGAGCTGGGATAGGGGACTTGAGCTTTGATGAGATATGAAAGGCTATAGTTGCCTCGTTAAGGAAAATGACGACTCAGATGTATAGAAATTGATTCCCCATGACCATATTCGCCTCTTAATCGTATATGCTATGTATCTTTTTTGTGATGAATATATCTAACTTGGTAGATGTACATTCGTTTGAACGATTGACGTACTTTGGGAGAGGGGGAGTTGACACCTCAGATCGGCAGGTTTAGGCGAGCACATCTCTCCTCCGAGACATGTATCGCGAACTTTTTGCCGCCCACCTCACATCCCACACAGAAGCCATGATGTCACAACCCAACGAAGGCGATGCCACCCCTAATCCGAGCAGCCAGCGATCCACACCGTCGTCACGAAGCAGCCTCTTCTCCGTCCCCACGCCGATAAAGCAGCTTTTCGACCGCTTTCCCTTGCACACCTATCCCGTCAACGAACTTCCTCAACGCGCACCACGGCACCGCAATGAGCATATTCTATACGTTTTTGCGAGCGAACAGGGCGCATCATCAGGCGCGCCATCGTGGAACCCAGCCTGTCTGAAATGGCAAGCCTACCTCAAATTCAGCCATATTCCGTTCCGCATCGCACCAGCGAACAACCACGCTTCGCCCAGCGGCGCTCTGCCTTTTCTCCTCCCCTCGTCGCCCGACCCGTACAAACAGACACAGCCCGTTCCGTCGGCGAAACTGCAGCGCTGGGCGATGAATACGCGTGGAGACAAGCGCATAGAAGAGCCGGGCGACGCGCGATACGAGGCGTATTTGAGCTTGTTGGATCATAGGATACGGAGGGCTTGGGTACGTTATAATCTAGAAACGAGGGAGCGAAGTTCTGTTGAGATAAGTTGCTAACAAATGCATTAAATAATAGCTTTATACAATCTACCTCTCGCCCAACGCCCCCGCAATCGCCGAACCCTTGTACATACTCCCTTCGTCCCGCAACGCTTTTGTCCGCCTCACGCTCGCCCGCGCCCTGCGCCTCGCTGCCGAACAGGAACTGCGCAAGTTTTCCCCGGTTGTCAACGCTGAGACGCTGTACAGCCAGGCGGAAGAAGCTTTCCGTGCCCTGGATATGCTACTTGGTGATGACAAGTGGTTCTTCGGCGCAAAGGGGCCCGGCTTGTTCGATGCGAGTGTTTTCGCCTACACGCATTTGTTGCTGGATGAGGGGTTGGGGAGGGGGTGGGTGGATACAAGGTTACGGGATGCGTTGGTCGGGCGGGAGAGGTTGGTTAAGCATCGGGAGAGGGTTGTTGGGAAGTACTTTTCTTAGCTTGGAGGGATATATTGTGGAAAGGCGTGTAGCTTGTAAAGATGGCGGAAGGCGTGTAAGTGTAAGATTTGGTTGTTACGAAAGATGTGTAACCTCACAAGCATTAGAGAGCATCGCACACGATAAGCATGTCATATCCGGCATCTAATATGCGACACGATTTGGTTCATGTTATGGACCTTTTAGATCACCAGTTTGTGGTGCCGTTTGTTCGTTCGCATTGGCACGAACTAGTAGCCGGACCGAGGCATGCAGCTGTGAGTCATCTACGGGAAGTAGTAGCTGCACGACATGATGGATCTACCTAAATAGGCAATTATGATTCCGTTAGGGGAGAAGAAAAGGGCGTGGCGTGGCGTGGACAAGAGTCATCGGGCTATATATATTCCGCTTTCAGGCTCCCGTGAGGTACGATCTGTATTCCTCAGGTTTTTGGATTTGTTGTTTGGTATTGGGTTTGACGGCAACCATCCACTCTGAGACTATACGAACAAACGAACAAACACTCAACTTTCCAAAATGGCAATTCCGACAGACGTTAATCGGACCTTTGATACGTCGCTTGTTGATTTCAACGTAAACGCCTCTTTTTCTACGACCGAGTCAGATCCCTCGGATTATGGGGCTGTGAATCATGCCACTACGACTAAGACGCCGGATGTCCAGCCAACATCGCTCTTTGAAGAGCAAAATCAAGAGATGCCAGCGCAATCACAGACCTCCGTCTCACCTGTCGATATAGGCAGCGCACCGAAACCCCCAACATCCGTCCAGCACCTCCCCACACAAGATACATACGACCAATGGGCTTCGATATACGACACAGATGGCAACATGCTGCAGTCAATCGACGACGCGGAACTTGAAACGCTGCTACCAGACTTCCTTGCCCCCGCACTTAGCAGCAGCAAGAGTAGTAGTACCAAGAGTGCGCAAGACACGCCTACCCTTTCCCTCCTCGATCTCGGCTGCGGCACAGGTCGCAACACAGCGAAACTGCTTTCCTACGCCTGGCCTGCAAACCTCCTCGTCGAAGTAATGGGTCTGGACTTCTCGCGGGGAATGCTGGATGTAGCTCGTACAAAACTGCGTCCACTCATGCACAACAGCAAAGACAAGTCCAAGGAAGAGCAAAACATATCTCTACGCCTAGAATGCACAGACTGCTTTCCTACCATCTCACACCCATCTGCCTCACCTCTACCTTCTGTTCCCGATGGTATTGGCCTTCGTCCAGTAGACGCAGTCATCAGCACTCTCGTCCTCGAGCATATCCCCCTCCTCCCCTTCTTCGCCACGCTCGCCGCGCTCCTTGTACCTAACGGTTTAGCGCTCGTCACGAATATGCATGCGCAAATGGGCGCTGTGTCGCAGGCGGGGTTTGTCAATGCACGGGGTGTTAAGGTCAGGGGGAGTAGTTTCGCGCACACGGTTGAGGAGACTGTTCAAGCGGCGGGGGAGTGTGGGTTTGAGGTTGTTGAGGTGAGGGAGAGGGCGATGAGTAGGGAGGATGTAGAGTGTGGGCGCGTAGGGAGTAGAGGGGGCAAGTGGGTTGGTGTTAAAGTTTGGTTTGGGGTTGTGGTTAGGAAGGTTGGGTGAGTGATAAAAGTGCAAGTAGAATGATATGGCAGAAGTATTGAGAGCCACTTGTCGCAAAGGAGTTATGGCCTACATATCAACTGAGAAATTATTAATGAAGTTATCATACACTTTTAGACGTTGGCTGTTCTTCCTCATACTTCTACTAGCAGCAAGTACGTAACTCTTGCTGTAAGACTTCGACTATTTCCCCGCCTTTCCGCAATAATTCAAGGAGCTATTGACCCAACTGTACGTTTGTGTAGTCTAGAAACTATTGATCTTGCCTGTGTGCACTTGCACTGGCTGCGTCTTGGGTGCAAAGTCGCGCTAGCCTAACCGTAACTAGTTGAAATGCCAGCAGCTGATCCCCTCTCGCGAGTACCACCTCTTACCATTGCTACGCTTTAGTTACACTTACTACCTCAACACTATATCTTTGCTACACTGAATAGATACATGTCGCATACATATGTCTCTGTTATAGAGTTACGGGAGCTAGCGCTCACCGCGCTCGCCGTTTTGGTTGGAAAAGCGTCGGACTAAGGTGGTATCTTCGTCTCGACCAAGCACGAACGACCGATGTACACCAAAGACATCTTTACCCAATCCCTCAGGATGCAACGTCACAGCCATGGTAACAAGGCAGCAGATACGGCTGGGTGGGGTAATGGGTTCTATATGATCGATGCAGCATCAGGCGGAAAGCATGCTGATATCTAGCAATTCCCAGATTACTACACTATTTTGACTCCTACCACTCTGCTGATTTGGGTCTCTGACAGGTTTGGTTGATCAAATGGCCGTGGGTAGAATCCAAGGTTCACTAGCCTCTGCATACTGCGACGTTACTGTAGCAGCGGCGAACGCCAACTTCGACTTCACGTTGATAAAATTGGAAGCAGCCAAAGAGTTTGACCCATTGGCATCCGCATTGACGGCGATACGCAAGCATAATGCAGAAAACGGCGCGATTCACATTCTGGCAAGACAGCTTGGAGCGCTATTCCAGGGCAGTTGCCCTGCAGCCCCTGGACTTCTGGAAGCGTACGGCAAACGCGTGTCGGAAATCGCCCAAGGTTCGAAAAGTATCGCGGAGCCGTACATTAACACATTCTTTGGCGAATACGTGGGTGTTGATGGGACTGCCATTTGGGCAGCGGCTACTTCGGCTGATTCGTCAAACTCTGCCATACATGTGCACCTTCTGGCCTGTATGCTTGCTCGTATGTGGAAGCCAGAGGAAGCCGTTTCAATATGGGCAGAGTTGGTGGACGGGCGCAAGAGAGAAATAGCACAAGAGCTTGAAAGGGGAGCGCCAGTCAATGGCTCGCTGGTAATGGCTGCAGCACAGCCCATTTCCCACTACGAGCTCACCGCATGGGATAACAGCGTACGGGCGTGGCTTTGCACCGCCAACGATTTCTGTCATCGCAAACAGAAACAGCTCGAGCTGATAGTCGATAACCTCGGCCTTCCCGTGAGCAGAGACCCCAAAGTGTATCCAGGCGTCATCGACACTTGGAAAACAGCTGTTGAGACGATGGACAAGCTCATTGCAGGCGTGCCGCAAGCTGTTCAGAACGGGGCTACGCACGTGGCCTTTGCTGCATGGCATCTCTATCCCAACATGCTCGTCTATAGTCCTGAGGCTGCCGAAGTCAAAATGAACGACCCGCTAGTGAGAGAAGGAGGTGTCATGTCACTAGGCTTGTCAGCCAACCCTCGCACTTCACTCGAAAACAACGGGGTATATTGGTCTCTATCTCTAGCGCAGCTCCGATATTATGGACCACCAGTTCCTACGGAGCGAGTCTTGGGAGCCGAGTCTAGGATTACCTTGCCACAGCTCAGCCTTGTTATATTTTCTGCTGTGCTTACAGAGTGGGGACTAAGCGGAGCAGAATACAACTTGGTTGCGGAAGTCATCATCTCCTTGGTAGACTACCTGGATGGTGTTCGGCAGGATTCCAAGAGTGACAGAAGGTTTCTAAAGTTGCTTAGAGACGGCGCCTCCGCTTACGCACAACGGGCGATCAGTGATCATAATTTACATCATAAATTGATACAGTTGGGTCGAAGGAGGTCTGAAAACCTGATCCGCGCGGACACGAAGGCGAGCAAAAATCAGCAGAGCGCCTTCTTTTTCAACCTTCTCGAACCGGCGAGCTTTATGCACGCATTCAAGGATGTGGAGTCTCAGGTCATGTTCTTCCGACACGTAGCAGCTCGGGTATCTCCGCCTGAAACTCCCGCCGACACTTTCCTTATTCGATATGTGCAGGTACCGGTAAGATCAGATGGCAAGCGTGCGCGTAAGGCGAACGGTGGAGGCAGTTACCAGACCAATGTTGGCTTGAACAACGGGCACCTTAACGGATCTATTGATGTAGATATGGATGGCCTTAGGCTCGACCAATGTGGCGAAAGCCGCCACTTCCCGGAATCCTCACAATCCCATCACGGCGGTTCCTCAAGAAGCAAGGCCCCGTTCATTTATTCGGTCGCAACGGCTCTTCCTCACAGCGATGACGGAACGCCTGGTGTCGCAACCCACCATCGGTGGTTCCCTGAGAATCTCCACAACGCCGTGCTCCCAGCAGGAGAGATTGGTACCATGGACGCCGGAGAGCGGTTTAGATGTTGGGACAGTCAGATGCAGGTCATCACAGCGGATGATCCCGATGCCAACACGTATCATGTCGTCTTAGGCGATCCAACCACGGCAGCACTATATACAAAAGAAAGGTTGCGCTCCGTGTGTCTTATAAGCAGATTTATCGAACTTCAAGACTTCCTCTGGTGCTTGCAGCACAACCTCCTGGATCCAGCTGTTCTCTTTGGCGTAATGCGGTATCATCCTCGTGCGAAAGTAGACAGACTTCGAAAGACCATGCAAGCCCTTGCAACCGCTGCTATAGTGTACGATGATCTCCCAGGCGTAACCATCGATGTAGGTATTCTCAACAGAACCGTACTTGAGAGGCCATGGGTTCAATTCTCGGACGACGGCTTGGACAACTTGAGTATGAAGTTCTCGTTGATTTCGTACTTTGAGTCCGGCGTCTACGATGTACCCCCCAGCGAATTACAAGATGTCATTGCTCTTTCTTCCACCAACTCACTGTTTGTTGCTGGTCCAGTAAGTGAACCTACTTCATACATAGACTGTCAGCTAAGAGACCCAGTTGATTCGCGATCCATATGAGTCGCTAGCGGAGAAAACAACCGTCCGAAGAATTCTCGGAAACATTGGTAAACCAGGCATCACCTTCCTGCTACCTCCAAAGGAACCAATGATACGAGAAATCAACGCTAATAGCTGGAGAGTGGATTCTTACCGCCCGTTCGACGGCACGACTTCATGCTCTTTCCAAAACACCTCGGTTCATCTCTCTTTCACGGAATTTAACATCCCCCTATATGACGGCTCACGCAGCGCACGCGATAACCAAGTCTTTTTACAGGAATCTGTCATCTCGGTGCGAGACAAAGGCGAATGGGTTGCCGACGTAGACCCTCTGCCTCTCCTCCAATACGGGCCTGATGCACGGCTTCGCGCGCTACCCACCCAAGTTCCATGTCAGCATTCCAAAGTGGCCAATCCAAACCAAGAAATCATCGCCGTCGACAGCTGGAATGAGCTCCTTGACAGACCAGAGGGCTTGTTCGTCGTTCGGACTGGCAGCAATTGGATTGCAAGGCTTGCTTCGACTCTCGTGGCTTATCAGCGGATGCGGGAGACTTCCACTACATTCGCTATTACAGTTTGTCCCCCTGAGGTTTGCTGGATTTGCACAAAACAAGCTGTTCGGAATCATGCGTTTATCTTCTGAAACTGGCCGGAGTAGAGACACGCGTTCGTAGCCTTGACATTGCCGGGATGGCAAAATATGGCGGACGTGAGACTGAGGCAGAAAAAAAAATAGACATTCCATAGTACACTCGAATTTACAGATCTTCTCCTTTGCTGCAATGCCTGGCTTGAGTCTTGTTTCTTACTCACCTATGCTCCTTCCTTTAAATTTTCTAAACCTTTTGAGAAGTGGCGGGATTGTGTGGGAAGGAAGTGGTAAGAGGCTACCTTCCCTTAGTTGAAGATAAATCGACTGAGTCTGAAACAACATCACTGTGCACCTTGAATTTCTACCTTGCGATTCCGGACGAAAGCATCAAACATTTTCGTATGCACAAAATCATGAACTACCGCGAACCAGAAATTTCGATGCGCGGTGGCGGTAATTGCTGCACCAAAGAAAGCGAACCGGCCGTTGAAATCCGTCCTCCCGTTGCTCCTCGTTCCGCGTCTCGCGTTATACCCCTCGACGTAATCATTCAAAAAGCAAATATGTCCGAGGATACATTGAGTCAGGGGTTAGAAAAGATACATGCAGCTTTGGAGAATCAGGGGGCAATGGGCATGGGAAATCGAAGCACAGCAGACTTCGACATATTGGTCGAAGATGGAGAAGCCAGAAAGGCTCGAAGAACCCTTCTTCGACATGAAGAATTTGGAAAAACATCTCTTAATTCCCTCTACGTAAAAATCGGCAACAAATTCTATAATGTCGACATAGTCACGCCCTCGCGTACTCATCTCTCTTCCTTCCCGACTAGTGTATATACTCAACACACTACTTTCGCCGTAATCGCACCACTCGATAGTATGATAGAAACCAAGATTGGCGCATATCGGGATCTAGAGCGAAAGAGCTCCAAGCGCTCTACAGACGAGAGTGATATAGCATTTCTTTTGGAGTTGGCTGCTTCAAAAGGAATGACCTTCGGGTTTGATGGAGTCCCTGGGCTAGACAAGGACTTCAGCGCATCATTTCGTCGGACCAGGCGCGAGTCTGAGAAAAGCCTGGACTCGCTTGGTTGCTCGTTGGAATAGAGGTTTCCTTGTTTGTTGATCGCGCCGGGGTTGTTTTTCTTTACGTATACTTTCTTGTATGCCGGGGGATTGGGTTGTAGGCAGAGTTCCCGTCTTGCGCTTAGTTGAATGAGCGGTCTCAATAATCTGCCATTGGTGCTCCTTTTCCCCCACAATCTTCACGCTTAGGCTTTGAGGATTTCGTTTCGCTTGTCCCATACCCATATAACCTTGCTGATTTGACACAACTAATTTCCCTGTTTCCTCATCTCGGAAGTTGCAACTGTAATGCGTGTGTCCGAATGCCCATAGCTTCACTGCTGGAGATACCCAACAAGTCTCTTTGGAAAGATCTGAGATGAATGCGGATCCTACTGAGCTATCTCGATGGGCTGGATTTGCTGCACGAGGGTCTGTCGTTGGACAATGATGTGTTGCGATGATTATTTGCCGGTGCGGTGCTCCATTTTGAATTGAGAGTACTTGAGTATTAAGCCATTTCAAGTCTTTGTCATGCTCTTCTACAGATCTCCTTAAAGACCACCCTCGAATACCTCGCTCTTCATTGAAGTCGGTTAGCCTTGACAAGACTTCGGTAGACTGATGCGGCTGAATAGCACTCCAAAGTGTGCACCCTAGGATTGTAACCTTCTCATCTAGATCGTATCGGTCTCGAAATAGGAATTTGAATCGACCTCCGTATTCCGACTTAGCTTCATTTTCGAAAGCTCTTAACTTTTGTACCGCGGATTCCAATGTAATCTGATATGCCTCATGATTACCAAGAATGTAAATTATCTGGAGTCCACGTGTCTGTTCTAGAGATCGCCTCAAGAATACGAAAAGGCCTTCATCTTTGACAAGGCCTATATCCCCCAGAAGTAGAATGCTATTGCCCCGAGCGTCAAGATTGAAAGAAGTGTACCGCGGCCGCACCAGAGGAGTCTCCAGGTGGAGGTCAGAAAGGATATCGAAATGAAGAGAGAAGAGCGACATGATTCTCTCGGAAGTGAACTGTCGAAAGGCGGAGATGAAATCGAACATGCGAAGTGTGGAGTGACATTCGACGGTTTGTTAGACTTTATACTAGTTCTGATCATTACTCAGCAGTCATGAGCCATGGTTCACGCGCGTTCTACACAAAATGTGAGCCAATAGAACACAGAGATCTCAAGGGGCCTTGTTACCCTTCTGGTTTGGCAGCGACCACTCCAAAGCCTTCACCCAGCCCTCTCTGTTTGTGAACCGTGGCCTATATCCCAACCTCTCCTTGATTTTATCGATACAGATGGTTCGCTCATTGGTCATGAGTCGAATAACCCACGTGTTTATCTTCGGCTATTTCCGACCCAACGAGAAGATCCAGTACGTCCATTCGGCGAATGACACGATGGTCATTACGAGCCAAATTGGAATGCATCTGACATCCTCGTCTTTGATAGGGAGTCCTGCTACTTCGGCAACAAGCCTATGCAGGTCCCAGAACGGAATATGCTCATCGTTGGTAACGAAGAACGCCTCGCCTTCCACTTTGGTATCGGCTGAGAGCGGAGCTGATGCGGCGGCCTTCACAAGCGCTCGAGCTAGTAGCATCTGCGCATGCGTACCGTTCTCCACATATGTACTGTCGTATAAATACGGACCAGTACCAAGTCTATACTTTGCGCGACCATTGAGGGCTTGGCTGGTAAGGTACATTGTCATCATACCGTCACCTGCTCCGTATATCGTAGCAGGGCGAATAGATGCGGTCAACATTCCTTTCTCTCGGTTGGCTAAGAGCACTATCCTTTCTGCGAGTGCTTTGGTGTGCGAATAGAATTCTGGTTGAGCTGGATAGAAAAGAACGGGAGATCTTCTGTGGCTTCGACCATTGCTTGGTGCTGATCATGGACAATTGAAGAGCTGGAGGTGTACACAAAGGCACAGACAGTACCGACAGCTTTGGCACACTCAATGAGAATTTGTGTTCCAACGACATTTACACGCTCCAACAACGAGTGGTCAACTTCGAAAGGATAGGGGAAGGCCGTATGCAAGATCACCTGCGGTTTTACGTCCTCGAACACCCTGGCGACCTCGTCGCGCCGTGTAATGTCGGCTGTGCAATACGTGGCGGAAGGAGAGAGAAGAATAGGTTGTAAAGCTCGGAAGCTCGACTCATCTGATACAACTGTTGGTATCGAACGATACAAACGACCGTTCGTTACAGTGAGGAACCATGAATGAGTCCCTCAGAAGTGTACTCGATTGAGGACTGCGGTGAATAAATATAGAGATGCAGCTGCTTTACATAGAAGCACTTCTAGTGTTCTAGAAGACTAAAGAAAGCTGAGATGGTAGGGCCTAATGGTTTACCATTCACAAAGCCGACTAATTAAGATTCCTCATCTATTCGATGCAACTCGACTTCAGTCGAACGACTGGGATTAATAGGCTAGCTAACAATTTGGAAGTTGGCCCCCAGTATGCACCCAAAATGAGAATCTTAGCCCAAGCCCACCATGTGCAGACGTCCCTGCAAGTTATGCAGTTGGGATTGGTATCCAGATAACATGTAAACCACATGTTCTGGGTCATAAGTGTCGAAAACCACCCCGATCGCGATAGCCGTCGAGAGGATGCGAGTTGTTGAAGAACTTATTGCAACAGTCGACATAGATGTTCGTGTTCTGATGTTGCAACGCATCAACATGCCTAATCCTCACCCTCCTTCCACCACTCATCTCTTAGCAGCTCCTTTGCTGTTGGTCGATCCCTCCAATCAAGCTTCATCATCTTCCCAATGAAGTCTTTGTCCTTTTTGATAACTTCTTTTTCAGTTATCCGAGAAAAGGGCGTTGTCTTATCCTTAGGGATCTCTTGCATCAAATATAGGATTGAATCAATCGTTTCTCGGCTAGCGATTTCCTCAAACTTTGCAGGAAACGGGCCAAAAAAACGAAATTGTTCCTTAACAACCTCCAGTAAGTAGTCCTCGTGGTCTCGGTCAACTCCTTTAGGTCGGAAGATGTTGAAGTTCCCGCCGTAGATCAAAGTTATCATCTAGAGTTGGGCTGTATCAGCACGAAGGTCACGCATGGAATGCCCGCAGGAGTAAATCACGAAGACAAGGATGAAAACTTACTACAGCACCGAATGACCAGATATCGGACGCCGTGTTCCATGGCATTTCCATGATAACCTCTGGGCTTGACCATATAGGCGCTCCGACTAAAGTTCCAGATGTGGCCCATTCCGAATCAACATGATAACAGCCACCTAGATCTCCAAGCTGGACATCGGAAAATCGAATGTCCCCTTCCTGAAGGTTGACAAAAACATTGTCAGGTTTGACATCTCCAGTCTCAATCAGCCCGGTCCCAAACAGAATATTGAATAAGATCATACCGGTGTGCACATAGCCATCCTCGTGGAGAACTTGTAATGCTTCTAGGATGCACCGAGAAACATGCTTGATTTCCTTTCGGTCCAAAGTCCTCTTAATCGATGCATCTAAAAGGTCACTCTCAAGGTACCTTAGCGCAATGGTTATGGGAGTAGCAGGGTCCTCGATTTCATCGACCAATGGCCGAAGGTAGCGAGTACGATCTTGGAATCGTTTGAGGACGTTTCGTTCGTTTTCTACTCTTGGATGGTCTTGAACGCTTTTGATGACCACAGTACGTTGCGCTTGGTTTCTAGTGACAGTAAGCCTTCATCGAACGAAGCTCGCTTCCAATTTGGCTCACTTCGCAAACCAAACAGTCTCTTGAATCTCTTTGGTTATCGTGTACGTCCCTATTTTACCCTTGAGAACTCGTCCGATCGGAAAGAGAGACATGATCCCATATGATTATGTTGTATCACTCCAGGTTTGAAGTTATCCGGTTCGAGTAGCGTGTAGTGGGGTGGTTAGGGTCGCAGGGTAAATAGGAAGGGAAGTATATGATGGAAAGCAGGGTGCGCCGAGACGCTAAAAGCTATGGCCACAAGAAGGTCTTATCCACACCTCACTACCCAATGTTTCGACGTCTATAGTGAAGTTAAAACTCCAGGAGCTCTAGTACACCGTATCTTTTTTAAACCCGGCAAGTTTTATTCTAGAATCCCCGGTAAACGGTTGTAAACTTTCCATGTCTATCAAGGAACTAGCTACGCGATTTCACGTACGTCGCGACATCGACCACGCTTAACTAACATGCCGCCTACAAACGAGGATTTTTGAAGCGCCTACGCCCTCGTGGAGCTTTCGAAAGCTCATTGAAGGTAGTTTATGGGCGGGGATAAATGTTGAATCTTCCAGGATAGCTGCATTCGAGACGGTCGTCAACCATGGCGCCCACAAACGCCGATACTCAAAGTACCTTCACAGAACCAGCGATAGCTCAGCTAGGGCGTAGGCACTCCGGAAATTCTTTATACACTCCAATGAATGTCCTAGTAGATCATCACTGCACAGAGGCCTCCGGGTGCTGCATCGGCTCTCCATCACGCCAGGTGTTTCTAAAGAAGGGCTCGATGTCTAGGTGCCGAAGTGAAGGTCGCAGTAAAGTTGCAGTAAAAGTCGCAGTAAAAATTGCAGTAAAAGTCGCAGTAAAAATTGTAGTAAAAGTTGCAGTAAAAGTTGCAGTAAAAGTTGCAGTAAAAGTTGCAGTAAAGGTCGCAGTAAAAGTTGCAGTAAAGGTTGCAGTAAAAGTTGCAGTAAAAGTTGCAGTAAAGGTCGCAGTAAAGGTCGCAGTAAGGTGGGTGGTAAAGGTAGATAAAATGACTTCTACTTCCTTAAAACTCACCCAGTTCAGCTTTACTATAATCTGCCGGCCTTTACCTGAGCAGTATTCATGTCTATCTCATATAAAGAGCAATGATCCACCCCGAGCTCTCGATAAATCATCGTCCACCATGGCTGCCTTCAACAGGATCATTATGAGGAAGGTTGTCAACACCATCGTCAAAGACGGGAAATCAGTGGTGGTCTCCGCCGCAACCGAAACCACCTACTGGAAGCGCCCCGACTCTATAGCTGAAAAAGTCGGCAGTGTTCTCATAGATTCAATCGGAAGCTGGGATGGTAAACTACCTGATGGCACAGTGGAGGTCTGCTGCAGGTAAGAACACGACTAATAGATCACATGTAACTATTGCTAATATTAGTACTCAGGGAGTCTGAGCATAAGAGTGACGCAGATCAGCGCCAACACATCACGGCTGTGTGCTTTGGCGCAAAAGAAGGCAAGGTGACTATTCATGTGCCTGTCAAGAAGACTTAGAGAGGCATATCCTGATACGCCGAGATGTGCAGATACACGGAGGAGTCTTTGAAGACTTGATATTCGTCTTATCGGTATTAATGTATATGTATCATTGGATGAATGAAATCAAACTTTGTAGCGTTCAGTAAGTCGATGTTCTCCACCTACTGACATAATACTACCACTTGAGTTATCTAATACTAAGCCAATAATCTTCGCTATCAATGGCAAGCTCCGGTAATCTGGACCTCTAGGAACACAACTACTAGCGGCGTTGTAAATGGTAGCTGAGATGGGGCTATAGAGGCAGTGTCGTGCCAGTCTCCGAAATCAATGCACAAAATTGCCTGTCTTAGGATAGCTAAGATATTTAGATGTCGCCGACGGCTATACGCAATAAGCGACTTGTTGTATTAAATTAGAGTACTGCGCGTTACTGGGGTATTGTACGTTACTGGGTTGAGAGTAGAAACTCTTTATCGGATTACGGGTTAAAATCGACACCTTTTCATACGTAGCTATGATGGTACTCTAAGCTCGGCATTAGTAATTGTAGGATGAAAGAGGTATTTCTCTTACGTTGTACTACTTTCCGTGTTTTGCGTTGAATTCCGGGAAGAGATTTATGAGTCGGGGAACAAGTGTTGTAGGCTTTGTGACGGGCATCCTCGCTGAGATGTTGAGGAGCTATAGTTGGTTTGTAGAGGCGCAATTTAAGTGCAGAGATGTTAAGATTCCCGGGCAAGACCTTGTAAAATTCCTGAAGCAGAGGGCTATTCAACTTGAAATAATGGCCGTATCGTAGCACCTACACAGGCAATATGTTTTCAAATACAGATTTATTGGAAATGGATACCTTATTGTAGAATTTTTTAGGGTTGGTGTATCAGTAGGAATCACCCGGAGGCAGGATGCCAGGGCCTGCAGGTCTAGAACTCTTCTAACCCTAGCTCGTCACGCCCGGACATGTCACAACAAACCCCGACGGATTCCCTTTACCCTTCTCTCAGTTCTTAGGTGCGCTGTCGACAGCCTGTAGAGCTGCTTGGTCTATGACCCCATTCTGTACGAGTGCGGCCACCACTGCTCGTAACCATGTTTGGCAATTCTGAATTTCCACTCTTTGCTTTGGTCCCTATAACAATGAGGTTTCAACACTGATTCACCAAAAAACTGCAAGATGTGTAACGAACCTGAGCAGTAGCCGAGACTAAGCTTTTACTTGGTGCCGGAACACTGAGCGCAACTTGCTCAAGATAGTCATGTACAGTCTGGTCTGTGGATTGCGATCCATCTCCTTTGACATCAACCACCAAGTGATCTTGCATTTCTGCCAGCCGCAAGACTTGATGAATACGGCCAGTAGCTTCCAGATTGTAATTCCGCTCAAAGGCAATGTTGAACCCCTCTGCGGCATCTCCAGAGGCCTCAAGAAACTTTCCAACACCTGGGTCGTCTGTGTGTGGAATCCATAACCCCCAGTGAGCGGGGAAAAGCCGAGAGTTGAATACCACAAGATAAATTGTGCGAGGCATAATTATAGAGTTTTATATCGTAGAACTGCTAGGAGAGGATATACGTCGTAGCCTCCGGAGCGAGAAAACGAGGCGCGCAGGATGTAGTTCGCGGGTGAGAAGGCTGCTCCAACAGCGACAGGCAAGTTACTAGAACATGCGAGCCCAATCACGTCGCGCAGCGTGGCCCCTGCATCCATAGGCGACTAGCATGTTCATGCAATCCAACTGAAAACACTTTTGGCCACCATCAGGCATCAACGCGTCATACTGCACCGCCACATTTCTAATCCAACGTCGCCATCTCGCTACCATCACTCCATCCATCGCCCCCTTTTCACACCACCCCTTTCCTCCACCCAGCGGCAAGACACGGCACACCAAACAATCTCACGACAGGCAACGAACTGAAACGACACGTACCATCGTCTGGCCACAACGCGCTAACACGTAGTCACATGCCCTTCGTCCAGCCAATCAGATCGACCAGTGGAAAGGACGGCAACTATCAGTATGACTCCCATCCGCTCGTTCACCAGGAGGCGACAACATTTCAGCGAAACATTGTTCTCATCTGCCTTGTTCCAGTTTGTTGAGCAGGCAGAATAATTGCGCCAGGGCGAGGTGGAGGACGCTTGCTTACGCTAGCTGGCCTGCGGGACCAGGCGGAAGGCAAGGCAATCGACGGGTCACTGATTATGTCTCTCAAGGCGAAGAGAATCTTCAGAATAAGCCGGAGTTTGCGTATTCTCCGATTCATAATATCTAGACAGGCAGACAGACAGGCATCTTGCGAGCCACATTCGGATCCGATGCTTATCGACGCTTTGGTAGCGCTACCTCTGCCTTTTGTTAATATGAGCGTAGCGCGAGAGAAGTGATCACCTCGGAATGTATTTCAAATATCTTTTCATCTATGTCGTGACTGCGCGCCATCTCGCTTCATCCTACTCGATGCGGTGTTTCGTTTCTTTAGCCGCTTTAGGCATCCAGTGTGTGCGCCCTTCGATTAGGGTGAAGGGTCCAAAGTCAGGCGTCCACTCCACACAGACGGGTAAGGCAATCCTACTAGGCATCAAGAGGGCGCGAGATACGAGGTACACCGATAGATATGGGGGCCGAAAGCCAAATTCAACCTCATACCACGAACGCAGTGTGAAGAGCTGGAATTTTCATCGTCAACAACGTAGTGATTCAGGAATATACAGTACATTATTTCCATTTTAAATAGCGAGCGATCAGTACAAATTAAGAATACAGTTGCAAGTAAGGTGATATCTAAACAATCGTAGCTCGCTGATATGAGTGAGCGTGGTATCTACCGCTTCTGTCCCTATCCGAATCTTGGTATATCTTTCGTGAGCGGGCATGTTCCAGACATGCTGATAATAAGTACAAAAGCATTATGGTATAAAAAAAAGACAGGAAAGGCGCTCGGTAGTATGTACAACGAGCGACTTTTCTGCTGAATATCGACAATGTATGAGGTATGGGGTATGAGGTGCAGTTTGATCCAACCGTGATGAAGCAATATCCCCCAACTCCTGAATTCTCATGATGCATTAAGAATGACGCGAAAGGAAAGTGACTCATGGTTACCTGTTATTCTGTTGAAGCGCAGTGACAGCTTGCTCAAGCACGCGCAACCGTGTATCTTTCTCCTCGTTCTCTTGCCTCAGCCTCTTGATCTCCGCACGCATTTCCTCGTTCCCGCGATCCAAAAGGCCAGAGTCAGACTCACGTTTGCGCTTCAGAGTCAGCTCATCATCCTCGCGGAAGTCAATGGCGCGCGTATACGGGGACTGGGAAGCGACGCGGGATTCTGGAATAGGGCTGCGCTCCATAATGTCTCGTCGAATAATCAAGCCGTGCATATCTGCTGACATGCTCGTCCGGCGATGTACGCGGCGCATATGCTCGGCAAGATTCTCTTTCCGCGTGAAGCCGGCGCCGGAGCTCCGCTTGCAGTCCGCGAAAGGACAGAATAGCGACTTCTTGGTTCCGCCATGCATCTTGTGCACCTCGCGCTCGTGACGTAGAAGGCCGCCACTGTAGGTGAAGCCTTGAAGCTTCTCGCAGCCTTTGACGAGACACTTGTAGGGTCTATCGTGCTTGTCCATGTGTTTGCTATTGCCAAATTAGTAAAGTTCAGTATGAATGTCGGAGTTACGCACCTCCATTCGCATTTGCGATCAAAGAATAGATCCGCACATTCCCGATGCCTGCACATCATCTTGCCATCTTTATTGCGCGGTGGCTCTTCAGCGCGCTTGTAGCTGTGGTTCTTACGTAGCGATCCGTCATCGTCGCCATCTTGCTCGTAAGAGTCAACAGAGTCGCGCCGATCGTGATTATGGGGGCTTGTCGCCAGATGCATTTGCTCGCCGGACGTTGGAGATAGCATAGGAGAGTGAGGGCCTGATATGCTGACCGGAGTTGGCATACTATTTGAGTTGATTGAAGAGGTTCGCTCGTGCTTGATAGTAATCTGTGGCGCTTGCACCGTCGTACTATCGGAAGGTAGTGTGGGCCCCATCATGTATGGTGGATGTGTGAATTCAAAGGGAGGATTGAGGTTCAGTGGCGAGGCCTGAGGCTGGCGAGGGAGTTGATATATACCACCAAAGGACGCGAATTCCGAGTGTGGCTGAGTAAACCGTTGGCTTTCCGCCGCCCCGGTGACTTGAATACTCGGAGTTTGTGGAGAAGAAAACTGATGACGCGGACTTCGCTGTGGCAAGGAAGAGTACGGATGCCAAGAGTTATGAAGGCTGTCGGGACCAAGATGCGGGTACACCGTGAGTGGCTGATTGCCTTGGAAGTGAGGCAAATAATTATTCTCGTACGGAACTACGGGGAGCTGTTGCTGGGCAGCGCCGTAATAAGTACTTTGGCCTGGGCCGATGTTAGCTGCGAGGTACTGTAGGCTGCCCATGTGAAACCACGTTGTGTAGAGTGAGTCAAAGATGCACTAACCCATATTTGGCTGGGGCGCAGCACATGCCGCCCTAGCGGGAGGCCGATTCACACCAGCCTGACTAACCGCTAGGTTCGGGAGCCTAAAGTCCATGGGACTCAGATCGGATTCCCAGGTTTCCGTGTTTCGTGCCTGGAATAGATCGCTGTCAAGGCCCACACTCTCGCTGCCCGCAGTTTGCTGTTGCGCAGTGTGTTGCGGCTGCGTACCAATCAGCGCGCGGCCGAGGTCAAGGTCTACCCAATTTAGCAACTGAAACCCCAGTGAGCATGGGAAGCAACAACATGCGAAACTTACAGTCGGACGATGCTGGAGCATTCCATTGGAAGTCAAGGTGCCGGAGTACTCGAGCCTGCCGAACGCGGTCATTACCACATTTGGCCGCTTGTTCTCCAGGAGGGCTATCGTAAAACATCCAGCACACACCCCATAACACTGCGAGCGAGGGTTTAATGGTCCATGGAAAGGACGTACTGAGAGGCTGCGGCTTCTCGGCAAACTCAGTAAACCAGCTCAGCATTTTGCGCTGCTTCTTGTCGTGCCCACCACGGAGTAGCTCTTCAAGGGCCTTGCGTGCGAGAGCCTCGATCAACTCCGCCCGGAGTCGTAGCAGCATATGCTCGTAGTTGGCAATGAAGTTCTCGTCCATGTTTAGTCCGACATCGTGGCCTTGGGCCAGTAGCCAGCCATCGCCGTACTGTAAGCGGCAGTCGGACAGGACATCGATGGCATCCTGCACTGTTACCAAGAGTTGAACCGTCTGGTTCAAGGAGCAGCCCTCAAAGATCGGCGAGCCGCTATGTTTGAGAAAGAGCTTGTTACTACCCGCAATGGAAGAGAATGCGTTTCCTACAGGGCTGAGCTTGCCGTCGACGGAACTAAGCATACTACGGCAAACCTTAGTAGACGAAACCAAACGAGAAGCTTCCTCAACGTACTGTTGCACCTCATCGCTAGTTACGTTTGGGATTGCGGAAACATCCGAGCCCGGTGTCTGCAGTCTTAGTGATGGCCTGCATGTCTTCGGCCCGGTTTTGCGTGTCTTGCAGACGCGGTGGGCGTCACGACGCGACTGCTTCGCATCCTTGATGCTGATCCGTGACAAGCCATTGGAGATGCTATTGAGGCCAAGAGATGTGTCGGTGCCAAGATGGACTGGATCGATTGAGGCTTCGAGTCTTCGCGGCTTGACACGACGCCGAAGCTGGTTAACAAACTGAAGCACCTTGAAAGTAAGGATGATGCTCGATTGCTTGCGTTGCTGGATCGCCATCGCTGAGTGGGGCGTGAGTGTCTGAGGACGTAAGGAAAGACGTATGCGACAGACGCGCCCCCTCGCGGTCATCACCACATTGTATATACTCGTATGCCATGATGATGGCTGGGCGGAGTAAGGCTAAGAAAGCCTGGCGGTGAGCGCACCCATGATGAGATACGGACGTGTTCAGCCACGCTCATGCCACATCGCAGGTGATTGGTTCGAATCAAAGCTCAGCCACGCCCATGCCACATTGGTCGTGCCTCAGGACTCAACACCGTCTTCTCGTCGCCGGAGCCTAGCTAAAGACCGGTCACGGTCATACCAAAATTGAGGCGCAGTAATCTCACCTGGTCTTCATAGGTAGCTGAGATTGCCGTGTTGCCGTTGCTGCCTTGAGATGAAGCCTCCAGCGTCCCACATCTGGCGACCTTCTCATGCAACCATCTTTCAGACGATCGTGAAATATGTTCTTAGGCTCCGCGGCATTGTTGATCCGCTTCCAGGATGTGACAGGGCCGCTCTACCGGTACTGTCGTGGTGCCTCAGCATACAGCATTGCAGCTTGCACAGTAGCGAAACGATAGCTGGAACACTAAACGTGAATGGCGCCTCGACGCCGCCTTGCACTAGTCGCCTGAATCTTTATCCTGTACCGGAGGACATTCCAAGAATGACCTGTATGCAGAATATCCGTATAGAGAGTGGCCTGCATGGAGAAGCGTGAAGGCGCCTTTTCATCACACACCGCGACCATAGCAGGCGAGAAAGATGATCAACGAGCTTCTTGCCAAGACCCTCCCATAAACCTTCAACGATCACACGAAACACCCCCGCGATCAACCCCCCCTGTCGATCAAATGAGGTCAACACCAAATGCGGACACCAGTGCGAACCTATTTCTGTAAACAAACTTTCCAAAAGCGCATGAATACAGTTTCTAAATCCCGATCGGGACCATGCGATACTGAAACCTTGCGGTTCTGGGGCCGAGGCATGGGGTGAAACGTTATTTGCCTGGAACCTGGGAATCCTATGGCTTCATGATTTCAAGATTTGTTTTGGTGAGGAGATAGGCTGATGTATCTCGGACTGTCGGGTGGGGATATGCTTTGAGAGGAGTGGGTGGCCGAGTAGAATGGAAGGTTTGGTGCGTTATGTGTTAGGTTGCCTATAGATTATGACCCCCTTCGTTCTGAATAAGAAGTAAAAGGGAGCGGTGAAGTGTATAGACGGGTAATACCAAGGAGAATAATATATCTTGTAAGTTGAGTGAATCGCAAGGCCATTATCAGGTTAGGTGGGCGATTTGCTTACTAGGAAGATAAGATGTTAAAAGGCTGATCGACGGATTAGAAAACATTGCGACCTGGAGGGATATCACAGAAGAAGGAAGCGACAATAAGAGGAGACTAGTTCCCTACGTTTACAGAGAAGTATTTCATGCCCGCAGGTTGAGTATATAGTACAGCAATCATGCGCCAGTAACCGCGGACCATGCATTTTCCCTTGCAATAATCATTCCTTCAAGCTCTCTCGTCTTTCCGTCTTTTTTGCCACATTTTCGTCACCACCTAGCTCCTCAGGCCAAGCAAGAAGTTACCTCCGCTCTTTCCACCCTCGCCGCCCGACCCGCCAGGCAGGTAACTCACATTCGGATTCCGGCTGAGCATCTGCGCGATATCCTTCTGCGTCTCGATCCGCCTGATCAACACAAGTCCATCACCACTCTTTGCTACTGCCTTGGAGATGGTATCCGCAGCCTCCGCCTCTCCCTCGGCGCGGATGACGTTCGCTTGTCGCTCCTGCTCCGCCTTCTCGACGATGAATCTCGCGCGCTCGGCTTCCTGCTGCGCAATCTGCTTCTCCTCGACGGCCTTGGTGAACTCCTTGCCAAAGGTCATGTGTGTGATTGAGACATCTTCGAGGGCAATGTTGAATTCATTGGCGCGCTTGAGCAGGTCGTTGCGGATGCGATTCGACACAGCTTCACGCTGGGTGATGAGTTCCGCAGCGTCGAACTGTGCGACGATGGCTTTGAGTACTTCGTTACCGATGGAGGGGAGGACGCGCTCGTCGTAGTCGAGGCCGAGGTTCTGGGGTAGTGTTAGTTTGCTATTCGTGCTCTCCTGGTCGAACCACCAATTCCAGTTCTATGCACGCTCCACGGACTTCCGTAAGAGTATTGTGCTCTGGATCAAGGGGAGCATACCTGGTAAATCTTAGGCAACTGCTTGACCTCCGGCCGATGCAACACTCTCAACGTAAGCGTGACCATCTGCAAATCCTTGCTGCCCGTCGTTGTGCTGATGTTCCTGGGTCTTGTCCGCACATCGAAGACAATGGCCTTCTGTAGCCATGGGACAAGGAAATGTGTGCCCTCGTTCACAACCTGCTCCTTCACTCCGGAGAGTCGGTCGAAGATGACGGCCCGCGTTCCTCCCTTGACATCGTAGAGGGAGGACTGGACAACCGAAGCGCCAATGGCGGCGGGGACGACCCAACGGAAGAGCGACGTGGGTATGGCGGCCATGGTGCGTGTGGGGTGCGGATGGGGCGATGAATGTGGTGATGGGATGTGGAAATGTGAGAAGCTGTCATGGATCGACAGTGGTCCGTGCTCATGCGGCGATACTTCCTTGTGATTGGTGCATACACCAACCCAATACTTCGATATCAGACACCTCTCAGGACCCCGGGATATACTTAGAGAGGTATTGTAAGATCATGCGAGCCTATTGTAGCTGGGGCTGGAGGTTTCTAGCTCACGCTGTAGCTACAATCAGATGTCTCATAGCAGAGCAGTGTAGAGCTCAGCACACGATAGGAACTCTAGGTTCAACCCGCATGTGTTCCTATAAAGATCCAAACCCCAAGGGCTGAAAAGTCTATTCTACAAAACCCGAAATTCCCAGAAAGTATCTTTGCGCAAACCGCTACTCTCTCCTAGCACCCAAGACCAGCTACCGGCACAAGCTCACTGTTGCTCAACAAACCCCTTGTGCTCCTTGTGAGGCTTGTACCAGTAGCTGTCTTCCTTCTTCGGCTGCAGCTCGGGAGATAGCTTGTCGAGAATGATAGCCAACAGCTTCTCGCGCCCAGCCACATTCTCTGCGTCGCGGTTCCAGACGGCGATCTGGACTGCGTTCCAGCGGACGCTGTAGGTGATGCCGCAGATGTCGTCGTTGAAGGCTAATCATACCAGTCAGCCGCATTTCTGAAAAAGGAGGCGAGAAGAAGGAAGGAACCTCGCAAGAAGGGGGACATAATGATCAACTTACAGTCTCGCTTTGTCTCAACGGCAGACTGGAGAATGTCTCCCACGGCGAGAAGACACATCTCATGCCAGAATTGCGCGGCAAGCTCCTTGCTGACCTTGAAGTACCAAGCGCCACCGCGCGCATTTCTTGGATCCTCCCAAACTGGCTTGATGCCCAAATGAAAGAGGTGTATCGAGTCGCGCAGCTTCAAGCTCTCAACAGGGATGTTGTTGAAGTGCTGGTAGAATTCCCGCACACTGATGATCTGCTCACCCAATGGCTTGGGTCGCGACGAGTATTCCTCCGAGTTTGCAGCTTTGTCTTTGGGAGTGGACTGCTGACCCTTCTCGGCCCAGAACAGCCATTTGAAGCGGAACTCGGGGACGCGCACGGATTTGAAGATGGAGTTGAGCATCGCGGTGCCGCGGGCGGGCGAAGCAGTGGCGGCCTGCTCTTCAGCAGAGGCTCGGGGGAGGTCAGAGGTGCTGAGCACCGGGAATCGGCCGGCCATTGTTGGAGAGAGTAATGCGATACCGAGATTGTTAGCAATATTCTCGAGCTGAGTGGTGCTTGAGCGAACAACGAAGATGCGCTTGCAGTTCTCGATGGCGAGATCGTTGACAAGGTCGTGTGCGGTCTCCTTGCTAGGAACGACGACGGAGGCGTCGCGCGAGAAGGTGGTGTTGAGGGTGTTTAGAATTTGATCAAGGCCTACTTTGAAGTCGACGCTCAGGGGTTGGTTCGGACGAGGCACACCGTGCTTACTGGCGTGTATGAGGCCTTCGAGGAGGGATACTGGAATAACCTTAAGACGGATAGGTGCAGTTTCGACTTGAGGGACTTGGGAGGTAGTCGCGCAGGGTGAGTAGCCGTAATCGAGGGGCTTGTCGCAGTTAGCTTTGTGAACAGCAGATGCCCTGAGCATGCTAATGAGGCGAGCGGACTCGGTCATGGTAACGGTGGTATATAGACAAGAAGGAAGAAAGAAGTTGAACGTTTCGATATTGACAAAGAGAATGAATGAAGTATCGAAAGTAGAGAAGTCGTTGGTGGGATAGGGAAGATTCAAATACGGCGTAAAAGAAAAGTTTTACGACTGCTAGCCTTGTTGTGAAGAAGGACACATGGGACACAGCTATTGTTCGCGGCGCTTCAATAGCTGCAAAACTCGACATTGGTGAACGTGAATGTTGGCCACGGTTGGTGAAGACGGTCGCATAGCGAACAGCGGAGATGTCGAAAATAGGAAATAAGGGAAGATACACTTGATGCAGAATAAATAGGCTCGAATCCACTCATGAGTGAGGGGCTCAAGAAACGCATACTGGGGCTTTGGAAGATGATATATTGAATGTTGTAAGAGTCACACCATGGAGAACAGCGAGCTGGCTGGGCATAGGCATCGAAGACAAGAGGAAATGGGACCAAGCTTAGGGGATACGATGTTGAAGACACCGGGAATCGAAGAGGTGAAGGGAGCGACATTTTGTACATACCAATACTGTTCCTACAGATGTTCAATCTTCTACTCGACACCGCACTTCACAAGGTGGGGCAGGGGCAACAACAACAGGGAGGTCCACTGAGGAAAATCGACGACTCGAACAGGCGAGGAACAAAGATGGATAGCACGCCGAAGAAGAGGTGAGGTTGAGTTCGGTGCGGCCAGCTGTGGTCTTAAAGGAGGATGGTCTGTAGACGACAGGTCAGCATCGCGCGACCTGCAGCCGCCCGTTGTTGCGTTTCAACGCGCCGTTTCATGACGCCTGCTGACACCAACAAGAGCCTCCCGTCGGGGGCCCGCAAGCCAACCACTTGACGGACGGCGGCGTCTTGGCGGAGACTAAGTGCACTATACCACGGCTGGGGTCAGGCATGGGGGCTATCAGAATTCTCCGGTCTCTTAAATAGATCGATTGCTAAAAAAGAATACACTTGAGTGGGATAGGCTCTAGAAACGATTTGCGACGGCCAAGAGATCTGACGTCGTGACGATTCCATCCAAGTTGGGTAGGCGCGGAACTACCCGCGCCCGCATCTTTAATAAATTTTGACCTGTTCCGCAACTTTTCCCTGACCACCTCGAGACCCAATCGAAGCCACGAAATATCCGACATACCACACTAGACACTCTACATCTCTCAGCAGCCTCGAAAGGAATCTTAATCATGTCCTCGTCCGCCCACGAGCCGTCCACCCATTCGCGCAAGCGTGTCAGGGTCTCTGGCGACGACAGCTCCGAGCCTTCTGTGTCCGACGAATCCGCCCTCGTAGCGACAAGCGTTGGCGAGTACTCCACGGAAGCCAGCGATCACGAGTCAGATACGGAGAGCGAGTTATCCGAGTCTAGCGAAGAGCCTAGTTCCGAAGAGTCGAGCGACGATGAGAACGACAATGACGACGTTGATACCGAAATGGAGGACCAGACACAGGACGGCGTGGTGAATCTGCGGGCGAACAGGGGAAAGAAGCCTGTCATGAAGCTAGACAAGGAGGAAATGGGCCCAGATATACGCGATTTTCTGAAGGAGTTCCTGCCACAACTGAAGGCTGCGAATGAGGAGCTGGAGGCGCAGAAGAAGGCCGGTACTCTGAAGAGCCTCGAGGCAACCGAGGATGAGAATGAGGAGCAATATATCGAGATGGTAGGCTGCATCCTGAGAACATGGACTGACTGTCGCTAACCTTGGCCCAGGATCTTGGACTCGGTGTCCTGGAAGCGAAAGACCCGAACGCAGCCGATAGCACCGATAGCGAGAGCGACACCGAAGACGGCGAGAAAGAAAAGGACATACTCGGCAAGCTTATGGGCCGCGAAAAGGCCATGGAGTCGTTGAAGATCCAAGAAGTACACAATACACAGGGCTCTTGAAGAATGAGAGGCGATGGACTATCTCATATCTGCCATGCCAACGCTATTCAGGCTCGCATTTTCCAGATGGGAGGCAGTAGATTCTATTACGACTCCAAGTTCCATAGATACTCGACTATTGAAGGCCACAAAACCGGAGATCCCACCCTGCTCATCGCTCCTGGTACCCACAACGTCTCGATACATCGACCAAACGTTCAGTCATGGCCATGGCCACCTTTCGCCCATGTTGCATCGGCGTTTTCATGGACCCTCGGCTCCTCAATGTACTCCCTAACCTGCTTCTTCCGCCTGAAGTCGCTGCCAAACCTCTTGTCTCTATCCTCGACCACCTTCTCAAAATCTGGCATCTGGTCCGCAGTCGTATAGCTCGTCATCAACTGCGGCGGTCCTAGTGGCAGCTTATCTCCCCGATCAGTCTGCCAGAGATGGTACACCTTTCCGTAAAGATGGACGACTTGTTCCATCTCCTTATTCTCTGCAATCTCCCATGCGGCTTCTGGGATGCCGGACGGTCTGGGCATGATCAGCATCCCGGATTTGACCTCGAAGACGTGTGAGTGCCAAAGCTTCTGCTCCTCGGCGTCCAAAGTATCGTAGAGTTTGGGCGTGATCATATACTCTGCAATGTATTTAGCACACGCTCTCGTACCAGAAGATGGTTGCAAACTTACCAATACCGATGATTCGTGCCGGCTGGTTGGGCGAGTCGTACAGGATGCACTGTCTCACGTCATCGTTCAGGTGAGCGCAGTAATGGTTCGCTTCCACAGCACCGCGCTTGGGCTCATGGGCATACGCATGAAACGCATTGAGATGGGCGCATATTCTTTTGACCGGAGCGAAATCCTGACAGATGTTACTACACACAAACAACAAAGCAGCACGACACGATGTACCTGAGAGACAGCAGCACCTGTTTCCAAGACCTTGTTCTGAAAACTCTCGGGCTCCCCAACCGCCTTGTTTGTCACAGGAAGCGCGTCCATGGTTTGCTATCTGTTGTCGTCAATGTCGGACACTGAGGTAGAGCACCTTCAGGTATATGTCAAGCCGCAATTAGAAAGCTCGGAGATCGTAAATTGACTTGCGGATTATTGGCGTGATTGATTGAACGAAACATTTAATCAAGAGCAACGTCTCTTTGTCAGACAGCAATGAAGGAAGATTGACGTCATCATGACTTTTCATTGGACCTCCACTCCACTAGAACCCTGCCCAAGGGGAACCGCGAATGGTCGGTTTGCTGCATACACATCGATCTTGTTTTCAATTGCCTTTGTATGCGTATACACAATGCAGGGAGAGTGTTTGCTGTCTAATAGCTTCTATGTTATGTACAATCAATTTGTCTCTAGCTAGCTTGCCATCTTCCACGTAGCAATCTCCCATCTCTACCTAACTATATTAGAATAGCTAGGCAACTGGTTCGAAGAAGGATCATCAGTTCATCGTATATATTCTCACAAGTTACTGCCCTAACACTATTCTTCTTCTTATATAGCGTCGAGCAATGCTTACCTACTTAAGTTATATAACCCCTCTCCAATTACTTCCCAATATGGCGGAGAGTCCAGTTCCAGACCAGAAAAGGATTTCCAAAGGTGGACTTCCGACGACAACCTTGACAGATATGCCCAATCCACCGTCTCAGGTGGCGGTCGGATGCTGCCTCCACCGCTACTTCAACTTCCCTCCGAGTACTACTCAGCAGACACTCGGCAACCTACCCTCTCAGCGACTTGTCTTCTACCTATCCTCTCATGGCAACCATATCATCAACAGAGTAGAGAAACGTAACATTCCTTGCTTAACATTCCTTGCTTAACATTCCCGTGGAGCAGAGGTGCGAAGTCTTAGAGTCCAAGTGTCGAAAGCGAAGAACCAAGATGAAGAGTGGCTCCGAAGCCAACGAAATCGCCGAAAAGGACGCGAAAGAGAATGGGGGTCTGCTAGCAAGACAAGTTTGGCGAAGGAGGGATTACACGGGGATCTTGGAGATCTTGGGAACCACCAGCATGAAAACGAAAACGGCAATGAGATTTGCCCTCAACGGCAAACATGAAGCCATGATTGTGCCACCCATTAGGAGATCCAGGATGAGCATCGGAGTCGAATGGATACGAGAAACTCGCCCCGACAGCTCAGCTGACTCGCTACCAGGTGCACCATACATACCACTAGACATTTCTACGATACGATATCGTTTGTTTTACATGAATATACATTTTTAGCCCTCAAATCGATGTGCAAGAACCGAGGTCTGAAGGTGGGGACATCCTTGGAATTCACCCGAAGAGAGAGAAGAGTTGAAAGAATTCAAGAAGTCACGACTGTTCTGAGGGTGGTGACTGGGACGGAGGACAGGATATTGCGAGCTAAACAGCAAGAGTTGCCGACCGAGGCCTAGGCGCTATTGCCCAAAATGGTAGGTAAGGGTGAATGCTTAACTGGAGCCCCACCGATATATAAACCACCACAGTCCCCAACTTCGTGTACAACGACTCCAACTCCGATTCCGGATAGTCACTCTTTCCCCCCACGCCATTATTATCACCTCCGCAAGACATCTAGCGAACGCCAAGTCGCCGCTCTTCAGTCTACCACAAGCCTGACTGCCCCGACACTCGCTCGGTTTAACAGGCTCAAATCAACCATCGCCATTCAACTGCCCTCTTCCAACCAAAGTCGACTAACCTTTACCTCGACAACATGAATCGACGCCATGCGAGTAAAAGACGCGACAAGCAAGGCTTTGCGCTTCGTGACGCCATCGAAGATCTCACGCTTAAACCAAAGCACCTGCCCTCGAGACTTCCGGAGACGTGGGTGGAGGATGAGGACGGCGACTTGCAACCAGTTTATGGGATCGAGTACGCCTACATTTATAAAGACCTGGAGCCGTATAACAGGTTTCCTCGGCTGCATCAGGAGCGAGTACACATTCGAAAGCGTGTAAGGTCTTCCCTGCTTGCGCTATGTTATAAGGCAAGATGCAATGCTGACAGCGCTCATGGCAGATCGGTCCTCCATTTCCATTTCTCGGATTGCCCGCGGAACTTCGAGTACATGTCTACCGTTATTGTCTCATCTCTTTCGAACCCATCGACTGCGAAAATACACTCCGGTCAGACTCCCAAAGGAAGCTAGGCGTCGGCCTGCTTCGGTTAAACAAACAGGTACATGCCGAGGCCGCTCAAGTGCTTTATAGGGAAAACACCTTTCGATTCTGGCGAGAATACGACTTTCTCAAGGTCATGCAACTTTTGCCCAAACACAGCTTCAACTGGCTAAAGCAGTTGACGATAGGCGCTCCATTCATGGGATTCGCGCTGTACCTTGACGAAGACGAGCTTTCTGATCTTGGCGACGGATTTGACCCACCGGGAACCATCTTGGGCTATAAATATAACGCCGAGGATTTCATACAGCATCGGTTGGTGTACGGCTTGGTGGACGTAATAGCAACTGCTCCAAACCTTCGAACCCTCAATATCGTGGTCCCACCCGATTGGAACTACCATCAGTGCTGCACCTTCTATTTCGATGGCGACAACGATGACGACAACAATCACGTCCATATCGACAATATCGGCATTTGGGATGCCATGGCCGCCTTGCTACGTCTCAAACCCTTCCTTTTGGTAACTGTCATCGATGTTTATCGACCAAATAATCTGGACCGTCACCTCCTTCGCCACGAACGCTTCATCAATCAATTGAAACGGCGACTTGGAATTTGGGATATTAGGGAGGCCGAATGTAGGTTGGATCGCGACACGATTCCGGATGGAATGTCAACACGGAACCGCGGAGAATGGGCGATGCCTACCCAGAGCTCGAGGGAGCACCCGGATGAGTACTTACGTTACCTTGCGGAGTTATTTTCGGGAAAACTGTAGCGGTGGATAACATGAACCGAGGCGGACTGGATGTGGAGACTTGAAGGTTTAACGGTTTATGATTATGAAGATGAAGATGAACATGGCAAACGGAGAAGTTGAGCCATGCCCCCAAGCGCCCAACGTGCTCATTGAATGTGAAGTTGTTAAAGAACCGCCCGTGCAACCTAATCGTTTGAATTTCAGATGGAGCCACTGCGGATGACGTCCAGCAGAGCACGGACTATATGCATTCTAAACTCTTCATAAATTTGTGTATGTGCTGTGCACGGTGACGTCGACCGCAATCTCCGCACGTGCCAGGCTCCCTCGCGCCTGCCTAACCTAAGCGAACACGTGAACGACGCTCGGGCCGCGCCTGCCTCGCGTATATAAACAGCCCGTCGCACCTTTCCCAAAAAATCATACTTGTTCGTACCTTCCCTCCCCGATCATTGGTCTCCAGCTAACAGTCCTTTTAGACCTTCTTGCGATCACCCAGCTCAATGATTGGGTTGATCTAATAGTCTCGTCTCCATTGCACAGCGGGGTACAGGATTATTACGAGCTTCGTTCGCGAATCTCGGTGGGGCAATTTTTGCTGGACTGCTTTTTAAGCACTTTTTCATTGATGCTATCGCCTTGTGCGGTGGTTCGAGGAAGGAGCGATCTCGGTGGCTGCGATTTGACCTGGTCAGACGTTGAGTTGAGTACCGCACGCTTCACTCTGTCGCAGGCTGCTGCGCTGAGCCTTGCTCCGGTGAGTGAGGCTGAAGATGTCGCACCCAGTCCACCGACTCACCACACAAACGCGGTCATTACCTAACTTCCCGGCAGTTACGCGCCTAGTCTTCCAAAAGAGCTTGAGGTTGTCGCGCAGTGCTGCCATCCGTACGCATTGTTATTCGCACACAACTGTGCGCGTGCTCCGCCAGCATCGTTCTCTCACCTTGTATTACATATATTGACGATCTGAATGCTGGATCGTATAGTGAGAATCTGTAGGACGAAAAGCGCAGCATATTTGAAAGGAAACATGGCGCAGCAGGCAACGTTGCGAGAGGTCGAGCTAGCTTTCGACGTGGCAACGCTTCTTATTCCCGATACTTTGAGCAACACAGATTTTCATTCAAATCCCTTAATGTTCTCTTTTTCTACGCTCTACGAGATCCAAGGTCTTCTATCCTGCCAACTAGTGCTGATGTTCGCAGCTTCGCAGCATAGTGCTGCGCCATTTACTTGAGCTGCCACCTACTTCATCCACACCACGCCACAGGGAACTTCCGATACTCTTCCAATAAACGCGTTCTCTTTCAATCTTCGCATTCTCATCTCGACGGATATGGCGGTCGTGGTGCCTTGGTAGACAATGCCCTAAACTTCACAGCAAACCAGCGTCGCGCGCCATTTCGCCCAACAGGGTGCAGAGCCCTAATACTGAGCCGACTGGCGCTCTGTCGGAAGCGCTCTTGTTTACTTTTCCTGCGATAGCCGCCTGAACAGCGCAACTCAAAAGCAAGTAACTCGTCAGCAGTACACTGCGAATCTTGAGCAAGGAGATCGCCCCTTGCTGTTAAGAAAAACAAAATCGCCGCACATACCCACATCAACCCAGCATATAGTACCGAGGGTCATGTAATTGACTCAATTGAGCGTTCCTAATTTCAAGTACTGGATAGGAGCCGTCAGCCATTGGGCACAGAACCACACATCATGGACCCCGTCACTTGGCTCTGCAGACGTGTATTGGAGAGCATTTTTGACTATATGTACCTAACCCTCTACCCTAACCCCCCTACTTGGCGGGTGCTTTCTCAGCAGTTCACCAAGATGTCGTGGGTCACTTTGTCTCTCACACCTCCAGCCCCGTTGCCAGTTGTTCTCCCATCCCTCGCCATTACCTATTGGCTCGTATGGATTGTTTACACCAGACGTTTCCACCCGCTGGCCAACTATCCAGGGCCCTTCTTTGCCTCAATCACCCGATGGTGGCTTATCCTTGACGTTGCAAGAGGCAGTGCGGAGAAGACACAACGACAATTGCATGCAACATTCGGTGAGTTACGTAGAAACGCTCAGTGTAGCATTGGACTGGCTGACGGGTGGTAGGCCCCATTGTCCGGATTGCGCCGAATGAGGTTGCTATAGCCGATCCCGAAGCTCTCAAGGTCATATACGCTGCTCATTCGGGCTTTACCAAGGTGAACACGCTGTGGTCAAGGAGTTCTAGAGAGCCAGGTTGACAGCTATCAGACTGACTTCTACCTTCCCTTCCGAGCCACATGGGGCAGATATCCCGATGCATTCACGAATCTGAATGAGCGCCAGCACGCCGAGCGACGCAGGATCGTCAACCGCGTTTACTCTATGTCGAATATTATACAATTAGAAGAGAGCATTGACAAGTGCAATGAAATGCTCGTCGAGAAGCTTAGCGAGTGCGCGGCAACAGGTAGAACAGTCGATCTGGCTGATTGGGTTCAATGGTGCGTTATTGGAATCACCTCTTGGGAACTGACACTGACTAGGTCAAATAGGTACGCGTTCGATGTCATTGGGGAACTTTTCTTTAGCCGTATGTTTGGCTTCATGCAGGGCGCCCACGATCATGGCGGCTATATCCGCTCATTAGACCTGCTCCTCCCCTTCATCTCTGTGGCTTGCGTCATGCCAACTTACATGCGATGGTTATTTCTTGTCAGCGGAGCCATGATACCCCGGGTTTTCAGGGCGTTGAAGGCTCTCCAGCATATCAAGAAGGCGTCCGATGCATGCGTCGCTGAGCGGCGAAGCCTCCATGGTAGCAACGGACCTGTTGAACGCACAGATATGCTAGAAGGCTTCTTCGACATTATGCGTGATAAAGGAGAGAAGAAGGACTTTGGTGAGATAGAGGTCAAGATGGAGGTTTACGGCGCCTTGTAAGCCGTTATGTTCCATCTACAACAACAGCCCACAATAACTAATAAATGATAGCATCGCCGGCTCCGACACAACCGCAGCAGCGATAACCTCCATTCTCTACCACCTCATGCGCACACCCTCAGCCTACGCTAAGCTCACTACTGAAATCGATGAAGCCATCCGATCTGGATATCTAAGTTCTCCAACTATCCAATACCATGAAGCTATCGGACTCTCATATCTCGGTGCCTGCTGCAAAGAGGGCATGCGACTGCACCCAAGTGTGGGCTTGACGCTGCCACGCCATGTCCCACAGGGAGGTCGCGTTATCGCCGGAGAATGGTTTTCTGAAGGGACTCGGGTAGGCGTTAACGCGGCGATTGTGCAGCGCGACAAGAAGGTTTTTGGAGAAGACGCAGATGAGTTTGTGCCGGAGAGATGGTTCCGCAAAGATGCGGTGAGAATGGAAAGGTACATGTTTCAGGCATGTGACCTCCTCCTTTGCCATATCACCACGGGTTTTATGCACTTGAACGCTAACACACTGTGAAGTTTGGTGGCGGAGCGAGGACGTGTATCGGGAAGAATGTAAGTGATACACAGCTGAGTACTATAGCGTAAATTGACATTGCCATAGATCTCTTTATGCGAGATATATAAGGTACTACCCCAGCTTTTACGCTCATTCCACCTCGAGCTTGCGGAGCCTGACAAGGAGTGGGAAACATACAACTACTGGTTTAACAAGCCAACCAAGGTGTACACAAAGCTGCAATGTAGAGAAAAGGTGAGTTGAAGGACTCGGAATGATTGAAGTAGATGCCTTCTCAAATAGGGCACGCGACGATACAATTGCGATACTGAAAATCCGTGAGGTACCGCATACAGTTAGATGTGCGGGGAAAGCCTAGCAAAGAGAAGAGTTCTTTAAGCTCACCTTTCTAAGTTGTTTGGCTATGCTATCTTTGAACATCTTAATTAAGGGCATATAGGCTAGCAATATGCCCCTCGTTTTGCAGATCTGCAATAGAAAGAGCTGGACAATGATGAGACTGATTTATGGAAGGAAATGCTTTGAGGCGGGGCAAATAAAAAGCCTTACGTGCCGCGGAATTTAACAAAAGGCTACGTAGGTTTAGACAGTGTACAAGGATTGTAAAGATACATGTCAGCGCTAGTACGCGCGGACTTTTGCCTACATTCGGTAGCACTACTATATAGCTCGCATACTTCGTCGCGGGAGGTGGTCTCCATTACGACGCCAGGTCGGGACTATCAAGTTCTGCGCTCGTGGTCGCAGCATGTCATTGAACCGCAATCGTAGCTAAGCTTTTCGACAAGAGAAACCCGCAAGTATGACATCGAACGTACAACCCACGCAACTTCCTCTGACCTGGATTGTAATTGCATCGTGTTTCATACTTGTCGTTGGTTTTATCCGCTTATACGATCCTCTTCGCAAATTCCCCGGACCACTCGCGGCAGCGACCACGAGACTTTACTCTGTGAAAGCTTTGTGGAGCGGACGAGAGCATGAGTTACTGCTCGGTGCCCACAAGCGATATGGTAAAAACTCCCCGGCCATCTCAGTCGAGGATCAATCGCATCTAATGACCGCCAGGCTCTGTCGTGAGATGGCAGCCAAACTTGCTTTTACTCAATGACCCCACGTTATTACCTATCATTTACAATCATCGGTCGGACAAAACGCCGCATTACAATAGCTCACTCAAAAGTGTCGAGTCTATTGTAGAAGCCAAATCGTGGAAAGTTCACCGCAATGCTAGGAAGCGCATCTCAAAACCTGTAAGTCTAAATTTGGGTAACCTTGGGATCAAATGATAACGATCTCTAGTTTTTGTTGGAGTCTATCCTGCAGGATGAAGATCTGATCGACTCTAACATCGTGTCCTGGATCGACAAGCTGGGTCAGATCTCTGCAAGCGACAAAACATTTGACTTCTCGCGATGGCCACAGTAGGTTTTCTTCCCACAAATGATCTCCAAGACCTGATAATCTAGTCTTCTGGGCCATGATCTCAACATGATTCGGCTTGTCGGCCGCCCGCTCAGCGATATGGATCCGATATCCGCTCATCTCAATAATCTTGTGCACGCTGCTCAAGACGGAGCGATAGCAGTACACACCCTGGCGAGACTTCCATGGCTGAAGAAAGCACTTTTCAACGGGCCTTTGGGACGATTCTTGACTCCGAACAGCGGCGACGGCAGCCAATTGGGGGAAGTACTCGAAGTATGGCATGCTGGAACGGCTTAGGAATACCGTTGACGACGTTTGCAGTTTCGTGATGGCCTTGTAAGAAGCGAACGTGTGGCCCCAGACGAGAATAGCAAAGCTCGCAAGCGATTGCTGGATCAGTACGTTTACATCTACTATGCAACTGCGGAAACCTTCGTGGAAAGATGCTAACACCAACTCCTTGAAGCTACATGCACGAAGCAAGAAACGAGGACGGAACACTGATCGGATCCGACGAGATCGAGGATGACATAACAAACCTACTGTACGTCCTCACCTGGAACCATATCCCGCAGAGTTCACTGACACCTGAACAGCTTCGCTGGCACCGAGACAGTAGCACACACCATCCTATCAACTGTACTACACATCTCACAAAACGCACCATGTCTCGCGAAACTCCAAAGCGAAATCAAAGATGCTGTTACCTCGTCTCTCAAAGCCGGCGAGATAGACCACCCGAACTCTCCTCTGCCATACACAACAGTGACCAAATTACCCTACCTCAACGCTTGCATTCGCGAAATCCTTCGCTTGGACCCTCCAGTCGTCAGCTACCTTCCTCGGGCGATCAAGAGCGGCGGAATCCAGTTACCCAACGGCCAGGGCTTTATCCCCGAAGGTACCGAGGTCGCCATGTCACCGTATGTAATCGGTCGGAACGAAGAGTTGTATGGACCTGATGCAGAGGGTTTTCGGCCGAGCCGGTTCCTTGAAGACTCAGACTGGGCGGGTAAGGTTTTGCCTTACGATTTCGCTTGGGGCTATGGTAATCGCAGATGTTTGGGGAAAGTCCTGGCTATGCTGATTTTGCGCAAGTCGTTGTTTGAGGTGAGTTAAGTTCTTCAAAGTAGTAGCATGATGCATGCGCTAAGACAGGCAGTTATTCCGACACTTTGAGCCGGAGGTGGTGTCTGAAGGGACTTCGAAAGCATATCTGCTATGGAGTCACAAGAACGTGGTTCTTAGATTGAGGCGCGTTGAAGTGGACTTAATGTGAGTCATATCTGTTTCTAGTGGCGCATGTTAATCATCTACTATCTCCCTCTATGGAAGCTTGAACCCTCCGCGCACCAGTTCCTGAAACGCCTTGGTTGAATCGTATTTTTCTTGTACCTTCTTCATTGAGATGACATTGTCCCGACCGTAGCTTGAAATGACGTTCTGATCTTGACTTGCATCGTTCATGAACACATAATCAAGGGAGTCGTTGGCTTTGTTTGCAGCTTGATTGACACGATCCATGATTGCTTTGCTCAAACTGTAAGCTTTGTGGTCGTCTTCTTCATGCCACCACGCCATCAGGTACTGCACCCATACTTGCGGCTCTTCACTCAGGCCAAGAGAGTTTCCGCCAAGTGCCTTTGCCGCCTTTACCGTCTGGACAGGTATCGGCTGCATGTTGAAGACGAATGTGCCAGACTGTAGTTGACTGAGAGACTGGAGTTCAGGCGCCTTGGTCGTGATGTTGTACACCTCAGTATAGAGCGTCGCGTTTGCGGCCAGGGTGGCGGTGCGCCAGTCCCATCGGGGAAGCTGGGTAATGTCAGGATTGGAGGCACCTGAAATCAAGCTCGAGTAACTGCGGATGGAGGTGGTGTCAAGGGCGATTGGGATGCTCTTGAAGACATCAAACGCTGGTGGATCCGCAAAGGGCCGAGAATAGGCGATGTTGAGAAGTACGCCGAACGAAGAGTTTGTAAGTGGTGCCTGAATCATGATGCTTGCGTCTGGATCTTGCGGGCCAAGTTGGTACTGAGAAAACGCGGAGATGAGTGCGGGAAATTGTTCGGGTGCGTAATATCGAATGCCGCCCCAGACCGCTCCGATGGCATACGTACTAATCGTAAAGTGTGTAACGACTCCAAAGTTGTTTCCCCCGCCTTTTAGTGCTTTGTAGAGATCGGTCGAGCTGGTCGCATTGGCATTAATCAGTGTACCGTTGGCAAGAATGACTTCAAAATTGACTACATTGTCGCAGGCAAGTCCGTGTCTTGATGAAAGCCAGGAGAGTCCACCTCCGAGAATGAGACCGCCGACGCCGATGTCGTCTAGTCGACCGCCAACAACGGTGACGTTGTGTGGCTCGAGTGCTTTGTAGACGTCGCCCCAGCGTGCTCCGCCGCCAACTCTAGCCACTTGTCCGATGGCATTATACTCGATTTCATTCAGCCGTGACAAGTCGATCAACACGCCATTGTCTATGTTGGAACCCCCAGGTTTGATCATGTGGCCTCCGCTTCGGATGGCAAACTGGATACTGTTGCGCGTGAGATTCTTGACCGCCTCTTGTAGACTTCTGGTGTTGTTTGCTACCACAATGCAGCTCGGAGCCCGGCGCGCATTCGTCGCCCTGAAATTTTGTTAGCAATCTCGTGGCATCTGGCCGTATATCGTTTTACCAATTCTTGTTTGCCACCTCTGTGTACCGAGTTTCATTTCGCAATATGATCTCCGACGGGAGCAGTCGCTTTAGCAACTCACAGGGTGACTCAACGATGTGCGTCGTTGCAGAGACCAGAGCAGCCACAAAGCCCAATAGCACAATCGGCAACATGGCTCCTGAATGATTGCTGCAAAAGATGAGTTAGATGGTCGATTGAAAATCTTTTCGCCCAAGACGCGTCGTCATCTTGCTTCAGGCCTACTTTCGTCGATTTGAAGACATTATGATTTGCACACAGCCTCATGCGGCTTACACTAGCGGGTGAGCGCCTCGGGGAACTAAATATCCCCTGTTAAAGGGTCTACCTTACGAAGGTCTCAATACCACTAATGGAATGCCGAGTGAGGATTCCGATACAGATTTGGGCACGGGTACGTGACAACGGTGTGGAGACATACCTAAGCCTCACCAGACTAGGGCCACAATGGGCTAGCGCAAACGGGGCGGTTAGATTAACTCACTGCAACAAGCCATTCTGGCTGAAGATATCACCTGCATCTTCCCCAGTTCTCGGGATCCTACAGTGCTGCTTGCGTGCTTATGCAGCACAACGAACAGTGCAGCCATGGGGGCTGCTAGGCAGCAGCAACGACTGGCCACATCATATCGCTTTCTGACAGCCCCCACAGAGCTCAACCGCGCAATCAATCATCCTCGATATTTATACCTGCTTGATGTAGTCACTCGAAAGCCAATTCAACCAGAACAACGGAATGGAAGGTACCGTCATCATCACCGGCGCCAATGGCTCGCTCGCTATACCAGCTGTCGCCTACCTCCTTTCCGAATTCAAGCCCCGCAACGTCATTCTCACAGTGCGCAATGATACCACCAACGACAAGAACACAGAGCAGCTACGAGCAACAATTGCCCAGGCCCCAAGCGGTGTCAATGTCACAGTTCGCAAGCTCGATCTCGCATCCCTTGCCGAGGTCCACGCGTTCGCAAAAGCGGTTGCCGCCCAGATTACCGCCAGAGAAATTCCACCACTAGCAGCGGTTATTTGGAACGCAATGAGTTGGTCCCTGCAAGGCGGACTTCAGCTCACAGGAGATGGCTACGAGCGGTCGATGGCGATCAATCACATTGCACACTTTGCCCTGACGCTGGAGCTACTGTCATCATTTGACCAAGAGCATGGCCGCATCATCTTCCTAGGCAGCGACAGTCACGAGAAATCAGCAATGCAGAAATATGCATCTGTTTTGCCCGCTGATCTTGACAAACTTGTATATCCGGAGCCAGATCGGGAAGAGGAGGTCGCTGACCGAGGGTTCCAACGTTATGGTTTATCCAAATTAGTGTCGATCATGACCATGTACGAACTGAACAGGCGGCTTGTGAAGGTAAGCATCACGTATCTTTACAGACTGCATAACTGACGCTCATGCAAGGACGGTAAAGGCCTATCTGCACTTGCGGTGGATCCTGGTGGTCTCGTTGACTCGCGCGCCTTCAGCGGTCCAGATATCCCATCGCAATGGTCGCGAAAGATTAGTGTCGTAAACTGGCTGCAGCCTCTACTGAGCTTCCTCAATCCCACCATTCGCCGCTGCACCCATGCAGCCAAGGATGTCGTCGACCTGGCCATGGGTCCGCATGGTGAGCGCCAGACAGGTTACTTCATCATGAGTAACAAGGCAGAAAGCTCCAAAGCGAGCCAAGATGAAGAGATGCAAGCCGAGCTATGGAATAGAAGCGTTGAATGGGCGGGGATTACGCAGAAGAGCACTAGTCTGACTCTATAATTGGGACGAGCTAAAGACCTTCGGAGTACGAAGATGTCTTGGCAAGATACATGGTAATCCTCATGTCTTACACAAAGGCGCGTGGCATCTTAAGAACATATATTCAATGCTTTTGTATAGACGATCGGATAGTCATACTGCTGCTGACTCGTCCACTTTTGCATCATGCGTACTACGTCATCAAACAACAAATTCGCGGCTGCGATCCTGCCGTTATGGCAGTTGTCAAGGTTCGATACACGAGAATCATGGCTTGCTTGTTACCCTGCCAGTTGGTCTACATGAGATGTACAACAAAGATCAAATCACTGACAAGTATAGTGTGGGGTCTTTCCCTTGCAACCAAGCACTATGATCTCAATATCGGTGGCACTGGTCTCGCTGCGCTCGTGGCTTCGAATTGGCTGTGCATGACGCTGATACACTCCGCATTCTGCACCTGGAAGTAAGTGTGCGAGTACCCATATGCTCAAGTCTTTCGTTCAACCCCACCATACCTCCACGGTCCGACTTGTATGCTAATTTGCTCCCGCAGTGACATCCTCGACGCTGAGATCGACAAATGTGCCGCACGTACCGCAACGCGCCCGCTTCCCTCGGGACGTTGCTCGCCCGCCAAAGCACACACGTGGTTCTATGTGCAGTTGTTCCTTGCCAACACCGCCATGTACACGCTACTTGGTCCGGCAACACATCTAACCATGTTACCATGCCTGGCTTTGTCGTTCTTTTATCCACTGTCGAAACGGTACATCCAATGGCCGCAATTTGTTCTTGCTCCGACTGTTGGCTGGCCTGTTTTTGCTGGATGGCTATCGGCGCAAGCACATGCTGGGCTTCGTGAGAAGATGGAACCATCTATATGTGGTCCGCTGTTTGCTTCGTATGCCGTGTGGACCATCTACTACGACACGTGCTACGGACTTCAAGATATCGCAGGCGACAAAGAGTCAGGCGTTGGATCGTTGGCACAGTTCCTCGGAGTAAAGTACATCAAGTCTTTCTTGCTGGGCTTGAATGTGATCGCTCTCTCGTTCTTAGGGCTTGCGGCAGAAAGGGCGCGCTGTTCACTGTTGCTGTGGACCTTGGGCATCGGGTTCTGGGCATTGAGCGTGCCGTTTCAATTCCGTGGCCTTGATCCGACAGTACCTGGCTCTGGTGGGAAGATCTTCAAGTTCAATATCACGTTGGGTATGTATGTCACCGTGGTGATATTGGCTGAGGCATGGATAGGATGAGTTTGGAAGGATACAGAGCGCGCGATCTGGAGCCGTCGAGTTTGCCAGTAAGAGAGAGCCACGCTGTTCTGCGTGAACCACGGAAAGAAGGCGATGCATACTTGATCCACAGCATACTCTAGGGCAAAACAATGCTGGCTATGGGAGAATCATATGCCCTTATCATTTGTTGCAATAGACCTATTTCTTACGAGCGCCACCTTCATCACTCGACAACTGTACCTTTTTAGAGAAGCGGAAGACCATATTCCAGGCAAGCAAAATATGGCCGCTTCATTGCTTGACTTTCGACAAGAGGAAACCGTCATTCTGTAGCGTCTGGAAAACACGAAGCGGGTCATACTTCGCTGCGATCGTCTTCATTCGCTGAATGTTCGTGGCCGGATACGTATCCAGTGGGCTCTGGTCCCGGGATGCATCGTTCATGTACAGGAACGGAATCTGCAGGTTACGAGCGGTGCTGAGTTCCTTCCACTTCTTAGTCGTCGCGATTCCTACGCTTCTTGCAACGTCGTCGTTTTTCGCATCAGTCCAGTCGACTAGGGTCGTCCACCCTATAGAATTTAGAGCGGTTTGATAACAAGCAGTGATAAACTTACATTGCTGAGATATAGGCTCCAGACCAAGAGTGTTTCCGCCGTTGGAATTACCTTGATCGACAACGTTCTTTGGGATGTGTTGTAGCACAAAGGTCATGTTAGCACCAGTTGCGGCGTGTGCAGCGGTGGCTTCGCCTTTCCAAACATTGTAGACGGACTTGTAGAGGTCTGCATCTATCTTACTGCTGGCGCCCCGGTAGTCGTGCCTGCACACCATCAGTCAGTTAGGAGCTCATATATGTTCTTCTTGATGACTGATTTACCTTGGAGCAGGTGCCGCGCTGGAACTGGATCCGCCCAATAAGTTCAACTTCTGGACCGTACCGATAGTAGATGGCACAACAGTTGCAAGAGGAGTAATTTTGTAGAATGCCTCGAAGGTTTCTGGCTTCTCAACTGGCCTTGAATATATCAGGCCCACGACGATGGATGTCAAGCTGATGACCATGGCCACAGAACCTTTGTTGTCCGGCGACTTTTGCCATTCCGCAAATGCTTCCAGTAAAGCCGGGGCTTGGTCCACGCTATGGACGTTGAGCTGATACCAGATGTTCTTGATCGGGATTGTGTGCAGATCAAACTTGGTGACGATACCTTGATTGCACACCTTTAGCCACAACACGAGGAGATAGTGGAGTTATCCACATACCAAAGTTCGGACCGCCACCTTTGAGCGCCCAGAAGAGATCACTCCTTTGCTGCGCATTGGCATTCACAATTGAACCATCTGCAAGCACCACCTATAAAAAGTTACCATCTTGCAAGCCAATCTCGGCAACACAGCACAGCACTCACTTCAAAGTTCGCGACTTTGTCAGTTGCTAGGCCAAACTCGCCAGTCCAGTAAGAGATGCCACCTCCAAGTAGCAAACCTCCAACTCCGACCTGAGCCACTCGGCCACCCACAGCGGTCACATTGTATGGGTCCAGGTATTCGTACACTTTACCCCACCGAGCACCTGGTCCAACTGTGAACGTCTTGGCATCTTTGCTAATGCTCATACTATTCATCCGAGAGAGGTCGATCAAAATGCCAGAGTCAATGCCAGCCCATCCAGGGTTCGGTGAATGTCCGCCGCTTCGAACTGCGAAAGGTATCCGGAGGAAGCTTATTATTTTCATTGCCTGCGACACTTGCAATGCCTTGGTAGGTTGAATTACGCATCGTGGACGCTCCCAGCACGTTTGCGACCTGTAATTAAGTCCTTAGCTGCGCACTCTTGCCTTGGTGCTACACTTACCAGCTCTGAGCAACCGCCTGCTGAATAGGTGCGTCCTCAAGTAATGTATTCGAGCCAAAAGCCAGGCGAGAGATCTCACAGCCTGCATAGACTAGCAATGGCAAAGCTCGCTTCTCAACATTTGCATTTTGGGTGGTCGAATCCGCCTTGGGCAGCGTCGCCAGAATTTCCAGGACGCGGGCTTCATTGTCAGGAGAAAGCTCCAACGAGGCGGTGAAAGCCTGTATATTTCCGGGCGCAAGTTCGGTCCCATTCGAGGGCAGACTTGCGGCCATGGCCCCTAGAGCGCATGGTAGCAGGACAGCAAAACGAGTGAACAACATGACTTACCCTAAAAATAAAAGACCAGCAACTCGATTCCTGAACACGTTCTTCAAGTAGTACAGCGCGCTCTAATCTCAAGCTGCCGAAGCGATTCAATATGTCAGCGGTCGGACATGCGAACGCCACGAAGGAGCCACGATACCACATACAGGTGAAGGACGGCTCGGCAAATACGCCAAACGCGTTCGCGCGCAGACGCGACGTCGTGGATTCGACGACAGAGAGAACCTCGGGAGGCTCGTGAAGTTCAAGATATCTTCTACGTGCGCCTGTCAGGTTTCGAAAGTCGTCTTCGAGGCCAAGACGCGATGTCAACCATATGTGTGTGACTTCGAACCCGACGACCACATCTGAGGGTCGTCAATGTCTCCAAAACAAGGAAATCTGAACACGGAAGGTGCTACATAGCCAGGGCCCTGTACGGTCGCACCCGCATAATTATGCGTGTCAGCTATTAGCTTTGCGTGGAGCATGTTGGTGGCAATAGATAGGTTGAGTTGAGCCAAACTGTTGGGTGACATTTGACATTTGACATGTGGGTCTGTGGCGCGGTCGCTCCCGCAACTTTATCCGGATAGCACCACCCACCAGCCAAGCACTTTCGACGGCTGCGGACTTATGACCTGGCCTGTCCAAGCACCTTCGTACTCATTTCGAATCCCGATGCATGTAATCTTGCTTGTCCCATGGCGACTATGGGTCGTCAGAGGCCAGAACGTCGTGGCGGCTTACTTCAAGGACGGCAGCCATGTGTCGTCGCTGACTTTTACTCCGCTGGGACCTAGGTGTAAGCCCTCGAGGACGTTTTCAGTAACAAAAGGTACCTGCTTGACTCATTCGTCATGGCTTTGCCGGACATTCCACTCTCACCCCCGCCTACGGTAATTGACGATACACACAAGCACTACGATGTCGCGACCGCGGTGCTTGTTTTGATGATAGTTGCGACGGGCTTCACCGTTGCGCGCTTCTATTTGCGATGGAAATCACATACGTTTGGCTGGGATGACTGGATCATGATACCGGCAGTGGTGAGCATAACAGTGTTCGAAGAGAAAGTGGACCTCGTGCTGAGATCAAACAGCTATTGTACATTGGCCATAGCATCATGATAGCGTACTGCAACCTTCATGGGGGCACAGGCAAGCCGCTATGGGAGATTACGTTGGGAGAGTACTCGATCTGGTTTCAGGTGTGTTGCGCTCTGTCCAGAAGCAGTAGACATTTGCTAATCAGCTCTCCACTAAAGGGCGTAGTTGGGACTGCATTTCTCTACCCAGCCATGACTGCGTGCATCCGTATCTCGATTCTCCTTTTCTACCGACGTATATTTGGCCAAGCAGAGGCCGTAGTACGCCTGTCCATTTGGGCTATGATCGTGTTGAACTGCGCATTCATCGTAACATTCGAGATCATGCCGGCCTTTATCTGTACACCAATGTCGGCTGGCTGGCGCAATCCGTTGACTCGGAAGTTACACTGTAGGCAAGACGAGTTCTACTACCTGTACAACATTGGCCTCTACAGCAGCGGACTTGGGATGGATATCATACTGCTACTCATGCCCGTCTATCCGGTCATGAGGCTACAGATGTCGCTCAAGCGCAAACTGGGCGCTCTGATCATGTTCATGCTTGGTGCTTCGTATGAGTCCCCGGCCTAATCATATAATTTTCAATCACTGACTGGGAACAGAGCTTGTATTGCCGCTTCGTATAAACTCGCGATTTACGTAACGCAATGGGGGCGAACAGGTACGATCGATCCAAAGTGTAAGTTCAATCCGACCTAGTGCGCAACCAAATCAAGCTGACAGACCCAGGGTGGCACACTCAAATGAGTCGCGCCATACCTCCCCAGTGGGACAAGTACGGCTACACTTTCTGGATACCCACACACGTCGAGCCCACGGTTGCTATTATCGGCTCATCGCTCCCCGCACTGCGAAATTGTCTCCAGATACCGTTCCAGAAATTGTCGTCGGCTATCTCGGAAAGCAAGGCGTCGGGTTACAGTTCGCGCGCCAGGAGAGATGATACAGATGGCAAATCGTCGCAGAGCAAATACACAAAGATGCGAGGCGGATCGGCAGCTCCATCACAGAAGCATGTCGAGCTTACACCCGTACGCTCGGTGAAACCGGCGTGAGTATCTCGCATGTAGCAATATTTTTCGCAAAAGAAATCCATTTTCTACCAGACCGCCCAAGCAACATGCGGACTCGAGAATTTTCTGTGGACTTCTCATCTGCACCGGCTCGCGGAATGCCTCCATTCTAACTTCAGCATCAAGGATCGACGGGAGAATCTCGACAACGCGGTAACTAATCACTGATACGCGATGACACCACAAATGCTTCGACCTGGTACAAAGCCTCGTGGATAGGTTCATGTTCGCGTCTCGCTGGTCGAGGATACTATCAAACTCAATTGGTAATGAGATTGTCGATAGGTGAAGTGAGGAGGTAGTCGCAACAATTCAAGAATAAATTTAGGACCAATCAGCATACCAAGCCACTATAAGTAGTTATAGCTTGCCAGTCCGCGAACTCGTGTCTCTTCGCACAGTCACCTGCCTAGCTAAACGACTGTAGATCTAGACTCAGTAAATTGCGGATTATAGCGCCGGCATTGACTTGTGAGCTACCCTTCACAAGACAAGTTCTTAACATATATTTTCAGGGCAAAATGCAATACTGTATATTATTAACTGAAATGAGCTACTTTGGAGACGGTGCTTTGAGCCCCTGCAGATCGACTTCGTCTTTCTCTAGAGATTGTTCTCTCATCAGCAACGAGAGCAGCGTTTCCAACCCCGCAAAGGCAGCCAATACCATCCAGATAGTCTAAAAAGCATCCTCGTATGCCCCTATAACGACATGCATGATATCCCCTGACACGTGAATCTCCCTTGGTCGTGGTATGAAACGTACAGCTTGGCTTGCATGCTCTAGTATGGCAAGTTGTTCAGGTAGGTCCGTGAATGAGGAGAGACTTTTTTTGGAACAGAGAGCTGAAGACAGACGAACAGAGAGTTTGAAATACTAGTGCACTTCAATGAAGGTTGCCTAGGATTCTGCATCCTCGCTCTGTCATTCAGTAGCGATGATCCATGGATCATGTTAGACAACCCTAGCAGCGCATCATACATTTCGAACTTGGTTCGACGAACTGACAGTACCGAAAACTGGCTTTGCGCTCTTAGCCAAGTCTTTGTCCGGCATGTACCCTTCGATCTTCAGACTTTGATGCCGGCTGGCAACGCTGTCTCAATTTTGCCCCTTGCCCTGCAAATGTGCTAAACATGGTTTATGGTTCTAGCTTCATCGACTTGGACGCAAGAGATAGCAGTCAGGACTTTGCCAGTGTGAAACAGGTCAGGTTTGCTCTTGTACCTTTACGGGTCTCGGCGAGAAGCAGCGTCTAGGCTTTGATGTATCTGAGAGAGTTACGCTAGTAAAGAAGCTAAATTCTGTTGATTTGTTAAATTTGAGCGAAAGCGCAGCTAGCAAATAGCTTGGGCTACTTATAATCCTGCAGGCTTAGCCGTTGCTTAGCCTGGTCGGTTTTCGAGGACCATTTCATGGATAGCTGAGGTCTACCCGGCGCTGACGAGGATGTACATAGGATAACTAGGTCGGTCAGCTTACTCATCTGCGGTTGGTCGTAGATGCCGAGAAACAATTAGAGACGTGATTCAGCCTCTGATCGAAGATGGTGGGTCGATGATAATGATGAAGAGCTAGCTGTTCCGAGAGACAAAGCGTTCTCTTGCCACAATGGCTGTGAGTCTTACAACATCAAGTGTGGAAAGATTCACAGACTCTGAAGCGAAGCCAACTGCGTTGACTGCCTAGAACGTTGCCCTTGCATGCTAGTAGATGTGAGTTTTGTGGGTCCTCAAGGCTCCCGCGGAGCAGCGTGTCTTGTGCTTGGAGATGCAGACATGGCGTCTGGTCTAGTATAGCGATATTGATGGTCCAGAGCTGGTCTTGATGCGTACAACGTCTTCTTTGGAAGGATTTACCATAACCTATTGTAGAAGAAGGAGACTTTGTATGCCCCTATCAAGAAAATAAATCTGGCTGAATGAAAGGCATAGATAGTAGCAGATGTAAAGACGCCAACACGTTTGCGCGTGAACAACTTTTTTTCGCGTAAATAAGGACAAGAAAGGGCGCTCGCCAGTGAGACAGCAGGTAGAGCGAGGCGTCTGTCCGCCTTGTTGGGCGCTGTTCAAGTCAATGACGTTTGGCCATGTTCCAAGGTTGTGTTTCATCGCTTGCGGAGAAACCGGCGGCGAACACACCAAGGAGTAGCGCAGCGTAGCGACTGCCGAAGCCCGTCACCAAGCTGCAATGCAACCAAGAAGGCGATGCTGGATGGACGAAGGATTGAAGGTGAATATGTAGCAGTGGAGGGGGTGGCTTCAAAGGGCCGAGCCGCATGCACTGGGGGATGAGGAGGTCGATTGTGATCGCTGAGAGGGGCCAGGAACAGGCTAGCGCGAGAATCAGACGCGCCAATCCCGTGTCTTGTCAGCTGTTTCAGGATCACAGGGGGAAAAGCCGCCGGGGGTGGGCAGGGAGAGAGAGTGACCAAGATACTGTAGCCCAAAATAATTCACACAGCACCCTTTAGCACCACCACGACCGCCGATTCCACGCCTCTGTTCCCCCTCCTCTCGACCTTCTCGCCGCTCGCACACCCTTCTCTCCCCCCTCATTCCTAGTGCGACAGCGACCCATAGACTTGCATGACGTTGAACCGACCGCGCACCTTCTCCGCACCACCGCCGCTCCTCCCTCGAGAAACGAACGCCCACCGCATGCGACGCTGATAACATTCCCTTGCTGGACCACCGACGCTCTTTACCGTATCCATTCTTCCTTCACCGCGCGCGCTCCACACTGCACCCACGGACACTGCGCTCGTCGTCCCTCCCACCGACTGCGCCGCAGCCTCATTGGCGACCGCTCGACGGCCAAACGCGTGTGGGGGTATTGAATGAACAGCTGGATATGAGCTAGGATGACGCGCCCAGAGATAATCAGAGCAGGTGCGACTCCGCCTGTTGAAATGCCTACCTAGACCTTGCTGATGCTGACGTTTGCGGGCAGACACGCACGACCTCCAAAACAAATCATCGCCCACCGCCCAAGACCACTCCCTCCAACCCGAGCGGCCCGCGCCACTGGGAATCGGCCCCGCCGCACCCCACCAACAGGCCGCTATCCGAAACGTAGAGGAGGAGCGGTCTACGGAAGAGGCACGCCTGCAGAATGCCTGGAGCGATGCGGGAACTGCGCTGCGAGAAGACCCGGGCTCAGACGATGACCGCACCGTGGTCAACCACGCCAATGGCCACAAGGGCACACAGCAGGATGAGCAGGCCATCAAGCTGAACGGTGGCGTATCTGGCGACGGCGATGGCGACGACGCAGACCTGCAGGACGCCGATGAGGACGACGAGTCCGAGGACGACATGATGGACAAGATCTCGAGCTCGCCCTCGATAGACGATGGTGGGTGTTCCTTGCCTTCTTTTACTGCGACCTGGCCGGCAAGACGAGAGTCGTTGACTCCACAATCTTCGCCGTTCCACTCGACAGTCGCCTCTTCTTCCCCTTTCACGAACACGCCTATTCATTTTCCTATTTCCTTTCGATCTTCTCCACAACTCAAATTCCAGTCAACGGAGCATCATTCTGGTGAGTATGCCTGGACAAGGACCACCACCGGATCAAACGGCGCCAAACCAAGCAGGGAGGTGGGTATGAGCCCGAGGACGAAGCAGCTGAAGCTGGTCGAGCGCAGACTACAGATAGTACGGGAAGACTCGGAGGGATCACTAATATCGGAATATGACGACGACCAGGTAAACCGCATGCTAGCGCCGCTCCACAGCGCTCCTAGCAGCCCCCCAGACGACCCCTTTGTGGAAGCCACCTCCAGCCCACCCCGGACTCTAAACGGTACCCCTCCACCCAGGTCCAAGTATCCTGAAGACGAGACCGATTCCTGGACCACCGACAGTGACGCCGATTCTTGGGACGAAGATCTGGACCGAAACAACAATGATGCATCCAATGACGTCTCTTTCTCTGATGATCCCCGATTTGTCGACTCAGGCTGGGGAGGCGAATGCTTACGAGAAACAGAGGACATCGACTTCGAATTCGTTTACGCACTACACACCTTCGTCGCGACCGTGGAAGGTCAAGCCAATGCAACAAAAGGCGATACAATGGTGCTACTTGATGACAGTAACAGCTACTGGTGGCTTGTACGGGTTGTCAAAGACAGTAGTATCGGTAAGTCACACGAGTCTGGCTGCAGCACTTTTCTGACTTAAAGTCCAGGCTATCTACCCGCTGAACACATTGAAACCCCCACAGAACGATTGGCGCGACTTAACAAGCACAGAAACATTGACTTATCGGCAACGATGCTCGGGGACACCGCGGAAAAGTCGAAGAACCCACTCAAGAAGGCGATGCGCCGAAGGAACGCCAAGACCGTGCAATTCGCACCTCCGACCTATGTCGAAGCCTCGGATTATGACTACTCATCTGACGAAGGCGATGACGAATTGTTTGGCGGCCCGGAGCCGGCACAAGTGCAACAGCAACAACAACAAGATCAGCAACAGCAGAGCGCAGAGGCCGAAACCGAGCAAGAGGAGGGCTTGAAAGTGCAGCCGCTAAAGGTCAACGGCGCCAAGAAGGACGCCAACGGCCAGCCTGAAACCGATGCAAGGAGCTCAAGTGAAGACCCTACGAAGAGGGATGAAGACCCACAGAGAGGAAGCGAGGACATGTCTGATCAACCATTGGATCCTAAAATCTCACGGAATGGCACACTACGCAATACCGACTCGTTCTTCAAGGACGAGAACACCGAAACTCGGAAGATTTCCCTCACGCCTAATCTGCTTCGCGACGATTCGAGTACATCTACAACTGGCTCCCGTGAGCGCGGCCCTAGTCTTGAGAGTTTGGAGAAGAACGGCTTTGCAGACAAGGTCAAGGACAAGAAGGACAAGAAAGAGAAGAAGCCCGGCATGCTCAGCGGCCTGTTCAAGCGAAAGGACAAGAAAGCGAGGCTTGATTCCATTGACAGTGACATTGAGAAGCCAGAGGAAGTAGACCGCAGTTCGCCCCAATCCAAGCCCTCAGAAGAGTCAACGGAGCGCCCGTCAGCTGAGCAGACTGTCGCGACAGCAGCGCCGCAGCGACAACCAAGCAAGGGAAAACTACAGAAGGCCCAACGCACGCGTGATGATTCTCCACAGAAGACGAAAGGTATACTCAAGACCGATAGTCCAACAGAAACCATGATGCAGCCAGAGACCACGCCAGATGCGCCGAGCACCAAACCAGCTGTACAGGAAACGGCATCGACCATGCGTTTGGTAGCCCCGGAACAAGAAGGCGAGGGAACACAGTCCGTGGAAGAACGAACTGTGGCTCCTGTCAACCGCTCAGCCTCGACCTCTAGGAACCCTTTCAAGTCGAAGCCTCAACAAAACGGCGAGGCGAAGCTTGAAAAGGTCAAACAAGCGAAGCAGCGCGTCCAGCTGGATGATTTCGACACCGACTCCGATGAAAGCAATGATCCCTTCGCCGATCCCGACGCTCAAACGAGGTCTGCTCAGCCTGAGCCCTCCCAGAATACGGGTCGTCTTTCTGAATCGCCAGTACATGTTTCTGCTGCGGACGCACAACCGTCAAGCAAATCCATGGCCCAGGAACGGGAAAAGGAGCCCGACCCTCGTCAACCTCCAGGTCTCACGACGGACAATTCGAGCCAAGAAACAAGTTCGCCCATCTCAACACCAACCCCCGACGATAGCCCCATGAAGACCATCCCTGAAAACAGGACGGTCTCTACCTTGCGCTCTGGGAAGACTCCTTCACCAACGAACCTGGCACCAAACTCAAATCCGATACCGGCGCCCTCGCGACCCGCTCCCGTACCAGGCAAGGAACACGAACCCTCACCGCCCATCTCTTCCGACAGTACCATGCTTCCCGCATGGTCAGACGCTAGCCTTCGAGCATATCTCGACGATGGCAGTGACATCAGAGACACCCTCTTACTAGTAAACGACACAACAGGCGTTGTGCCTGTTGGAAGGGATCACCCGCTGATGAGAAACCTCTTCGTCGAGGAGACCAAGGCGGTGCAGGGCCTTAGCGGCCAACTCGATAGGTTGTTGAATGGCCTGATGGAGAAGAGGATGAAGCGAGCTGGTAGTGCATCTAGCAAGATGAGCACTGCAAGTGGCAAGAGCGCGAATGCGAGTTTGCATTCGTCGGGACGATAGTGACACCAGTCTGGTTTGGGAGGAAGTGGACCACTGACAAAGTTTTTGATGTACGAAATCCTTTTCGCGCCATGTTTGTATACCCTAGGGGATTTTCTACCGCTGGCGTTTTCCCCTTTCTTTCTTCTTTCCTTGGCGATGGGAGGCATGGTTTTATTACGTGGCAAATGATACTGGGACATACACAACTTTTTCCGATTTTTTTGTTGAGCCGCGCGCGGCAAGAGCCTGGGTTTCCTGCCTTACTCTTTCAGTTTTGGTTTTTTGTCTAGTTTTTTTTATCTCTCGCTCACTGCGTGTGTGTCAGACTAGAGTAGAGTAGCTCATTCCTCGTAGTCTTTTTCTTCTTTCTTCGGGCTCATCTTGAGCGCGAGCCAAGTATCCTTGTTCGTATTATTCGGATTCGGATGGGGGGCTTTTTCTCTAACTTCTAAATACCACTAGTCGTCGATTTTCTTGCGTAGTGTAGGATAGCATAGGATTGGAATACCAATGTTCTTGTTCTATATGTTTATGCTGCTTCATCGCTATCTTTCAATAGAGGATGGACATAGGAGTTGTTGAACGACCTGCCTCAAAAGTTATGTTTCGCTATTCCATTTTACGCTAGCCATCAAGCCCTGCCTCTCATCTGGGGAATGCCCAATGCGATCATGACCATGGCTGTAATATACATGGCAGGGACGAAAGCATTCTGCAAGTCAGTTTTGCTGATAAAGACCAGCCAGAATACAATGAAGCCCAAACCCAGGGTAGTCAACGCGCCGAACCATATAAGAAATTTCCATAATGCCCAATCTGGGACGGCATACATCCCCCACGCCTGAGTACCCCCTTCCCAATTGTCAATATGCTTTACATGCTTCGGAAGCATCAATACTGTAAAGTCGCCTCGTATATTTTCCGCGTTCGCCATGCCGTCACATATCTGGCGCGCCGCCATCTTTCGATGTATAGCCTCGTCATGGACTATCTTATACTCATAGTCTGTGGGCTTTGGAAGGCCGTGTTCTATCACCTCCACTATGTCCTGATGAGGCACGTGGTTGAAAAACTTTAGGCGAATTAGCTTTTCGATGCATGCGCAGCACAAGAATGCAGTCATACCTTGACAAATTCCACATTCTGACATGTTTTCCATGAGAATATTCGACCTTTCCACCCTCGAATCCGGTCATACTCTCGGCGCAAGTTTTGAATGAGTGACTGGTCGTTGTGGAGGCAGTTTTCATGCGTGACTGACCGCCGAATCGTCTTCAGAGTTAACCATGGTTGTTCAACGCACCAATAAAGCTCTCTCAATCCGTTGGAAGGATTCGGGGGTTTCGTTGTGATTGTTATCAGCGGATAAGAGCCTGGTGGTTGAAGTGAAGACGTTCCACTAGATGAACCAGGAGGAGACGGTTTAGGGCTCATGGCCTGAGATTGACCAGCAGAGTGGGAACCGGGAGTATAAGCTCTGCTGGGGACCGTGGGAGTTGATGGATCTTTCAGAGGAACACAGGACTTCATGTACTCTCGTGCCTTTGCTTCCCCAATATCTAGAGAGAGTTCTCTTCCGGACCACTGCGTATAAATCAGTAGCGTTGATAAAGTATAAGCACGTAGATGCTGCCACTTACTGTCCACATAATGCGTACGGTTTGGGGTAAACATAGTCTTGTTCCATGCCTCAATGGCCACCAATCGATGCGAGATTGAAGCCTGTTCTCAAGTCTCGCTTTCCAATTGTCGACTATGCTGGGTTGAGGCGTATCGGCAGATTGGATGAATCGCACCGCTCTCGCACCATCCCAAAAGACACAGTTTGACTACAAGTCTTTGTTAACGCAGCAACCCAACACGATTCATTCGTCATATGCTCACCCGACGAAGGGTTTCCGCCACTGTTTTCATATCGGGTCTTGAAGAAGCCCCGCCCAACATGGTCTCCAAAAGAGGTGCAATCTCGACGGCTCTCGGGGAGTCCCGTCCCAACCAATGAAGCCACGTGAGTACTTCAGGCTTTACCTTCTCGCCATCATCTAACCGAGTCGCTGCAATCTCGTCCGATGTAAGATTTCCATCTACAGTCGTGATAAACTGTCGAAACTCCTTTACGCCTGGACTTCCATGGATGAGAAAGGTCATGAGTTCAACCATCACCGAACCAAATTTCCAAACATCTCCTTGGACAAGACCTGTGGGATCAACAACCAAGGACGGGTCTGCTTGAGCCTTCTTGACCTCTTGACGCACTTCTGGGGCATCGTATTCCCAAGCCGAAATGGCTTCTAGTGTGCCTAGCGTGTGAGTTGTTGTGCCTTCCAGATTGAGAGCAAGTCCAAAATCAGCGATCTTGGCCTGGATATACGGACAGGTGCTGTCGCTATATAGCAGAATATTGGATGGTTTGATGTCTCTATGCACCGTCTTGCAGCCGTCGTGCAGAAACTCAAGTGCACTTGCTAAACCTTCCATTTGACCCCACAGTGTTTGAGAATTGCGTAGCACATGTGGCTCTTCCCATGGACCTGTGCCCCTGAGAAGATATTTGAGATTGCCGAGGGCTAGTGGGAACAAGAAATTCATTATCCGTCCTGTAGTACAGGCCCCTAACAGTTGGACGATGTTCGGGTGCTGAAATGGCTGGGTTTTGCAAAAAGCCTCGTATTCAGCAACGAACTGCTTTTTAGTCGCCTTGGGGGAAAGCCTCTTCACGGCTACCTTGAATAGCGGTCATTAAACACTCATGCGGAAAATGATAAATCTTGGATACTTGGTCTTACTTTCTGTGTGGGCGGCGTACGTTCTGCGAGTATTGTGGATCTCAAGTAAATCCTCGCATCGACAGAGTATACCTCGGATGACATACCTAGTCCCACTAAGTCTTTCTGTGAGAAAAGGCCGTATGCGCCTAATTCCTCGTTTGCGAGTAGATCGATATGCTCAATGATTTTTCCACCTGGAAAGGGAAGTGAAGGAGACCCTAGTATTTTTAGAATCTTATGCCCAGAGAGCATGCTTTCGGTTGCCGATGGAACTTCTGCAAGGATTTCAGGTACCACATTGTTACCAAATCCATCATCCTCATGGGAACGCAGTGCATCAATCTCTTCCTGTCGATCATTCAGTACGGCTCACGGCAACGGAAAGCTGTCAGGGCCGGGGTTACCCACCTCGTCTAGACGGCGGGGAAGATTGTATATTATCCATGACCCCTCTCGTAGCTAAATTATCAGCGAAGGACGCTGAGTTTCAGTGCCTAGTCATACTTCGATCTTGAAGTCCTTCTTCTCGAAGAGTTCCCAAAGGAGATCCGCAATATCGGCATATCTTATGTGATATGAGGCAAACGTTTGTGCATAAAAAGACTGAGAATTCATGGTAGGAGTCAATTCGGCGATTCCCTCTATAGTATTCAAGTGTTATTTATACAACGTGAGCCATTTTTCAGGCCCTGACGACGTGGGCACCGGTCAATGATTTCGTCTAGTGGGTGGGTGACAGGCCAATCGCAAATCACGATGCCTCTGACGGCCCCGCCAGTTGAGCCTCATTGGTATGCAATAGGAGGCCAACGCCAATGCTGATGGCTGTCTAGTCGCCGACTTGACGATGATGCATGGGGGCGTAGTAGACGTGTACGCGGATTGGCCCAAGATATGCGGGCAACCCGAACGAGACTTACACAGCAGCAAAGTTGGCTAAATGCAGGCTTCAGCTCAAAGGCTTCCTGATGTGAGAGTGGTGAATGTTCAATGAGTGTCCGACCGCCCTTACGGGGTGGTAATAGAACATATCTGAAATGTAAAGCATTACGGAAAAGAGATAGATTCAGCTAAAGTTCCCCCCGCTGCGTCACTACGTAGCGGGGATAATTTGAGTCAGGGGCCTTGCGATACTTCTTAGGAAGTAAGCAAGATCTGTGATGTCATGGCCAGGCTGGGGTTTCATAGGTACCTTAGAAGGCCTTGTTCGATCTCGCAGGAGCCGCTGTGATAACGATAGTGAACAAAAAGGATTCATATGTCTGATTTGACCCCTCGAGTTGATGACGCGCATCTAAAAGTGACGCTTAAGGAACCTCTTGATGATGTGGCTCGGCACGTGAGCCATGTTAGTGTTGATCAGGCCTAGTGTAGATCAAGAGGCCTGTGCACCCAAGGGCTTACCTAGGTAAGCTATTCACCGAGTCGATCAACATCTCCTTCAAATCGCATCCAGCCTAGACACTAGGATGAGGAGTATTTCGCAAATCGCTTGATCGAAGCCATGGAGGAGGCAAACGACCGCCTAGCAGAGAAAGTGCAGGCCCTGAGCGACATTGAGCTTGCCGTGCTGGTCTGCCTTGTCGCCGAGCAACATTGCATTATCGAGGCTGGGAAGGAGAGTATCAATGATGTGCAAGCAGAGCTGAAGCTGGTATGTTAATCTGGCCGACTGGTTGTGGGCTGCATGCTAATGGCGATAGGTTGCGTCTAATGTTTTTGGACTCACGTGCGCGGTGCTGGACTGCGATGAGAATACGACGCTTGATGACTTCGGTAGTGGTATCTTGGTGAAGGACGACGGCGAAGACTACTTTGGCAAAAATAACGGGAGACTTCAAGGCGAGGTAATCGTTTCCCACAATCTGCGATACTAGCAATTGACATTGCAAACAGTTTTCGTCTAAATCAGGCTCACCCAGAATGCCCGACCGCCGGATATCAAAGTCGCCCAGGCCGTTCAGTCCGCTGGACAGTCGGAGGATTGCGAACATTGTTGTCGCCAAAGATGTGAACCAAGCAAGTTTGCAGGTCCAGATCCAAGCACTAGAAGTTAGAAGCGCATTTCCATCACGCTTCTGCCCAACTGACGCCTCCACAGCTCATACGAGGAAAGCGAAACTTCACGAGGACTGCGGTACATGCTGCACCGAAACCATTTCTGTTCATCGCCCTGAACAGTACTGGTACTCCGCGCTTGACGATGCACCTAGTATGAAAAGTTAAAGTCACTTTGTTGTACAATGCTAACACGGCACCAGAACGATCAGTTTTCTATTTCACACCATCATTTAGTTAATGATGGGCTGCCGAATCTTGAAGACCTGCAAGAGCAGGCGCTAGCATCAGAGGACGGTGCATCGACCTCGTCGGTGGTGCATACTCCTCCGTATGCCCCTGTGAGGGATAAAGCACAGGCTATTATGCTTCCACCTGAGGTACGTCCGAAAATACTAAGTGGTGTGAGTACGCTGACTGGTCTAGGATCTCACCCACTTGACCACACTCATGTCACAAGTCAAAATTAGCCCCGAAGTGCGGGCTTATCTTTACAATATCGTAGTCTTTATGAGGTTGCATCGAGCTGTTGCCGGTGGTATATCCGCAATGGCTACGAGACATTTCGATACAATAGCCCGGTATGTCACCATCTTTGCAGGAGTTCACCATGTACTCACACTTTCGCAGCGCGCTTGCTCCCCTCCACGGCCTTGATTACATGTCTCCATCGCTAGTCGCCCTCGCTGCCCGCAAAGTCTATCCACATCGAATCGTCATCACAGCACCGGAAAACGAGCGGAGCATGCAATGGGGCAGCTCGCTCGAAGCTGTGAAAGCTGTCCTGGAAGGCGTCACTGTTGAGGACGTAATTGAAGAGGTACTTCAGTCAGTAGAAGCTCCATTGTAAACATCTTTATCCGGAACACGATCAAACAACCGTCAAACGTTGCTGACTGAGAGAATTAATCCTTGGGAAGTAAGGGATGAGTAAGAATGCAGCAGGCTGATCGATCTTCGGCGATGGATAGCGATTGGCACGAAGCGGGGCATCGCCTGCCCCACTACAGGGGCGGCAAGAAACGCGCCCAATAAGGCTTGGACCTCGATTTCGAGACGGCGCACACAATCGAAGTACTTATATCAACGCCGTCCTGCCCTTGATACGCATTAATTGTGATATATATTATCGTCTGGCGTCGCAATGCCTCCCAGCTACTTTGACCACCTGGTCCCGGAGGCGAGAAACGGGAAAGAGGTACTGCCCGGTAGCCAACGTCACTCCGACGCGACTCCGCTAACTTCCTCTCTGAGAGCGAGCCTGGGGATCAAGACGCAAAGAGCATCAATAGTTCCAATAGCAACGAGGATGCCCTAGAGGTAGCTACTCCGCTGTACTCGCTTCAATCTCTCTAACAAGCTATTCGTAGGTAACTTTCGAAGGTGGCACCGCGCATCGTCGCAAAGCTTCCCTCGCGCCTCCTCCCACTACTTTTGCGAACATACCTTCCCGTCCTACAAGTGGACGTCGGTCCACGGGCTGCATTGTACACACACTGCTTGAGAAGCACGATGGGAAGCCGATCGATGACACGGAACAGACGGCATCGCATGAGGGACTCGTCGCAGAACACCGAATTGACAAAGACCCGCTCTCGCATGCCGGCCAGACACACCACTCGCGGCTGTTGACCAAGAACCAGATATCGGAAATGGCTCTTGGTATTAGGGAGCTCTCAAAGAAGCTGGCGCAAATCAGGCTCAAGCTCAATGTCCGGAATATCTTCATCCTGGCCAAGGCACACGACGAGACACTCATCAAGTACACGCGGGAAACGGCCGACTGGGTCTTGGCCAAAAACTCGAGGTACAACGTCTACGTGGAGGACAAATTGGAGAAGAACCGCATCTTCGATGCTGAGGGTCTCCTTGGGAAAAATCAATCATATCAAAGCCGTCTAAAGTACTGGACGAATGAGTTGTGCGCCAAAAGGCCGCAGACGTTTGACATAGTTTTAGCTGTAAGACATGCGAGAGCTGAATGTAGCATAATAACTGACAGTTGCAGCTTGGTGGCGATGGCACCGTTCTCTACGCATCCTGGTTGTTCCAGCGCATTGTGCCACCTGTCCTCTCCTTCTCACTTGGATCCCTTGGCTTTCTAACGAAGTTTGACTTCGATCAGTACCCATCAACTCTCAGTCGCGCATTCGAGGAGGGCATCACAGTCAGTTTGCGCCTCCGCTTTGAAGCGACGGTTATGCGATCACAGGAAAGGGAAGGACCACCCCGCGATCTAGTCGAAGAGCTCATAGGAGAAGAAGCCGAGGACGACCATACGCATAAGCCCGACGGAACGCGCAATATTCTCAACGAGGTGGTCGTAGATCGGGGGCCTAACCCAACCATGTCGAGCATTGAACTTTTCGGCGATGATGAGCACTTCACAACAATACAGGCTGATGGCATATGTGTCTCCACGCCCACGGGAAGCACAGCATACAATCTCGCAGCAGGCGGCTCGCTCTGCCATCCAGACAACCCAGTCGTGCTGTTGACCGCGATATGTGCGCACACGCTCTCTTTCCGCCCAATTATTCTGCCAGACACGATTGTGCTTCGCGCTGGCGTACCTTATGATGCGAGGACCAGCTCTTGGGCGAGCTTCGATGGGAAAGAACGGGTTGAGCTAAAGCCAGGTGATTACGTCACCATTAGCGCGAGTAGGTTTCCATTTCCGAATGTCTTGCCCTTTGAACGGAGACGGACGGATTGGATCGATAGTATAAGCAGGACGTTGCAGTGGAATTCGAGGCAGAAGCAGAAGGCGTTCAAAGAGTGGAGCTCTTAGATTAGACATGAAATCACATCTTGCGAGAAGTAAGATGAAACAGTCTGCGTACGTTGCGCTTAATTTAGTTCCTACTCTCGCCAGCAAGGTGCTTCTTTGGACGTCTGTTAACCACCCCACGAACCAAGGCTTTCAAATAGACGCTTTCAGTCAAGAAGGCAATTTATCATACGAGCCAATATCGCCAGCGCGTCATCGGGACAGTCAGCCAGCCTCAGCCTCGTTCAGCCCTTCATCGCCAAGGTCGACCAGCCGGACTGTGAACGCGAAAGGCTGATCGTACCCTCGTATTGTTGTCAGAAGGCTAGTATCTGCTTAGGACGGGTTTCAAGCTGTGGAGACTCTGGGCCCAGGTACCGCGCGGCCTCAAAGCGCGCAGGTGTTGGAAATCAACTGTAGACAATACGCTCGAGCCCGCCCAAGAAGGGGCAAAGCTGTATTTGACATAGGCTATTTGCTGGGCACTAGGCTGGGTGCATACCTAGGTATATCGTGTACGCTAATTTCAAGGTGGGACACCTCCAGGGCTATAAGTTTGGTGGCGATTAACTATACCCAGTTAGTATTAGCCCCCTCTCTCACCAATGATGCCTCCCCGAGCTGGGCGGCCCTCCTGCACGCGCTTCAGCTCATCAGCCGGGCCCTCATGGGAGCCTGGTCGCTGCTAGCCTTCTATCATTACCTTACCGCCGACTTAGCTTCTTGTCGTTCAAAGTATGACCGGGGATGCTGCCCAACGCTGCCTCTACAAAGACTCTCCGAGCTCAGATACAAGATGAACTCGCCCGTAAAATCCAAAACTCGGACAGCATCGCTGACGCCTATATTCGATACCAGGACATTCGGCAAGCCTGGTCTGGTCACGACACGATTCAGCATGCCTTGCATCCAGTCCGTCTATCGCCTGCGGACATTGATAGTATTCGTGACCGTCTTCTGGAGTACTTATCGATCCTCGTGTACATCGGCGCCGACGAATTTCTTGACAACTGCCGTGATTACTTCTTCGACGTACAAGGGAACGTTCTTCATGACGATTCGAAGTTACCGGTCAAAGAACAACAAGTACCGCCCGTTGGAAGTTTCCACCTCCGGCAACGATTCTTCAGCGACCAATTCCTCTTTAAGCCGGTAGGACCTCCACTCGCTTATTGTTAGTTTTCCAAACTTACTAGATTCGCAGGAGACACTTGTTGAATCATCAATAATAAAGAATATTGATAGCCAGCGTCGACTTCCATTTGAGTTCATCTCAAGAGATGTGTTTGCGGGCGCATACGGCAAAGTAGACAAGATGGGAATATCGCCTTTCTACCTTAATACAGTGGATGGCAACCAAAACCCTCATGTAAGTCCATTGTCCGGAATCTTAAGTACTTGCTAACAACCCTAGGTGAAATTTGTCGCATGCAAAAGGTTTCATGCCTCGAGCTCGTCCCATATCGACTCGAAACGAGAACTAGATAATCTACAGGTCTTGAAAGAAAGCATCACGTCTCACGGACATATTCGGATACATTTAGCAATCCTTTTCCATAAGGGCGAACATTTGATCCTGCTGCCATGGGCTGACCACCTTGATCTTGACATTTTCCTCCTTGGAGGCCACACTTTCATGGGCACAAAGCTTTACGATTTTAAACTGCGATTTCATCAGATTCAGCCAGCAACCATGATCAACGACATCTGTACCCAGATGTCTCACATTGCTGATGCTTTAGAGTGGCTTCATAAAGGCATTCTTGGGGGGGCGCAGCGAAATCGAGTTTATTTTGCGCATATGGACCTGAAGCCGAATAACATACTAATTGACACAGATCAAGCGTCGACTGTGGGAAAGTGGGTCCTTACGGACTTCGGTATTTCAGCCTTCAAAGAAGATGACTATTCAGCTCCCACCAATCTTCTGTCAATCCGAGATTTGTACGAAAACTTGACCATCAAGACGACTCCGCGCCGTGACCCTGGCGCTTACCAACCTCCCGAAATTGAACATATCATCAACAGGTCCTTGGGACCTGGTAGCAACGCTCATCCAGGACGTGCGGGGCGAAAAGGTGATATTTGGTCCTTCGGATGTATCTTCGCCGAGGTCCTTGCCTTTGCCCTTGGCCAGACCCCTGCCGTCGAAGATTTCCGGAAGTATCGCAAGGGGTTGCATAAAAATGATTATTTCTACGAAAAAGTCCCGAATCAGACACTTGTCCTACACAACCAGGGAACATCATATCAGGTACGCTCTGAAGTGAGAGCCTGGTTGGGCAGGCTACCAGAAACATATTCGTTTCCAAACAAAGCCATCGACTGCTGTGTGCAAACAATCCTGGACATTCTTGTGGCGGACGGTTCGAATAGGCCCAGAGCGCATGATTTAGTTAGAAAGATGGAGCATGTTGCAAACCATGTAATCACTGCCCGACGTCCCGGGCCCCTTCGAAACTGTCCATTGGTAAGGCATTCACCGCAGCTACAGGTTCCACCACTGCCAAATGAAAATCCCGTCGACTCATACACATCGTTACAACACGAAATCTCGCGGCTTCCGTCAATCAAGAGGACCAAGACTGGATTTGAAGAGACCCTCCTCAGTAACGGTACACCTTCATTCGGAGGAGAGAGTCACGTATCTAGGTTTGCAATGCAAGGTCCGGCGTCTGAGCCCACTTCTACACAACTACAACCTACACTGAGTCCTGTAGCGGATAGTACACAACGCTTCGAAACCAACCAAGATAACACTCAGTTCTCACAAAATACTACTCCTGACCGAATCAATTCACCCAGAGGATTAGCAATCAATCTAGGAAAAGACGACCCAAGTGACTCGTCTTATGAAGACAAATCATCGGGGTTCAGGCCATCCTTCGCCAGAGAATCCAGATTAGACCTCCATGGAGTTATACTCAATCAAGACAAGCTGCGTGAGACTAGGGATCCGGTAGAAGTCAGTATAGCTGACTTATCCAAATCTGAGGTTCTTTCAGTCTCGCTTTGTCCATCAGGACATCGCATAGCCTTTCTCGTCACACGACCGAAAGACATGCATCGATTAATCTACCTCTGCAAGATCTCCTTAAACACGCTAAAACTACAACCCGATGGATTACCCATCAAATTGCCTCTAGGCCCAGAGTGGAGTCACATAGTACAATCTGGATGCAATCACGTCGTATGGGGCAATAGCCGCGGAGGAATCAAACATGTAAAGAGACGAGGGCTCGATAGCTTCGACATAGCTGACGATCAGATGTAGGTTTACATGGGTAGCGGAGTGATCGAGCGCGCAAAGTGGGATTCGACGCAGCACTCGTGGCTAGCGGCGCTGGTCGCGGTCGCAGTCTCCAAACATGGCTCGGTTGCGTTTGTTGGAACTAAGAATATCTGCTATGTCAACTTAGCGTCAGTAATATTCATCAACTAGACTATCTCTGTAAACATCAACCTAACTTATAGTAGAGACATTGCAAACTTCCGGTCTCTTGACGTCGAGCAGGAACACACATTTACTCATGGTGCCTTCAACGACGACGGCACTCTTCTATACGCATGGGCATTCGGTCGACCGGACGATCGCCTGTATGTTTGGCGCATTGATGAAGCTACGAGAGATTTGGTCCTTCCTACAGACTCGGAAGGAAGCTATGAGTCGGTATGGCAACGCCCCCCTCATCTGACGCAAGTACTGACGTTTTGAAAGAAACAACAAGGAAAATCGAACACAACTCTCATTCCTTATAACAGCTATTTAGGTTGCATCATACGTGCGCCAGGAGATGTTTTCTTCCCAGCTCAAATCCGCAGCACGCACCGTGGAAGTAGTACCACTCTTCCAAAGATGACTACAATAATTCCCAAGACCGTTGCAGCTTGCGTGTATGGCGATCACTCGTTGCTTGTAGTTGAGAAAGGCATTTTACATACGCGCATCCGAGAACATCGTATCGTCGGCGGCGCTAATCACATCATCGAAGCTGCAGCGAAACGGCCTATGGTTGAATGGAATTTTTCCGCGGGGAAGATTACGCAAATGAGAGTGGTCCATGTACCAGACACCGATGATCTGATGATTATACTTTGTACTCTGGAGAACAAGGTGGTCTTGATCCCAATCATCGCGAGAGAGACAAGAAGCTGAGAGAACCGCTGGCCAGATCTCACTAAGTTGTAGAGTTCCATCTATGCAATAATCTTAGACTATCCACATCGAATCACCCTCATCCACAACCATCGAGCAATTTTAGAATCTGGAAGATGCATGTAATTGATCCAAAGCAACAGAATTCTCGCAAACTCCGGTCATTGATCCGCCTTTTTCGAAAAGACTACAGCTGAGCGACTACGTGCTTTCATCTGCCACGGCCAACGAAACGTTTTCCGCTTCAATTTAGAATCAAGATACAAGATTAGCACGTACACGGCACCTGTAATAAAAATGAGAGGAAGCCAGGTTGCAATGAAGATCCAGAAGTCGGGCGAGATCTCGAGCTGTTTTGAGATTGGATTGAAGAGGAAGAAGTTCATGCCGAAGAGTGTCTGGCCAGAAAGTCAGCAGTCCTTCTTACAACAGGTGACAATAAATGGAATTCACTCACAGCAATAAAGCTCCCTGGAAGATATACTGCAGACACGAAGGTTATGATCTTCACGGTCGCGCTATCGTCAACGGTGTCTTCGGTAAGCCTCTTTAGGCCTTCGGTCAAGTCACGCAACTCCGTGTCAATCTTCGCCGCCTCGAGCTGGTTATGTAAAGTCAAAGTGTAGCCGACCTGCACTGGTTAGCATCGTGATCATACAAGCTGGATAGCCAAACTCACAAGGTCAATCAAATTTTGCACCCTACCCTTGAGCACATCCGCACTTTCGATATATCCTCCCATCTTCGACTCATGTGCGCTCAGTTCATCCAGATTACTGAGTAGCCGAATCGACGATCGAGATAGTTGGCCAAGAAGAGCTAAGTTCCCTGAACAACAAGCGCGTGCGAAGAGGATGAAGTCGTTCGTATTACGCAACCGTTGAACCCTTAAAAAGCTCGACTTCGGTTCTGTGCGCTCTGGCTGTATGACCATGGCAAGGTTGTTCTCCTCAGCGAAACGTTCACCAATATAGCGGAAGTACCAGCGCCAATTGTCAAAGTATTGAGAGAAGAGCAAAGTATGCAACAGGAACGGGTTGTCACAAAATCCCGCCCGTGTGGTCGGATCATTCTGCAGCGACTTTATCGCAGTTTCGGCCAGGGGCATACGAATGGGATGCAACAGGATGATTACATCGATTCCACCTGTAGAGCTATGGTGGTGGAACACACCCGTGTGCCGTAGGGACCAAGGATCTTGACCCCCACGTTGATTTTTCTCGACATAGCGAATTTGGTACGAGAGGTCGCAATCACCAGATAGCTTTCTAGTGATGATAGCGTTATTACTGCTCCCCTCAGCCAGGTTTGGATTCTGACCAAATGACGCGACGACATTTGAGAACTCATGGTGGACGTGGTGCACTTCAAAAACGTGTTCTAGTAGCGCCTGGGTAACTTCCAACGGTGATATAGTCCTCCGCGAGTACACAGAACTGGGTTATTGTTACTAGCGAGAATTAGTATTACGATAGGGACCACTTACATAATGCGGACTCTTGTTCTTTCGAGAGGGGGACTGTCGAACGCGTTGAGGAAGACTTCGGGCGAAGTATACGGCGTTGAGATGTAATGGTCTAGAAATTGTCAGCCACTGTTTATTTGCTATATCAGATGCATTTTTGCCTTTCGCAACATCTGTTATTCTGATATTTACTGCATTGCTACCGTCTTTCGCGAGCACATTTGAATTCGGAAAAGACCATGGCCAGACACGAGGCTGGATATTGTGTGACGACATCATGCGCAATGCTGGGTAAACTAGAGACGGTGATTCCAGACGACGACGTGTATTATCTACTCATATGATACCAAAGCACAAACCGGTCAAGATAGATGTCACTGAATGCTGCGGTCGAAAATGAAGCCTGGCAGGCTGTTTTCATTCACGATTATCCCGGTTCTGAAGGTGGCCACACGGCGAAGTCCGTGTCATACGACGCGGGCGCAGACTCAGCCGCACCTCATTTCATTCATCGGTGACCTAACTACCCTCTGATAGGCTCGCAGCACACCCAACTCGTATAATGCGACTCTATTAGGAGGACCCCTACGACTCTGCGGAGCCTCATCATCCTGAGCTGCCTAGCTATTCTGTATTAATTGCTTTCACATTTTCCTCAATCTCTTCAATGAGACGACTGAAAATTCAGTTAGCTGGGGGGCGAATGGCTTCGTTTCAAGAACTACTAACGTAATCTCCTCCTAAATTTAAATTAGCGGAATCAAATTATGGCTTTGAATGCACATACCTCTTCAATTTTCTCTGGTGCCTCAAAGGTCCATCGGTCGCAGACATGCTACGCGTAAACTCATTAGAAACGCCCCTTTCATTAGGTCTTTATCCTGTACCTCGACGTTGAACTCATAACTAGGGTATTCCTGCTCATACTTGGCCCTGAGAAACTTCTCCAGATCTTCAGCCAGGGGGATGTACCGCGTCTGAACGGGTTCGATGACGTTGAGGACCATTGTAGTGCGAGGATCGGAACAGCGCCTTGAATACTGATAGTTAAGGGGGTGATAGCCATGAGCAGTTTTCCGCTCATATTATATCTGTCTGCCTTTCCGTAATTTCAGCCGCCACCCTCGTCCTTCACACCAGGGCTGCAAAAGCAGAGGCCTGTTATTGGATAGGCCACGCATCACACGCGAATCAATATCGCCATCGCAGCCCCCAAAATCCTCAGCCTGCCTCAGCCTGCCTCAGCCTGGTCGAGTCTTTCAATGCCATGAAAAGACGAGCCTGCTAATAAACGACCAGCATATCCTGCCAGCTTATGCCCGTGATATATACTATCCTGTATTTTTCTTTGCATTTGAAGCCTGAAATTGAGAAGGGATTCGACACCATGTCTGAGCACAGCCAGCCGAGGCTTAAGTGAGTGCAAGCGTGCGGTTCGGGTGGCGGGTGCTAGTGCTGATTGGTATTAGGCAAAATCTCCAAGGGTGGATGATCTTCGTACGACTCAAACCCATCTTCCTCTCACGCCCCGAAACATTCGCATTGCTTATGAACATAGCTGATAGTGTGCATCACAGTTTATCGTCATCAGTGCCGTGATAGGCACCGGCATATTTAGCAATGGCGGCTCTTCTGTTGAGATTGCTGGCCCGGGGGGAGCACTGTTTGCACTTGTCATTATGGGTGAGTGTTCTTGTACTCAAAATCATACCTCAAGCCTAAATTCATTGCTAAATTGGAGCAGGGGTGATCGCCATCTGTGTGGCAGAGAGCCTGAGCGAGCTAACCCAGCTGTTTCCTGCACCAAATGCCATTGTCGAGTATGTACGAGCCTTTATCGACGAAGATTTCGGATGGGTGATTGGTATCGCCTACTGGTACGTCTCTCAACCCGATTTGAACAGAATAAATCCTGATATATTGCCACTAGGTTCACATACTCCTCTATCTTCGCAGCGCAAAATTTAATGGCAGCAAATTTGGCCGTTTACTGGGGTCTTAAACCAGTGTGGCAAATTATAATCTTTTATTTCGTCACCCCCGGGATGATAGTCGGGATCAACCTAGTTGGAGTCGGCACCTTCGGGTGGGTTGAGGCTGTTGGTGGAATTCTCAAGATTGTTCTTGTAGTGGGGATAACCATTGTGCTATATGTCATGGCCGGGCAAGGTGAGGCGAGCTCCTCTAACATGTATAAAACTTGATACTGATCAAAGTTAGAGCACCATTGGTCCGAGGGCCGTAAGTTCCTTTCCCTCCATTTCTAGTTCTAGAGGTGGTATTGATTCTTCAAGCAATCCAGGCCGGATTTGTATATAACGAAAAGTTCACGACGAACAAATACAGAGCTCTAGCGTAAGCGATAAGAAACCTTCGTGGATCGAGGATTGAACAATCAAAACTGACAGTGTGCTAGGTACGTTATTCCAATGGTCGCATTTGGCTTCCTAGGTATCGAGACCGTTGCGGTCACAGCATTCGAAGCCCGCACATCTAGATCCTTGCGGCTGCCTTCTCAATCTATCGCCTACGTCACCCTCTTATTATACTTTCTATGCCTGCTTGGCCAGTGCCTAAATGTCCCCTGGACTGACAGCCACCTACCGCTTATCTACGGTGGCATTGGCGACGGGGCCACTGATACTAAGGATCTCAGAAATCCCGCATCCAGCAGTCTTACAATTCTAGCGCTTTGGGCCTGGGGAAAGAAACACCTGGCCGGCTTCCTCAACGGCGCGATGATATTTAGCGTGCTTTCCGCTAGTAACACCTCGCTGTATGTGGCGTCGCGTACCTTGTACGGCGTTGCGCGAGATGTCCCAACCAGCAACCTACTAGGTCGACTAATTCACGGTCTATCGGTCGTTGTACCCAAAACGGGTGTGCCAGCTCGTGCCCTGGTCTTCTCGGCTTTATCGTTCATCTGGCTACCATTCGTCACTCTTAAAGGTGGCTACGCTGTACAATATGTAAGTCGCCTGTAGCAAGTTAGCTGCTATTGGGCTAACTGATGAACCAAGCTCATCGAGATAATCCAAATCTCCTCTAGTGTAAGCTGTCTTATAGTCTGGGCGTCAGTGTCTTTTGCGTATTTACGCTATTACATATGGTTCGTCTCCTTTTTCCCCTATTATCGCCCTCCGCCTATGTGTCATTGACCTCGCTAGGCTCAAACACTGCAAAAAACATCTAGTTGGCGACTACGAGCAATTCAGGCGCAGTACCGGCACCTACAAGCCATTCACCCTCCTCGCCTTTGCTCAACCCCTCCCGGCCATTATATCTATCGTTGGCTGCCTTATCGTCTTCGCATTCTGCAGTGCGACTTGGTGGGACAAGGAAGTTACTTTCTCGAAAGTCGCGATCGGCTATGCAGCTCCACTTATTTTGCTCGTTCTATTCATTATCTTCAAGATCATCAATCGCCGACTTTGGATTCGCACTAGCGACGACTTTTCAAGTCTTTCGCAGACGCTGGATAGGTTGAAGTGGTACAAGCTAGATGAAGTAGACATGTCACCACAGCGGCATCACGAGGAGGCAACGAGGGTGTTGTCACCGCCGCAAGTGGCGTCACCACCAGAGGGGTCGACACTGGAACTGGTGGAGATTGGGCCAAATTGATAGTGTGAAGCTAGCTATTTCTCTCTCAGTCATGTCAGTATTCAAGCTCAAGTGGTCATCACTTACTATGAGACTAGTTTCATTTTTCTTGATTGGATTTTGGAATAATATAATAACGGATCTCGTCTTGTTGATGTGTCTCAAAAGCTAGAAATTTACCCACCTATGTATGATAGTCCTTAAATCAGAGAAGAAGAAGATGTGAAGCTCAAAGAGGTCTGCAAATTATAAATGCAGCATTACAATATAATGCATAGTATGATACCACGACTGTCGGTTGCAGCAACTATAGAACTAAGTCCATCTACGTAACAGCGATGCTGCATGCATTCGCGACACCATGACCTTCTCCACTGTGCTCCAGTCGATCATGCCATCAGCCCCACCCAACGCTGCGGGGTCGTGAATTGTTGTGTTGTGGCACAGTGACCTCTCGTGTTCCCACTCTACTTCGTATCGGCCAGAAACGCGCTAAGACGCCTGCGCACAGGCCGCGAACGCCGAAGAAGTTTTCTCCTGTATCGATCTTTGCACTGCACACCCACGCTATTGGTTACCCCACCGTGTCGCCGAAGTCCGCTTTCCGTGCACAATGCCTTTGTTCGACTCCTTGTTCTCTAAAAGCCCTCCCCCGACGAGCTCCATTGGCGCCGTGGGAGCTTCGGTTGGAGCAGCTGTAGGCGCTGCTACACAGCGCGTGAAGCTTCCTGGGTTCGGCAGACATCTGCTCCGTGGCATGCAAGCACATCAATTCTATATCATCGTTGGGGCTGCATCTATTAGCAGTCTACTTCTCTTGCGATCTGTCGCCGGATCTTCGCACTCGAGGACTCTCAAGCCTATTCCATCGCCTCGCGAAGTTCTCCCCCCGGAAGTCTTGAGGGCATCGCCGTATCCCCCCGATGCATTGGATGGTGCACGGGATGTAGAAACACCGTATGGCAGCATTCGTGTCTATGAGTGGGGGCCAAAGGATGGAAAACGTGTGCTGCTCATCCATGGGATGTCGACACCAAGCGTTGCACTAAGCGATCTGGCACATAAGCTCGTCAAGAAAGGTTGTCGCGTCATGGTGTTCGGTACGTAAAGAATCCTCCCAGACACGTATCCAATACGCGCTGTTTCATGTCACGTGTGGATTTATATTCTTCTGGTGTTGAATCATCCTCTAGCAGAATCGCCTGTCCATTTCCTTATTTCCCTTGTTTAAACAGTATCGCATCACTTCGCTTTGCAGCTGTAATTCTTCTGACAATATTAGATCTATTCGGTCGTGGGTACTCTTCTGCTCCAGACCCAAGGGTTTATCGCTATGACTCCGCCCTTTACATAGCCCAGATCTCGATGGCTCTACAATCTTCTCCAATAGGCTGGTCTTCCTTTGCGATCGTAGGCTATTCACTTGGCGGTGCTATTGCCGCTGATTTTGCCTCTTACTTCCCTAACCTGGTCCGTGGACTCGTTCTCGTCGCACCGGGAGGACTGATCCGCACGAACCATATTGGATGGCTAAGCAAATTCATCTACTCCCCGGGCGGTATTCTTCCCGAGTTTTTCGTCAACAGACTTGTGTCAAGCAAACTGCACAAGAACCCTGAGCTCGCAAGCACTATCGAGCCAGACGCGCAGGCCGTCGAAACTGGAGTAAGGTTCAATGGAGTGAGCCTTTCCGAGAGTCACGGCTCGGTTGCTGAGGTCTTGGACTGGCAGCTACAATACCACAAGGGATTCATACCTGCTTTCATTTCAACCATGCGGTATGCTCCACTCCACAATCAGCATGATCGGTGGGGCGTCATTAGAGAGAACATCGAAAGAAAACAAGGACGTCTCAAGGAAGTTTGGTTTGTGCTAGGTGAGATGGACCCAGTTGTTGTCGCAGAAGAGCTTATGGAAGACGCGAAGAACGTATTAGGTGAAGAGCTTGCGAGATTCAGGTTGGTCAAAGGTGTTGGCCACGAGGTCGCGACCGAGCGCGCGGATGAAATCGTCAGAGTCGTCAGCAGGGTCCTTTGAATAAGTAGTAAGTAAATTGCGAACGTATATCTACAATAGACCATCGATTTCAACTACATTCGTTGCTCATGTTGGCATGTTTGAGTAAATGTGCCAGCACGAAGGCGCAAGTTTAGTTTCTCTGCGCAAGAATCGCAGCTCCACATCGTCTTCAGCTGTCAACGGGGAGTCAATCATCCAGACACCTTTGTCTACGGGACATGAAGGGGTAAGTAGATATCGACCGCACAGAGGGGTTATCGCTCACTAATCCATGCGCTGCACTCTCTGTAAGTATGGTAATTCGAAGAAAGTGATCGGCAGGAAACCGAATGGCCTTAGCAGAAAGTGCAGAGTTCACCTTACGTACCGTCCGATCTGCTAGCTGCTTAATATGTGCGCTCCACGCTTTCTGTCCAGAGCCCATGGTCTAGGCAGTGGCCACTCGGTCAGGACCTATCGCTCCCAGAAGCTAGTTTCTGTCCCATACTAGCGAACTCAAGAAAGCATGGCTTGGTCAATTAACCTGCAGCGCATCCTGGATTAACACATCAGTTGGCTTTCTGTGCTCATATACCTGCATTGATTCTAGCAATCCTTCGTGATGTATGTGCCCCAATCCAACCCAGCTCACTAGCACGATAGACTATATGTATAAAACTTGTACATTCCAAGGTAGAGACAGGACTATACTATACTAACACAAGCTATTAGAGTATATAAAAAATACTACGTAGTGTAGTGTACGTGTACTACTCGACAGCAGTCTACTCTGCCTTCTCAAACTTCTTGAATCCCTCTGGGATATCCGCCGCAACGGTTCCATTCATTGCAAGCTGAACCAATTCATCAAGTAGGCTTTCCTCCATCCCTGAAAGTAGGTATTTCTTTCCATCCTCGAGGACAATTACGTCCGCCTTCTGAAACTCCGTACACGTTTGTCCAGAGGTCTCAGCATCGCACACCTCCGAACTGCGCTTCTTTCCACGGAAACCGTAGCCAGCACCCGTAAACCCTCCTCCTCTAAGGCACTTGAAGGTGCCACCGGACAAGTTTTCTGTCACCTTTTGTACCCCACAGCGATTGTCGCCTGATCGTGAGTGGCCCCTACATTCGATATTCCAGTTGGTTGGCACGCCATAGAAGCCAATGCTACCGTAAAGGCCGCTTTCCACATAGCAGCACCGCTATTGAGTTATGTCAGAGTTTTATGTACTAGAATTGCGAGGATGGGTTCTTCTGACATTGGGTGTAAGGTTCAGGCATTCGTAGGCTCCACGGTCACAATTGCTTCCAGCGTGAATGCGGACATCTATTGCAGAAGCTGCGGCGGCAAGGCCAAGGACAATGCTTAGATATTGCATATTGAGCGGATGGGATAATTGATTGCTGGAGTAGATAGGGTTTTCGTAGTAGTTGAGAGGCTGATGCGATGCAGAAGCAGTATTGGGGGAAACTTCCTGCCTTTTATACACAATTGGTCGTCTGACCTCAAGATTTTTCTGGCGTTTCCTATGGAATTAGATCATACGCCTGTTGCAGATGACTAGCGAATAACGACTTCAGTTTCGCTCGTTGTTCTCGTAAATGTAAGTAAGATCTCGCCTTGCCTATCAGCACTGTAGGAGAGCTGGAGCATGGGGCGATATGTATTGGATAGGGCAGGGTAGATACTTGCGCGTAGGCCCGATTGATTTTGAGCCCTAATACAGACAAATTCCTCCGTGAAAACGCGGAGAGTCCTTTTCCCGTGAAACTCTACCTCGATGCATGCTGTTACAAGCTCATTCCACAGGGACCAAGCGTAAACATTCTCTTACAAGCACACTGCAAACCCACAGTACTCATGGTCGATTGCTGATTTCTGCATACCTCAATTCTACCGCTGTCCCCAAAAGTAGACCGGGCGTAAAGGGGAGCTAGCAGAGCTGTTTATGCCCATTTCAAGGCTAACAAGAGACTCCAAAGATTAGCGTTGACCGTGTTTTGCAACTTTCGTCAGTTGGCCTATATGTACTTGCCAAGGACCATCCCGGGGCACAGTGCTTATGCCCTTCACGCGGAACGCCTTACATTAGTCCTATACGTTAGCTTCAAACCAGGATGACCTTTTGCAAACTCTTTAGAGATTGTGCGTCATGGAAGTCTAGCATTGCCCCGCTCTATCACTGGTGGCCTTGTCTGACAGTCTGAGCCGCTTTCAAATACGCTGCAGTTGCAATTAGCCGGACAAGCCAATACAACAAACCAAAACGCCCCGTTGCTTGTGTGAAGATGCCTTTAGATCTGTAGGTCACATTAACCCCGACGTCTAGGGCATTTAACTTTTACATTATGTCTTCAACACAATCCAACGAGAGGCAATATCCTCTGAAGCGAGACACTCTCGCATCAGCTCGGTAGGTTGCATTGAGTCCAGCCTCGATTCCTCATCCCAAAACGGGTAAGCTGACATTGTATGCTAGTCTGAACTTGAATCATTTCTGGATGAAGAACCTGGCGGGCTACCTATTGCATCCAAAGATTCCGACCAATGTGGACAACTTCCGCCTTGCAGACCTCGGAGCAGGCACAGGGTAGGCACTGCACTCATCATCCAAAATCTCCTTCTATCATTGAGCTGGCATCGTTGTTCTAATACGAGCAGACTCTGGGCATGCGACGTCGCAGCGGCCTTGCCAAACGCGTCTGTGGATGTCGTCGACATCTCCGATGCACAATTCCCACCCGACGCATTCCGCCCACGAAACACGCGTTTTTGGACGCATGATTGCTTTCAGCCCTTTCCCCCAGAGTATCTGGGCCAGTTTGACGCTGTCAACATCAAGTTCATGTTGTGCATCGTCAACGATGATGTAGCAGATAAGTTGATTGAAAACGTGCTCATGCTATTAAGTATGTCGTCAAACACTTTGCGCAATCAGTTCTAGCTGTCTCGGGGGAGATGAGGTTGCAGTATCATGCTAACTTTTCCTAGAGCCTGGAGGCCACCTGCAATGGTTCGAGCCACTGCCAAACACAGTGCGACATCGTGGACGAACGGACAAATTGTCTACGCCGGCATGCGATAAACTGATGGCGATGTGGAAAAAGCCTGCACCGCAAAGTTCGTACAAGTTAGCGCCTTCCCAGTGATTCCTTGGTCTAGTTAATATCGGTGCTAACTATGTGCAGTTGGGTCCACGCACTGCCTAAGCTCTTTGAAAGCTACAAGCTGCAGGTCATTGCTGAGGACAGGCATGAAAACCCTGATTACTACATGCAGGTTGTTGCGCAGTCGATGTTCCTAGGTCAACTTGAACATTTTGGTAGTGCCCCGGGCGTTGAAGAACAGGCCGAGCAGCTGCAAGACGAGTTCAGGTCTGGCGCAATGGTTGATGTAGTCTGGACGTGTGTAGTTGGTAGAAAAGCACTGTAACGGCAATACGAGCAAACACTACTAGAAAATATAATTGCGCGTACCTATGACCGGGATTACATGCCTGAATCTGACAGTTGGGGGGCTGTGTACTGGCACAGCCTCCCTACCGTTGAATAAATACATTGATAAAGGTTGTTGCCAAATCGTGGATTCGAAAACCTGATAACTTCGATAGTCAGATTTACTCTAGAGATGGAGCTCTGCAAGGCTGAACCGATCAGCGCGATCCGGGCACTTCCTGGACTATACATCTCAGAGTAAGGGAACCGGGTCTCCTTCAACGCAATTGCGCCCGGAGCCTAGCTAATGAAGGCGAAGTGTCACCATTCCACGCTCGAAAGAACTTCTTTGCGAGCACAAAATCACTCACGTACTGAGCTTGACAGATCAGAAATATCTACCAAGGATAGACGAAGTGCTAAGCATCAAACACTTGCATTTAGCCATCGATGACAATCCGTTCGAAGACTTGTTGATGTCGCTGGAGGGTCTTTGTGTTTGGATTGATAATGCGATCGCAACTGCGCACGAGCCGAGGGTGCTTGTGCATTGTGTAGAAGGCAGATCTCGCAGTGGGGCTATCGTCGTCGCTTTGCTGATGCGCAGCCACTCACTCGAGTACGAAGAAGCTCTCGCCCTTGCGCAACTGTCTCGCAGAGTCATTACACCTAATAGTGGGTTTGCGGATCAGCTCCGCCTCTGGAAAATTATGGAGTACTCCATTCTTGAGATGGATCATGTTGGGAAATGGACGACGAAGTTGCAGTACGAGGAATGGAAGGCGAGTCGAGGTGTCCTGTATACAAAGGATGAAGAGATGAAGCAAGAAGCAACGAGAAAACGCATGGCGGATATGGTTATCGAGCTTAGGCAACGCGTGCTGGAAAGAGACCATGACAACGGAGAGGGAGGATTGTCGAAATGATGTGTTGATGTACCTGGCCTTCACCAATGCGTAACTTGCATGCATCTACGCATCCCCGTATGGCAGTGAGTTAGGGTTAGGCGGGGATAATGGCGGGACTATGCGTGCGACATACTGGCAAGCTGAGCAATCTCATGAATATGGAGTACGGCGTCCTGACAAGAACATACTGCTAAAAGGGAACAAGGCTGGGAGTAAACGGCTTTGACACATTCAACATTAGGAAAGTGACTGGAGTCTGTAGGCCTATTTCCGCTTCGATGTAACAGGTGACTAGCGTCTCGGCGACGCTAGCACGGTCCATGCATGGGCACTGACATCAACCGTCATGGATCATGGAGCTGGAACCTCGAATCTACACATCTCCTCACTGTTGCTTCAGTAAACGTCACACTGGGCGTGTACCTACTTCGATTGGACTTTTCGCCTCGCTGTGGTTATTCTCCAGCAAATTTGCTGCCTGGAACGCTACCTGCGCCGCCGCCAGCCACCCGATCTTCGCATCTCCGTGCCTACATCAACCGCACCGCACCTTACCCCACACGCACATAGCGACTGCACGCCATGGCATCTAGGAAGAAGGTTCTTCTCAAGGTACTGCAGCTTCGTGAAAGAGAGCCAGGCTGGTGCTAACTCCACGTAGGTCATTATCCTGGGAGACAGCGGGGTAGGCAAGACGAGCTTGATGAACCAATATGTATGGCCCGCTCTGCGATGGAGCGTCTTTTGACGACTTGCGCGAACCCTCCAGTGGGTGCAGAGCTTACACAGGACTGCAGGTCAACAAGAAGTTCAGCGCAAGCTACAAAGCGACAATAGGCGCCGACTTTCTGACCAAGGAGGTGCTAGTCGATGACAGGCTGGTGACGATGCAGGTGGGTACTCAGCATACGAGCGGGTATATTTCGACTCACATGTTATAGCTTTGGGACACGGCTGGTCAAGAACGCTTCCAATCCTTAGGCGTTGCCTTTTACCGCGGCGCCGACTGCTGCGTGCTCGTCTACGACGTCAACAACTCGAAGAGTTTCGATACACTCGATAGCTGGAAGGATGAGTTCTTGGTGCAGGCTAGCCCAATGGACCCAGATACCTTTCCATTCGTACGGGCCACTATGTGATATACAGGGCATGGTTACTGACTGGAACAGGTCGTCATCGGAAACAAAATCGATGTGGAGGACAGCAAAAGAATGGTGAGCTTGAGCGCTTCTCGGTTTGCATGTACAACACTAACAGCTCCGTATAGATCTCTTCCAAGCGCGCCCAGGCCTTCTGCCAATCGAAGGGCCATATCCCATACTTCGAGACGAGCGCGAAGGAAGCAATCAATGTCGAGCAGGCTTTTGAGGGTATGCGCGATATACGACTGCCACCACATAGTTGTCTATGATAGCTAACACCGTGCACAGTGATCGCACGGCAGGCACTGGCGCAAGAAGATGTCGGCGGCGAGTTCGGCGGAGACTTCCCTGAGACGATCCCTATCGACCTCAAGGGCAGTGATGGCGGCTGCGCATGCTAGTGGAAGCCTCCGCGCAGTGATCTCCGCCCACAATAGTCTCTTATCGTGTTTTATATTGTCATCAACCCGGAGTTTGCATGGAGTTTGGTGTGTCGCATGCCTTCGTTGTCGGGAAGTTCCTTTTCTTGCCTGTACACTACACCACTATCCTGGCATCCAGGGCTTCATTTTTGCCTAGCTTATATAGTTACCTACAATCAATATAACGTACACGTCAGCCAAGCTGGTGAGATAAAGCCCTTGATGATACCTCTGAAGCCTAATGACGTGCAGTGGCTGAGCCGGACCCTGGACGCCACGGATGGGAGACGTTAAGCACTACCCCAATAGTAAAGTATTTACTACCCTTTTAAAGCTCGCTTATTATTAGTTTTATGCTATTATTGCGCTATTAAAATAATAATAATTTTAGTAGCAAATTAATAAACTAAAAGTACTTAAAAATTATAATAAAACTTATATTATATATTAAATAATTAATAATTTAGTATTAATAATAAAATTGTAGTTTTAAAGCCTGCGCGCAGTTAATATAATTTATTATTTATAATTTATTTTTTATATTATTTAGTAAGCTATATACTTGTTTTTAATAATAATTTTATTATTAATAATATTATTATTTTTATTATTATTATTATTACTATTTTTATTACTATTATTACTGCGCAGCGTAGTATTGTACAATTTAATTTAAATTTTATTATTATTTTTAAGCAATAATTTTAAAATTAATAATTTACTATAGTAAATTATAGTATTTTTATTTAATATAAAATTATTGCTTAAAAAGCTTAATAAAAGTTTATTAAGTAATAATAATACTAATACTAGTAGTAAAGTTATTATTAAAAAAAGTAAATAGCTAGCTTAATATTATAATTATAATTATATATTATATTACTATTACTATAGCAAGCTGCGTAATAAATTTATTAATAATATAAATTATAATTTTACTTATTTATAAAATAAATTTAATTATAATTATAATTATTTATTACTACTAAAGCGCCTTTACGCTAGCTTTAATAATATTATTAATATTATTAAATAATAAATAAAAAACTATAAATTATTATATAATAAACAGAAATAAGCGTATAGTTAATAAAATTAGCTATTAATAGTATACAATAAATAAAGCAAATACTATAATTATTATTATATTAGTAAAAAGCAAAAGCGCTTTAAAGCAGTATTATTAAAAAATAATTATTAAATATAGTTTTATTTTTTTGCAGAAAATAATCGCAGCTTAAAAAATTAATAAAAAGTTAAATAATATAAAAATAAAACTAGTATTATTTATAATTATTTTTTAAAAAAAAATATAATAGTAATTGCATTATATTAGCAGGCAACTTAGACTAATAAAATAAAATAGTATTTTTAAAAGCTATAGCTGCGCATTTATAGTATAAAATAAATATTATTATTAATTTAAAATATTTTTTTAAGTACTAAATTTACTTGCTAAAATATTATTAATAAATATTATTTATAGTAGCATTAAGAAATAGGCGCGCAAACAAAAGTAGAAGTATTAGTAAAAAAATTAAAAGCTAAAAAATACTAGTATTAGTAAATTAATTTTATAATAAATTTATAATATTAAAGTTTAAAATTTTGTATATAAGCTTATTTTAGATTTATACTAATATTATAGCTTGGGCTTTAGCCCAAGCTCTAGTATTTGCGGACTAAAGACTTCGGCAAACCTCAGCAATAAACCCCTATATAAGTAGCTAGAAATCTCTGTACTTTTTTAAAGTATATAATACTATTATTTACGCTTAGAACAGAATAATTCTAAAGCTAGTCTATAACAACTAACAAATTTTGCAATATTAGGCATACAGTTAATAGTAATAATTATTTTAATTTTTTTATATTTATTTATTTTATGTGCTTTTAACTGTTTAAAAGCTTTTTAAATACTTTTATAATTAATTATACTTTTAAAATAAATTAATATAATTACTTACTTTTTAATTTAGTTAGTTTAAATAGTAATAATTAAACTATATACTTTAGTATTATGCTAATAAAGTATAAAAATAAAGCAGTTTTTACTTAAGTATTAATATAATTAAAGGAACTATTTAAAGTTAAAAATATTATAATATAGTTTTAAGTAATAAATAATAATCTAGCATTTATTAATATATTAAAAAAAATATTTAAATATTTTTATATTTTTATATGCTGCTAGTATATAAATAAAAATATTTAATTATACTTAAAAACTATTCTACTAACTAAATTTAGTTAGTAGTAAAAAAGTTAAATTTAAATTAATAATAATAATACAAAAAAATTTATAAATTTTTATATTAAACTAATTAACTTGCTAATAGTTGCTAATTATAAAGCTAATTTAGCAGTAGTTAAAGTATTTTTAAACTAAGCTATAGCTTATTTTTAAAAATATTAGCTAGCTTGCTATGCAAAAAAACTAGTAAATTATTTTATTAATATTAATTTATACTTTAATTTTATTAAAACTAGTAAAGCTAAAAGTGCTTATTGTATTATTAAAAACTAGCTTGCTAATAGCTAGGCTAATATTTTATAATTATTTTACTATTTTTATATATTTTACTATAAGTATACTACTTATATATTACTTTTAAATATATAAAGCAATTTTAAACTCTACTATAATTACTAATATTTAATTTATATAAGTATATTTTATTAAATAACGCAGTATACTTTAGCTTTTACTATTAAATAAATAGTATATACTTATAATAAGCTTTAATAGTATTAATAAAATTTTAATTATAAACTAATTATCTGTAAAAGTTAGTATATATTATTATATAAATTATTTTATTAGTATTAATTATTTAAACTACTAAAAGAGTTAGCTATATTTTAAATAAGCAATTACTATTAATATTAGTAAATTAATTAATTGCAGGTTTTATAGTTTAAATTAAATAAAATACTATTTAAATTATACTTAATTTTAACTTATAAGCAAGCTATAAGCTGTTAGTAAAGTACTAATAAGCACAGTAATTATTATAAGCTTAATTTATTTAAATATTTTAATAATAATAATATTATAATAATACTATTATTATTTTTACTAGCTTAAATAGCGCAGCAAACTATAGTACTAGCTAAAAATTTTATAATATAGCAGCCTAGTATAGCTATAATAATACTATTAATTATACTAATACTATTATTACTATACTACTAACTTTAACTGCAATTATAATAACTACTATTTTAATAACTACTATAGCTGCTATTTTAACTATTACTATAATTATAGTATCTAGCTAACAGTTGCTTTATTTATAGCTAAAATTATATTATATTATAATAATTACTAGTATAATATTATAGTTTATATAAGTTTTACTAATTAGCTTTATAGCTATTATTAATACTAATAATATTTTATTAACTATTACTTTACTTTTATGCAGTACTACTAATTTATAATATATAATTAATTTTAATTATAATAAGTTTTTTACTACTTTAATATACTTTAAATTATTATATAAATAATAATTATAATTAACTTATAAAAAATAATAATTTTAAATTTAATATACTAAATAGGCAATATAGTTAAGCAGGCAAGTTAACTTTATATAATATTAATAATAAATAATAATTAATAATTATAATTAACCGCAAAGTATAAAATTATATATTTTATTATATTTAATATACTGCGCTATACTTATTTTATTTATAATAATATAGTAATTTATATATAAATTAAAATATTAAAAAATTGCGCAGCGTGCTTTAGCTGTATAAATTTATACTAGTTTTAGTAATAGGGGTAGTAAATACTTTACTATTAGGGTAGTGCTTAACGTCTCCCGCTACGGATGCCGACATCTGAGACGCGGAACGAAACTAAACCCTTGGTGATCTCCAACTCACACGACACCTGTATAGTGAGTCGTGTGACGCCGAACCCTTACTTGCATCGTGCCAGCGCTGGTTGCCTCGCCTTCTCCAGGTTGCCATCGACCAGAACTAGTTTCATGGGTGCTCGTCGACTGACCCATGCCTCTCCACGACGCCCGACCGTGAACCCGTGCATCCCCGACCCCAAACGACCCCCTTGACCGACCTGATCGCGTATTCTCCCTTCAACAACAGGTGTATCCTCTCACACTATGATTCCGCGGCGGGAAGAGATGGTGGAGCCGTCACCAACAACGCCGCTCAGTCCTCGCGTTAGCGACGTTTCGGATGAGAGCCAGTACATGCGCGACAACGACTTCCTCGAGAGTCCGATAGGGTCGCCGGCGAGCGTGGTCAGCGTGTGGAGTGAGGGCAAAAGACAGCCTAGGAATGGGAAGCTGAGGCATGCCATTGGGATTGCGTTACTGCTTGCGACAGTCTTTCTTTGGACGGCTAGTAACTTCCTTGCGAGCGTATGTTTACCACCAGTATTTGCTACCGAGTGACTCGACACTTGGGACTGAACATGAATACGAATAACCACAGCATAATCACAGCAATATGTGCTGACATGACTACAGACAATCTTCGCAGACAACTCGTATTCTAAACCCTACTTCGTAACCTACGTGAACACATCGTTCTTCATCCTCATGCTTTTTCCTATGCTCGTACATCACCTCTGGGCCGACCGCGCAAACACCATCTACCAACAACCACTCGCTGCGCAACTGCGTGACCTCCTTCAACGTCGGGCCGGGAAATGGAAGCTACTCCGTGACCACGAGTCTGGCTCCTCGTCCATATCCTCCAAGGCGAGGAATGACGAGGCGGCCGAGGTACTATTGGGAGACAGCACGCACGATTCGGAAGAACTAGGAAGAGACATGAGCGGCGATGGGGATGACGGATTAACCCTAAAAGAGACGGCGACAATAGCCCTTGAGTTCTGCATACTCTGGTTTCTCGCAAACTACTTCTCCGCCGCGTGTCTGCAGTACACTACCGTAGCGTCCTCGACCATCCTATCGTCCACATCCTCCATCTGGACACTACTACTAGGCTCCATATTACGCGTCGAGCGCTTCACAATCCGCAAGTTTATCGGCGTCTGCGCATGCCTCGGCGGCGTGGCCCTCATTTCTACAATCGACATGTCAGGCGATACGGACGAGAACCGCGGTTCGTTTCCCCATAAGACGCCGCGCGAACTGGCTATCGGCGATGTCATGGCCTTCGTCAGCGCTGTGCTGTATGGATTCTACACCGTCTTCATGAAGAAGCGCATCGGCGATGAATCGCGTGTGAACATGCCTCTCTTCTTCGGGCTCGTCGGTCTCGCGAATGTCCTACTGCTATGGCCCGGATTCATCATTCTGCATTTCACGGGCATCGAGACGTTTGAGCTCCCACCCACCAGCCGCATTTTGGTCATCATCCTCGTCAATAGCGCGTCAAGCCTGCTCTCGGACTTCTGCTGGGCATATGCCATGTTGTTGACTAGCCCATTGATAGTTACAGTGGGTTTGACGATGACGATTCCGCTGAGTTTGGTGGGCCAGATGGTGCTGGATGCGCAGTATGCGTCGGCGCTGTACTGGTTGGGTGCTGCGATCATGGTCCTGAGCTTCTTGTTTATTAATCATGAGGATCGCAAGGATGAAGAGGACGGCCTGCAAGGGGCGGACCCTATCCTGGACATGCGGACAAGCTTTCAAAGCGTACGGCAAAGTCTGAGTCGGAGAAACTCGAGGGCAAGTGCTTGAGTTGTGTGCAGTGTTTTTTGATACGGGCGTTTTGCATAGGATACCTTGGGCTTGCATGACATGGAGTTTGAATGGCTCGAGTGCGTTGATACAAGTAGTTTCACATAGATATTATCACATATTCTTCATCATTGAATATAGTCTCTGTATAGCTAGTTGACTCATGCTTGCTATGGGGTATCTTGAATGCTTCTGAAAGTCTTTGACTCAGTCGCCTCGCCTGTCCCGACGCTCGCCATCCCGCCCGCCATTCATCTTCTTGTCATAGTAGTTTCTCCCGCCATTGCCGTTCCATCTTCCCTTTCCCTTGCCACCCCCCTTATAACTCCTATCCCTATCACCCTCTTTCCTCTTCGCCTGGAACGTCTCGTCATCTTCCAACTCCTCGGCCTCCCATCCTTCCTTTTCCATAAACCGCTCCAATTGCCGCTTCACTACTGGCTCCCACGTCTCGGGGCCAGCTTCGAGGTCAGACCATTCTAGAACATTGGATTGGGTGGAAGTGGGGTTCAGGGAGTAGTCACCTTGCCGCGAGCGGATGAGCGAGGACATGAGGCCGAGGGAGGAGCAGGCCAGGCCAAGGTCATGGCAGAGACTTCGGACGTAGAAACCAGATGTTACGGTCATGCGAAGGCGGACTGCTGGAGGTTGGGGGATTGGTGTAGTTGTAGATGTGGATGAGGCGTCGTTTGTTTGATCAGGATTCGACACGTCTGCAGCAGTCTCAGTAGCGGCGATGGGGGCTACTTCTTCGACTGTTTCGGTTGGCCTATCTTCTGTGGAGGGTGTTGGCTTTGTCTCCAGCCCAGTTGTAGTGTTTTCGGCTGGTTGCTCCCCAACAGCAACTTCCGCTGAGTCAGTTGGCGTATCTTTTGAAGGTAACGCGCCCGACATAGCGGGTTCAGTCTCGGTCCTCGGCCTCTTGGGCTGCTCACCCGCACCCTCGACATGATCATCCTCCGGTGTCCGCGACCTCTTCCTGGTCTTCCTCGCCGCAGTCTCCATATGCACATCCACATCCTCTTTCCTAATCCCTAACAACTTCTCTGCGCCTGCCATTTCCGTTCCGTCCAACTCCTCTTTCGGCCACGCAAACTCATGACTACCTGGCTCCAACCATTCGACAAGTTCCAGTTCCTGTACTTCTACGGGCCGCGCGGCTACTTCGGGGATGTTCTTGCCTTCTCGCGCGTACTCGTACATTTTCTTCCCGTCGACTTTCAGCGCGGAGAACACGCTGGGTTTCTGCATGATCTTGCCGCGAAACTGTGCGAGCCTCTCTTCCACGAGTTCGCGGGTAACGTGTTCGTACGGTGCCTTGCTGACCACCTTCCCTACTGCATCATAGCTATCTGTGGCTGCGCCAAACAGGACCACGCACTCATAGCTCTTAGTGCACTCTAAAAACGTGCCCAAGTGTTTTGTGCCCTTGCCCACACCCACGATCAGAACGCCAGTCGCCATTGGGTCGAGGGTGCCGCCGTGACCGAGCTTGACTTTGAGGTTGTTGATGTGCTTGGGTTTCGAGTTGGAGAGGAGCATTGCGCGCTTCTGGGATTCGAGCCATGGTGTGAAGAGGGAGGAGCTGGCAAAGTGGCGTTGAAGGTCGCGGAGGACACCGGCGGACGAAGACCATTTTGGTTTATTTATTGCTGGGCGCGTGTCAGAAGATGCAATTGTGACTCGCTGGTACTAAGAGAGACTGACCAAAGACGCCCTCGAGCACCTTTGGGCTCTCTTTCTGGGGGGAAGTCATGAGAGTGCGTTTGATTGCGGAGGTGACTGACATGGGCTGCTAAGAGGGAAGGTGCAAGCTCCAGCTACCGTGGTTGAAGTAGAGGCAAGTTTTTCCGAGACAGTTCCGAATGCCAAGACGGAAGGCGCGCTAGACGCTGATCCTCGTGAATGTTTGCTGCAACCAACCTAACCCTGGTGTTAGACCTCACACGCGCAACATCTACTTTTGGGGCTTCTCACTCCACCCCCCAACGCTCGGAAGGTGTAATACCACGTATGCCAGTTGTCGCATAGGTCACCACAACGGAACGCGACGCGTGGATTGCCCACCGGCACGATGAGCGACACCAACAAAGATCTCGAGGACCTCGCAAAGAGTGCCACAGAAGACTTCTACGAGCTACTCGGCGTCTCCTTTGATGCATCTGAGCCCACCATCAAGAAGGCCTACCGCAAAGCCTCGATTCGCTACCATCCAGACAAGAATCCCGACAACAAGGACGCCGCCGACCGCTTCATCTACTTGGGATGGGCGCGCGACATCCTCATCGACGCGAAGCTCAAAGGCGAATATGACCGCGCGCGGACAAGACGGAGAGAAAAGACACTGCAGGATGAGCTGTTGGATGGGCGAAGGAGGAAGATGAAGGAGGATTTGGAGAGACGGGAGAAGAACTCTGCCCCGGGCTTGAAGAGGAAGAGGACCGAGGACATGAGCGAAGCTGAGCGGCGAGAGCAGGAGATCCAGAGACTGGCTGAAGATGGAAAGAGGCGGAGAAAGGAGGCGCAGGAGCGGCTAGAGAAGAAGCGCCAGGACGTAGACGAAGCCAGTTTCATGGAAGTCGATAAGAGTCCAGAACCCCAAGCGCAGAGGCCTGGGGATAGCGCGGAAATCGATCGTACGGTCAAGATACGGTTTTCTAGGGAAGGCGACATGGCCGATTGGGATAAGGACAGGATATCCAGCATGTTTGCGAAGTACGGCAAGATCGATAGCGTCGTTATAGGGAAGGACAAGAAGATACGCCCGTCCGGCGGGAAACATAGAAAGGTCATCGCCATAGTCTTCGTCATCTACACGCGCCTCGACCACGCACACGCCGCAGTCATAGACGGCCAATCCGACTACCCGTCCCTCGAATCCGTATCTTGGGCCAACGGCGAGCCAGATATCAAATCGCCAACCAGTTACGTGAATGGCAATGCGCCTTCGGCGCCTTCGACGCCTGTTGTGACGCCGAACAAGTCCTTCAGGGCATCTTTCGGTCCTGGAATTGGCAAGGGTTTTGGTAGCACGACGCCCCTAGGCACACCTAAGTTCTCATTCAGTCCCAAGACGCCGAGCCTAGAGGAAGTCACTATGATGCGGTTGAAGCAGGCGGAGAAGAAGAGATTGGAGGAGCAGATTCGGAAACAGGAGGCTGCCGAGGAAGCAGTCGCCTAATTGAAGTGTACATTTTGCCAACTTTCACGATTCATGATTTAGCTTGCGAGATACCCATCTTTTAGACATAGTCTTGAAATTATTGTTCGCGCCATTGCCTCCCCCCCCCTCAATCACCAGGATCCTTATGACCTGAAATCGTTACCACGCACCGACACCGGGCTTCTCCCGTCCGGTAATTCAGCATTCATCGGACTCTGTATGTTGGGCAACTCTGCGCTCATTGTATATGCACTTCGGGGAGACTGCGTGGGATCAAGCGGTGGCGGATAATAAGTCTGCTGAAAGCCCTGCTGACCTGGTGGGTATGCATAAGCTCCGTGTTGTACCCAGGGTTGCTGATGCTGGGATCGTGACTCTTGGTATTGTTGATAATCCGATGGCGCAGGTGGTGACCCTTGGAGTGACGATGAGGGTTGTGGGGAGTGTAGTGCGCTGCCTTGCGATAAAGAGAAGTTGGCAACAAATTTCTCTGCCGGCGTTCGCTGATCGTTTTGAACAGGCTGCAGGCTCGGCTGAGCGTTGGCTTGCTCTCGCCTTTTGCGCCGGATGCGTAAGCAAAAGACAGCGAGGAGAATAACAGCAACAATGATAACTACTCCTCCGATGACCCCTCCAGTGATAGCACCTATGTTCGTCTTTCCGGAGTTTGGGGGAGATGAAGGTAGAGAACTGCTCGAAGATGAGGTTGTGGGTATGGGCCTGGTCGCGGACCTAGACGCGGCAGAGAAAGTTGTTTTAAAGTAGACAGAGAGGTCCGGCGTTGCCCAACCAGCGACTGGTGCCGTCAACGTTGCACCGCCATCTACGCTTTGTAAAGAGTCAGCACTGTTGTGGCAGATTAGGTTCACGCAGAGACGTACTCGCCGCCGATCACATCTGTAATGTTCTTAGGCACTCGGTACTTTGTGACGTTGGACATAAGACCGAGCCATGTCTGCCCTCGTTCGACCGCTTCTTGTCCAAGCGGAAGGCCATGTTGCCCTCCAATTTTAGGAATATCGCACATCGGTTGAGTGGCGTTGGTGTAGTATCCACCCATGACAATCATCTGTGATCGGTTGATGATATCGCAGGACGTCCAAGCCTTGCCTCCAGCGAATGTGGTTGCTTTGGGCTTCGGATACCACTACACATATCAGATTGTCCCCCTTGGGAAAATATATAACTTGGATATACTCACGTAAATCCATGTAAAAGATGGCAGAGAGAGTACCCAGACATCTTCTAGCGCAGTCTCGTTGGTACCAATGCCACCAAAGAGGTATCTTCGACCGTCAGCACAAACGAGCATGTATGCACAACGAAGACAGCTTTTACATGTTGTATGAGGAGTGGTCCGCTGCCCACACCACCCCTGCACAAAACCCACGTCTAGGTTGAGGTATATCCCCCGTAGTAGTTTGAGTATACCACCTCTCGTTGGCGAGGTCAAAAAGATGGATTTGCTGGAACGGAAGTGAGTCAACATCGAGTGGCTGAAATATGCGTTACTTACACTCATGTTAGCCTAGGTTGCGTCAGCTATTTGAATCAAAAGTGAGTTTACCATACATACGTAGCTCGTCGCCGAATTTATCCTCTCAACACCCCCAAAGTACACTAACATCCCCCGCTCTCCAGCTGGGATGTATTGCAGTGAGCCCTCAGCACGGGGGGTCAAATCGTAGGTGTGATTTCTCCATGTCCCCTCGCTCATGTTGTACGACACTATACTACCCAGCATCAGCGGGTTACCTTTCCAACGAGAATCGGAGTTTTCATTCAGATAGCCGCCGTAGTAGTATCCGATGCCTTCGTCATTGGTTGTACCTGCTCCGAAGGCTGGCCATGAAACTTGAGCTTGTGATGCACCGGAGCCAGCAGACCGGTTCCACGAGTTGTAGATCGTGTCGTAAAACCAGAGTGTTCCAAAGCTCTGCGCGGTTGTGTTTGTGTATTCACCACCGTACTGATAGAATACTTTGTTGACCAGATCGGGCCACAAAATCCCGCCGCTGACGGAAGGAACGTCTCTACTCTAATTTCATTTAGTCTTCTGTCGGTATTGCAAAGAACTATAGCCGGGTGTTCAAAAGGCACTCACCTTGGTCAAGTTGCTATACTGGGGAGGAAAGTCTGGATAAGAATTGGACAAATCTTTATAAATGAGCCATGTATCTATGCAAATTAGCTGTAGTCCATTTTTTTGCGCTTATTGTATTGCTCACTTGTCTGAGGTGGGCGACTGGGCTGAACATCGTGTCCGTAATACACCAGGCCTCCATCAATGTATAATTTGCTATCAATAATGCAGGTTTGATGCTGGTGTCGACGGCAGAAATCTTTGATTGGGTCCTGGATATGCTCTTGTGCTATTGCCGATGCCAGAACTGTGCCGATAATTAAGAAATTCATTGTTGAAGGAAAGAAGGTATGCTAAAGATAAAAGCAAGGGGGGGAGCCCTTTTGCCCGTAATTTACAACTTCGCCCCCGCATTGTCCGGCAGACAGAACTGGTAAAGGCGACGCCCGGGCAAATGTGGACATATGTATAACCTCAATTTAGGTTCTTGGGGTGTTTTTTTAAATGTGGACGCGAGGCTATTGGCAAGCCATGCATGTAATTGGAACTTATGCGTACTACCTGCAGAAAAAGTTGTAATTAGCGCTTACTCCCTGGTTGAGCTATAGCAAGGCTTTAGTAAGAAGTCTGGGGCTGCAAAACTGTCCAAATCAACTCGAGATACCCGTAAGATAGAGTTTATAGTTATTTCCTAGCTATAAAGGACTCAATTAAGCTAAGGCAGGCTAATGCAGGCTAACGCATACTAAGCAATAGTAGTATTAATTTGCGTGTAATTAGCAGCTTCTTTAATAACAGGCCTAGTAAGTATTATTCTTGCTACTTAGCGTATTAATCTAGTAACTCTTTTGAGGGCTCGACCTAATCTATTTATATATATAGTATTATTCTAATAGCTTATAGAAATAATACAATACTAAAAATACGCGCGATTGTTAGAATACAAGTACCCAAAATTTTTGGCCTAGAAGCACTTACTAAAAGTTAACTCTCTACTTTTTAGTTAACTTTGCTAGATTCTTTCCAAGCGTAGATTTTTTAAGTAAGTTATTTATAGTAACTTATTTTTTTCTCTTTTTCGAGATAGCCTTAGCTAAAATAGAAAACTATATATTTTACTACTTTTTTTTGCTTTGAACTGCGCATACTCTTTATAAGCTTTTTTGCACTTCTATTGCAGCTCTAATAACAAGAGTGCAATACTTGTATATAGTTATATAAAATGCATAACGCTGTACTTTTTTTTAGCTTTTAATACTATAGAAAACTATTTTGTAGCAAAGCCCGAGTCCTAACTATCTACTATTACAGTAATAGTATTGTAAAATATAAGAAATAAAACTGTAATATTTCTGCAGTATTTTAGAAATATAAGTAAGTTGCAAATACCTCTTTTTAAAAGTAGCGTGTTCTAGTTTGGGAATTTACGCTAGATAATAATTAAGTATATAAATTAAATTTAGTAAGGCTATAGTAGTTAAAGCGCAACTTGCAATTTGTTTAGAAAGAAATTGCACTAGAATAAGTTGCGCCCTATTATTTAAACTACTATTAGTATACAGCAAAGTAATTTTCGCAGTATTTCTACAAAATACTAGCTCTTTTAGTTTAACTAACTTAATATAGTTGTACTTAGCTTATAAGGATTTATTGTAGAGTATATAAATTAAGTATATTTGTAAATACTAGAGAGCAATAAATGCACTATTAATATATCTATTTCTACTAAATATTGCAGAAGCTTAGGAAGCCTTATTAGTAGCTTTAGACAAGCTATAGTAGCTTAATTAGGGGCTAATACAAACTATAGTTGCTAAGTTAGTATATTATAAGTAACTTAATTATAGCTAGGCAGTGTATTAATATAAATAGTTTACTATATCTATTAGCCTAATATATATAGGATAGGCAATACTTAGTAAATATTAAGAAAAAACTAGCCTGTGCACCCTAAATAAGCTGCTAATATTAAACTTTATAATCTACTAATATTGTTTAGACTGCTAATATTGTTTAAACTACTAATATTATTTAAACTACTAATATTGTTTAAACTGCTAATATTATTTAAACTGCTAATATTATTAAAGCTGCTAATATTATTAAAGCTGCTAATAGTATTAAAACTGCTAATATTATTAGGACTGCTAATATTATTAAAGCTGCTAATAGCGTTAATACTGCTAATATTACTAAAACTACTAATATTGCTAAAACTGCTAATATTGCTAGGGCAAAAGTAAATTAGTTTAACTTTAAATAAATATTATTTAAGTTTATACTTTCTGCTAAGATTAAAGTAATATAAGCAATATATAGTTAAAAATAAACTTATATTAATATTTTAATATATAGAAGGCAATTTAAAAAAAGTAATAATTTTTATTAGTACTACTTTTATTAAATTACTTTTTATTATATACACCTTATATTTATACAAAACTAACTATACTATAAAATTAATTTTATAATACTATTAAAAACTATAAAGCTTTATAAAGGACAATTTTTTTTAAATTTAGTATTAATTAAATATATATAGTTTAATATTCCCTTGTAGGTAGACGTAAACTAGCACTTTATAATATAATAAAAATTAATAAATAGCTTTTTTTTTACTTTTACCTATTTTTACAACCTACTTTAACTATTATACTTTTTAGTATATAAAAGCTTCTTAAAATACTTTTATAATAATAATAAAATATACTAAATTCTACTTAACGTAGTAAATTTATTATATACTTTATTTATTTTTTTTAATTTTAATTTTTTTAATTTATTATAGGTCTAGTTTATCTACTGCTAAATATAAATAGAATAAAAAAGGAATAAAGGAAATAAAAAATATAAAAAAAAAAAATAATAGAATAGTATTGCTTTTTATAAACTTTTTTTTTTAAAATAATAAAGTAGTATTGCCTTCTGCAAAGCTTTTTCTTTTATATACTATTTTTTTTTGCATATTATAAAATTAAAATATATTTAACTTTTTATAGCGCTTAACTTTAGGGAGTATTACATTATTAGGGACTTCTGCAGGCCCTAATACTAGCAGTATAAACTAACTACAGCTTTAACTTCTGCACGCTATTATATTAAATAACTTTTAATACTAGCAATATAAATTATATACAGTATTAGGCACTGCGCACTACTATACTAAATAGTTTCTAATATTAGTAGTATAAACTACGCATAGTATTAGGCACTGCGCATTATTATATTAAATAATTTTTAATACTAGTAATATAAACTATATATAATATTAAGCACTACGCGCTATTATACTAAATAGTTTTTAATATTAATAATATAAACTACGCGCAGTATTAGGCACTACGCACTATTATACTAAATAGTTTTTAATATTAGTAGTATAAACTATATATAGTATTAGGCACTACGCGCTACTATACTAAATAGTATACTATTATATTAAATAGTTTTTAATACTAGTAGTATAAATTATATATAGTATTAAGCATTGCGCGCTATTATACTAAATAGTATACTACTATACTAAATAATTTTTAATACTAGTAGTATAGACTATGCGCAGTTTTAAGGACTATTAAAATAAACTTTTAAAGTTTTAATATTTTATATAAGCAAGTTAGCTACTTAAACTAATTAAAATTTTTTTTAAAGCGCCTGTGCTTAATTAAACTATTGCTAATTTTTATAAAACTATTTTAAGTGCAGAAATATTTATAATTATATTAATTTTTTTAGAATAAGTTAGGATAGTTGCTAAATATAGTTCTAAATTATATATTATTGTTTTTTTATAGTAATTGCAAGCTTTTTGTTCTGCTACTACTATAAGCAGCAATATTAATATTATATAGCTAAAATTAGTTTTATAATTTTATTTTGTATTGCAGTACTATACTATTTATTTTATTTTAATATTGCTTTTATAATTTGCAAATAGCTTTAAAATTTTACAACTTATTTTTTTTTTTTTTTTATAATACTAAATATTAATTTTTTACTAAGAAGTTACCTGCTTTTAAAGTATATATATAACTACTCTACTTTATAGCTTTAGTTTTCTATTTACTATACTTTTAATATATAATAATAAAATAAATTCTTTTTATTTTTACTGCTTACTAAAATATTAACTTATTAATTTTTTTTTAACTAATTTATAATAGGCTCTAGAATAATAGTATTTATAAAAGCAGGATCCTGCAGCCTAAAAAAATAAAAAAAATAGTAAGCTTTATATAAAGTACTTTTTTCTATTAAAAACTAATACTTAGTAAAAAGCTATTATTTTGTTATAATTATTTACTAACAGCCTATATACTAAAGAGTAAAAAAGCTAATTTTTAGTAATACTAAAAAATATTCTATTTTTAAAGTAAATAACTAAGTTATTTAATAGCTTTTATATTACTTTAAATACTTTAAGCTTATAAATTTTATATAAACTTGTAATAGCGCAAAAGCTTACTAATATTTAAGTAGTAAATAAAACTGCTATATAATAAAAATTGCATAAAAAAAAGTAAGTACAAAAAAAAAAATTTATTACTATTAAAAATAGTTTTTAACTAATAATTTAAAACAAGTTTAAAAAACCTAGTAATAAAATAAAAATAATAAAAAAAGTGTATACTAAAGCAAGTATTTTATATTAATAGTATTATAAATGCTGCGCAAAGATATTCTAAAAAAAAATAAAAATAATTTTTAAATAAATTAGCTTACTATATATTACTTTTATAGTTTTAAATAGTACTATACTACTATATATAGTACAAATTTTAATAAAAGTTTAGTATTATAATATATTTGCCTGTATAATATATTTATATAAAATATAATATAATTTTATATATAATGCTAAGCGCAGTATACTATAGTAAAGTATTATAAAATAAAATAATATATAGCAGATTTAGCACATAGCTATATAGTTAGTAATATATAGTAAACTATAGTAAAGCAAAGTAAAGTTAAATGCTATATAAAATTATAATATAGTAGTATATTATTATAAAATAGCGCTAAATATAGTATAGTATAGTAAAGTAATATAAAATAATACAAAGTAAAATATTAAAATTTAGTATTAAGTATAGTATTTTTAGCGCATAATAGCAACGTAGTAAAAAGTAAAGTATATTATAGTAAATTAATATAACTTATAGTAGTATATTACTGCAGAGTAGCGCTAATTATAATATATTATAATAAAGTAAAATAAAGCACTGCATTATACTATAAAATAGTATAAAATATTATATATATAATATATAATTGCAAAGTAGTATAATATATAGTTTATTACTATAATATAAAATTAAGTGCAGTATAC